CATCCGTGGTGGTAGTAGGCTCAGCGGTGTCCGTGACTGTGGTTGGCTCAGGGGTTGGTGTGCAGACGTCTTTTGGGAGAGGGAATGTGCCGTCGAGGTTACCGGACCCGCCGTAGACGATGCAGCTGGGGTGCGTTAGCTTTGGTTCTTCTCACTTTCCTCTCTCTCTCGACTCTGTCCACAAATACTGATGACTTGGAAATAGACAGAATGATGCTGGGGGGACGGGGAAGACTTACTTCTTCACACAAGCAGCGCTGTGCAGCTGCGGCGCATAACAGAGCGTGGGCTGCACGCCCACAGGCGGCTCGCCAGCAAGGTTATCATTGCAATTCCCGGGCTGTCCGACGAGACCGGTGCAGCGGATGATGATGTTTGTCTTGAGGGAGTCGCCGGCGCAGTAGACGGCGTCTGGGACGTGGCAGGTCCATTTTCCAGTTGCTGGGTCGCTGGGAGGGGGTTAGTATGTGTTGTCTGTGAGTTGGATGAAGTGGATGAGTGTGGGAAGACATACTAATCTGGACCAGTAGCGCTGGTGAGAGCAGCAGAGGCAGAGATGAGAAGAGCAGTGGAAAGCTTCATCGTGTCGGTTGTGGTTGTTGGTGATGGTTGGTCGTGTGTGGTGGGTATATATATCGATTATGATAACACTTCCTTCTTCTCCTTCACGTAGATTGAACGACAGTAGGTAACGAACGTCAGATAAACAGCGAATGTGAGGTCAAGTCAACAAACAATATCAGCGAGAGTGATAGTTACGAGTGCGTGTGCGTGTGAGTGTGTATGAGACAAAGGGAAGGAGAGGGGGGGCGAATATCGAGTGGGAGGGGGAGGTTATATACAAAGCCCAGCAGTCACTGCACGGTGCATCGCCTGTGCAGGATACTTTGATGCATACGATAGAAGGTAGGAATTGCCAAGCCGTCGTCACCAAGGACATGTCACTCTTTGGAGAAAAGGGAATTCCTGGTGATGAACCGGAGTTGAGTGGGCGTATGTGCGGATTGGGGAATTAGTACGGGACGGAAATAGAGGAGGGCTGGCAGGGGCAGGGGTTGAGTTCGTGGTTGAGTGTGTGCGGGTTGACGTCGTTTATGGAGGGGCGGTGGAGCACAGGGCGGGAGTACGGGATCTGCTGGGGTGGGGGATGGGTGGGATGGGTACTTGGTGTTTATAGAAAGTGTACTTGCTAGAGTATATGGCATACTACAGGATAGAATGTAGACTTGCTATAGTCATCATGTACACTCCCCTCCCTCCCCAGTTCAACTCAACTCAACTCGCACAAATCCGCTGGCAGATATCCGTTATATCTCTTCCCTTACTTCCCTTACTTCCCTTACTTCCCTTACCTTACCCGCATCCCGTTGCCCGTCGTACTACAGGAACAAGTGCACCGTGTAGTGCAGTACAGAGCACAGTTAGTACAGCCCTGGTATCCAATCGGCAGTATACGAGAGAGGCGTAATTCGTTGGTGGTTATGCCAAGGGATATGTCAATATCTCAATACGAAGCAAGCAGGCAAGCCACTGGCTGTGGTTTACCTGTAGTTTTTCTGTGTGCTTCTGCGTCTGTTTATTGTTTTCTGCTGCCGTTTCTGTGGCTGTGGCTGTGAATGAATGAATGAATGTGTCTGACTCTCCCGCCCTCAACCAACAATATGGCCACAACAATAGTATGGCTGCCGTTGCTATGCGTACGGTACCTCACCCACCTCGCCGCCGTGGCAACTAACAATGAGTAACCTGCCCTTGAGCAACTTCATCTTGCTTCACATCTCCCTGGTAACCTCCTCATCTCTCCCCTTGGTAACCTCTCCTTCATCCCACCTCCTCGTCCGTGTTTCAGGTGCATTCATCGTCCGTATGTGGCCTGCAAAATCCCCTTCCTTCTCTCTTTCTTCCTTCCTGACTAAATATCGAATATCGATTTATCCCCTTCCTTCACCAGGTAACCATGCGACATTAAACTGCCGGATAAGGGCCTTTACCGCCTCACTCCCCAACCTCTCTACACTGGTCCCATCCCATCGCCACAACAAGCGCCACTCTTCGTATCGCTCTCCAGCCCCAACCTCCCCCACAAGACCCCTACAACTACAACTACAGCTACAACAACAACAACAACAACAGCCGACTCATGTCTCCCGGATCGAGGACCCGTCGTCGTTCGTAGCTTGTGCATAACGTATCATCGAGTACTACATCGTATCTCATCGTCCCACTCCAGCTGTGGTAAACTGCTATTAGACCCAACAGACCTAAGGTGCGACTTTTGCGACTACTTCCTTGGTCCGCAATTGTGGTGCCAGTGCTTCCTCCTCGTATCGGGCGTGCGTGTGCCTCTCTCGTTCCTCCGCCAAGACGCATACAAGTGCGTGTTGTACCTCGTATTCCGCAAAAATGGAGCGACTCACGGGACACCTAGCGATGATGATCTCCGTGGAGAGGTGCAGGCTTGGCTGGGGGGTTTTGACAGGTTGGGTGGGGGGGTTAAGTACTGTAAACAAACTGGGAAGGAAGGAAAAGTAGGTGGGGGAATTTCTCGGTATGGGTGGGATGGATGGGATGGTAAGTAGGGTTAGTTGCAGAAAAATGAAGGTTTATGGCGTAGGGAGCACTGTTTATTTATGGTTTGTGCGATGTGATCGTTTCGACTTAGATGTGAAGATCATCAGCCAGCCAGCTCACGGTGTTTTATTACACAGTAATCGAGTTCTCCAATACTCGGCAGCGAGCGAGCGATCTACCGGCGATAAGCGATGTCATCTGTCACTCCCCATCCCAATCGCTGGTACAAATTGTGGCTGATACAAAGAACGATGACAGTCAGTTGCGTGTGTGGCGTAAACTGTGGCTGAACACACACGATGACGACAAACACGTTTCTCCCCTCCATACGTAAGCTCGCTCTACAACGGCCCGACTCAGCGAGCAGAAGGAGCTTTGTTAGCTTCATACCTTTCTTAGAGGGAGACAAAAGGTCCGAAGGGCACACGGAGAAAGCTACGTATAGGGCAGAGGTAACGTTGTGTGTTGTGTGTTGTGTGTGCCATTTTTAGTATACTCGGTGCGGATCTGCGCGAGAGCTTGCTTGGTCTGTGGTTGTTCTCACTCACCGCCATACTCACTCTATGATGTGCACTCCGTCCATCATCAACTACCACAACAAAGCCAGCCCGCTTAGATGTCAAATACCACAGATATCAAGAAGTTAGAAACTACTCCCTTAACTTCCACCCCACGTGATCTATGCGATAAATGTATCCACTTCACAACTGACTACAAATTCCACCACCACAGCACCCCCATCCCCCTCAACGGCAGACTATCCCACCGCCTCTCCTACACAAACGAGAATCGCTTCTTCTTCAAGCTTCCCTGGGAATGCAATGACCTCTGGCCCGGCCTCCCTGGTCTCCAGTCGTCGTTTTTGGCAGGAGGAAAGGGGGGGTGGGGGGGTGTCTGATTTGCGCGGTGATAAGGGTGAAATTGTTAGGTGGGACCTACGCTTTTTCTTCTTCTCAAGACACTACGATGACGCTGGGGTATGGCGACACGGTGATGGCTGGGGTGTGAAGTTGAGTATTATTTTATATCGTTATATATATTATACACATATTATTAAAAATTATCTCCCCTCGTCCCCCTCCTCCCTTTCCTCTTCCCCAAGCACTATCTCCTATTTCCCCTTCGATCTCATACTTGGATTCCCTACTCAGCTTTGTACTAGCTGGCTCCGTTCTTCTTGCTCGGCATTATCAGGGACTCAAATCCCCGTAGAGCTAGTCCTGCCTGCCAACAACCCATCGATTGCGATATGGGTTGTGATTCCCGTTCCTCTTCTATCCATCTTCAAAACCGTATCGATGACACGGACAGTGTAGTGGCGCTGCTTTCAGCTCCGTCGCCGGTACGAACGACAACTTCGTCTGTCCATCTTCCTTCTCGAACTTCTTCTTCTTCTTCGTTCAACGTCTTCGATAATAGTCCTTCGTGGTCCCTCTCTTCTCTCAACTCTGCAGCCCTCCTAAATCCCACACCCCTCCATATCCCGCAACAAACACGCCATCTGCGCCCTCTTCGCCGCCTCCGCTAATAGCGTCGCGCTGCTTAGGAGCGGGAGCGCGTCGTTCGTGCGGGAGGGCGGTGGGGTGGGGGGCAGGAAGGAGGCGGGCGAGGAGTTGGGAGAGGAGGTGGGGGAGGTGGGGGAGGAGTGGGTGGTGGAGCGGGTGTTGTAGCTGTGTGGCATTTTTGCGGTGGTGGGTAGTTGATGGGAGATGGTGTGAGGTGGTGTGAGTGTGAAGTGAGATTTGTGGATGGTGGCGTGGTGGTTGGTATGGTGTGATGTGAGGTTTGACGATTAAGTTTGACTTATGTGTTCGGTGAAGTTTGACGACCGACGATTCCGTTGAAAGATTTGATCCAACTTCTGCAACTTTCAATTCCCATCCAACAACCGGAGAACCGTACAAATATATACCTTCTCACCCTCTTATCTCCAAAAACCAGCCTCGGCTTCGCGGCTCTACGGCGTCACACCTTCCCCGGTCAGAGACCTGCAGCTGATACCGCGCCTAAGATCTGACAAGTGCCGCGGGACGAATCAGATGCTACTAATCGAGCAAAGATCGCCAATGACGTGAAGGCGTTTTGGGGCGAGGCTTGTGCTGAAGGGTGATAAACAGCCTTTATCGCGGAGAGTTTGCACGGGGGGCGGACCGAGGTAAGTGTGTAGGCGTGGGGTGGTTGTGTGGTGTGGGGGGCGTAGGGCGTGGGAATGGGGGGTTTGGGGGGCGGGTGTGGTCGGGTTGGGGGGTCGGGAGGAGTAGGAGGCGTGTGATAATGGGAATGTATGGGAATGTGATTCTGTGATTCGGATTATGGGAATTGGGGGGATGGGGATTCCGAGGGGGATATATATGTCATTTTTCTTCTTCTGTTTTCGGGCCTTTTGTTACGTTACGCTTATCTCTTTTTTTTCTTTTACGGAGCCCTCTTGGTATTCCCGTCCGGCTGTGATGATGTAAGGCGGACGGTTGTCACGACCAGTAACACGGGGTATGGGGAGGGATCGGCGGGATTGGCAGTTCTAGGCGGCAGACCGGGCGAAAGGGCCGACGGGAAATCTGCGGTTGTAGATGAGATCAAGACCGGAGGATGGGAGTGTGAGATGTAGATGTATCGCCACCGGGATGAATAGCATACTCAATTGTAATATATTAATTTATTACTGTGTAGTACAGACGAGTTTGAGATAAAGGAATGCGTGCAACGAATTGATAAATGATAAAGTTCGTGATAAGGGCCTGCATCTCGTTATCGGCATCGGCGCCGGCGAACGAAAAGGCACGTGCGTTGATCCATGATCCTTCGATCCCCCGGCCGGAGACTTTATTTTTCCATTGCCGAACAAGCTAAACTAACCTCGGCTTAGCAGCCGTTTCCCCTGCACCAAATGTTAACTACTCCTTGAAGCTGAAGGCCAGAAATATACAACACCACATACAACTCTCACAACCTCCTCCACAACCCACCCGCGGTCCCTCTCACCACCACCGCAACAATGCCGCCATCACAGGCACCCTCCTCCACCTCCACCTCCCCACCAAAAGACGAACAATCCAACTCCACCCAACAGACCGACACCGAAACCGCAACCCTCCCCACCCGTCTCCGAACCCTCTTCACCATCCCCGCCCCAATTCGCACCCTCTTCGACCTCGTCCCCCTACACACCTACGCCCCCAACCCCCTCCCCACTCGCTCCCCCTCCCCCTCCCCCCTTCCAACCCTCCACATCTTTACCTCCCCCTCCTCCCCCACAGGCCCCTCCCCAAACCCAACCTGTTTAAAACACCAAACCGCCCTCCGCCTCGCCTCTCTCCCACACACAATTACGAACTCCACAAACCACGCCTCACCCACCGGCGCCCTCCCGTTCTTGCTGCCGCCTACTTCCTCCCCGCTTCTTCCTGCTGCGCTCTTGCCGATTGGGGCGGGCCAGATCCTAAATTACGCCGCGAAAGCCGGCCACCCCCTCCCAGCGCGCCCCTCCCACCCAAAAGCAAAAGTCTACGCCTCCCTAATAGACGACGCCATCCGTCCCGCCTTCCTCCACGCCGTCTACCTCACCCCCGCCAACGCCTCCCTCCCAACGCGCCTCTACCTCGCCCCCGCCACCTCCTCCTGGCTCGTCCAAACCTACCAAGGCATAACCCTGCGACGCGCAGCCCACGAGCAACTGTCCATCGCCGCCCCAGGGGGCGTGGTTGATATCGACGATATTTATGCCAGGGCAGCTGCGGCATTTGAGGCGCTTGCGGGGGCGTTGGAGGGGGAGGAATGGGTTTTGGGGGGGGAGGGAGGGGGGGTGACGATGTTGGATGCGGAGATGTTTGCGTATACGCATTTAGTGCTTGAGGAGGGGATGGGGTGGGGGGATGGGAGGCTGGGGAGGGAGGTTAGGAGGTGGGGGGCGCTTGTGGAGCATAGGGAGAGGGTGTTGAAGAGGTGTTGGGGGGGGGAGTAGGGGATAGGGGGGTGAAAAGGGGGGAACTGGGGAGGATGGGATGGAGAGTTGAGGAGATGTACGAATATTCAAGAGGATTTGGGTGGATATTTCATCAGAGCGATTTGTAGGACATACTGTACGAGAAGGACGGGTTGGCATAGACGCACATAATGTACCAAGATAGACAGATTTCCTTCATCATCAGCGGCGTTACGGTAGTCAGATCACACACAACAGGATTAAATCTCTAAACCTTATATTATATGAACTATGCATCCTACGTATCCACATGCACGTCCAAACCACCATCCGCTCTCGGTTCCCTCTGTGCACCGTGTCATCTATCCCCTCGTCACCACAGAGAACTTTAAAACCCCCACCCTCTCCCCTCCTCCCCGTACCAAACTATCCATCAATCCCCGTCCCCCGTCCCCAGGCCAGAAATCAGTAAACAATCCAACCAACCAACCAACCCACCCCCACCCCACCCACTACACCATCCATGCAAATGCAAACAAAACTCCTCGCGCGTCACACGAGCAAAACCAACCAATAAACGATCCCTGACGGTAAAAAAACGACTAAGGGGAGGGGAGGGGAGGGGAGGGGAGGGGGTGGCCGAAAAAGCGGGATCTGGGAAAGACGGGAAGTCTAGAGTCTAGAACGGGCTCGGCGATGGCGGACGTGGCTTCATGTAATCATAGACGTTGACAAACGACCCTGGGCCGCCATTCTCGGCCAAATCCTCTGCGAGCACCACGGTTTGCTTGATCAAGCGCTCGAGGGCCGTTGAGGGGTTCTTCCCTTGCGAGACTGCGATGGTAAGTTAGCACGTGCTACATAAATCCATACTACAGAACAAATAGATGAATGGACGGGTGAGAATCGCTTACCCAAAATCGCAGAATTCAAATCCTCCGCCAGCGTAACCCTCTTATGCAACGCCAAATGATGCGCCACATCCGGCGAGTTCACCGGATCCTCATACGCCATCAACGCAAACGCATCCCTCAGCGCCCTCTGCGTACTCTGTCTCTTATCATGCGCGAACTCCGCCGAAATCGCCTTCCCGAAATTAATAGTCTCCTCAAGGAGCCTATCATAATCATCGTGCACCGCGCCATTGGTCGCACCTCCTCCGTTGCCGCCGCCGCTGTCGGTGTCCATCTTATCGAACCCCCCATTCTGCTCGTGCGGGTGGTCGAGCTCCATGTCTTGGTTCACCATGTCGTCGTAGGCGTCGTATTCGTGATGGCCGTTAGTGCGGCCGGTGGAGGCGCGGGAGCGGATCTCGGCGCCGCGGTGGATCATCTCGATGAATTTGCGGCATTGGAGGCGGAAGTAGATGTCCTCGTCGTCTTCGAACACTTTGGGGTAGTGGGATTCGGTGAGTTGGAGCGCGCTGTCCACGTCGCCGTCGAGGATGGCGTTGCGGATTTCTGGGATGGGGGTTAGCCGGAGAAGGTGATGGTGGATGAGGGGGAGGAGGGGGCTGACCTTGACGCTGGCTTGCGTCGCCGTCGTCGTGGAATTCGAAGCCCTTGACTTCTTCTTTGTTGCCGATGTTTAGGGCTTGCTTCTCGGATCGTACTTCGTCGGAGAAGGCTTTGGCTGTTTCGACGTAGCCGTCATGTGCGAGGTATTGTAAGACCTGGTGGAAACGTGTTAGGCTCATGATAAGCAAAATCGGGACTGAAAACCTACCAACGACTGGATCAAACTCGTCTCATCGAGTGGAGGTGCAAGATTCGCAGTACTAAGTCATCATCAGCATAAACTCACAAAACATAGCTATAGATTCACGTACCTCGTCGCCGCAACCTGCTCCTCAATAGCTTTCTTCTCTTTCTGTATTCTAGCTTTAGCATGTGCATACGTAGCCATGAGAATCTGCTGCCAATATTTCTTATCCCTCTTTGAACGTTCTATTACGTGGGGGCTTTCTCAGTGGGATGGATTGTGGGATCGAAGAGAGGGTAATGAAGTAAGAAGGAAGGTTTGGACGTGTACTAACCAGTATCATACTATCAATATCAAACTCAAAGGGACTCTGCCCAAAATTAACCCAGACATGCTCGCCTGGCTTCATCATCCCCACAGACGGAAAGAGCTTCCCTCTAACCTCGCGGAACGCCGTGCCTGCCTAATGTCAGTATACAAAGTTAAAGACGGAAGGAGCAGCCAGGGGATGAAGATCGTAGCTGCCAATCTTCAACATGGCCTACTACTACAGCAGAAATAAAAGCCATGCATACCTAAATGATTACCATTCTTGGTAAAGAACGCAGATTCAGTATGAAAGTTAACGCCACATCCAATAACATCATCTGTAGTAAACGTAGGTCCATAGGTCTTTCCCGAACTCTGGCAACAGTACGAATGCCCATCATCACCATGGTACGCCCAAGAATTCGGCTCCCACCCCGGTGGTCTAGAGAGTGGCACATCCTTCGTCGAGAATCCGATCGCAATCGAGCTACTACTCCAAATATTAGCCACACACATCCCATCATCCCAAGCACACACACAAGAAGAGGAACCGCTTACTCTTCCACCTTCCTCGACACAATCTTGACCTCAAAATAGTAAATCCCCGACTGCACCGGCATCGCATGATCCGCTCTAATCGAATACGCCTCATACTCCGTCGTCTTCCCCCCCGTAAACGCAACCTCACAGCCATCCCTCAACACCTCCAACCCCGCATACTTATCATTCGCATTCCACCTCGACGGCAACATCTGCACGCCCTCCGCCTCCACCGGCGCCGCCTTCTCAATCAGCTCAAACGTCATCCCCCTATGCGACGGCGCCAGTTTCCCCGCCACGTTCAAATTCGCCGCACTCGCACTCGTCGACAGCGATCCAGGCTGGGACGAGTGTCTCGACTGCGCCGCCTCCCTCGCCGCCGCCACCTTAGCCCGATACGCCGTCTCGAGCGTCTGTATGTACGCCGACCCCCGCAGGTACGATGGGACGAAGAAATGGTCCCCGTCCCCGTCGTACCCGTATGTATTGATCAGCTCAGCGTAGGCGCGCGAGTATCGCGGCAGACCGCCGTGCGAGGGCGTGCCCCATGACCCGTTGAGGGTGTGCCGCGGATCGATGAGGTGCCGCTGGTCGGAGCTGGGGAGGTAGCGGTTGCCGCTGTCGAAGCCGAAGACGTCGGTGGTGGGGGTTGTGCCAGAGACGACGGCGGCGTAGGAGGAGCGGCGGGGGGCGTGGCCGGGGGGTGCGGTGGGCATGTTCGTGGTGCGGTTCCCGGGGCTCGAGAATGGGTTCGCCATGGTGGCTGGGCTGGTTTCGTGGGTTGTGCTCGTTGGAGGGTTATGAGGAGCTGGGAAAAGTTCGAGATGCGGCTTTGGAGCTGGTGTAAGGTTGGTATGGGCTTATCGGTATATGGATGTCTCGACTGGGGGTTGACGTCGCGAGTTGTTCACTGGGGGATGTCGTTGGGGATTCACGATAGGTTCGTCGGCCGAAGCTTAGAATGGGGGAGAGACCCAGTGAGCCCGTTTTCTCACAGGGGAACGTTCAAAAGATGCACATGTTCGTGCTTGACATTATATCTCGAAGGGGGGTTCAATGAAGGGACTGGTTTTATTTGAAGAGAGGGTGTTTTGTGGTGGTTGGGGAAGAAGGGGACGTCGGTCATAGACGCTGGATACCCTCACTACTACTGCTGCTACTGCTGCTAAACCGCGGGCGGACGATGAGGTGACAAGCTACAAGTACAACACCGCTCATACACCTACTAGCGCCGTTCGAAACCACAGGGTGGCAACCGGCCGGAGTTATTGGGCTTCCGGACTTTGGGGTACGTACCTATTTGTGTGGAGGGGTGGAGGTGGCAGTGGGTGGATGGTAGCCAGGAACATTGAAAAGTTATAAACAAAACCGCCTTTACTTCCCTACTATATCTTCTTTCTTACTTACCATATACCTGAAGTCCGACAGGAAAACAGCAAAAACAATGTCCGAAAAAACCTCCGTCCTCTTCGTCTGCCTCGGCAACATCTGCCGCTCCACAATGAGCGAAGGCGTCTTCCAATCCCTCGCCCAGACGGAGCCCTATACAGACCTCATCGATCGCATCGACAGCTGCGGCACGGGCGCGTATCATGTTGGCGATTCGCCCGATCGCAGGACGATGGCGACGCTGAAGGCGAAGGGGGTGAAGGGGTATAAACATGCTGCTAGACAGGTATTTCCTCCTCCTCCTCTTTCCCCCGCTGTTCCCCCTCCCCTCCCCCCTCTCCCTCATCCAAAACCAACCCCCCTCTCCCCCATCCAAAACCCACCCCCCCCCCCCCCGAAAGAGAAAGTCCCCCGGCTAACACCCCACAGCTCCGCCCCTCAGATTTCCAAGAATTCGACTACATCTTCGCCATGGACTCCTCGAACCTCTCTGGCACCAAGCGGATACAACAACTCAAAGCCCCCAATGGGAAAGCCAAGGTTCTCCTCTTCGGGGAGTACAGCGGGAATGGGAAGGTGGAGCAGGTCGAGGACCCGTATTATGGTGGTGAGGAGGGGTTTGAGGTGGCGTATGAGCAGGCGGTTAGGTTTGGGACGAACTTTTTGGAGGAGTTGAGGGGGAAGGAGGTAGATGGGAAGGCGAAGAATTGAAGAAAGAGGGAGGTTAGAAAGACGGGGGTGAGGCGGCGAGGGAACATAGAGGATATAGAGGATGCTACCCTCGACCTGCCTCTAAATCGCAGCTGGACTGACAGTCAGGCATGGCGTGATGCAGTTATGCCTTACCACGTCGTCACGCCAGATCTGGGGCTTTCTCGTGGCGTCCACCCTCACCAGCATAGAGCAGGGTGAAATGGGGGTGCATTTTGGGGGGGGGGTATATATATCACCGGATGCTTTCCAACCACGAGAAGATACCCCAAGCAAGTTACAATCACAGCAGAAATACATGCATAAGATATACCAATCCATTCTCCTCTCTCCTATAATGTATAATACACACAACCAACGACCTTAAAGCATACCCTTCTTCCAATCTTTCTATTGTTACAATTCGTAACTCCCCCATCCCAATCCCTATCCCCAGTACCCTTTTACAACCCCCCAAACCCAGCGAAGAAAACCAGAGAGTTCAAGCCGCGCACCGTAGCACCCAGTACCATACCCATGCTGTCCCTCGCCCCGTTCTACCCATAGGATGATGACCGTCAAACACCCCGAAAAAACGCCAGAAAATGACAGAAACATCGAAAAGAGAAACGCACACACTCGATCCGTTATACAACCCCCTCCCAGCGATGAGAGGGAGAGACGCCCGACGCCTTTCCAGCCTACCGACTGACCGACCAGACACAACAGCCAGTCGGAAGTCTAAGAAGCAGCAGCAACCATAGCCGGCGCCGGCGAACTAGCCTGCACCCCCGGCGAACTCATCTCCACATCCCTCCCCGCATTGCTCTTCTCACTCTCCACCTGGCTACTATCCTTATTCTCCTTCCCACTACTCCCCTCCCCTCCATTCTCCCCCTCTCCCTTCCCATCCACGCCCGTAACCGAAACCTTCGGCGGCGCCCTCCACCTCGGAATCTCCCACGTCGTCCCCGTGAAGCTCTTTATGGCGAATCCGCCGCGGGCCCATTTGCGGCACGGGGCGCCGGAGCGGTCGAGCGCGCGCAGGCCGGCGTTTATGGCGCCTTGGTTGGCTTTGGGACCGAGTTTGTGGGCGGTGGAGAGGTGGGGGGGTTTGGAGGATGGGGAGTCGGCTGTTCCGTCGTCGCTGAGGTGGGTGTCAGTAGATGTTCTCTTTCTTTGTAGTGTAGTGTGAAGGTGGAGGAATAGGGAATTGAGATCATAGGAGGTCGATCTGTGTAATGCTGGAAGGGATGGATGGATGGTATAGGATATAACTCACAGCTTCCTCTTCTTCGGCCCCGGCTTCCCCCTCGGCTTCACAACTCCATCAACCAGCAAACTCGCCCTCTTCTTCCCCTTTCCCCCCTTCACTCCCTCAGCAGGCGGCGGCATCGCGACCGAATCGTCCGTCCCGCTCGGCACAGGCGTATTCCCATTCGACGCCTCTCCCTCCGCCAGCGGCGACGCAGTCGGAGCCTTGGAATCCGAGAGCGATGAGGTCGTAGATGATGACGCGGGTTTGTCGTCTGTGGCTTGGGACTCGCTCTTGATGGGTTCAGCGGCAGCGGGGAGGAACTTGGCGAGGGAGGCAGAGGACAGCTTTAGTCGCACGATGAGGGATTTGGAGGTGGCTTTCTTGGAGCGATTGCTCCCGCTGCCGCTGGGGGTCGAGGGGGAGGTTTTGTGCGCGCTGGCCATGGTGTGCGCGTGGGAGTGTCGCGTTTGGGGGTGAGGGTGATAAGGCAAACTGGGTTCTTTGTACGGGTGTTTGATGGGGGCCTCGTGGTGATGGCGTCGTTGAGTGACGGATGGGTTTATGGGGGATAGATTGATCGATCGAGCGACGACTCAGATTATGGTTGGTGGTGGTGACGATGAGGTCTGTCGTCGTGATGTGGTAGTTTTATCAAGAAAATGAATGATGGGTGATGGGTAATGGTGATGGTGATGATGGATTGTTTGGTCGGTGTGTTGGGTATGGGGGAGTTGGTGGTAATTATGGGATGGGATGATGCCAAAGTGGCATTGATAGCCTTTTGTTCGGGGCCATGGTGGCTCTTGGTCTACTAATACTAAGGGAAGGGAAGGGCGGATGTATGGGCTGAAGTTTCGGTATGTGGTTGCCAGCCAGCCCCGTCGACATTTTTCTTGGGGTGGTGGTGGGTTGTGAGTGAACCTCTTTCCAACACCAACCCACAACAAAATGACCTGGGGGCTAAAGTTAGAGTAACGGAGTTTAGCAGTAGTGTAGTTTGACTCCTTGGGTTTTTGGCTGCGATTTTCCTCGCTTGGATTGCCGGATGGGGGTAAGCGTGGGGATAATTGGGGATAATTGCTGGGCATTACTGTGCATTAGTATTACCGGTGGGATTACACTACGACTGTTTTTGGTGGAGTTTAGGAGGGTGAGGTGGTTGGGACTTGGGGAGTTTAGTCGTTTGTATGGGGGGGTTGTATGGCAGGGAGTAGTGGGTGGAGGTATTTGGTACATGCACTGTCTGCTCTGCCTTTCTCCGTCTACTGCTTCATCTGGTATGCGTTCATATCTCATACCTCATACACAGCAGTATAGTTACAGAGTGTAGTATACAGATACTTTACACCTCATGCACTACGATTACAGTAACAGTTACAGTAACAGCAACAGCAACAGTTGACAACTGACAGTTCGCAGTATACAGATACTCTACACACGCTCATCTATCCCATAGTACAGTCCATCGTACAGTCCACGTATCCCATCCCATCTCACACGTATAAAACATCCTCATCTCCTAATCACCCACATACAAATACCGTACTGCTTGCACAAAGTACAACCACCACCGCCACCGTACCACACCACACGCGTCAACGTTCTCGTCCGTCGCCGTCCATCGTCCCCATAATTCCCAATTAAATTACAACCAACGCGTCCTCCCTACGAAAAGAACGCCAATCACCCACCACCCACAGACCAGTCTTGTGCCTGCGTGTGCCGAGGAAGTGAATTTCATGAGGTGTCACAGGCGAAGAAAGACTCGGGCTATTCCTATTTTCCCACTTTCGACCACGGTATTGCCACATACATTCCTGCCGATAAACGGACGGAAGGGATGGGCTGGGACGGGTATTGTTTGTTCGCCCGCCCGATCCTCCCTTGCTTGGTTTCTTGCCTCGCTCACTCATCAAAGACGCCTGGGCCAAGGCAGGTAGGCAGGTAGGCAGGTAGGCAGGTAGGCTGGCAGGCAAGTCTCAGTCAGCGGGATGGTAAGCTGCGTATATACTTACTTACTCACTTCCTCTCCTCGTATGGAAGGAAGGAGAACATCACTACTATTTACGTAGTAAAGAGGCTGCCTATGCTGACTGACTCCGTGTCCACCGACTCAACGAGGCTTACTTACTCACATCTCTCATCACGACGGTGGTAGATACAGGTTATACATACAGAGCATCATAATTGCATCCCTCATCACGACGGCGGAGGATACTGGTTATACCTACAGTGCATCAATCCCCTCTTTCCCAGTCCCCAGTCCAGTAGAGAAACAGTATTGTACACAAATCATCTATCACGCTGTTTGCACACACGCGCGAACCAAAAATAACACGCTTGCGGCCCCCTGCGTCAGTGACAAAGACGGGAATTTGTGAAATATGATGATCCCCCGGCGTTGCATCACGGACGATAATCACGCACGCATGTACGTACGGGTTGAGGGATTATCGTGGTTAGCCCTATAACGGAAGTTGCTGAGACATTTGCTGCTGCTGTTTGAGGGGGAGGGGGAGGGGGAGGTGGGAGGTGGTTGTGGTTTATGATGGATTGGGAGGAGGGGGAGAGGATAGGATAGACTGCAAGCTGTGGAATCAGATCTGGGGGAGAGAGGGGAGTGCCAGTATGAGGTATAATGAGGCAAAGAAAGGGAACTGTGAATCTGTGAATATACCTGCCTACTCCCTCCAGTCCATCACCATTGCTCTTCTTCACCCATAAAGTACCCTCTTCCCCAAAGGCAAGTTGTCGCCGATAAGATAAGCATCCTATGACGATTCCCCCAAACCTCCCACCGCCGCCGCGGCTGCCTGGCCATGGCGCCTCGAAGCTGGGAGCTCAAGGATTCTAAAATAAAGTAACAGCTGCGCATTGCATAGTACATGAATAAGAACCGATCTTTGGATTCTGATTATCACTGTTTTACGAGCTTCACGCGCAGTTGATGCGTGGGCAAACCACTGGGTCGGCAGCACCAGCTTCACCACACGAATATTCATAACTCACCTTCGACTTGGTTCAAGATGTGTGGCCGTTACTCCCTCTCAATGGTAACCACCCCCCTCCTCCCCTCTCCCCTCATCAAGGAAACCCATACTAACCCCCCCCCCTTCCAGCGCCCCTACCTAGTCCGCACCCACCTCCACACCGACCTCAACATGCCCGTCTCCTCCGCCCCCCCGGATGAAGGAGACGACGCCCCTCGACAAACCCATAACTTTGCCCCAACGTATCGGGGGTTAGTTTATAGAGCCGTCGGTCATGATGGGGGTAAAGAGGGGGAGAAGGGTGGGGGAGAGAAGCAGGCGAAGAAAGCTGGGGAAGAGGGGCAAGGAGGTAGGGTAGAGGAGGGAGGAGGTGAGGAGGGGCAGAAGGAGGGGGAGAAGGAAGTTCAGTATAAATTACAGACTATGAAATGGGGTTCGTACCATCCCTCTCGTTCCTTCCCTTTTTACGCGGTCGTTCCTTCCCTCTGAAAGTCGGTCGTTCTTTCCCTCTTTACACACACGGCCGTTCCTTCCTCAGTTGAAGGAGTCGCTCCTTCCATATTTACGCGGTCGTTCCTTCCTTCTATAGTCAGTCGTTCTTTCCTCAGTTAATGGGTCGTTCCTTCCCCTTTTACATGGTCGGTCCTTCCCTTTTTACAGGGTCGTTCCTTCCTCAGACAATGGGCCGTTCCTTCCCCAGATAATGGGTCGTTCCTTCCCTTTTTACACGGTCGTTCCTTCCTCAGACAATGGGTCGTTCCTTCCTCAGTTAATGGGTAGCTCCTTCCCTCTGAAAGTCGGTCGTTCCTTCCTCAGTTAATGGGTCGTTCCTTCCTCAGTTAATGGGTCGTTCTTTCCCTTTTTACATGGTCGTTCCTTCCTTAGTTAAAGAAGTCGTTCCTTCCTCCTCGAGTTGGTCGTTCCTTCCTTCTGCAGACGGTCGTTCCTTCCATTTTTATGGGGTCGTTGTTTCCTTCTGCAGTCACTCGTTCCTTCCTTCCTCCCTCAACAGACCCAAACTTACAAGATCATTGCTAGGGCTGATCCCCTCATGGACCAAGCGCGCCCCTGATTTCTCAGCCTCTCTGAAGACGATAAATTGCAGAGCGGAGTCCTTGATGTCCACCCACGGCATGTGGACGTCTATGAAGCAGCGGAAACGCTGTGTTGTGCTTATGGAAGGGTTTTATGAGTGGCTCCATCGCGGGAGGGAGAAGATCCCACATTATATCAAGAGGAAGGATGGGAGGATGTTGTGTCTTGCCGGATTATGGGATTCTGTGAAATACGAGGGCGAGGGGGAGAGGGTGTATACGTATACTATTGTTACGAAGGCGAGTAGTAGACAGTTAAGTTTCTTGCATGACCGTATGCCGGTGATGCTTGAGCCGGGGGGAGAGGAGATGTGGAGGTGGTTGGATCCGGGGAGGGGTTGGGGGGGGGATGTGGCGGGGTGCTTGGGGGGGTGGGAGGCGGAGTTGGAGGTGTTTGAGGTGGATAGGGGGGTGGGGAAGGTTGGGAATGATTCGGCGGATTTTGTGGTGCCGGTGGGGAAGGGGAGGGGGGGGATTGAGGGGTTCTTTGGGGGGAGGAAGGGGGGGGTGGGGAAGAAAGAGGAGGTTAAAGATGAAGTAGGGAAGAAAGAGGAGGCTGAGGATGAAGTGGACAAGAAAGAGGAGGTCAAGGATGAGGATACCAAGAATGAGGAGGGGCAAGATCACAAACGCAACATACAACACAAACCATCGACCAAGAAAGAAGAACCCAACGAAGGGGACATCAAAATGGAATCCATCGAAACTGAGAACCTCTCTGAACACGCCCACCAACGAGAACCACCAAAGAAAGAAGAACCCGACGAGAAGGAGGAATACAAACCCGAAACACCAAAGAAGGAACCCCCCTCTTCGCCAGCAAAAAAGGAAGAAGAGAGCAAACAAGGTATCAAGCGCGAGCATGACGATAACCTGGACCTTGATAAAGCAGAGCCGGTCAAGAAAGAGGCTAGGACGTTGGCGAGTCCGGTGAAGACTGAGGGGAGGGGGTTGAGGAGTTCGACGAGGAATGATAGGGGTGTTGTGACGCCGAAGAAGGGGAAGAAGGCAGAGAAAGGGGAGCAGAAGATTACGGGGTTTTTTGGGAAGAAGTAGGCACGTAAGGGCTGGCGTTTGGATGGAGGGGTGGAGTTTGGGGGCGTATCTGCAAATCTGTGGATGGAGTTTGAGCCATAATTATATTGGGAAGTATATGTATATCTGTCACGGTGCAGAGTATATTCGAAGAATAAAAAACTTTTATTATTCCCTAACATGCAATGCATCGAAATCACAAAAAACCATCACACGCACAACTAGGGATCGCAGGATAGATTTTTACGTTTGAAAGTTCCTATTTTCCACCGATCGTCTGCCCTAAAGCAAACATCCCGTGAAATACAACCCGCCCCGAGGAAGAGCCAGATATCGCAAAAGAGCCCCGCAGTTCCCTAATCCCCAGCCCGACAGCAGATTTAACCATTTAGCAAACCCCTAATCTAAGCCCTCGACATGACGCCCCACGCGCGGATGAGGTTATCGGTGTAACCAGCGAACAGAGTCTGTCCGTCAGCGCTCCACGCCAGGGAGACGCACTCCGGCTCGCGGCTCTTCTTGCCGACGACGGCGAACTCGGGCTTGAGCTCGTCGACCTTGCTCTTCTTCTCGAGGTCGAAGATGATGATGCTGGAGCTGGTGGCGGCGCACAGCCAGTACCTGTTGGGGGAGAAGACCAGCGCGTGGATCTCGTCGCCGGCGTTGAGGGAGTAGAGGTGCTTGGACTCGTTGAGGTCCCACAGCATGGTGGTTCCGTCCTTGCCACCGGAGGCGCACAGGGATCCGTCAGGGGAGATGGTGACGGTGTTGATGTAGCCGGTGTGACCGATGTGGTCGGTCTGGAGGCGGCAGGAAGAGAGCTCCCAAACCTGAATTGATCAAAAGTCAGTAAACGTGATCATTGTTTTTGCATATTTTTAATTAGCAAAATGCGGCTTTGTGGACCATATCAGAAATTTGGTGAATGTTTGTCTCATGGCAAGGTCTCCCAGGCTCTGAAGTAGCAAATACTTTAATTCGTTTGTAACATCATATAGGTCCACATGCGCGCGATTCTGCCGATGGAGTAGTGTACTGACCTTGACGAGCTTGTCCCATCCGGAGGAGACGATAACCGGGTTCTGGGGGTTGGGGCTGAAGCGGACGCAGGAAACCCACTCGGAGTGGCCCTTCTCGGTGATGGTGAACTTGCAGTCACCAAGGGTGTTCCAGAGCTTGATCGAGCGATCTCTCGAGCCGGAAACGATCTGCCTGTTGTCGGCGGAGAAGGAGACGGAGAGAACATCGTTGGTGTGTCCGACGAAGCGACGGGTGGTGGTGCCGGTGGAAAGCTCCCAGAGGCGGAGGGTCTTGTCCCACGAGGCAGAGAGAGCGTAGGCACCGTCGGAGGAGATGACCTGCGCGCGTGTTAATTTTCCTTCTTCACAATCGCCATCTTGGCAAAAATGGTTGAACGTACGCAGTCGGAGATGATGTGGGAGTGGCCGTGGAGGGAGCGCTTGGGGTATCCGTAAGAGCTCTCATCGCGGGTCAGGTTCCAGATGATCAGAGTCTTATCTCTGCTACCAGACAGGAGCATGTTTGGGCTATCCAGAACGTCAGCATCGATATTCTTCGAAGAAACTTCGCTGCCAGTTTTGCGCTTACTTCTCCATTGAGGTAGCCAAGCTGGTGACCCAGCCGCTGTGGCCCTCAAGGGTGCCCTTCAGGATAAGTTGTTCCGTCATGTTGGGCGGGATTGACGTTTCTTTCGAGTTGAAGGTGGTGAAAGCGTAGAAATATCCTTCGATCTCAGATGACTTCGCTATCGTCAAAGTCAGTGTGGGAATTGTTAGGGTTGTCGTTTATTTCCGCGCTAAAATTTAAGGTTGGGTGGGCGCCGATTGAAAGTCACTCGAACCACCAAAATCAAAAACACTGGCCAGTTGCAAATCGAGTTTACTAAGGGGAGTTCTACTATTACAGCGTCATATTATAGAGAAAATATGTTTTAATTATGGTCTTCTTCTGATATATCTTGTTTAAGAGAGTATTTTTGAATTTCTTGGCAGGTGGCTCTTGTAACTGTACCTATTAATGCATGCTTCCGGTTATGGCCGATCAAGAGTGAAGAGGAAAATTCAGTAAAGACGAAGTGAATTTCAGCAAGTTAGGCTTACAGAGTATTGTCCCTGGCGTCCTATAGATATATTGTTCCATTTAATAACATCCATTGGCAAGTTGTTGTATTTCAAAGCGTTCCAAAGCGTGAAGTACTTCAACTTTGCATGCCAATTAGCCCCCCACGTCCCCTCGTCATCAATCGTAGTCTGCAAGTTCCTATGCCATAGAGTTCCGGGAAATAACAAAGTGAAACTGCCATATAGCATGGCTTGTTCAGACGCTGAAAGGCTCGTGAAGCTTTCATAACCCATACCAACGCAGGAAGCAGATGGAAGAGCCTACGGCCAACTTGCTTTCATGACGTGGATACCAGCCCAGACCAGCCCAGCAATGGATGTTAGCCCACAGAATTCACCAGTGCAGAGCTCAAAAGGCAGCATATAACAAAGATTACTGAGTTGATGTTCTATTCAGGACCGCTTGGCGTTTTGTACAGTTCGACCCTTCAAGGGCACCATCGAGTATCTTCAACCACCTTCTATTCCACCAGCCCTATCCCATCCTATATTCCAATGAATCCTCCCTTTGCTTTCCCAATCGAACATGGAATCCGCAATCTTTGACTTATTGGATCTGGTTGGCGACTCTCTTCTCCTCGAGCTTGGCGTAGTATGCATCGCGCCTGTGGACGATTGGCATGTGGTAGCCGTACCTATATAAAAGTTAACGCATAGCCCACGTAGATAGAATGAGTAGCTGATTATACACACCAGAAAGCGTATCCGGTAGCACCTCCAATACCTATTTCCAGTCACATCAGTCAAGGTTCCCTCCAAGTGCCTGCCAGACAGCGAGGGCCATCCGTCCATCAATTGCACGTCTCTGCCAATTGTACGCCAGCAACCCATAGACAAATAGCCCCTTCCATCTGACATAGCGACAGCCCATCATTACTCACCGAAGGCGATACTGAGGTCGAGGACGAGGCCCCTGCGGAGCATCTGCAAAAAGAGGTCAGCCAAGGAACGACAACTCCGCGGCACCACCGCCGGCACCGATCACAGCTGGAGCTGAGATCCAATTGAATTACTTACTCCGGTAATTGGTTTGATGGCCATTTTGAAAGGAGAGTGATGTTGTAGAGCGAACTGGGTTCGGGAGTTGTGATTGCTTATTGTGACGATTGACGTGAGGTGGAGGACGTCGGCTCAGCGGTAGGAGCTAAGGCGAGAATGTCGAGCCTGAGGATGCCGGGCCAATCAGCGTCGCGTCGCGACCAGCTCTCCAGGCCCGGACATCAGATTCACAACTACCACCCACGAGAAGGATATGGTGCGGAAGCACATGCGACAACTCAGATTCTTGGGATGGAGGAACCAGATATTCCAAAAGGGCCAATAAGCCCGAAATCAATACCTGCGTCACGGCCAGAATCCGTAGCCAGCGGCGGGATAGAAGACGCAAACTCTCCAGATGCGCCTTCTCTACCGTCAAGAAAACGGTCCAGCTCCACCCAAACAGCACGTAGGCCATCTGAAGAACCAGCTGCAAAAAGACTGCGCACTTCAGAGGCAGAGGAAGCAATCACAGTCACCGTCGAACCACAAAGCGTCTCATGGGACGACCTCATCACCGCCGTACCATACACCAAACCTCTCTTCGCGGAGGAGCCTCAATACCTGCTCGAGCGATCTGCTGCGTTGATCCTAAACCACGTCGGATTTGATGGCGCCTCGAAAGAGGCCTTGGAGAGCATATGCGCCCAGGCTAGCGCATGTATGTACCCTAGTTTGCATCGAGCAAGCACATAACTAACGTCCATTTAGATGCGGACAAGTTCCTCTCCTACGTGACTGAATCGATGCTCTCCTGCCGCCGAGCTCAACCTATACCCCTCGATTACGAATATGCCCTTCGACGGCATGGACTCACAGACAGTCTACTCAGACCCCATCTCAAACCTCCCGTTCCGCGATCCAAGACCCAACTCGTCTTCGAAGCTCAGGAGCCAGAGATACAAGATGTCCAGGTCATCCCCGAACTCCTCGGCCAAGAGCTCAGCGGCGCGGTGGATAAGCTCACGAAACCATTCATACCGAAGCAGTTCCCGGCTTTCCCCAGCAAGCACACATACAAAGCAACTGAGGTCATGCCAGACCGGGAGACCGACCCCAGAAAAATAAGAGAGAAGGCGACGGAGGCATCGAGACACGGAGAAGAGGCTCTGCGACGTCTAGTTGGCGTTGGCAAGGTTGGAGACCAGAAGGGCGTTAGGAAGTCGCTCCTCAAGAATCCTGCGAAGAAGCACAGGCATGAGCTGTGGGATCTGGCTATGCAAGATCTCAAGTTAAACACTGTGCAAGCCCCCGCCGCGAAGCCTGAGTTGGACGGAAGTGAGAGGGGTATTTTAATCGATGCTGGGAGGAAGTACGGCAGGCAGTCTACAACGAGGGCTAAAAATTAGTTGGCGTGGGATGGGGTCTGAGGTGCGATTTTGGGATGTGGGTGGCGCTCTGGGATTTGAAGCATAGCGAGGCGTTCAGAGAAAGACTAATAGGGAATGTGACTGGTTACAGAGATTTGAGGTGTCAGGAACGGATGGCAATGGTTTTCGGGATAGGTTTGTCGCCGGCGATATGGCTATATCCCGTGGTATCAGCGAATAAAAGGTCTCAGGATCTCTTGTGTATCCTCTGTAGAAGAGTCGCTGTTCTTGCTATGTGATATCCATCTTGTAATTTGAGCCTAGTAACTTAACCCAGTAGCTGAAGCCCAATAACTCCAATCAACCCATAAACGCCGAATCGCCCAAACCTCCCACCAGCGCCAAATATCCATATAAGTTCCCAGCTCTCCAGCCTCACTTCTCCGTCTTCTCACCCTCCCACGCCGTCGTTTCAACCAAAAAACTCCCCTTCCGATCCTGACACCTACAATCATCAGCGCACATCCCATTCTACCCCCAACCGCATCATCAACTCACCTCCTAAACAACCTCGCAATAGGCGTACACTGGACAATCGACTCCCTCGTCACCTCCCCCTTCTCGTAACCCTGAATAACACACGAATACTGCAGTATCTCCAACATCTCGCATTCCTCCAGCTTCAGCCCTTCAATCCCTTTCCGACGCTTTCCGTTCACGTCGCCCAGCACGCGCGTGGGCAGCTCGGCCGCGCTGAAGGTTTCGACGGGGGGTGACATTTTGTTGCTCTACAATCGCTCGTGGCGGCAGTTAGGTAGTGGGTGGTGATGGCGGCGGCGCAGGGAGCGCGATTGCTAGGTGAGATTGAAATCGGCACGCTTGATGAGGCATGTACACCCTTTCCCTTTCCTTCCTCTCTTCTCCGATTTTTGTTCTGGGCGTGGTGGTGATGATGCGAAGTTGCCGCACAAGTCCGTTATCGATAACGACACAAGGCTGACATCACAACCACAACCACAGCTCTTCCGCGACCTCAAATCCCTACAACCCCCTACCACCGCGCCCGGCCGCCTGGGTATCCCGGAGCTGGACGAGATCTGGGATCGGCGCGGGGGACAGCTGTACGTGTGTGGGCGCTACAAGGCGCTGTTGTATCATATTGTGTCCACTGCTGTGACGGCGCCGCGGTCAGGCGTCGCGCTGGTGGTGGATGTGGATGGGCGGTTTGATGTTACGAGGTTGAGCTGCTCGGAGGAGGAGTTGAGGCATGTTTATGTGGTTAGATGTGGGAAGGAGGGAGTGGAGAGGTGTCTGGAGGAGGGGAGGAGGTGGTTGGTTTATGGGGAGCATGGGAGTAAGGGGAGGGAATTGGTGGTGAGGGTTGTGAGTGGCGGGGAGGGAGGGAAAGGGGCGGATGTAGTGGGGTGTTGGAGGGGGTGGATGAAGGTTCAGAGGGGTACGGGGGTGGAGGGGTTTGGAGTGGGGATTAGTGTTGAGGAGGCGATGAGGGAGAGGGGGGAGAGACAGGAGATGGTGGACGGGAGTGGGTGGAGGGCGGAGAGCGATTATGGGGAGTTTAGATGGATGGAGGAGTAGGACTACGGTGAGAGTGCGAGATAGTTTTGATATATGTTCATTTGCTTATTGTAGCTTCCCTTCTAGTCGTTACGGTATATACTCAAACACAGATACATTGCGATATAAATTGCAAGGTTTTCCCCCTACAACTTCGAGAATGTAGGCTTCGTCTTCTTGATCCCAGAAAGAAGAGCGGCCTTGACGTCGTCGGTGTGTAAAGCGGCAGAGTTCCAGACTCCAGTGTAACGAAGAGCTATCATAGTTAGTGGGTGCCCTCGAAATGGAGGGGGTATGAGACTTACTTGCGGCAGTGGTGTTCTCTCTCGCGTGGTTCAGGAGCTCCTTGGTGCCCTGGACAGCGATGGGACTCTTCGAGGCGATCAGGGTGGCCAATGCGACGGCCTTCGCAACTGCCTTCTCCTTGTTTTCCTCAACGTGGCTAACGAATCCCACCTGGCGTGCCTCCTCGGCGGTGAAGATACGGGCCGTCAATGTCACCTCCTTGACCCAGCTGTGGTTGCCGACGATCTTTGGCAGTCTGGCGAGGGTGCCGATGTCTGCAGCAAGACCGATGTCGACCTCCTTGACAGAGAACTTCGTATCTTTCGAGGCAATACGGATATCCGCACAGCAAGACAGATCAATGGCGAGACCGAAGGCATAGCCGTGCATAGCCGCAATAACCGCTGTAACATGATCAGTAACTTCTCCCTGGACAGCCATTGAGGAAGGAAGAACCTACGCTTCTCGCACTTCTCCAAAGAGGTAATGCAGTTCTGGAACTCCTCAACATGGCGACGGATCTGCACGGATTGGCGAGCAATATCTAATTTGTTCTCGCCGCCGCCCAAGATGCCGCCCTGGCTGGCAGCCTGGACATCGAGTCCAGTGGTGAACGCTTTATCGCCGGCTCCAGAGAAAACAACGGCGCGGACGTTCGAGTCGACAGAGAGCTTGTTGAAGATCTGGTTCAGCTCCAGCCACATGGGCTCGTGGTAGGCATTGAACTTGGCCGGGCGGTTGGTTTGCACATGGGCCACATACTCGGCGGGAGATGTGACGAGGAACCACTTGAAGTTGGTATATCCTTCGATAGACATGGCGGCGGTATTATGGGGATTATGGATATTCGAAGAGAGTAAAGAATAGAATGGTAATTAGTACATAAAGATATAATGAATGTGTTCGGGTTTTTCAACCGGTACACATAAATGGCCCAAGGCTATCATGAAGCTACCCCAGAATTTGTGATCATGCCTCGGCACGTTTGGGTAGCACGTTGGCGGGGCGTTGCTGGATGAACAGCACGTGACTACGGCCGTTAATTAATATGCGTATTATAGGTGGTGCTTCATCTTCCAACGCTCATGCCGAACTGCTTACTGTACGAAACTCGTGGATGAAACTAGAAACTCTTCCCCTTGAAGAATATGAAATGAGATATGGTCATGTAACAGGGCCGGGAGAATGCAGCCGTCCAAGAACGGCGGAGAGTATCCCAATAGGGAGTTTGATATTCAAAATCAGATAATATTACGGTGATATTGACAGCGGTCGGGAGTCCGTGGACTCGGGCCGACCTCTCGGACCACGTTGTCGAGGCTGTGTGGCGGATCGACTCTCTCCGTCTGACATTGCGTATGGCATGTTTGCTTTTCTGTGTCTGTTCTCAGGGGAGGGGGTTGGTGTCAACGTTGCTTATTGATCTTCTCAGCCAACGAAATATGTTGAGAATGAATGGGAGTGGGATCTGTGTGCCATATGCATGTCTCAAGCAGCTTGACCGTGTCCATGTCACAGAAGCGCCGTACTCTGGTAGGTGAGTTGGCAGAGTAGCTGGACGCACACTACATGGCCTGTTGGTCTCACGCGTTTACGGCGCCTGCATCCGCCAACACTAATCTAATGTAATAGATGCGGTGAGTGTTTTTCATCCGTTAGAAGCCGGCATGGTACTTACTCTGTGGTGGTAAAGTGTGCTCTGACGCATGTATAATATAGCAGATCCATATCTAATTTACTGGTGAAGATATCGTACAGGCCGCTAATGTACAGCACATCACAGTACAGCACCGGCTTCTTATTTCTCGTGCATCCATGATGCTAGTTCGCCAGATAAATTAATTCAAGCTGTCGTCACCGCTCAATTGTGTTCCGTATGTAGTCTACTTTACTGCATATTGTGCTGTATATAGAGTAAAGTAGGCATATATATATGTAATGAAGAGTAAGAGTACTGCAGATTTATATACTATACTGCAATGTACATACTGTGCGGAATACTCCGTACAGCCCTGTCGTCTCCATCTCTCCTCATCTTCCTCGTCCCCTCTCCTCTTCCCCCTCAATTTCTCAATTTCTTTCCTCTCAACCAATCCGCATACCCTCTCTACTCTCTCTTTGATTAATTGTCCATATAATTATCGTGCTGCATATACTTAACATGCACCTCAATATACTCTATACCCTCTAGCTCTTCCCCCTCTGATCTCTTTTACCCTATACCCTCTCCACCTTTTCCACCCTGTCTCCTTCCTCCTCCCCGCCTTCCATACTAGGAGAGTCATATGTGAGATAGCTGCTAGAGCTACTCCCGGACGTGCCAAATCCTTACGCGCACGTTCTTACAGGCATCTGTCTCCGCACACCCCTTGTCTATCGGCCGAATTGCACAAACGCAGTAATAAATTTGTCCCATCCCTACATGGGAATTGGTTAATATCCTACCCACATGGTTTCAATACCCCGAAACTTAACAATTTTCATACATCATACATACTCTTACCTACATACAGCACGACGTCGGGTGACTTCCGACGCGGAAACGCAGGAAGATCTTTTGTCTTTTAACCGCCCTATATACATATATATATATATAATGGCGACCTGCAGAACCCCGCTGTATTTCGCAGTTTTGTCGTAACACAGATCTAGAGGATCCCCAGTGCATACCGATCTCGCCGCCCACTCGACACCCACCCGCCATTGTTGGCCAACCTCCAGACCGCATTCTCGAACCACTCCACCAACCAAAACACATTCTTCAGCTATATACAATCCGAGGGGGAGTTGATCGTGCGTGCGCATGAAGTAGCACGACGATATGTTTAAGATCAATGAGGGCGACGTGCCGTTCGTGCGCACACGGCGGGCGCTACTCGTCCTCGACCTCCAAAAGAACCTCGTTGCACCCGGAGGGATAACACCCGTCGAACTACCACCAAATCTCGCCGACCATGTAGCGAAACTGATCCCCGTTTTCCGACAATCCGGTACAGTCATTTGGGTCAAAAGCGAATTCGAGCAAGCCCGTCGTATAAATGATGGCACAAGTCGATGCGAAAATGTTATCACCGACGACGAGGTCGTGATGCGCCCTCCGAAGCCATCTCCCTCCAGACACTCATTACGAGGTTCCAAAAAATTACAAGCGATGATGGAGAAGCTTGCTACTGAAGCTTCTGCGGAATCTTCTGGGTCGGCCGATTTGGAAGGAGCAGGGCCGATTGAGGTGGATGATAAAACTACACCCGATGAGCCAGAGGAGCCGGTGGAAGAAAGCGAGGCTTTCCTGTCTTTGGAGCCTGGGAAGGAACACATGTCGCTCAAGGGCAGGGCATCCGATTCTGGTCTGGTACCTGCTTTGGAAGCTGTGGTGGACCAATCCAAGGACATGTTCTTCACGAAGTCGTACTACTCTGCGTTCAAATCGAGTCCATTGCTACAGACTCTGAGGAGCCAGTTTGTCACGGAGATTTTCATATGCGGAGCTCTGACAAATATGAGCGTGTTCGCAACGGCAATGGACGCCGCACGTTACGGATACGCAATTACTCTTGTCGACGACTGCCTGGGCTACCGAAGCAAGGCCAGACATGACCAAGCTCTACGGTCTCTAGACGAGGCGACTGGCTGCGACATGTCCACTAGCTCATACGTCATTGAAGAGATTCAGAAGAAGCCCAAGCAATCGTCTAAAGTTGAAAAGACGGCATCGAAAAGGCCGGTACGTCAAAACCCGGACAGCGAAAATATTAACCAGATGCTGGAAAAGTTGAAGCTGAAAAGTGATCCGAAAGCAGCTTCAATCGCGGAGCCCGTCCCCGGAAAGGCTGTTCAGAAGGATGTGAATACCCAAACTTCAGCTGTGCGCGATGGATCTGCACCCAATGAAGCCACGACTTCGGATGCGCCGGTGCCTGAGGCGTCGCAACCCCGACCAACAGCTGAAGCTACTATCAAGAGCCGTGTTCCGAACAAAATCAAAATTCGTCGCCGTACGTCAAACCGTGTGGCTCCCGAGTCTGGCGAGAGCAAGTCTAGAGTTGATCCAAAGCAATCGAAGGGGACAGCGTCGCCCTCACCGTCCGCTACTATGGCTCCTGTGGAAAGCTCGGTGAAGGGCAAGGAAAAGGCGAAAGATGAGTCAAATGGCGTTACGCCAGTACCAGAGAAGCCAACCCCGACGCCTCGAACCCAAGAAAATGAGCCGAGTAAGAAGGAATCGATTGTTTCTCCACCTGCTCCCACTGGTAAGGCTGCCGTGGTAGCTCCGATACCAGCAAAGGAGAACGGTCTGAAGGCAGATGAGCAACCTTCGAGCAGTGACAGCGATGAATCATCTTTAACCTCCACAGAAGGAGAGCCGATTTGCGAGGGCGACACAGTTATTATAACTGATCTGCTTCCGAGTAAAGACGAGGCAGGGATATTTGAGAGGGTCAAGACAGAGGTACAGTGGCAGAGGATGTCGCACCAAGGTGGGGAGGTTCCGAGGCTAGTCGCTGTTCAGGGTGAGATAGGAAAAGATGGAAGCATTCCTATCTATCGACACCCGGCAGATGAGTCTCCGCCACTGCTCGAATTCTCTCCCGTAGTAAACGTCATTCGGCGGGAAGTCGAGAAGAAGCTAGGTCACCCAGTCAACCACTGCCTGATCCAGCTTTACCGTAGCGGAACCGACTACATCTCAGAGCACAGTGATAAGACCCTAGATATCGTTCCTGACACCTATATCGCCAATGTAAGCCTCGGGGCTCAACGCACCATGACTTTCAGAACCAAGAGAATCCTAAAGGATGGAAAACAGCTCCAAACAGACGAGGAAAACCCGCGTTCAACATGCAAAGCTGCACTACCTCATAACTCCCTATGCCGCATGGGCCTAATGACCAACATGCGCTGGCTCCACAGCATCCGCCAAGACAAGCGCCTCGAGCGTGACAAATCCCCCGAAGAGCTCGAGTACAGCGGCGTGCGCATCTCCCTAACCTTCCGCCTCATCGGCACCTTCCTCGACAAAGACCAAGCCAAAGTTTGGGGTCAAGGCGCCGTCGCAAAACACAAGCGCCACGCGCGCCCTGTTGTCAACGGACCCACGCCTGTTGCTCAGAAGATGATCGAGGCTTTTGGGACTGAGAACCGCTCTAGCGACTTCGACTGGCCCGAGGTATACGGCCAGGGTTTCGACGCTCTCCACATCTCCAATACTCGCAAACTCCTATTGTCAGGCAACCCCACCGTCGATATTGGAATCGTAGCATACCTCGCACAACTGGGCCTAGACTGGACCTCAAGCAGCATCGCCGCACCCGTCGACCCCAGTCTCGGGACGGCAGACGCACCGGTCATGAAGTTAGTCGACACGGACCTCAGTCGCTCTACCATCGAGAGCCCCTCTGCCATCTTCCTGTACCTATACATGGTCTACGCCGCGCCCTCTCCCGCACCCACCCCACTCCAGTACTCTCGCCTCTTCACGCGCCTCCATCACGCCCTCGACCTCGGTGCGCGCCGCAAGAGCGATCCGCGCGCCCTAGACGCATGGGAGACGTACGCGGCTGAGGATGCGTTCATAGCTGGGTCAGCGCCGTCGATTGCCGATTTTGCGTTTTGGCCGGTGCTGAGGGCGATTGTGGCTGCGAGGGGCGGTGGGGATGAGTTTCCGAGGCTGAAGGCGTATTTTAGACGGATGGGGGAGTTGGAGGCTGTTAAGGAGGCGGTGGTGGCTGTGGAGGAGGGGAAGGAGGAAGTGGGGAAGAAGGAGTGAGGGCATGGTGGGAGTGGCCAAAATTTAGCAGGGGAGCGGGCATATGTTGAGATATCTTTTTTGTAGCGATTAGCGTTGAGCAATTTTTGGGGGATCTTGGGTTTGGGATTTGGGATTGGGGGTATTAATGAGGCATTGGGAGGGTCATGTCATAGATTTATATGGTGGGAGGAATTTATATCCATTCTAGGCTGTTTAATTGTTACAGGCCAAAGGCCGTGTTTCTTCTGTCTGTTCGTCCTCTTCGGAATTTCACAACGAATCTATGTCGTGTCCATGAAACTCCCTATCTCCAATCTCCAAATCGTCGTCGTAGCAGTTCTGCATTTATTTTCCATCCCATCAAATCTCCACCCAACTCCTCCGCATCATCCCTCTCACACACCCCTCTAATCCGACCCCGACTCATCCGCCGGCTGCTGCGTCTCCTTAAGTTTCTACATATCATCACCATTAGCAAAACTCCCCCGCCCATCACACTGCGCACGGCCAACTCACATCTTCAAGCATCATCTTCAGCGTCCCCAACTTAGCCTCGTTGATAACGAGCGTCTGGTCATCTAGCTCCTCGACGATGAAGTCGTTGCGCTCGCTGTCGAGTTTGACGATTATGGCTTTGATGCTGGGGTCGCATTCGACGAGGACACCTGGGTGGGTTAGTGCTGGGTTGGGGAAGAGGAGGATGGGGGTGGGGGCGAACCTCGGATTGCGCGGGGCATTTTGAAGGTGGTGAAGGAAGTAGGGATGGGTGATGATTTGTATATCTAACCCGTAGACGTGTTTAATGCATCAATCCATCCAGCGTTGTCGTCGTTGACCCTGATCTCCCCTTCAACGTCCTTCAAAGCCAAGATATCGTATCCTCGTCGTCCATCGCAGCCTTACAGCCTTGCCTAGCCCACCCGCACAGACCACCATCGCTTATCAGCCACAGCGGGGTGGGGATGAGTGGATGCGATAAGCATGGGCCAAGGAACAAGGTGTATCCGTAGCTTCCGGCGCTGTTTATGGTGGTCAGCGTGTCTCATTGGCAGGAGGTCCGGTAAGTGAGACTGACCTCATGGACTATAGGGGATTACGTCTTCGGGAGGTTCGGTGGTTAGAAGAGGGGGGAAGGGGGGGTTTGATTTGTGGGGGAAGGGGAGAGGCGATAAGGGAGGTTGGGAGGGGGAATCTTGTTTATGGGTATAAGATGTTCTCTTATTTTAATTGTGAGGATTTATATTGGTTTATTTAATAAGGCTGTCTGGGTCGGCACATGTTTTTATATACCGACGCCAACGCATACAGTTTTCATATACGAATCTACAGCATATCTTCAACACGGACATAAGGCTTGTACTGTACCTTCAACTCCCCGCAAACCCAATCCATTACACTAAGAAACAAAAACCCCCTAACATAGCGCGTCCCGTGGTGAGTAATGGACCCTGTGTAACCCCTTACGGCTCCCCACGCACCCTCCCCCTCCGTGCTACCCGACGCACCTTTCTCGTCGTCATCTATCAAACCCTCCTGTCGATTACTATAACGGATTACACTTACAGCTTGTTTGGCAGGACACAAAAACAAACACTACCACGCGCATCCATTGCGCCCAGTCGATTTATCATGTTGGAGCTGGGTATGGTGCACTGAACGCCGTTGTTCGACAAACATTTATCAAGCACAACCTCTTTTTTTGTGAGGGAGTTGGGAGAAATTAAGGATATACAATTTCGGCAGCGTGGGATTTCTCAGTTTGGAAGGGGATAAGACTCGAATCTATCCCTAAGATCAAAGGACTCGAAGATATCAACATTCCTATACTCGAAAGAGCCATCTCCTCACTCATATCGACAACACACACACACGCCACAACCACAAAATGTCCAACCCCATAGCCCCTGGCGTCTTCCCCCAGACAACCACCACCCCCGCCAAACCAACCCTCCCCCTCGCCCCAACGACCTCAACCCCCTCCTCCACCAACCCCTCAACCTACCTCTTCCTCCTCCTCCTCGTCGCCGTCCTCCTCCTCGTCACAGCCTTCTACCTCGTCTCCCGGCGTCACCGGGCCCGCGCCATCGCCGCCCGTCACGCCGGCGTCCGCGCCCTAGCTCTCGACGTCGAAGCCCTCGCTGGCGCCCAGCACCCAAGGACACTGTCCCCTTCGACCCCGTCGCCGCCGAGGGGGTGGAGATTCGCGCGTCTACTGAGGTTGCCGACGAGGAGGAGGGTCGTGGATGAGGATGCGGATTGGGAGTTGGATGTTGATGAGGTTGGGCGGGCGCCGCCGCCTTATGCGGGGGAGTGGAAGGAGGGAGGGGGGAATGCGGGGGATGATGCTGGGTTGCCTGATTATGAGGAGGTTTGTGGGGGGAGGATGGATGAGGTTGGGCCGAGGAGGAGTGGGGAGGTGGGATTGGCGGTTCCGGAGAGGATCGTTAGGAGGGGGAGTGAGGGGGATTGGAGGGGAGGGGGGAGAGAGAGGGATTTGGAGGAGGGGAGGAGGAGGGAGAGTGCTTAGGGGAGGGGGGAAGATAGGGGTTAAGGAGTCTGGGGGTTAAAGGGGAATTAGACTTGGGATGGGTTATTATGGGGTTTTGGATGGCTATTTGGATTTAGCTATTGGTAATGAATATTAATGTATACGGTAAAATAAATAATTTGGTCGGAATAATTTATTCTAAAATCATGGAATGCACTGAAGTCACATTAAGTCTTGCATTTTATGAATCAATTGATTTACTTTCTGATACGTACGCCTAATCTTCCGCATACATCAGTGTCGCCCTCAGTCAAGATCCTGAACGCAAGATTCCACATATGCAGTCCTGCACCCAGATCCAACCACGACCCCCTAATGCGCTGATAAAACCCGCCTCCATCACCCAGCTGAACGCCACAAACACAGAAAACCTGTCCCAAAGTGCACCAGACGCACCGAGCACCATCTTGACCGAACAAATCCACCATGACTAAACGCCGCGCTGTGAGAGACAGTTCATCATGATGCATTTACCATCCATCATCATCACCACCAGCAGCAACTGGGGCAGGAGCTGCGCTAACGGCAACGGGGACAACAAGAGCGACGGGAGCGCCGAATCCATCATCGTTGCCAAAGCCGCCGGATCCGGCGCCAAAGCCATCTCCGAAGGGGGCAGAGGCAGGAGCAGCGCCGCCCTTGGGAGCGTCGGAGGCGCCGAAGCCACCGCCACCGGAATCGCCGAAGCCGCCAGACTCCCCGAAACCGCCGCCGCCGAAGTCTCCACTGCCGCCGCCCTCGGCGGGCAACTCGGCAACAGGCTCCTTGCAGCGAACCTTGGTATGGCCCACTGGTGTATTGTTAGTTGTGAATTTTGGTATGAGAGGGGTGTGCTTACTCTGCTGGCAGTTGGAGCATTGGACGCGAGAATCTGGAAGTGGTTGTTAGTACGATCTATTGTTGATGTTGATAGGTAAGGGGAGCTTACAGTCACGGGGCTTGGGGCACTCCTTGGAAATGTGACCCTTCTCATCGCAGTTGCGGCAAGTTGGAACACGGGGTTCAGTGCCTGTTGGGATTAGTTGGGTACTGATTTGTTATTTCAAAGTGAACTTACACTCCTTGGAGCGATGGCCCTCTTGGCCGCAGTTGTGGCAACCTCCACCACCACCGCCGCCGGTTGGGCAGTCGCGCGAGAAATGGCCCACTATGGACATATCAATAGGAAACTATAGGACCGGATGGGGATGACATACTCTCGTTGCAGTTCTTGCACTCGACGCCCTCAGCAGAGCGAGGCTCGGTACCTGGAAATGTTCAGTTATATTCCAATCATATTTGGACCTCCGACAACTTACACTCCTTGGAACTATGGCCGGATTGCCTGTGGACTTGTCAGTTTATGCACCGCGCGAAATTTCAGGGAAGGTGGGAGACATACTTGCAGTTGCGGCAGGCGAAACGATCCTCACGGGGCTTGTGGCCTGCACAGAATGTTAGATATTTGTACAAGATAGTGGAGTTTAATCAACTTACAATCACGCATGCGATGGCCAGTCTCGTTGCAGTTGAAGCAAGTGACAGAGGCACGATCAAGAACCTCACGCTTCCCCTCAGGGCAGGACTTGGTAATGTGGCCCATCTCATTGCAGTTGTTGCACTTAGGGATGCCACGGGGAACAGGCTGCCCACCGTTCGTCAGGCGCTCAATGTTCTCCTCCTTGGTCTCGGGCCAACCGACATTCTCCTTGGGGCGCCTAGGGTTAGGATCGAGCCTAAGCGTAACGGTGAATTCCTTGTCCAGGTTGCCCTGCAAGTCCATGTTGGTGTAGGTCGGGGCAAGCTCACGCTGCAAGCCAATGAGGTACAATGGGACGTTCATGTCGCGGAATCCCTCCTCGAGCTGAGGGTAGGTGGCGTCAGGGCAAGCCTTGACATACTTGAGGAAGGCCTCCTTGACATCGTCCATGTCGCGATCCTTGACAGCCTTGCAGAGGCCCTCCCAGGCAACCTCGGCCTCGACGACCTCAATGTTGCTGCGATCGATCTTGCGTGGGTTGGTGCAAGCAGTGATGGTGTGGCCTAGAAAATTTACAGGTGAGTATTTGCTGACGGAAGAATGTTTCCTCGGGAGACTAACCCTCGTCACCACAGTTCTTGCACAACTTTGGCCCAGCAGTTGGGCAGTCAGAAGCGCGGTGGCCGACAGCTTCACAGACACGGCAGGTACCCGAGAACTCACGAGGAACCTGGGGGTTAGGGCAATCGGCCTTGTTGTGGCTAAATGTGTGTTAGTGAGGGTATAAACAATGATAATGTAGTTGGATTGTGGAATCTTACCCGACCTCGCCACAGTTATAGCACTCTCCAGTGAGCTGGCCACCACCCACACGTGGGTTTGGGCAGTCACCCTTCATGTGGCTTTGTGCAAGTTAGAAACAATTGTTATGGGAGATGCTTCATCCATACCCTTGCTCGCCGCAGTTGAAGCAGGCACCATCGTTACCACCAGCAGCGCCGGCATCACCTTGGCCTCCCCCAAAGCCACCACCAAAACCATCATCTTGACCTCCATCACCAAAGCCTCCACCAAAGCCAGGCATTGTGTTGTTCGAGTTGGGGTATCTCTAAACAGGCTCCTGAAGGACTGTGTACAGAGGTTAGCTGTATTTTAGAATGAAATAAAAACAGAGTGTGGAGGTATGAGCAACTTGAAATAGAAAGGTGCTCAAAGGGGAAGGTTTCATGATAGGATCTGACCAGGGACTTGATGAAGATAGGATCTAACCAAAGGCCTGATGAAGATATGATACGACCGGAGACTTGATGGAGTCCTGTTGGAAAGAAAGTTGCTCTGGAGTATGCACTCCAGAGGTGCAACTTGTGAAGGGACCTGATCCAAAGCAATAAAAGAATCAAGACATACCTTTAAGAAACAATCTATACTTGAGTAAGCCTGTGATGGACTCACAGAGCTTTGCTGGAAGTGGAATGAAGCAGGATTTGAAGATGATCCTTCAAGATCGGAGGTTTGTTATGAAAAGAGAACTCAAGGTCAAGAGGGACATACAAAACAATATTTGGGTTCGCCTGGAAATAATGAATATCCGATCCGATCGCTTAGTATTTTGTATGAGGCCTTTGAGGCGCCTATTTTCTGTAGTCTCCAATGTGATAGCCGCTCAGAATAATATCCACAAGGAGAGGAGGACTATGAAGATCCTGTACAGCTTGATAAAATAACATTTATTTGACAGTTAAGGAAACAGAACTGAGAATATAATAGAAAATACGGAACCTATATGCATCTATTTAAACTTACAGAACATCCTTTGTACCCTTCGCCTTTGGAAAATGTGAGGTTCTATCAGTTGTCCCGACGAAAGAAATGCACGGGCCGTACACTGCCGCGACAACAACACGACGCGTCTATTGCGGCTAAGTGAATATCAACAGTGAATTAAGCAAACTGCAAACAAACCTGAACTGAGATGATAGCACTGAAGAAGTATTTGAAATGCTGTTGATAGTGCAATCCACAGTATTGGTTGGGTTCATAAATCAAATATTAGGAGTGTGGCTGTTGTGAAGCGCCACTCGATATCCAGACAAAACTCACTGAACTCACTCACTATATTGATGTGGCGCAGCATTTGACATGCACGCGTTCTTAGGCCTCCCATCCATCCCATTTCCTCTGTTTTGCCAACATCGTAAGGCTGTGGATAATCCGGGGGCCAGTTAAATAACAACAAACCAGGGTCGCCAATGAGAACAGGCAGAAAAGCGGATTTATCACGTGACACGCTTAGTACAGGTGGCTGAGGCGCACTTCCTCAATTTGCCGAGCCTGATTTGCTGCCCTTCAGCCTCGTTTAAGTCGGCGATCCAGCGGATCAACTCGAGGCTCTGTAGCCTTCCCATTCAACAACTCTCATCGGCGCCTTGTCACCATCAGATTTATACTTGAGACTGTTCCCTTATTATTGCGTTTCATCGAGTGTTTTCGACTATCCTCGTCGATTCTACAATTGACACGATCCAAACTGCAACTCCTGTTCGATGGAGCCATTCACGAAGAAGCGGCGCCTTGCGCCGAAAGTGACTGAAAATCCAATCCAGGACCAGGTGAGTAGATAGACAGCATTGTGATGATATTCTTGGGCTAACTTGATTCATTAGGCACAGAATGAGCAGCTTTTTGAGTACCAGGCGTCGTCGTCGCTCCCAGACGCGCCTCAGCCTCCCCCTCAGCCTTCACCCGACCAGGCGGACCTCGAACGATTCGCGCGACAACTTCAAGGTGCTGCATCCGTCATAGAGACCCAAAACAACAGACTTCCATATAGTAGTGCATCGGTGTTGTTGTTACGTTGGGAAGATGACTTGAGTGTCGCCGACGACCTCTTGGCCCTCCAGAAGTTGTTTCGTGAGCGATACAATTATAGAACAGAGGCGTGGAGCATCCCCACTTGCCCCAACCCAACCTCTAAGCTATCGATTCAACTCGCACAGCATGTTGAATACGCTCGTCCCGGACACCTCCTGATCATCTACTATGTTGGCTACAGCTACGTAGGAACAGATAATCAGTTGTATTGGGCATGGTGAGATGGCATCATGACTGTCGGATACTGAACCAACTGACTCTTTTGCTAGCAATCCGAGAGAAGATTCCTCTAAGGTGAAGTGGGATAACATTAAAAGCCCCTTGGAAGATGCACCTTCCGATATTCTGCTCCTGCTCGATTGCTGTGCTGTCGTGGAGGCACCAGACAGTGGGAGCAACGGATTGAAGCAAGTAATTGCTGCATTTGCACCAGATACTGCAGAGCAAGACCCGGGACCACACTCGTTTACCTATCATCTTATCGACGCTCTTCATAAACTAAGCTCCGAGCCGCCATTTACGGCCCAGCAGCTTCATGACGAGCTAATTGTGTCATTGCGCCATTACAGATCGTTGGATCATAATGGCCTTACCAATGGCTCTGGAAAGGCAAATAGCACGTCCGAAAGGACTCCGATATTCTTCACGCTGACTCCAAACTCATCTCGGGCAATACTATTGACGCCGGTTCCCCCTACTGCCATGGGGGCGCCACATATCGCGTCGCCTTCCGGCGCAGCTGATGGAGATGTTCACCAAGCGCTCACCCACGGAGAGCAGGCCTTACAGGATGCATCAAGGCCAGGAATGGTATTTGAAGAGCAGAGAGCCCTTGTCAGCATCTTATTCCATGGCGAGCCTGATCATGAGATGGCATCTTTCAAGCACTGGTTAAACAGCACGCCTGCAACTGCGGCCAAAGTTACAGTTGAAGGAAGATTCCAAGGACCACCGACTGTTATACTCATTTCGATGCCCCTTGATGTCTACAATGCCATTGCGCAAGACAAGCAGTGCATTTTGTTGGGATACATCAAATCTCATAACTTGTTGAGAGAGCATCAGAGCCTTGTTGACCTTACCGCCATCGCCAATCATGCATCTTCCAAGCATTTGGAGGATGGCAAGATTCTTCTCGAGGCAGCGGATGCACTTGCGGCGGCATCGAGCCCTGGCGTACCAAGGAACGACTCGCTGGCCGGATCGTCGTCCAACATCACCTACCAGCACGGACATCAGTCCCCCCATAGCCTGCCTCCGCCGCCTCCATTAAGCATGTCGGCACCGCCCGAACCAGGCCTTATACCTGAACACAAAGATCATGTTGAGGATTCAGATGAGATGCACGAGGCTGCCATACAACTCAAGGCGCTTAGCCACGTTCGGCCAGTCAGCCACGACAGCAAACGCCAGGACAGAGGCGCGTCAAATATCCCAGCCGGCGAGTCTCCCAGTTTCCAAAGCCCGAGACAACATTCCATCTCTTCCCACGACGGTGGTGAGTCCGGCATGGAAGACAACATCTACTCATCTGAGTACAACTCTCCCGCCTCCCGCCCCAAGGCCCGCCGCTCAAGCCAAAAGGCCGGCCCAAAACAAGATACCCGCTGTAACATGTGCAGCCACGCGCCATTCAAAGACTCTTCTTCCTTACGGAAGCACATCGCCGCCGCCCACACGCGCCCTTTCCCCTGCGCCTTCTCCTTCGCAGGCTGCACGAGCACTTTCGGCTCCAAGAACGAATGGAAGCGCCACATCGCCTCGCAACATCTGTGTCTGACCTTCTACCGCTGCTCTAGCTGCCCCCAAAGCACCGTCGAGGGCAAAGGAAACGAGTTCAACCGCAAGGATCTCTTCACCCAGCACTTGCGGCGCATGCATGCCCCGTTCGCGATCAAGAAGGCCCTGGCCAAGGGCGATAGCAAGCTCCAGGTCGAGTGGGAGACGCACGTCAAAGACATGCAGGCATCGTGCCTGGTGATCCGCCGCTCGCCGCCACAGCGGAGCGCGTGCCCCAAGGCTGACTGCAGTAATGTGTTTGAGGGTACTGGCAGCTGGGATGACTGGACGGAGCACGTTGGAAGGCATATGGAGAAGGGCGAGGCGGGGCGGTTGGGAGTTGATAAGTTGTTGGCGAGGTGGGCGCTTGATGAGGGTATTATTGAGAGGAGAGAGGATGGGGAGTATAGGCTTTGTGGGGCCGAAAGGGAAGGTGGTAATGGAGGGGGGTATTACTCTGATTCTGCGGCTGCAAAGAGGGACGAGGGCGATAAAATGGAGGAGGCTATCATGATGGCCGATGAGGCGCTGAGGTGATTCACGTCACGGAGGATGGGTTTCATATGTTGAGTACGCATGTCTTTCGAGCCGTTCTATTTCCTAGATCCGCACCGTCTGCCGTTCTGAGCAACGTGAAGGAGTTGGGGAGTCGATTTTGCCATATATCTTTTATCTCATGGGCCTTACCGCTTGGTGGAGCCTTCAGGACTGGGTAATTTTGTTGTGTGTCCGATTCTTGTTTATGCTTAGGATACTCTAGTTTTCGTGTACTTTACAAATCTCTCTTTGCGCGAGCTAGCTGTAGTGCATTTAGTACGTTTCTATGGGCCCCTGGTTTGAATTGAGTGGTGATTGTGAAGCTACTGTGCTGCCCAAAAGTTCGGAGAGAGATTGTGCATTATGGCAGGCTCGTGAACTACTCAGCCCCTATTTGGAGTCCAAACTAACATAATACTAGTTCAAAACCGATTCTAAACCTCCTTGGTAAGCTTTTCGCAGAAGACATGCAAGCCGCCGCAAGGCTAGCAAGCCAACAGCTTCGCTTGCGTTTTGCGCAAATCTGTCGGAGAGGGGATAAATTTGCGCAAAAACAGCTTGCCGCCTCTCACCGCGATAGCCGCCGCAGCCTGCTGCCGCTGCCCCCTATCACCTGCCGCTGCCCACTTCCACCTGCTACTTCCCGCCTACCCCCTACCGCTCATACGTCCAATTGCCTCGAAGCCGGTTGGCAAGCTGATGGCGCACGAGCAACCGTTAGCCTGCCTGTCTAATCAGCCCTCTATAAAACCAGCAAGCAGTAAGTCCTACTGCATACTGCTGCCCGCCGTAGGGCCTGTGAGCGGCCGCGCTCCAGTTTGGCGCAAATTCGTCCTAAGGCGGTCAAATTTGCCCACAACCAGCATGCCGCCCCTCACCGAGGTCTACTGCTGCTACCAGCTGCTGGCTACCCGAAGTGTGGTAAGCTGCTACTAGCCGGCAGTACCTGCTATAAGTGTAGCAAGCAACAGGCGACAGCAGCAACAGTGTTAGTGAGGGTGAGGGTCGGTGAGGATGAGGGCGGCAACTGATTTGTGCGCAAATCCATCTTAAAGATTTTGGATTTGCGCACAAATGGCTTGCCGCCCCTCACCGACCCCTCACCGACAGCGCCGCTGCCGCCTGCTGCTTGCTGCCTGTCGCTTGCCGCTTGCTATGAGTCTAGTAGACTACTAAGGCGGCTACAAGTGTAGCAAACAGCTAAAAGGCCACCAAAGCTACGGCACGTACGTGTAGCAAACTGCCGCAAGCCCCATAAGGGCTGCTGCTAGAAGCCCTGCGAAGCTGCCATAAGCCTAGCAAAGCCGCCGAGCCTTTGGTTATGCGCAAATTCCGCCTACAAGCGTCGAATGTGCGCAAAAGGGGTTTGCCGCCCCTCACCGGCCGCTACCGCCACCTTCCGCCTACCGCCTCTTGCCGCCCCCTACTAAGGGCAAACTACTAACAAAGCTGACTACCATTGTCCATCCGCAAGACAAACTGTCTGCCTACAATCCTAGGCCCTAGTTACTGCTATGAGTAGGTGTGATGGGATATGTAAGGCGCAGCTAGTGCTGCGCTTATGTTTGTACGCAAACCTGCCCGTTAGTCGAGCACCGGCCTCACTTTTGGCCGGTTTCGCGCAGATCTGTCTAGTGAGGAGCAGATTTGCGCGAAAGCGGGGGAAAGTGATGCCGGTGGTCTACGGGGAGCAGTAGCGGCAAGAGGCAAGAGGCGAGGGGCGGCAAAGGTCAGTAGCCGCTATGGTAAGCACTGCAATTGCGCAAATCCAGCTCCATAGCGCTGGATTTGCGCAAAAACGGTAATCCCCGTTAGCCTCCAGGAGTTAACGAAGGTCGACGGTAGCGACGGTGAATCATGATGATCGACAGCAGTTCATGAGAACAAGCAAAGCTTGTGAAAGAATGTAGGGGCTTCTAAAAGCCTATGAGAGCCTATGAAAGCAAGAAGATAACTAAGAGAGGGACGGTTACGAGGCGGAAAGGGGCGGCAGCTGCTGGATTGGCGCACTTTTAGCAGAATGGGGATCATCTTGCGCCAGAAGTTTTCGACTCAGTCTAGACTCGTACAGGGTGGACGGACACCTTATGGTGGATAGATATCACAGACATATTAAAGTCAATAAAAGCGGATAATGTTTCGCATTGTTATATCCTAACCGTATGCTGCGCTCTATATACCCATCCCAAGTTTCTTCCTGAGAGATCTGCTATGTAAGTAAGTAATTTTATGTCCAAGTCCCCCCCTCCCCCTATCTCCTCCCTCTATAAACAAAAGTATGCACTATATCTCCTGTGCAAAATCACAGTCCCCCCCTCTGCCTCTGCTTCCCCAGCAACTTCTCCACATTAGCCACCCCCTCCCCCCCATCCCTCTCAATCCCAATAACCGCCCCAATCAAATCATGATTAATCTCCTCCCCCACCACACTATCCCCCTTATACCCCTCATGCCCCTTCACAAACTCCCTAATCCACTTCGCCGCCGTCCACAGCGTCCCATCCGCGCGTCGCCTAATCAGATCCAAATACCGCTGTAGTTCACAGCGCGTCTCAACATCAACATTCACGCTGCCGAGGTATGACTCCACCAGGGGGATCAACCCGGGGAACTCAGCACTCCCATTCACAATCTCATCGACGCTCATCTGCGCGTACTCATCCTCCACCGGTCCCGTCGGCGTAGGCGGTCTCGACATAACAGGTGTAGATGCCCCGCTCCCCGCAGCGTTATAAGGCCTCGGCAGCCGCGTCGGGAGCGGGTTTTTCCTAAACCAGAATTTCTCCTCCAGCACCGCATCCCGCTTATGCGCTGTCTCCATGTTCTCACTAACCTTCTGAATCGGGATGTAGAAGTTAAGATCGTAACTTAGAATCGCGCGGGTGACAAGCACAATAAACACCGCGAACGCCGCGTTCTCAAAATCCGTGATCTGGATCTCCATTGGCCTGAACTCGACACGCCATCCGATATCGACGCCTGCAGGGGGAGGCTTGAAGCGCATGTGTTGCCAGTTGGTGCTCTGCAGGTTCTCAAAGTGGTCGGTCTTGGTGAGGTCGAGAGTCGTCAAGTCCTCGGCGAAGATGACGATGGGGTCGCGGATGAAGAGGTGCGCGAAGTGCGTGGCGAGGCGGGAGTCCATGCCGCCGTCCATGAGTTGTTGTTTGATATCTGGGTCGATCACGAGGTCGGGGTCGAGGTATTCTTTGCGCAGCCGGGAGTCGTTGGAGATGTAGGTTGAGTTGGAGGCGTAGCGGGATTTGGGGATGCGCCAGCGGTCGTGCTCGAGGGGCTAGGGGGGGTTAGTTGGGCTACTGGGTTTGGGAGAGATGGGGGGTTCTGACCTTCTCGCCGAGTTCTTCGGCTGTTCTGTCGTCTACGGCTCTGCTGATCTGGTTCCAGCGCACGTCGGTATCGGCGAGGAACCCCTTGTACACCGGCGTAGCAGCCGTCAAGGCGAGCAAAATTGGGGCCAGAGGGCTCAATTGATCGTACATCCTCCGTCCCTCAGTAATATTCTTAGCCTGGAATGTGATCTGCAGACAACAGCTGCCCATCCCAAAAGCCATCGCATCCATATGGATAAAATTATCCGGCGCCGCGCCATTACGCACATCGTCGTCCTCCGGCCAATTGTGCAGGTCATAGTTGACAGTCGGATCCTTCCATGGCCAGGGCGTGTTCACATCTTTGTAAATTGGCACGTTAACCTGGACCTTACGGCCACGTCGGGAGCGGATGTTGGCAGCGAGGGTGGGGAAGCGGATATGCGGGTTCGCGATCTCGTCGGGCACGAATTGGGAGCGGAGTTTCTCGCCGGAGGGGGGGAAGTAGGGGTCGGTGAAGACGCCGGGGGATCCTAGGCGTGGGTAGGTCGTTAGGGTCATGGGGTATTCCTCGGGCTTCATGTGCTCTTTGGCAAGCTTCCGCCTATTTGTGTCAGTATGGGCCCTAGGCATTGGAAGTGAGTGAAAACGTACCGCCACTTCATGTTCTGCTCCACGTCGAGGAGATCCTTGAACCCAATTCCCCATGGCTTTCCTGGTGTCGCCTCGAGCATGAACCGGCCGAATTCGGGGTGGAAAACTGGGAGAGTATCACCGCTGCCACTTGTCAGAACCGTTCCAGCACCAAAGAATGTGAGCTTTACTTCGCGGAAGCCACATCCTGCAGATCAGGCACACACCCGCCCTTCTCCTTCAGCTCATCGTCATGGGCGAGCGAGTGCAGGATATCCGCCTGTCGCAACGACAACGTGACCTTCGGGTCGTTCTCATCGTAGTTGACGACGATATATTCGACCTTTCCCATCGTCAGCCTTACTCCCTCAATCCCAGATGTGTATAAATGCCCACCTCGTCTCCCCACAACAGAGCATCCCGCTCTTTGCCCTTCGCCTTATTCCATATCGCTAGTAATTGCTGCACACCTCGTCAGCCGCTGCCAGTCGCTCATACGCGAATCGGACAGATGCATACCTTAATCCCCCAATCGCGAACCTGATCCGCATTCTTCTTTGCCTCGGGCCACTCCAGCGGGGTCCCCAGGGCACTGTAAATCGACACCACAGTCAGCCATCTTGCCCCCTCGCTCGCAACTACACCCCGCACAACCCCCCACAAAGCGCAAGAAAACTCACAGAAGGCCCATCGCAGCGCAGTCGTCCTAACCCCTCTTCTATTCTTGTTCGCGAACGCAACTCAAACTCAGTCTGTTTCTCTGGCGGCGGGGGGAATAAAATATGTCAATGGAGGGGAGGAGGTCTCTTTCCGAAGCGCGGCGCCGCCTTGGTGGGGTGGGCCTTGGCAGGATATATTTCTAGCGGGCGCGGCTCCCGAGGCAGCCAGTGTGATGACGGGGTGAGAACGGGCTGATTACAAAGCCGGGTTATGATTTTGGCGAAGGGGGGGTTGATGCCCGAGGCAGGCCGGTGAGGGATGTGGATGAAGGGCGTGTGTGGTGGAGGGGTAAATGTAAGATTATATTTCTTTGAGGTGCTGATAGTGGGTGATGGTGGGGGTGGTGGTGGTGGTTGGTGGTAGTTGGTGATTGCCGGCGTTTATCATATGCTGGCGTTGACGACTGGCGCACACTTCCGATGGGAATAAGAAGGCGACAAGGAATCAACCGCGGGGGGAGTTCGTTTGAATTAGGAAACTCCTCCCTCAAAAAAAAAGGCCATTTATTAGAATTGGTAATCCATAGGCAAAACCAAGAAATCTAGCTAGGACCCCTTCTTTTTTCCCCGCAAAAAGAAAACACACTCCCCTCCCCGCCTGCTACATTGAGGGTTTTGCTGTCTGTTACAGTAAAGTGCGGTATTTAGAGGATTTTCAAATATTACAAGCTTACCAATCCCACCACCACCCACTAATCATTAACAATTACAATACCCTTTCCTCTCTATTTTTTTCTTTCAGCGTCCAAGCGGCTACCGCACCGCACCAACGGTCAACGCACAACCTGCAGTAGCGGATAACGTCATCCATACATTCCATTCATGTGCAAAAAAAAAAGGCCCAGCCAGCCAGAACAAATCAGCTGTCGTTTCGTTCGTCGGCCTAACCAACAGCCCTTTCGTAAGTCGGAAATCGGATAAATGGATCTACCGAATCTACCGAATCTACCGTCGCTCCAGCCGCTGTACGTAAAGTTGAGATCGATGGAGCTAATCCCCTTCAGGCGCTTTCAACACCGTGATAAGTGTGTGGGGGGGATGGGGGGGGAGGATGGGGATGGATGGATGTGGTGATGGTGATGGTGATGGGAATGGAACAGTTTGTCTTGAGATATATATCTCACTATCTCACTCACACCCTCACTCACTCACGATCCTATGTACTGAAACCGCCAGGAAGCAACTGCGGCTCAGTTATCACATATCATCACAACTCACACACGTGCCAATGACTCGCATGTCTCTCCCTCACCTCACCTCACCTCGTCCATCGCCGCGATCCCCGCGATCCCCGCAATCTCATCTTTCCCATCTCATCCATCCCATCCATGCCATCTCCCCCCTCCCATCCCATCCCATCCCATACCCATCCCCATCCCACAACCCACCTCCCTACCTCCCCGCCTCCCCTCCCCTCCCTCACCGCCTCCTCCCCAAGCCTCAAAAACACAACCCTCACCCTACCCCCACACATCTCACAAGAAAAATCTAAGACACGCTTACTCAATCTCACACACCTCTCCCCCTCACATCCGATCTGAATCCCCATCCCCCCCCTCACATCCGATCTCATCGCCCATCCTCACACCCCCTCGCATGCGATCTCATTCCCGCCTTCCCTCCCCTCCCCTCCCCCCGCCCCCTTACCTCCCACCGCCCCATAACCACACCCCGATCACCCATCCCTATCCCATGCTTGCCCGACACGCCCTCTCCTCCCCCCCTCGCGTCCATTCGCGATTCCCGAAATCGTAAGCCCGCCCCTCCCTCCCCCGGCAACGAAAACGAGGAGAGCCACAGGAAAACGCCACACGGCTCCCCGCCTACGCCCGTCTTGCCCTTCCCAGCCATCCCGGCGCAATGCCCCCCCGTACTCCGACGATGAGGTTACTGGCTCGTACCACTGACTGAGGAGGGATGGCGGGTTTCACTGCGTTTTTCTTAGGGAGCCGGGGGGGGGGGGGCTAGATTTGGGATGGGTAAGCGAGTTGTGAGATGCGTGGGTAGGCGATGGTGGATGGGTGACGGGGGCTGAAGGGGGAGGGGGGGGAGGGGGGGGGGGGGGGGGAAGCGATGTCCCACGAAAATTGTCCGTTGCACGCGCGCTATGTGTGTGTGTCGAGCAGGTTATCGGAGGGATTCAGATCGGGGATCACGAAACCATCAGGGGGGGGGGGGGTTGTCTGTTTGTAGTCCCCATACATCTCCATCTCCGTACCATGAGGATGGGGGGGTTTGTCAGCGCCGTGTGGGAGTGTTGTGGGAGTGGAGAGGGAGGATGGATGGGGTAGTACGAAGGTGAGGCGATAAGGTGGTGAGGCTGTGGTTGTTGTGGTTGTACGGGGGGGATAAGATTGTGGTGAGGGTTGGTAAGCAGATGGTGGGTGTTACACAGGGGGGGGGGTTGACGGGGGGAAGGGGAAGGGGAGGGCAAACGAGCATACTTCGTGGTGGAAAGGGGAAAGGGGGATGGGAGTATGTTAGGAGGGCAGAGGCGGCAAGATGGGAAAAGGGCGGCAGTGGTAAGAAGGCGAGGTAAGAAGAGTATGAAGTGAAGATGAACAGTATGATATAATAGGTATGGTATAACCCCCCCCCTAACGCAGCCTGGTATAATATGATAATATGCCATGGTATCCCCTTCCCCCTTTCAACCCCCCCCCCAAAAACGACATACATTAAAGAACACCCTTGCCCAAAGTAAAAAATCCCGCTCAAAAATAACTCCCATATCTCCCATCCCATCCCATCCCATTCCCATCTATGCCCCTTTCCACCTCCGTCCCTCCCTTCTAATAATCACCCCTATACTAGCTTATTCCCACAGCCTAGAAGCCTATATGTATGCGGCCCTCCCTCCTTCTCCTCGGATATATGACATAACAGTCGCGCCGCAACGATACGATATGTGGTGGACAGCGTTATACAGATGCGTACAAACAAATGCTGGTAAAAAAATAAAATGTGTGAATCCCGAATCCCGGAAGCCGAAAATGGGGTATCGAGGTATTGGTGTCTGTGATGTGGTGTAGTGTGGTAGTGGTGTCTATTCCAGCCAGTCGCTGTGGCTGGTGATCGTAATAATAGTAGTTGTTGCCGTCAAGGCAGGCATCCATCGCTGTGAATGATGCAGTCGTGTGTGAGTGGCTGTAGATATGCTCCAAGGCACCTCTACGCCTGAGCCGGACCCAGCCCAATTTAAATCGCTCAAGGCTGTCCAGGCCAATTCTAATCCCTATCGCTCCTTCTGTAAGGCTGAGGAGCTCCGTCTATCGAATCCGTATATTGATTACCCTCCTCCCTATCCGCATTCCCAGCGCCTGGCGGTGTGTGTGTGAAGTGAAAGCGCCTATGACAGCGGCGACGTGCCATCCAGCGACTTAGGGCGCAGTGATGTTCCTACCATCCCCTGTGTCTGCTTCGTCCCGTTCCTCCGCGTCAGCTTGGCGTAGTGAAGTCCACACGCATTGCAGAGCGTACGCGCGCCATCTGGACCGCGTCTCCACTCAGGAGTCTCGGCGCGATTACAGCTATGGCATCGTCCTGGTGGTGCAGCGCGCTAGTAAAGTGTCAGTTCATCATCTCAACACTACTAAAACAGAGAATAGGGTCAAAAACTTACACCTCTCCTAATCTTCTTCGGATCCGGGCCCCCCGAAAAGCCCTGCTCCTTATCAACGCCCCACTGCTCCTCCTCGCCTCCATACTCCGGCCCTGGACCCCCATTCTGGTTACGCTGGCGATGATCGTCGAGAATGCGCTGCTGCTGCGCCATGTATTGCTTGACGTTGTGGAAGGCCTCGTCGAGCTTGCGCTGGCATCCGAGCATGGGGTCGTGAAAGCGCATGACGGGGATACCTTGGGCGTCGGGGTCGCGCTGGCTGCGGCGCATGGTGTCGAGGATGTCTTCGGAGATTTTGGAGATCTCGGTGCCACATTGTTGGAGCTAGGGGGTTGTTAGGATATGTGGCCATATAAGTGGTTTAAGAGTGTTCTGAACTTACCTCGCTCAGGGCCATCTCGAAATCGTGGTTGCGCAGGTTGTGTTGGAGGGTCTTCTGGAACATCATCGATGGCTCGGGCTCCCCGTTCTCCAAATCACGCTTTATGCCCCTGGGCTCGTCGCGGCTGGGCGGGCCTTGACCATTGTAATATGGGAGAGAGCGAGGTCGCGCAGAGTACTCTGGTGTGTATCCGGTCGAATCGGTAGGGTAGCCGTAATAGGGATCGTTGTGTCGTCGCGGTACGTGGTTCTCTGGGCGCTCCCCTGGGCGCGGGGCCTGCTCGTATCGGGCTTGCTCAGGCTGGCGCGCCGGGAAGGGGTTCGTTTGTGAGGGTAGCGCGGTGCGGAGTGACGGGAGTGAAGGGAGAGATTGGTGTCTTTGGGCATCGGAGTTTGGGGCGCTGAAGTGGTTGTAGCCGGGGAATGAGGAGGGCGGCTGTAGAGGTGGTGGTGAGGGCCTTTGTGGATATTGGGAGTGGTTCGGCTGCTGCGTCGAGTAGGGTGGTCCCTCGCTGCTATATGACCGGGACGTAGGTGTTGGAGATGGGTGGGCGAAGGGATTCGGGTTCGCGAACTGTTGTGATGGTGCTGAGGCTGCGGCTGGAGGTTGCGAGGGGGCTTGTGTGCTTGATCTGAAGATCGCCTCTGATATCGATGGCAGCGATTGCCGTTGTTGTGGAGCGTATTCGGCTGGGTCGTCTGATGTCCTCCTCGACTCTGCTGCGTTCGAAATTGGGGGTGATATTAAACCAGAGACGGAGTATGGGCTCGGTTGCGCGGACTGAGGTTGCGAGTATGGGGAGGGCGGAGGGCGGTTTCCTAGAGAATACGGTCCGTAGGCCTTTGCGGGACTCATGGTTGCAACAGTTGCCATTGTTTTGTAGGTGGGAATATATGATATAATAATAATATATGGTTGAAGTGAAGATTAAGTCGGATCCGTCTTGTTTATAGATACGCTGCCATGGAGAGTCAGCAAATTGGGGGAGCCTTACGAGGAGGCGGCGGGCGTACCTGTGAACTTGCTTCTTACACTTCCATATCAACGTGGTTTGGCGCTCGAGTAGGTGGTAGTGGAGGGAGATTCTCTGAAGGCGACTGGCGCTTCACTTCAGCTGAGAACGTGGATACGGCGCAACCACAAATCCCAGATGATCCAAGTGGGTGGGTGTTGGGTTGTGAGGGGCGCAAGGCTGCCTTGATAACGACGAGGTCGATAATCGGAACTCGTGGGGGGCTATTTCGGCCGCGGATCCCTTAATAGAAGAAATCTCCGTTCCAACGAGGCACCTTGGCCTGCAATGATGATTGGGGAGGTTTCTAGGAAGTATGTCCGAGTTTGGGGAGGTGGGTTGGTTTCGTGGAAAGCGCTCGTTCAGGATATATTCTGCACTTCGATGAGATCTGATCTGAAGCCGATCGCCAGATTCGCTCGCTAGCCTTGTCCCAAGTGACTGATGGGATGGGGAAGAAGACGATAGGTAATCGGCGGAGTGCAGATGGTATAGCAAGGAAGCTATAGAGTGCGTTATGTAGTTGACCTGCGGGTTGGTCTCTGGGAAAGAGGTCTGTATGGTCTGGGGGGAGGCTGTGGTATGTATGGGTATGTAGGAGTGAAGTGGGTGGGAGTGAGTAGTGTATGTAGGTGACGGAGATGGAATACTGAGTAATTATATGAGGGGATCAGGAAGGATGATCGATCGATCGATTGATTATTTGATTGGAGACGTTCTGTCGGTCTTGAATAGAGTAACACTTGAACGAATAGGGTATTTCGAGGGGTCCCAGGGTCTTTTTTGAGAGACGGGCAAGAAGAATTGGGGGGGGGGGGGGGGGGGGGGGGGGGGGGGGGAGGGGGGGATGGGGAGGGGGATGGGGGGGGGGGGGGGGGGGGGAAATAAATTGACAGCGGAAGAGTACTTTTAAGATACTTTGTAATAGTAGTGTAGTTGGTAAGAGACAGCGGGGAAATGAGAGGCAGATGAGAAAGTAAAGATAGTTAGTGGGAGTCGAATTGAAGTCACTTATGTATAATATGAAAGTATACACAGTGTAGGTAGTATAGTGGAGCTAGGAAAGATAGTAGAGTACTGTGAGTAGTGTAGTAGAGTTAGCATAGTTATAGTTAGTAGAGTACTTGGTAATTGTCCATCTAATGCAGTCTACGCTACTTAGTATAACTTCAAAAAGCGGATACGTTTAGTAGCATAGTGGCTGTTATACTACGGTATGTAGTACCTGTTATAGTCCCTATTAAGTCCGTGTTATAGGTATAGATTTTCCTGGGAATTCCGGGGTGGAAGACAGAAGGATATAATAGTAGTACCTCCTATATACCTATATCCTACAATATGTTTGATTATGCACCTCCTATACAATAAAACCTAGTAGCTGTAACTTTAGGTGTAGAGGGAGAGAGTTAAGTTGGTTTACTGCTAGCGTAGAGTAGAATAGCGTACTAACCTTCACTACCCTACCCTAGACTACAGCATGTACGGAGGTCAAGCCCGTTAGTAAACCAGTCGGTAAGTACTCCATACATTGCCAGGGCTGGGGATAAAGACAAAAACTACACAATCTTAGGGGGTGTGGCTGGGGTATCTGGTAGTATTCTGGTGGTGTCTGTTAGTGTCTAGTAGTCTCTTAGGTGTGTCTTACTGTCTAGCTTGTCTCCATCTCTGGGTCTATAGATGTCTTAGGTACTTCGCTTACCATCGTGTGGGATTTGCCCTCAGTGTTTCTGGTGGTCTCTGGCTGTCTCTGGTGCGGCCCCATCCTTCCCCATCACCCCCCATCCACCCTCCCAAATTCCCTACCAATGGCCCCCCTCCAACACTGCCCATCACCCCCCCCCCTCGCTGCCCATCACCTATTTCCATCACTCCCCACCCAACCTTCCCCTTCCCCCTACACCCCCCCCCCTACCATCACATCACAGACCTCACTATACTATGCACAATACTTGCTTGCTTCTCCCCCATCTCAGCTTCCCTTTTCCTCCCCGCCATACAAAACAAAAGTAACTCAGCTGTGGCACAATACCATCCCTATCATCCCCTGTTCCCTTCTTGTGAGATGCTCCTTCCCTCTCCTCCCCATCCCGAGCTGACGAACCAGTGTCACCCTGCCATACATACGAATGCCTACGCGACAGGATCATCATCCCGCGCTAGAGAGGCTGGAATATGCTTCTGTCTGCCTATCAAACAGAATCTCCGCCGCTGCTTCCGATCTTGGCACTTCTCACCATGATGATTCTCACTAAATTCAAACTAAAAGGTTACTCCACTGACTCCACTCTATGCACTATATGCAATGTATGTACTCTATGTTCGAACTGTGTATCCTCACTAACTACATCCCATCTAGGCCACTATGCTCATGGCTCTTCAGAAGAAAAAATAGGTGCATCCGACCGGAGTAAGTCTTACAGTAGCTCCATCTTCTCTCATCTCGCGACCTCTCCTTTGGTACGGGTGGCGTCCATTGTTCGCGATCCCCCCAATCTCTTTTGTGGCTACTTAGCTTGGGCTACCCAACCGAGTGTGACGGACGCATGATGGGATCCCTCTAGCCGCTGCCTCCCGAGAGTTCTGATCGCTGGGAGAGTTGCTCGTGGTCGCCAAGCGATGGCCGTCCCTGATGGTGGGGTGCTAGGGGTTGGGGGTTGGGAAAAGAACGGAACAAGGGCGTGTCATGGCCCATGGGGCATGTGGCATGGGCATCATCCTCTCCCCCCCCCAACGCCACCACCAACAGTGCCATGCATTCAGACGATTTGTGAGGATGAGGTGAGATAGGTTGGAGTGACAAGAGACAGACATACAGACGGAAGCGCCCCTTCCTGCAAGGTTCATCCGCATGGGCCATCAAACATTGTCGTGACCTCGGAAGACAACCTGGGGAGTGGTGATCGGGGCTGTCAAATCTTCTCGGAGCTTGTGGCATGTACTCCGTGGAACAAGCGTACGCGTGCTCCTCTACCACAGATCGGAGGGAAGGATTTTAGTGCTCTCCCGACAGATTGACAAGGGTCGGCCATCCAGATGGTGAACCCTTGTTGTCATCGAATCCTTGCAGCTGGGAAACCACCGGACCCAAACGCATCGGTCACTCTTAAAATGCCAAATGAGGGAACCGCGTGTGTGAATCAATCATCGTATACACTGCATGCCAATTCGTTGTTGCCCATGGGCAAAAGAGGGCCAAAGAGACATCGCAGAACTGACAAACGACAGAGCGGCGCCGTGTTACCCATTCATACCAGAGGTACGTACAGACCGCGGCTTCCTCTTTTGGGACAGAAGCAAACAAATCGCCGTTGTACAGACAGCCTCACATGGCAGCGGCGGTTAAACTCGAGTCAGATTGATCCCATTTAGAGTTGGCGGTCTGTAAGATTCAGCAGTCGTGCTGGGAATCGGCTGCGGAAGGATTCCATCGATCTCATGGCGCGCATGAAATCCATGACCTCTTCAAGATTCCATCTCACCATCCTATCAATGCGAGTCGAAAGCGATCCGCCTGACTGCCTCGCTGCCATTGTCTTGGCAAAAACGTGTCAGGATGTGTTCCTATGAACGAATATCTTGCCGTTCTCAGCCTAACGAGTCATACAGGCACATTATTATGCACGCCGCATGTACAAATTCAATAGAAACACGGTTCAGAGCCAGCTCTTCGTTGGCAACGGGATGTGGTAAGGATACGAGAGCAAGATGGTGGGCTGCCTCCGTGTATCGGTCATCACCATTCGCTCCGAAGGACCGTTTTTAGGTGATCACACACCAACTCCCCCCCCTAGTGCGTGCGAGCAGGGATACTGGCTGAAAGCTCGAGCCGAGCGTTTCTTGGCCTGCAGAAGCTGCAATAGTCTAGAATGCATACAAAGGTACATTTTGTGCTGTACTGGAGGTGATTGTGGCCCTAGTCGATGAGATGCCCACCGCCGTTGGCCGATCGGCAAGGAAGGGCGGAGTTCCAAGGTCGAGGAGTCGACAACCGCGAGGGGTGACCGCGTGTCTGACCTGACAGGTCTCTTTACCAACAATTCTGACAGTCAAGCTTAGCCAGCTGCTTTAGAGTATCAATGACAATGCGAGAGGCGCCTGCAAATACCCTATCCTTTGTGACAAAAGCCGGCATTCCTCAATTTGGATCCCGAGGGCTCGGAGCCACCTGCCATGCGACGGCCACGCGCAGAGTATACGGTACGATCAGAGCTCGCGACCATCTGTCCCCAACATTGGAATAAGTATACCAGACTTCTTTATCTCCGCCAATAGCATTTTATCCCTATATAGATCATGCCGCCTTCGTACGCCACAAATAGTGGACCAAAGGGCGGGCCAAATTGCAGGACAAGAACGGGTCTCTTTGGTTTGGAACGCGATCAGAAGAGTGGAGTGAGACGCGCCCCAAAGTACAGTGATTGTGAGGAAGGAGCTACCTGAGATCATCAATCAATCTTGTTTACAAGGGCGAAATGGGAGTGTCCGCTAGACCCATCGTGGATTTTGTGTTGGTGGTACACTAGGCTTGGTCGGGCGATTCATGTACACCTCTCTTCCCGCTCACAATTCTCGAACTTTTCGTCATCTTTCGGCGTACTTCCGTCGGCGTTCCTGCGGCGACGTCGGAATTTAGGATTATTACAGCTATTTTCACCGACAAGAGCGAGAGACACGGCAGAGCATCCTTACCTTCATCGCCCAGAGAGGCTCTATCTCAGAGACATTGTGTTTCTAATTTTTGTCGGCCACAGCGGAAGCGACTAAGAAGAAGGGGCCAGGTAACAATGCACAAAAATACAACACATGCATACACGCCGTGCATTAAGTGCACAGTGCCTTCTGTACAATCCCGCGTAGCTTGCAATACTAATTCCGCCAACCAATGGAGGACTCCCAGAAAACCCGACTGGCCAAATTAACTCCGCCCGTCACGTCCCGTTTCACCCCTCCCCCAGCGCTATAGCGAAAGTGGGCTTGAGACCCGCCGACCAGTCGGCTCCGACGTGATAGCGCATCGGCGATCGGGCAGCAGGCGGGTTGAGCCGATTGCGATTCGCTCAGCGCGATGTCTCGGGCGGGGACCATGCGGTCCTGAGTGAGTACCACGTCTCTGGGCTAGCACCGTGGCTAGCCTGTTGCTAAACAGCCCCAAATCCCTCGCGCCACGCCCAGCGCTCAGGGTTCAGGGTCGTCGGCGAGCGTGGAGTTGCAATTTGCGCTCGTTCCTCGTATCTGATACTGGTACGCTACTGGTACGCTACTACACTGCACTATGCTGCTCTGTGCCACTCCTGCCCGCGCGCACTGTTCACTGAAGTATGGTCCCGGCCTGCATATCCTGTACATACCATGTACATATCCTTGTGCTAACGTCAGCCTTGCTCAGAACGGTGGGATTGTTCCCCGCTTACTCTAGTATGCATGATGCGTGGCAAGCCAATCCAATCATTAAAGAGACCGAAGCTCTGTTGGAACGCTGTGGGGGGAGGGGGCCACGCATTTGCGATTGCGACAATCTCATCTCATCTCAATCTCAATCGCGATCATCGGAGCAACCAAATACGAGAGCAAATCATCGTACTCGCTAGTCTCCACACATCACTTTTCATAACCAAAGATAACTTCTTGTCACCTGGGTGCCACGGTTCGGTAGCGGAGAGCACACGACAGACACTGTCGCCGCCTTGGTATTTGTACGATCCTCTAGCAAGTCACCCGCCTTGCACAGGTTGACAGCACGGGGTGATGAGCGGCTCGAGGCAACCCGTAGGCGCCCGAGACCAAAAAAACGACCTCTCGACCCCCACGAAAGCCTGACTGTCTTTCAAGACACGCCACAACAGGCTCCCTCCCTGCAAGATTGAGTACGTGGGATATGATCCTGCAACCCGCGGCAAGAAGCAAAAGGGCAAACGGAAAGTATACGCGCAATTCCTGCACAGAGTATCTCAGTGAAGCACACTAGGCCAGGATCGAAGCTCACAGACCCCCCCGCCCGCTCCCTCTACCGGCAAAGAAGCAAAAGAGGCGTCGGCCGCAAATTAACAGATCCTTGGGATACCCCCTCCCCAGTGTGATCGTGCGCACATGGCGGGACCGCCGAAACCCAGAGCCTAAAAAGGGGCGCGCGGCGGGCGAGATTGGGTGTGCAACGCCCGGTTTCCGCACCACGAGGCAGCGGGGATGTTCTGGAGATGGGGAGTGGGTCTGCGGAGGGCTGGCGGGCTTGTACGTAACTCCCCTCCCGGCACGGCGGGCGATTTGCGAATCGCTGGGCTTACCAGACTTTGGTACATTTACCGTACATATTGCGCTGTATATTTGCAGATGAGTACACTGTACAGCGCGCACAGCACTCTAACTCACCGGGACACACACGTTCCCGACTTACAAATACTGGGCATAACAGTGGCGTACCATTGTGCAAGGGTTTCACAGCGAAGGGGGAGAAGGGGGAGTGCCCTGGGGTGCGCTGTGCTCCCCGATAGACATACAGTTATGTACAGTATGTACTGTGCTGTACAATATTCCGTACGTACATACAGTTATAGTGCGTACCGTGCCGCACATGCGGAGAACGTACCTCCAGTCCGATTCTGTGAGACAGACGGAGACGCACAGAAGCCCAATATCGCACATGCGTCATCTGCTCCAATGTATACTCTACGAACGACGAGCGAGCACAGAGTACAGTCCCCTAACCATCTCATCTCTTTCCTTCCTAACAATAGCACCGAAAAGGGGCATTTTTGATTACCACTCATCCCGCGGATGCACACCCCATCCCGCGCCCAACCCTCTAATCCCGCGCTCACCCTCACTCTCGAGCCCCAGCACCCGGCAAACTCCCGACCAGCACCTCTGGCACCCACCCGGCCCGCGATCAAGATCGGATCTCGATCTGCAACCACGACCACCGTCTCGGCACACCCTTGGAGCACGGCCTGCGGACGGAAAAAAGAGGCGAGCGAACGATTCCTTCGGGCTGAGACACGCAACCCCCGTCCCCCAATCCCGTCTTCCCCCTCGCCCCTTATTCACGCCCTCCCGCGCGATGCGACATCAGCACCTCCCGGATATGACCTTGAGACAAAGGACCAAGCGCTACGGATTCCCACGCCGGGGGAAGCTGGGACGGGATTGGCGCGCGGCACGTGGTCGCGTCTTGGCGGGGGACGGTGGGTGTATTGTAGGGGCCGGATGGGGGATAGAGGGATTAGAACTGGCCTGTCTCTCCCTCTCTCTCCCTCCCCTTGCCACGTTTCCAGCCCGCACCGACGCGGCCAATCGCCGCGCACTTATGACAATGGTTTGCGAGTGAGACACCTTGTTTCGGCGCCCCAGTGGCGCCGGCGCCGGCGGTGTGATGTGCTTTTTCTTTTGATGGTGTGCGCTCCCCTCGCCATTGGTCCCCCTGCCTCCCAGGTGTTCGCAGCGTCCGCGGAGTCCGCGCCAAAAACCACAACGCGCATTCGACCGCCACCGCGTCGCGACCCAGCATCCATCATGTGAGCCTTGCCCCCCCTTTCGCCCCCGCCCCGAACCAACGCCACTGGACGCGCAGGCGGACGCAAGCACGATGCGATTCCTTCGCCGGCGGGCTCGGTGTGTGACGAGCCCCCCATACCGTGCAGGAGCGCTGCTTGTTTGGCCCCGTTCGTAGCGTAGGCGTAGCGTAGTCCGCCCTTACCACCCACCTCCTTACTCCGGGTAACGGGTGCCGGCCAAGCCACGCCGGCGGGCCTGGTGTTGGGGTGCCGTGCCCCCGAGAAAGTGGGCTTGTCCACTACCACCTGCCACTACGATACCACCCAGCTGGCCGTCGGTGGCTATTCCCAGGGATCGAGAAGGACGGGCGACGGGAATGGAGGCCGTGCGCTGCTGGTTGCAGTTTTTTTTTGGATCACACCCACTCCCCCCCCGAGAGTTGCGCGGCGGCATTTGGGAAGGGGGGATGGGGGTGCAGTAGTGAGATTGTGTGGTGAGGCTTGCCTGGTCTTCGGGATCGTGGGATTCAAGGGGGATGGGGGATTAAGCTGCGCCAAGGGGGTGATGGCCCCCAATAATTTGTCACAAGAATTGAGCTGTGCGTCGGCAGGTGGGTGCCAAGTGATTTTTTGTCTCGAATGAGCTGTTTGCGGAGGTAGCTCCGGGGAGTGAGGCGCTCAGGGGTGACAGATGATGGGAGAGAGCTGCGGGAGGCAAGGTAGGTTTTCCGAAGTAGATAGGCTTGCGAAGGAAGTTTCCGAAGTAGATGGGTTTGCGATAGGCTTGTGAGGTTTGCGAGGCTTACGAGGCTTACAAGGTAGCTTTATCAGGTATGTTTGTTTGCTCAGAAGCTTTTTTTGCAAAGTTGAAAAATGTGCCAATCCAATTCATCGCTACTGCCTGCTTGCTCTGCTATCAAAAAAACATGCTCTGCTCTGCGCTGCTCTGCTCTGAAACGACACGAAGAATATACTGCTAACAAAAACCAAATCCTCCCCCCCATTCCTCCCCCGCGCCGCCATGCCCTCGTATATATCTTCCCCTTCTCAGACAGGCGCGCCCATGTATGTTCCTTTTCCCCCTTTCTACAAACCCCATCCAACGCAACCCGAAAGAGCCCTAAATAAAATAGTAAGGAATGGAAGCCCCGTTTATTTTTATGTAAAAAATCTCTTTTTTGTTTTGTTCCCGTCCCGCCTGTGCCCATTGTTGAAATCATCTCCGATGTTGAAATCGCGTGCGCACGTACATACATCATTCCCATCCCATTCGCCGTGTGTGGTCGCCAGCACAGGTCCTGCCTATGCCTTCCTCATACTCCTTCTCTCTCTGCTCTTTTTTCCTCAATAGCCAGGAGGCGCTCATCTAGTACGCCCCTGGCGGCTTCTGCAGCGCCGCCGGCAGTAGGTCCGCCGCGCCATTGACGACGCGGTCGGGTGCCAGACTCCCCTCGATGCGGCGCTGTGCGTCGGCGCGGTCTTTCTCGGAGATCTCGGCGTCGGGCTTGCGCATGTCGGGGGTGTGTTGGTCTTGTTGCGGGTGGTGGCCGATGGACATGCCGACGCGGACCTGGGGGGTTGTTAGTCTCTTCACTTGTATATAGTAAGGGGGTGAAGGGTGACATACCAGTGTCTCCAGCGCCCCGTTGGAATTATCCACGAGGTCGTCGTCGAAGCGCATTGCACCCGGCTCGAAGAGGACGAGCAGCGTGCTGCCGCCGAACTTGAAGTATCCCAGTTCCTCGGCACGCTTGACTGTCTCTCCCTGCTTGCGAGTGATGACTGTGCTGCCTACCATCATGGCACCGACGCAAATGACCATGACGCGGCCGTGAGCCACGGAGTCAATAGGCACGACGACGCGTACGTTCTCGCCGTAGACATCGAGTTGCGAGCGGATCGCCATGGGGTTGACGGTGTAGTACTCTCCCTCGATGGTCTTGGGTGTGCCCATCACTCCATCGACGGGGATATGGAAGCGATGGTAATCTTGGGGCGCCAGTCTAAAGATACCCAGCGCGCCATTGGTGTAGCGCTCCACGTCTTCGGGGTAAGCATTCCCCAAAAGACGCTTGATGGAGAATTCGCGCCCCTTGACCCAGATCTTGGTGGCGGTGTCCATCTGGTTGAAGACGACAGAGCGGCAGTCAGCCGGGGAGACAATGATGCGCGGGTTGTCGGGCGCGGAGCAGGGGCGCGCGTTGGGCTTGAGCTCGCGGTAGAAGAATTCGTTGAAGTTCTTGAAGTCTTCGATTGGGTAGAGCACCTCGGACATGTCGAGTTGATGGAAGGCGATGAACTTGGGGATCTCGTTCTTTGAAGCAGGGTCGTCGTATTTGACACCCTGCTTGACGCTGAGGCCACGCAGGAGCTTGCGAACTGGGAGATGTTAGCATTGTTGATAATCATTTAAGGGGTAATGTCCAATACATACTTCTCTTCTTCTCCATTTCCCTCGACTTGAGGCCTTTGTACAGCAGTCGAATCCCAAGTCGTACATATATACTCATCCGCTCTTCATTGATATGTCCAGTAATGCGGTCCTGCACAAGAATATTCGCCGAATTCGCACCAAGCTTATACCCACCGTACGAGATCTTAGTGATAACCTTGGAGTACCACTTCCGCTGGGCCTGGCTTGACGTGACAAAGCCCGCCATGACAATATTATTGACCTGTCGCCAATCCTGGCTTGCACAGGTAGCAATATGTGTGATAATATCGGCATCGGACCGCCTGTTAAGACGGGGCTGGTGACAAATAGGACACTCCTTAATCTCCACAACGTGCTCTTCATCTTTATCGTACAGATCGTACGAATTGCTGAATTCGCCCTCTTCAAGAGGTGTGCCGATCTCCGCGTTACTAAGCTCTGCTGCATCAGCCTCTTCTGAGAGCGTCGCCTCTGACTCTCCCTGCGTTACCGGCAATGACAGACTTGACGAGGCAGCGCTTCGGCCGAGGCGCTGTTGGATCTGTTCGCGAACCTTGTCGGTCGCGGATTGGCTCTGCTTGCTCTTCATTTCGAGTTGGTCCTCTAAGCAGATCACCGCCTCGTCGTAAGAGAGCATGCCCTCTTCATCATTTAGCATGTGAGGGAACCTCTTGAAGAACTTATCAATAGTTGACTCCTTAAGCGTCGAGCCAAGCGTATCAAGCATGGTGGTGAGCTCGACCTTGCTAATGCTGCCACTATCATCGACATCGTATTGCCTGAGCATCGAGCGCCAAAACTGTTGCCTCAGAGCCGTATATGGTAGGTATTTCGCCTTGAGGTGTAATTCCGGCTTGTGCTTTTCCTCCCACTTCTCCATGTTCTTGAGCTTGAGCGGGATGTGGAACGTATGTAGGTCAGGGTCTCCTCTCTCGTCGGTACTGTCGGTTTGCTCCAGGGTACTAGGTGGAATTGCTTCAGGAGTTAGGTTAGCTCCGACTTGAGGAATGCCTTCACCAGTCACGCTGCCTTGGGTCGAGGGTTTCGAGGACAACGGCGGTCTACCTTGCTTATTCAGGCTCTGTGACGAAGTCGACCTTGATAGAGCAATCTTGAACCTTGATTTGCTGGGCGCCTTTGGCACTGATCCAGAGTCCGGCAGATCCGGTAGGTCATAAAGTCCGGTGTCCGGGTCGGCCTTGGGGCCTGTGCTTGTGATATCTTGAATCGGTACGCTGGCCGCACATATGAAATCGTTGCCGGAGAGCTTGTCGCGGTCGACAACCGAGAAGGATATCGAGTATGCCTGTTCGTGTCGGAGAACCTGGAATATCATCTTTTCGTTAAAGACAGGGTTAAGCTTATGGCGGACCACTCGGGTTCTGTAAGTCTTCCTACCCAGCGACGCAACGACGAAGGGATCCATGTCAAATGAGGTCCTTGTCACGTTCCGTTCCGGGGGCAGGTCAGTAACGCCCGAGATTTCCAAGAATATGATCCCAGTCACACTGCTCGCTCCAACAAACTCGTATAGCTGGTGTGCTTTCCTTTTCTTCAGCCCTCTTATCCTCTTCCGCCTCCTCTTCTTCTCCACCGTTTCCGGCTTCGAAGGGTCGTCAACCTCGTCGACCTCGTCGGCCGAGCCGCTTCGCTCTTCATCTTCGTCGTCGTCATCCTCGTCACCCGTAGGGCTGGCATCATCACTGCCTGACTTGGTGGTTGTAAGGTTATCGTTTTCGATCCCAGCAATAGCCCAGAATTTCTCCATGACCTGGGGTGGTGAAGCCCCGGGGGTCGACGAGTCGTATAGCTTGAATTGAAGTTGTACCTCCCCGGAGATATTGCTATCTTTCTTCTCCTTCCTCCTACTGCCACCCCTTTTGCTCTTCAGCGGATACCACTGCGCCTCTTGTGAAACCTTGCCATTAGCAAATATATCCTCCAATGCCACCTCAAACTCCCCCATATAGTCCTTCCCGAACCTATCCTTGTCCCAGCACACAACGTCGAGCAGGAGGTCCTTGATGCTGGAGACAGGCATGTCGCACAGGTGGTTCCATTCGGGGTTGAGAGTCTTCGGCACATACTGCGTCGTATCTCTAGTATCGCCCAGCGAGATGACCAGGAACTGTAAATAAGTCCGTCAGCTTCGTGTCCTGCCATCGTGGCCATCTCCACGGAGCTATCACTTACCGGATCAGAAGTACCGTTCTTGTCCTTGGCGGCGAGATTCTTGCCCTGGAAAGCCAATATTGTCAGTTCCTTGGCTCCTCCAACCCCCAAAACGCCAACCCTCGACAAGACGGACATACCCTCAATACCACGATCCTCAGCATGAGGCCATTGGCCGGACCTCCGGCGGGACTGGCATCGCGTTTGCCGTGCATGTTTGATTTCTGGGACGCGGCGGGAGCACAGGTGCTGTTGGCGACGGAGCTGTTGTTGCTGTTGGTGTTTGGGGTTGCTGTTCCTGAACCTGAACCTCCTCCGCCAGTATATGATTTCAGGCGAGAGGGGATGATGCGAACCATTGCTATCGATTTAAGTATTCTTGGCCCCTCATAAAAGGCCAAGGTACTACACAGTGGCTCTACCCGCCGATCTTGAATTGGGGGAGGGTGGTAGGGAGAGCTGACGTTGAGCGTGTGAGCTATTTGCGCATTGGCAGTTGGGGAAGAGGGTGTGATTGGCGGCCTGGGGAAGGGCCGGCTTAGGTGGTGGGGGGTGAATGGTGGTAGTGCACCGTTACTCGACTTATGGTGGGTGGTAGGTGGGTGGTAGTGGGTGGTAGGTGGGTGGAAGCGGTTGGTAGTGGGTGGCAGTGGTTAGTAGTGGTGGTGGATGTTGGTCGGTGCTCTGGTCGGCGGTACTCTAGAGTTCCACATACACTAATAAATTGCTCTACTAATAAATCGCTCTACTACTTCAACTACTACATACCACAGTGGGTAACGGCGATGTGGGGATTTGCAACCGTGACCTGTTCAGACCTAATTTTGCCCTATTCTGGCTCTATTTGCGATTATCTCAGCGGCGGGACCTGGAGGTAGACTGGTCGTGGACTGGTCGTTGACTCGGCCATGATGACGAGTACACTTGGCTCCGCGGGTTGCACGGCAGCGATGTCTTCCACTCAGCCTGTGAAGGGTATATACCACTTTGGAAAGAGTATAGTCTAGACCAGCACTACTGAAATGGTACTGTTCTAGTAGTAACAAGCTTCAATAGAGGCGATGAAGCGACGGAGCGACGGACGCCATGGATGCCATGGATATTCACGATCTGGAGCTCTCAGATAAATTTTTACCCCGCAATCGACATCATTGAAGGTATAGAAAATCCTCTATCTACAGGCTTCATCTTCCCACAGTACATCTATTAACAATACCACAATATTTATATATTCAAAACCCCCATAATCATTTCTAACAAATACTAACAACTCCACAGACCCCCTCCTCCATCTCACATACCCCCACGCCTCACAAAAGCTGAAGGACCACCAGTACCACAACATGACAGACACCCCTCTCACGCACTGCACTGCACTGTCTGCAGCTCAGTCTCAGCCCAGCCCGCCGCATACGTCCAAACGCGCCGCTCCCACCACACCACCACACCACCCTGCCGCAGGGCTAGCCGAAGATTGGCCCATGGGTATAGCTTCCCTCCCGCTCCAATGGCGTTTCCTAGTGAAGATGTGGCACAAGGAGGTAAATCTACATGTGACGGGGGCCGGCCATTCATGCGTCTTATTCACATATATTCCCCTCCGTCGGCTAGGCCGTGGTTGCGGGTGTCACGGTGATGCGTCAGTGTCCCCGCGGCGGCGGCGAGATGACAGGAATCGTAATATCGATGTGGGGGGGTAATACTAAAAGCAATATCGACGTGGAGGTGAGTGAGATATTAAGATGCATCCCGTTCCGGCATTACAGCGCGGGCTTTCCCGCAATATCAGGTTTGTGATGGTAAATACATCTCATTCCGGATATCACTCCAACGGGTGTAGTCGGCTATATGCACTTAACTCCATCCAAGGTGTACCGCGAGAGAAGATATTATACCGCGCATGACGATATCCCTCGTACTATTTCAACCTGCCCAGAGTTGCTAGACCTCCTTCCTAGCCGCCAAGGATGCTCAGCCTTATCCGTTGCGCGTCCGTCCCGCGTTGGGTTCGTCGTGAGATTTGGGTTTCAATGCATGTAGACAGGCAAGCGGCATTCGCGCATGTGCGTGTAGCACAGCCATCCGAGTGAGACAGTTCTTTGGGTCATCATCCCGTTCTTTGCCTAGTTGAGTAGTGGAGGAATTGTAGGGAGAGTAAGTTGAAAAACTTGGTTAGTGGTAAAGTAATGGTATAGGCAGGCCTCTCACATGCATTCCGAGAACTATAGAGTCTCACAATACAGTATAACTACACAGCAATTATAATATAATATATTGATATCTAGACATCGCCCAAAGCAAACAGCCACGCTAACGACGCCCACCCCCAGTCTATCCCTCTCCCAATCACCTCGTAACCGACTGCTGGCTGGAGACTCTCCTCCAGAAGTTCGCACGCGGGTTAAACCTCGCCGGCTTCCCCTTTCCACCCGTCTTCTTCACATCATCCTCCGTAATACTCTCAATCTCCCTCTGCACATCCGCAAACGTATCAAACCCGATATACGGAATCTTGTGCTCAACACAGTACTCCTCGAGCCTCAGCCCCTTGCGCGCGAACAGCACGTCCGCCTCGCGCGCAGCGGGCAGATCTGAGACACCATCGCCGATGAAGACAATCAGCGGCAGCTCGTCGGTAGACGCAGCCGTCTTAGCCGACTCGCGGTACTCGGTAATAGAGCGCGCCTTATCATGCCCCAGCTCCGTATCATGGCGCCAGATCGGCTTCCACTCCGACCCATCCTCTGCAATCTCCGCATCATTCGCCACGATCTTGATATGCGACGACTCCTCCTCTCCGAGGAACTTATCCAGGACCGCGCGGAGCACGGGTTTCAGGCCGGCGGAGATGACGTAGAAGGGGATGCTGTTGGCGAGGCAGTATTTGTGGAATTCGCGGAAGTCGGGGTCCATCTCGAGCTTCTCCTCCATGATCTCGAAGCCGTCCTCGAAGGGCACGTTGAGGGAACTCCACATCTCCTCCGAGACGTCGCGGAAGGAGCGCTCGCCGGATTTGATTTGCTCGTCCAGGATGGCGCGCTGTTCGCTGCCGCAGCCGTGGCTGTCGAAGAGGATGTGCCCGGTGTCTTGCATGAATATCGTGCCGTCGAAGTCTGGGGAGCTGTTAGCTGCTATACCCACCACACGCACTATGCACATGGGGGCAAATCATACCTGAGAAGCAAATCACCTTCCGCTTCTTGCTGGCGGCATCAGTTTGTGTAGGTTGATAGCTCGTTCTGGGGACGGAGAGATCCTCATTCTCGCCCTCAACCGGTGGCGTCAGAGCAGAAGGCATCGTGTGCATTGGCGGGGTATAATATGGACTCTGCCGGTAAATCTCTCTATTTCCTCTTGTATATGTCCTCCTTGTCAACAAACAGTTGCCGTGGACAGAACGTTCTCAAAAAAAATCTTTCGATTTAGGGGTGCAGTTTGAGGAGGGGTTGTCGTGGCTCACCCCTAGCTTATATCATAGACCATGAGACAATCTTCCGTCACCGCCCGCCAAAAGGCCATTTTTTTTACCAAGTCAGGCACACGTCTGGATTCAGCGCTTCATTGGCCCATAGCGAGAGGGTTCCAGTCGGATACCGTTAGTGGGTCCACCCATTGGAGTCTCCACGACGATAACGAGGATGGGCTTCGGTCATGGAGAGGCGGTAAGCTGCATGTCCATGTCCATGTGAGTACTCTCGCCTTGCATCGTCGTGGCTTTCTGCATTCGATGACGACAAAGGGTTTGTTTTTGAGGAAACACGGGAGGACTGATAAGGTATAACGGCCCTGAGATATCGTGAGCTCACATCACACAGGCGGCGCGGGGTCGGCCGGACGGTTAATCAAATCCAACTGGAAGCACGGGATTCACGGAACCAGAACGATCTTCTGGGGCCGGTATGTGTGTGGTGCACAGCCGCATGCCCTGATATGGGCAAAACAGTAGCTTTGCATTGGCATTCAATAGAATTGCATTGCTGATTCGCATGGGCAAAAAAAAAGGAGGGGCAACCGTGGGGAACATATAAAATGTCTGACGTCATGATTGTTGATAGTGGTGTGGCGATGGTGGGTGATGGTTTGTAGTTGTGTGGTAAATCAATACTGGCCGCCAAGGGACCGGCCGGATCTAAGTGCCGTTCCGTTAGCACTAATAATCCCTTGTTGGTCTCGACCGCTCACACACCGAACTTCAGCAGGGGTTCACGGGTTCATGGGTTCACAGATTCGCAGGTTGTCCATACGCATTTCATAGAGTTAAGCGTGATGCTCCTATCTTAAGAAATCCGAGAATATCATATAGTTGTCTCGTAGCATTAGATCATAGCCACCGGCGATTCTTTGATTGCTAGATCTCAGGACCCTGCGATTCTCCACCAAGTCGTGTTGGTCCTCTATCTTGTTCTGAGCAATTGACTGATATATGCCAGCTACAGGTCACCCTGCGACGACAAGTCGTATGTCGCATCGATGCATTTCGATTCATCAAACCCATATTCAGCTTTTCGAATATTAACGAGGTAGTCTCCAGCATAACCCCTAATGAGGTCTTTGATTTTGGGCTCAGAGTTGTCAGCGATAGCGTTGACGAGGTTGGCCGAGAAAGCCCAGAGCAGCGACAATTTAACGCGGATAAACCTGCATTTCCTGGTGGCCTCAATCGTAGGTCTCTTGACAATCAACTCATCGTGTAGAGCCTTGGACACAGTCACTAAATCTTGAAAGATCAACTTGATGTCGGCAACACCAGCCTTACTGAGGGCTCCAGATGCCTTAACCTCCTTTTCACTCTTTTGTAAATTCTTGGGGGCAGTGTCGACAGCTTCAATAAATTCATAGTTGTCGTCATCGTACTTATGGATTGCCTTCTCAGCAACATCAAGATCAGTCCAGGTTGTTTTGAGAACAGTTTTGAAGGTGTGGTCGTCGCGCTTCTCAAGGGCATCGGTAACCGGATGCGAGAAGACTGTAGCAGCAAAGCTAGGCATGCGAGAGTGATAACTGAAAACCTCATCTTGAATGGCGACTGAAAGGTTTTGATATGAGATCTCTGGGACTGAAAGGCAACTGTCGAGTTTTTATCTACAGAGGAGCACGAGAACGGGACAGAGGAATCATATGTGGTGTCGTATGTATTGGCCTCAGCTCTGTACTAGTCACAAATTTCTCACATTATCTCTAGTCTGGGCGCGAATAGGCGAGTCCTGGGCCACGGGCGGCCTTTCAATAACCCTTCAAGAGACGACCTGCATGCATATGCGGGGGACTTCCTCATGGAATAGGACGCTTTTAATTAACTGGATAATTCATTGATTTCTATTGCACCGTGACGCCAGTTTTCCGATTTCATTCCCATCATGCCCCAACCTTGGCCGCGAACTTAGACGCTGCCTTATCAAAGAGGTCGCTCTTCTCTTCTACTCCCTTAATATATGGGTGTTCGGGGTCTAGCTTTTGCAAGCTCCTAATAAACGAGTTAACGACTTGGACTTCAGCACGGGGGGCAGATTATTAACTTACTGCACGTATTCGCTGCGGTCTTTCCCAGACAGAATCGACAGGACGGCCATGTTCGCGATCACATCGGCGTTCTCGGGGAATTGCTTGATTGCCTGGCTCAGTGCGGCCTCGGCCTCCTCGAAGCGTCCCAGGTGGATCTCGGAAACGGCTTGTGATAGCAGGGCCAGCGTTGCTGCTCCTGAAGGGGCTTGTGCGATCTCCTCGAAGACGTAGAATGCTTCCTGATACTTCTCTCCGCCCTATTCGATGTATCAGTTAACTTTCTTGAATCTCCTGAACCAGCACCGCCGGATTATCAAATACGTACCACCCTCAGTGCAACCCACGACTCCGCGATATTGATCAACAAGTTATCTTGCGCCCACTTCTTCGCCGCAAGCACCTCCTTAAGAGCCAAATCGGTGCGGTTCTGCTGTAAATGTATCTGCACAATAAGCGCAACAGCCTCCACTATCCATAACATCAGCATTGTAAACGTAACCCCCAAAAGCATAATAACCCACAATTTCCCTGATGCTGCGACAGCAACGCCAGCGCCTCCTCCGTCTTCCCCTCACTCTGCAGCACCGACCCCGCCAGCAGCTGCACCGTCGCATTATCCGGGTTGCTCTCCACGAGCTCCTCCGCCGCCTTCAGCGCATCCTTTGTCTTTCCCACCGCATGCTCAGCATACGCCTTCACAGCGCTATACTCCGGACCGCTCTCCGCATCCTTGATCTCCTCGAGGGCCTCCTTTGCTTCTCCCAGGGCGACTTTGGCGCGGAGGGCGAGGATGTGGGCCGGGACTTTGTTTTCGGGGGACAGGGAGGCGGTGTCGTAGTCGACAACTTCTTGGAAGCGGCCGGCGGCGAAGTGGTCGCGCAGGTCGACGAGCTCGACTTCGGAGGAGAAGGGATCCATTGTTGCGGTATGTTTGTGGTGGTTGAGGGGGGTTTGGAATGATACGTGTTGACTGCGTTGATGGCGGGTGCGGGAGTTGCCGAGAGGGTTAGGAGAGGTCGGGGATTATTAGTGGTGCCGGCCATCATAGCTCGTGGATGGACTTCAACGTCAGTCGATAAGAGCCAATTGTTCTCAACTATGTGAATATGAGCACGCTAGAATTGAAATACACGATGATGTGTATATACTTTTAAAAGACAGGGAAGGTTTAGGTATTGTCTCGAACTATATCAAGTTCTTTCCATCGTTCCTTCCCTCCTGGGTTCCAGACGATCGTTCTTGCCCTCCTGAGTTACTGACCATCGTTCTTGCCCTCCCGAGTTATTAACATCGTTCTTGACCTCCTGAATTACTGACCATCGTGCTTGCCCTTCCGAGTTTTTGACATTTTTGACCATCCTCGACAGTTCTCTCTCAGTATAGGTCCTATACAAGCCTCGCCCGAACTCTGAAGCTGATATCAAAAGCTATTTGTACAGTAGGTAGGTATGAATTTCAATTCCTTGTTTCCTCATTTTTGAATTCCGACCCAAGAAATCCTCGGACACCGTCCCAATACTTCCGGACATTGAGCTCTGAGCGATACTCTGTAGACTGCCGACTGGCATCTGCAGCTGTTTCTTTCTGGAGCCTCTTGAACAAAAGAGCTGACAGATACTCATCAATCTCATTGTGTAAAGTCTTCATCATCTCGCCCTTTCCATAAAACTGTCTCCAGCTCTCCAACTTTGCAGCTTCATAATCATGCACAACCCCATTCGAGATTTGGCGTTGGTTCGATTGAAGTCCTTCACTCGACGGCTTTCTTTGGATGCGCAAAGCCAGCGGTTTTGGAACAAACTGTGGAAACTCATATACATGTGTCTCATTTTCGTCATCGGGAAATTCATAGGTTGGAGCGTTTGTAGGCCACAAAATGCCACGGTTTTCAAGTTCTTCTCGGTTGTGGATGATGCGCATATATTTCTTGGCATGGAGCTCCTCTTGTTGATGGACGAGGCGTGCATATTTCTTTGCCAGGAGCTCTGCTGTCCTTTCTGCTTTGGTTTTAATAACAATGTCAGATTCCGAATCCAAGCTAGGGAGGCTTTCCACAGAGTGAATACTTTCTTCAATCTCCTGTGATGTGCTCCGAGTGTTTGGATCTGATTCTCGCTCTGGCTCTCGCTTTGGCTTTGGCTCTGGCTCTTTGTCGACTTTTGGAACTGCATACACACTGGCTTTAAAAGTTTCTAGCGCCTGATGTATCTTCTCGTTGTCCGGAAGTTTCTCGGTTTTTGGAAGCTCTTTTCTCTTAATCTTTTCAGGAGAATATATCGCCGCAAACTTAGAAGTACTAGGTGGCGGATAACTCTTCTTGGTGTGCTCATAAGGATGGCTAGAGAATCCTGGAGGAAAAAGTGATGTCGCTGTTGCTGGAGGAGTTTCTGGTACCCGTCGATGTGGTCTGTAGTTTGAATGCCGATCGCCAGAGGGCGTAACCGGAGGGCGCAGTGTAGTTTCGAAAGCTTCTTGTGGTTGGTCTTCGTTTGAATTCCAGAAGGAGGAGAACTCTTCGGAAAATGGTGATTTGGGTTCTGATTCTGGGGACAAAAATGGCGACGGTGACCTCGATGCTTCTGGGGTCCAGCTGGCTTTGTCTTTGCCTGCCTTGTTTCGCCCGCCGCCAGCTTTCTTTTTCAACTTTCCGAGGAATCGGTCCATTGTGAGGTCTGAGAAAAAATGATGTTGGAAGAGTGATCCGTGGTGGTGATGGATGGCTGGTCTTTGTAACGAAGGCAATAAAATATATCTCGAGGTTGTAGTGATTCACTTGACGCCTATAATTTCATTAATTGGGTGTTGCTGGTTGTAATGGAGTTTCCCCATTATCAGAATCATACTGGTTACATGTTATCATCACATTATTATCACTTCGATTTCAGAAATTCATATAGTAGGATATTTATGTACTTATACCACTAGCACCCTGAAGTGAATGTGAATAACAGAAATATTCATCTCTCTATATTATTGTATTAGCTCACTGAAATGATTCAGGTCTAGAGGTTATTCAACTATCGTTACGAAATTAAGACGCCATAAATATTTAGTCAAGTTTTTATCATTATTTATTATAAACTCAAGAATTAAAATGATGTATTAACCACGACAAATTCTAATTTGAAGTAAACTTATTATTCCATGAGTAAACAAGACCGAAGAAATCGCCTCCACGGCTAATATTTTATAAATATATTCCATCGCCCATCAACACAATTTATAGCTTTCGAATCCCACAAGCCAGTCTCCCCCCCCAGCTCGAGATTCCCAGCTGCCACCCGTGACAGAGAAAACAATGTGCCCAGTACCCCACCTCCAAACTCCCATAATATATCCCATTATACATAGACGCCAATCTTCATTAAATCCAAAAAGAGCTCACATCACAATTGCACCCACCACAGCAATTACCGCCCCAAACACCACCCCCGCAATCCAAACCTCTTTCCTCCCACCATCATCAAATGAACACCCATCAGGCCCAACCCCCGGGCGAACAGGAGTATGATACCCGCAATGGACGTAGTCATTACTGAAAGTGCTACACCACCAAAGTCAGCATATCATGGTTTATCAAACATCACGACATCTTTCTCTCCACCCCGCCTCCCAACCCTCACAGGCCACCAAAACACACCACCACCAGACCCGACAGTACTAAAAACAGAACAGGGAATTCTAACACACAAGACCAATAAGTAACAATATACCACCTCTGCACCTTCCCATCCACCCCCGTCGGCTCCGGCACAAACTCCGTGACTGTCTGTCTCGGCTCTGAGTCCAGAGGCGCTCCCTCCCACGGCTCGTCCCCCCCATCATCTCCGCAATGGTGTTCGCTTGGGTAAGCGCTATCATAGGGAGTTTGGTGAGGGAATCTGGAGGAGAGGGTTGGTGTAAGGTAGAGGAGTGTTGTGGTTGCGGGGGTATCTGCTGGGGCGGCGAGGGCGAGTGGGAGGGTGGTGAGGAGGGTGAGGATGAGGGAGGAGGGAAGGGAGGGCCACATTGTGATAGTCTGAGGGTGAGATGACCTCCCCAAGGGAGTTGGGATTTGGAATTTGGGAAGCGTGGTGAGGGACTTCGAGCGTGGGTATGCGATTCTGATCGAGGCTTAAAACTGTGCTTTCCACGACCCGAACTGTAGTAACTCGTCGATTCCAACAGCTACAGCAAGAAAGCTCTGATAGCGAAGAAGAAGAAGAAGAAGCGTCATGAACAACAGAAGAAGAAATACCAAACCTCCAACCAAGAAAACCAAAAACACCTACATGAACCCAAACCTCGTCTCTGAACCACCTTTCACCCCCCCCCCCCCCCAAACCTCACTCAGTCGTACAACCCGTAACAGATCCCTCGACATCTTTATTTCGTTCGACCCTGCCGCCTAAAATCCGAAACGACGTGTCTTCAAGCACACAACCGATTGAACTCGCGGTTGTCGTCACAGCATGCGCACCCATGTCCGCCAAGACCTGTCAAATGCAAACGCCACACTGCGCGATGTCAAACCATTATCGCCGAAATCCCAGCTAGGGTAGCGTAACATATAATACTTGGGATTAAGTAGACTTATGGAACTCCTGCCATACCCACGCCCCCTTCATAAAAAGACAAACACCCAGAGACGCCTCGCCATGCGCGGGGTATCGCATACTCTCAGCTCATCCCATCATTAACCCCCCCCCCCTTTCACTTCCCCGCACCCTCCCCCACCCCCCCCAAAATCAAACTCTCCAACTCCCACGGACTCAACGTACTCCTCCTCCTACTCGCCCTCCCCCCCATCCTGCTACTCGCCTTCCTCTTCCTCGGCGCCTCCTCCTCCACCATCTCCCCACCCCCCTTCACCGGCTCCCTCTCCCTCTCCCCCTCCTCTCCACTCCTCCTCGGCGGCGCCAAATTCGTCGCCGCAGCCGCAGAACTCAACTTCGCCGCCTTCAACTTCGCCCTCACACGCGCCGCATCCGCCTCCCGCTCCGTCGCCGCCAATTTCGCCGCTATACTCGCCATCGTGAGCGGGCTCTCCTGCGCCATCGCCGAAGCCGGCCTCGGAAGTCTCGAAGCGCCCGTTAATTTCAGTGGTGTGGAAGCAGCAGCAGAAGCTTGGCGGGCTGATGTCTCGGTCGTCGTCGGTGGTGGTGCGTCGTGGCGCGATGTTTTGAGGAGGGAGATCTCGTCGGATGACGGGACGGGATCGGTGGAGGAACGATCCATTTGTGCGAAGTCCCAGGTGTTTTCCTCGACGATGGTTGTGAATTCGCTTTTGCGCCTGTGGTTGGGGTCGGGGATTGGGCGGAGGGGCGAGAGTTGTGGTGGTGGGCCGGGGGAGGATGAGGGAGCCATTTCTGGCTCTGGTTGTTGTCTTTCGACGACTTGCTCTTTGCGTGGTGCTGGTGCGCGGCGTGAGGTGCTGATGTCTGAGCTACTATCGGTTCTTGGTTTCGAAACACGCGAGGTAGAGCTTGGAGGGGCTTGAGGGTCGAGTTTGCGCTTCTTCTTGTTATCTTCTTGTGTGTTGAGGCTGCTGCTGAGCTCGGTTCGCGCTTCGCGCCCGCTTCGTTTCGGTCTTTGGTCTGTGATCTCAGCTTCCACAGGCTTTGCTGCTTGCACGGATGGCGCCGTTATTTGGGGTGTCGGCTCCACAACGAAGTCTTCAGGCTCCTCTTCAAATGAGCTGGCATCGCTCATCTCATCCAAGTCTGGCGTTATATCCTCTCCACCCGGAACCTGCGAGTCGTCCATGGCATCGATATCAGCCTGCGTATCGCCCTCTTCATAGCCATCTTCCAAGTCCTGGGTATTCTGGTCCTTGCCGCTCAAGTCCTTAACCGGGCTCAGCTCCAACCCAGCCTTCAGCTCCTCCAGATTAACAGTCTGCCCACTCGTCGCCATCCTCTTCCTCCACCCATCCATCATCCTCACCGCATCCCTCCACCTCGACTCCATCCTCTCCCAGCCCTCTCTCAGCCGAATTATCTCATCCTCGCGCACCTCCACCTCCTCAAGTGGCACGAAACTCGGATTCGTCAACAGCGTCCGGAGATGCTCAATCACCGAATCAATCTCCGCCGCCACATTCTCATAACTATCATCAACACTAATCACCAACTCCCCTCCCCTCCCCCCTTCTTCCTCCCCCTCCCACCCCGAAAGCGCCTTCAAACTCTCCACCGTCGTCCTAAGCAACATCCCCAAATTCTCGCTCTCCTCACTCAACCCCTTCGCCAGCTCCGTCAAAAACTCATTCGTCTCCTGCCTCAAATCATAATCACTCTCCCCCACCCCCACCAGCGCCCCTTCCCCCCCCTCCCCCCCCACCCCCGCCACTATCGTAACAGTCGCAACACCCACCGCCTTCCCGCTCCCCCTCGCCCTCCCCCCCTCCCCAACATGTTTCTTTAACCCCTCAATAACCCTCTCCCTCTTCCTCACCTCGTTCGCGCACTGCGCCCTCGCCTGCCCAACAAGCACGCGCATCCTGCCCATCTCCTCGCGCAGTCCCCTCGCCGCGCCTTCCGCGCCGCGTAGTTGCGCTTTTAGTGCCCGCTCGGTCGCTTCGGAGAGGCTGAGTTTGCGTTGGGTTTCGGCGTGCTTGGTTTGGAGGCGGGTGAGGTCGGTGGTTTGGCGGAGGGAGTCGGCGCGGAGGGTGCGGAGGGTGTTGGAGAGGGTTTCGCGCTGGGTTGCGTCGCGCTGGGGGTTTGGTTAGTTATTTGATTCTGGGTGAAGTGGGTGGGTGAGAAAGGGAAATAAGGGAGGAGGAACGCACGTCTCGTCGCAGGATTAAATCATTTACTACCCCCATAATCCTTCCCATCGTCCCCTCCGAGCCTCCTTCCCCTTGCTCGGGGTGCGCGAAATCGAGGTTCTGCCCATTCTTCAGTAGGCCGCGCGATAAGAGCAAGTTGTTGATGTACACCGACGCGGTGCGCAGGTTATCCGACTCCATGGCCGCGGTTTGCCCACTCCCGGGTATCGTCGGCGCTGAGCTGGTGTCGTAGTGGTGGGCGTCTAGATGTTATATATCATTCTTTATTCAATCTGTAGTGGCGGATTGCTGGTGGCGTGCGCGGAAATTCTGCGAATTGTTCGTGGTCGTGAAGTTTAGTAGGGGTTTCGCGACGGGATGGCAACCAGGTAAACAAATGGTTTTGTTGCAGGGGTGTGGTTTTCGAAAGGCCAAGAGCGTTGGACCCCTCAGGTTATCTGTCACGCACGTTGGAGAAAGAGGGGATGTTTGAGAGGGATTGCAACAGATATCTTCGCGCATTTTATACTTAAGAGCAGCTATGGCTTTTACTTATGAGCACGGCAAGCAAGGGCTACCAAAGACATGTGCGCAATGGTACTACCATGGCCATCTATGTACACCCGTTCCAATTTACCTATTTTACACCGCAAAAGCCATATTTGTGACTCTTTCTCCATGACAAAACTACTAAAACAGTGCGCAAAGCAAGGCATTGGACAGCCAACTCATTTAAACCCAGGACATATTTCAAATATTTCATCGATTCATTATTCTTTTAGTTACAAAAAAAGCCCCATCTGCTCTCAAACTCCATATCAAATAGGGTATTATAGGACCATTGCAAACAGCGCCGCAAGAGACATGGCAGCAGCACCGAATGCACCAAACACCTCACCCCCAATCGCCGACGCAGCACCCGTCGACGTCTCCGCCGCGGCACTCGAAGTCTTCGATGCGTCGCTTCCGCTGGTAGATGATGCCTCGCTTCCGCTGGTAGATGATGCCTCGCTTCCGCCGGTAGACGATGGTGAGGAGCCAGTGGTGGAGGCGCCGGAGGAGGCAGCGCCGCCCACGACGGTGGCAGTGAGACCAGTTGCGTTTGTGCACGCTGATGGGATGGAGGCAGCGACGCCCGTTACGAAGTTGACGGGAGCACACTAAATCCAGTTAGCTAAAGATCCCAATGGAACGGGAGGAGCAAGGGACAGCTTACCTGAAAGAGGTCGCCATCAGCGGCATGCTGAACAGCCTGAACGAATCCCTTCTGTCCAGCAAACGAGTCTGGCAGCTTGAGGTTCTGCTCGCAGTAGGCACCGAGGCCAGTCTGCTCGATCTCAGGAAGGATGTTGACCCATCCGCCGCCGGCCGTTGCGTTGGTGGTGGCGCGGAAGTACCAATTGGACTTTGGGTGGGTGGTCTTGACAGCGATGAAGTCGCCGCCGATGTGGAAGTCGGTGGTCTTGACGAGGGAGGGCTCGAAGCCGCCGCAGGGACCGGTGCCTTCCGTGTCGTCGTTGAAGCCGAGGGTGGTGGGGTAGTTGAGGTTGAAGTGGCCGTTGACCTGTGCGACGCCTACGGCGAGGCCGAGGAGGACTACGTTGGCGTTGAGCATTGTGATGGGAGGTGCTGTGCTGTGCTGTGTTGATCCTTGATTGAACGCGTGCGTGCGATGTGGATTGAGGTGCGAGGCTGAGGGGGTGGAGGGGGAGTTTGTCTTGGAATATTATGAGGCTGTGGATGATCAATAAGCGGCTGGGCGGCAGGTCGGTCTTTAAAGGAGGGTCTCCTTGGGGATGAGCAAGTTTAATGGGTTTAATGGACCCTAGATGGCTGGGGGGGGGTTGGGGACGGAAGGGGCTTGCGGTAACCTTGTGGGTTTGGATTGAACGGGTTGACCGGACTGAGCGGCACCAACGACGACACGAACTGACACCAACCAACGCCAACGAACATGTTGCTGAGACGGTATGGGGTAGATTATAGTATGCAGGAGTACATGATATCCATTAGTAAATCACTAGTAAAGTAAGGTATCACGACACAGGTGGATGGCGAATTGGCGCCAGTAACAAACGGTTTGCTGTAGAAAAAGAGGCGAGGCGGCGGGATGATTGAAGGATCGTCGCTGACTATATTATAGCTTCCCTTAGCCACTGCCGCAACCAGTACAGAGCTCATTCTTACTAAAACCCACGTATAAATTGGACAACACTCCACCAAAGTAAACAAACGCACTCAAATACACTCCAACCCTTCATCCGAAGTCATAAAACACACTCAACTGCGCGTATTCGAGCATCATTCCAGTATTAACCAGCTCATCCCTTTCCCTCTGGCAAATTCCTCGATGTGAGAAGCTGTGAGCACGTTGTTTTGAGCCTAGCGCCACTGAGCCAAACCGAGTGACTTTGAGCACTTTCTGATTGGCTACACGCACGACCGACAACCCTTGAACTGACTCCAGACGCCCACATGGCGGGAATACTACTGTGCTAAAGAGTGCTAGGCGTGCAAAACCATGTCAAGGCACGAGTTAATAGTGCCAGATCACGGATGTTGAGGGGGATGACGCGGGGGCGATAAGACGGTGGTTATGTCTCAGGGAAATTCATACTTTGAAGGTGTTGTCGCGTACTTGACTTTTTTGTAAATCGTTTGCCTTGTCGTGGATTGAGCGTGCTGTCGCCAAAAAGAGGCCTCATAGACGAACACAACTGATATTGATACATACAACCTTGGGAGGACAGTCAATAAAGCCGACCGTGTTGGTCGCAACACCCACGCCAAAATGGGGATGGATATGAATATGGGGATGGGCATGGACATGAGCTCCGACAGCGCCGCCTTTGTCGACACGAACTCGTCCATGGCGCGCAGCTACTGGTATATCATCGCCGCCGTCCTAGGATTCACAGCTCTTCTCCGCATCTTCCAGATCGCAGAGACACGCACAAGGTTCGTTGCCCCCGCTCACACTCCCTCTGTTGCTGCCAGAACCATAAAGGCAACATTAAGAATCGCCATCTAACTATCACCCACAGACTCCGCCTCGCAAAACTCCGCGCCGTCGAACACCCCACCCAACCTCGCAACGCCCTCGCCCAAGCCCTCGCAACAGGCAGCGCCATCCTCCGCGAAATCGCCGGCCCAAAATACCACATCAACAACCGCTGGGCATCATGGCTGAGCCCGCCCTCCCTGGGCCGCAGCCTCATCATCGTCATCTACATGGCCGTCATCCTCTACATGCTCCTATGGCACTCCATCACCTTCGACGCGTACTACTACGAAAAGATTGCTTTCCGCGCGGCGTGGGTGTCGGTCACGCAGGTGCCGTTTGTGTATCTGCTGGCGTCGAAAGCGAGTCTCATTGGCTTGTTGTCGGGGAGCTCGCATGAGAGGATTAATTGGCTTCATAGATGGGTGTCGAGGACTCTGCTTGTGACGGTTACTGTCCACGGCGGTTTCTTCTACGTTGAGTGGTACAGGGCTGATTTGGTGGAGGTGGAGCTGCAGATGATGACGATGGTGAAATATGGAATTGGGGCATGGGCGGTTCTGGCGTGGACATTCCTCACCTCCCTAACGCCAATCCGGAGCTTCTCCTATGAGCTGTTCGTTCTCCAGCATATTGCGGCGGCAGCGGTGTTTTTATGGCTCCTGTGGATGCACGTCCCGTCCTACGCGCAATACAACATTTGGTTTGCGATCGCAGCACTCGTGTTCGACAAGCTAGCCATGTACGCCTGGACGGCCTGGACGAACGCCCCTGCGTCTGGGAAGACGGGAAGCGGACTATCGAAGTTCATCGGACACCGTGCGGAGATCAGAGCTGTGAATGATGAGATGACGGAAGTCATCGTCCACGATGTACAGTTTAAATGGGCTGCTGGTCAGCACATCTACCTCCGCATCCCCTCTATTGGACCTCTGGAAGCACACCCCTTCACCATCGCCAGCGCCTGCCCCGACACCTCCAGCGCGTCTTCGATACAGCTTCTCATCGAGAAGAGGGGGGGGTTCACAAAGCGCCTTCACGCGGCTGCTACGAAGCAACAAAAGAATGGCGTCACAGCAATCATCACCGGACCCCTCGGCCGACCACCAACCTGGGCCGCCTTTGAGACTTTAATCCTAATATCCGCTTCAACGGGGATTACATTCACCCTCCCCATCCTCGAAAGCATAGTCAACAACACAGACGGCCTAACCTGCGTCCGCCGCATCGAGATGCTGCACGTAGTCCGCAAACGCGATTCAACAGACTGCTACATCGAGCGGATTAAAACCGCCATCACGGCCGCGGAACGCGCTGGTATCGCGCTGACTGTTCGGATCGCTGTGACGTGTGGGACTTCGACAGGGACGAAGAGTTGTTGTGGATCGAATTGCCAGTGTCATAATTTTGAGATGGCGCCGAATCTCGCTGTTGAAGTGTCTAACACCACCGCCGCAGCAGCAGGAGCAGCAAGCCAAAAATCCGATATCGAAAAGGGGATAATCCCCATCGAGACCAAACCCATCACCGAAACCTCCTCCCTCTCCATCACCCCCAGCACAGAGAAGGGCGACATCACCTCAACCATTATCTCCCGCCCCTCGTCCTCCGCGCGCACCAACTCCGAAACTACGTCGTTAAAACCAACAAATCGGCAGATCATATACTCCTCCTCCCGCCCCGACGTAGGGTCGTTCATAAGGAGACCCGTGGAGGCGACGGCGGGGGAGACGCAAGTTGCTGTTTGTGGAGGGAAGAGCATCGTGGCTTGTGTGAGGAATCATGTTGCTGCGTTGTCGGATGAGAGGGGCGTGCATAAGGGGACGGGGGCGCAGGGGATTGCGTTGTTTACGGAGCATTATTGTTTTTAGAAGAGGGGGGAGGGGGGATGATTATGATGACTGATGAATTGGGAATGGTTTTTTTGGGGGGAAGATACTGTATACTGCACTGCATATACTGCACCGGAGAAAATGGGATGGCGTTGAAAGGATTGGAATGGATGGATATGGATATGGCATACCCCTGAATGGAATCGATGGAATGTAGGCAGATACTATAGTTTTACTTACTGCCTTTCCCGGACCTCCATCTGGCATAATATCCAATGGAGGTCCGGTAAACCCGGTGAAAAAACTATCATACACATCATGTACAATGCAGATATTTTACAAAGAAAACCTTCTTTATTACTACACCCATCACTAACGAGATATGTGGCTTAAATCGCATCCAGAAAGAGGGGCGCGCGGCGATGCAAGATATAGGTACACTGCACTGTACTGTACATACCCTTTAACACGTCATGTGCTGCCAGCACGCTCGCTGCTGACTGACGCTTGGCTGCCTGAGCGCGGAGGAGAGAGGGAGGGAGGGAAGGGGATCATAGCGCTTAGCTTAGCTTAGCTCTCATGTCGGCGTGTTGGTGACGATTGATTACCCCATATGGTAGTAGTGGTCTGGGTTGTATGCATGGTGCTGTGGGTTATGGAGGGTAATTCTGCAGCAGCAGCCGGAGCAGTTATTCCTAATTATGGAAATCGCCGTGTAGGAGCTCAGGAGTGTAGGAGCTGGATCACTCCGTGGATGTATGTAAGCAGACAGACAAAGCAAGCATTTTGTTGATCAAGGGAAAGTCAAGTGTCTCACCGCGGGTAGATTACTCGACTTTTTTGTTGTTGTGGCATGTGGCCGCAGGCGCGGGTGGCGGAATGAACAAACGCGATGCGAATGTCTCAGTGAGCCTGACGACGCTGGTTCAGAGTCAGAGTCAGTCAGCCGGATTTTATGGCAAATAGATGGTGAGTAAACAAAAAAGTGTTGACAACGCATGCTGCTTGTGGACGGTGTGAGGTGTGATATGTGCTCTAAGCCTGACGCAATGTAGTAGACTTGTAACCTGTAACTACACTTATGTAGGAGAGGAGTGTTTAGATGTAACTTTACACGTGGTAGAGAGCACAACTTTTACTTCACTAGATTCATAGAGAGATGGATTGACGGCGGATTTGAGCTTACCACGGCAATTGAAGAATTCCCTCCTTCCCTCCCCCTCGCTCCACCTAAACTTGCCGGCCGGTGCCATGGGGAGTGGGTGTCTGTCTGTCTTGGGGCCTCTTTTTTTTCCTTCACTTTCTCTTTTTGTCGAATTATGCTATGCTAGATTATGCCATGGCTGCTTATGGGCTGGACCGGCTTTGTTTGTATTGGGCTGCGGGCGGCGGTAGAGCGGAATGGGGAATGCCTTTTCCTTAGCGCCGTGTGTTGTTTAATCCCTACAGTGCGGTGCGCATCAACCACTTTTAATATAGTAAGTAGTACTAGGATTACTTGGGTAGTAGAGTAGAGTACTAGGTAGGATAGTAGGGTAGTAGAGTAGTATAGTAGTAGTATAGTAGTAATAGTACTAAACTGATGTGAACCTGAGCTCCGAGGGTGAAAAAAAGGGCCAGAAATATGCCAATATTAATACAAACGCCCTGCAAATAACATCGACTCCTCTCCTAATCAAGCTCTGGTCACCTTTTTCTTTGCGGACAACAACACCTCTCCCCCCCCGCCCCCTTCACCCCCCGAGAACAACGAAACATTTCTTCAATTCTTACCATCTTAATTTTATTCGAAAAGGAAACTTCAAGCCAGCTACTCTTGTTTGTTTGGGTTACCTCTTTTCTTCATCTACTTTACGCTCCTTTCAATCGGTTTTCATTCACCAAGGGTTCCCTGAATCGTCCCACCGAGTACACACACTCCACTACTACCACCACTGCGTCAATCCCGCGTTCCACAGACCACTTCTCGAAATCCCCAACCACCACCACCACAACGACCCCAATCCCCTTCCCGAACAGCACCACCCAAACATCCCCCACCACCCTCACGCAAACGCGAACAAAGTCGAAAAACGACACACCTCCCAACAAAGGACACAACCTCACAAATTCACAAGAAAGAACCTACAGACACGCATGTGCGGTGCGTAAGGGAGGGCAGCTCCACGCGCGACGTGAAGGGACGACGACGATACCCACTACACAATGGCGTCACCTTTGCCAGACAAGACTAAGCCGCGGCCGGAGAAGGGGATGATTCTTTTGGTTATTCGTAAGTGAACTCCGTCCGTGGTGATTCATACATGGCCACCCGACTCTCAGCGCGCAGACAGGGAGGGAGGAAGGTGTGCGCAGAGGTGGCAAGATGCGACGATGGCTGTGTGGCGATCCGCACATTTGTTGTCCCCCTCGCGACTGGGGGTTATTTGTTATCCTAGCTAACCCACTATTTACACAGACGACTTCATCGCGCGCGGCTCCGATGAATTGACACTCACGCGCGGCGACCGCGTCGAATTGGTCGAGCGAGATGATGATTTTGGGGATGGATGGTATCTCGGGAAACATCTCACGAACGGCGCGACCGGGCTCTTCCCTGAGGGTGAGAAAACCCCTTCTTAATCTCGACTCTGCGACGGCGACTAACAGGGGATTTTATTGTAGTTTATACCAAGATAGCGCCACAGGGTCCGCCGGTTGTTACGCAGATGCCGCCGGTGGCTGCGGCGGTGACCCCTACACCCGTGCTGGCACCGGAACAGACGACGCCTACTGCTGAGACGCCGGCACCTGCACCTCTTGCTGCGGCGGCACCGGCGCCGGTGGTGCTCGATACGAGGAATTCGGTGCCGGTGGAGGAGGCGACGAAGACGACGCAGTTGGAGAGACATATTAGTGCATCGCAGGTCTTGGATGCCGGACCGCCATCACCATCACCGTTGAACACGCCGCAGTCTGCTAGCCAGACATACGCCACCGAGGAGACGTTACCAACAGTCGTCGAGCCGATTTCAGCAGTACCGAAGAGCGTTATCTCGTCTGCGGTTTTGCCGGGGCTGGGCCAGGATAGCAGCCCAGTCATGAGCGAGACGCTGAGTGTGATCCAGGAGCACATTTCGAATATGAGCACGCCTCGGAACAGCGGTGGGGGGATTGCAGAGAGGAGGGGAACGAATGACTCGGGGAGCGAGTATAGTAGTCATATTGACAGGAGGGCGTCGTATATTAATGGGTCGGAGACGGATGAGGAGGAGGCGAGGGAGTTTAATCGTGCGGAGGTTAGCAAGTGGACTGCTGCGCAGGTTGCTGAGCATCTTGCGGCTGCGGGGGTGGAGCAGGCGCATTGCGATGTGTTTCGTGATCAGGAGATCTCGGGAGATGTGCTGCTGGGGATGGATCAGAGTACGATTTTCTTGAAGGAGTTTGAGTTGGGGCCGGTGGGGAGACGGTTGAAGACGTGGCAGAAGATTAAGGCGCTGCAGGATGAGGTTCATGGGGTTATGACGCCTTCAGGGTCGAGACGTGTGCCGTCTATCTATGGGAGTGAGATGGGTTCGGATGGTGGAGGGACTAGGAGTCAGTACTACAGCGGAACCACGCGGTACTCCTCGCAAAGACAAACTGGACGCCTGAGTTCGATGGGCCAGACTTCAATTTATCCCGAGGACCAACAAAGACCGGCGCTTGGGCAGAGTCGTCCGTCTGCGGCGTCTATCCGAGAATTTAATCACTCCCGCCGACACTCATCAATCGATTCCCCCACGCTGCTCAACCAAGCAGCAAAGTCCCCAGACGGCCCGCAAGTGACAACACCAACCATGGCATCATCAGGCCACAAAAAGCTCCCCTCCTTCGACCGCAACTGGACCATGGGCGACCAACCCCCCTCCGCCGGCATGCGTCCCGCCTCCCAAGCCGGCGTGCACCCAGCAGCCAGCGACGAGGCCTTCCCCGCCATCACCAGCACGACCCCCTACGAGTTCGACCGGGGCTACTTCTCCGGCACGGAAGCCGAGGGCCGGACGAAGAACGTGCTGCGCAAGCGGACGGGGTCGCACTCGCGACAGTCGAGCTATACGGATGAGCAGAGGCTGAGGAGCGCTACTACTGTTAATAGGCATTCGAGGTTTGGGAGTATCGATTCGTTGCAGCAGCCGCATTTGTCGCCGGCGGGGCAGAAGTATTATGGTGTTGCTGGGGCGAGGAGGACGCCGTCTGTGGGGTCGATTCGTCCTGCGCCGCCGCCGAAGGATACGCCGTCGCCTATGGTCACGAAGCTGGATGGTATTCCACTAGCTGGTACCTCGAAGACTGCATCTGGTGGTAGGGCGGCGGATTGGTTCAATGCAGCAGCGGGGCGTGGAAGTGGTTTCAGAGCCATTTCCGATGCGGTAACTGGGAAGGAGAGAGCGAGAAATGGTGTTGATCAGCAGCTTGTCTCGCCGACGGATTCAAACCGCTCCCCATCACGAACCGGGTCAAGCACACCCTCCGGCGGACCAAGTTTCGACCTAGACTCCTCCAACACATCAAAGAGCACCATCCTCTCCGCCGCCGCGCGCTCAAACCGCAAGAAGGGGAAGAAAGAAACAAGCGCCTACACGCGCGGCCTCCAGAACATCTCCCCCAAAGAAGCGATGGAGAACTGCGACTACAGCGGCTGGATGAAGAAGAAGAGCACAAACATCATGACGACTTGGAAACCCCGTCTCTTCATCCTCAAGGGTCGCAGGCTATCGTACTACTACTCCGAGAACGACACAGAGGAGAAGGGACTCATCGATATCTCTTTCCATCGCGTCTTACCCGCTGATAACGATAGATTGACGGGACTGCACGCTACTATCACTGGTGCGATATCCGGCCCGAATAGTCCACAGGGCGCACAAACACCCACTACCGCCGAAACGGACGCCGCAGCCGAAGCAGGGAAGGGATTGAAAACAGAGGCGGACTCAATGTTCATCTTCAAACTCATGCCCCCCCGCACTGGCCTCTCTCGCGCCGTAACCTTCACCAAGCCAACAGTTCACTACTTCGCCGTCCCTAATATCGCGCAGGGACGCCTCTGGATGGCGGCCCTGATGAAGGCGACGATCGATAGGGATGATACAACCCCGATTACGACGACGTATCAGCAGAAGACGATTAGTCTTGCCAAGGCGAGGGCGATGAGACATAGGCCGCCGGCGTTGATGGGGTTGGAGGAGGGGGAGGAGAGGGGCGCGGGGGAGGGGGAGGGGGGGTTGAATATTAGGGGGGTGGGGCTTGAGGAGGGGGAGGAGGGGGGTGATGAGGAGGATGGAGGGGTGGGGGTGGCGGTTGGGGGGGAGGATAGTCCGGTTGGGGAGGAGGGGAAGATGCCTTTGACTGCCTAGGTTGAGGTGTCTGTGGGGAGGTGGTTTGTGTGTGGCGCCATATGGATCATATGGATATGGATCATATGGATGCACCACCAGACTGCGGAGGGGGGGTTGTATGTGGGGGCTTTGATATGGATGCCGAGATCTGGGGTGATGCAATTTTCTCTGATATTTTTGCATAAAGGGTTCAATTATTCTAATTTAGATACATTTGGGAAAACTGGGGAGGATGGCGGGGGGGGGTATATTTTTCGGACAAGATGTTTGGGGTTTTGGGAGCCAGCTGATACCAATAGATTGAGGGAAGGGGACGGGGCGGGAGCTTTGGGGTTTGGGATTGCGATGGGGATGGAATGGGGATGATGGGATAAGATACAGATGAAGTAGTTTTATGAAATGAACCCTGAGACGCCATGGAAAAGAAGATGATTTCTGGTGGAATTGGGGGGGGGGTGGGTGGTATATAGTTATATAGTAGATCGGCGGCGGTAACAAGAATGCGAGTTAAAAAACAAAATAATCATACAAGGCAGTTACGATCATGCGTGACTACTTCCTAACCACTCCCATTATTCGTCCATCCCCCACTATCCCCATCATCCCCATCTGTTGATTTACACCCCCCCTTGCCCCCTAAGCGCCGCTCCCGTCCAATTATCAAAGCCACAACACACGTCGCGCGTTGGAGTGTGTGGGACCGCGAATGTATTTATGTTGGATGTTCGAATCGGGCCACGCCAACGCCAGCCTAGAACCGCCTGCGCCTGCTTTGGGAATTGGGGGAGAACAAACGAAAAGAGATCCAACAGTTTCCCTTTGTTCTTGACGACACCACCACTACAAACTCGGCGGGGGGGGGGACTTTTATTGTTGGTTCCTTGTTTGTTGCCCTGGGCCTCCTTGGGGCGGCGAGAGAGTTTAGAATATAATATAGTATTCGTTATATACTCTCTCTTTCTCGATTTCACGATTTCTAGTGAGACTCACCTATCTGATGAAACGACCCTTACACCGCCCAGCCCAGACACTACACCCACCAGGCTCCACAGAAAAATGCGGAAACGATCAGATAAAGATAAGAGCGCCCACGCCGGCCCGGGAACCGTGCAGCAGATCGCATCCACCAACTGGACTGTGAACCTCTTCCTCGGCGGTGGTCAGGTTAGGTCTTGGATGAACAGCACAGCAGAAGCTGGAGCGCCTTCGAGTACGAGTACGACGATTTCACGGCCCAAGAAGCGAACGTCGGTCCTGGCTGCGACGACGACGGCGGGTGGCGATAAGAGGTGAGTTCGCGCGACCCTTAACTTCGGCGGAAACTCAGCAGCCCACTATTTTGTTTCTGGCACCCTCGTTGCGGATGCTGCCGAGGGGTGAATTGTAGATGAGGAGGAACTGAACTGAACTGACTTCTATCTTCAAAGACCGAAGACGGCGAGTACTGTACTTCCCTCGCCAGCGCCTAGCGATGAACCTAGCCCTACCAGGGAAACGGACTCGAGTCGCGTCATGCAAGAGGATACGGTTGGGATGGCTGAGCAACAACGGCTACCGGTGACGATGCAGGAGGCTGATACGCAGGAAGTGAGGAGGCCGACGACACGGCTGTCGATTGCGATGAGTCAACTGGGGACTGGTGGGAATGCTGAGGGACAGGCTGTGCGTAGGCCGGGGACGTTGGAGTCGCCGATTATGATTCAGCGGGGGGGGGATATAGATGGGGCGGGGCAGGATATGCGGAGGCTGGAAATGAAGATGCCGTCGATGTTGGTGCAGCAGGGGCAGGTGCAGCAGTCGCCTCCGTTGATGCAACAAAGTAATACAGTCAACGAACCGCAGGTTGTGCGGAGCCCGTCGACTCAGCAGCCGCAGATGGTCCAACAAAGGAATACAGGCAACGAACCGCAGGCCGTGCGGAGCCCCTCGACTCAGCAGCCGCAGATGGTCCAACAAAGGAATACAAACAACGAGTCACAAACACTGCAGAATGCCTGGACCAGGCAACCGGTGTCGAGTGGCTATACGCCGCAGGCGCCCGCTCCTCCTCCGGCGAAGAGGCGCAAGATGACGTATGGAGTATCCTGTTCTATTTGTTTGTAGATTAAATCACTAACTGAACTGCTCAACCAGATCCGCGAACCACCCGAGCCTGAAAAACATGCTGCCACTTCTCGAGCATCACGTCAATGCGCATGGAGGGATGCAGAATCTCTCGAGGAATATCGAGCGGCAGAGGTTTCAGATGCTTCAGAAGGCGTGTGAGAGCGATGACTACTTTTATTTTGCGCTCCATCAGATCTTCTGCCTTTACACTCTTGATCCTGAGTTGGTGGCTACGCTTATAATGCCGCAAGGGGGAACTGTTCTCGAGGTGGCGTTTGGAATTATCGGTCAACTTATGATGCCTAATTCCGCCATCTCGCCGGTCCACACGAAGTTCTTCTCGGTTTTTCCAAATCAGCTGCCGGAGCTTATACACAGATCGGACCAATACAAGCTAACAGTGAACAATGTGGCGACATTCCTAGCCAGGCTATCGCTGGAATGGCCAAAATATATTCCCGAATGCATTAATAGAGGATACCCACCTCTGGTGGACGAGCTCGTGGACCGATTTGGGCTTCTTTCTCCAATCCTTCAGCATATTATTTTCACCGCCACTCGACGGAATATGGGGATCCCCGACGATGAATACAGTGCCCAGATGGAGAAGCTATTCAGCCACGACCAAGAACTCCATCGTCAGATGGCAGCGAGGGTCAACACCGCATATCCGCCAACGGAAAGGGAGATCAACGAACGCAACCAATGGCAATCCAATCAGTATAAAACTGTTCGAGCTGCGCAGCTCCAACGGATAGAACAGATTCGTCAAGGGGAACCTTCGCACATGAGTCCGAATGCGACACGTCCCTTGCAACGACCAAATATGTTGGGACGCGTACAGTCTCCAAGCAACATCCCACCCGCGACGCAAGCCGGGCATCCTTCTCCTATTCGAACTACTATCATGCTATCGGAGGTACTAACTGCCTCGCCGCGGTCTACCACAGTGCCGTCTCCTCACCAATACCCCTGGCCATCCCAGGCAGCTCAGGCATGCCCTATGTTACCAAGCCAGCAAATTCTGCCTAGTCAAGCGCAGAATATCCAGCAGCCGTATCAGCCGAGTCAACCGCAGAACATGCAGCATAGACAAGCTCAGGTGAATGATATTGTGCGGACTGCCTCGAGGAATGCGTCTCGGAATGCTTCATTAGTACAATTTCCTGGGGCAGCGGGTAGTGCGGCTCCTTCACCTGTGCTGACGAACCAGCCTCGCCGTGTCTCGTCGTCCACGTACAGTATGACCGTTCCTACTATTGCTTCTATGCCTGCTGGATACAGTTCGCCGCAAGCACAGCCGCAACCACAGCAGAAGACCGGTAGGGTGCCGCTTATACCGCCCGTAGGCTACACTCCGCCGTATCAGTTCCCACAACCTGATCGCAGCGCCCTTCATCAAGCCCATCTCCGCAGTCCAGTCCTAAAACCCATCGATGCTGATGAAGGGCTGGTAGCAAACGAGACAGCTCCGAGGTATTACCAAGCCGTCCAATGCTTTGCTGTCAAGCCAACTACACTCCTGGATTCTCCCTTGCTCACCGAGCTATCATTCGCCGTTCCTAAACGCGTATACCCCAACATAGCCGAGGACAAAAGTTCCGACCTGTCGGCGCCTATGCTTCGAGAAGTGCGGCAGGGTAGTCTCCAGTACCGAGTCCGCTGCAGCAGGATGAATAAAGATGCTCCCATGGAGCCTTCGGATTTTGTTGTCGCGGATACGAGTTGGCCGCCTACTATATTCATGGAGATGAACGACTCTGTCATTGAAATCCGGCGTAAGAGCCACTATGGCAAAGACCGCCCCGTGGACATCACACCGCACGTTCTCGAGCGTGGTCCGGCGAAGAAAAACACACTAAGGGTTTGCGTACCCAGGCCGCCGAAGACGGGAAACGATATATTCTACTCCATCGCCATCGAAGTAATCGAAGTCTTCCGCCACCAGCAAATCATCGACATGTGTCTCCAAGAACAGCGCATAACCGCCCAAGAAATGATCGAAGACATCCGCGCCAAACTCTCCAACGCCAACATCGACGAAGACGACGACGTCGCCCTCGTCTCCGCAAACCTAACCATCGACCTCGCGGACCCCTTCACCTCACGCATCTTCACCACCCCCGTCCGCGGCGTCCGCTGTCGCCACAGGGAGTGCTTCGATCTCGAAACCTTCCTCATCTCGCGCAGCACCAAGCCCCACGAAGTCGCCTGCCTGCCTGATGTGTGGAAGTGCCCGCTGTGCGGCGGGGATGCAAGTCCGCGCGCACTCCGCGTCGACGAGTTTCTGGTCTCGGTTAGGGAGAGGTTGGAGAGGGAGGGGGGGCTGGATGCTAAGGCGATCTTGGTTACGGAGGATGGGGCGTGGACTGTGAAACCGGAGGCGTTGCCGGCGGGGAGGAGGAAGTCGAGGGGGCCCCAGGGGGGGAGTGTGCCGCGTGATGAGAGTGAGCATAGCTCCCCAGCAGCGCAATCCAGACAAGGAAGCCGGGCGGTGGAAGTAATCGAGGTGGATGATGATTGAGACGAAATGTGCGTTCAAATCAGATTGATTGGGAGAGGAGTTTGTTATTGAGGTTTTTTTGTATGCTCTCCAGGCGTACGTACGGGATTTTTATACCAGGATTTGGGCATTTTGCTAGCGCGCGTGGGTTTGGGAGACTTGGGAGGGTTATACGTGAGCGATTTGAGTCATTTATGACGGCTGTATATCAAAGTGGGAAAAGGGACCTCCGTTTGGCTGATTAGGGCGTCTGGAAAAGTAGAGGGGAGTTGTGAGGAGGTATAATGAAATGTGGTTTGCTGGGTTGTTTTAGCATGGGCCGAGGATTTGAGGGTTTATTAGGATGGAAGGGTGGCGGTGTGTTAATAGGCTATGGAGGCTGGGTTGATTATGATAGCTCCTCTACCTTGTTTGTAGGCTATTTGAAAGCAACTGTCTGCTCATTGATTCTATAAGCTATGATGATAACTTATGATAGTGTGTGTAGTCATTCCTTCCACCCTGTAGGATGCATGCTCAGATAAAGCAGGGACACCACAGACAACCGCATCTCCAAACCGCAGCAAAGCCTTCGCCAGCCTCCTCGCATCTCCAGCTCACCCTCCCCGCGCCGTAATCCTACAAATCCTCACCGGCATAACCGTCTCATAAAACGGTCCCCTCTGCCTCTCCGGTTCCACCGCCTCCCACCCCATCTGCTCAAGCCCAAACCCATACTTCCCACACAACCCCAGAAACTTCCCATACGTCTCCTCATTCCTCACCGTCGACGCAATTACCACCTGCGCCTTGGGGAATAGCTCCAACAAATCCCTAAACGTAGCCACCAGCGCCGGCAGCGCAGCAGCGTCGTACGTCACGTCGGCGCCGATAATGAAATCCGGGCTCTGGTGCTCGAGGAACGTGGCGTCCTCGTTCCCTAGGAGCGCGTGGCCCCATTTAAGTTCTCTCGTACTGACGAGGGGGGAGTCTTGCAGGTTGTTGATGAAGAGATTGGTTCCTAGGTCCGTCATAACGGTGTCGAAGCCGTCGGTGGCGGTGACGTGCGTGGCGCCTAGGTACTTGGCGCAGCAAATGGAGAGGTAGCCTGTCCCGGAGCCGAGTTCGAGGACGGATTTGCCGCGGAGGGAGAGCGAGGGGCGGAGGGTGGGGGAGCTGAGGAAGGAACTTAGTTGCAGGGAGGCTTCCCAGGTGCGGAAGCCGGTGGTGCCGGTGCCGCCGAGGAGGTTGCGGGATTCGAGGATGGTGATGGTGGGGGGGTCGGTTGGGGGTGGTGTGGATGACGGTGGTGAGGCCGAGGATGAAGATGACTCTTGGAGGAGGTTGGAAAGGGTGTAGGTCACGTATGACTTCTCCTGTGCGGCGACGGCTTCGGGTGGGATGGTGGTGGTGAGGAGGGAGGCGAAGGAGTTCATTAGGTCGTCAGAAATACTCTGCTATGGAGATACAAAGGTCAGACATTTGGTTTGGAGAGTGGAAGTCATCGAGTACGGGTAAATAAATAAATCAATGCTGCAAATATATATGATATAAGATGTTTGAACTGAAAAGAGAGAATCCTCATACTTCCTCTTCCCAATCGGTAATGCTCACTTCGATCCGCTTCATGAGCTCCTTTAGAACCCGCAGCTGATACCGTTGCGGCGGATACCATTTCATTGCATCTTCTGAGAAGACCTCAGAGTACAACATTTGTTGGAACTCCTCATGCTTCAAGCATTCTTTTGACGGGTATTTGAGACTTATCTGGAGTTGGAGATATTGGCGTTTAAAGAGGTCCAGTTCCTCCCGCCACATGAGCGGCATCATGGCTATCTCCCCGGAAGCACATTTCATTCTCCAAGGCGCCTGTAATATAATTGCTTCAATCAGGAAAAATCATCCTCGACGTCAAGAAAGCTCTTCTGTAGATCTCAGGAAGTGCTCACGTGCTTTCGCTGTGTCGCATGCCGTTGCCGCTTTGGGTTGGGCGGGGTCGGTCGTTCAGCCACATGAGGCTCAGCCTTAGTGGCTTAGGGTAGGGCTTCCACACAGCTTAAGCGCCTCGTTTAACCGACCAATTGCAAAACCGCACCAAAGCTAATCCTGAAATTTGTTGATACCCTAAGTTACGTTAGCCCTCCGAACTTCTCCCTCTCCCGCCAGCGACCTCACGACCAATTCGACATCTGTCTCGACTTCGCAGACAGCACATATCGTCAACATGGCCGACCGCGAGCAACCCGTTACGCTGAGAACGCGCAAGTTCATCCGCAACCCTCTTTTGGGCCGCAAGCAGATGGTCATGTAAGTTCATCCACCACGCCAGCCCACGATCGCAAAAAACACGCTCCGCAGAACGGGGAAGAGATATTGAGCAACTGCTCTGCGGAAATGGATCAGGATATATATATATTGGAATTGGGAAGCGCAAGGGCTAACACAATCCTGACAGTGACGTCCTGCACCCAAACCGCGCCAACGTGTCCAAGGACGACCTCCGTGGCAAGCTCGCTGAGCTGTACAAGTGCACCAAGGACCAGATCAACGTCTTCGGTCTCCAGACCCAGTTCGGTGGCGGCAAGACCACCGGCTTCGCCCTCGTTTACGATTCCCCAGAGGCCCTCAAGAAGTTCGAGCCTCACTTCAGACTTGTCCGTGTCGGTGTCGCAGAGAAGATCGAGAAGCCATCCAGAGCGCAACGTACGTCCACCGAAACAATCCCTCGGATCCGCGAGACACCATATCATGGAGGAATCAGAGTGCTAACATTAGAACAGGCCATCAACGCAAGAACAGGCTCAAGACCCTCCGCGGAACGGCCAAGGTCAAGGGACCCAAGAAGAAGAAGAACGACGACTAAGCTATTCGCCTTGTGTATGGAGCATACGGTGGTTTGGTTGCGGTGGGTGTTGGGTTGTTCGGGAAGACAGGCATCGTGTATTCGCATTGCATCGGTCTCCTTATATTGTGGTAGCAGAAATTAAGGAAACGAATCGGGACATGATGGCATGAATTCGATCGCTCCGCTGGCCCAATACCATTTCAATTGAGGTTTACAATCCATTCGCTGGCTCTGCGTGTTTGTGTGACAGTAATTTTCCCTTCATGTCTTTTGCTGATGGAAAAGTGTATTCTATTGACAGAAAATATTTTACAAATGGACAATTTCGCGAATATACGTTTGACTGCCATCAAGGTCATGCCTTCCACACCAAGCGTCAGGGTAATTGCCAAACAAACAAACCCGGAAACCCGACTGTACTATGTTTTGCCCATCCAGACACCCTTTCAGCCGCGGCACAGGATAACGAACTCCACATTAAGGATCCTCCATATCTCACCACAAAACTGTTGCACATTTGTCTTGCTCTCCTCACGAGCAGTCACTCTGGTAGGCAAGGGTGTATTTTCTTCTATCTCCTCTCGATGTCGCATATTCTATATTTCTACACTACGCAGCCTTGTTCAGCCAAGGCCAGGCAGTCCGCCCAGCCCAGCGACTGATCCTCAATGTTCCTCGAGACCTGCCCGGAAAGCTACTCCTACTTGCAGACGGGCTCATTTGCACGATGAGCAAGCCAGGTTTTGGGAGGGCTTTATTGTTGACCAGCATGTCCAACGCAAGAAGTGGTGGGTGAACGGTGATCTATATCATCTACATTTCCAACCAAAAGCTGCTTGATGGTGAACAAGGTCACTCACAAGATCATATCTGTACTCTCCCTCGCTCTTGTTATATGTATGCGCATAAAGCTAATAGTCATTTACAAAGCCAGTCCAAAGACTACCGAGTCCGACAACTATGGCCCCCGGGCCTAGTACTCATTATCCCGACTCCATCTCCATCCCGTTCCCGTTTCCCAGTTTCCCAAAAGAAGAAAGTCCACGCGATACACCACCGTCTCAATTAAACATGGGGTCTACTGCCCCATTAACGTTGCAGCACATCAGGGGCCTGCCCGTCGTATAATGACGTGTGGTCGATTTGCGCCATCGGTGCTGTTTCGGTCGATGGAGGCTGACGCAAACACGGCCTAAAGGTGACAAAAAACGCCAAAAACCGAGACAATAAAAAAGAACAAACTCCCCCAATCCCGCCCCCGCAACCCCAAGCAATGTCCAAAGGGCCTATTGTGGGTGTGTGATGAATTAGCCCAGTGATTTTTTTGTCTATCCGTGAAAAGAAGTCAAAAAAAAACCAAACCTGTTTGCTTGTTCCGCTGTGTTTCGGGAAGCAAACAAACGCATGCACACTTTACAACTGATAAATGACAACCCAATAAAATATTTCGGGAAACTGCTAAGGAACAGGACGATGAATTGAAAGCGCGCGCTATTAGAAGACAAGAAGAAGCCTTGCCGGAAATTGCAGCGCCACAATGACAGGCTTCTCATGCAACCACATTGCTGATGGCTTCTCGGTGGAGGGAGGTCTCGTGGAGACGGTCCTGGTCGTCGCTCAGTGCCTGACCCGCACGGCCTGAGCTTGAGCTTGTGAACGGCACGTATACGTTTCCATCACATAGCGTTCCTCCTGTGTCCATTTGCAGCTTGCGGACGGGCAAGTTGTCGCTGCTGGCGCCGTAACTGAAAAGTTCGGCTTGTGAGGTTTGGGCGCGCAATGATGGCTGATGGGCTGGAGTGTGTGTCCAGCCATTGGAGGTGCTGACATATAAATCTTGCTCGCCAGTGTTGTCGGTGGAAGAGTATGAATGAGACGTGCCGTCCGAAGATACTGATAGAGGAGCTTCGCTGTCCGTCTTGATCCCAGAACCGGAATTTGGGGCCAAGCCGCTATAGTATACAACCCCATCGGATGTACGGGCCAAAGGGCGTGCAGGCATGGGAAGCACTCGTTCATTGCTTGTCAGAGCAGATGCCGCTGGAAGTGAGCTCGCCATACTGTGGAAGGAGAAGTTGCTTGATTCCGTGCTGATGCTAGAGCGGGATGCATAACTCGCAGCGTGGTTGTACAGCAGAGGAGGCGCCGAAGTATAGGCACAAGATGGGTCCGGATCGTAGCACGCAGCGTTTCCAGCTGCTTTCAATCCGGGAGCCGGTGTCCACGGCCTGGCTGGCGGGTTTGTCGCATATTGAAGTCCGATTTGGTCCTGGTTTAACTGCTGGAACGTATGGGGCATGATGTTGTAATCGACACCATCATCGGCGTAATCGATCCCGTATGGAGGCGTGTAATAGGCGGCCTTGGTTGGATACTGATAATCATTGAGGGGCAGCTGTCTATATGACTGCTGGCTGCCAAGAGTGTTCCCTATTGAAGGGGTCCCGTATGGTGCTGTGTAGCATGGGAGGCCTCTGCTCCGATGAAGAGTGCGCAGGGCAGCGGAAGAGTCGTAATTGAAGCTGTCCTTGACGAATGGCAACTCCTCTGACTGAACCTAACCAGGAGTTAACTATCTGATGCCACGAGTGATAATAGAAAACAAGTCCCGAACTTACTCTATTGAACTGGCAGTGGTCGTTGGTGCCAGCTAATTTACAGTTATGGCAGCCATCGTCTCCTTGGGGACCACTGCATTTGATCTTGCGTTTTCGACAGCGCCCGCACTAATAACCAAATTAGGATATGAGTCTTTGGGGGGAACAGATATACGTACAGCGACAGGTATCCTCCGGCGCTGCTGTGGTTTCTGGCCCTCCTCTTGATCTTGATCATTCGGGTGAGTCTCGTGGGTCGACATCGGATAGCCTCGAATCCCGTTTCTCATTCTTTCACCATTGGATTGGTTATATCTCTCATGGCTCACTTGATATGGTATGCCATTGCGGCTGTAGCGGGTAATGCATGGATGTTCAATATCCTCACTCCAAAGTTTTGTCATGTTCTACGATTTTTTCCCCGTCAGTATATATGCCTTATGATTTCTTAGAATATGAAAACCTTGGGAACTCACTCCAATTTATCCACCGCTATGATAGTTTGACTCCTGTAAATAGAAGTGAGAATCAACCAAGTTCAGTATCTGCAGCAGGGAGGCGTAGGTCATGGTATGCTCAATCTCATGTCATACATATAATGGGAGATAAGTTAGAGAAATCGTGGGGTTGCGGAGGCCATCCATGTATTGTTATATCCCCCGCGTGGAGTGTTTGCACCATCTCGCGAATAGTATGCGGGGGCAGTAAATGCGATAGATCAGCACAGGGTCGTTTTGCAACCCTGTAGCCTCGTACCACCACGGTATGTGCCTCCATAACTCCCCGTAGAGACGACTGTACCTAAGTGGTATTTTGTGGCGCCTGAGCTATGGGCGCCTGCATATTTCTCTGTTCGTCTGTCTCTCAGGAGAGCTTCGTATCAAATATTCACACAGATATGAATCGACAGCGTTTAACAAACGGATTTAACCAGCCACTGAGAATACACAGACAGAGTCTGTTTGGGCCGCGGGGAAGATTGCTATTGACTCTTCACTCAAAGCAACGTATAATAAGTCAGGTGTAATAAGCTGTCTCGGGTTCATGAGACTGTTCACTATCAAACGAATAGATTTGCCAAGCACAGCGACTTGGAGGACGCCATGAGTCCAGGTCACCTCAGTTGCGCCCATGAATATAACATAAGTTAAGGTAGGCTGTAGCTTTCCGGCTCTCCCCATTGCATTCCATATTAGTAACCTATTCAGCAGAGGTACATCTTGGCCAAGCTCTCTAGAAATATCTTTTTTTGGAATAATTTATGATGCGCAGGCGAAGGGAGAATACTGCATCATGGAAACGATTCAACGGGCCAAACGGGCTCTGTAAGTGATATTAATAGCCAAAGCACTGCATTTATAGAATGACACAAGGAAAATTTCCCAGTAATTTACTTTCTCAGCGCAAGTAATTTTGGAACGAGCTATATTGATTTTGAGCTTCTCAAAGTTACTAGACTCGACGGTTACTCCCGTTCAGCAAGTGCCAGAGCTTGTGTTTGCTTAATGCAAGGCCAGCCCCAAAGGGGTCTCGTTCCACTCTGTAAGAGGCCCCTATGTGCCCCTCATTTATGATATATTCGTTGTACGGAAAAGCTGTGAAGCTTCCACTTCTTGCATCCGACTTTAGAACCGGGTCAGATGAGCGAATGCGCGGACATGGCTGGGATTTGCTTGGACGGTGGAAATGAATGCATTGGATGTACATGTTGCAGGAAGGCGATGAGTCAGCAGAAGCACTTGCATGTCAATGATATAAAATGAAAGAATAATCCGGCCTCATGTACGCAGGGTAACACGGTGACTTCATGCGGTTGAATGCCATTGGGTCGGCAAACTTTGGTCCACGACGTGAGAAATTTGTCATGAAATTCGACCCAGAAATAATGTCCTTTCGAAACCCAGTATTCCCATTCCCAGTATAACAAGGATCTAATAATGAATCGATTGGCAGGAGACAGTCGTGGCCAAAATCTAATAATGAATCAATTTGTGGAAGACAGACGAGGGCAAGCTCAAACATCGCCTTTCCCATGTTCCCTGGCTGTCTCTAGCGGATAGGGAGGGACAAGCAAGACATGTTCTGTGGCCTATGACTTGCATTCCGTGATCGTAGGTAGATGCAGGGTTGGCCTCGCTCTCCGATATTTTCGAGATCTATACGGACGACCTTGACCTGCAACAGAAAGGACTACTTTCAAACTCTCGTATGACCCGTGTGGTAACATAAAGCACGAGGCTCGTGATTCTGAGCCATTGGAGAATATCTGAGCTGCTTCATTCCATATTCAGAACTGCATTTACTCAAATCCCACCATCCTTAGCTTCCAAACGTTTCCATCCCCAGCACGTGGTAAGCAGTAGTACCCCTGTTAATTTGTGTTTGGTACTTCTGAGCAAGGCATTTGCCCGTTGTAGCAAGGAGCGAGATGTGGTCTCCAAGGAATAAGCGGACGCGGGCTCGGAGGATTGCTAAACAGCCACCAGGTAGGGAATATGAGGCGGTCTCCGAAAAAAGATCCGCCCCCCTCCTTTCACATGGACCCTGACCCTACATATGCGGGGGTTTTCCACGGAAGATAAGAGGTCAGCTTCGTTTACCGTATGAAAGCTCCAGTGGTAGTGGGGTTCTGCCAAAGGCGACAGCAGTGGTGGTATTCCAGAATGCATGCGGCCGAGACCAAGTTTAGTCTATGCCAGGGCGACAACAGACATCTATCGGAGTGTGCTTGCGGGACCCTTCACCGACACCCCTTGGATGCTTGAAGGCTGCATAAGGACATAAATGGAAAGGTAAAAACAGTCAAATCTCTGAGGCGGATATACAAATAAGAGATGTACTTGTACAGTATTGTAAGTATCGTACAGTCGTACATGTGTGCTGCAGATGATATGGGAGTGCTCCAAGGGGTTGCAAAGAGGCGTCAAGAGGCGTCAAGACCATGAGAGCGTCTAGAGACATATGTTAGTTTGCTGCTAAATTTCTGTTTTGTGATTGGTTGGTATATGAATAGGTTGTTTGTTACAAGGTCAGGGTGCGCAGGCATTCACCGCCAACTTGTGAGACAAAGAGCAATCTTCAATCCTGCAGCCAGTAGAGACCTCTCAGTCGGACAGCCAAGGACCAGGTTGTTGCACAAGTAGGAATAATGATAGGTATATTTGTAGGGGGCTGGAAATATAATGATGGTCGCCGCTTTGCTACGAGTAATCTGAGGGATTAGAGATTGATGTCTAAATTTATGATTAGGGATCCCTTGCGTAGAAATAAAATGATGTGCATGACGAAGCAAGGAAGCAAACCTTCCTTGGGTTGTTAGGGATGGCGCGTGAGTGGAGCTCCAGTAAATAGCCGCGTCTGGGCGCCTATCCCCACCGATCGATCGATCGCAAGGCTCGACCCTCGCGATTTATGAGGGGAGCTACTTGGTTAGTGACGAATATACGTGTTTTTGGACATGAGTTTGTGCAATAGAGACGGCGGATTGTAGCAAAGCACAATTCACAATCAAACGCTGCTTAATATTTTACGATCCAATAGGAATCATGAGTGTTCTCTTGGAGACCTCTGCTGGCGACATCGTCATCGACCTTCTTGTCGATTACGCGCCAAAGCTCTGCGAGAAGTGAGTGCAACCCCATATCCCCCCCCCGCACCGCCCAAGTAGCTGAATACATAGATCCTAACACTCCCGCTCGATATAGCTTCCTTAAGCTCTGCAAAGTCAAGTACTACAACTTCTCGCCCGTTTATGGCGTGCAGAAGAACTTCTCGTTTCAGAGCGGCGACCCACTCGGACCAGACTCGAAACACAGCGATGGCGGAAGCTCGATATGGGGAATCCTGGATGGCCCAGCGAAGAGGACGTTCGAAGCGGAATTAAACCCGAAGCTGAAGCATGCAGAGCGAGGCACAGTGAGCATGGCAACTGTACAGTCACCACGAGACCCCGACAAGCGAATCGCAGGGAGTCAGTTTATAATTACACTTGGCGATGAGTTGGATTACCTGGATGGCAAAGCGGCGATATTCGGGAAGGTTGTTGAGGGATTTGACGCACTGGAGAAGATAAACGAGGCAATATGCGACGAGAAGGGGAGGCCTATGGTGGATATCCGCATAAAACATACTGTCGTCCTTGATGACCCTTACGACGACCCACCCGGATTGACCGAACCCCCTGGATCGCCTCCCCCAAGCAAGGAGCAGCTCGCAACGGTCCGTATTGGCGAAGATGAAAACCTCGAAGAGACAACGGACCCAGAAGCCGTGGAACGGCAACGGCGAGAGCGCGAGGCTCGGGCCCAAGCGCTCACACTGGAGATGGTGGGCGATCTCCCATTCGCTGAAGTCAAGCCTCCCGAGAACGTCCTATTTGTATGCAAGCTTAACCCAGTAACTACAGGTAAGACACTGCTATCAGCCTCAAGCCCAACAATGCTAACTGCCGCCTTAGACGAGGACCTTGAGTTGATCTTCTCCCGCTTTGGCACTATCCTCTCCTGCGAAGTCATTCGTGACAAGCGAACTGGCGACAGTCTTCAATACGCCTTTATTGAATATGCAGACCAGGCTTCTTGCGAGCAAGCTTACTTCAAGATGCAAGGGGTGCTTATTGACGACCACCGAATCCACGTCGACTTTTCGCAGTCAGTGTCGAAGCTCTCTGACTCGTGGCGCACAGCAACGAATTCTAAGAGGCGGCAAGGCGGTGGCGGATTTGGTGGCGTGAGTGGGCTGGAGAAAAAGAGGCAGTATAAGGCAGACGACTATGGAGTGAGGAGGGATAGGTACGGGATGGTATATGACGAGGATGAACTGCGGAGGAGGGGTGAGAGGGAACGTGAAATGGGCGGCAAGCCTAGTCGCAGCCCAGAAAGGCGTGAAAAATCACGAAGCAGGAGTCCGAGCCCGCGCAGGAAAGAGACGCGTCACTACGATTCACGAGACGATGGAAGGAGACGCGACGACAGGGATAGGGATAGATACCGTGACCGTGGCTACGAGAGTCGAGGCGGTGGTAGTAGAAGGGATGACGGATATAGGAGGCGCTGAAGCGGCGTTGTAAACGGTTGCACTGCGTTGCGGCATTATTCCGTGACGCGCACGTAGAACCTATGAAATAATCAAAATATGAAGCCACCCCCAAGCACGACAACAAATACGTCAATTATTAGATACAGATCCGATAAGATACCCTCGTACCCACGGCGCCAAGCACGTAATCCATTGTCCTCTAGCTTCCGCAAGACATTCATGCAGCTATGCGTATTCTGCAAGTCTTCACTTCCGGCGATCTCCTCCCCCCGGGCGTACAGGCAAGGTGTGAGCAAGCAAACAACAGCTAGGGGGGTAGCCTTGTAAATGACTCTCTGCCAGATCCCGTCCGAAGTTTCTCGACCCCCGCCACACGTGGCAGCATCCCTTACTGTCGTATGCACGGTCGATCATTCGGCATCAGTCGTCAGAGTGTAACTCGGGGAAAGGAATTATTCAACCCGACGATGCGCCAACATCATACGCCGTCCCGCGATTCAACGCCTCATCGAGCCTGACAATCGTGTTCTCGTAAACCTTTGCGACATCCATGTTATGCAGATCGGATTCGTCCTCGTCCCAGTCCATCTGCGCACCCCCCCCATCCGTCCCCTCATCCTCCGTCTCTGTAGCCATACTCCCCTCATCCTCCACCTCCCCTTCCCTCCCCATAACCTCCACGACAACAACACGCGTCTGCTCAACAATACTCTTACACCTCACCATATCCGTCCTGCTCATCCCACTCCCCTCCTCCTCTAAGCCCGGCAGCGCCTCCCCACTCGCCACATCCTTTCCAACCAACAAACTCGCAAGCGCATGGTCCATCTTCCTCAACAACCCGAATGTCGCCCCCGGCGCAGCTGGAAACGCTGGTAGATACGTCGATACCGCCAGTGCGATATTAAACAAATACGGAATCTGCAGACTCGCTACCCCACCACGTCAGTATTAACATCCGTTTCAAACGCAAGGAGCCGCCCGCTCGCCCCCCTCCCGAGTCCAGGGCCCAGCGCATCCACCAAAGCAACCCGCCCAAGAAAAAGAAAAGAAAATAAAGGAACAAACTCACGCGTCCCACTCCTCCAAAGTACATCCACAACCTCCCCCAAATCCCTACACACATCCCCCATCCTCTCATACCCCTTCCCCTCCTCTCCCTCCCCCGGCCCCCTCATCTCCACCGGCTGGAACTTCTTCACATACCGTCTCGAAACCTTCAACAGCGCATTCTCGACCCACCGCCGCGTCGTCTCTTCTCTGCCGCTGCCCGGGCGGAGGGGGCGCGGCCGCGGGTGCGGGAGGTTGGTGTAGGTGTGGGGGGAGGAGATGGAAGGGGTGGGGGAGAGGGGGGTAGGCAGGAAGCCGCCGGGGAGAGGGGTGGACATGGGGTAGGTGGGTAAAGTGGGTGAGTGCAGGTGGTGAGGGGTTTCTGGAAGGGCGGATGATGGGGTTGTGGATGAGAGGTGTTTTGGTGGAGGCTGGTGGGAAGTGGAGAGGGAGGGGCGAGGCTGAGGAGCCGCGAAGGCGACGGATGCGATGACGAGGTAAGGCTGCGAGGCTGAAAGAGACGAGTTATTTTGTCAAGGGGATGGATTTTTAATCATTTCTACACATTGAAATCAATATATTGTATAAACACAAATTTGATATTCCCAAATCGTGATTTCTAGTGCTACAATACATCATCATACATAAATCCCTCCCATCATCTCAGCCTCACATTTTCCAAATATCACTCCTCCATTTCCACCCCCAAAAAATAAATCCAAATCCCTACCCCCCCATTACTACCATTCACCATCACCCACCTCCTCATCAGACGAAACCTCCTTCCCCCCTCAGCTACCCCACTTCTAACACTTCTAACACTTCTAACCCCCCTCCCCTCCCTTCTCCCGCCAGCCCCCCTTCTCGAAGCCCGCCCATCCCCGTCACACCGCCAACGCGCCGTGCAACCACACCACCCTGCCGCCTCAACCCCTACTCCCTCCCCTCACCCACCCCTAACCCCCTCCGACGCTCCTCCTTCCCGTGCCGCCCCCCTTCCCTGCATCCTGCACGTCACCCACACCCCTATCCTCGCCCGCCTTGCATCCCCATCCACATACCCCCCGGCGCAGCGTATCCCAGCCCCCGTCTTCCACATCAAGGTAATCCACCTCATCCACCCCATCACGTCAAACCATCTCCACTTCTCCCATTTCTATAGGAGATCCACAGCCACATCCCAACCGATCGATACCCAAGTCCCCCCTCGGCCGCATCCTCACCGACCCCGTCAGCTGCCAGCTTTTGCCAGCTGCCGGAAAACGGGCCCCTAGGAGAGGGAGAGGGTGAGGGATCAGGGGTGACAAATACGCGAGACCGGTGAGAAAAAGGGGTGTAACGTCGGCAAGGCGGGCGTGAAGTCGGTCGGTTTGTCAGTGGAACCGGTCAGCCAGCTTGCTTAGTTAATGCAAGCCGGTCAGTCAAGCCAAGCCAGTCCAGCCAGTAAAGCCATCCGAGTCCGCAACGCCTTCAATGCCCTCAACGCCTTCGTGTCCGTGACGCCCTCCTGTAAGGGGGGACGGTACGGCTGCTGGGCGGGAGGAGGGGGTAGGATGCGCCATTTCCATACCACCCGATCCTCCCGATCAGATCACCACACACCAAGCCAAGGGGATCACGACACCACTACACAACACGACACAGCACAGGGCACAGCATCAGATCTAGTCACATGCTACACCACACCCCCCCGCACCACCGCACCACCGCAGCACAGCAGCAGCATGTAGGTAGAGCCTACAACAAACACACAGCGCGATCAGATCTGGGAGATTAGCAGTATCGTCGTCATCATGGTCATTAACAATCACCGTCAGCAGCAGCAGCAGCACCAGGCATGGATGCAGTCACAGACAGGCAGGCAGACAAGATAGAGACATAAGACAGGGCAAAAAAGTCGGTGACCATAATTCATCTTTCATTCTCCCGCTCCCCCAACCCCACCATCCATTTGAATCCCAGCCTACCCAGGCCAGACAGACATAGCTACGTACGTCCCCCCCCTTCGCCGCGGTGGCACAAGCGCCCAAAAAAAAACAATAACAACAAAGAGTTACACGCAAGCCCACCTCCCCCTTCCACTTCCCCTTCCCCGCCAGAGAGACAGAGGGGGAGGTAAACAAAATAAACATATCCACAAAACCAAAGAGAGGGAAAAACAAGAACAACAAAAACAAATTCCTGCCCGAGACGCCAACTTTCCGTTAATAAATAGCAGATCCTGAAACCGTTAAAGGATCTTCCTGCCTGACTACCCTTCCCGTACTCCCTACCCCACCCCACCATCTCCCTCCCATCTCCCATCCCCTTCTCTCTCAACTCTCAACACTCTCTCTTCTTTTCCCCCCACTTCGACCCTCCCCTACTGGATTCAGCCTGTCGACGAGGCTCGTGCGCTGCGACAAGAGTGTTGTGGTGCGTTCCGTTGCGCTGTGAGACACGCATATAGAGTGGTTGTGCACGATCCCCACCCCCTTGCCTGTTCGTCTCCTTACCCACTCCCTCCCGAGACACCTCGTAACAAGAACACGAACAAGCCCAAGCACGCTCGCTCCCCCCATCCGCTGTTTTCCTTGCGCGATTTTTTTTTTCGGTTCGGGCGTCTGCGTACCACCACCGTAGCCGCGCATTCTTTTCCCCGTCCACCACAGCGCGTAGCGAGAGTAGGGGACCAGGGGGGGGACCCCAACCAACCACATCGGAAAGAACTTTCCGAACCCCCTTTTTGACAAACGGCGGCAGTATGTAGCCAAAAAAAAAAAAGAGGGGAGGTGGGGTGAGTGAACGACCAAGACCCAACCAACAACGACGACGACGATGACGATGATCAAAAAAAGAACTATCAGCTTTTTCTTTCTCTAAAATAAGAACCGCGCGAAATTCCCCATAACCCCCCAACCAAAGAAAAGAAAAAGCAAAAGCAAAAGACCCAGCGCGCCTCCCTTCCCGGACCCAAGATAATTGAGGAAATAATTGGGAAAAGGGGAGAATAGTGAACAAGTTGAAAACAATGATGATAGATGTTTGATTGATGTGAATAATGCACAGAGGAGTGGTATAACCGGTTTGGTGACTTTGACTACAACGAACGAACGAGAAAACGCCATTTATTCGCAGGTATCTCCATATTGGTCGGTAGTTTGCGTAATGTGATGTGATGTGAGTGAGTGATGATAAACGCCTTTAAGTGTGTGAGGTGAGGTGAGTTGGGGGCGCATGAGTTGTGTGTAGCAACCCTCCCCCTTTTTTCGATATAAAAGCAACGAGAGACGGAGCCAGAGGGGGGGTTTACTCTGCAATAACTTCTTGATCGAGGAACGTGGCGTCGAAGGAGAAGTTATCCGGGTTATCGTCATTGTTATTAAGGAACGAGTCGAAGTCAAAGTCCTGCAGCACATCGCCACCACCCGCAGTCGGGTTTGCGAAATCCATCGACATGCCCGACATGAAATTGCTGTCGTCCATCGAGAACACGCCGTTCTGCACGGGCTCTGGTTGTGGCTGCGTGATGACGGGGGGTTGCGAGACGGCCGGCGCTGCAGGCTGGCCGTTCGCTTGTCCGTTGTTCTGCCCGTTCTTGTTGAAGCTCTGGGCGTGCATGGGCGTGATCGGCGTCGCGGGTGTAGGCGTCGCCGCTTCCGTGGCACCCTCGGCGGCGGGTGTTACCCCTGCGGGAGCTGCCTTCTTTGTGTTTCGCTGAGAAAAAGTGTTAGCATCAGTATACTATGATAAATGTTGGAAAGCGGGAGTAAATTACCTTGGGCTTGGTATCCTTCTTTGCCTTGGGGTTCGCCTTGGTAGTTTGGGATGGAGTGGGGGGTGCCGCGGGCTGTTGTGGGGAAGAGGTTGTTGTGCGGCCGTTCGCTGCCTGAGCAACAGCAGGTGCAGATGGCGGTGGCATGGCGCGTTGCTGAGGTGTCCCAACTGGCTGAGGTGTCGGCGCCCCTGGTTGCGATGCTTGTTGCATCATAGGGGTACCATTAGGCCCAGCAGGCCATCCCTGGACTTGTTGGTTGACATTGCCCTGCTGCTGCTGCTGCTGTTGCTGCTGCTGCCGTTGCATGTTGATCATCTGCTGGTTGGGCTGGCCATTGGCATTGAACGCAGTAGGATGCGAACTCGGGGGACGCATCACGTTCGGCACACCACCAATCATACCTCCCTCCATTCCATTAACCTTTCCATAGAAGTGAGGTGTCATGTTCGGGTCGATGTTGCCGGGCATGAAACCCATTGAGCCAGGAGATCCGCGAGACTGGCCTTCAGGCACTGGCGAAGGCACGCCCGTCGTGTTCATCTGCGGTGTCCCCCGCTTCATATCATTCGGATTTGGCGAGTTAACAGATCGAGCTCCCTGCGGCGACGTTCCCTGGAAAGCTTGTCCATTAGGTCCACCAGGTCCACCCGGTCCCCCTTGTCCAGGTCCACCAGACCCATCACGGTTATTCGTCAATCCATCCTGTTCTTGTCGGGCCATTAACAATCGCTTCTTATTCTGCTGCTCCAATAGCATCAACTGCATCTGGTAATCTTGCAGGGCGTGGCTGCCATTATTAGGCCCTACGTTAGCCCCCGGTCGCATGCCGCTCGTCTCAGCGTTGTAGTAGCCCGCAATATTGCCGTCTTGGTTCGGCATCATGGGAGAGCCCTGGCCTTGCGGTCCATTTGGATTGGGCATTCCCTTGTTAGGCATCTGGCTTTGCTGGTGCTGGGCGAGGTTGTTGTTGTACTGCTGCAAGGCCTTGGGGCCTTGCGCCTGGCCAGGGAAGTTCTGGAATTGTTGCGCGGTCAAGTTGCCAGGGTTGATACCATTGGCAAGGAGCATCTGCGCGTTTGGTGCGACGTTGCCACCGGGACCGGCACCCTGCTGGCCCGGAATACCCTGTCCCCTTCCATTCGGCATCATTCCTTGGGCTGCGTTGAACGGCGCGTTTTCGAGGCGGGGGCGTTTCGATGGCGACGGCGCGCCCTCAGCGGACCCGGGTGATTGTGGCCTCTGCTGGCGGTTGCCGTCCATATCGGAGCCGTCTCGTTGCATCTGCTGCTGTTGTAGTTGCTGGTTCTGTTTCGCTTGTTGTTGTGCGATTAACTGCATTTGTTGCTGGGGAGTTCTGTGATTCTGATTAGCGCCATTCTACCCCAATTCTTCGGACACAACATACATATTACGATTGTTATTCTGCATAGCTTTGCGGGCAAGGTCGTTCGGGGCCATCCCCATGCCATTTGGCTGGCCACGCATGCCCATCATCCCGCCCTGGCTCATCGCGCGGAGCATCTGTTGTTGTTGCTCCTGCTTGAACCTCGATTGAGCCTATCGCGAATATTAGCCACCGAGCATTCAAAATATTACGTTGCGACACGACTTACTTGTGTGTAGTTTGCATAGCGCTGCGCGTTTTGCGATTCGGATTTGCCCCTCTGCGCGTTGAACATATCCCAAAACAAGCTCCACCACTCGAAGAGGAAGCAACTCTCGGAAGATTCCCTAGGTAGGTTGGGGGCGGGTAAGTCATCCGGCCTCTTCATATCGATGCCCTCCTTGGTGTCCTCCATATCGTCGGACCCAGCGCCATCGACGGGGTTCCCGTTCGCATCGCGCTGCTGGTTGGGGCTCCCCTTGAGGAGGTTGACGGGCTGCTCGCTATTGATGAGAGCCCTGGCGCAATCGTACATCTCGTTGCAGATGAAGTATTCGTAGATATATGTGTTCAGGCGAGCCCTCTGCTGGGAGTCGTCCACGGGCAAGGCGCGCTGGTTTCCAGGGACGCCGTTGTTCATCATGGGCACGGCGCCACCGACGGCGCCAGCGCCCATGGCGTTCAGGGCGGCCATGTTCACGTTGTTATTCATCGCGGGTGACGAAGTTCGCGACCGAAGACAACGTCTGATGAAATGGGGGAGGTGTCGAAGTCGTCGCGATGACTTTTACGGGGGGCCACGATGGATTTTGTTTCAGCGACGCGATGAGCGTCGGGATGGTGGATGTGTCGGTCGTCGCAAAGATTCTCTGTCTGTTCGGGGATTATGTGTGATGTGTGGCCGCGTACAGGGGGAAAATCCGGGTGTCTCCTCGTCCCTTCGTGTCCAACAGGAAGTCGAGGAGTGATCGTGGCGAAAGGGGTGGGTTGTATGTATTCGGGGGGTGGTTGTATCTTTAATTTTGCTGACCGAGCAGTGGGCGGAAGGGCGGAGAGAGGTGGGAGGGGAGGGCGGAGAGGGAGGCGACAGCGATAGTTGGAATCAGTCAAGATGTGTCGGTGGTTGGTTGGAAGAGAGTGAGGGTTAGAATGGAGAGAGTTGGTGAAGGAAGAGTATATCTGATTGAGGGTAGAGAGTAGTTGAGTTTAGAGTGCTCCACCATGGAGATGTGCAGCAGTCAGTACAGTGGCTCAGTGGCTCCCACGTCGATTCCCAAGAAATGGCGGCGTGACTGGAAAGAAGCGAGCTGGTAGGGAGAGGGGGAGAGACCATAAGCGCAGATTATATGTGGTGGCTGTAATTTACGGATTTGTGTATGGGGTGTCTAGAAAATGTTTATATGATAGCAGTAGAGTAGATATATCTAGTAGTAGAGTAGTAGATTATAGAGATCTCTAAAAGATAACTCTAGCTGTGTTGTTGTGCGCTACAATCGTGTATAGTATAGAAGATAGAGTAGACTAGAGTAGTCGATATAGCATAGTAGTACAACACAGAGCAATCTAGCAGTAGTTGTTGTTGTACTGTACGTCAGACTGCAGAACCCCAAAGTGCAGTCTTTGGAGTATTAGAGTGTGCTACAGAGTGCTATAGATGGCAAGTGTGTAGTACTGTGGAGTGACTATAGGGTGCTATAGGGTGCTTATACAGTGCTAGATGTGCTAGATGTGCTAGATGTGAGGCTGCTATATACCCGTTGTATCCTAGTTGTACCCTCCCGTACCTATCCCCGGACCAGACCACCGTACTACTGAACCACCACACAGTAGCAGGTACACTCCTCTATCCTCTAAATTCTATGGGACGGACTACGGAGGACCCTTGAGGGCCTTGTCCCGACGTGCCGACGTCTGTAGGGCTACAATAACTAGCATAACTAGCAGAATTAGCAAGTAATAACATACTACATATTAATATTTTGTATAGAGATATCAACAATACTCACCAATTCCCCCATCAACAACAAATATATCCAAGATATTACACGACTATCTACAACCATAAATCCATCCCATATCATATCATTTACGACCAAAAAAACCCTCATCACCGACGCGGGGGGGGCGGGGGGATAATTCCCACCAAGAGGGGCGGGAAATGTGTTATTGCGCGGTGCGTGGAGATTATACACCAGACGACCGACACACGGAGGTTAGGGGAGTTACGCCTCTGGAGCCTCTGTGTGGCTGTCTCCTAGGTGTGTGTCGGTGTTACAGGGCGAGCGAGAGGGCGATCGGAGGCGCGCTTAGCTGGATCGGGGGAGACTTCCTCGGTACAGAATGGTACCGAGCGGATGCTAGTGGCTAGGGGGGGGGAGGACAGCGACGTCGCATTGGGGTGAGTGAGTGCCGGATTATCACGACGTGTCCGACAGCGGGATGGGGGGGGTTGGGTGTTGAGAATCGGGATTTGCAAGAATTGATGGACGTGCTGGTTCTAGGTAGAGGGGGGGTTTTGCTATAGCAGCTGTGTTCTTGCACGGTGAGTTATGGAGGGGAAAATAGGGAGGCAGGGAGGTGTCTAGGTGAGACATCCCTGTATCCTATCCCCTTCCAGAGGCGGGATCGGACGGCTATGGCGCAGGTAGGTACGGTGAGTACGCTTGACTCGGTCGCGAGATGGGATGATGCTAGAGGAAAGTGATTGATAGTATTTTCCCCCTTTTCTTTATTCCGAGGGATTTGTGATGGGGAAATAGGGGAAGCCGAGAGTCACGAGTAGAATAGGCTTTTAAATAAGGTCCTAGGTTAAAAATACTTCACTTTTTTTTATGGTCTGTACTTGTTATATAGTCTTAAGTATACGTTAGAATAGTTAGTTGTATATTATAATTAAGAAGGCTCTTAGTACATATATACCCTATTATAATGTATATATAGAAGTTTATATATAAAATAAATATGCGACATTAGCACACGCAATACAAAATATCGTATGTTAATATTTGTTAATATTTGTTATATATTCTAATATATGAGTTCACATATAAATATATACATATATGTAGCATTACCACACGCACTACAAAAGTGTTGTTCTAATATACGCGTTTATATATAAATACATATCCGGCATTAGCACACGCAATATAAAGTATCGTATAACCCACTTGCGCTCCCTCAAGAGTTGCTCCTGCTGAAGCCTCACCTCATCCACACTGACCGGCCAACCACCCGTCATTTCCGTAATCATCACCGCCACCTCCAAGGGTATTCGACACAAGGCAAGTATGTTATGGACTTCCTCTGCCCACCACGCATGCTCCTGTGGAGGCACATTCCTCGTCGAGCATATGCGATAATGTGGATCTACCAACGATAACATCACGAATCGGCAATACTCTGGAACTGTCGATGAAGCGGACTTTGATGCCGTCGGAGTCAAAGAGGGAGGCGGCGAAGGCAACCTTGGAGAGGATGAGCTCGAGATCTCGGATGCGCCATCGGCTAGTGTAGCTTGCTCAAAACGATATTGTAGTGTGCTAGGCCATGTAATGAGGCGTCCTTGTACCGCAGATATATACCCAATCTCCTGTGTCGTTAGGGCGAACAGGTTGCTTTTCTCTTTGAAGCCGAGCATTGATTCGATGTCTTCTCTGGGAACCTCGAATTTACTTGGAAAGGCAGGCCAGTCTGATCGATTATAGTGATAATCATCCTGGCCCATATATGCTCTTTGGCGAAAGGAGATCTTCATCTCCGCCGCCGTCGTGTTCTCAACGTCGTAGAAGTATATAGCTGTGGCAACTATATGCTAATTTAGAGTGTTATCCATGTGCCAGTAACTATTAGTATGTGACGGCGTAACGCTACCGATCTTGACAATAACTTGTAAGCCCTGGTCACGAAACGTATCCTCTAATCTAACAGAGTAAAACTCGTGATCGAGGTCTGGTTGAGTAGGCGCGCTCGATTTTGGTTTGTAGCAACTGCACTTTTCCTTAATCGCCGCTCCATTTCGACCGTCCTTCCAATCATCATATGAGAACGATATGCCAGGCTCCGGAACATTTAGTGTATATAGATCTTTCCACTTAGCACTAACATACATATTTGGATACCTAGCCAAGTCCTCTGGAAGGTCTGCTGATGGTTGAACTGATCCGCCGCGATTCGGAAGCTTGAAAAACCCTTCTGCCTCTTTCATCGCTTCTTTATGGATCTCAGTTGCAGGATCCTGCTGTAGTTTATCCACTAATGCCCTAGGGTATTCTGGCTCCCACGTGAGGCTGTAAGTCCGAATCCGAATTGGCCAGCGAGCCTTCTCTCATTTAACACGGCACTCATTCCACGGCTTGATTGCCAACGAAATAAACTTCTCAACAAAGTAGTATACAGACTGGTAGTGAAGTGATGTGCACATCGGTACCAGTACCCGACTCAGAAAATTCAACCTCACATGGAAGCAACTGATAATTGGACGACCATAAGAATCGACGGAGATCATCAGTCTCGTCGCTTTCAAATACATCGGCATAACCTGCGTCTATTCTAGAATCGGCCTCAGATGTGTTCAAGCGCTCATCTAGCTGCCTCGGAGAGCGCTTTCCAGTTCCAAACGACTCAATGGCAGCACGTAGGCAAACTTGGCCCTCCGTCAACACCGAAGTCTTTCCGTGTGGCAAAGGGAATAGAGAAGGATCAACAAGCGTTTCTTGATTCCGATCTGAAATTGCCCGTTTAAGCAGTGGCGCAATGCCATCCTTCAGCTTAAGGCGTGCGGATTCAGAAACAAGAACGTCTGACTTGCACACCGCAGATCCGGCGTCGAAGAGTCGAACAAATCGGTCCTCGTCAAACGTGAGCGCTTTATCGCGAAGTTCCAGAATACACCAGTCCCAAGCTCTTTCACTGGTTACTCGCGTCTTAAGCTCTTCTCCCTGCGCTACTCTGGCCTCCTGAGCCTGGAACGTCTCTTCGCGCCACTTTGCAACAATGGTATTGTCGAATACGTCGACATTCCAGCCACTCTTGTCGGTTAGGTCGCTCATAGTTGCAGCATGGCCATTTCGGGCGCGGTTATGGCCGGTTTTTGCTCCCATCCTGTGAGAGCGTCGGAGAAGCGTTCGTCGACGCTAAGTTCATGGTAGATGGACATCCCGCCAAAGCCAGGAACTGAAAGTGGTTTTCGACCGCTGTTGTCCATTCTATATTCAGTTGCCATTATTTGATCAGAAGGCAGATGGGATTTAGCAATAACCAACAGGGAGCCGACAACGATATCTAGATTATTCTGCTGTTGCTGTGCTGTATGAAATGCGTCGTCACTGATGCAAGGATTGCCTGCTGGTTTAATTTCGCTGTGGAGTATAATTATAGTTGTGACTTCTGGCCTTTCCCAGCAGCACGCTCACATTAATATACCAATCTCACCACTCCAGTCCACACCCACCTACTCATCCCAATCGTATCACCAACGATAACGAAACCGGACGTTACACCAACACCATCGTATTTGTCGTCGTCGATATAAAGTTTAGCCCTAACAAATACCAACGTATATCACGGACCCAGCAGGGTGGTAAGGGCGGTGCATTGGCCGTTTCTAGATACAGATGTTGGATGAGTGGTTTTACATAATCTGTGCTCCCAAGGCGCGAGGGGTTGATAGCGGCATACTGGTACTATATTCTCATATTCTTATATATGTATATATATATTTCTTTCCTCCATCTTGGTTGAAGGTGTTGTAGTAGAGATTGATAGATTGGATTCCCCGCCACGCCGTAAATATTGTTCTTACTAATAATACACCTTAGAGCAATGTCCAGACGTTCCACAACGGAAAATTTGAGAGATGCCGGGGCCTTTTACTCTATGGCCTGGTCTTGTACCAGGCAACGTGGTGATAAGCCGGGGAAGTCCATTTGTATGTTCTTTCAGCTAACTATCCAGCATAGATTAGCCTCATTCGACATGACCTGGTTAAATATTCATCAGATCTGTTTGCTTCTCTTTCTGTCAGCCTTTACATGGAGACGGGCTATTTTGTAAGATGCAGACACAATCAATACAAGCACCACTCCCCCCAATCATTTTATCTGCGGGGACCCCAAAATTTTGACATAAAACGGCAAAAAAACTAAAAAAACATACAACAGTGGGTATTCGCTGGTGGTCACCCACCCAACTACTAATCCACCGATCTCAAGCTTGTGTATGGCAGAGCGGACGGGATGCCCAATTCTCTTGAGTCTATGGTCGTATGTGACAGTGATACGTCTGTCGGGGACTAAATATGAATAGTTATACTGCACATAACAAGTCACCAATTCGAACACATCCATCCAAAGAGCAAACATGTAGTTGATAGATATCTACCCTATTTAAACCATTCCCCCATCCCACTTTTATTTATCTAACACCCAGCAACACCGGTGTAAGCATCAACACCACGCTGGATGTTCGCCGAGATCTTGCCAGCAAGCTGCGCCGCAGTCGGCTTCAGGAGATCCGACACCTTCGCAGTGACAGCAGTAGCCAGCGCCTTAGCGGCCGCCAACTGCGAGGTGAGGTCAGCGAGGATATCCGGGCCCAAGCAGGCAGCGGTAAAGGCAGCCTTCTTGGCGATAGTGTCGTCAACGACAATAGTGACGTGGTCGTTGCAGGTGTTGACCGAGGTAGTGAGTCCAAGCGCATCCAGGTCGCTCAGGACGGGCTGTGCGTTGGCGGTGGTCACGCCGGTGTTGATGGTGGCGACGAGCTTGTCGGCGGCGGCGGAGACGGCGGCTCCGTCACCGCTGGTGAAGGCCTTGATGGTCACGTCGAGGGCGTCGGCGTCAGACTGGATGTTGGCGATGATGGTCTTGAAGGTGGCGAGGTCGCGGACCTCGAGGGGGGAGGCGGTGGCGGTGAGGGCGAAGCCCAGGGCGAAGAGGGGGGTAGAGAACTTCATGTTGATGGTTGGTTGGTGGTTGGGGTGGTGATGGGTTGTTGATTGTGGTAGTTGATGATGCTTGAGAGTGATGCTGGTCGATGGAGAGTAATACGGAGGATTATCGACTCCATTATATAGTTATTAATGCCGAGGCCTCATTTTCATGTGCTCGTCGTGTTATTGTACGATACCTTCGTTCTTCAGCAAACATGTGCTCAGCACGTCGCGTACGCCCTGCCTGGGAAGACGCATTGGGCATGAACCCCGTCCGCTACTGCTCCGAGGTATTGTCGCTGCATATTTCTTTTGGCGCCGCCGCTACTGTGCAAGATCTCGTCGAGCGCGTAGATGGATGAACCCCTCATCGGATTATCAGTCTTGCTTCCTCCATCTGTCTATGAAGCCGTCTGAAGTCAGTCGAGAACGTAGATCTTGTCTGAGGCTTGTCATTACTCTATGACTCGTTTAGAAGACTGCACAGGAGATTGTCACTGTCAATGCAGCGCGGATCATGGTGTCGCCACCACAATAAGCATAATAACAATCGGACCCCTGTAATTGCGGGGGGGGGGAATCCTGTTGATCTATTCCCGTGCGGGCCATGCCGGCGGCATTTCCCCACGGGGGAATCGTGCACTGGCGCTAAGCGATTGGTGGCTTTGGCCGCCTTCCCCTTTTCCCCTCGTTCGAGCCGTGCCAATGGCGATCAACCCTCAGGGTTTAACCAATAGAGGAATGTCGAGGATGATAATATAGATTAACACCTGCTTCATTGAGGAAATGAGGGGTATCGAAGCATCTTAAGGCCGTCCCGTGTCTTTAACATACATCTATATGCGATGCATGACAACTTCAAAACCTGAGAATCCTCGGTATTTTGCGATTTCTAGAATGACATGAGAATATTTGTTTACACCTGCATACTCGAAGAATGAGGAGTAGAAATCTGCTCCGTCTCTCCCCGTTCTATCCACGTGTTGTTCATGACAGCACAACAAAACCCTCGGTTCTGCGATGATATTGATGTAAGACAGGGAGGTACGACATGTAGTTGGGTTATGGGGCAGGGTAAGGCTGTATACGTGTTTTGAAGTTGTAATTGGCTTATCACATCATTATAAATCATAATACCCATGAAAAGCACGTTCTCTAGGTTGCTATACGTCTGCTCTTTATTAATATCACGCACACACCCCCGCGCAATATCCATGAAAGCGCACGTCCTCCAGGTTACCATTTATATATTCTTCATTAATATCACACCCCCCTTTAGGATACCTATAGCAAACACACGTTTTCCATGTGTTATAACATACATATTATTCCTCTATAGCTGACGCACACCTTCTCACAATACTACCCACCCCTCTCCTAATTTCCGATGCTTAGTTGGTCTCTGGCACAATGCAATAGCTCACCGTTTTATAGTCACGATACAAGCCACCAGAGCAGCACTGGTAAACGTGGTCGACGTCCAACTTCGCAGTAATAACGACTCTGTTGCCGATAGGTAGAAGTAAGTAGTTATTATAGTATATCCCAGGGATAATGCTTATTATGCGCTTGCATCCATTGGCGACGCAGGTCCTGCCCACATGCTCGGCGTGAATGGCGATGCTACGCTCAGCGGCAGGCTCGGTGGCGGCGACAGCACCGAGAGCGGTCTTGGTAAGAAGCTGAGAAGATGATAAAAAGTAGATTTGTATGTTGATCTATTGAATTAGTGTTAAAGATCACAAGCCTTGTCGTTTTGATGATGTAGATCAGAGGACGCCGCTCATACAAATATATTCTCGACGGTATCGCGACAGCTCAAATTCCGTCGAATTTTAATATATACCGAAACCAGAATATCGCGACAACATAACGCCCGTTTAAACTTTGCATCTGCCGAGCCGTGTATTTGTTGGTGCGGCCCCGCCAAGAATTTGCGCCACATCTTAAATCGGTGTGACAGGTCATGATTTGTTGGGAATTATTGCATCCTTTCGAGCATTCTATGGTTTGTACCTTGCCGTCATTTGTTAACAAGAGCTACGACGCTTTGGCATTTCAATGTTATATCTTACAACCCTTCACAACAAAACAACCTCAGATTATATCAGTCAGTTTCATTTATAAAGGAGAAATAATGTATTGAGTGAAATAACCCTAATCTTTATTAGAATTATTCTCCTTCTCTTCCGACTCTAACACTCCACCTCGCTCGCCCTCAAAAGCATCAACCTTGTATTTCGCAAACTTTCGTGTCGACACCTTGGCTGCAAACATCAGATCCAACTCTTCGAAAGTCCTTCCTTTTGTCTCTGGCATCCTGAAGATAACCCACACAATAGTAAGGACTGTCCATCCAAACCAGAAAAACCCAGTTTTCCCTTTCCAATTCCACTCAGTCGGGTTCATCATATACGGTTGGATGATGTTAGCCCCGACTTGGACGATGTAGTAAGAGTTTCTTGCGAGCACAACAGTCTTGGACCTTAGGCGAGTCGATGAAACTTCAGCTGGGATAGCCCAGCCAACAGGACCAACAGACAGCGAGAAGCAGAGAAGCCAAATGATGCACAAGGCTGCTTGTCCCCAAACTGCGTTCTGGCTACCCTTGGCAAGGGTCAAGAACCCGATGATGAACAAACATGTCGCCATACCAATCATTCCGCTCAAATAGATGTGCTTGCGGCCTGCTATGCGCATCAGACCCCACGATAGTATCGTACCGATGAACGCAATAGCAGTTCCGCCTAGCCCGAGCTTGTATGCGTTATCCGGATTCAGCCCAGCCTGTTGAAAAAAATATGTCGCCGAGTATGCGAATTGTGCGCCGCAGGTGATCTGGCCGAGGAAAACCACGCATGCAATCTCTGTGCGACGGAGATCAGTGCCGCGGAAGCAATCGAGGTAAGATGTGCCAGTGGTAGTGGACTTCTCAATCTCATTAGTATGGACCATCATGGCCACAACGGATCGCGCTGCTGGCTTCTCTGCTTTCGACATGAGTCTTGAGACGCTGCGCTCTGCTTCTTCGAATCGGCCATGTCGGACGAGCCACCAGGGTGACTCAGGAATAAAAACAGAGGCAACGATGAGAAATGGCGGCCATAGCCATTGAATAGCAAATGGAATTCGAAACGACCACTCATCGCCGCGGTCGATAAGACTTTGGAGGACGCCAGCACCGATAAATTGGCCGATAGCAAAGCACATATTTGTGTACGCGGTGAGATAGGCGCGTAGGGACATAGGGCAGATTTCAGAGGCATATGCAGGACCGATGGTAGCAAAGATTCCCCAGGGGACACTGCGAGCGTTAAGATTGAAAACTGTGAAAATGGATACAGGTGACTTACCCACAAAGGACTTGGCCGACCACCTGCAACTCAATGGTATTGCCAAAGAAAGAAATGAAGATGAACGCAGTCATGAGAACTAACCCCACCATAAACGCAGGACGAAAGCCAAAGCGCTGTATTAGGAAGCCATTAATGAAAGCACCAATGACCGAACCACCAACGGGCCCGCTTCCTAGCGCAGCTTGCCATTTGCCATCAATCTGATAGTTGTTGGTCGCTGGGAAATAATTCCCAAACTTCCTCTGGTAGGCGGGATATCCAAATAAGGATCCGATCAGGATAGTATCGTACCCTTCCATAATGACAGACATGGAGACCACGAGCGCCTAGGCAACGGCCCAAGGATATGCTCTCAAAGCCTTGCGAACGGTCATCTCGTGCTCCGCCGTGTTAGCAGCGGCTGCTTCAGCGACGGAAGCTTGCCATCCCCCTTTCTCGCCAAGGCGGCCATCGTAGGTGACATCATGTAGAGCGTGCCCTGATGTATCTTCAACATAAATGAATTCAGCCGATTTTTTCTCAGACACCATCTCTGCTTGGCACGATTCTATTACAGAAGTTAATACTATAGATGTAGAGTGAGACATAAGAAATATAGGATGGTTTATAGAATCTTACTGTTGTTCAATATGAGATTTATGTGAAGTAAAATTCAAACAGCTGCGTCTTGACAGTTTGTTCAAGAGGAGAAGTGGGAATGGAAGGGATATTTACATATTAAATGCTTCGATCGAAGTGAACAAAGTCAAGCTATTTACCAGGATGTAGCCATTGGACTAAAACAAGTCTAGCGCCCATCAAAGACAACCCATACCTGTCTTTTGCGATTCTATTAAGAATATGCCGTAAACTAATGCAGCTATTAGTGGATGAAAGATGAGCGAATTTCAACGTTGCTATAAGTTTGCGGGGGCGGGGGTGGGGATTAGCGGGGATGATTCGCGGGGGCGGGGAATTCGCGGGGAAGCTGAAGTTCTCAGCATGCGATTCATTTTAACGACCAATGTAGGCTCTTTACTTCTCTTCTGTCAGATGGATCGGCTCCATTAATATGCCGACAGATATCTTAAGATTTTGGCACTGGATATACTCCTAATCAGTATCTTATTAAGTGCGTTACTATATTAGGAAAGTATGACGCAATTAGAGTTGTGGTACAAATCTACAAAGGAACATGAACAAGATTCTGAAAAGGAAGGTAGACAAGCTCATAGTAATCAATTTAAATTCTATATAAATATACCCGATATAATGTTAACCTCAAGCCTCATTTGCTCGTAGGAGGAAGAGGCGAGCGGACACAACAGAGGGAAACTCTACGACCAAGGACGAGGTCTCTGGAACCCATTTTACATCTGCTCCAAAGCCACGAGGATAAAGCTGCTCTACCTTTACGCCATGCTTCTCCTTCAATTCTGCAATAGGCAAAGTAGCTGAGGATGTTCCGCTCCGGCGCCAGACACTCAAGTAAACGTTGCCAGATGTAGTTGTCATGCCCAAAGCCAACCAGTCATCATGCCATTTCGGCAATCCTAATGGCCAGAATGGTAGCGCATTCCTGAGATCTGACCTAATGTTTTTATAAACACTCATACCCTGCGCAATAAGCTCCAGGGCCTCTGGATTTAACTCATCTAGCTTCCCACTGAGATGCACCCGCCCAAGAAGCGAATTAACCACAGTGAGAGCATTTATTTCTGGGTTCCAGCTCGGCTGCGGATATGCCCAAGTTGCGCTCTGCTCAGGAGTGACAGCTGTGGGTGCTGATGCTGCGATGGCGGCGTATAGGACAGGGTCTTGCTGGTCGCTCGTGGACTGTATAGAATGAACAGCGAGCATTGCATAGTCCATTCTCTGAGCACCACTAGAACAGCTCTCGATGACCAGGTCGGGATAGCGATCGTAGATCTTGTTGACCCATTCCAGATAGGCACGGCTGTGCATTAATTGTCCTTCCCCTGTGCTAGAGGAATTTACGTCCGTCCCTTGGACGACTTCAATATTGTAGTCGAATTTGAAGTATCCAACGCCGTAGTTGAGTACGAGATTATCAATCACTTCGTCCATCCTCTTTCGGACTGCAGAGTGCCTATAGTCCAGTTGATAGCGGCCTTTTTCGATTATTCTCTCTCCTTGCTCTCGGAAGAATGCATCCTGTGGTAACTGGTTGGCCACTACGCTCCGTACGCCAATGACTTCTGGCTCCAGCCATACCCCGGGGATGAGCCCATGAGATCGAATGGTGTCGAGTAGTGGCTTAAAACCTCCAGGAAATCGTAACCTAGAAGGTTCCCATAGTCCAACCTCGTCCCACCATCCGCCATCATCAGCGTACCAACCGGCATCAATCACAAAGTATTCGGCCCCACAGCTTGCAACTGGCCCTAGAAGGGCTTTTATTTTATCTTCGGTGGGATCCCCCATCAAGCAGTTCATGTAATCGTTGAATATAATTGGAAGTTTTTCGTTATCGATATGTTTTCTTCTCAATCGACGACGGTAATTGGTTAGGACACCAAATGCATTTGTTGGAGTGTCCAGAACATGACAGATGGCCATAGGCACGCTCGTGAACGTTTGATGCGGTTTGAGTTTTTGTCTCCAATCATGGTCGATTGATGTGGGACCGCCTCCCGCGATGTAGACATTATCCTTGTAGTCGCCAACCTCCCATCTCCACGAAGAGTTGTTTTCCACTTGCCATAGCCAAGTATCTCTGCTGTCATTTCTCTTCAACATTCCCATGGGCAAGTAGGTGCCAGTGGAGAACGACCCGCGATTCGCAAGCGAATAGTTAGCCATAGACCCTGTGTGGCCATCAGGAAGTCCCGTAATCTCATTGTCGTCAATACCAACACCTGGAAGAGAGTGGTCACGCCATTGTGCTTCTCGAAACCATGAGTTTGTTGCTGTCGAAAGGGTATACTCGTTCCACCATTCTTTGGAACTAGCCATACCCCCAAATGTAAGAGAGTTTGCCTGACAGAGTATGACATTTTTGTCGGAGTCGTTGGTGACAGTTGTCCAAGCCCTGAGGACTGGGATACCTGTAAACACCTGGAAATGCGTAGTCGCCGAAATTCTGGAGACTTCATCGTAAGACGTAATGTGTAAAAACTGCTCTCGATCACCTTTCGTCTCGGAACGTGATGAGTACCTCAAACGAGAAGAAACATAACTTCCTATCAGTGTCTTTGAGGTTTTTTGAGTCGCGTTGCCCTCTCCAACTCGTCGAACTTGCGCCAAAGGGAGAGAAGAGTCTGCAAATCGTTTTGGGGTAGCATTTTCTAGTTTGCATCCATCAGGCAATATGCTATAGAGATGAGGGACTCTATCGGTGTTTATACGGACGACAACTTGTAAACCACCAGCGTTCCAAACGATCTAGATCGTCGATTCTTGAACACCAAAACGTCGACTAGCGACAGCCACAGACTTGGAGGGATTTTCTAGAAGCCAGTTGCAGACATTTGAGAGAGAAGTCCCTTCCATTGAATTAGTTTACATAGCTTTGCGTTACTATCTAAAATACTATCTATAGCTATGTTATAGGTTTTATCGAGGAGTGGTGATGAACAGACGCTAGTCGCCAAACCGCGCAGTCGCTTCTTCCAACTATGAGCGAAACGAATATTTGGTCAAGACAATTACTCCCATTACAGCGAACATAATGGCCTTAATGGCCTGTAAAAGAGGTAATATTCATGGCTCCTAAACGCGAGTCTCGAAAAGTCAAGGCGTTCTCGTACATAACGTAGAAATCAAACTCATCCATAAAGGGACACAAAAAATGAACATGCTCGTTCGGGTATCTGGCAATCTTGTTGAAATGTCATTAACGTCGGTCTGGTGGTTCAAGTCGTGAGGATCTGAGGCAGTATCGAATCTGCTTTTTCGTTGGCCATCTTATTAAGCTGTGTATTCCCTTCTTGAGGGCCCGGTTCGCCAGAATCTTCGAGATCTCGTAAGAGATTCAACACGAATGTCATGTCAATATCTATAGTAGAGATAAATTCTTTGCATTTAATAATCCTTAGTAAGAAGAGCATACCTGGTGGAAAAGTACTGTAGATCTTGTGGATCTCGACATCAGCTTGTTGCTTTGCTATAGAATCATAGTCTAAATCATTGTGCCCTATATCTCTCATTTGTTCAACTGGGTAACCTGATCCTGAATAGTCGAATCCTGGAACTTCAGCATGAAAAGAGTTCAGTTCAACATATGCAGCACGGTCCTGGAAGCTGTCAGGACTCGAGCGTTGCTGTACATCATGAAAAGCCGATAAATTGTGATCGGAATCCGTCAAGTAATTATACCGAGTCCCGAATATGGCTCTGACGCAGTTTTCATCCGTGAGAATGGACTCGAGGTCAAAGCCTGCATTTGCGTTGGCCTTGTTATTAAACTGTGTATTCCCTTCTTGGGAGCCCGATTCACCCGCATCTTCGAGACCTTGGTCTAAGAAGCTGTTAGGACTCGAGCGTTGCTGTACATCATGAAGAGCCGGTAAATTATAATCGGAATCCGTCAGGTAATTATACCGATTCTCGAATATGGCCTTGACGCAGTTTTCATCCGTGAGGATGGACTCGAGGTCAAAGCCTGCCTCATGCTGTATCATGGCAACCTTTGCAATGCACCGACGATGCAGAATCATCCCGGGTCGACGTGTTGACTGCGTCTGGATAGCATTTTGGACGAACAACAGGAACGATTATATGGGGCTGCGGGGGAAAGCTGAGATTTTGCCGAGGACCGAGAACCGAGGACCGGAAAAGCATTATGGAGCATAATACATGTCTAAGTGAGCCCAAGTGCCGAACACTGCACCACCCGCGTGACGCCACGACATACGTTAGCTAGAATAATCGATATGCATTCACTTCTGATCAATTGAACCCTACTCGTGATGATACCGGAATTATCGTTTATTATTCTACGAACGTTACCGAGCGCAGTTCTATACCAACTGTTCGCTTCTCTCACAGTTAGTTGCGAATTCCGTCCAGCAAGCGCATTTATCTGTCCTTCAACCCCGTATCTTACTTCGAACACAGGAAAGCTGACACAGACCTCGTCTAGGCGACTTAGCAAGATCAAAGAGTTAATCTGGTAAGCCAGAAATATCAAAGTTATGTGTCGCCTTATCTAGTTCGGTCGCAAGCTTCCAGTTTGCCGACAAGTGCCCGAGGTTGGATGACGTAAACCAATCACTCCAACTATAGACATACACCATAAAACCCATCAAGTAGTGCCTCATCATTTTTTAAGCCACGCAACTAGCAAATCCAGCCTACTCAATCATCAAACACTAGAGCAAAATACCGAGAGTTATTACTCTCATTTGTTGTATACCGAAACTAATACTAGCAACGAACGTTCGTTGCCAATCGACTAGTCTGGACAAAACGGGCAAATTAACTATCAACGGTTTTATTACTAATTTAGGACAAGATCTTGAGCATCAGGTGCTGGAGACTTTACTTTAGCCATTGGCCCGAGCTGGCAATGATGCGGATCTCCGAGGTATCGCGATGAGGAATCACCTTCTTTCCCCGCAAAGGTATTAGGTCGCATTCAATAACAGCGGATCGTGTCCACTTGGTGCTAACAGGTGTTTGCATTTGGCACGGTACATGTTATCGATGAGTAAAACACAACGAGATACAGAGCAGCTCTATCTATTTCCTTCTTCGGCATAATGCCTGTCAATTTACTTTGTAGGGCATAGTACAGTAATTTCTCTAGCGCCTACCAACCTTACTAGCTTTGAAGTCCAATGCGGTTAAACATTTTAATCAGAAGTACATTATGTCCCACGGTTGTTGCGAGTCTACGAGAACTCATTAATTTCGCCAGATTAGGTTAGATTAGGTTAGTAAACTTAGTTCATGAAACATTCCTTTTAGCGTGAGAAATTTCCCGTCGCAAGCCGTTTAATTTAGGCGACAATCGGCGATCTGGCCAGAGCATGTACCTGGCCATCTAACTTACTAACCTAACCTAACCTAATCTGGCGAAATTGATGAGCAGCTCTTTTCCAACAGCTTGGAAAAGCATCAAAGTTTATGTGGCGTAGTCGATCATGGAGAGGGCTTTTGCCGACCTTGGTAGTTTCATCAATCCGAAACGCAGTGGCCCAATCAATGTTATTGAGTTTATCTGCAATGGCATAGATGTGGCTGTGGATTACTATCCTCCCCCAGACCTTAAGGCCCCAGCTTTGTATGCATATCTAAGTCTGAGAAGATTGCGTTGTAGGAGTTCCATAACTCCAGCAATTATATAAGTATATAAAGATGGCAAGCCTTACTTTTGGCCGATTTACAACTCCTTTTCTCCGGACTCTCTTTGATCACAAGTGGGCTATCTTAGATCAAAGCTGTGGAACCTCGACTATAATCTACAAGTGTATCTGAACTTGTCGACACGAAGCGAAATTCCTTGTTCAGAGCATTATTTCACTCAAACCTGTTTGATTCGGTGACAGCCTGCATCCATTAGCAAAACCACGCAAGTCTTGGTGCAGTGCTTATCGGTCTATTATAAAACCATTTCTACCCTGGTCCATTTCTTCCAGAAGACCTCAAGAAATCTACACTTCTAGGCTAGGATATCGCTCAATCCTCAATAGTAATTCATCTAGAAATTCGAACCCATGGCTGAGAAGGACAAGACAGAAGAGATGCTAGAAGATCTTGGATCTATCAGTGCGTCTGTCGCAGACCTTGAGCAAGTTAATCATGATGTTCTCAGACTGGCAGAGATGGGATATGAACAAGAAATGCGCCGAAAGTTCTCACCGTGGTCCGTTCTCGCAGTCGGGTTCTCCTTAACCAATTCCTGGTTTGGCCTATCTTTTTCCCTAGCAACCGGCATCAACTCAGGCGGTCCAGTTATTTTGATCTACGGTCTGATGATACTCGGCCTCGTTTCTGTCAGTGTCGCTATCAGTCTCGCAGAGATGGCTAGCGCTTATCCAAACTCCGGTGGCCAATACTTCTGGGCAAAGGTGTTGGCACCTCCTAGATACGCTGGTATTGTAAGCTATCTGACTGGATGGTTTGCCTACGCAGGTTCTATCTTTGCTTCTGCCTCCGTCGCTTCAGGGATGGCATCTGGCATTGTTGGTTTATATCAACTAACGCACCCTGACCTGTAAGTTCTCCATGTTCAAGTTTTACGTTTTTCTCAGTCTGACAGACAGCAGTACGATACAAGCTTGGCATGTCGTTGTCACTTACGAACTTTTCACTTTCTTCTGCTATTTTTTGAATACCTGGGGCAGAGCCTTACCAGCTATCAATACCTTGAGCTTATATCTGTCACTGACGTCTTTTATTGTGATTACAATTGCTGTCCCTGCATCTTCATCCAGTCATCAACCTGCTAGCTTCGTCTTTACGGAGTTTATCAACAATACTGGATGGAAAGAAAATGGCGTGGCATTTCTCATCGGCCTCATAAATACAAATTACCCTTTTGCCGCTTTGGACTGCGCAACGCATGTAGCAGAAGAAGTCAGCAATCCTGAGCGGGCTATACCAATTGCCCTACTTGGAACCGTTGCGATTGGATTTTCCACAGCGTGGTTATTTGCAGTTTCAATGATGTTTTCCATCCATGATCTGGACGCTGTGTCTAACACTGCCACGCTAGTACCAATCATTGAAATATTCAACCAGGCTATCGGTCCAACTGGAGCCATCGCGTTGGAAACTCTCATCATCCTCACGGGAGTGGGCTGCTTGACGACCTGTCACACCTGGCAAGCTCGATTGTGTTGGAGTTTTGCTCGGGACAAAGGATTACCATTTTCCTCACAACTAAGTAAAGTCGACCACAAGCTCGATGTTCCTATCGTAGCACACACAGTGAGTGTCGTGATAGACGCCTTGGTCGGTCTTCTTTATCTTGGCAGCAGCGTTGCATTTAACTCGTAAGCAAACTCAAGGCCTTATAGGGAGATACTGACGAATTTTAGGTTGGTGAGTGCGACGATAGCCTTGCTGTATGTTAGTTATAGCATTCCAGTAGTGTGTCAACTCATCAAAGGTCGAGATAAGACGCCTCACGGTCCCTACTGGTTCGGAAAATTGGGACTACTATCTAATATTGTTTTGTTGGTATGGACTCTTTACTCGGTTGTTATATATGCTCTCCCGGCAGTTATGCCGGTAACGGCAGGCAGTAAGTCTAAAGGTCGAGTGAATTATCACATTCTGTTGCTGACATTTGAAGACATGAATTATATAAGTGCGGTATACGTGGCACTGGCCATTGTCATTGCCGCTGACTGGGCCTTCCGCGGACGCAAGTCATATCTTGGCAATAGTGTGACAGAAGCTTCTGAACCAACTTCGTAAATGCAGAACTACAATAAAATATGTGGGACAGACAAGTTTGTATTGAAAGAACACCGGCTGCTCTTTGTGCAATGTGTTAGGAGGCCTCACTATCTGCTTCTCTTAGTGGGCGCAGTACTTTTTTAAAAATGCCAACTAGCGAATTTCAACTTGTACTAAGCTCCCTACCAAATTCAACGGAGTTACTACTGAATGAAATGTGATATGTGCTTTGATCAGAATCTAATGAAATTATGTAGATTGGCCCTTCTTAAGAGTATTTCACCCCATCCACCGGACCAACCTAAGAACCCAGGAGTTACGAAGCAGCAATAATATTCTTCTCCACGATGATCTCACAGCCACTTTGCCCCTATTTTGATTGACGTGTTCGCTTCAACGACACCAACTTCTAGTATTGTCTCAGCCATCTCATGGCCAATAATGACGGTTGGAGCCTCGTCAGTGACAGGATGATGGCTCTCCAGCGTCGGGATAAAGGCTAGAGCTGAGTTTCCATGAAGATCTGTCCCGCAAATGCCAACAACTTCAGGCCGGAGCTTTAATTGGGTTCCGGAACACACTGGTTCCAAAATGTCATATTCCAATCGAAAACCTCCTTGGGGAATAATACTGAAGGAGCACACATGATCTTGATAAAAATTACCGGAGAAGAAAGAAGAATTGGGCGATCAGAGATATGGTAAAAGTACGGAGAGAAAGAGTCTCCTATTTTGTGACAGAAGATGCACACTTTATGATATATGTTCCGGCCCAACCGCGAATAAGTCGTATTCGCGAATACGACTTATTCGCGGTTGGGCCGGAACATATACAGGCTTACAGCCTAGTGAATGAAATTTTGAAGGTCAAGTGCAATCGAGACGCGGAACAAGCGGCTAAAAGTTTAACTGTTCTCGTAGACTTGTAAACAACTATGGCACATAATGTACATTGATAGTTGAATAGTTTAATGTGGAAATGTGGCATGCGGAGATTGTCTTCTTATATGTTCGCTACAAACCCTGTTGCTTTTCCTCTCGTCAATAGCCGAAAAACATTTTCATATTTAGACATTAGGCAAGTACGAATCCTTTATAGCCCTCGGCTGCGCTCTCGTCAAGTAGCTCCCTGTATTTAGGGATCCCCGCTGGAAAGTTCAGCGCCTCTTTTGTTTTGCCCTTGATATTGGCACCCATATAGTAAGACTTTGCCAGAGGGAACAGAGTCTGGGCTGTCAAGTCGTTTATCATGGCCCGGTAATCCTCCTGCGCCTGAAGCGTTGCAGCCATGCGGCGCGCGCCTTTTTCTCGCATGTGCGTGAGAGCGTTGATGATCCATTCGCCCTGGATCTCGACGCAGGTGGGACCGTTGGAGAAGGCGGTCGGGCCTTGAGGACCGTATATGAAGTACATGTTTGGAAAGTCAGCCGTCATCAGGCCAAGATTTGTCCAAGTGCCCGCCGACCATTTGTCAGATAATGTTTCACCGCGGTCGTTTCGGATATCGATGGCTTTGAGGCCCCCGGTTATTGCGTCGAAGCCGGTTGCGAGGATGAGAACGTCAATGTCGTGTTTCTTGGCGTCTCCTGTGATGATACCGTCGGCTACGACTTGAGTGACGGGTGTCTTGTTGGTATCCACGATGGTAACGTTGTCCTGGTCACATACTTCATAGAAGTTGCGGAACAAGGCAGGTCTCTTCGTACCGAAGGGATGAGGGGGTTCTGAAGGAGCAAGAATATCCCGCTTTTTTGGATCTTTAATCTCTCCCCGGATCTGTTCTGCCCAGAAGTCATACGCCTCGCGGTTGGCCTTCAGGTCTGTCAAGAGGTCCTGGTAAGCACCGACCCAGAAGAGAAAGCCTCCTTGATCCCATTTCGATTGGTAGAAGGCCCTCCTCTGCTGTGGTGTATGGTCAAAAGTGTTGATATCCTCGTGGCTGTAGTCATATCCAAACCTGCTCTGCAGGCGCTCTAGGAACTTGGCAGGATAATCTGGCTTGCTTTCATCCTGCATGCCCCTCGTCAGGACGACCTGGTTCAGCGGAAGTGCCAGGTTGGGTGTGCGTTGGAAAAGTGTCAGAGCCCCGGCCTGGGGCCCGATCTCTTGGACAAGCTGAACGCCAGTGCTCCCAGTGCCAACGACAGCGACGCGCTTGCCGGCTAGATCGACACCATCAGCGGGCCAGAAGCTTGAGTGGTGAACAATGCCTTTGAAGTCGTCGAGGCCGGCCCAATTGGGGAATGATCGCTTTGCGGCAAAGCCAACTGCCGGGATGAAGAAATTGGCCTCGAGCTTGCTGCCTTTATCCGTCGAGATGGTCCATGTGCTCTTTGAATCGTCGAATATAGCTCTGGTGACCTTGGTGTTGTAGATGACATCTTTACTCAGTCCGAGCACGTTGTCAACATGACGGAAGTAACGCTGCAACTCGCTTGCAGTAGGGAACTTTTCCTGCCATGTCCATGTCTTCCACACCTCCTCTATGGAGTACTCGTACAGAGGTACGTGTGTGTCGACTCTGGCGCCGGGATAGCAGTTCCACTGCCAAACACCGCCAAGCTCAGGGGCAGCCTCCACGATCCGCACCGAGAAGTTTTGCTGCCGCAGCTTGTGTAGCATGTAGCACCCTGAAAAGCCTCCTCCCACAATTACCACATCGACTTTGTGAAGTGCGGACCCGTTGGCGGTTCCATTACTATAGCCATTGGCGGATCCAAGAGTGGAAATGTCGGCACGCATGGTTCAATAATGTTCAGTTCTCGCAAGCTGAGAGATCATAAGGACTTGAATGAAGATGGCTCATTTAGGTCTGGAAAGGTAGCCGTCACTGTAAGAGAGTTCCACGAATATTTATGTTTCGCCGCAATGAGTACACCGAGAGGTTCTGCGCTAGAACGCGGAAGGTCAAAAACATGAGTACCCCAGTTTTGGTTGGCATGTCCCTTGCGCCTCTTACCACCCAATTATTTCTCTGTTCCGTCGTAATCAGACGAAGAATACGGTTTTCAGACATATGCTATCTGCTTCAGTGTTCATATGTGGAGGCCGTGTGGGATCAATACCAACGTGCAGCTTGCTGCCCGATTTTAAAGAGGCTGCCGACCTCGGAAGTTGGTTAGCCTCGCCTTCCTTTCTCCCGTACCCCTCACTTTTACGTGTGTTTGTGCAGCTGTACCAATATGCTTTGCCTTGTATTGTTTAATTTTATGGTTGGGTTATTTAGCTAGTGTGGTTGGTGGCAAGATGATATTCATGGCTGCAGCATGTGCTCGCATCGAGTGGGTTGGCAAGTAACAGGGGGTTATCAAATAGCTACCATTAGACGCAAATGTATTTTTTGTGAGACTGCAACCGAGAAGGCCAGTCCGAGCCAGACTTTTCTAGTTCTTCGAGGAGCTTGAGCATTAAGGCAACATTCTTCCATCCAAAAGTGATGGTATGCTGGAAGAGGCGGTCCCTGAAGAAGCTCCGTAGATGTGGACTAGGTGAAGCCGCTGCAGCCATGAAGTAAACCCATGTCATGTAGTGATCAAACCGTGTAATACCATCGTGAGATAAAATCCTGAACTTGAGATCCTCCAGTAAACTGTTGACCACGTCGACGTCCGAGTTCTGTTTCTGACAGAGCCAAGCCGTTAAGACAGTCTTCCAGCAGTCTGCCAGGAAGGGAGGGTTATTTTGGTCTTCTTTGGTCGTCGACTCAAAGGTGTCTACCAACTCGAAGGCGTGCGTCTGCGATGGACCTTCGTCAAGATGCGGTAGGGCGAAGATGGCTAGCCTGGATGATATTAGGTCACAATTACCACCATGCTTGCCGCACAAATCTGCCTGGAAAGTGCAACTCACATATCAAACTGCCCTGACAGGTATCTTTGAAGCTCCGAGCTGCCGCTTAAGGTTGAGAAATCCACAAAGTTCCGCATGCTTGACATGACACGCGCAAGAGTCGTGAAGGAACCCTGGGCAGCCACCATCTCATCATACATCAGAATTAAGAGAGTAGCCGCGGCAAACAGCACGTCCTGAGAGGATGGCAACGGCAAGCAGACTCTCTGACAGCTCTCTAGCAGGCCCTTAATAGCAGTGGCCCTGTATCTTTCAGCCTTACTTGCAAATTCATTGTTTCCGTAGTAGGCCAGGCGATGAAAGGATGTCGCGGCAACGGCATTGAAGACGAGTGGGGAAGAAGCGGCTAGCGGCAAGACTTGCATCTTGCATTCGTTATCTTCTCGCAGAATCGGGCACATCCACGGCGTTATCTGCTCTGCAACTGCTCTGTTGTTGGTACATCTTTCGATGAATGGCTCCATGAAGTGTCACGTACAGTAGTTCAACACCCATTGATCCTCGTGATTACTCGGCTGTGTCCGGGGCAGCGGGAAAGTCAGCGGGGACGTCGGGGACGCTAATAGCGGTATTAGGCTGCCTTTATCGGAATCATCGAGTGCCTGGATGCCCAGTAAGTTATGGCCAATGTGTCTATGGGTTACGAGATAGACAAGCGACAGACCATCTGAGACGGCGGGGGCGAGTCTCTCTTGCTCCCTTGACCCGGTGTCCTCGTCTTCCTGGAGGTCCGGCTAGTAAGCCAACGGTAGGTCCCGCTAAGGCCGTAGCAAACCAGGTTGTCCCGAACACATTTGTTGCAAGCAGGTAGAGTCCGGTCGCAGTTTATTCGCCGGCGGGAACAGCTGCGGCATCCTGGACGGAGCACGTTAGAATCCTGTGGCTCTCGAATCTCAGCTCTCTTACCTTTGACCTTTGTAGGCATGGTTAGACGCGTCGTCTCTGGTTCCTATCTCAATCAAGACAAATTGTTGGGTGGAGGAGGAACGAGCAGAGGGAGGACAAGGAATATTAGGAACACACCGTGCGGGCCCTCGGCAGATTTATGATGATTGATGCAAGCCACACTGTTGGATTATCAGAGGGCGACCCACCGTTTTAACCCTTTTGGGCATAGGCGCCGCCACCACTACCCCGCACTCTAGAGCCCGCGGAGCCTGCCTCGTCTCGAAATCGGGTGCGGGGTGCTCGAAGCAAGGCACTAGAGGAGGTTCAACAGGCCATCGGCAGATTTATGATGATTGATGCAAAGCCACACTATTGGATTCTTGGAGGGGGACTCACCTTTTTATCCCTTTTGGCCATAAGCGCCGCCACCACTACCCCGCACTCCGGAGCTGCAGAGCCTGCCGCGTCTCGAAATTGGGTGCTAGGTGCTTGAAGCAAGGTACTAGGTGAGGTTCAACACGTCCAGGGTCTCCTATTATAAGTTGGTTGTCCTTGGGCCGCAGAGTGTTAAGGAATTGAGCCCACTAAATATTGTCATCCACAGCTTGAACACTCTACTTGATTTCGGGAGACAGCTGCGCAACTACAGCAGTCATGTCTCAGACACTCTCTGGCAAGGTTGCGATTGTAACGGGTGCTGGTAGCGGCATCAATCTCGCCTTCGCATCCGCTCTTCTTGACAAAGGCTGCAATGTGGTCTTTGCCGATCTTGGTCTCAGGCCAGAAGCTCAGGAGGTCGTTGGCACTCACCAGTCAAGCGCCCGGGGCCGTGGACGCGCTGTGTTCCAAAAAACCGATGTGCGAGACTGGTCGCAGCTTGAGCAGATGTTTGTAACGGCGGAACGTGAGTTTGGGCGCATCGACATTGTATGCCCCGGCGCTGGCGTCTACGAACCAGTAGGTGAATCTCTTAACTGCTCGCAACTTGAATGTGGCTGACATCGCCCTAGACATTTAGCAACTTCTGGTGCCCTCCTGGAAGCTCGGGAAGCCATGACTCTGTGGATGGCGGCCGTTACGCCATCCTTGACATCAACCTGATTCACCCGATCCGAACGACGCAACTCGCGATTTCTCGCTTTCTCAACGCAAAGCAACCTGGAAACAAGACCATCGTTTTGATCTCCAGTACAGCTGCGCAAGATACGAGTATTGCAACGCCGCTTTACGACGCATCCAAGCATGCCATCAGCGGATTCGTTCGTTCCCTCGGCGACATCAGCTCAGCCAACATACGCATTGCTGCCGTCGCCCCAGGTATCATCAAGACCCCTATATACACAGACAACCCTGAGAAGTTGGCCATGATTGACGCTAGGGACGTCTGGGTGGAGCCGGAGGAGGTGGCTGCAGTCATGGTCGCCTTGATTGAGCGAGACACCATGAGCGAGAAAATCGGCGACTACTCTGAGAGCGGCGATATTTCCATCGAGGGTGGTATTATCCTTGAAGTCACCAAAGGTCGGGCAAGGCCCGTAACCGCTTACAACGATCCTGGGCCGTCTGGACCGGGTGCGCTGGCCTCGAACATGGCTGCTTCTGAGCAGGCTGCTAGAAATATGCTGCGTCCTGGTTGGGGCTTTCCTCATAGCCGGCTGTAGTAGATAGCTGAAAATACCATTCGTCGTGCTTCCCTTCTCTCGATCGTACGCGTGTTCTTTTCGCTTCGACCGTTGTCTAGCTCAAATATAATTCTTGATTCACGAGTTAATGTTCGACTCAGTATTTCTGAACCATGGGTCGCCACTAGAAGGTTCGAAATTGGCACTAAACTGCTTGTCTAGTGCTAAGTAAGTGCGGGGAAAGGCTTTGTAATTGGTTTGTTGTGTATGCTGCGGGGTAAAGGTGGAGGCAAATTGACTGGCAGGTAGCAGGGCTGCTAATGAGGCGTTCGCTAGTGGCTAAAGGCTTGTTTCTGGGTATTTACACTCCGTACTATGTACAGTACAGTAGCTTGACGTAGGCCGTGTCATGCGCGGCTGTTTACGTATCTGCCGCCCCACCCGGCGGTCATCGACGCTAGGAGATCTGTCGATGGATGGAGGCAACCCCGCACCACGCTAGATCGGCCCCACACTGTATTCGACAGTTGCCGTTCGTCCCCGCAAACGATCTGGTTAGCTCTGGCGGAGTTCCCCAGACGAATTATCGTTTTCTATTGATCCATTACTGTTGGAAATCTCCGCGAATGAACCATGCATTCATGCAGCCAACAACATCCAAGTTAGAGTTAGTGGGAAGGTATGGCCCCTGTTGGATTTACCGGAAATTCTCGGAGGCATGACCGTACTCTTCCTAAGTTCAATCACCATCATCTAGTAGCCACGGCAATCGCTCATTGGATTTCTCTGAGGATGAAGTATGAAGCTACGACCAGCATCTTGTTGGAAGGCACCGTTACGTCAGTAATCAAAATTCTCTGCGAATAAACCTAGAGCCACTTCGTAGCATCTAGTGGGAATGATCGTTGTGGGTGCCTGGCTGTCTAATATTAAACCGCCATGCAGCGCAAATGTAGCCTAGCTAAGCATCGAATCCTCTGCACCGCCTTCTTTCCTCGCTAGACATTACCAGTAGAAGGACCTGTTACCAACCACGACTCTCTGAAAATGGATAGCACAGACCCACCTTTATACCTTCAACCCCCTCATTTCTTATCCTTCTCTCTGTTTATCCCCCTCCCTCTCCGCACTCCTTCCTTTCTGCCGTTCTGCACATTTTAGCGTCTGGACTCGTAACATGACATAATCCATCCTGCATGCATGCAGGCATTACGAGAATCAAGACGGTTGGATCAGGAGATATTGGGTGGAGAAAGCGCTGAACCCCTATGCTCCCCATGCACTACTGTGCCTTCTGTGTGTAATTAAACAGTTCCCATAAAAAGTTGTTGGTAGTTCTTATGACGTGTCGTATGAGGCGGGGTTAGTGGGGCTACCAATCTGCTACCGCCTCTAAACTCTGCCTTTGATATATAGTGCCTGGGGTGTAACGGTTTGTAGCGTCTGTAATTCACGTCACCGCCTGCTGTGGGAGGGGTTTCTTTTCCAGTATCGCAAGCTTGTTTTGGCTCGGCAAGAAAGGGATTACACAAGTGGAGATCCAGCACGTGGAATCTAAATAAAAACCGCATACTTTCGGACTCAAGTACGTTGTAGCATTGTTTCTGGTGAGCAGATGATGGACAGTCTTAAAAATCGATCATATACACTTCATTCATACTATACTATATTGTGACGTTCCTTCAACTGTTTTGAGGTAAACACCACTATATTGAAGGCGAGGATATGCCAGAATCCTAACCCTTGTTGACATTCTTGGGAAGAGAATCAGTGGCAGACCCATGAACCTCAGAGCCCGAAAGATGGTCCTGTTCAATAATTGCGATAGGTCCTTGATAATTACGACAGCCATATACAACATACCACACCAGGCTGATGACGGCGAACCCTGTGAAGATAACGCTAGAGTAATTCATCGAACTCGCTGTGACAGGAAGCGAAACGGGCATACAGAACAGAACAATGGAGAAGAATATCCAGGTGACTGACACCGCATTGATGATGAATCCGAAGGGTTCTAAAGAATAAGTAGACCCCTTAACCGGGTTCCGGGATCGGCACAAGGAAATAAGGACGGGGATGGCGTACGATGTTGATAGACAGATAGTGGCGGTTCCAGTAAAGGAGTTGAAAGCGGCCGAGGAGCCAAAGTAGATGACAGCCAGCAGGATATTGACGGCCACATTTAGCAACGTTGCCCAGAGCGGCATTGCGAGCTTTTTGTTGACACGGGACCACAAACGATGACCTGGTATGGCCCCGTCGCGGGCAAAAGCATAGGTGTAACGGCTCGCAGCTATAGTCGCCCCAATGGTGCAGAATACGAAGATGCCGATCAAGAGCAGGAGCAAACCCATGGCGGCAGGTTTGGAGCCTGTGATCATTTCGAACATGATGCCAACCGGCTGGTTGCTCGTCACTGCCAAAAGGGTGCCAATGTCGGGCAGCACGAATAGGACTGGAATAATGTAGAGAAGACCCAAGACCCCGGACACGACAACGGAGATGACCATCGCCCTCGGAACATGAAGATGAGGGCTCTCGACTTCTTCGCAGAGCGACGCCACCATTCCGTACCCCATCATCACATAACCCCCCTGGAGCAATCCCACAAAGAATGACCATCCAGTAGGCCAACCACTAGCCGAGGCGTTGTAATTGGTAAAGACGAAGCCCGCGGTTCGTTGGTCCTTGGCCATACCTAGAAGCACAGTCATGAGGACCACGATGGAGACAGAAATCCAGCACATGGCTGCCACGTTGATAGCATTGAGATATCGGACTCCGAAAATGTTGACGGAAGCAGCCAAGAGGGTGAAGGCACAAAACGTCAGTATCGTATGCCAGGCGGTCGGCACGTAATCCTCATGCCACAGCGTTGCCGCTGCCAGGACAACCTGGGCACCGCCAAAATTGATGCTGGTGGTCGCAAGAAAGTTGCCAACCAGATTCAGCCAGCCAGTGACCCAGGAAGCGAGGGCGGCATGCTTGTGGTTGGACACCATGGCCGACCAGAAGTACGGTCCGCCCGCGGTTGGGTAGACGGCACAGATTTCGGCGAGCGAGGCGGCTGTGCAAACCGAGACGAGGGTCACAAAAGCCCAGCCCCAAAGCATGGTAACGGACTGTCCGTTGATAAGGGTGATGTAGAGGGTTACAGAGAGGCCGGCGGGAACTGCCATGATGGCTACCGATCTGGTCAAGAGGCGGCACGTTAGATTTCCGATCACCTTAGTATGGTAATTGCTCCTGGCACCACTTACAGTCCTAGGATGGTCCATATTGACAGACTTCTCTTGAGCTCATTTGTATATCCTAGAATAGCTAGGGCTTGGTCTGCATCGGATGTTGTCGCAGCCACCTTAACATGTTCTTGTGACGACGGAAGCAAGGCAGTCATTGTTTTATCAAGTGATGTTAAAGAGCAAAGTTCATTGTGCAGGTAGTGGTTGATAGTACTGGGAGAAGAAACGGCCGCGTGGAAGGGCCGCATTTAAGTACTCATTTTCTGCCGTGGTTGTAACCGGCCACCACATCTTTGAGCGCTCCCCAGCAGGGTGTGTAGTTGGTTGTATTTCCTTCTAACAGACACAGCTCAGCTTGTGGCAATGCTTGGCCCGGATAACCGACCAGATAGCTCGCCAAATCTCCTACCCCAAGATTCCCGGTGTCATCCTGCCAACTGGCGACGTTTGCATTGCCCCTTGGATGGGGTCTGGGGATTCCGAGATACTGTAAGACGCTTTGGCGGAACTAGTGTAAGTGAAATGTGGAGTCGGCAACGTAATCCGCGGCCGCTCACGATTTTATCTATTTTCGTCATAGCGCGTGTGAGTGTGATGCCGCGTCCAACCCTGGCTTTGCGAGCAATTAAGCGCCTCGTGGGACAATGCGTAAAAGTTGCCATCCGCGCATGTGAGGGTCTAGATACAACGTGGCTGACTTCAGGACAGCCCAGGACCCATTGAGTGAAAGGTACTTCTCCCGAACGAATCTACTACTCTCCTCTTCTACTCTCTTCTTCTTCCTCCTCTCTCATCTTTCTTCTTCCTTTATTAAACAACTCAATACCCCAAAAACTTCTTTTCCATTTCATATCAAGCTATCCTACGAACTTCACGATATCGACGACGTAATGGCTACCATTGAGCTTAAGACCCTGTCTAACGGCAAGTACCAACAGCCAACTAGACTGTACGTCTGTATCCCGTCCCACCCGTCCCTCTAGGATCAAACCTAGACCCCTTCTAAAACATCAGAAAACAGTAAACTGACTTTCTCCTCACAGCTTCATTAACAATGAGTTCATCGAGGGCGTAGATAAGAAGTCCTTCAAGGTCATTAACCCCGCCACCGAGAAGGTCATCTGCTCTGTCGCTAAGGCCACCGAGAAGGATGTCGACGTCGCTGTTGCCGCCGCTAGGAAGGCCTTTAAGGGCGAGTGGAGGAAGGTTACACCCGAGGCCCGTGGCAAGCTGCTCGTTAAGCTGTCCGAGCTAATGGAGGCAAACCTCGACCAGCTGGCTGCCATCGAGTCGCTCGACAACGGAAAGGCCATCTCCATGGCTAAGGGTGATGTGGCCGCTATGGTTAGCTGCTTAAGGTACTACAGCAGCTGGTCCGACAAGATCGAGGGCAAGACCATCGACACCTTCACATACACACTCTAGGAGCTAGTACGTAGTCTAAGCAACCCCCCCCTCCCTCTCTAACATACTAACAGCTGCTAGATCAGTGTCTATGGACAAATCATCCTATAGAACTTCCCACTTCTCATGTAGTCGTGGAAGATTGGCCTAGCTATTGCCACTAATATTGTGCGTCCCTCCGTCGTGAATGAAACACATCCATTTATTGGGGGTGGCTTATTCGAGGCACACAGCTATTCTAAACAGTAGGTCAGGTCGCTGCTGGATTAGCTCGACTTTTCACTTGACGTATAACTCTACAGGGTCTTTAAGACTCCGTACCACACGACACTGCAATATTGGTAGGCTCTTCTGTTCACCCTACCTATTAGCCGGGGCTTGTTGATGACCTGCTCATCTCTGATCAACTAACGACGGACTGGAGTCTGCTAGGTAAATGGTCAGTCCGATATATCAATGATCAAAGGCAATTGATACCATGTTATGGGAATCAAATCATCGTGGTGGTTTGGTGTATTTATGAAGCTATAGAATATAGTTATCTACATGGTCCTGTGTCTCCGTGGCTCCTTCGCACAGCAGACACTAACCTAATCACTAACATGCGCCCTCTTTGGTTCTTCTCGAGCAGTTAGAATCGAGTTTCTTTATTGTTTTCCGATCATCACTATTACGGGCCCACTATGCTATATACACGAACAAAACTCTGCAATATTTAGAGCAATTCCTAAAGAAATATCCAACCGGCGGCCGTTATTAGACTTAAATCAGAACTTGTTCTGGTTTGCGTTCCCCATCAACATAGTGGAATCTGGCTTGTATTTATTTGAGAGCAGACGAACATGATACTCAACATCGAGAACAGCTCCCTTGGGGTCGTTCTGAATGGGCTTGAAGTCCAAGAGCAGATCGTCCTTGACCGCAGAGACAGTGTCCGTCTCCAGCCACCTGTCGTCATTCGGGTACAGCTGAGCCGTCACGCCAATGTAGTCTGGATGAGTGACCATCATGTGGATGTGGGCGGGGCGGTTGGGGTGTCGGCCCATTATTCCGAGCAGATCTGCCGAGGGGCCGGAGGTGTCAATGGCGTATTCGGTCGGCTTTAGGCAGTAGAACCAGAATTTGCCGTTCTCGTCGGTGCGGAACTTGCCCCGAAGGTTGTGGCGGGTCTGGTTCTCGGGGTCGAAGACGTCGTACTTGCCGTTGGTGCTAGCTTGCCACATGTCGAAGACGGCGTCTGAGATGGCCTTGCCGGTTTCGACGTCCTTGATGGTACCGTGGAACAGCGTGAGCTGCCCGTCTTTTGGCATGTCCTGGACTACGCTGGCGCCAAGGTCCCGGAATGGTGTTTCGGGGGACCAAAAAGGCCCGAGAATGGCCGAGGATGTGGGAGATAGACCCTCGTCGGAGACGATCTTGTGGTTGATCTCGTCGACGAGACTGGACAGAAATTGTTAGCCATTGGTGGAATTCTCTTTTAATGAAAATGATTATGTTTCTGCCAAATCCGGTGGCGACTGTCGGTAAAACGTTACAGGTGGTACTTACGATTCGATACCTAGGATATCACACACCCTCCATGCTTCATTTCGGTTCTTCTTGTAAGCTTGGCCGATAGAGTTGACGTAGTTGACACCGATAATCCACTCGTCTTGCGTGAGGTTGACCTCTCGGCAAAAGTCGTGCATATGCTTTATTAAGGAGGTAAGGATTTCTCTGTGTCTGGGTTTTGTTTCGGGGCTCATAAGGTCAATGACGTGTTGTGTGAAGTCAGCGTCGTATTTGCTATTGTTGTCCTTGGCACCACTGGTGCCGTAGGCGTCGTTCGTAGCCATGATGTTATTTTTCTATAGAGTGGGAATGGGGACGGTTGTTTTCAGGCGTCAGGTGTCGTTTTTTGAGGCATAGTGAGAACAAAGAGCGATGATGTCTGTTTTATAGAAACTAGTGTATCGTGATTCCCTAGCACAGAATCTGAGATGCTCATCTCCCCGCATTGGAAATGGTGGGTGTCGGAATTAAACTTACCCGGACGCATGAGTTACTAGCCGGCTCTCCGCATTCCCGACCGGCAGGTAGATGACAAATGCAAGGTTCCCCGCAATCTAATCTGAATGTGCAGTCGGCGGTTAGTAATACGGCATTTGCCCCAAACCGCCGACAGTACTTAGAGTACCGCTTTGTTTCTCCAACTGCTCTAGATTATAAGCGTAAAGCCCAACCCTAATCATGATCTTACTTTAGTCAAACTAATGGATCTTAACGAAGGGTGGCGGAGGAGTTAGTGGATTTAAACAAAAACTGAAGATGGAAGATTCTTGCTCTTTAGAAGTAGGGTGCCTTCTTATAGAGCTTCTTTATGCAGGATGGCTTATACTTCTAATCACATCATCTATAGCGATCTACATTAGTCTTTAGGGCCGTGCCCTTTGCAAAGCTTAAGCTGCTAACGATCTTTTAGGGGGTGTGCTTCGTAGGAACTGCAAAACCCCCTAGTCTTATCATCCTCACCTATGTTAGTAACTAAGGTAACAGCTAAGATAAAGCTGCGTTTATAGAAGAAAGAACGCTTGTTCTACCATCTCTTAACAAGATGTAAGGTTCCCCTCCTAAAACTACTTTAATCATGCGCTATAGTCCTCTTAGCGCATTATGTCTAGTAAGATAATCAACTTTAAGAAATGAATAGGGTAACTAGTGTGTAGCCTAAAGCAACTCTCTTCCATTTGTCTCTTTTATTCTTTTCATTCTCTTATTATTGTCCATTTCCCCTTCTAAAACTATGCTACTACTACTATTTAGCTGTAATCCTACTATAAGACCATTTCTAATCTACTATTTTCTCCTTATAGCCTCCGTTGAGCGAGTCCACGATCTAGGACCCTCGTACCAGAATGTTGGTATATCCGCCCGTGTACCTCTCGCGTGAAATTGAATTGGTTAATCTTCTCAGCAGTACCTTATCGAGACGTTGTCTTTGCACCAGAGGAGAATTTTGCTAGTGCTCTTAATCTAGAAACTATAACTACTTGAGGCCCATTTACCAAACCATTCCCAAGACACCGAGAGCAAATTTTGCTTAAGCCTGGTATCCCTACGGACTTGGGAATTGAACTATATTTTGTATCCGTGTTTCATCAGCTACATTGCTTGTGAGTGCTTCTTCTGCAAAGACCTTAGACTCGTGACTGATCACTGTACCTGCAGAGGTCTAGTTCGTATATCTTACTGCTCTGCAAAGGAAGGCCAAGATAGTGTGATACTTCATGGCGGAAGCCATCTGAACGAGACTATCCGCAATTATATTCATGGGAACACATTAACCATTGCTTTAATTTCTTAAGACAGGCATTGATGTGCGCCGCCGACACTACCATAGAGTCGGCCACTGTTGAAAAGAATGGTGAGAGGATACAGGTCGATGGTTGGGGAACCTCGCACCAAAGCAGAGGTTAGAACAGGTTCTGGGAATTCATGGTGCAGAGTCAGGCCCCCTACAAGCATAGCTGGAATTGCATCAATATGCAGTAGGCCAAGAACGTAAATTGAATGACTATATATTTCCCTAAAGATACCAGTATTAATAATATGAGTTTCCATCTATCTGGATACGAGAATATAAAATCGCTATGACTTTTTACTTTGCTATATCAGACCGCTGCGACCCATTGTAATGAGCATGGTCCATATACTCCATGATAGCATCCTAGTTGAAAATATCAGTGACTTTGACCACTATGTTGCCAAAGGTTATAACTTACCCAGCTTTTGCACTGATGAGGGATGTTCCAGCCATCAGCAACAAATCGTCGGCCATAAGGCTCCGTCCGTGGCCATTCGAGCGACATATCTCCAGAGCATTGAAGCGACTGTCTTATACAGTCGTAACAATGATTGATATGATGGGACGATTTTAACGTTTCAGCAAGATCTTGCAACTTCTCGTCATGATTAAGTATAGAGTCTAAAAGTTTCCAGTAGTGATCTCGTATCGCACTCAAACAGTGTAGCTGATGGAAGAGCGCAACAGAGTATATCTGACCCCACGGTGTTGTCTCTCCGGGTTCCGGGAGATAGTGCTCTGCGTCATCCACAAATACGTAGCCACGTCCGAGCTACTGAAGTGAGCATCCATTCAATTCACAATGCACCATTTGATTTAGAAGATACTCACAGGCAGAAGGTTGTTCCATGCTTCATCCGTCTTGGGAGAAGGTTTATCACTGTATTCGTGTGCCTCTCTAAAATATACAGTGGTTTCTGGCACTGAATGATCCAATTAGCAAGAGAATGCGGTAAAGACCCTTTAAGGGCTAAAATACTTTTAGGAACAAGTCTTCGAAAACCAATAGCCTTTGAAGATTTATTAGACGTTGATATTAAGCGGTTTGCCTCAAGAGCTAACTTAGAATTTATTGTAGTAATATTTGCGACTGGCACATTCGCGATTGGGCCGGAACATATACTTTATCTCTTCCAAGGTATATTATTCTTTTATCCTTCATTCTATTTACTATGTTACTCTACTACTCGTGGTTGGGCTGGCCTATTCGCGGTTGGGCCGGAACATGTATGAGACACTTCGGTCTTACCTTACACCTGCCCAGCCTCGCGCCTTGCCTCCACTAATGGCATTCTTCATCGGTCCCTCAAGTGCGCGCCCATTCGCAGCCTAGGCTGTCACGCGATACCGGATGAAACTCGCCGGGTTGGAATTGCAAGAGTCAGGGTAGTTTTTTCAGCCCATACCGCACCATTCCCACCCGCCCCGCAGCCTTGGGAGCTAATAGGGATCCGAATCCGTTGCGGAAGCCATCCAGAAACATCTCCACCGGCCATCCATTCCCTAGGGATTGAGATGCTTTGCGCCGAGCATCGCGAGACATGTTCGATTTGGAGAACAAGGTAGCAAACAATTCGTTGGCAAGATATTAGCCTTCCCATTCCCATTCCCATTCCCTGTGCTGACTCAACTCCTCATACCCAACGCAACAATAGCACAGTCATCATATCCATCAACAAAACCACCATGGGATCCAACGAAGTCTCCGCCATGGCCTCCGAGCTTGACCCTGAAAGCACCGCGCGTCCACTGCATGTATGTATCGCTGGAGCGGGCATCGGAGGTCTTTCAGCAGCTATCGCGCTTCGCCAAGCTGGTCACCGTGTTGTGGTCTGTCCGCTGTTCTCGCCCCGTTGTGCGTATGATGATGAGAATCTGACGGGTTATAGCTATATGAGTCCTCCCGATTTGCAGTAGAAATCGGGGCGGCGATTCACCTGCCACCAAACGTAAATGGTCTTTTGAGACGATTTGGTACGCGCCCTGAGGAGTGGGGCGCCAACCAGGCAGAGCATGTGGGTTTTTGCGTGTACCTGACAGTTGCCCAGCTTCGGTCCTTACCACTCCTTGCCACTTGATGTGTGGTTGCTGTTATGCGGCTATATGATTCAGGGGCTGATCATGGAACAGGTTACCTTGTATTCCAAGGACGGTAGCATCATTAGCACGAAGAATATTGCTGAATTGTCGCTCGCATACCCATACGTAAGCCTCGCCTGACCTTTATGTTCTAATCCAACTAACATATTTTAGCCGTGGCAGCTCAGTCACCGTGTAGATCTCCACGAGGAGCTCAAGCGTCTTGCAACTACGCTCGACGGACCAGGAATTCCAGCAATTATCAAGACACAGTCGCAGGTTATCTCATGTGACCCAGAGACACCTTCGTTGGTGTTGAAGGATGGAACAGTGGTCGGCGCAGATATGGTTCTTGGAGCAGACGGTGTGCATGTAAGTAGTTGACCCCTTGGCTTGGTTTTTTCTCAGCTTGAGATCTGACCTATTCTGCTTCCCAGTCTGTACTGCGTCGTATTATTACTGGTCAAGATATCCAGCCTCAGTTGTCCGGTGGCAGCGCTTTTCGCTTCTTGGTTCCTGTTTCCCAGGTCAAGGCAGATCCGAGAACTGCTTGGATTCTTGAGCGATCTGGCGAGCTGCAGTTGTGGGAGGGCACAAACAGAAGATTGGTCATTTACCCTTGCAGGTGAGTGACAATGCCCCAACCACCTTGCTTTGGTGTTTTAGCTGATGTACATTAGGAACAACACAGAGCTCAACTTTGTCTGTTTGCATCCTGAAATTGAAAGCGCTGGAAGCAAAGAAGGTGAAGAAGTCTCTTGATGGGTAACCCAAATCACAGTATTGACGGCGTTTAGGATGGAATAACTCGGCATCGAGACAGCAGCTGTTGACTGTTTATGACGAGTACTGCGAGGGTATCAAGGTCCTGCTATCGATGGCCGATGAATCATCAATCAGGCTTTGGAAACTCCTAGATCGTCCGTCACTTCCAACTTGGATTAATAATAAAGCTGCGCTTTTGGGTGATGCCGCGCACCCCTTTTTACCTTGTAGGTCAAATCTTTCAATGGTTTTTTTTTCTCACTGACGCCGGAAAAGATCAAGGACAAGGCGGAGCGCAGGCTATTGAAGATGTAAGATGTCTCTGTTGATTCATTTAATTTTGGACTGATAAACCCAGGGCGCTGCTCTTGGAGCTTTGTTTCCGCTTGGCGTCACGCCTTCTGAAGTTCCGGAACGGCTCGAACTGTATATGAAATGTCGATATGACCGAGCAACTCTGGTGCAGAACTTTTCGCGTGCAGCTGCATTCAAGCATAGTGACAACGATGATGTTGGAGGTATTAGCACTGATCGTGAGGTCTCTCTGCATATTTTACTTGTTCTATACCAACATCTGTGAAGCTCTAGAGTTTTCCAAAATCAACTTCGGTCACGATGCGCACGATAACGCGCAGGCCATCCTTCTCAACCACTTGGGTAGGTCGAAAAATGAAACCACAAATTCGAAAACTAATAACCAGGCATGTTTTAGCCTCGAAAGCTGCTGTTTTCACGGTATCAGGGATTTTCGGCCCACTGCCTGGCCCTACTCAAGACGCCTTCGGTAATCCACGCTTAATGCCTCAATCCAGCTATTTCACCAGCTACGTCACTTTTAAAACTCATTTGAGCTATCTCAGGACTTTCCTGCCGCTCACTAGCTCCTTGCGGTTTGCCCAACCAGGCGGATGGGCCACCGCCACCCTTGCCCTGACGAAACACAGCAATGTACCTTGGCTCGGTTACCGCAGCTACAGCCGCCTGGGCCTCTATCTGCACAACGTCCAGGACAGTGACGGCGGTAAGCCTGACTTGTACTGCGCAGCCGCATTTGAGGACTCGGCGGATGCGGTGGTCGCACATCGAGAAGCAGGTAAGGTGCCCGTATTCTTCGCGCAGCTCGCCGCGTCTTTTTCGCCAACTTCCTTCTCGCTGAGCGCAAGTTGGGAGGGCCGACCGATCCTTTTGATGTCTTTGAAGGGGCTTTTCGAAGCGAAGTCATCCGAAGAAGCAACGCCGTTCTCTCCGCCAGAGGTGACGGCGAAGGCCAATATGGGCACGTGGGAGGCAGAAAAGGCGGATCTCACTTATACGCAGCTCGAAGGGAGTGCGCTCGCAGAGGAGTTTCCGACTCTGTCTCCCGTGATTGAACGGTTGAGGGGCATTGCTCTACAGGAAGTAGTGAGTGCGGGTATTGTGGCTTGTCCTAGGGACATTGTTGTATGAGCGGTTTGATGAGAGGAGAGGGAGAGAGAGACAGTAACTTAGATCGTCGAGGGCAGACATTAGCAGCCCTATGTGGCGGAAACCCAGTGTGCCGGAAAATTAGACAAATTTCAACGTTCAAAAGTCGCTGCAGCATACGGTCCCGTCCTTGAGCTCTTCCAGAGTCCACATGTCAACCTCTTCACAGATAGGAGAAGACCTTCAAATATAAAACCTTTTTGTGTAGTTGATTTAAAGGGGACGTAGTAGAGAAAAACCCGCGATCCTTGCGATCTAATTGGTCTTTTCCGGCACACCGGGTTTCCCGCCGCTTAGGGACGGACGTTATCTTTAAGAAATATCATATATCGACGTAGGTTGTCCTGCGAACATATCATATCTACGTAGGTTTTCTTGTGAGCATATCATATATACGTACGTTGTTAGACCAACATATTGTATCTACGTAGGTTGTCACATCAACATATCAGATCTATGGACGTTGACTTACCACCTTTATAATACAATGTGGGTGGTTCTGGGACGGTCGCGAGTCCTCTAGGTCAAAGGTTATAGGTGTAGTACTAGGCTGTGCAAATTGTATGAAATTCACTGTGACTTAGAGAAGTAAATGGGTTCATGTGAATATTGCTTATGCTGTGGACATTATGCGAGAGATAGTGTAAGGGGCTTCATCTTCTGCATTATAAAGAACGAGGGTCTAAACGGTAATGTGTGCACCTTAAACGCTCATTAGTTTCTGTATCCTAACCATTTAACTACGCTCCACGGCAAAACATCGTCTTTGCCCGGAACCAATTTTCGTTTAATAATCCAGGTAGAAGTTGGCCCAGTCCAAGCAGTCCATGCTATGACCCATATATAGCCCCAGAGTTTGGCCGTCCTCTTCGCAGTTACATTATCAGTTGCACCTCGGCCTGCTACCGCCATACCATAGAGTAATGTATCATCTGTCACAATCCCGACAGCTTGCATAAAGAAGAACTTTGGCACATCTAGTGCAAAGGCGCTTTCTCCAAAAACGAACGCACTAGGGGGGTGAACTAGGGCGGTGACATAGAACGCAAGGAAGAGACGAACACAGCGCGAGAATATTTCCCAAGTGGGAGGTACGAAGAGTACGTGAGTAGTGATGTAAGAAATGAGAGTTTCTAGAGTTGACCGAAGGAATCTGTGCCAGGTTGCCCTACGACATCTTCTGTTAACGACTAGCTACAACGAACTTCGAAGAATCAGGTGCCAGCCTTACCTCCAATATCGACGGAATGAATACCCGCCCAGAAAACTACCAAGTGGTTGAGGCCAGTTCTTTGGTTTACCTCCACCCCAGAGGACTGCAATTATCGATGCAATATTGTATGGGATTGTAATCATGCCGTAGAGGGAGAATGCAGGTAGTATTGTAGGTAGTATAGCTGGTAAAACCCGAGCAATAATACGGAGTGTGCCAGCCTCTATCCGGGGGGAAATTGCTTCCTTGTGCTCAGGAATATCGTTTTCCATGTTAGGGGCTAGGAGGAATGAGAACATTGCGTCTAGAGCCAGGTACAGAAGGATGATATAAGCTACTCTTCTTGTCACAAATACGCCATTGCTCGGAACATATCCTAGGCGCTCTCTCGAAGGTTCAGGGTCCTTTTCGGTCCATGGCGTGGTTATATTGCGCCAGTTAAACAGAAGGCACCACGCTGTATAAGTTCGCTGGAGTCCTGATTGAGCTGATTTTCGAGCCGTCACCTCGCCCAAATATACTGCTTTCCGTAATACCAAATCGAAAGCATGCAGATGAAATACCCAGACCAATGACATAAATATGCCATCATATGTGCTATTCCCTGTGAACACTGGAGCGGAGTATTGCAGCTGCCCGGCTATGGCTACGGACAGCAGAAAGATTGAAGCGCGTTGGAGAATATTTGATGGATCGATAAAAGCAATGGCATAGGCTAGCACAAGAGGAGAAACAATAGCTATTGCGCCTAAATGTTGCACCGGAGATATTACCGCTGAAGCGGACATTGCGAGACAATAGCTTGGTTTTAGATGGTTTGCAGCTGCTTGTTTGCACACGTTTGTTTTTCAACACGATGTCCTGATTTAAGGTTGTAGGCAGCGCCCGCCAAGCTTATAAACGAAGTATCGAGCTTCGGATTTTTGACATTCCACGGTATGCCTATTGGCACGATTGAGAGCATCAATCCACTGAATTACAAGCTTGTGTATGGCAGAGCGGATGGGATGTCTAATTCTCTTGAGTCTATGGTCGTATGTGATGGTTTTTCAACTATGACACAATATCAGGGGTGACGGGGCTCTATAATCGGCTGCGACAATGGGGATTCTAGTAGGACCGTTCAAAGACGACTTGCTGGCATACAAAAGGAGGGCAAGTCGTGAGACTAGATCTTTCGCAATTTCCTAAGCAGTATTGGGTCCCGTAGTACGCATGCGCTGGAGCATGATCCGGCTAAGAGACGAATTTCCTATTCCTACTTCCCTAGACAGACCATCCCTCTTCTAAATGCATCTATCATCCCATCGTACATTATATCACGGTCTCGGAATGTATTAATGAAGATTACACCATCTTTGATCAGGAAGAGGACGCTTCGAGGCAATCGATTAAATGAATGAATGGATTTTATTCGCTATTTAATCATCACGACGCTTAGCTCCTGGTGGAAGCAAGTGTGTAGGAATAACGTGAGGCTGACGAGGCTTTGCTTTACCCAAAGAATTCTAAATAGCCTAGGGATGTTGTCGGGTCACAGATATACCTACCGAAAATCATGGCTGTAGTTTCTGCTATAAAACGACAGATTCGCCCCACACCTCACGACGGCTACCCAAGTGGCTAGCACCGATCAAGCACCCGTTGCCCAGCAGATCCTGCGCGCGCACCTCCGCTCCCGAACCCTCTGGCAGTCCGACGCTGATAAAGCGACCGTGCACATCCAACAAGCTCAAGTAAGCACCGAGATCAAAGCCCTCAAGCGAGTTGGCAGTGTTGATGATAAGATCGAAAGTCATCTTGTGCGCCTCGTTCCACTCCTTATCCTGGGTGGCCAAGAAACCCGTAGCGCCCATCTTCATCGCATCCGCCTCCTTCGCGTGGCTACGGCTAATAACCCAAGTCTCCGCACCAAGCGCAACCGAGAACAGAACACCGAAGTGACCGATTCCGCCCATACCCACGATACCAACCTTCTTGCCCTTGCCAGCACCGTTGCGAACCAAAGGACTGTAGGCTGTCAGACCGGCGCACAGCATAGGCGCGGCCTGGACGGAGGTCAGGGCATCTGGAATGGGGAACACCCAGTGCTCGTGCGCGCGGACGTGCGAAGAGTAACCACCCTGCGAAACGATACCGGTGCTCTCCCACAGCGCACCGTAGGTGTCGCGCTGGTGCACGCAGTAGGTCTCGTTGTCGTTCTTGCACTGGCGGCAGTCGAGGCACGAGTAGGACTGTGCGCCGACGCCGACGCGCGAGCCCTCCTTGATGAGGGTGACCTTGGGGCCGACGCGGATGGCTGTGCCTATGATTTCTGCGAGGGAGTGTGAGTTTTAGGAGGGTAGGGAAGTTGGGGAAGGGTGAGGAGGCAGGCGTACCGTGACCGACGCAGAGGGGGAAGTGCTGCTTGCCCCAGCCGCCGGAGATAGTGTGAAGATCGCTGCCGCAGATGCCGCAGGCTTCGATCTTGATGTCGACATCGTAGTCTTCGAATGGCTTGGGCTTGTACTCTTGCTTTGTGAAGTCGAGCTTCTCAGCGGGGGCGGGCCCGGAGACTTGGAATCCGGTGAAGGTGTCTGGGTAAACCATTGTGAGGGTTAGGGTCGTCGATGGACGATATGAGTAAATATGAGAGTGGGAGAGTTAAATTGGTCAAAGAGATATGACTTTACGGTATGAAGAAGGACGAGAGAGAAGAGGGAAAAAGAGGGAATAGAGAAAAAGTCAGGAAGAGCAAAGCCACCGCCCGCTGAAACGCCAAAAACTCTCCTCTTAACCCCGCCATGTTGCTCTTAGCCAACTCGCATTTATTTCGGCAGTGTTGATTATCCCCTCCATCACCCCGCCATCCCAATGGAGAAGCGCGACGATAGGAAGACCGAGGGGAGATTATCCACCAATCACGTGTCCCCATTTTTGTGGGTGGGAGAATTGAGCCCCGCGACGCGTGGGGGCGGGTCTTGAAAGCGGAGAACGGGAATACGAATCTCCACCGAAACCAGGGGACACATACCCCGAGATGGAGAAAATCACTGATTGTGGAAGAAATCGTCGAGTTGAGGATTGAAGGTTGACGATAATCCCCTCTGTCGTAGATCGTGTTTGAACTGCTCACTATGCGCTGGGCGCCGGTAAGTGCTTGCAAAAGCTTCATCTGTTTATGTTTGCTCTGTCTCTATCGTCTCTATCGTAAATGAAACTCCGCTGGATATCGCCAATCAATCGCACATAAGAAATCCGGAATTCGCCACCAGTTCAACCGCATCGTCGTCGCTCAGTATCTCCCTTCGAAGACACCGCAACATATGCACCGAGTCTCCTTCACTGCTTTCCAAAACTCGACTTCCACACGCTCTCCACGATGCCCCAATACCGCTCGCTATTCTTGGGCATATGGCTCACATGCTGGGTGCCCTCAAACAGCTCCCCGCGCGCCTCATAACCCAGCGCCGTCGCATTAGCCATATGGTCCTCCACATGCCCCCAATGCACCATATCGTCCTCGCGGCTGTAGATATACGCCCTCGGCACCTTCGTCGCGAAAAGCTTGTGGCGATTCATCATCTTGCAGTATGTTATGATCGGGTTCTCTATTCCCTTCACCCACCACACAGCTTTGTACAAGACGTACGCCGCAGCCAGTACAGCTGTCGCGAGAGTGCGGATGATGAAGTTCTTGGGTAGCCCGGCAGTGATGGCTCGGAGGTCGGGCCAGAAGCGCGGGTAGCCGGGGCCACTGTCGAAGATCTGGGCTTGGATCGGGAGGGGGTCGCCGGTACGTCGGTTGTATTCTTCTGTGGTGAGGGCGGTGTTTTTGAGGCCGCCGTTGGAGAAACTGTGGAGGAGGATCCTGGTGTTTGGTGGGAATGCTTGTAGTTTGGCGGCGACGGGCGAGTAAACTTTGGTTTCGCCGGCCTTGGAGCGGAAGATGACATCTTTGGTCGAGGCGACGACGAGAATAATGCTGGCATTGGGGAAGAGAGTCTTGTAGTATTCGGTGTATTTCGCGATATGTTTCGGTTGGGCGTCGAGCCAAGACATGAATAGGATCACATCGGGGTGAGGAGGTGAGACTTGGTCCCTGAAAGGGTTCCCGGATTTTGGAGCTTCATAGATGTATGAACTTGGACCAAGAGACGTGAAGCCCTCAAGGGCCTTGGGGACAGGTGCCGGCGCCATCGAGAGATGTTTGGGCCGAGAGATAATTTCGATTGGAGGGTTGAAAGAGGAAGTAGGAATAAATGCGCAATGGAAAGAGAAGAAGTCCTACCTAAATCAACATGGGTGGGGAAATTGGAGAAATAAAATAGAATTCTGGATGCCAGAAGAAGGAGAGTAAGCTGACCGTAAGCCGGGCTTGAAGCTTACGGGCGTAGGATATTGATTGTTTTGTTGAATAGTGTTAATCCCATAGCTCATTCGGAGTTCACCTTGATGAGTATTTACCAAATTATTCCCATTCTATCGCTCACGGTTGGCCCGAAGTCCGCCGGAGAATTGTGGATGCCTCGGCCCCATGTGGTCGCGTCACGTTCATTCGGTGCCTGGTTGGCTCAACGTAAGGCTAGTTTTCAGCCTTGCAGGTTTGAGACTCCTGGATCAAAGTGACGTACGCGGGGCTCCAACATCAAACCCAAATAATTACCAGCCTTAGGTTCAATAACAATAACTCTAACTCAACTCTCTAATTTGGCAACTTCAACTCATCATGGGCTCAATTAAAATACAAGATGGGCTGCCGGATATTGTCGCAGCCAGGTTCCAAGAGGCTAAGGAGTCGGGCGACCTTCTCGCCTTCGACAGTACAGCGGCAGTGTTGGATGTGAATGGCATTCCTGTAACTATCCCTCTTTCTTTCCTATATAACTATAACCCCCTTCATTCTTTCCTTTATATTGTCTCTTTCTCCTTCCTATATCGCCCCTCGCTCCTTCCTCTAACCCCTCGGGCTTACAAATATATTTATTGCCCCTCGTTCCTTCCTCTTATTCCTTCGTGCGTTCTTCCTCGCTCCTTCCCATGAACTTATCCCGCTCTTTCCGGTATCTCCCCTCGCTCCTTCCTCCACCCCTCCTCTTTGCTCCGTCCTGCATCCCCCGTCGTTCCTTCCTCCCCAAAAACAAAAGTCCTCAGCTAACCTCCGCCCCCCTCAAGTTCCAACTCCGATACTGCCCAACCCTAAAATCCAAACCCAAACCCAACGGCCCCAGCTCCTCATCCTCAACCCCGTTCAACCCCTTCCTCAACCCCCCTCCCGCCCTCTTCATCACCCCCATCGGCCCCTCCCACCACCTCGTCCTCAACAAATTCGCCCTAACCCCCAACCACACCATCCTCGCCACCAAGACCTTCTTATCCCAAACCGATCCCCTCGCCGCCGACGATCTAGAAGCCGTCTATGCCCTCCTCTCCGCCTATCGGTCTGCAGGACAGCGACTTTTCGGATTCTTCAATAGCGGGCCGCATTCGGGAGCTAGCCAGCCGCATCGACATGTTCAGTTTTTGCCGGTGGAATCGATGAGGGAGGGGTTGGGGGAGGGGGAGTGGGATCTGCTTGCTGATGGACTGGCGGAGAAGCAGGCGAAGATCCCGTTTACGTATTTTGCTGCGCCGATAAAGGGGAATCCCTCGCCGGCGAAGTTGCACGAGACGTATTTGGCGCTTCATAAGATGGCGAGGTATGCGATGGATACTTTTGAGAAGAGGGCAGGGACGGATGGAGGAGGGGAGGAGATGAGCTATAACCTCGCCTTCACGGATTCGTCGATGATAATCCTGCCGCGGAGGGCGGAGGGGATGGCATTCCCTACTGGGCTAGAGGATCCTAAGGAGACGGGGGTGGTGGCGTTGAATGGCACGGTTCTGGGGGGCACGCTGCTGGTTAAGGATGAGTTAGAATGGAAGGCGCTGAGGGAGGATGGGAGGAAGTTGAAGGAGGTGTTGGAGAGGATAGGGATTCCGTTTTCGGCGTTTGCGGGGGAGATTTTGGGGTGGAAGGGTGCGCCGAGTGGTGCGTTATAGGATTTGTTAATTAATGGGCCCATCTCTGGAATTCCAGGATTTGCGCATATTCGTCAAGAAGAAATTGATTTTGCGCAGATATGGCACAATCGCCTGGGGCGATTCGGAAGGTTTTGTGCGCATATTCATCAACAGGGAATGGATTTTGCTCAAAATCAAGGAGAATCACCTCAGGTGATTCGAGAGGTTTTGCGCATACCCGTCTATAATATGTTTGATTTTGCGCAGAAACTTAAAATGGACAGGGTCTATACTGTTGCGTTGTGTGCATATTGTCTAGAAATACAGTAGTTGGGTTACAGACAGCAGTTGGGTTTTCCCATCTCACAAAGCTCCCAATATCTTCGACGTACGACATGATCTGGACATCTCCCAGCAACAAGCTCGGCGGTATTCCCACTCCTCCTAACCCAGTCCACCTCTACTCTCTTAACACTCGTAATCCCCACATCCTTTCTAGCATCCCTTCTCGAATCCCCACCCTTCTTTCCAGCATCTCTCATTCACTTCTTCGCCTTCGCCTTCCCCCCAGCCTTCGCCGGCAACCCCACGCCCAGCAAAAACGCAACCCTCAAAGCAGCCGCCACATACACAAATCCCAAATTCCCCCAATCCATCGCATTCCACCCCGCCACATTCCAGTACCCCTCCCACCCCACCGCCTCGCGGACACTCCACACATGCCCTACATCCGCCACCAACAAGCCGAAGAGGAAGACGCGCCACACGGCTAGGTCGTTGGTGGTGCGGAGGAGCGTGGCTTCGGTGATGGAGAGGAGGAGGTAGAGGTTTGCTAGTTGTTGGAGGACGATTGCTGTAGAGGGGGGGAGGGGGACGAGGGTCGATTGAGGGGTGGAGGGCGTGGTCAGGGTGAGGTAGTGGTGAGGCTGGAAGTAGGCGAAGTAGGCGCCGAGGAGGGTGGAGAGGGGTTCGATTGTTAGGAAGAAGGTTGTGTAGAGGAGGGGGAGGCGGAAGGAGGTGGGGGTGGTGGTGGATTTGGGTGGCATGGTGGTTGTGGGTTGTCGTGTGAGGTTCTGTATCGTGGTTAGTCTTTGAGTTTGGAAGAGTAGAGTAGTAGTAAGTGGGTATGAATGATCTTACTGTGATAGTTTGCTCAATTGAGACGATGTGGGCGATGAGGGTGTAAGGAGATTGTATAGATGTTGTTTTGTTATGGCGTCGTGTTTGGTGTGTGCAGGGATATTTTGGTTAGTAAGAAAAATATTCAAAATCTATGAAATCATGAGTTTATTCAGGAACTAAAAAAATGGGTACATAGGAGCAAGAATAATCATAAGATAGATTTGATTTAAAATTTAAAATTTAAAACATGCTACTAATGAATATAATTAATATATTCAAGAAAATAACCATTATTTCGATTTGATTATGTAAATGTCGTCTGATCATGGACCCCTTTAATATTTTACCTTGAGGGTTATCCCCGGATTTTACCTCAGCCGTCTATGATGTATGTACTCCAGATAACGTGACTTCTCTACGAATTATCTACGAATTATGGTACTGTACCTGTACCTGACCCATACTCATCCAACAACCTGATTTAATGCAGATATCCTCATTTTCCATGCAAACATTACGAGGTTTATGTGAGATTTGATACATCCTCCAACTGTGTCCTGTACTACAAAAATGACAGGACGAGGCTGCGAATACCCGTTGGAACCAATGTATGTCGCCCGCCGCCCGCTTCCAGCCTCGTCGGGATCTCCGTTAGATTGAAACGAAAACTGCCAATCATCAGAATTTAATTCCCGAGCCAACCAGGCGAATCACCTGAGAAAAAGTACGGAAAAGTACGAAAATACATGGAAATTTAATTTTTTTAGTTTCTCGCCATTAAAGAATACTTGTATAAACAATTCCCCATTTCTGACCGCCCTTACTTCTGAAGCCGATATCTATCTTCTGCATGATAATATCACTCCGTGGCAAACTTCTGATACCCAGTGTTTATTTACACTGTGATTCCTAAGTCTCCACCTAATTTTGTTATCTGTCGCCTCTATCTGTTATCCACAAATCCACAAGTGAATCCGTCGCGACTAGTCCAAACAGACGACTGTCCTTAAATCCAGCACTGGCCACCGACGGCCCATCTTCCCCATATTTCGCCAAAGAAGAAAGCAGAGCCTCGATCCCCTAATCTGCGACGGCGAACTTTCGAACTTGCCTCCTGGAGAATCTTCGCGAGAGCGTCGACCACGTCGCACCTTCCTCTTACGCTCCTCCTCCATCGTCGCTTCCTTAATAACAACAACAACCTCCACAACTTCCCCACGACCCACCCCCTGTGGATTCCCTCCGCGCGAAATCACCAACAATGGAGAAGTCGCAATCCACCCTCTACGTCGACGACGTCGACCAGGCCACAGAATCCTTCTACATCCCCTCCCACACCGACTCGGGTACCGGCGCGTACTCACATGCATACCCACCTGCCATCCGTCGCCAACGCCTACGCTCTCTCCCCCTCGGCCTCGGAGACGATGTAGCCGACCTCTTCCGCCGCTCCATGCACCTCGGCCCCTCCTCGCAAGACACCTTTATCGAGCGAGAGGACAAGGACAAGGGCAAGTCTTCCTCCTCCTCCACCACCGCCGCCGCGCCAACCGCAACCCTCAAACCCCCAAAGCCAGAAACCCGCATCCGTGGCCTCATCCGCCGCGCCTCCGTCTCCCTTCTCAACCACGCGAAGCCAAAGCCGCGTCGCGCCTCACACTCGCACGCCGACATGCCTTTCGAATCCGCAGGCGCGCGCCCCACGACCTCGGCGGGCGCGGCGTGGCATAAACTGAAGAGCGCGGCGAGCTTTAGACATACGAGGGCGGAGACGGTGGGGTATGGGTATAGGGGACATCATGAGGCGCTTCGGGCGTTTGATGATGTTGATGAGCCTATTCCTGGGCGGGGGAATGCGCCTCCTATTATACCGAGGAGGGGTGGTGGGGAGGCGGCGAGGGCGACGGCGGCGGCGCAGAATGAGATGTTGAGACGTAGGCAGATTGAGAAGGAGGTGTATTTGGATTGTGAGAGTGCAGTTGAGTTGGCGTTGCCGCTGTATGGTTTGCAGCAGCGCGATGTGGAGGAAGATGCTATTGTGCGGATTGATTTCGTGGGAAGTCTGCCGGAGGAGTTGGCGGTGCATATTCTGTCGATGCTGGATCATAGGGGACTGGCTCAGGCGTCGGAAGTGTCGAAGAGATGGTATCAGGTGGCTAATACCAACTACGTGTGGAAGGAGTCCTTCTATCGCGACAACTCGACTACGTTTGCCATGGGCAAACCAGTGAAACCTGGGACTGGCCTTGGTCTTCCGCCGACGCTACCAGAGAAGGAATGGAAGCAGGTGTACAAGGCGCGCCAGCAGCTGGAACGAAACTGGCGCGAGGGCGAGGCCTTAGCTGTCTACCTCCACGGGCACACCGACAGTATCTATTGCGTCCAATTCGATGAGTAAGTCCTCTCTACACCCTCTATCTATGCCCACAACCTAACCCCCCACAGACACAAAATCATCACCGGCTCCCGCGACAAAACCTTCCGCGTCTGGGACATCCACACCTACAAATGCCTCCTCGTCGTCGGCCCCCCCGCCATCACCTCCTCACCCACCCTCCTCACCACCGCCACCGGCGCCCCAACCCACTACGCCGAAGTCTCCGCCCCCCAACCCTCCACGGGCGTCCAATCCCTCTCCCCCTACACCACCGGGCACAGCACACCCCCCACCCTCTCCTACGCCACCCACCATGACGCCTCCATCCTCTGCCTCCAATACGACGCCTCCATCCTCGTCACCGGCTCCTCGGACGGGACCTGCATCATCCACTCCATCGCCGACTCCTACCGTCCCATCCGCCGCCTCCAGCACCACAGCGCCGCGGTGCTGAACCTGGCGTTCGACGATAAATACATCGTCACCTGCTCCAAAGACTGCACCATCGCCGTCTTCCACCGCGACACCGGCGCGCTCCATCGCCATCTACATGGACACACTGGCCCTGTTAACGCGGTGCAGCTGCGCGATAATGTAGTGGTGAGCTGCAGTGGCGATTTCAGCGTCAGGCTGTGGAATATCGAGACCGGCCGCTGCATCCGCGAATTCGCCGGTCACACCAAGGGCCTGGCCTGCTCGCAACTCAGCGATGACGGACGCCTCATCGCCTCAGCTGGTAACGACCAAGTCATCCGCATCTGGGACGCACACACCGGCGACTGCATCCGCACCATCGACGCGCACGAACTCCTCGTGCGATCCCTGCACATCGATTCCGTCTCCGGGCGTCTCATAAGCGGGAGCTACGACCACGGTATCAAGGTGTTTGATCTCGCGACTGGCGGGCTGCTGCTGGATTTCCCGAAGTGGCATGCTAGTTGGGTACTGGGGGCTAGGGGGGATTATAGGAGGATTGTGAGTACGGGACAGATTCCGAGGGTGTTGATTATGGATTTTGGGGGGGGAGTGGAGGGGGTGGATATGTTGGAGAGTGGAGCGCTGGTGGCGGAGGGGGAGGGGGCGAGAGAGGAGGTGGATGCGTGGGTTAAGAGGGATGAGGTGGAGAGGGAGGGGGGGTGGAGGGTGGAGTGTTGCTGAGTCTTGTTTTTGTTGAGTTTTGTGGTTTCTGTACGGAGTTGTTGGTGCTTTTGGGAGTTGGAGAATGGGGGATAGGTGTGTCTTTTTTTGGTGGTGGTGGGGGAGCAAGAGGCGTTTAAGGGGTGATTTAGTGTTATATGGGTGATCAGGTTAGCGGGAGTTTTTTGCTTTTACTTTTATTTTTTGTATTTCTTTTCTATCCTTTTTTCGTCTTCTATCTACCTCTCGAGAGACCTGGTGGCCTGGGATTTTATGGCTCAGGGACTGGGGAGGGGGTTACAGATAGAGGTCTTGCATGGCGTGGCTTAGCATCACAGACGGCATATAGCGCGAGGCGTGCGCGGGTTATAGACAAAACAGATAACAGACAGAGGCAGAGATACAGACATACAGACAAAATGAACAGACAGACAAGACAGACAGACAGATAGACAGAGCCTAAACAATACAAAAGACACTGGTACATCAAAAGACAAGACACAATGTGATAAATATAACTCGTCGAGCTCAATTTTTGTGTGCGTGTAGATACAGCGTTGTAGATACATGAACTTATGTGATATTATGAGCATACAGTGGTCTCTTTCCTCCCATCCCATCCCATCCGATTCATTTCCCAGACTCCCCCCTTTCCAAACTCCTCTTCCTCAACTCCCCTCCCTTAACTCCCCTCACGCCCAGACTTTTCATACACACACCCCCAACCAACGATGCCGGCACCATTTAGTTTTCCTCACATCGCAACAGCAACCCTACTCCCACCACCGTTCCCAGGAAAATCCTCAAGCTCAAAAAACACCCTCTCCTCCACCACCCCATCCAGTAGCGCACCTAGCGCTCCAACACCAAGCCCAAGCCCCCTCATCCTCCCCTCACCCTGTCTCCTCACCACCTCCCCACCAGAGATGCACTCGGGTGCAACATCCTCCTGCTCCTGCTCATGCGCTGTGCTTCCGCTCCACCTCCTCTCCCTTTCTGGCCTTGTCGCTGAGCTGGGGTTGGAGGGGGAGGTGATTTTGTAATCCGAGAAATCGTATGGTGTGTGTGATTGCGAGAGTGGCGAGGGTGGCGTGGTATCCGAGAAATCGTATCCGGAATGCGACCTCGACAGCGGTGAGGGAGGCGTGGTCGGGTTCTCGGACGACGACGACGACGAGGAGGTGGAGGGGGTGGAGTGGGAGCGGGTGTGAGAGTGGAAGTGCGAAGAAGGAGAAGATGGGGAAGATGGGGAAGAAGGAGAAGGGGTGATTTGGTTCAATTCAACCTGCTTCTTCCAGCATCCCATCTCCATCCCCCCATCATCTTCGTCTTCATCCTCATCTTCCTCTGCGGCGCTGGTGAAACTATTTTCCATGCTCGTTGAAGGGGTACGACTCGGTGTAGGCGCGGAGCTACGGCGCGGGTTGCGGCCGATAACACTTATCGCCCTCCCTAAACTGGCTGCCGAACTGAGCGAGCGCGCGAGAGTGGGGAGAGAGGCGCGGCGCGGGCGCGGGCGCGGGGAGGGGGGGGAGGAGGAGGCGGGGCGCGTGAGGAGGGTGTAGTCGATGTCTGGCTCGATTGGAGAGCTGGGGGTATGCGGAGTTGTGGGGGAAGAGGGGATAGAGGAGGATGAGAGAGAGAGGTGCAGGGTTTGTGTGCTTGATGGCGTGAGAGACGCGCGCGGTGAGCTAGCCCAGGGGAGGCGGGGGAGCGTGGCGCTGAGATGGTAGGGGACTGTGAGGGGTGTGCGGACAGCGGGGAGGATATCCGTAGCTGAGCGCAAGGTCTGGAGTGTGGCGTATATAAGAATCCAGCGGACTTTTCTGGCAGCCGCCGCCGGCACACGGGTTCGTTTATCCTCCTTAGTAGAAAGAATACACTCTATCTCGAACTCCCTAAACGCCTTCACCAGCGGCGCCTCCAACAGCGCAGGTTTATGGTGATTACTCGCCTTCGCCACAATCGAGAGCGCAAGCAGCCGCGAATCCGTCTTCGGCGACGCAGGACGGCTCCAGCTGAATGTGCGCGCCAGGTTCGGGGAGCGCAGGGAGTGCGTGCGGCTGGTGAGGGGGGAGGCGGAAGAGGAGGTGGGGAGGAGGGGAAGGGGGTGCAGGAAACTTTCGTAACCGAGGCGGGTGTCGAATGCTTGTACGGACTGCAGGACGCACACCCCGCCCTGGGCGGCGGCGGGACTGCAGTCCGTGGCTGTGAAGGACTCGTCGACGAGGTAGGCGTAGAGATCTTTGAACTCGGTGCGCATTCTCAGGAGGACCTGGTTGGAGAAACTGGGACTGCTGTGGGGGGCCGGTGGGTAGGAGCCCAGGGCGGAGATCCAGTAGGTGGTGAGGAAATCGCGGAAGCGGTCAAGATGGGTGCGGGAGGCGGCGGTGAGGCCGAGGTGGGTGGGGGAGAGCTCGTCGGCGAGGAAGGTGGAGAGGGAGAGGCTGGTGCGTGAGAGGCGGGAGTGGAGCTCGGCGTGGGCGTGGGTGAGGATGGAGCGGGTGGTGTCGGAGATGGACTGGATGGTGTTAGTATGTGCTACTTTGACTGTCGCCGTTTGAGTATCGCGGGTTGGGCGTGCTACAAACCTTGTATTCTGGGCTTTGGATGATCTCGTTGTGCATCCCCACCGCGTGGGCGAAGGCGTCGATGTAGAGATTCTCGAATTGGAAGTGCTCTGCGAAATGGAGGGTGGCGAGGGTATGGACTGGGCTGCCGCCGAAGTCTGCGTATCCTCCCTCCTCCATATAGTCGAGGATATCCTCCACATTATCCACGTTCAGTCCTCGGTACTCTCTCATGCTATTGAGCAGCCCCACCAATGCCTGCCCCAGACTCTCTCCCACGAGAGGCTTCCCGCATATCCACGCGAAGAAGTTCCGTGTAGCAGTACGGCACAGCAATTTCTGTTCTCCCTCCGCCGTCGGCGGTGGCGGAATGTATAAATCATATCTTCCCGATGTATATTCCTTGCTCGAGCGGCCCTTGACAAACTGCCTGTTCGAAGAGGGAAGGTAGGAGCCCGTGCTGCCAGCCAAAAAGCGTTCCAGCAAAGGAATGCAGTCCAAGCCGACTAGAAACTCGAGGGGGATGAGGAATGCCGGACCCCACATCGACGACGCCGTGGAGTCACGGGCATACAGATGGACGAGGCAGTTTCCGTCCGGGTACCACATCTCGGGATCCTGTGTTATGTTAGAAAAAATTAAGCTTATCGACCGCCGTGTCTCCGTCTCGTTTCCATTCCACGCTCAATTGCAACAGAGGAAAAAAAAATGCAGTGTATACGAACCATGCTTAATCCATCCCAGTTGGTGACCTCTTTAACAGTAGCCTCAAGCCTCTCCATGTTCCCCTTCGGGCCCGGCCCAGAAATCCTCACTCTCATAGCTGCGCGTCTTGATTTCCAGCGAGAAGGCCTACTCGTGAAGCGGCTGTAAATAGGAAGGAGGCCGGGACGGTTTGCAGAGCGTGGGCTTGAAGCCGAATATAACTGCGTGTGAGAAGAGACGGGGCTACCCAAGGCGAGCTGAGGTTTTGTCCTCCCCGTCGACTCATGACCACTAACACCACCATCACCACCAGGCGGCGACGTAATTAGGGGTGCTTCTGCGAGAGGAACCCCGACCTTCCGGGGGAGGGGTAGTGTCATGGGGGAGGGGGAGGGGGGAGGTTGGAATGAATGCGGGCGGTGGATGGCTGCGGTGTAGCACACCCTGATGGCCGCGAGCGATTGATATGTCTTACAGGATGCGAATCAAAGCACAGGGCCGGGCTATGCGATATGCAGGAGCAAAAACGAAAAGATTGATTGAATGATTGAACGATTGACTTTGAAAGGAAAGCCGGGTAAGGTAAGTAACAGGAAACGAAGGATGGAGGAAGGAGTCTGTTGCTGTTGTTCTCTTCAAAAAGATTGAATAATATAGAAAGAGCAATTGTGCATGAGGAGACTAAGTGTTGCTTTGCTTGCTCTGCTTCTCTCATGTTGTCACACACAGAGGGAGCTTACATCATAGGTTTTTTTTGGGCCTGTGAAGCTATCACCAACCTTAAGTGCTATCTCTGGTGTCTATATGTGGGTATCCCGGTGTAATTTCCCCAGGGATTGACCAGAGATGCCAGCACAGATAGGGTGCATATTGAAGATCCTCGTGAAAAATAGAGGAAAAGGCGGTTCGTCATTGGGGTAGATTTGAGAGAGAGTACTTACCTTACCCCTACAAAGCGTGCGTGTTGGGTGTGTAGAGTGTGTAGTATACAGGAATTGTTGTAGCTGTGGGTTTCAGCTGTTGGCAGCGAGTTGTCTCTCCCGAACGCGGATGTGTTGCCCTGTCAGCAGTCGTCGGCGAGCGGTGGTTGGTTGATGTCCGGAGACGGCCACCAGGAACCTGGCAGGTAGTAACTGGTTTTCACATAGAGACGGATCGGGAGCGCGCCACGTCGATTTCTAGTATGTGTCTAATGAAAATAGTAGTCAGGGATACGAAGTAGCTGATATGTACTGTTATTCGCAGTATTGGGTAGAAATGGTATAGTAAAGTCGAGGGCAAATAACCAAAATATGCGGCCTTATGAGGTATACTGTATACTGTATACTGTCTTCAAAATGTATGTGTGTATGCAGCCATGCAATGTGTGCATGTTTTGTATGCAGCCATGTCTTACTTTTACACTATCTGTATGGATTGTTTAGGCGGAAATGAGAAATATCTGCCAACGAACGCGGTGAAAGGCAGTGAGTGTGATATGTGTGATATTGCAGGGAGAGAGAAAGACGACGTGGCAATGAAAGTTTAAGATTTGATATATGCAGCTTTTAGTTCTGACTGACTGACTGACTGACCGACTGACCGACCGACTGACCGACTGACCGACTGACTGGGTGGCTGGCTGTATGCACAATTGTAGGGCACACCCTATTGCGGCGGTAAGGGTGGCTGTCGACGACACTGAATGACTCCTCCCTCTGCCTCTGTATCCTCTGTGTCCTCTGTGTCCTCCCCGTGATCTCTTCTCAGGCCTCAAAAGACCGAGTACAGAAGAGTACAATCTCACACAGCAGAGAACAACAGAAAAGCCAACATAGTACGCCCCGAGTACAACCATCTTTGTTGCCGGGTACACCGATCAAATTCAAGGTACTACCAAACCGACTATCGACGGGCCCATCGACGGCGACAATAAACGATGACGACAGTCAGTCCAGTCCGGCCGTGAACACTTCCCCCACCATAAACATAACACCTTATCGCCCAAATATTGGTGGCGATGTAACCAACACAGTTAGTATCCTCAAACTACCCCAAGTTAATCCCACTACTTCAAGTCAATCCCACCAAGTTACCACACACAAAACCCACGCACTACACCACATCCCCTCCCTCCCTCCACGACCTCGCCTTTCACATGAACAGCCGCAACCACCAACCCCCTTCGAGAGCCTCCCTCCGTCCTCCCCCCTCCCGCTTCGAGGCACCAACCCCGCAAGATAAGCTCATCATCGCCAGACCATTGCAAGTACCCAAAAAAAATCCTGTCCACTCACTTCCCCGCAAATCTTGCTTGTCCATGTCCCTCATGCCCCTCCCCCTTCCTGGTCGGTGGTGGTGGGGTTGGAAAGAGAGTGGTCTGGACGCGTTCAGTCGCCATCGCCTATCAGTGTGCGGCATTGGTATGTATGATGGCACTGGTTTGGATTCTATATCTGCAGCTGTTTCGGGACAAACTAACGATTGAATGGACGAATGGACGGATCCCAGCACTGCCGGGCCGTGGTTGTGATATTCTAAAATTCTAAACATAACATAACATAACATGCTGGAGTACTAGAAACACGCTGCTCGGCCATTGGCACGTAAGCTGGTGTCAGGAGATACTGACTCGACTCGACTCCTAGAAGAAGGGGTTAAACCGCTCGAAAAGAAAGGTCCTGATATATACATCCCCCACACGAGAAAGATCCATGATGAGGAAATAGATAAAAACGATGTGCCGTGCGTGCCACACCACAGAACAAGACACCTCGTATACACCCCCTCACATCCCGCCCCTCCACCATCTAACGCCAAGATATTCAGAACATATCAAAACATATCCGTCACCGCGGCTTCAACCGGGCCGCGGATCGTACTGTACTGTGCATACTGTACACATGTTCCCCCGCCCCCTCATCTAGTCATCCCACTCCTCATCCAGCTGGTCAATGAGTCTATTCTCATCATCCGGCCTCGCCATTCCGCGCGCCACACTCCCATTCCCCGATCCAGGTAAGGAATTATAGCCCCTCCTCCCCGGCAAACACCTCGCGCAACTGCTCGTAAAAATCGTAAAGAAATCCTATTTTCACACCCACAGTCAGCGTTACATCTCCCTTACACCCTCCCCTTCCCCCCCGGAATAGCTCGGACGAACCATAAAGAACCCCCCAATCCCCGCCCACATCGCATAATTCGGCAACTGCCTCCACCCCCTCGAGTGCTCCACGCTGCGATTATACATCACGCCCCCAATGAAGTACACCAGCACCGCAATGATCGCAATGATCCCAAACACCCCCGCGGGACCCAGGCCGGCTTGCACGGGCCCGAGACCGGGACACGCGGCCTCGGAGCGCATCTCGAAGAAGTAGGCGCATTCGTCCGGGTCGGTGCCGATGAAGGAGGCGACGGCGCTGGATTTGAGGGGGTCTTTTTCGCAGTGAAAGGAGATGAGGGTGGATTTGTGGCGTTTGGTGGGGACGGGCTTTTTGGGTTTCTTGGGCTTGTCTTCGTCTTCGTCGTCGTCATCGGAGGAGCCGACTACTTTGCCGTTGAGTGTTCGCGCGGGGTATCCGTCTTCGTCGAGCTCGTCGAGATCCTCCGAGGATCGAGATTCCACGGTGGATCCGCAGGGAGAGCCACCGGTGTATTGGAGCACCAACTTGCGTCCCCTAAACATGATACCAGAAGATTGTTCTCTGCACCATCATTAGCACACCCCTCCCATCCCCATCTCCCAACTCCAAACATACCCTATAGAGAACACCTTCCCATCCGCCTTATAAAACGCACTAACATTCCCCCACCTCGCCTCCTCCACCCCCACCACATCCTCAATCTCCTCCACGACAGGCGCACATACATTGATCGAGAAGTTCCCCTTATAATCGTGTCCCCTGCTCTGCCAACTATCCGTCTTCTCCTTCCCCAGCTTCTTCTTCGGGTCGTGCACCTTAACCGCCAGGGGCCGCAGATCGTAGAACCCGTTCGTGCTGGGCGACTTCGCGGTGCAGGGGATTACATCGGGCTTCTTCTCGTCGGAGGCTGCGGCTGTCAGAGGTGCGAGCAGCGCCAGCGCGGCAAGCAAGATGCTGGTGAGAGAGGGAGGATACATGGTGGCGTTCGTTTGACGTTTGGCGCGGGACAGACAGGTCTCTGGTAAAGCGCCTTGGCGCAAAGGGAAAGAGAGGTCGTTCGTATGATAGAATTGGTTTCGTGAAATAGACTCAGTTAAGTTGATGGACATGCAGTCGCTGAGTGATGACGAATATACGACGATGCGACGGCTTCGTTCGGAGAGCAGTTAATAGATTCCCATAGGGTCTACGTTGTTTACCACTCTAATACGTATCCCCCCGGATTCCTGATCTGGTTTAGCACCAGGTACACAAGCCTTGTCGTACTCGTAATTTAATCACGTGATTGATTTGGCCAAAGGAGTGAGTGAAAGAGCAACCAAGAGATTGCACGGACCATGACGCCAATCCCCCCCACGCGAATGCCGCTTCCGCCGCTTCTACACCCCTAAACTCGATCGATCCAATTGAGACTGATTGAATCCGAACACGAGCGGAAACACTTGTATCCGGGGGCGAAGCTATCTCAAACCTTCTTTTCGATCGATACCCTTTTTCACCTCTTTTTACTTATGTTTATATAAGGAGGGCGCATATATCCTGGGTTGACAACAATCTGCAAACGAGAGAGGAAGAACAGCGAGCCCCTTGTCAACTGCAACAATGGCCGGTTCGAAATCTAAAGCCCCCGTCGTGAAGGCGCAAGAGAAACATGGATATGAGTTCGCTGGACCGTAAGTAGATGACTATTATCCGATTCAATCTGCGTCGCATACTGATTTGGAATAGGCCCGGTGCATTCGCCATCTCGTTCCTCCTCCCGATCGTCGTCTACATCACGAATTTCGTCTGCAACGACATTTACGGATGCCCGATCCCCTCGGTGCTGGACCCCAAGACTTTGACCTGGGACAAGATCAAGACCGAGACTGGATGGCCAGGATGGAATGGCATTGTAAGCTTGGAGGCTACTGGCTGGGTGTTGGGATACTATTTCCTGAGCTTGGTGTTGCACAGGTTCCTTCCGGGACAAATCGTCGAGGGAACTGAACTCGCTATTGGGGGGCGCTTGAAGTATAAGTTCAACAGTGAGTATTCTCCTGACATACACCTTATAGCTATCCATTGCTAACCCACTCCAGCTCTCTCCTCCTCCATATTCACCGTTGTCCTCCTCCTCGCCGGTACCATCGCGCAAGGCGCCGACTTCCCAGTTTGGACCTACATCTGGGACAACTACACCCAAATCGTCACCGCCAACATGCTCATCGCCTTCACCCTCGCAACCTTCGTCTACATCCGCAGCTTCAGCGTCAAGCCCGGCAACAAAGACATGCGCGAGCTCGCCGCCGGCGGCCACTCCGGCAACATGCTATATGACTGGTTCATCGGTCGGGAACTCAACCCCCGCGTCACCCTCCCCATCTTCGGCGAGATCGACATCAAAGTCTTCTGCGAGCTGCGCCCCGGACTCTTCGGCTGGATCGTCCTCGACGTCGCCTTCATCGCGCACCAGTACAAGACCTACGGCTACGTCACCGACTCCATCATCCTCATCACCCTCTTCCAGGCCCTCTACGTCTTCGACTCCTTCTACATGGAACCCTCCATGCTGACCACCATGGACATCACCACCGACGGCTTCGGATTCATGCTCTCCTTCGGCGACCTCGCTTGGGTTCCCTTCATCTACAGTCTGCAAGCGCGCTATCTCGCCGTCTACCCCCTCACCCTCGGCCTCTCCGGCAACGCCGGCGTCCTCGCCATCCTGAGTCTGGGGTACTACATCTTCCGCAGCGCGAACAACCAGAAGAACCGCTTCCGCACCGACCCATCCGACCCGCGCATCGCGCATCTCAAGTACATGGAGACGGCGTCGGGCTCTAAACTCATCATCTCCGGATGGTGGGGAACGGCGCGCCACATCAACTACCTTGGCGACTGGATCATGTCCTGGGCATTCTGTCTGCCGACAGGTGTAGCGGGGTACCTTGTGCAGCAAGGCCCGGCGCTGTTGGATGGCGAGACGGGATTCTCGCGTGGGGAGGATAGGGTTGTGCAGGGGGGTGCGAGGGGGTGGGGAATGGCGATTTCGTATTTTTACGTGATTTACTTCGCGATTCTGCTCATTCACCGTGAGAGACGCGATGAGACCAAGTGTATGAGGAAGTATGGGAAGGATTGGGAGGAGTATAAGAAGATTGTGCCGTGGAGGATTATTCCGGGCATTTACTAGGGAGCTGAGCTATGACGTGTGTCTGGTGGAAGGGGGTTTAATGGAGGGGGATGTGTATATAGTAATTGGGGTGGGATATTGCATTTGCAGGTTAATAATGGGGGGATAGCATAAATCGGGTATGGTAAGAGACGTATCAAAAACAATAATAAATTATTACCACAGACACACATTTCATCTCGGAATTCCCACTGAAATCTCAGTATCTACTCACTCAAACACCCCCCCTCACCACCTAAACATTAAACGCCTTACTCCCCTCCACCAACCCATCACTCATCTTACTAACCCCCACCCACCCCGGCACAAACGCCACCACCTCATCCAGCGCCGGTATAACCCCCGGCGTATTAAAATCCGCCCACAAACACACAACCCTACCCTCCATCCCCTCCTCCCCCACCCTCCTCCCCTCACTAGCCCCCCACTCAACCTCAACCTCCCATTCCCCCTCCCACTCCCTCTTCCACAACTTCACCTCCCCGCTCCCCACCTCCTGCGGCACCGCATCGAACCTCGCATCCGTCCCCGCCCCCGTGACCTTGACAGCTTTAACAGGGCGCGCAAAGCGAATAGCGCACGCTCGTGTGTTAGCTCCCGAGACTCGGAAAGTCGCCCGATTAGTCCCGCGCTCCCGAGTCGCGGTGTAAGACAGCCAGTCTTTATACGATTTCTCCGGCGGCACGCCCTCCACCCCCGGGACAACCTTGGGGGGAATACCGGTGTATGAGCAGAATTTTACGCCGGCGCGGAGGGGGCGAGTGGTGCATTCTATGTGCTGCCCCGACGCGGATGGGATGTCAGTAATGAGTTTCCTAACGAAAGTTTCGAGGCCGGAGATGGTGACGAGGTTGGTGCCGGTGTCGAGGTCGATGGTTTGTTGGAAGTAGGCTTTATACCTGTTCTCTGAGGAGAAGGGGAAAGCAGTTAAATTATAGATTAACGTCCCTGTGAAGAGGAGGAAGAGGAAGGTGGGGAGGTGGTGCGTGAATCGGTGTAAGGTAGGGGTGAGAGGGAGGAGGACGAGTGTGGAGAAGGTGGTGAGAAGAATGTAGGGAACTAGGAGCGCGGAGCCGTCGGGGCCGGTTTGGCCAGTGGCGGTGACGACGAGGAGACCGATTTGGCCGAGGAGGATGAGGGTGAGGGGGGCGAGGAGGAGGAGTTGGATGGTCCATGTCCAACGGGGGAGTTTGCCGGACCAGGATTGTTCGTGCCCGTAGGGTTCGGACTGGGGGGTGTTAGTATATTTCGCCAGGGGAGTTTTTTTGGGAAGGGGAAGGAGAAAGAGGGGGCTTACCTCTCCAGTGATACTATCGCTAGACCCGTCGTGGGCTCTGACACGACGGAATGAGCGGCGGGCGTAGTTGGCGAATGTGGTGGTGCGGGATCTCCTTGTGCCGTCGCCGCCGAAGAGGGGTGTTGATTCAGTTGGCTCCTGCTCCTCGGCTTCATCAGCTGGTGCTTCGGCAGATTCCGGTCCTGCGTTCTCATCCCCTGTGGGCGCAATAAGGGCATCAAAGTCCGGTAACGCGCTGATGCTCTCCACAGCCTCATCTTGAGCGTGCACGTTCGCTGCGAACTGTGTTTTTGTGGGTAGAGCGAATAATTCGAGGAGACTGATTGCGAGGGCGAAGAAGATTGCGATTTCGTAGAATACGAAGTAGTACCCCGAGGCGATTTTGAAGCGGTCTTCTAGGACTGTTACGGCGACGAGGATGATCCAACCGAGGATGAACATCCAGAAGTAGGCGTATGTGCGGTGTAAGGCGGATGGGCGGACGAAATCGGCGCCGCGCATTATGAACCAGAAGACGCAGAAGTTGAGTGTTAGAGCCATGGTCCATCTGGTAAAGTCAGTGTCTATTTATTGTTTCAAATGGCAAATGGTACTCACACTGAGTATTGGCTGCTGTAGATAATCAACGGATTAACCTTCACAATGAGCATCCCAGACCCAACAGTCAGCGCCGTCGCTGGGATAAAAGTCAGTGGCCAACGGAAGGCACCCCTCCAGCCATTGAGAGGAACATCTGCCTCACCGCTTCCACCCCGAGACGGGACCGAGGACGAAAACAAGTAAAACTTATCCTCTTTAATAAGAAGGTAAATAATCAGCATGATAGCCAATGGGCAGGCAATGAGGAAAGTCAGTGACCAAGCGAACAAAGTGCGTAGACCAAAAACCGCAAATCCCTTGCCGAATAAGTCGAACCAGACTCCATCACTACCCTTCCCATTCTTGACTTTACCCCAAGCATTGTCACCTCGGGGGCCGTTGAAAGTGCCACTAGTATCAGACGACAACGCCTCGACAGTGCTAACAGAAGTTGACAACATGTGCCAAATGCTGTCGCGGCTGGTATGCCTGGCATTATCCTGGTTTGTGTGGTAACGAGCGCGTGGAGTCCAGAACGACACATCAAGTCCTCGGAGACCTAGGATATCTTCGAAAACAACATAATCAGTTTGACTGCGGATCATCCCTTGCTTAAACCCATCGCCGCCAACAACACTCCCAAACGGATGCGAGCTCTTAGCATACGCCCTTGTAACCTCAGTATCCGTGCTACGGAACAGAACCGCACGACCACCAGCACCGGCGCCCTCGAGATTCAAAAACGTGTGAGTGAAGAGAGACATCGGGTGCTGGGTATACGCTCTAGCGCCATTGAGGAAATCCTCCTCGCCATTGTTGAGGAGCGCCACAATCCCCTTCTTTGGTTGTCTTCCAGTCGAGGTAAAGTAGCGGATCAGCTGGAGAACAGTAACAACTCCGACACCATCATCAGTTGCGCCGAAACCAGTCGAGACACTGTCGTAATGGGCGTTGATGAGGATGCCTCCCTGGCCGTGGGTGTTCCTCACGTGTAAGCTTGACTTCCACCATTCGCCTTCTTCATCTTCTGTGCCGCGAATGTAGACAATGATGTTTGTACCTTCAAAGTAGACAGTCTGTCCTGGCAGTCGGCCTTTGCCATCTGCCCCAATTGCTCCAAGTCCAGAGCATGTGACATTAGACTGCAAGTCATTGAAGATCGTAACCAGGGGCGAGGCATCTCGCTTCCTAAGCTCATCCTCCTCCTTTATCTCCCCATTCGTCTCAACCCCAATAAACCCAGGAAACGGCGCCTCTCCGACCTTGCCAGCCTCCTGTTCCCCTCCATCAACCTGTCCAATATCCTGCGGCGAAATCGGAATATGCCCATTCTCACTAGACCAGCTCACCCCGTTACTCCCCAATATCCCCTCCACCCTCCTCAACAACCAATCGTGCACCTCATCATTCCTTCGACTCGCATACGGATGATACGCCTTCGTCAACTCCGCCAGGTCCAGCCACGCCTCGCTGATGTTGAGGCCGCTGGGTAGTGCGTCGTCTGATGGCGCGGGGGGGACGACTTCGTGGATGACGAGGAGGGGTATCGCGATTGAGAGGTAGATGATCGCTGTAATGAGCATCACAGACATCGGGCTGGAGCTCAGCTGGCGCAGAATGTGCGCCATGGTCGCGGCTTTTGGCGACGGGTTGGCGCGGCTCTAGGCTTTGGTGGGGCGATTCATAGACGGTGAGTTTGGATTCTTGGCCAGATAGAATGGGATTGTGTAAAGATGTAAGGGGCCCTCCTAAGTATGTATGTTGGGCGGCGGTTGGTAGCCAGCTCTTCGTCGTCGTCGTTTGTCGGGGTGTTGACGTTAACCCGGATGGACTTAGTATAGCTCTGGAGCTTGGACTTTCCGAGGCTGCCGTGAGGGGTTACAGAGGGTGTGGCTAGCTGAGGTGAGACATGTTTGGTAGTAACACGATTTTTATAACAATTGTACAGATGCGTCTTATTCGATTCTTTATTAATTGTTAGGAATATAAATGCTTTGTGAATTTGGTAGTTGTACGGAAGCAATAGTTGCGTGAAGCAGCATTGTACCACTCGTTCAATTGACACCATTGTTTTCTCCATAAACGCCATTGTAATTACATAAACTGAGAAGGGAAACTTCAGAATCCCATAACCAGCCAATTTCTTAAATCTATAGCTAACTAATACTCTTTTAGCACGGAGAGGTCGCGTCCTCGATATATCTTGATACACATGCCATCAAGGTGCATATCTCTGTGGCGTTCTCGATGACGTTCTCCCCGCGTTCATCAACCGAGCACTGACCTCCTCTAAAAACCAAGCTTCTCGTCTCCTTACCTACCGCCAACCGCCATTCCGGCATCACAACCCAAACCACACAACAATGAGCCTCCTAAACCGCACCGCGCGCTGCGCGCGCACACTCCCCAACCTCTCCGGCCCCCCCTCGCGGCTCCAATGCCTCCTCCGCTCCCCCGCCGCGCACCCGCCATCACGTCATCTCCAGCGCCGCGCCATCAACTCCTCTCCCTCGCCCAGCTCCCACGAGCCCTCCACCGAAGAGCACAAGCGCCTCCGCGAGGCCGCCGAGGAGCGGAGACAGTACTACAAGCGCCGCAGCATCTACAACGGCATTGGGTTCGTGACGGGCATGATCGCGATCTGGGTGATCGCGACGTCCGTCGACCTTCCGAAGCCGACGAAGCTCGATTCGAAGCCCTATGATGCGCGGATGCATGATCCGCTGATCGTGGTGGGCACGGAGCGCAAGGCGGTGGTGCAGAAGATGGGGGAGGAGGCGGAGGAGAACACGGATACGGTTGAGACGGGGACGAGTACGGTGCCGACTTTTCCGAGGCTGATGCAGTTTGATGATGAGAAGATCAGTGAGAATGCGCAGGGGGAGGTGGCGAGTCCGACGGAGTATCAGCTTATGGGGTTGGGGATACGGAAGGTTTCGTTCTTGAGCATTCAGGTGTATGTGGTGGGGATGTATGTGGCGACGGATGATATTGCTCAGCTGCAGCGCACTCTGGTTAAGAGGATTGACCCCATTGCAACGACGCTCGTGGCGGGGGAGAAGGATACCCTGAAGGAGAGGTTGATGGATCCGGAGGCGGGAGAGGAAGTGTGGAACCACATCTTGTCTTCCACGAAAGTGCGGACGCTGTTCCGCATTGTGCCGGTTAGAGACACAGATTTTGGACACATGAGAGATGCGTACGTACGCGCCGTGACGGCGCAGGCAAGGAAGCACCCTGAAGAGTTTGGCGACGACAAGTTTGGACAATCGGTTGCTGAGTTGAAGGCTATGTTTGGACACGGCAATGTGCCGAAAGGAAGGGAGCTGGTGCTTGCAAGGAACGGAAAGGGTGCTTTGGCGGCGTGGTTCGATGATGGCAAGGCTGGACCGCAGCGATTGGGAGAAGTGGATGACGAGAGGATATCCAGGGCGCTTTGGTTACATTACCTTGCTGGCGCCCATGTAGCCAGCGAGGCGGCGAGGAAGAGCATCGTGGAGGGGATTATGGAGTTTGTAGAGAGGCCGGTTGGGACCGTTGCCGCCCAGGTTCATGTCTAAATATATGTATAACAGGTAGTTGCAGATGCTGCGCATTCTCATCGATTGGCAGTTGTAATTCTATTTCCCACTCTCTATAACCAAGTTCTCTAAGTCTACAATTTGTGCATGCACCTCTGTCCGTTGTGAGCACTGCGCCCTCTCTCAGGCTGTCATGTGCCAGTATCTGAGCCTTCCAAATACGCTCAGAGAGCTCCAGCTTCCTTCAGGAGGTTTGTCAGCTGCGACTTCTTCTCTTGCAGGTCGCTGTTTCCTCCGATGTGCTTCTTGTTGATGAAGATGTTTGGGACCGAGGTCTGGCCGGTCATCTCACCGAGGGCAGCCTGGATAGCAGATCCATCCTCTGTACGCCAGTGTCAGCTGAGTGTCTTTATCCATTATATATAGTAGTTGCGACGACTTACCGACTTGGTCAAGTTCAATCGAGTAGAACTTGGCGCCCTTCTCGTTCAAGAGCGCCTTGGTAGCCTTGCAGTATGGGCAGTATGACTTGCTGAAGACGGCTGGTTGAAGTGTCAGAAAGATGCAGGGCGGGTTTAGTGCTGACGGTGTTTAAACTCACCCACAGGGTTCTCGTCGATGATGGCCTGCACCTTGGTCTTTGCTGCTGCTGCCATTTCTAGTTGAGCTGGGCTCGCGGAAAACAGTCTACGTAGGAACGACAGGTTGGGCGAATAGATGGGAGTTGTTGAGGTAGTGAAGGTGTGCGATTTATAAGTGTAAGGACGATGTTGATGATGTTGGGTATAGGATACGACGCGGGGAAGGACTCTATTTATCGTAAGTCGTCGACTCGGGGTTTGTAACATTGGTAGTGGTGGTGATAGTAGTACAAGGGCTCTCGGTGACGCCATGAGGGGGGAAAATAGGGACATGGAACACACTGGGAATCTAGAATAGCGCCTGCCAAATCAGTTTACAAATCGCTGATTAGCGGACGAGGCTGGACCGCTGGACCGTGCTAATCCACCGGACTTTCTGGTTGCATTACTGTACAGTACATTCCAGATTACAGTAGTACGGATTACGGTAGCAGCACATGATTGTACTACGGTAGACTACAAGAACGGAATCTGTCGGCAATCGAATCTCAAAGTTCCCGATGGTCCTCGGATGGTTTCAAGATGATACAGCTGGAATTTTTATGAATTCTTTATTCCTGAATTTTCGGGGTTCAAAAGCTTAGTCATGCGTTAGTCACGTTTTTGGTGTTCCTAAATGCTATGCTTAGTCATCTTTCTCGTGGTTTGCCCGCTTCCTGCCAAAATCTGCGTTCCCTTCCATTTTAGCGGGGTTGAAGCCCTATGCGGCTCTGCGCGTAATTTGTGCGCTAGCATTATTCGAACACTCTGAGTGCCTCACGATTGATTTTGGGACCGAGCCGACAACCACGACAAATCGCCATTTCCTCCACCAACACGACGGTAGAGGATTCCGACAATTCCGACGTAGTCTTCTTTACCTAAAGGCAGGACAAGATGTCGACTTTCGAGCAAGTCGTGAGTCATCACCTCGCCGTTCCAGCCTCGCGATCTATTCAAAGATGCGACTTCACAACTTGGCTGGACACACATATGAAGAGAGACGGGAGCTGACGGGAATATCACAGATCACCATTGATGGCAAGGGCCACCTTCTCGGTCGCCTGGCCTCGACCGTTGCTAAGCAGCTCCTCGAGGGACAGAAGATCGTTGTTGTGCGCTGCGAGGCCCTCAACATCTCTGGAGAGTTCTTCCGTGCGAAGCGTACGTACCACCACCTTGAATCTACGAATGCAGACCTTCCTTGAAACGAGAGGAGTGGGAACGATTGGCAGACGAACTTGTTGGAATCACAGAAACCGAATGCTGACGAATCTCCGTTTATAGTAAAGTACCACGCCTACCTCCGCAAGATGACCCGCTACAACCCAACCCGTGGTGGTCCATTCCATTTCCGCGCCCCATCCCGCATCTTCTACAAGACCGTCCGTGGTATGATCCCACACAAGACTGCCCGTGGTGCTGCCGCCATGGAGCGCCTGAAGGTCTTCGAGGGTGTCCCAGCCCCATACGACAAGGTCAAGCGCATGGTTGTCCCCCAGGCCCTCCGTGTCCTCAGACTTAAGCCCGGACGCAAGTACTGCACTGTTGGCCGCCTGTCCCACGAGGTCGGCTGGAAGTACCAGGATGTTGTTGCCAGGTATGTGAAACTCCGGTCTTGAGCAGAAACTCAAGTCCCACGAAATACGACTGAACAATAACTAACAAAATCCATAGGCTCGAGGAGAGACGTAAGGTTAAGGGATCGGCATACTACGAGCGCAAGAAGGCTGCGAGGAGACAACTCGCCGAGGCCCAGAAGAGCGCAAAGGTCGACACCAAGACCCAGGAGCAACTTGCGTCGTTCGGATACTAAACGTCAAAACTCAATCGATTCGCGATATAATGGGTATTGAGGTTGGGGTCTGGGCTGTTCTTGTTTCTTTTTCACTGGCAATACCTTGTCGGCCCTATTACTGGGTAGACCCAAGGCTGATTCAATATCATACAATGCACGGACTGGGAGATTGCCGCATCGGAAAAGAGCGCTGATGAAGGAGGGAACTCACGGGTGTACAGTCTATGAATACTGGCATGCTGCTCCATAGAGAAATGGAAAAATCTCAAAGATGCTGCGAAGTCCTATTATAATGTTCCTTGTGCTATCGTAAAACTGAATGTTTCTTATCCGATTTAAGGGTCCTTCCATTACCCCGATACCGACATCGGTGGGTTTCCAGACCGCACAACACCATATCGTGAATCGGATCGGCCATCTTGCCACCGACGGTACCCCCATACCCGAGGCAAGGCTGTCCCACCAACCCCACGTTTACCCCAGACTACGGCTTATAAGAAGCTTTCCATTGCCGTTTCCCTTGGATCTTATAGCTTACATTATTATTTGAAACGTAAGCCTCTTGCCATGATATCTACGTTATATACAACGGCCCTCATATCACACCACACGCAATGTCGGGCGCCCCATCCCGCCTCCAGAAGCTGGCAGCACACTTCCTCCCTTCAAGAGCCCAGGAGACCTTCACACACCGTCTCAACCACCACGAGCTCTCCCCCACATTATTCCTCGAGCGCGCTGCCCAGATCGAGCCCAATGCCGAAGCCATCCACCACACCACCGCCAACAACGTCGTCCTAAGGCGGACGTACCAAGAATTCGCCGATCGCTCCCGCGGCTTCGCATACTACCTCCTCAAGAAGCAGTACAAGCGGGTTGGCATCCTCTGCCCCAACACACCCGCTTTCCTCGAGAGTATATTTGGGATTGGCGCTGCGGGCGCAGTCAACGTCGGCGTCAATTATAGGCTTAAGAGCGAGGATATAGCGTACATCTTCAACCACGCGGAGGTTGAGGTTATCATCGTGGATGCGGAGTACTTGCACCTGCTGGATAGGTTCAAGGAGCTATACCCACAAATACCATTTATCATCGACACAGACACAGATGCAGTGGAGGGAGAGCTAAGTGGGCCATTCGATGCCGCGGTCTTGGAAGGCTTGAGTTATGACAAGGAAACCGGTGGCAATGGCTGGGCGGGTCTAAAGTCACAGTGTGACGACGAGCAAGCCACCATTGCATTGGCTTATACCTCTGGAACGACGGCTAAGCCAAAGGGTGTGGTATACAACCACCGCGGTGCATACCTAGCTGCTTTGGCTAATGTCGTTGAGTCGGGGCTTAACTATCATACTGGGCGCTGTGGATACCTCTGGACGCTCCCCATGTTCCATGCTATGGGGTGGACATTCCCCTGGGCCGTGACTGCCGTAAGAGGGACGCATTATTGCATGCGTAAGATCGATTACCCGGCGATTTGGCACCTCCTGAAAACTGAGAATGTGACGCATTTCAATGCGGCACCGACTGTGAATACGCTTCTCTGCGCGTCTCCAGAGGCAGAGAGGTTAGAGAAGCCGGTGAGGGTCACAGTGGCTGCGAGCCCGCCGACGGCACATCTGTTCAAGACGATGGAATCATTGAACCTTATGCCGGTCCACGTGTATGGCTTGACGGAAACGTACGGCCCGATCACTAAGGGGTATCATATGCCGGCATGGGAGAACTTGCCTGGAAATGAGAAGTATGATAAGATGGCGAGACAGGGCCATGGTGCTATTACCACATTACCATGCCGTGTTATCAAGACTGAGCAGGCACCGGGAGTCATCGTTGATGTGAAAAAGGATGGAAAGGAGATTGGTGAAATTGTGTTCCTTGGCAATATCTGCGCAAAGGAGTATTACAAGGACCCAGAGGCTACGAAGAAGATGTTCGATGGCGGCGTATTGCATTCGGGGGATTTGGCTGTCTGGCATGCAGATGGGGCTATTCAGATCTTGGATAGGGCAAAGGATATTATCATTAGTGGTGAGCACCCCTTCTTTTCCATCAAGCCAAGACTATTACTAACAGAACTCAGGTGGCGAGAACATCTCGTCCGTATCTCTTGAGGGTATGCTAGTTCAACATCCGGATGTCCTTGAAGCTGGTGTGGTGGCGGTACCTGATTCGCACTGGGGCGAGCGGCCAAAGGCCTTTGTCACTGTAAAGCAAGGGAAGACACTCAAGGGAGAGGATGTTATCCAGTGGGCAAAGCATAAGAGCGATATCAGCAAGTTTATGGTCCCTAGGGAGGTGGAAATCGTGGCAGAACTGCCAAAGACCAGCACAGGGAAAGTGAAGAAGAATGTGCTCAGGATCTGGGCAAAGGGTACAGATAGGAGTACCGATTTATAAAAAATAAATAAAATAAAGAGATTATAAAGCCATCCAGTACATTCCTGTAAAAACAAAAGAATTAATGAGATTATAAAGCCATTCGCTTTAATCCTCACTCGTCGAACAGCTGACGCTATTTTTGGCTTTAGTGTTAGGCTTGGTAAACCCATGGTATCGTCACGTGGGCCCTGACGTGGGGGGGCTGACCTAACCGAAACTCTGATTCCCTCAAACTCACAGTTATTGACAATGACAACCAAGTCGTACGACTCTCTCCCTTCATTAAACCCTGAAACTATCTCCAGCCAACAGCGACCGACTACACAGTAAATGCACGCGAAGGATTTAACCAATACGCAGCTCTGTCCGGCGAGAAACCAACATCGCCAACATCACCAACAGGAGCCAAGCACCACAAGGCTGAGCCCAACGTAATCGCGCCTTGATTACTCCACCGTCGCCAACCTTGGCCCTGTCTTTATCAGCAACGTCTGTTTCACCAGAACGCGAACAGAGCAATCTGGAAACACAGAATACCCTCGAGTCTATCGTGACGACCGATCTTGTTTAATGTCATCTCTGAAGCGAGCCTGAAACTCATTTACAATGCATGGTGGTGAATCTTCAAGAGTCCCGCCCGTCGGGGTGGGGACTTCACTATTCACCACAACACAAACGCCGACAGACCAGGAAGAAGACTCACACTCTTCGTCAAGCAACTCCCCAACGAGGGCGGATTATGAGGAATTCGATTTCTTTATGAACATGAACGATTCACAGTCCTCCATCGGCGTACCGACGTCAGATCCGGCGGCGGTACAAGACGAATACAGTTGCCAGCCACCAATCCAGAGACTGCCCGCCGAAATCCTCATTAATACGTTCTCGAAACTCGGAACGGCGATGGATTTGCTGAACTGCATGCTCACCTGCAAAGCATGGGCGAGGAACGCGGTGGACCTGTTGTGGCTCCGACCAGCATGCTCGACATGGCCGAAACACAGCGTCATATGCAGGACGCTCAACCTGCCGAATCCATACTTTGCATACCGGGACTTTGTTAAGCGACTGAATTTGGCCACTCTGGCAGACAGAGTCAATGATGGGAGTGTGACGCCCCTCCAGGTCTGCACTCAGGTTGAGAGGCTCACGCTCACGAACTGCCATGGCTTGACAGACCAAGGTTTGATCAGCCTCATCACTGATAACAGGCGGCTACTGGCATTGGATATATCGGGAGATTCAAACATTACGGAGGCTTCTATCAACCTGTTGGCCGAGAACTGCAGGCTACTGCAAGGGTTGAATATCTCCGGTTGCACAAAAATCTCGAATGAATCCTTAATAAAAGTAGCGGAACGCTGCAAGAAGATCAAGAGAGTAAGTTTAACAGATTTCCGCATCTTTAGATGGCAACTAACTAAGTGCAGCTCAAATTCAACGACTGTCACCAGATCGAGGATTCTTCCATCATGGCGTTCGCGAAGAACTGCCCGAATATCCTAGAAATCGACTTGCACCACTGCAAAAATGTTACCAGCGAGCCCGTAACTGCCCTCCTACAATACGGCAGGAGCCTTCGCGAGTTCCGACTGGCAAACTGCGACTTGATTACCGATTCCGCCTTCCTCAACCTGCCACCAACCCAGATGTTCCACCATCTTCGGATCCTGGACTTTACAAGCTGTGTTCGGCTCACGGATAGCGCAGTTGAAAAGATCATCGAAGTCGCACCACGCCTGAGAAATGTTGTCTTTGCGAAGTGCCGGAACCTCACAGATGTGGCTGTGAATGCCATCAGCAAACTTGGCAAGAACCTGCATTATGTGCATCTGGGACACTGCAGTCAGATTACGGACGACGCTGTGAAGAACTTGGTCCACTGCTGTGCTAGAATCCGATACATTGATCTCGGCTGCTGCAATCGACTGACAGATGCGTCCGTTACAAAACTTGCTACACTTCCAAAGTTGAGGCGTATTGGGCTAGTTAAATGCCAAAATATAACTGACGAGAGTGTCTACGCTTTGTCCCACGCTTCACGGAGAGTATCGAATCCGTCCGGTCCCGCGGATCTCACGTATCCGGACTTCCATGGCGCAAATAACCATGTGAGCAGCTTGGAGAGAGTGCATCTCAGCTACTGCATCAACCTCACACTCAGGGTAAGTGTACACGGCGTCGTCCCAGAAAACGAAACTAACGAGATTACAGAGTGTCATCATCCTATTGAACAACTGCCCTAAACTGACCCACTTGAGCTTGACGGGCGTCCAGGCTTTCCTGAGAACCGATCTCGAGAAGTTTTGCCGCGACGCACCACCAGGTCAGTTGCATCCACCTCATCATGAGCATCATTTACTGTTTTATGTATTGAGCTAACTCATTTCCCTACAGACTTCAACCAGCACCAACGAGACGCCTTCTGCGTCTTCTCCGGCGCCGGCGTCATGGGACTCCGACGATACCTAAACGCAGAGAACAGAACGAGGCTAACGCTGGCCCGGATGGAGGAAGCCGAGGAAGCTGAGGAGCGCGCGTTGCGAGAGGCGTCGACACGGGCAACTGACGGCGGCGGCGGCGATGACGACCAAGTCATGACGGGTCTGATGAGCGCAGCCACGCTTGGGGGTGGCGTGGTCATGCCTGAAGGCATAATCGAAGTTCCAGATGAGGACGACCTAGAAGACAGCGTGATGACAGCCACGAACACGCCCACGCCCGCGGACTCGATCCAGCCGAACTGAGATATGAATTTTACTGGCGAGCGCATTTTTACAGTTATTCTGACAGACGCATGGGGAACATGCATACAAGAGCAAGCACACGTAAACGTAGTGTTGAAGCGAGGCATTTTAGATTTAGTGACGGAGGCTACAACGATACGAAGGTAGTAGTAGCGCACTGGCGTTTATGGGAAGACCATTCGAGATACCCGATTACGACGACAATATCCATTATTAGCATAGCCAGCTATCAACGAACACAATATAACAGCAGCGGCTATCAACAGCCAATGCGAAGGTTACGCGGAGGTGGGAAGAGCGACCTGAGAGAGACGGAGGCGGTGCTATATATCAACAGATTACAAGCACCAGGGAGGCAGGAAGAGGGCTTCAATTTTATTGTACTTGCTGCATTGTTTTCATGTATGAGCTTTGGGCGTTGGGATGGATAGTTGAACAGACCTACTACACACGATACACGGGCCATGGGCCACGCTCCACGGCGTTTTTTTTTTAACGGGGCGGAGAGGAGGGATGGGAATGGTGCATGCGGTGCTTGAGGGTGCTTGCTCGCGGGGGTTATGATTAGATGCGTATGAGGCTGAATATCGAAGCTATTTCTCGCAGAGTCGGTTTCTTTGACAAATGTGCCGTGTGATGCCTTCCCTTGTAACTTGAGGCTAATAAATGTGGGTGAGCTGGGAAGGGGAGTATATCATTTAATCGGACTGTTTGGTATTGGCTCTATTGTAGATTTTTCTCTATCAGTCCAGTCCATCTCAGAGAACCTAGTACTGTATATCCCCCACCCCCACCCTCCAGACCCCCAGCAAGCAACCCCGTAGCCAGCAAATATCAAAGCCTCCTCATGCAATCCCAGTATAATGCCAGTCTCCAGTCTAAGTCTACTCCCCTTCCGCTATGCACCCCACCCAACGCCCAGTACAAAAACAAGATCACCCCCCTTACTCATCCTTCTCCCCACTCCTCTTCACAAAAACAAAACTCACCCCCCTCCCCCCCTCCCCCAACACCCCACAAAGCACCTCATCCCCAACCCTCCCCTCCACCTCCTCAACCCCCTCCCTCTTAACCCCAAACACATCCAGCGGCTCCCGCAACGCCGCCGTATCAATATGTTCGTATTCCAGTAGACTCGCCATGTTCCCCGCAGCATGAAGGCGTCGACGCTCTGCTGCTGAGGCGGCTTCGCGGGCTTCTTCGGCGGCCCAGTCGTATTGCGAGGCGGGGATTAGGGTTGGGCGGGATTGGCGACGGCGGCGGGAGTCGCATGGGTTGAGGGGGAGGTCGTCGTCGGAGTCTGAGGCTTCCGAGGCGGGAGCGGGAACGGCTGCGGGAGCGGGTTCCTCGACGGGTGTGGCGTCCTCGGTCGGCTCGTCAACTACAGGTTCCACAGCGCGACCGCCGCAGTTGCAGCCAAGGAGGTCGTGGGTCTTGCAGTCTGAAGTAGTGTCCAGAGTAAAGAGGTCTCTTAACTCATCAGCCGAGAAGACAGCCCCATTCTTCTTGTTATCCACAATACTATCCGCGAGTCCCTTCTTCGTAAGCTGGCGCTGATAAATCTTCTCATCCATACCGCCCGCCATGAGGAGACGGTATATGAAAGTCGGCTTCTCCTGGCCGGGGCGATGGACACGAGCCATGGCTTGCAGGTCCGTCGCGGGGTTCCAGTCGACGTCGAAGAGGATGAGCCGTGAGGCGCCGACGAGGTTGAGGCCCACACCGCCGGCTTTGGCGGAGAGGAGAAGCGCGAAGTTCTTCTTGGCGGAGGTCTTGTTAAATTCGTTGACAATGTCCTGGCGTCGGTTGGTGGGGGTGTCGCCGTCGAGGCGGAGGAAAGGAAGACTAAGCTGCGCGAGGTGTTTTTGGAGGAGGTCAAGCGTGGCGGTGAAGTTGGAGACTATGACGACTTTCTCCTTAGTGTTGCGCGGGTCTTCGGCGATGGCTTTGAGGAGCCCGTCTAGGACGCGCATCTTTGTGCTTGTGGCAAGGAGGGGCGCCTTTAGTCTTTCTTCCGAGATTCCCTCCACGGCATCTTCTCCATCCTCGCCTACACGCTTCGATGCGGACTTCTTGCTCGATGGGAGAAGCAGCATAGGAGAGTTGCATACTTTCCTCAGAATATTTATCAGCCCCAAAGCCTGTGCCTGTGCCGCCTTATACCCATTGAGGGCGCCCATAAACGCAGGCGACTCCAGTATCTCCTCATATATCTGAGCCTGCGCCGCGGTTGGCTTGCAGAAGACCACGAATTCGGTTTTCTGTGGGAGGAAATGTGCCTGGACCTCTGCTGTCCTTCGAAGGATGAATTGCTGGGTCATTTCGGAGAGTTCAGCTTGCCTCGCTTCGCCCAGCTCCCTTTCCCTTTCGCTCGCATTAGGTTGCCTGCTCCTTAGAATTGGAGTTTCGAAATTCTTCTTGAAGGAGCTGGCCGACTTGAGAAGATCGGGGTTGAGAAAATCAACCATGACGAAGAACTCTGTGAGATCGTTCTGGAGTGGTGTCCCAGACAGGATAATCATTTTCTCTACCGACAGACCCTTGATAGCCTGCGCGGCCTTGTTGTTTTCCTTCTTGAGCCGATGGCCCTCATCCACAATGATAAGATCAATCCCCGCGCCTTGGCCCAACTCTTCAGCAATACCCCTCATCCTCTCATACCCCACAATCAAGACACTGTAACTCGCACCGTGCGTGAAATCCGTAAGCTTCATCTTGCCGTCCGCAACCATAACGCCAATATTAATATTGCCCAACCAGCTCCTAAATTCCTTCTTCCAATTGTCTATCAGCGTCACCGGACACACAACCAGCACCTTCTTGATCGCGGGCCCATCACCAGAAATCGGATTCTGCTTCAACAACGTCCAGATAAGCGCAATGCTCTGAAGCGTCTTGCCCAGGCCCATCTCATCGGCCAGTAATGCCCCCTTCCCACCGTAATCGCGTAATCCCATTACACACTCGTACAGGAACTTCACGCCTTCCCGCTGATGTGGCCGGAGCTTCTTAGAGAGCAGCGGGTCAACAACAACATCAACTATCTGCCTTCCTTTCGGACAATCCTTGGGTCGCTTCATAACCAACGCTCCCGGCGCGCGCGGATCATGTCGCGGGGTAGGCACCCCCTTCTTCCCCTGCGGCACGACCGTCGACAAAATAACCGGGCTCTTAAACTCCTGCTTGAGCGAAGACTGTCCGTAAAAGTTCTTCGCCGGCGCCGCGCCAGGAGAGTCTCCATCCTCCACCTTAATCGCCTTATTCCTTGACGAGCCTTCAATATCGCCCGACTTGCGCTTCAGCGGCTGGAAACTCGGCACCTGCTTCGGTATCGGCTCTACCACATCAGTCGGCCGCTTCGACACCTGTGCCGTGTTGGTAAACGGCTTGCCGGCGTAATAATCTTCCCGCGGGATGAGCGACACAATCTCCACCTCCCTCCCTCCAACGTTCAGCGTACTCTCCGGCAGGAACGTCTCATAACACCTCGTCTCAGCCAGCTGTCTCGCTTCGAGGTCCACCAACCTCGCCTTCCCGTTCCAGACCAACAGCACCCCATCCCCATCCCACGTCTTGTGTTTCTTCGTACTATACTTGCGCCTAAGCATCCCATTAGCATCGCCCCATAGAATCGGACAAGATATCCACTCACCACATAACATTATAATACCCCTTCGGCGCATCCTCATCAAACCCCTCCTTCTTCCCCCCCCCGTGGCCCTGCTTAACCACCAACGGTTTCCTCGGTGCATTCACCGCTGCCGTCGTCTGGGACAGCGGTTTCGGCGCAGGATTCTCCCACACCTTAACCCCCTTCTTCCCCCCCACAGGACTCCCCGGCGGCGACGGCGTAGCCTCCACCCGCTCCACCTCATCATCTCGTGACCGTGGCTTCTTCGCCTCCGCCGGCCGTGGCCGCATCGAGGGCGGCTTGAAGGGCTTGTTCCACATGTCGTAGAAGTGGTTGCGTGGGATCTGGCGGCGCCAATGGTAGATGTCCATCGTACGCGGTTTGGTGGTCGAGTTTACGCGACGTGGGCGACGCGCTAGCACGTGACTTGGATTTTTGTATGTGCAAGGGTTGTTCGAGATGATGCTGGATGGAGTGTGGTGTTGAAGAATATGAGTATTGAAAGACGAGATGGGTGGATGGAAGTGTTGGAATAAAAACAGGAATTCTCTTTTGGAAGGAGCAAAGGTTTTGGGTAAGAAAGAAGAAGTTTCTATTTTTGTTGATGTTGGAAGAATTTGGTGGTTTTAATTCGATTTGTTTTCACTTTTGGAATATAAAGTGAATTTATCTTTTGAGGAAAGAGCAACCTTTGTTTCCATTAATTGGCCCAACCACCTTAATAAATTACCCTAAGTGTCACGAGGCCCGTTTATCCTCGGGCTATTATCTAGAGATAGAACCACGGTAGATTTTTTTGCAGAAAGATATTCTATATTTGAACACCACCTTATAAGAACAGGCCGTCGACCTACCACAACAAGGTGATATTCCACCAATAGCTCTTTCTCAGATCTGTCTCGTTGCTGGATAGTATGTATTGCTAAATCGGCAGGAGCGACCAGCAAAGAAAAAAGTGGCAGGAGCGACCTAAGGAATGCTCCTGCCACCACCAAGCACCAATGCATGCATCCATAGCTCCTTCCTGCTAACGCCCCGTCCCTCTCATAACTCCTTCCCGGATCCATTCAATCTTTTAGCCCCAGACTCTGATGTGCCCATATGATACCTTGACACAAAGAACACCGTTATTCTTATAGATTTACAGGTCTCAAATCATGCTCCTATGTCAAGATTCCACCATTGCAATCTTTGTCCAATCTGTATTTTTCTCACATTTACTTATGGCAACCCTCCGTATACACCAACCAACAAGCTTTACCAGCACTGAAACATCAAACTTTGACCCCCAAAACTCCCTCGCTATGAACCCAACCCCACCACGCTGATGTATCAATATGCCAAAGATAGCGTAACCGCTCTGCGTACTGTACTTCCACAAGTCGTCCACCTATCTACAAAACTCCCCACACCCCCCCTATCCTCCTCGCCTCCTCACCCCCATCCCAAATTATCCAGCGTCACCTTCGCATCCCCCGCACTCATCCCACTCACCCCGAGCTGCCTAACCTGCGTCCCCTTCCTCAACCTCTGCAACCCCACCGCCACCTTCCAGCTCTCCTCCTCCCCAATAACAAAAACATACTTCCTCCCCTCCTGATCCCTAATACTCGCCCTCAACACATGCAACCTCCCCCCCTTAAACTGTCCAGTCTGCGACGAAGAAGCATTAGACTCTCTCTCCGCAAGCGGCGACGACTTTTTCGGCGACGACCCACCGCCCCCATCACCCAGCAGCCCCAGACGGCACTGTGCCTTGCACGACGCCAGCAGTTCGAGGAGCAGCGCATCGGCCGCCTCGTTCGTAACCGCATTGTCCTTGGGCTTGCTAGACGAATTACCCCAGAGCTTGCGCGCTGGGTTGGAGGAGGCGGCAGTGGCGGCCGGCGCGGGGGAACTGAACGCGGGACACCATACCTCTACGAGTTTCATAGTCCAGGCCTTGACGTCCCACTCACGCTGGGGGACGCCGCGGACGTCATCATCAATGAAGAGACCCTCGGTGGTGATGCGCAGGATTAGACCGTCGGTTACGGAGCCGGTGCCCGAGACGAGCATGGAGGTGGGGGTTTTCATGAAGGCGTTGTTGAAGGCGTAGACGGCCTTAAGGACGATTTTATCGGGGTCTTTGGTGGAGTATGCGCCACGCATTGAGGGCGGGGGTGTTGTGCGCGCGGTGGACTGGGAGGCGGCGTAGGAGGAGGCCGAGTAGACGGAGGATGTGGCTTTTTTGTGTGCGGGCTTGTCGTAGGGGCGGTAGGAGTAGTCGTTCTCGGTGCCTAGATATGTGCGCGCTGTTGCGACCGGTGGACGCTTGGTCGGAGATGCTTGTGGTGGGGTTGGTCGTGGAGATGCAGACGCTGGGGAAGGAGGTTGTCCTCTTGGCCAGGGGTTGGTTTTCTCACCTACAGCAGAGTATGCATATGTGCTCCCCCTCGGCTTTGCCTTCTCAGCAGCCAATTTCTCAGCAGCAGCCTTCTCAGCAGCAGCCTTCTCAGCAGCAGCCTTCTCAGCAGCAACCCGCTCAGCAGCTAATCGCTCAGCAACAACCCTCTCGGCAGCTCTCTGAGCAACCATCTCAGCCTCTGCCTTCTTTGCTTTCTCGTCCTTCTCCCTCTTCTCCCTAGCTTCCCGCTGTGCCCGAGCCTCCCTCGCGATACGTTCCCTTGCTTCCCTCTCTCGGGCCTCCTTCTCCCGCGCCTCCTTCAACCGCTTCTCATCCTCCTCTTTCTTCTGGCGCAGGGCCTCGGCGACCTTGCGCTCCTCTTCTCGCTTGCGAGTTTCCTCGCGCGCCTTTTCCCACCCGGATTTTGCATTTGCATTTGCATTTGCGTTTGCATTTGAATTCGCATTAGAATTTGTGTTCGCCCCTGAGTTTGGATTTTGATATCCTCCTGTACTCGGTCCAGTTTTTGGATAGCCCCCTGTATTCGGTCCTGTGTTTGTATAGCCCCCTGTGTTCGGTCCTGTGTTCGCATAGCCACCAGTATTCGCATTCGTACCGCCGGGTGGCGCATTCGATCGCTGCCAGCTTGACTTCGGTGGTGGTTGGTTATGTTGTGGTCCTGGGTTGTAGCCCGGCTGAGGCCCAGGATTTGGCGGTGGCGCATGGCCGCTAGGTTGCGGAGGAGGTCCTCCTTGTGCGTAGCCATTCTGGTGACTATTCTGGTGACCTTGGTGGGGTGGAGGACCTCCAGGGGGTGCATCGCCGCCGCCGCCGCCGCCACCGCCCCCCCCTCCACCACCTCCACCACCACCGCCGTTGTTTCCTCCATTTCCCCCAGTCCTTCCATCAGATTGCATGCGACCCAATGCCCATGCCCCTATAGCCAGTCCGATCGACACCATGAACATCCCGTTCCCGCCTGTGTTCTTGACGCTGTACCACCATAATTGAAGTGTTGGCATCAACGCCGATACTACTGCGACGAGTATGAGAGCTGAAGCAAAGCCCGCGGCGAAGCTGTTGACGTTGGGTTTTAGCGACGGCAGGTACAGGAAGCCCGAGCCTGAGGAGTGCGGTGGAATGATAAAGATGTCGTATTTCCCCGGAGGAAGCCCCGATGATTTGGGGGCCTCCCCATGGGGGGGAGGAGGCGGTGGGTTCATCGCCTGTCGTACGTGGTGTGTTCCAGAAGGAACAGAGGACTGTGTCCAGCAGCGAGGACTTCGGGTAGGACCAGACCGTGGGGAGAATCTTCGTCAATAACCAAGTTTCTTTTTTGCGCTGCGCGGGGTATCTCAAAGTCGTTATATACGTCGTGAAAAATCGTTACAACTGCTGGATCGGGGGTTCGTCAGCGTTCCAGTTGCTAGGTTGCCATATTTCGATTGTCAACAAACCATGTCGAAAGGCTAACCGCTCGAATCAAATAAACGCTGCAAAAGGAGCACAAGGCAAGAGAATCTATGTAAATAAAATATGGCCCTGTACAGCTCGCAGTTCTAAGCCTCGAGCAATTGATTTATCGAAGTCATAGAGGACAGGTATTCGAGGGTTTGAGAGGGGGGAGGTTGTAGAAAAAGTCTTGCTCCAATCTGTTTACAAACCGAAATTGGAGGTTTAGGCGAGGAATTTGGGGTGTGGACCATAGCGCAGTCGAGTACTTTGTATGGGAGCGGCCCGTCTCGTCGGTTGAACGTGGGGGGAAAAGGGAGGGATGGTGGTGTTTGAGCTGCAGGGCGATTATGCAATTGGATAAGGGATTGAGGTAGGTGGAAAGTAGAATTAAAAAGGGTCTTTCTACTATAATAGTTCGGCGCTTATTCTCAAAGTCCTCGAAACAGATTCACATTGAGGGTTCTTGGTTCTTGGTTCTAGGTCCTTATTGTTTATGAGATTATTCTTCGCGTTGTTATACTCGAGTAGTCCCCATTCCTCCCTCCCCCTTCTTACAGTCTCTCGCTCTCTCTCTCTCTCTCTCTGGCTCCTTGCTTGCGTCTCTCGTCGCGATCAAAACAAAACAAAGACAGACCCTCAACTCCTCCCTCACCGCCCAATACGAAGCATTAACACCTCCCCAGCCCGTCTCATAGGCGGCACTGTGAACTGGCTTCTCCACTGTGCCAGCGAATGGATGACTCGCAGTGCAACCACACTGTGCGTCGTCCGCAGAAATGCACCATTCTGGCGGAGTCGCATTGGATTTTGCCACGTTCCATTGGCGTCTTCGAGATGTCGAGTAGTGAAAGCGGTCACCCGGAAAGGTCGCCTATATGCAATGCATCGTCACGAGTCACAAGGTGAGGGGAAAAGATGGGAGTGGGAGTGGGATGATGAGAGGATCCGCGCGTATTGTGCAGGTGCATTGCGTGTTCGCTTTGTTTACATCCCGCAGTGAGACAACAACAACAACAACAGCCGAGCCGTCCATGACACAGCAGAAGCGGTAGTCACCACAATGAGCGATGGTGAACCGAAAACACTGTAAAGTGCCGAGTACAGTATTCCTTCTATAGCACAGAATAGAGTATGCACCGAAGGACTGGGATCAGAATGAAGCTCTGGGATGTCGAACTTCGAAATAGCGAGGGACAGGCTGTGATTCGGCCGGGGAAGGAACAACGCGTCATAATAAACCGGATGAGCGCCGGCGCGTTACCTAGCAACGGCGGGTGCACCCGAGCTGCAGCATCCACCCCAGGGTCCGACGGTGGAACATCCGTTAATGTGCTAATTAATGCCAATTGATGTGTTTTCGATATGGGCGGCGGCGATGATGGGTGAGAATGGCCGAGACATAGAGAGGGAGAGGAAGGGAAAGAGAAGATGTATACTTGTTAGACAAATTATGAATTAGCTTATGTTTCTTGGCTTGCTTCGCTATCCCATCTACTGTGCTGCACGAGGCTGAGAGTCTGGTCAGTGTCTGGTGGCGGCCCTAGTTGCGCGGCCGGAATTGCTATCGCATCCGCCCAGTTGTACGAGTACAACCACCGCATTCCGAAGGTTGACGACGTTCATCGACGACTCTACGAACAGTTTCTCTCTCAACAATATCCATAGTACTGTAGCCAACACTTGTTAGCAGATCACTGACAGAGGGAGCACTATGGCCGTTAAGTCGCTGCCGTTTCAGCTGCGTGCTAATAGCTTTGATTTGGCCGAGCTCGACTCCATGTAAGACCCATCAAGACCACAGCACCATCGTGACCATCAGAAATAATACGTATACTAACGAAATACCAGTCACATCTCCCTAGACGCCCCTGGGCAGTTCGTGAAATACACTGGTGCGTAGCCTCTCCATGCGAATGCGCCTCCCTCACGTGCCCATCAGGTGCTAACAGGACACAGCCAAAGAACATGCTCTCAAGGTAGCAAAGCACCTCGGCGTGCAAAAGGGCCTCATCTACCTCCTCGGGACCCAATCCGCCTCCGCCGAGGACTCCGACCGCGAGCTCCCCTTCCGGCAACGCCGCTACTTCTACTACCTCAGCGGCGTCGACTTCCCCGACTGCTCCCTAACCTACGACATCGAGACCACCAAGCTAACCCTCTACATCCCCGCCCCCGAGCCCTCCAAAATCATATGGCTAGGCCCAACACCAAGCATCCAGGAGTGTCTAGACAAGTATGAAGTAGACCAGGTGAGCTACACATGCGAGCTGCGCAACCACATCTTCAAATGGGCCGCCAGCAACTCGCACCAGAAGATCTTCCTCCTGCACCCCACCCACGCCCCTCCCAGCCTCGCATCCATAACCACCAACCTCGACGCCACCGCCCTCCAGCCCGCCATGGACGAAGCCCGCGTCATCAAATCCGCCTACGAGATCTCCCTCCTCCGCCGCGCAAACGCCATCTCCTCCTCCGCCCACCGCCACGTCCTCGCTAGCCTGCACTCCGCAACCAACGAGACGCACCTCGAGGCCGTCTTCCTTCAAACCTGCATCGCGAAGCACGCTAAGAAGCAAGCGTACGCCCCTATCGTCGGTTCGGGCGAGAACGCAAGTACTCTCCATTACGAGGCCAATAACGAGGACCTCGCGGGCCGGGAACTCGTATGCCTCGACGCGAGTTGTGAGTGGGAATGCTACGCCGCGGATATCACGCGCACCTTTCCCATTAGCGGGACGTTCAGCCCCGAGGCAGCGGCTATCTACGAGATTGTCACGGAGATGCAGACGCGCTGTATTGAGGCGCTGGAACCGGGTGTCATCTTCCGCGACCTCCATGATCTGGCGATGGAGAGCGGGATTCGCGGACTGTTGCGCCTGGGGATTTTGAAGAATGGGACGTACGAGGAGATCCGGGAAGCAGGGACTGGTCGCTTGTTCTTCCCGCATGGAGTAAGTTGTCCCTTAGGGTGGGATGTGAGATAGGATGCTAACTGCAGTAGCTGGGCCACCACCTCGGCCTGGAAACCCACGACGTCGATGGCGCCCACCCCCTCCTCGTAGCCACCACCCCCTGCACCGCCTCTCTTTCCGTCCCCCCTCCGCCACCACCGCCGTACACGCACCGCCGCAAGCTCGAAGCGGGGATGGTGGTCACCGTCGAGCCTGGGATATACATCTCGCGGTATGCCGTGTCAGTATTCGGCGCAGACCCCAAGCACGCGAAGTTTCTTGACTTCGGGGTGATAGAACGGTATTATAAGGTCGGTGGAGTGAGGATCGAGGATGATCTGCTGGTTACAGAGGGAGGGTGTGAGAATTTGACGACGGCGCCGAAGGGGGAGGAGATGTGCGCCATTATTAGGAGGGGGAGGGGGGAGGGGGAGTGTGATGGGAATGAGGGGGTTTATTAGGTTGGTTTAGTCTACGGTGTATGGGGGAGTGAGGTTTATGTTGAGGAGCTGGGGTTGAAGTTGGTGTTTTTTGTTCGGAGCGAAGCTGCAGTTTCTAGTCTTTATAGGGTAGATTGAAGCCATATACCAATTGGGGAAGGAACAACTTCTCACAGGCATAGTAATTCCTTCTACTAGATAATCTTGATCTCATTATGCCCTGCATTTCCACGAGGTCTACGCGTAAAGCAGGATTCATTTAGTACAAGGGTTACGCACGGGCCCGTACACATACCTTTGGCGCTGTACTGTGGCAAGCCTCTCTTGTACCTAGTGAGGTATGTACCAACTAGCGCTAATCTATTCAGTTGTGTAAAAAGAGGATCAACCACACTGAACAATATATCTAGACCGTATGGGTCCTTTTCCTCCAACCTTTGCTTTTCCGGTGTTGTTCCTTTACCTACAAAAAATCTATTTTGATTCTCCGCTAAATGCGACCTCTGCAAATTTCTTCGCTTCTCCATCGGTCTATATTCAAAGAATGCCATCGTGTTCAAAACGTGGAAGCTATTGTGTTCGCCACATGGAATCACTTTCTGTCCAGACGCCACCATTTAAGCACTTGTTATAACCCTTTCTTGAGACATGTTAAATCGATCACAAGGAACACAAAAGTACACCATATCTCATCCATGTCTCTCTCGACTTCTCAAGGGAGTCAAGACGAAGCGTCACCCTTACCTATGTGTTATTGGAATTCAGCGAAATCGAAGTGGGGGTTTGCCATTTATCGGACAGTCTACACACCAGAGTCGGATGCTAAGTGGCCGATTGCGATGGACAGATTAAGGGAGTGGCTTCGGTCCGAAATAACGGAAGACGAATCGGTTCATGAGGATTATAAGGGGAAAATCTATGAGAACTTTCTGAACTTGGTTATGGATGATAAGAAGCTCTATGATGGACTGCCGATTACGGATGTCAAGAAGCACTTCAAGAAATGGCTCATCGAAAACGAGCTCGATTATTCAACAAATCCAGAAGCGGAGTATGACGGAAGCATTTACCAAGATCCCGAGATTTTGGAAAGAGCTCATCTTCAGGAGGATGAGACGCTGAAGCAACAGCTTATTATGGAGTCATATTGGTATCTCAGCACAAGGATATGTATTGTAGTTGATGAAGAGGTATTAACGAGTCTCATGGATATTCCATGTCCTACTCGCGGGGAAACTGTCACAGCTGTTTGGCTGAAAATCATCTTGGACGCACACCCATACTGCAAAGAAGGTTTCCTAAAACTCAATCCCTGGTATAATGGTTGGGGTCGAATGGATATTAGGAATGGGCTAGCTCGAACTCATTATCTTATTGAAGACGCTGATTTAGACGATGGTATAGCGTTTGAGATAGACGAACAACCCTATATAGAAATCTAGATAGCTTAGAGTAACCACTAATATTTAATCCTATTATCCCGCTTGAATTTTTAAATGTTCGACCTAATTAATTATCCCCATCTTATTTTAGAGTGGTATGATACCCATAGTATCTTTCAATTGCTTTATATGCTCTAGAGTTTGCATTGCTAGATCTGCCTTTCCTAAAACCTATAGTTGTTAAGTCTATACATTCTCTAAACTTTTAATAACGTACTTACATAGCAAGTGGCCTAACATAGCAAGTGGCCCAATAGGCTAGACATATAGGAGCGCGTTATCCTAGATAATCTTAGTGATTTTAGCACAAAAGACCTTATAGTTAGTAATAGTAGTAAATACTTCTACATTACGTAAGTTCGTAGAGATGAAAACGCGATTAAGCTATAGAGCTACTATTTCTAAGTAAAAACGGCAGGTGAGGCGCAGATTTTTTATAGTGCTATTAGGAACCTGATTAACGATTATCTTGATAATTTCAGGGGGAAGCTGAAGCATAGGACTGATATGGCTGGGGGACTGCGCAGTTTCCGAGTTTGGAGGCGACATTTAGTTGAGAAGTCTGGCTAAATCCCGTAGGCTACGGTTGCCGTATTCGGCAGCACACTTAAGTCACTAATTGGCATCAACCTTGATAAAGCCAGCCTATAGCCCTGCTAGATCACTTTAAGTGCCGATCCATGGTCCCCAAGTTCATATCCGTCCTAGATCAGGGGTCGCAAACTGGCATCGTAGAGGCAAGGTCCACAGCACGTAGCGAATGTCTTCAGCTGAAGCATCGACCAAAATCGATGGGACTTGCCAAGACTAGTAGCTTATCTGAACGAAATCTAACCACTCAGATCATATAAATGGAATCAGATTGAGAGTACATAGTCCAGGTTCTAGCCGAAATATTGTTGCAAAAATTTGCATTAAATTTGAAAATTCGAGTTACAGCTGGGATTTCAAGAAACTAAATTGAATCTTTAATAGCAAAGCCTATTCCGCGGCTGTACATTGTTCTTCCAGGATCAGGCACTGAAGCTGTGCCAACGCTGTTCAGCAATCATCCAAGCACTTCTTTCATCACATATCTTAATCAATTTTGTTTATTGCCAGGTTCGCATTTGAGAGCGAATCGTGTCGACTTGACTTAACCAACATGTCAACTATTCCTCATATATGCGTTGTTGGGTCCCTTAACATCGACTTCGTCACCTTTACACCACGTTGCCCTGAACCAGGAGAGACACTGACAGCCACTTCTCTCTTGGTTACTGCAGGAGGGAAAGGTGCAAATCAAGCTGTTGCCTGCGGTCGAGCTTCGTTCGTCTCAAAAGCGCATCAGGATGTAATTGTGAGCATGATTGGAGCCGTCGGCCCTAACGACCCCTATTATTTGACTCTTCTGAGGCCGATGCTAGAGGACTCAGGTGTTAGCACGAGAGGCATCGAGGAGACGAAGGAGAGTCAGACTGGTTCAGCCACAATCATCGTTGAGAATGGGGCAGGTGGAGAAAATAGGATTTTAGTCGTTCCGGGGGCGAATCATTCCGGTATGAATGATGTTGACAAGATCCTCGCAATAACCAAGAGTCAAAGCCAACCCGTTGGGGTCGTGGTAATGCAAGGCGAGATTCCGAGATTGACGGTGCTGGCTCTTCTGCAACATTTCAATGGACCTGCAAGCGATGCTCACGTTATCTTCAACCCTGCGCCCGTATTTCCAGAAGGTGTACCGCTCACGGCACTTGTGGACACATCCGTCCTCATCATGAACGAAACCGAAGCTGTACAAATGACTGGATCAATTCCGAAATTCCCGGTTTCTGTCCAAACTGAGGCAGACTTGAAGCCGGAAGAAATTGCCCCGTACTTCCATACAATTGCCAAAATCAAAATAGTCTTGATAACACTTGGCGCAAAGGGTGTTTTTTTCTCTACAAGCAATGGCAAGCAGGGCTTCGTTCGCGGTGTCGCCATTGACAAAGTGGTAGATACAACGGCGGCCGGAGACACGTTTGTGGGCTACTTTGCTACAACGTTTTCAAAGTTCGTCGCAACAGGAGCTACTCTTGATAAGTTCGATGTCGAGATCGAGAAAGCAGTTCAGGAGGCGAATGCCGCAGCTGCTATCTGTGTGCAAAGAAGGGGCGCGATGCAGAGTATTCCATTTGCGTACGAGTGATGTTGGAGACAGTGCCACTGTAGGGGCTAAACGGCAATACATAACTAATAAAGTCCTTGTATCAAATGACTGTTTCTTGACGATACCGTGTGTCTTGATCGTACCGTGAGATGTTCCATCCGGATTTGAGGGCCTCGATCTCACGATCCAGCTTTATCCCAATCATCGAGGTGACTCTTCCAAGCTGGTCTAACAAAACCAACTGCTGCGATTCATGGGTCATTTCTTTAGCCATCAAAAGAAGCCCGGCGACCAGAATCGGGTCCCATTGTTCTAAAGAGTCGTTGCTTGTAGCAATCCCGGCAATAGACTGCGCATGCCAAATGTGGGACGTGAAGCACCCGGGACCAGCCAAACGCTTCAAGAGCCGTGGTTTATGAGCGAGCATTAATAGCGACGTAATGTGATAGGCTGCGTTCGATGCGAGAGCTAGAGGTGTGGTGTATATGAGGATTGGGAACGAAGGGGGATTGTGAGTGCCAATTTGATCTGCCTCAACACCTCGGATTTCCAAGATCTGCTGCACTTCCGCAGGACGGTTATTGTACCATTTCTGGCAATCACTCCACAAAGAGGCCCATCTAGATGGAAAATTGGAATTTCGTAATGAGTGAGGATTTGCCAATTGTGCATGGTAGAGCCTTGATGAGGACGGTTCTTGATCACCAAAAATTAAGGATAGACAATTGGCCAATAGAAACAAAGAGTGTTGGTAAATCTCTTTTGCGGATTGCCGTTGCGAAAGTGTTCGGAACGACCTCCCCGTCGAGCCGTCATTCAGAAGATATGAATGTAAAGGCATGAGCGGTGGCTGTGCACTTACAATAGATGCAGCGAGATCTTCGGGTCAATTGTCAGTCTCTATTGACCAGTGGGGGGTGCATAAATACCGATTTTGAACTGGAGCCAAAACAACGGCTCACTAAGTTCTCCTCTTAGAGCTGCAAGAGACGTGACGCCCTCCCGAATACCCATCTGGTGAAATTGCGGGGTCCTCCACTGTAGTGGGCTTGAACAAAACAAGACTTCTAATATCAAAAGTACTTTTATAATACGGCTTACATGATCATCTTCGAATACAAGACCACGCTCGGCCTCCTCTCGAAACTTCAGGCTACTCTCGAGGTCATCACTATTCTGCTGGGGATAGATGAGTGATCTGTGACGAGCGGCAAGTGCAAGGAGGGCCGCGAGAAGTGACCTGTTTGCCGTTGCGAGAAGCATGACCTTGATTCCAAAGAAACACTCTGGGTCACCAACGTCTATCCAAGGGGCTAAATTGTAACGAAAATGGCGTAACAATCCAGTTTCTTGATCGCCATTAGTCAGTCCTTGTCTGTCGACTAGGCGGCGGCTAAACGTGGAGTCTGAGTAGGTCCTATTGTGAGAGTTGTTGAGAGTGCGGCACGTTGGAGCTCTTCGGCTGTCATTAATGAGGCGATTTATTGTATTGAGCGGCATCGATTGTTCAAGAGAATCACTGTGAACTAGGGGGCATCTAACAGGGTATGATGTGACATCGATTGGAGCAATGCTGGTTGTTCCTGAGTTGTTGCCTTGCTGAGGAGCTGGTCCAACAATAGACTCTTGAGCGATACACACGTCTAATGCCGTGGCAGTATCATTCTCAACTTCTCGTGCTGGTGGATGCTGACACAGGATACCCTCATCCCTCTCCGGAGGCGTTGATGCCAGGGGTGGATCATCATCAACAACAAACTATTGCGAGGCACAGAATAAGCAGGCTTACAAAGACTACTGCATGATCAGACATGAACATATCAGACACGCTTACCGTGATAGTGCTGTACGCTTGAACAGTGGCATTCAATGACCCATTAGACTGTTGTGGTCTAGGGTTAGAGACCGATACAAACGACAGGTCGGCATTATATCTGCAGGAAAAGCCCTTAGCTTCACAATTCTCGCAGCGAGGTTTTTGCTCGTCGCCTTGCGGGCCCCTCTGTCAGCGAACTGAGTCTTTCCCATTTGAATAGAGCTTATCCTCAGCGAACAAGCCAGCATTACTAGATGTTGCAGAGTGGCCCGTGACGATGACTTACATTTTCTTCTGCGTCTACGACAGGTCAAGCAGCCAGTCCGGACGCGCTGTTTTCCCGCTGGCGTCACTCGTCTAGCAGACATTACGATCTCCCGCGCAACGAGAGAAGATACGCCTACGATGTAAAGTCTTGCGTGGCTTTGGCGACCCAAAAGCGTGCGAGAGCGCGTTAGTCGAAAGATTTTTGTCGAAAAGAGTTTGCCGAGCCTATCGAGGGAGCCTACATGCACAGATAGGGCATTCTCGACTCGTCAAAGTTGGGGGGGTGGGGAACAGCACAGTCGTCTAGCGGGCATGCGCCTGATACGTCGGTAGGCTAGACGATACGAGGACAGCAGATTTCGATTTGACTACTTCACTAGGTACTGACTAACCAACTTTCTTTCTGTGTAACTCGAGTCGTGTGGGGTGCGTATGTAAGTGTGTCTCGACATATCGCTTTTCGTACCGCTGAGTCTAGGACGCCAAACATCTGGGGAATCGCCTCAGAATTTTACTTTCTTTTTTCTTCTCCAACTAGTTGTGGGTCCTTTTCGAACCGAAATGGGATGACATCGTGTGCGGGGAACACTAGGAAAGGCTTATAGTTAATTGGGCGTTTTGGTTGTTCGTGTTTTACACAACCGCATTTGAGCCCCTTTGAGATTAGTTCCTCTAGGCCTAACATCGCCCGGTTCCGACCGATGGACGGCCGCTGGTGCCTATTGTTTCCTAATATGGTACTTATAGCCGCTCCTTGCCATTGTCGCATCGCTATTGTAAGTTAGCTCTCAAAAGCTCCTCAGCCGTGTTTTGTAGGCTATGCACCTCAAGCATCAGAGCTTTATGCCATAAATTATGTCTCTGCAAGGTACACAGCACATGAGTGGATATTGCCAAGGTCGAGGGTTCGACAACAAGCTCATAGGCTCTGGTTTCCAAATACGTCCGATGTTGTTGCTAGCTCACTAGCTAACAAATCTTTGTCTGCCCAAATAAAGGGGCAGAGCCTACAGAAGATTAATTTCAGTCTAGTGTTCCCCGCATGTTGATTTCTCCGCATCATTTTGAGACGTGGGGTAGGGGATGTCGGGTTCGGTGCTGCATGTTTGGCTGTGTTTGAGAGAGCATATATATATGTCTCCTCCTCTATTATATGTCTCACCCATTCTTGATAGCCTTTACTTCAGCGTTACCCTCGGAGTAACAAACCTTAAACATGGCCGACCGCATGTCCTCAGATGTTGAAACCACCGCCCCGGGGCCGATAGTGCACCCTCGGCAACGAGTCCAGCTCGCAAAAAAGACAATGTGGCAGTCTTTGAGGCACAACCCAAAGGTTCTCGTTATCGCCTTCTTTGCCTCGTAAGCTTCTCCTACACCACCAAGCTTCCCTGCTGACATATGTGAATGTGAAGATTCGGCGGCCTGGAATATGGCTACCAGCAGGGGGTTCTGGGACAATCCCTGGTCATGACCCGTTTCACCCACAGTTTCCCGTCAGTTATTCAATCGTCCTCTGCGACGGGGTGGCTCACCTCTGTGCTCCAGCTAGGCGGTATTCTGGGATCTCTTTCCGCTGGAATCTTAGGTGAAATATTTTCTCGGAAGTACACCATGTTCTTCGCATGCTGTTGGGTCATATTGGGCAGTTACCTCTACGTTGGAGCCCAAGTTGGCAATCCATCTCTTCTCTATGCCGGGCGATTTTTCACGGGTGTTGGCGTCGGCCTTTTCAGTGGTGTAGGACCCCTATACAATGCTGAACTCGCCGCGCCCGAAATGCGAGGCCTTCTCGTGTCCTTCTACCAATTTGCGACCATCCTCGGCATTATGCTCTCCTTTTGGGTCGGTTATGGTAGCAACTATATTGGCGGTACTGGCGAGACGCAATCAGATTTGGCATGGCGCCTGCCCTCCATCATTCAAGGAATCCCTGCCGTATTTCTCGCGATCGGAATCTGGTGGATGCCATTCTCACCAAGATGGCTTGTTAAAGTTGGAAGAGATGATGAGGCAAAATCGACGCTGGCGTGGTTGGCGAAGTTGCCGATTGACCACGAGTTGGTCCAGGTGGAATATTTGGAGATTAAGGCCGAAGCAGTGTTCGAAGAGAGAGCTTTTGCCAAGGCATTCCCAAAGCTGGCCGAGAAAGAACATAGAAGCATCTTTATGAATCAAGTTGCACAATACGCCAACTGTTTCAGGACTATGGACAACTTCAAGAGGGTTTGTACAGCGTGGTTGGTCATGTTCTTCCAGCAGTGGAGTGGTATCGACGCCAGTAAGTCTGTTCAGTCCATTTAGGAAAGCACAGGGTGTTAACCTGAATCTAGTCATTTATTACGCTTCAAATGTGTTTGTCAGCCTTGGGTTGACTGGTGGCACAATCGCTCTATTGGCAACTGGTGTCACTGGCGTCGTCTTCATAGTCAGCACTATACCTGCTATGGTAAGTTGTTGAATACTCGCTAAAGTGAGAAGATATACTGACCTTTGCAGTTGATCATTGATAAGGTTGGTCGAAAGCCCATGCTTCTGGTCGGCTCAGTGGTCATGTTTGTGAGCATGGTGTCAGTTGGTATTATCGTCGCGAAATTCCGCCATGACTGGCCGTCCCATGCTACCGCTGGATGGATTGCCGTTGGTAAGGATTCCGTCCCATATCTGTTACATGAAATTGTCTAAGAAAGGCTGTAGCGTTCATATGGGTTTACATTGCTGGCTTCGGTGCCACATGGGGTCCAGTTTCGTGGACACTCGTGTCTGAGATTTTCCCACTCTCCATCCGTGCAAAAGGAGCGTCCATCGGAGCTTCCAGCAACTGGATCAACAATTTCGCGATTGCCTTTTTCGTGCCTCCCATGCTCGAGGCATGGGCATGGGGGACCTACATATTTTTCGCTGCCTTCCTTTTCGTCGGTATCATCTGGGTATACTTCTTCCTTCCGGAGACAAAGAATGCGACTTTGGAGGAAATGGACAGAGTGTTCAAGAGTCACACTGGTGAACGAGATGCCGAGCTACTACGGGAGGCGCAAAAAGATGTTGGCTTGACGTCATTCTTGGAGCGAAACATCGGTGGTAATGAGACCAAAAGTATGGCAAAAGAGACTTACATTGAGAAGATATAATAATCGAACTTTTAAGGAACCGAGCTAAAGCCGATCCTGTACTGTTCTAGTACATGGAATAGATACAAGGCGGAGGTAAGGCAGGGGTGATGGTCTGAAGGAGGAAATGTATGCATATTGCCGAGTATTATAATTAGTCGCTTTATACAGAATGATCTACTACTAGTACTTGTACAGTTTTCTGCAGAATCCTCTTACCATAGTATTTCGTTTCAAGTTATCCATCAAATTAAATTGCCTAGAAATACGCCTGTTTTATAGATTTTGCTATGTCTAGCTTTAAGCCCTAAAGACACTAGTTCTATTTCTTCCTTAATTGTTTCCGTGATATGTCGTGGTTGAAATTGGCTCCCACTTTTATCTCCTACTCTCGAGGCATTGACGGTAACGTACAACCATATGATATGTCGACTTGAAGTCTTGTCCCCAGCTCACCAAAGCGGAAAAGCTCAACGGAACGGAAAAACCTCGATTTGTGGCTGATGCCTTCACAAAGCTAGTTATGTCGGTCTGGACCATATTTTCTCCTCAACCCGTTCACACTATGCACAGACCTTGAACATGTTACCGGACTCCACAGTTTGCACGTCGGGCTATAAATGTGACGAAGTTCAAACATCGCCCTAGAGGTATGCTTGAGATGAATGATTCGGCCGCCCCAATGTTTCGCTCAGCCGATGACGAAAGAGCCCCAATAGCGCCGCTCTATGAAGGTGCAACTCCCTTGATCGAGGAAGATGCCTTTTTTTCGCCAGGTAAGCTGTCGAGCGTTGATGAGTATGCTGCAAACCCCCGCTTCCTCGATCTACAAGAAGAACTACGAGCCGTTGTTTTCACTGGTGTTGCCAGTCTCGCTCCCAGCAGGTACAATTCGCCCGCACACTCCGAGCCCGTCAATGTACCTGCTCCAGAACTGTCAACGCAAAGCTTGGATTTTACAAGAGTATCAATTCCAAAGGCCAGATTAATCAACTATCTAAAGAATTGGATTTCCGAATGCGCCCCGTACCTCGACAAGTTCGACGAGGCACGACATTTCGGCGTCCAGGTCCCAATTGTAGCGCATGGCTCGCCAGCGTTATTTTACGCAATTCTAGCATTTTCAGCTCGACAAACTGAAAGAAAAACTGGCCTTGAAAAGTCCCATGATAGTCTTGAACTCTACCAAGAGTCCATCAGACTCTTGGCCCCGTCTCTGCAAGCCAAAGATCCGAATGTGCTTGTCACAGTCTGCATTCTCGCCTGCCTTGAGTTGATGTCTGTGAGCCCGAGGGATTGGAGACGTCATATTGAGGGCTGTGCTGCTCTATTTGATTATTTTAATATTAACGGGTTTTCCGGAGGTCTTTTACAGGCCGTTTTCTGGTGTTATGCTCGCATGGAGTTGTGTGGAGCAATTGTTTCCGACGGGGCGGAGAGTACCGTGCTTCATATTGATAAATGGACCCCTATAATGTCTGAGAGTCCAGGCTCAAAAGAGAGGGAAGAGGAGTTAATCAAAGACGCGTTCTTCCAGAAAAGCCGTCTGGTTCCTGATATGCACGCAAATTGGGCTGTGTACTTGTGCGCTAAGACTTGTGATCTAGCGTGCAGGCGAACAAGGTACCTGGAGTTAGGCGAATTGGATGAATACGACTCTCGGCCATCTATTGAGCAGTGGAATCGGTTATGGGACGAGCTACAATATTGGAATGAACAACGTCCCCCGGCAATACTACCGATCAAGACAACAGGAACTGGCAGTGGCCAGATCTTCCCAGAAATTTTGTTTGCTCATTGGGCTGCAATCTCGAGCAATCAATTGTACCACACTGCCTGTATCATAATGCTGGAGATCAGACCTGCGGACAGACTACCACGGTCGTCGATGCCACAATGGTCGGCTGTTTGGCACGCCAGAAGGGTCTGTGGAATTTCATTGACTAACCCACATAGTGCCAACCTCATCAATGCAATTCAGCCTTTATACATCGCGGGCAAGCTTCTTAGTCATCGAAGCGAGCATCTCGCTGTGGCCAGACTCTTTAAGATCATCGACAAGACTACCGGATGGGGCGCTATGTGGAGACTTAAAGATCTCGAGCGAGCTTGGGGCTACGATCCAGGCGAAATAATATCAATTATGACCACTGATAAACCTTGAGCTCATGACAGCTAAGGGGCCTGTTCACACATGGCTCGCCCCCACTAGTGGTAATGCGACTAGTCGAGGTGCATACTAGCTGATAAGTCTTTAGCGCCTTAGCTCTATCTACAGCTTTTTCTACAAATTCCGTCAGCGCCATGATGGCTCAGTACTTTTCCCAGCGGATGAGATATCGGATATCTTTGATCATGCGTGTTGGAACCGTATATGGGTCGTCCAAGAGTTTGCGGTTACGAAGGCCGTTAAGTTCGCATGCGGCGGGAAGAAACTAAGCAGGCCGTCTTGCGAGGCTGCCTATAGAGCAATCACGATGATGGGAAGCTGGGCTCCGTGGACACGGTGCTGGGGTGTGTAGGGTTTGTGGGACTGGTGGATGGATAGGTGTGCTGGGGAGAAGGTGTCATTGGGACTGTGTGGTTTAGAGCTGCGAATGGGCTCTTTTTGGGGGGTGGGGGGTCTTGGGGATGACGGCTGGGAGGGGAAGGTAGAGTGACTGAAATGGGGGGTAGGGGGCTGGGTGACTGTGGGGTTTGAGGGTGCGTTTGCGAAGCCAGGCTGTTGATGCAGCCTGCAAATGATAATTAGGTTATTGGAGACGGTCTCGGAACTTCAGTCATTTTGCGCAGAACCCACTTGTATAGACGAATTGCGCGGCTTTTATTATTGATGGCTACTAACCCTTCCTTTTGATTTACTACTTGCTATCAGCCTGTATTCCCACCACAGTAATTCTATGCATAGCAGTGTCCTTCTTTATTAGTCGTCTACACCGAAATATATACTCCTGCACACCAGTATCTGTCACATACGACCATAGACTCAAGAGAATTGGGCATCCCGTCCGCTCTGCCATACACAAGCTTGAGATCGGTGGATTAGTAGTTGGGTGGGTGACCACCAGCGAATACCCACTGTTGTATGTTTTTGATTTTTTTGATATTATTTTAATAGCTGGATGATAGCCTCAATCGTGCCAATAGGCATAGCGCGGAATCGCAGTCCCTTGCCGCCTGAAAGGCGAGGCGAGGCGAGGGTTGAGAAGGGTGAGCGGGGTGAGTAAGGAAAGCAACATTCTTATGTTAGTTTAGCGTCAATTTTGTGTCATTTTCATATCAACACTGTTTAGCTGTCTTAGCTTACCTACCATATTAAGGGCGCTTTTGCCCCTATTATTGGGATAATTCGCTATTTGTGAGCTATAGGTGGGGTAGAACATATACATTTGTACCTAGCAGCAGAACCGTTGCCACCTCTATCTCTTTTCTCGATTATTAATAAACAAGGCTCGTAACACACTAATGTTGAATAAATCATATCGAATTAATACAGTCAATCATCATTCCCATCGTTATCCCAATACTCCTCTAGGGCCTCTTCTGTCTCTTCCGCCTTATCATACGCATCTAACCCCGAAAATTGCGGCAGCAACGTCCCCTTGATATACTGTTCGGTGAATTTCGCGTCATCCCACCCCTTGCTCCGCCACCGTTCCTCCATGGGGTCAATAAACTTAGTCGTCTCTGGGTAGCCAAAGTCTGGCAACACGCTGACATTAAACGCAGCCATCATATCATGGTCCTCATGAATCAAATTGTGGCAGTGGAACATGTACACCCCATCCCAAGGCGCATAGCGCGCCAGCACACGCACCTTCTCGTTAGTACCGAGGAGCACCACGTCCTTTAGCCCCGCGGCCTCGTAGGGCAGCACAGGCCTCTTACCGTCCTTGCGCGACACAACCTGGAAGTCGACGAGGTGGATGTGCACCGGATGCGACCAACCACCCGAGTCATTCTGCAGCTCCCACAGCTCGACGGAGCCACGCTTCGGCTTCGCGAGGATCCGGTTATTGACATCGGAGAAAGAGACGCCGTTGACTCTCCACTCGCCGTTATTGCGCCCGAACTTGAACGTCCGGTCGACGTTTGTCTTTGGGGGAGGGAGGACAAGGGGGTCGAAGACGGCGGGCACTTCGCCGTTGTTCGTAGTGTCAGTTATGGTGCCGCCGACAATGAATTTCATGACTTTGTCAGTGGAGTTGTAGTCTTCGTCAGCTTGCACGTCGCGGTTATTACGCATGGTCACGTTAGTATTTGCGTAAGCAGAGAAGTCGAAGATGATTTCGTAGCGCTCGGCCATGGAGATCTCAAGCAAGGTAGCGGTAACTGGGCCGGAGAGAAGGCCAGCGTCAGAGGCAATGACTTTAAAAGGGAGCTTTGTGCCCGTCTTCGTGTCTTTCTCAAAGTATAGCTGGAATGAACGGCTAATGGCTGAATCGAGGAGGCGGAAGCGGTATTTCCGAGGCTCGACTTTGAAGTAAGGCCATGGTTGGCCGTTCATGTGGATGACGTCGCCCCAGAGACTCGTGAGCTCGGAAGCGGGTGAGAAGAGGTCGCCGTTGGATTTATATTGCTTGGAGCTGATTGTGAGAGGGACGTCATACTTGCCAGCTGGGAGGCCAAAACGGTCTTCTGCTGGATCATGGAGGATGTAGAATCCAGCCTGGCCGAAGTAGGCATTTTCAGCCGTATGATGAACAGCATGGTCCTAGAGTATGGATAAGTGCGTGACATTGAGACAGATATGGTCTACTTACATGGTACCAGAGGGTTCGACCTCGTTGATTATTTGGGTAGTAGTAATCTTTGTACTGACCCGGGGCGGTTGTATCCTCAGCCCATCCATCAAATGGTGCTCGACCTAAAATAATTATTCAGCATGATGACATATCAATGCTGTCTCAGCAACTTACTATATGATCCATGAAGATGGACCGAACTATTTAAAGTTCCATGATTAATGAACCTGACCACAGCCTCTTGCCCCCTCTCCATGCGGAAGGTAGGCCCAGGTGATATACCATCGTAGCCAACCAAGTTTGCTTTGCCAAGGTTGGAGTATACTTGTTGCTGAAAAGGCTTTATATCGACCTCGTAGTAATTGATGATCTGTCCGGTGGTGGAGTTGGTCCACGTACTGTAACGCGTCAACTGACAACGAAAGTCAGATCACAGATGGTGTGAACTTACTGTTTTGGGACCTTGTCCGGCGGAATGGGAAGAGGACGCGCGTAGATCTCTTTGTAGACGGGGCTCAGCCAAGCACTATCTCCTGCCAGGGAAGGAGAGCATAGAGCAAGACACAAGATGATACACGACGAGAGCCTCGCCATGTTATATATAGTGGCGCAAAAGTCCGTAATTTTGATCAAAAATGTTGAATGTTAACCACCAAGAAATCGATTGGTGAGTTCTCAGTATATTAAGTTTTTGTTTAATATGACACGAGAGGCGAGACTTATACTTTCAAACATGATATTAGAGGGTCATGACAGAGTAGAGTAGTGGCATCCACGTCATATTATCTGTTATGGGTGGTGGGTCGAACAGAATAGTAGAGCAAATATCGATCGGAGTGTCTAACAGTATCAAGCTTCAGGAAAGATAGCCAAAAGTGGGGCATAACTTGCGAGGGAGGTGGAAAGAAATAACAGACTTCTATCTCATCAGCTCGGCAAAAGGCAACGAACTCACGCTGTCCCAACAGAATGGAGTATCATGTCAGATCTGGACGCAGTCGGCATGGTGGGATTAGACCGCCTGACCCCGAATGGGGCGAATTGAACTGCTTTGGTGCAAGACGAGGAAGAGGAAATATGAAGCGAGAGACGGTCAGTTTTCGTCCAGACTACAGCCTATAGCGGATGTTTTAAGAGGCTGATTTGGGCGTCATTTCTCAGGTCATCATCGGGACCCCCTCTGTCCATTGGGCCTGGATGTGATTCCTATTGTTGGAAGCCGTCCTGAGAGCGACGCGAAGCCAAAGCGCACAGAACAAGTCTCATCAGCATCTAAGGCGCATATGCCACATGCGGCCAGTTAGGGCTATCCCACGTCCCCCCCGCACGGAAATCGTGCGAAGCACGGCATGGCTGATCCTCTTCATGCAGATAGGCTATATGACACACTCCACTCTACTCTACTAAGAGCACCTCATGAGGCTTCCTCCCAATGGTAAGGTTAATAGAGCGGTGAAAGACGGACAGCATGGAAAGTCGGCTGAACTATTGACAGCCTAGCTTGCAGCACAGCTGCCACTCTAGCACTGGATGTGGTAGGGCTTAGCGCCACATCAGCTAACTTCCACTTTGGAGGCGCTGGGTTGGCCAAACTCGCTTCTACAAAAACGAAAATTCCGACGTGCTTGGCGCATATCAGGTCAAATCAGAGAAGCCACGGCTGTGTAACAAGGCGTCTCCAAGCAAGAGCAGGCGCCAGGTCTAGACCACAGCATGCGAAGGCGCCCTGAGAGAAGAATTGGTCCAGCCACTCGCCCTGGGAACTTGGCGACGACCAAAACCAGCCATGTTGAGGCTCGCGGGGACGAACCGTGGATGGGCACTGTGGGCACGGTCTTAGTAGCGTTTCTCTTCTTGATTGGGCTATGGACTGTCAAGAGCCGATTTGACACCGAACTGAAGGCGGAAAGTGCCGCCGCCATGCAACAGTGCAATATAACTTTGCAGCGACTCTTCTAGGATGCGTACAAGTGCCGAAAATAGAGTGCCTCGTCGTCGATCAGAGGACTAGGTTACTGTACCCCGAACTGCTTGGCGTTTTTCGTAATGGTCGTAATGGCTGCTTGCCCACAAGCGCCAAGACGTGGAGTTTTGGAGCCGTGTCGTGCCAACAAGCGCCAAGACGTGGAGTTTTGGAGCCCTGTCGTGCCACAAGCGCCAAGACGTGGAGTTTTGGAGCCGTGTCGTGCCGTGCTGCCAGCCGTGCTGTCGTTCGGGTTGACCGCTGATTTAGTCCAATCCCAATCCCCTTGTGGAGTGGCATTTGAATAGAAGGGATACAGGGCCTAACACGAGATCGTCCCACATTACGTCGTTCGCCCCCGGAGAATCGACCATTGGAACTTGGAATAGAGAGGAATCTATCAGACGAGGGATACGTGGCTACGCCATGTACTGTCGCGCATCTTCCCGAGCATGATGCCTTTCCCCACGTTGGCCCCTACGACCTATAGTAGCACATTGGCGTCCCCATAAGACATCTTGGCGCCTTGAGGGACACAGCGCACGCGATAAATATTGGCGACATGAGACAAGGCGAGGCCAAGAGGCCCAATCGATGCGACCCTCCGTTACTGTCAATAATCTAGGCCACCCTCGACTACTTTCGTTCAGCTTCTTGTTGAGTCACGCGTGTACATACAGTAATGAACGCCACTGTCTACGGGACGGGACATACACGAAGCCGTCATTTCTCATATTCAGCTTTGTTGTCGTCTCATGTAGGGTCGTTTAGACGAGGATCCATCTTCTGCGGGAGTTTACCTGGGTCTACAGATGGAAATGTAGCCTTACTTGGTATTTTGCAAAACACGAACATATTCTTCTGAATTGAGAAATCGATAGTACGGGAGGATTACTTACACTCAGTCGAGACTACAGGGCGAGCTTGGCGGTCGGAGTATTCCACATCTGCCGCGTTAGTTTTAGAGAAAATTGGTCAATGATAGAGATGGGCGTGACTGTGGCGAGCGCCTCTCCTTGCTTTTGACTTTGGTGTTTGAAATTCGACGCTGCAATGATATAACCTAGGAAGCGCCATGCCTGTTGGCACAATCGGTAGTCACTCGGGAGCTATCTGACACTCTCTCCCCAACGATCCTCCTTCCGCGTGCCCATACCAATCGAGGACTGCGGCTACAAAGTTATAGAGCTACTGCTACTGTCTTTTAGCAGGTCCTGTCTTAGTCTTTTCTGCTTTGACGCGGAATGTTGCTCTCATTCTGTCTCTTGGTTGCAGCATTTGCCCCTACATTGGTGGTAGGACAGCCCGCAGTGTATCCCTTCACGGTGGTAGGAATTCTGGGCAGGTATGCAGCCACTTTAGCTACGTCCCAAGAAGTCCACTGACATAGTTTCAAAGTGTAAATGTCATAGGCACAGAGGTTAACTCTGGTGGCTCTGTGAGCGTTAGCGGATATAACATTCGAATTCCCGACAACTTGCTTGTCGATTTTCCCGCAGCACAGGTACCCTTCGCAGAGTTTGCAGCAGGTGATCGAGCAGGCCCAAATGAAGTTTCCGTAAGCCAAATTATTATATCTCATTCTGTAAACAAGAATACTAAGTCTTATAGATTACCGGGAACGTTGTTGGCGAAACAATCATTGCGGGCCAGATGGCTGTGTCCCAACTCAGCCTACAGGCCTCGAATGGAATTATAGAGAGCTTAAGTTTCGATGGAGCCATCAAACTCCTTCACGGACCAACGATTCGTATCAACGATCCTCGGGCGAGATATAGCTCTGGAACAACGGCCGTCCCATTCTTCACAGCTGACGATGAGAATCCCTCTATTACGAGCTTTGGTGGCTTTCCCATGTGCGTGCCTCGATCCGGCGATGACCCTCTTTGTCCGCAGAGTAACAGGCCAACCGCTGTGCCTAATCCAAAGAACTAGTAAGTTTATCAGTTAGCTACTGTGGTACCGGGAAGCTAATATGTATAGCTTTGTACCGAATCCGATGCTAATGGCACCACTAAAAGTGGGCGATTATGTCGAATTCTCATATATTGAGTTTGGTGGAGAATTGCTCTGCTACGCGCTCACTGCGAACGTTGGAATCTACACGACTGCCGGCACAGCACCAGGGTTCATCTTGGTTGAAGATGCACTTATCGGCGTCATTAATAACAATCCTGACGTTGAATTTGCCAGAGCCAGAGTAGGAGCATCCCTCACCCTGTCTTTGGATACAATCTAAACTCTCAACAGTTTGTAGGCTATACAACGGATCCGAACACGCTAGTATCCATCTATGCCATCGACATTAACCCATGTACAGGCGTGGAATCCGATCGACTCATTGGGAGTGCGATTCCCGAAAACGTCGCCGGGGGCAGATCCAAGTGGGAGTGGCGCTCCGACCGCCAGGATATTGGATACTACACTCGAAACTACCGCGTGAAGCTTGCGTCAGGCCAGAAACTCACCACAAACGGAATTCTCTCTGGGCAGTACGTTCAGCCAGTTACAGAATGGATTTTCCCCGAAGTCATCACACCCGGGGCCGTCAACCCACCGCTCGACTTCTCGGGCATTGGTCCGCTTGCCAACGGATTCGGACCCTATTCGAGCGGCAAAATATTCAGGCAACTTACTCCCTGGCCTGGTGCGACGCCTCCCACCCCTATTTCTATTTGTACCGATCCCGTCACATCCGTCAGCGCCACCACAGAAATTCCAGAGCCAACGGAGACCGGGACTGAAGTGGTAACAGCCACAACCACAGTAGTTCCGACTATAACCCCCGTCCCCCTCATCGTCGACGCAGGTTCTGACCAGACAGTCCGCGGCGGTGTACGCGTCACTCTCAGCGGCGCACAAACCGCTCCAAATATCCCCACTGCAGACCTCGCATATAAATGGTCTCAAATTGGTGGTTCGATCATTAACATCGAGATCGCCTCTCCCGACGCAACGGTCACCACTCTCAACCTCCCCGTCAACCTCGGCACCACCAACGAGGTCCGCGAGTTCCTCCTGCTCATCACCCATGTCCCCTCCGGCAGCGTGGCAAATGACACCATTGTCATCACCGCGGACAAGACGTCCATCGACCACCCCGTGATCGAAACATTCACGTGGCAAAGCAAGCAGAGCGGGACCGTTGCCGTAACGGTGCGTACGGAGCTTGTTGACGCTAGCGCGAGCATGAAGTGTCGCTTTGGAAATGGAGCGGAGGTGCTAATGACGAGGGCGGGGCCGGGGGTGTACACGTATGCTGCGAGGAGCACACCGCAGCCAGCAAGCGTGACAGTGAGGAGTTATTTTGGGACGGTGGCGGTAGGGGCGGGCGTTACGAGGACGGGGGTCACGTTGTTGTGATGGGCCATCTAGCCTAGCATATAATGAAAGTAGGATGTGGAATCGTATATTAAGTCATTGAAATGGTCGTTGAGGTGTGTAATAGATTGAAAAACAGGTAGTAGAATGATATAATCGATCCTAAAGAGGGCGTATCGATGTCTACATTGCCAACCCGGCCACGTATTCATATAACGAGCGGACGGGCCAAGGACAAACAAACACAGCTCAACAAAACGTAACGAATGGTCAACAGAGAGACCCAATTTGACTCTCACATTAACGTAGCCCCTAAGGGATTCCAGGTCAATGGAGGACTCTAGGTCGTCCCTCTGCCAAAATAGTGCCAGCTCATATAACTTCAAGCCGTAAGCCTGTGCAATCAAAAACACCCTTCTAGAATTAATAATATCATCAGTCCGTGCAAGAGCATTGCCGTCAGTACCGAGGGAGTCTTGAAAATGTCCGTGAGGCAGAGTTGAAGTCAACTGAGAAAAGACCACGTGGAAGGCCACGCAAGCGACCAATTGTAGAATAGAAAGTTGAAGAGGGAGAGGTAGAGAATGATTCAAGCGACTCAGAATTGGAATTGGAGGAGTATGTGGCACGTAGGACTAAGTCAACTAGAGTAGAATAAACATTTTCGACTACCCCATATGTCCGACTTCCCCATACATTACGTTATATAGATATATTTATACTCATGTTTGTGTTGTACATAGACTATAAGGGTTCTGCAAGGAATGGATGGATGTCGTCATTTTGCTCCTTCAAATGTCGAGGCGAATCGACTCTTGCCTCGGATCTTCTTCCCATACTTAAAGAATATAAATCTGTAAAAAACAATTCAGATTAACATCTCGAGAAGTTTCTGTGCAGTAAGGTAAATCTTACGGGAAAGGAATCATCGCTAGAGTAATGAAGGCTAGCACCGCCGTAGCCCAGTCAAAACCAAGCCTTTCGTACACTAAGGGTATGGTTAACAACGTTCTACCAAGGATGTGTTCATTACTCTAACTAGAGTTACTCACTTTGAATGCCAAATAAAGGAAAGATAGCCGCAAAGGTGCTTCTAGCAAAACTGTTGGCAGCAAGTGCGCTTGCAGCGTATAAAGGATATGCATCAACTAAAAATGTCCAGGTGCCTGAAAACGAGAGAAATACGCTGCACCTAAAAATTAGCTGCTGCTTGTGCGAAACATGGGACGTAATGCTATTTACCCCATCCCGAAGAGCCCGCTACCAATTACTGGAACAATCCAATGGACTGATGTGTATGTTGTAAAGCCAAACCAGAATAAACCAGCTGGTACCAAAACAGCACCTACTATAACTTGAGGCAAGCGGTACTCTGGCTCGGGCTTGCCATCCTCACTATCCTCAGTATGTCGATTTTTCACTAGCTGTTGGTAATTCTTTTGCCAGTACGGAGTCGTGGAAATGCCAAATAGAATCCCAATGGCTAAACCTAGGAATGTCAAGCCAACTTGCCATATGTTGAACCCATGGTTGGTGGCAAATACCAAGGGAAAGGCGCCAAAAAAGAGGTATAAAATTCCAAGAAGAAGGGAAGAGTGCATACAAAGACTCAAGCACATGGGCTCGAACAGTAGCATTTCAAGTGGGCGAAGAAATGACCACGTTATGGTTTCTAGCACTGATTTTGTTTGTCTCAGACCACTCCCAACATGATATCGGTCGTCTCCTGTCTTCTTTCGGAGCTTTTCGGCTCTCTTGAGAAGTAATACAGGATGATAAGTCTCTGGCACAAAGACCAAGGTCAAAACGAGTGCAAAGCCAGTCCATATGAGCATGAAATAGTATGTCCAATGCCTATTATCAGTCAGCAACAGGCCTTGAACGAGTCTCAAATAAATGAGAATCAGGGAGATCTGTAAGGAGCTCTATTACCAGGTTGCATTGTAGTTGATAAATCCACCTACTATCGGACCTAACTCGGGGCCCATGAATTGGATTCCGGAGTATATGGTCATGGGAAACTGGAGCTCGTGATGATCAAAAAGATCCCCTACACTTGCTCCTGCAACACTAAGAAATGCTGCTCCAGACAGACCACCCAAAAGGCGGGCTATTACCATAGTCTGGATGTTCTTTGCGACTGCACAAAGTACCAACCAAATTAAGCTGGATGTTAATGAGATAATGTATATTGGCCGCCTTCCATAGAACTAAATCAAGTCAGTTAAGGAAGTACGGCAATGGAGATGGAGCAGAAACCTCCGAGAGTGGCGAGAGAAACAAGGGCGAGATCCCCATTCCTAAAATAAATGTCGAGAGTCCAGCTGTAGCCGCAAGTTTTGAACAGTGAAACTCGACCATAATTTGATCGTAGGTAGTCGTGTATAAGGCAGAATCGCAAGCCCTGTCGCGCAGAGCTGTAAGCATGCAGAAATTCAACCATGCGAATGGGATCTTACACTGATGCTGAAGATAGAGAGAGGACAATCACAATGATCCATTTTGTAGCCTTGCTAAAGTTTCTTGGATCCTGCCTGTCGCTGCTTCCGCTGAACCGGACTTCGTATCCATCAACACCAGCGGGAGCCAGGTGTTTGTCGACTGAGCCTAGATGGATTGATTCATCTATCCATTGAACAATAGAAGTTTCTTGCAAACGACAGCTACATATTCCTTTCTGGGAATCAACTGGTTTGGAAGCGTGGTCAAGAATGCCGGACTCGGAATTTCGAGCCTCATGAGAAGTCATTGCAAGTAACTGCAACTAAAATATTAGCTCCTAAAAATCTTGAGTTAACTTATATTTTAGTCGGGGCGGTTATTTCACTTTAACTGCCACTTAAAACTATATATCATGTTGAAGACAGCCCTGTATTAACTTGCTCCATAGCATCTTTGATTTGTAAAATATAGTAAGTAATGCTTAGAAATATACCAGCATTTTTAACCTCAGTTTTTCAACACCAGAGTATAAGATTGATGTATGGGCGACATTAAGTCCGTAATCTCGTACTGGTAGATTTAGAAAGGAATTCTCATTGGCTCTCAAAAATCTCCTAAATAGGATATCTTACAAATTAGCCTAAGCGCTTCACTAAGCCGCCTTCCGTCTCGGGACTATTTGGCGGCGACTGGTGGTTTTCGAAGTTATACCTTATGCCATCTATTTATTCTAAATACTGTATATACTGTTAAGCTTCTTGCCCGTTGCGCCAAAGTTAGAAGCCCTAGCCACTGGAAACACCATACAACCGGTGCGGTCCTTGTATTCCGGTACTTCCTCCAATACTCTGCGTTCATAACGGGGTCACGTGTAGGCTCGGAGAATAAACTGAGCGCTAGTCTAATGAAAAATTCACGTGACAAAATCATGTCCATAAACACCCAAGCCTAAGGATCTACCTTCTCCAGCTCATAGTCTACTTTTTAAAGCCAATTATGCTCTTTAAAATGTACGGTCTAGGCACATGTTCACGTGTTTTGTTCCGCGATAAGTTTTATTTGGCTACACTATACTAACTAGATCTGGATATTTTTGCGACAACGTTGGCTGTCTACTAGTTAGTGCTTATATTGCTGTCAAGAAGCATTGTACTTGATTTATTTTCCTGTAGTAGGTAAGAGAGGTGCCTTGCCACCGGGAGCTTTATATTGCTGTCAACAGGCCTTATCACACTGCATTCAGTAGATTTTCCTACCATTTATGTGTGATTTGTTTGGCTCACCTACCTTAGAGGCGTAGGATAAGCAGCATTAGATAATTAAAATTACTCCATACTGGTTTTATAGTTGCTGCAGTTGCTAATAATACTAATTAAGAAAATGCTATCATCAATCTAGAGCCATAGTAATATTCGGAGCTAGCACTTGGCTCGATTATCCCTACAAGCGTCCATGCAGAGTATTTTAGTAGGACAAGTTTAGTGAGCATCTCTAGTACTGAGTTCTTCGAAAAGTTTCCCAACTTCAACCTATGAATCTATACAACTAGCAGTCTGCTGTATAGATGCCTTAATGGAACTAGCAGCAGCCCCTAAGGCAGAAGAACCATAGCCTTGTCTACATACAACAAGCCTCGCAATACTTGCTCATTACGGTAAGACGTTCGTTTTGTGTGGATGGCCTCGCAATGATTACTTACGCATTACTCAGTGTGAAGGTAATGCAGATTAGGGCCAACAGATTCTTGTCTCATTCCTACAAATAAGTATAAAGTCCGAGCTAAATTCGTATACACTTCTCTGCTTGCATCATTGTTATCACCACTATCGACAACTTTCATCAGCAACCTCGACCAAGCTGTCCGACAGGCAATCATGGCACAGGTACTAGACCTGTCCAACCCCAATCGCCCAATTCATGTGGGTGTGATTCTGATGGGAGGGTGGGTAGCGTCCTACCATACAAGAAGATGATACTAAGCACGCTGTCAGAATTACTGAAGTGCTTGATGTGGCACCTATCGATATGATTTATTCACTAGGCAAAGACTTTATCTCAACATTCCCAGATGCGCTAGTTCCGCCAAGTCTCAAGGCAAGAGCAATCGACTTCAAGATTCATTGGGTCTCTGAAACTGGGGAGACAACATACAGTCAGCTCACTAGTGGTTTACGCATAGTTCCTACAGTAAGTGGAAATGTCTCACAGAGCAACTGCCGCATTGCACTCATTTTTTTCTGAACAGCGTTCGCATGATATACGCTGACATTTCAGGATACTTTTGAGACTTGCCCACCACTTGACATTGTGCTCATTGGTGCACATAATTTTGGCTATACGCCAAACGATTCGGAACTACGCTTCGTGCGCAAGAGCTGGGAGACGAGCTCCGCCTTCCTCACAATATGTGCTGGTGTTGAGGTCCCTCTACAAGCTGGCTTATTAGAAGGCAAGACTGTAACAGGCCCTCGATTCCTACTTAACGAGCTTCGCCGAAACGGACCTAAGTCAAACTGGGTTGAGAAGAGATGGGTACGAGACGGCAAACTCTGGACCAGCGGCGCCCTACTTAACGGAGCGGATCTGATGCATAACTTTACGAGCTATTACTGGGGAGGAGGAGATGATACAATCGGGGCTCTTATATCAAAAATGGGCGGATGGCCTAATAGAGATGTTGAGTATAAGGACGTCCCGTGGAAAGAGTAGAAATGGGTAAGTGGATGTTAGCGATTTTAGTTGTTCGGCTGTATCTTTTTAGTCTGCTTGGCTTGGTTATAAAGATACAGTAAATTTGAAGTACGAGTTTCTCAATTGCCGCACGGAACCAAGGGTATTAATCACACAAAAATGTGGTAGGGCTTGCCATATAGGGAACCCTGTACAGCAATCCGCCTCCCAGCATGACGTGGTTCTCAAGACATGTCAGGCATGTCCGGAGTCAATGGTAATCGCTTCATCGCCTTCGCCTTCCCAGCGTATCGGATGTCGCTGGACATGCGGCGGCTGGTGAAAATCCGTTTCAGGAAGAGGGAGCTGTCTCAGCTCCAGGCGATCTGAGAGCACGAGGCCTAGGGCGACGGCGATCTCGACTGGGGCACGCACGGTCCTTTGACGAGAGATGATAAGGGAGAAGAGGATGGACAGTGGGGCGGCGACGACGATGACGGTGATGATGACAATGAAGGGGAGGGGGAGAAGGAAGAAGAGGACGGAGTATATTTTGAGGGGTGATCTTTAACGTGTAATATCTACTTAAATTGGCCTAGAGGCTCCTGTCTCATACCAATGAGGTCGATTTGTACTCTCTCCCATTCTCGTTCTGTAATAATTAGGACTAATTGAGCTTTTCTTGTAGCTGGCCTATATGAAGCACAGTTCTTGCATCGTTTGAGTATAAACTTAGTTCCGTAGTATCTCTGTTGAACTATTGCCCAAGACTTCATATAGCTAGCATGGAGAAATTATAAATGTTCGCTAGCAATGGCATCAAGGCCTTGCTTTCTGGAATAGTATATCGTGAGTTTAAGAACTTAAGATCAGGCCTTCGCGATTGTGGGTTGGAGCATATATTTGCAGCAGGAGTAAATATTCCCCCATGTGGTTCGCTTGAGCACCTAAAGGAAACCTGTCAAGGGAACAGAGGGTGACATGTATTTATTTCAACCTATTGTGGTAGTGACATTTATAATTGAGCTTGATTTCGAACCAGTCAAATCTGTGTTTATCCCCCGGTGCTTCCGCCAGTGAGCCATAAACGCATCTGCATCTTGGCTTTGCTGTAGGTTTGGGCTTGTGTCCCTAACTACTTTCAAAGGATATGTCAGTCGAAATGGACCGCCTGCGTCTTTCCATACCTCTTGCCGTTCAATGTAGTTAACGGCAAGGAGAATTGATGAGCCATGTGCAACTATTTCCTCGCGAAGCGTAGTCGAGTCTAGTAGTGGGGAGATCAATATCTGAGCGTGCGAGACGAGGATAATCCCAGTGTCGTAGAGTGCCCTACATTCTGCCTCAAAAGGGTCGTCATATAGTGCAGTCACGCGCAAGCTGGTAGTAAGATGTGCATCCCCAGCCTGCATATATGATGGACTGTTCAACCCGTCTTCCTGCATCAGTTCACATGTGTATTCAGTCCACCACTTTTCCAACCCTCGTCGTATTTCCAAGAGCTTAGTTGCGGCCTCATCTCTCGCCTGCGGAGTTGAGTCATCTCCAAGCGCAGCTACAGCATCGGAAACTGACAATGCTAAGGGAATCACAGTCAATATGTCCACGAGCTTGTCAAAGCTAGACTTTTCTGTCTCGCAAAATGGCACTGAGCGCCATAAATCAGTTGCCAGGAAGGACGGTTTACGCTGGTCAGTCGTGACGTAAATCTACATGATCACTTCAAATTAGCTCGGGGCTTCAAATTGAAGATGGGGATGAAAATAAATAGAGCGTACCATTGCTAACCGTAAAGCACGAAACAATGCATGCGCGAATCCAGAGGAGCACGCCTCAGGCCCTCTCATTTCCATCAGCTTCGAGGCAGCGCACAAATGCCTCATCCAAGCATCCGTGCTCGTATTGCAATTCGTCATCTCATAGAATGCCAGAAGGATAGGGCCACAGATGGCTTCATCAGTAACACCTGATGCCAGAGCTCCGTTGGTTAACAAAATCAAATCTTTCTGTTGACTTTGCAAGCCTCTCTCATACCATCTGATACCCTCTAATTGAGCACCTTTGTCGTTGGCCAGACTGCCAAACAAGGCTAGAGACACTGCCCGTAGCGCAAACGTCAATGTAGGGGCACTCCTTTTGCTAAGGATGCCGGGCAGCTGAGGCAACCACGCCTTCAGCATGGGTGCGCCAGGGGTTTTGGTAAGGCACTCAATGAAACGGCCAGACATGCGTTGTCTGTCCAACAGAACATAGCATGGTTGTGATGACAGCAGCTGCAGGATATATTTGTCATAGGATGAGGGTGTAGCATGACTTGGTGACGTCCTACGCGGTGCTCTACGTGTAGGTAAAAGTAGTTGGTTTAATGGGGTTGCTTGCAACTTTCCAAACGATGGGTGCAAGCTCTCAATTGCGAGTGGGACAATAATACCGGTACCGCTATCTTGTGACTTGGAGACCGTCTCACTTACACCACGGCTTTTCTTCCGACGTGCGTTGTCTTTAAAGCTAGACATTATGAAGATGTTGCCTTGCACTGCACCTGGACAGATTTTGCCGCATTTCACGCATTGCGAGCAGGATGGAAGCTCCTCACTGCACTAAAGAGTCCTCATGTAAGCATGTCACCTATAAATTTCGCCAGGGTGAAGTTATCATACTTTGATCCTTTTTTGGCGGCAATTGGCACATCCTCTGCTCCTACCACCGACACGTGCCATCGGGCTAAACGGATGGCGTCACAATAAAACCCAAGTAGACCAGTTCAATGGCATGGGATGGAACGATGTGTTGAAGCGATAAAGAAGGGAAGCAATAACTCCCAAACAAGAAAAGTGGTGACCTTTTTAACATTTTGTACTAGTGACTTACATAGTGATTGCTAAGCAATCACTATGTAGCTACCTTGAGGCTTACAATTTAGCCCTGTAGTAGCCACAGGACACTATTATCAGAGCGGTCCTAGCGTAGATCCGTGGATGCGCAGCCTGCTCACCCTACTTACCCTCGCTTCACCCCTTAAGGCGGCAAGGCGCTCATCCGCTAGGCCAGATGTCACCGACTGAAATAAAAAGCAAGTGGTTGCTTGAGATCGGTGGATTATTAGTTAGGTGGGTGACTACTAGCGAATACCGACTATTGCATGTTTTTGATTTATTTTTTTAATACCTAGACAATAGCCTCAATCGTGTTAATAGGCATATTTTGTAATCTAAGCCCCTTACTGCCTTTAGGGGTGAAGCGGGGTTTGTGTAAGTAGAGACAGTACTGTAACTAGGATATTCTTATATTAAGTCTTAAAACTAGGCAAACTATTTCCGAATTCGTATTAGGCATAGGGCAAGCTCTATTAGTTTGTAGAGTACGGTTTGATTATGCCACTTTTTAAGGCCGTCGGACGATTGTGCTGACAATTAAGGAAACAGAGGAGATAAATAAATACTCCGCGTATAAGAGTATGATATTCCGCGTACAAGTATGAAAGTTAGGGTCCTACGGCTCCTTATCGGATTGTGGTTGGTCCCCCGATCAGCAAATTGACTACCACCCCGCCTTGGATACGTACCCTTGCTCGCGTGGGGTTCAACCTGTGATTGTTCCATCAACATCCCCAAGATGACGATATAGAATCCTACAATACCTGTTCTCTCCTACGCCTCGGCAGCTAGAATGTTAAATATCCCAGATTGTTTACAAAAGTTGCGCGCGCTGGAATTGGTGCAGTTTGAATGAATGAACTGAGTAAACCGCGAGCGCGCGCTGTACCAAGAAGGGCAATCGGAGCATATATCGACGTCATATATACGAACGGAAGCTACGGCGTTTCCAAACGGCCGGCCAGCCAACAATTCGTCTCCGCGACATAAGACATAGGAGGAATCTAAATTGAATCCCCAACTGCGCACCCAGGAACTCACCAGAGAGTGCCAATCGTCGGTATGGCAGCTCTACAAGACGCCCTCCAAACCCTCTCCCCCATCGACGCCATCACCGTCCCCCAATCCCCCACCGACCTCGAAACCTTCCTAAACACCACCTTCGACACCTCCCAGCTCCTCATCGACTCCATTCCCCTCCCCGCTACCGATTCCCTCCCCACCCGCCCGCGCTCCTCAACAACAACATCCATCGCCAGCTCCGCTTCCGAAATCACACTCTCCTCCGCGCGCCCTGACTCCCCGCCCCCGGATGTCTCAAAACTCCAGAAAGCATGGGGAAAACCACTTCGCCTCGCGGCAAAGGATAATCCCCTGGGGATGTCCGTCTATAAGCTCGCCGGCACGGATGGAAAGGGCGCCTGGTTCGCGCGCCGCAGCGTACATTGTGGACTGGGCTTCGAGCGCTGGAAACGCGCATTGCAACAGGAGTTCCCGGAGACGATGAAGATACATGGCGGACCCGGGGTTGGTAACATCCGCGGCATTGGCGGGGAACGTTGCGTCGAGTGTCGAGAAGCGGGAGGGGGAAAGATGGAGGTATATCATCTCAGCGCGCAATTCCCCGGGCCAACGACACCGCGGGACTTTGTGACGATGTTAATGACCACCGAGAGGAGGGAGGAGGGCGGGCCTCGACAATTCATGATCGTGAGTAAACCGTGTATACACCCGCAGACGCCGGTGCGAGATGGTTTTATAAGAGGACAATACCAAAGCGTCGAATTCATCCGGGAAGTCCCCGTGCTCCCCACCCCCACCAAATCCGCCTCAATGAACGACCTCACCGCCGCCAGCCAACCCGCCAAATCACGCAAGAGAGCAGAATCCCAAGCCTCAAGCCTCAACCGCTCCGCCGTCCTCCGCAACGCAAACTCCTCCCACCCTGGCCCCTGCCCCGCACCAGGCCACACCCCAACCCGCACACCCAGCGAAGACCGCCGCCAGCGCGGTCACACCATCTCCTTCGCCGGCTCGCGCGGCGTAGACGCAAAGGGGGAGTACCACGACATCCCAGCCGACGACCCGGAACGCAACCCCGTCGAGTGGATAATGCTGACGCGCTCCGACCCCGGCGGCTCGGTTCCACGCTTCATGGTTGAGCGAGGCACACCAGGGAGCATCGTCGCTGATGCTGCGAAATTCTTGAACTGGGCGTGCTCTGCCGCCCTCGATGTCGCTGGCGACGAAGTCCCCCCGCGTGTTGATACTGCTACTAATGAGAGTCCCGAGGAGAGCGAAACTGAAATCGAACATCCTGCCGTCCCAGGCGAGGAACCGCGACCGCGCCCTCCCCCGACGCCGCGCGCACATCCACATCCACATCCACCTCATCGCGCATCAACCGAGATATCCCTCCGCGAGTTCCAAACCAACGGGCACCTCGCCGGTCTAGACGGCGTGCGCGACCCCCCACCAAACGAACACTATACCCCCCCCATCACAACCGCCTCGCTCTCCCCCCCCGAGCAGAACAATAGGGGCGTCCTGAGCATGGTCACCAATGCCGCATCAGCAATTTCGAATTTCCTCCCCTCTGCTGGCTACGCGGCTGTGCTGCCACATGCGCAGGCAAGGGAGAGGAGGTATAGCACTTCTTCTAGCTCTTCGTCAGAGGAGGAGGGGGAGGGGGAGGGGGAGGGGGAGGGAGGGACGGATTTGGGGAGTCCGTCAGGGGGGTCTTATATGTCTTTTGAGAGTGCACGAGAACGGGGAAGTTTCGACGACGCAGACGAGAGCGCGGATGCAGCGTTCGTGGATGCAGCGTCCGTGCCGCCTGTATATGGAGTCCCCGCACCATTGGGCCCATCGAGCAGCGAAGAGTCCGCTGTGTTACCCGATCCGGCGATTCGGACGGTGCCGCCGCGACCGAGCTCGTCGTCGTCGTTGGTGGTGGAGGATGCGGGGCTGTTGCGGGCGAGGCGGCGGGCAGCGGCTGCGATTGAGAAAGAGGAGGGGAAGTTTAGGGAGAGGAAGAGGAGGTTGGTGGAGAAAGTTGAGAAGGTGAGGAGGAAAGAGGGGGAAGGCGAAAAACTACGGAAAGCGGAGGAGAGATACTTGCGTGATCTCGCGAGGGAAGAGAGCAGGTTAGAGAGGGAGGTTGAGAGGGTTGAGAGGCGGCGAACGAGGGAGGAAGCGAAAGTCGCGAAGGGGAAGGGGGAAGGGGAGGCGGAGAGGGAGGTCCAGGTGCTTAGAGTGGAGAGGGAGTTGTTGAGGCGCCAGGTCGGGGAGTTGCAGAGGGAGAATACGGTGTTGGCTATGGGGATTGGGAGGATGGAGGGGGGAGAGAAGGTGTTGAGTGAGTTGAGGGGTGGGAGGGCGGAGAGTTTGGGGGTGGTGACGGCGCCGCCGCTGGGGGGGAAGGAGAATGTGAAGGTGTGAAAAAGGAGGAGGGGGTTTGAAAAGGAGATAGATAGATGCATAGCTACTTAACACTGGTTGCTACGAAATGTTTACTGTGATGAACATCTTACTTTTTCTCAATCCCTTCTCGTCCTCAATCATTGAAGTCTAGCCCTCAACCCCTAACCCCCCCCCTTACCTCCAACTCCAACCCCCACCAACACCATCCTCCCACCCACACCCCCACGACTCCCACCTTCCTCCAACCTTCAACCCAACACCCTCACCACCCCCAACCCAACCCCTCGGACCGACCGACCGACCCTTACCCCCTTCCCCCCCACCAACGCCCCGGCCCGACCCCCTACCTCACCGCCCACCCGACAGTACCCTCACCAACGTCATACGACCCTCAAACATTCCAACCCCCAGCTCACCGCCGCGCCTACCCCCCTTCCCCAGCTGAACCGCGGCAGCAGCAGCAGCAGCGGAGCGAGCGCATGACCGAGTCCAACTCACACGCACGCGCGATCATGTGGTGCCGGGCGCGTGATGCGTCAGATCTGCCCCATTGGGTTTCAGGGTTGGGTCTTGCAGTCTTGCAGGGTTGGGCCAGTTAGGCCCGAGGTGAGGCGAGGAAACAGGAATTCCAGGGCTTCGGTGCAACTATACGATCTGAGTTTAGGCTTTTGGTAGCAGGCAAGTTCAGGAATGTGATAGTTGCAGGAGGAAAGTCACGTGCAGTGGCTGTGCAAGTGCTGCGCCTCGATGTATACGACGACGTTTATGTGGTGTACTTACATATGCACGCGCCACAGGGTTTGTTGCAAGAAAAGTGAGGCGTGTGTGGCGAGTGCGTTGTATGCCAAGTCCAAGTTATGCTGGAGCTAAGTGCGTTGTGTCGAGTTGTTCTATAACGTGTGGCAATAACGAGGTACGGGACGGGGCGTTGGTGACGGGTAGAGTAGTTTGGTGGGTTGGTGTTTGGGTCTTGTCTTGGTTTTGGCGGGTTGGGAGGGATTGGATGGGATGAGTTTAATGGAATGAGCTCGATAGGTGTGGATTGGATGTGAGGTGAGGGTTTTGAGGTTCTAGGGGGGATGGGTGGGATAGGAGGGTACGGGGTAGTACGGGGGGATGTACTGTGGTGTAGATATCGGGAGAATCGGTCAGAGCAATGGGGACAGATACAGCAGTCAGGGGTACCTACCGTCTGGATCAGAACCAAGACATCAAGCTCATCGTCGCTTCGAAAACCCCTCCTTCCCATCCACCACCATCCGATCCCACAATATCAGTCCATCTACCAGCCCCCCTGAGCTCCTCACCCCCCTCCCCGTTTCCCATCAACGACAGCTCTCCTACAACACCCCCTCCCCTCTCCAGTCGCGGCGGCAAACCCATCCCAACCCCCCATCTACCAACCCTCACATACCCGCGCTCCTCGATCTCGACCCCCTCAAACGGGCCATATCAAGCTATAGAACCCCCTCCCCGCACCACCGGCACCACGGCTCCCCTCCGCGCTCAGCACTCGCATAACATCTGGCGTTTCGCCTGCAGGCGCGGGGATCGAGTCGTGCCTCTGCAGGTTCTGCATGCACGATATCTCCAGATGTGATGCTAATGCCCTGAAAGGGGTGGGTAACCTCCTGGCTGGTCGCTGCAGGACCGACCAGAGATGGGAGCGCCGACATGACGCGCAGGGAGCTTGGTCGCACTGTGGGTGTGCGATCCAGATGCTGCTTGTCGTCTTGATGGTGGTAGTGGTGGTGTCCTCGTATCCGCGCGTCGTGTGCGCGTCTGTCCCCCTCCATTCCATTCCCTATCTCCCATCCTCCAAGCTCAGCTCAGCTCAGCTCAGCTTCCTCCCAGCCATCGTCGTTGTCCACATCTAGAAGCCCCTGCATATCCCCATCCAATGTCCCATTTCCCGCGCCTGTCGCGCCTTTCCTGCCCCCATCAGCGGACCGTCTCGAGCCCTTCGAGACGGCTCGGGGTGGAGAGCGGTATCCCGGCTGGTGGTTCGGCGGTGATCGTGCAACGAGAGGACGAGAGGGGTTGGGGAGGGAAAGGTGGATGGAGTAGGTCCGGCGTCAGCTGAGTGGTGTGGTTGAGCGGGAGGCGTCTACGCGCGCTGATTCGTTGGGCGCTCGGGCCAGTTGGGGCCATGGAATTCTGCGATTTGCGGCTTTAGGGCTGTGATTCGTCGCCAGGGGGTGGATGGAAGGTGGAGAGGGTGGTGGGGGGATTGTGGTAGAGAGGGACCTGGGTGGAGGATGGGAAAGGTGATATTCGTGTAGTTCATATAGGATGATGCATCCCGAGGGTTTCGCTCGTTCTGGCCACTCTTGTCGTTCTCGGGATGGAAGGAACGGGTAAGGAGAGACAGGAGTGAGGGTCGGCGGGCGTTGGGATGAGAGATATCTGCCATTTGCTTGTAGCGCGCCTATCAGACCCTGGGGGTTCGTACGTAGAGTACAGTACTGTACCTCGGGGGCTACTTTCACGATGATACGGTATGGAGGGGCTGACTGTCTTGCGCGGATGTCAGAAGTCAGGAGGTAGGAGGCAGCTGGAGAGAGTGAGTGGTCTGCACTGGAGATTTCAGCTGCAGTGAGGAAATGACGGGTGCCTTCTTAAGCCTGGGATAGCCGATCAGTTCAACGAGAGACGGCAGTGGGGCGCATTAACTGCATCTCTTCGTAACTCTCTCTGTTCGGGGTTGAGTCGGGCGTCGCCGTTCGTCCTGGTGAGTGGCGGCGATGACGAGGCGGCCATGGTCTGCATTTCTCGCGCCTTGTCGGTTTGGGGTTGCGATGGCGGCCTTCCTCTGGGTCGGTGGCATGTGTCGGTGGCATGTAATATGCATCATGCGTGCGTGTGCGGCCTTTGTGCGGGTTTTGGGTGCGGCAGTGAGAGTGGAGGGCTGCTTGTGTGGGTGGTTGCTGCATGCATGCACAGCCCTGGAGTTGGGGATGGGAATAGAGATGGAGATGGAGTCGCCGGTTCCGGGTGGTTGTTTAGAGTGTTTAGTGGAGCGGTGATGGCCGTTGAAGGGAAGCGGGCGAGAGTACGGGCTCTGGTGTGATCTGTGGGTTGTAGTTCAGTGGATTGAAGAGACGCCGTCTTGCTAGTCTGAAGCTGTTTCCTTGGAAGAGTGCGGTGAGGGCGCCGTGAAGTGCGCAGTGAGTGCAGCAATGATGGTTAGGCAGTTATAATATGATGCGGTGTAGTAATAAACTATAGATGCTTTCAGACGCAGGCAGACTGCCCGTTCTCGGCGACGGCGACGGCGATGATGTTAGCCCACCAACCCAACGCACAACATGTACTTACCATCTCGCTGGTAAGTTGGTGTGTTGGTAGGTACCAACCCTGACCGTCATGCTCGTCGTCATGGAAGCCTTGGAAGTCCCAGGAAGCCCTGGAAGCCCTACCTTTCTAGTTATAGATTCCGCTAATCGACTTGTACCGATGCACTGGCATGCACTGACATGCACTGACGGTCTTTTCAGTATTTCTTGGGGTTTTGGTGGGTGTGGTGGTAGGCGTAGCTGGGTGTCGTCTTCGTTTCTGTTCGTGGGATATGCGTTGGGTGTGGCTTGGAACATTTCTCGGAAGTACCGAAAGTTCCTAAATGTACTACAATCGCCACTGTTTAGTGTTTTCTCGGTACTTCCGATACATGCTTGCGAACATACTTTGTACATGGGTCCAAGGCCCATGGACCCTTTTCACTTTTCCCCCCCTTCCCTGTCAACTGGAGGCAGGTTCCCACTTCCGAGTCTCTGCCCTCCCACTTCCACTCTTTCTGACCACACAACAACCCAATTCAACCGCCTCTTACTCCCTTTGGCCGCCTCTCCCCCCCCCTCCCTTCCTTCTCAGCTAGATACAGATCCGTTCTGTATGTATTTGAAGTATTCCTGGTATAGCATGTACCTGATGCTCTATAGTCGGTCCCTGTATATGCCATGTATACCTTGCATGTCTTCCTTGTCTTTTCATGTATGCCATATGCAACGTATGCCATCTATAGAAATCCATACCGAGAAGCGGAGTGAAAGTATGACTGTGTGCGAGCCGATGTGAGCGCTGACCCTCCTCCTCCTACTGCACACTACTTCCGGTCGTGCAGTAGTCGCCAGCCAAACTCTTTCTCCCTTTCTCTCTTTCGCCCTTCTCTTCTTTCACTCACTCCCTCTTCATCCTCTCCTCTTCCTCCTCCTCTTCCCCCTCCTACCTCTCTACCTCACTCTTCTTCTGGTCACCTCTCTCTTCCCCTCTCGGCCACCTTCCCGTCCTCCTTCGCCTCTCTTTGAAATACTCCGCCTTCTCCCTCCCTCTTTTTCCTGTCTTCATTGGTGTGCTCGTCATAAACGCCCGCTTTCCTCAGCTCCCATCGTCGTCCAACATCGTCCAACGTCGCTGTGCGGTTTGGCCCAACTAATTCCCAACGATCCGGAGAGTCCGCCACACTGCCTCGCCCTCCCTCTTCGTATATCTTGGCCTCACTGTCTTAATACCGTCCCACACCCCACCGACAAGATCCTGGTTCCCCCCTCAACAGAAACTCAAAACGTTATTCCCGCCAAGCCTCATCGTCACTGTCTCAGATGCCTCCTCAGCTCCTACCCGCTTCGGCGGCTGCCTTTGCGCCGCGAGCCTCATCAGTCAATGTAGTTTTAGGATCGAAAGTAGAGCCGTGGTTAACACAAACCCTCAAGAGGATAAACCGGATCAAGCGCCCGCTCAACAGCGTCCCTCAGCACCAGAGATGTTTAACGGAAACACTGTCGTCGACAAATGCGATATGGACTCTGACCTCAATCATGTTGCCCAAGGCGCCGGACTCGGAGTTGCGCAAGGACTCTAACCCGTTGATAGAAGCACTCTTCAACTTCCAGCTCGTCCATATCGAGGCCTACATCGTGCACGTCGACATGGTGCTCCGGAATGAGGTCGCATTCAAGTTAACACCTGACTCGATAGAGGCCCTGATCGAGTACCACAAGGAAATCCACTGCGTCGACATCGCCGCCAGCACGTACAACTGGTTAGAAAAGGAACTTCAGGTCAAGAAGCTGCACGAGGAATTCATCCAGGCCATCAACAAGTTCGTATATAGGACGAATGTGATTGCGCTGGAAGGTCTGGAAGAGGAAGGTGCCGGCGAGCTGTTGTGCGGAAAGAGCGAAGAGGTCAAGAACAACATCATGAACTTGTTCCTTCCGCTCCTTCCTCCCCCACCAAGGGTCGTGGACGTCATCAGGCCTCAGACGCTCCTTCCAAGTTCGGTGTCTGGAGGTGGCTGGTGGACACAGTCGCAGCCGATGCTGCAAAACCCGGTGCCCGCGCCATCGGATGTCTGGAGGATGCTCCCATCAAGCCCAAGCACAACCTCATCCGTCGACAGCAATACGCTGTGGGCGAGCATGAGCATGGGAGATAACTTCCAGCTGCCGTCGCCCGCGCCTTCCTTCAGCCAGCCCTACACGACGACGTCAGGGATGTACTTTCCTCAACCGCCCGTCAGCTCGCCCATCCCGCATCTGCCGTTACCAAGCATGCTTGCGCCGCAACCCTGTGGTGTCAGCGTTGGCTTCAATAGCTTCGGAAACGGATGGGATCGATACCAGGAGTACGCCATGTCGATGTGACAACCAAAGCCCGAGATGTACGCGAACGCACATGCTACCCCTTCGCCGGGTCACTACTACTATTAGTTAGCAGAACAGTTGCAAACCGGGCACCCACGAGATTCACGACAGTCGAACGAGCTTTAGCGGCATTTTTGTTATTGATATACGAACAACCGGGCAGCATTTTTTAAACTTCTTTCTACGTTGCGAAAGCGGACTACAGCACACCACTCAGCAAACGACAGACCATCTTTTACAAACATACCTAATAACCTTTGTTTTCTTCTCTCACTTTTCTTTTAACAATCTCGGCCATATTTAGCGCAGCGGGTTTATATTTCTCGGATTTCGGCGTTAGAGCAGCGACCACAGCTGCGTCCTTTCCCCGTCTGAGGAGTTCCTTCAAACACAACAACCGCGAGCTCGGCCTCACCACTATACTTCCCTTGGACCATTCATCACATGCATCTACCGGCAGGACACTGGGAGGATTGTTATTCTCGTCGATTGTTATTTGCTTATTTTTTTATGGGTTTGTTTTTTTTGGATATCATGTCAAAGCGATGCATTATAAGAGAGGAGGTACAACGCAGCAATGCGCAGGAACAACATTTTTTTTACTACAACTATGGCCGGAACAACAGTACACGTTTCTGGGAAACAGACTTTCATTTCTTCTTCTGGCTTCCCACCTGGCTTCTCGTTCGCGATAACGACTCGCTCCAGACTCCCCGGACCGCGAATGAGCATAGACTCATACGACCCGGCCTGTCTTTCGCACAAACATACACACGCAAAGGGAGGGATCCCCAATAACCGACAAAACAAAAAGGTAGAGATCGACCACCGCGCCGCCCCGCGATGCACAAGCCCACGGCCCCTGTCCCTGTCCCAGTTCTCCAGCAGAAGGGATATACAGCCCCGTGGCGCGTTGCGGGTAGCGGCGCGAATCGATTCCTGCGATGGTATCCACGCGACCTCCTCCCTCTCCCACCGCATCCAGCGCCGCTCGCTCTATTCTGCGTGCAGATAGACGGGCCGCAATGGGTGCGGGAGAGAGGGAGGAAAAAAGGACGCGTGGTTGCTGGTAGCCTGGTGCTGCTTGGACTATCGGACCTACCTTATCCCCCCTGGCTTTGTGGTACTGTACCTATCTACCCCCCTTCCTCGCGCGGAGATCTCACGTCTGCTTTGCATGGCATCGTTCTCTCGGGGCTCTTCCGCGCGATGTGCAGAGGGATGATTGGGGAGTGCGAGATGGAGCGAAACGGAACGGAATGAAACGGGATTAAACGGAACAGAAAGAGCATCGGACGCTGGTCGTCGCCGGGAAGCCCCTGGGACGCGGCGCTTGCGCCGCGGGTTTTCCGTGGATGCGCGGGGATGTTTTGAGGTTATTTTATGGCTCGCTGCTGTGCAGCGGGGAGGATCACTGGGTGGTTTTAGGAGGGTGGAAATGATGCCTGGGTGGTTGGATGGCCTGCGGCTACTGGGGGATGCGCAGGGTAGTTCGTAGGAGGAGGATGTGCAGGTGGATGTAGGTAGTGGTATTGGTATTGATAATTCAATTGAGAAACCCTTCAAATATGACACTTGGCATACAGTATGTTTGTGATACGAGCGATTTGATTCAAATATGCCGTGTCTATCTGATAGGAAACGTGCGCGATGTTAAAAGTATAACCTCATCTTCTACTTACCTAAGCAATATATAAATAGATATCGACCCCACCTCCCCGCGTCCCTAGACTGTCTGTGTTGCACAAGGCTGCCCGCGATGAGGGGCATGGGGGGGCCAACAACAAGGCTATGTCGCAGGTAGGGCATAGACGAGGCTACATAAGTCTTGGATCCAAAAGACCACATAAATACGCGCAACCTCCGTGACCTCAAATATTTAAACTTCCCCCTTCCTCCCATCCCCATCACCCAAGCCCCCAACCATGTCCGAACTCCCAGGCTACTCGCCCTACGGCGTGCCCCCCCCCGCCGCCTCCTCCACCAGCTCCCTCGCACCCTCCACCTCCGCCTCCGCCTCCACCGCCCCCGTCCCCCCCTCAACAGACCCCCCCACCTACCTCCCCCAACCCATCCTCCGCACCACCCGCCACAACCTCGCCGGCCCCATCCAAACCGTCTCCCTCTCCGACAAGCAACACGACTACTTCCTCGCCACCCGCACGTCGCCCACGACCTACACCCTCTCCCTCACCTCCGACCCCACCCCCCTCTACCGCATCGAAATCTCGCCCTCCCCCGCCTCCGACCCCGCCATCCAGCTCTTCGACTTCCATGACCCCTTCCCCCTCGCCGCAGCTCGCATGCCCCCCTTCGTCACCACCTTCGCCTCGGTATGCACGCGGGAACCCGCCGGCGCCGGCGCAGTCTGGCACCGGATGACGGACTCGCACGGGGTGCTGGCGGTGGAAATCGTGCCGGGGCTGCCGGTCGTGAATCGCGACGTGGTGTGGAGCACTCCGCGGCTGACGACGGGGCTGACGTGCACGCTGCTCGGGTCGCTGTTTGGATGGGATGGGGATGGCGTGACGTTGGCGAGGTATGGGATGACGGGGCCGGGGTTTAGGGCGGATATGGTGTTTGATATTCTTAGGGGCGGGGGGATCGAGTTTGAGTTGGGGATTGTGATGCAGGTTTTTGTGAAGTTGGAGGCGGATAGAAGGAAGCTTGAGAAGAAGGGGAAGGGGAAGGGGAAGAAGGGGATGTAGACGCGTGGGTATGCTGCTTGTCACGCGGATGTTGGAAGAGGGACTGTATACCCCGTAGAGCAGTAGCTGAGGCTTTCATAAATGCGGGCGCTTTCGCGGGCCATCTTCTTTTCCCTCTTAATTATCTGGGCTTCCGTCTCGTAAGTAAAGTACAAATACAGGTCGAACTATAAATACATCCATCCTTTTCCCCCATCACTACCCCCTCCCCCCCATACGCCACGCAAAATCACACCCCAAACGCCCATACTGACCCCCCACCTCCACCCATAGACTACCCCTTCATCCTCCCCAAAAACCCATCCAGACTAAACTCCTCCTCATACAGCCCCTCCTCCCACAACTCCCCAATCTCATCCAGATACCCCTTCTTCCCCTTCTCCCTAACCTCACCCGTCGCATCCACCGCATCCTCTTCGCCTTCCTTTGCCGCGGCCCCCGCGGCGTTTGGAGGCACGAGCCCAGGCACCTCATCTGAGAGCTGGAAGAGGTCGAGGATCTGATCTGTTTCCATAGTAGCAAGGCCGGCGTTCTGCTGATTGACGACCGTAGAGGCGACGTCGATTTTGAAGCGTTGGAGACTGCAGACGAGATGTTAGTTTTCTGATTTCACTGGGGGTATTATTAAGGGGTACATACGACATAATCTTCTCCTCAAGCGTCCCACGCGTAATCAATCGATACACATTAACCACCTTCTTCTGCCCAATTCTATGCGCGCGATCCATAGCCTGCAAATCCTTCTGCGGATTCCAATCATGCTCCACGAAGATAACTGTATCAGCACCGGTCAAATTCAGACCCAAGCCACCAACCGACGTCGTCAGGAGGAGCACATCGATAGATGGATCGCTGTTGAACTTGTTCACGATATCCTGGCGCTTGTTGGCCTCCACCCCACCGTCAAGACGGAGTGATGTCACCCCCGGAAGCATCTTCCGCAGCACCTCGCTTTGCACCATCTCAAGCATCTCCTTCATCTGACAGAAGATCAGCGCGCGATGCGGCGACACAGCCGCGGTACCAGCCAGTTCCCCTGGAGCGGGTTCGCGTCCAATACCGCAGTCGACAAGAAGATCGCGGAGGGCCGTGAGCTTAGGCGCATGCACAGGATCCGAGAGCGAAGTATTATTCTTAGCGAGGTAAGCCTGCGTCTCTGCATACTGCTTATGTCCCTCCTTCATAACAAGCGCCGGCGAATTGCACAGCTTGCGCATATATTGCAAGGCCTGGAAAATATGCTGTTTCGAGTCCTTATCGCCCGCCGACGCCTTCTCCGCGAGCGTCTTCCCGTTCTTCTTGGTGAAGTCTTCGAAGAGCTTCTTTTGCAGGGGAGAGAGGTCGCAGTAGTAGTTCTGTAGGATCTTGGGGGGGAGGTCGTCGAGGACTTCTTCCTTGAGGCGGCGCAGGAGGAAGGGCAGGACTTGTTTGTGTAGCGCTTCGATGGCGAGGGCGCCGGCTTCTTGCTCTTTGGAAGAGGGCTTGCCAAAGCGGGATGCGGCGATGGGTTTGGCAAAGCGGTCGAGGAAGACTTTTTCGGCGCCGAGGAAGCCGGGCATGAGGAAGTCGAAGAGCGACCATAGCTCCAACACGTTGTTCTGGATGGGCGTACCGGAGAGAATAAGTCGGTGGTTGGACAGCAGGCGCTTGACTGCGATGGTGACCTTGGCGCGCGGGTTCTTGATCAAGTGGCCCTCGTCCAGGACGAGGTAGTTCCAGTTGATGGGCGCGAGCACTTCGGCGTCGTTACGGCAGATATCGTACGAGGTGATAACCACATCCGTCTTGTCAAGCTGATCGCGGACCTTGCTGCGCTCATTGGGTGGGCCAACGTATGCCGTGCATGTCAAGAATGGTGCGTACGTCCTAATCTCTTGCTGCCAATGACCAGAGAGTGTTGGCGGGCAGACAATAAGCGTAGGCATCTTGCGAAGCTCCAAAGCACCCGTCTTCTTGAATTCCTCCGCACGTAGATGATGGTCACTAGCCACCATACACAACGTCTGGAGCGTCTTTCCGAGACCCATGTCGTCGCAAAGAATGCCGTGCAGATGGTACTTGTTGAGGAAGTTGAGCCAGTTAACACCCTCCTGCTGGTAAGAGCGGAGTTCGGCCTTGATAGCGACCGGGATAACGAAAGGCTCGACCTTGTGCGGATCGAGGAGCTGTGCGATGAATGTACGCTCGCGATCGCGGCCCTTGAGGAGTTCCTCTGACAATCCTGGGGGATCGGGGATACCGGCTTCGAGAGGTACGAGCTTGACGAGCGTGGCGAACGTGGTGGTTGCGATCAGACGGACGTCATTGTCAGAGTCGCTCATGCGACCCAGAACAGGCACGATGAGGAAAATAACGTATGGTAGGATATTATCACCCATGACGTGAATGAGATGGTAAATGCACTCCGTAGCACCCTGTCTGAAGTTCAGGTCCAGAGGATTGCTGATCGAGGGCAATACCTTCTCAACCAACATCGTCATGGCATCAACAGTGATGACACTGCAAACCGTAGCAAGGCACTTGGCAGCCATATATCTGAAAACAGACAGCTCGGAATGGAGCGCCTTAACAACCAAAGGAAGCAGACCCATAACGAATGGATGAAGATCCTTGTGCAACGTCGGCGTCAGAGCGCGCAGAACCGACATCCCATCAATGACGTCTTGGCCCAGCGGCTTCTCGGGATCCTTCGCCTCCTCAGGCAAATCGCCCACGAAGACTTGCGTCAGGGCATCATTCATAACGCCCTTCAGCGTTGGAACTTGCTCCAGTAGATCAGCGCCAAAGATATCAGACAGTTGCTCCAGGGCCTCCTTGGCACCGCGACGCATAATACGCGCCTCCTTCGCCTCACGCGCGAACTTGGCTGCATCGACGTGGTCCTTTCTATCCTCCTCTTTACGCAGGGACAAGATTGCAGTGCGCAGCTCTGCGTTGGGAGTGAACTCGGGCGTCTCGGCTGTGTCAATACAGCAGTACTTGGCGAGGTTGGAGACGATCTTGTCAGCTGGTCCGCGACGGCCCGACAGAGCGAATAGCTGGACGAGCTGCGCAACGGACAGTGCAGAGCGGCGCTGCAACTCGAGGTTATCCTCCTTCTTGATGCTATCCATGAGAGCCTTAATCGTATTAGACGGCTTCTTCGGCGCCGCGCCCATCGACACCAGCGCACCAGCAGCCGCAGACTTGACGCGAATATCGCGATGCAGCTTCATCGCCTTCGCGTTCTCAATAGCCGTCACAGCGTTCTCCCTCGCCTCATTAAGAGCATCCTTAGCGATCAACTTCTGCGCTCCCGAAAGCGACTTCTTCAGCCTCTCGAAATCTTCATTGACGCACTTATCCGCGTTGATGATGGAGAAAGCATCTGGACCCGCCTCGGCCTCGCCCTGGCACACCACGGCGAGCGTGGGGAGTCTGCTTTGAGATGCTTTGCCAATGTCGCGGAATGTGTTGAGTAGTGCGGCGCATTGCGCGCGGACGAGCTGGATGAAGCTGACGAGATCGCGGTAGTGGGCGGGTCTGTCGCTTTCGGTGATTGTCTGGAGGGGCTCCTTGAAGCGGGACACGGTGTCTTTGGATTCGGAGTTCTTGGCGTACTCGTCTATGATTGCCGCGGATGCGAGTTGCGTTGATGCGAACGAGGACGAGAGACCTTGCAGGATTGCGGTGTCATAGACGCCTAAGTCACTGACAGGGAGGAGAGACAGTAGGAGACCCATTGCCTTGGCTGCCGAGATTCTCGAACGGATCAAGATATCCATGCCGACGAGATCGACATCACCTTGCATCATGTGGCCGTCCACGTCGTGAGATGACGAAGGAGCTGCCTCAACTTGCTTTGCGGACTTTCTGCGGCGCTTAGCAGAGGGCTCTTGAGTGGCTGAAGTAGGCGATAGTTGGCGTGCGAGGTGAGCTGGCATGCTGTAGCTCGATCCTGAAGGGCGCATAAACAACGTCGGGTTCATTGGGAGAGGATGCCTCGAGACGCCGATGGGATGGAGCGATAGCTGCAATAGGGGCTCGACATGTGGAGCGAACTCGGCGGCGAGGGCGGACACATCTTGTTTCGACATGTACGTGACTAGTGCCGTCCATACCTGTAGAGAGAGTCGGAGAGTATCTTCGTTGCGCTCGACTAGGATATTTTGGTAGACAAGACGAAGGGTACGGCCGTTGAGCCACCCGCGTGTGCCTTCGCCCTCGATATGGACAAAGGTGAGCAAGGCCCTGAGAACAGCCGAGCGAACCGATGTAATGGTGTGTCGCAGGAACGGGTAGAGTCTAGGCACAAGCTCGGCGAACGACTGATCCGGATCTTCCAAGGCATTGACCTTCATCGCCTCCAAGACCTCGGGGTAACTGCAAAGCTTGGCCAAAAGATCCATGATCTGGCCCGTGCTAGCGCTCAGATCATCTCCCAAGTCCATCAAACACATCCAAACGATCTCGATTAAATCCTTCAGTTTCTCGGGGCGGAGGTTGACGAAATCCTGCGCGATTGGGATGAGGGTTGCCGCGCTAACGGATCGTACATCATCGTCGGCATCGCCGAGGCCTTTCATAACAGCTCGGATGACTCCGTCGATGAGGCCTCCGTCTTTGAGGAGAAGGTCGTTGCGGACTGCGACGAGGTAACGGAGTCCAATCATACCGCCGTGGCAGACAGCCCAGGCAGGGCGGTCCAGTCCGAGCTCATCCTGCATCACCATCTGTAGAAGGATGCGGAATACAGCGTAAACACTCAACGACGGGAGATGCGAGAGGAGCGCACCGAGAGTCTGGCCGATCGACTCGCGAATGGGCGCCACAACATTGTCCGACACGTAATCTCCGAATCTGTCGAGCGTGAGCACGCAGCAAAGTCTGCACGCCAAATCGTCAAGCCATTGCCTGTTAAGACGGTCGTTTTCAGTCCGAGACTTGCCACGAGCGCGGCCAGCGCCGTGTCCGTGGACGCGGATGATTTCACGGAGACCAAGAGATGCTCCGTGTCGAACCTCCCAACAGGAGTCGAATAGGTTGACCATGAGAAGTTCGCACAGTCTCTCGAAAGGCCATTCTGCACCTGCAGACTCTTCGTCCTCTTGGATCTCGGATTTGACTGGGACGATCGGGCCCTTGAACTCTGAGACGACCTTGGTGTCTTCCTCCACCTCGGCAGGTCTGTCGAGCGAGAAGTAGTCCTTGACTTTGCCGTTCGACTCTTCCTCCCCGGTGGATTCGTCTGGCATGGCGGCATCTTCAGTGGAAATGCTAGGCTTCTTTCCCGACAGATCCACGAGACGGTTCTTGCTCCCCGCCTGGAGGGCCTCACGCTTGCGCTTTCGCTTCAGCACATTAAGCTGGCGTGCGCTGAGACCACTATCGCCATTGGCTGCAGAAGTAGTCTCGGAGCACTTAGAATCTTCATGTGACCCTGAATTTCCGTTGGTCTGGTCACTGGGTGGGGGAGAGACGGTAGTTGGGACGGGAATGATGTCGATGTCCATACAGAGGTCATCCTCATGGAATTTACCTCTCAGACCAAGCCGAGTTGGCAGAGTCTTTTTCTTGTGGGCCAGGCGTTCCGAGGGATCCAGACGCGCCAGAGCAAACTCGTACCCTCTGCCTGTTCCTCGAGCGAGCTCCTTGCCATATTTCAGCACTTGAGAAATGTCAAGGTTCTCGAGGGCCAAGCGGAATCCGTCAACATTCGCGAGACTGTTCTCGCTCTTATCCTCGGTTTTTACGAGGGATGAGGACTCGTCCTCGATGATCATAGATTCATCCTTGGCCTCATCCTCGTTAGGGTCATACTTCTCGGCATTTTCAACGATGCCACCTAGAGCTTTGGCAGCTGCGACTCGGGTCTCCCATGTCCTGTGGTGCAGGTATGGGACGACCCTTGACAATAAGCTGAATAGGTCATCGGGGTGAGCCTTTTGAACATCTGCGAGCTGCTGGGCTGCAGTGTTTCTGATTAATGGGGTGCTTCCTGTTTCCAGTAGCCTACATATTATTAGTATACACAGAGGAAAGTGCGGATCGCCTTCATCAGCGACTGAGTGAACTTACGTGACCAATCGATCCAATCTATAGATATTATTAGTATATGAGACTTGGGTGGCGGGACGATGAAACTCACCTTGACGCCATTTTTAGGTCAACGCCTCAGGTCGACTCCGGCCTTGCGGTCAGAGAGGGCCTGCAGTATTTCTTTGGAAGAGAGAAGCCTCTTTACAATAATTGCGCCATTTAATATTCTTTTGGTGATGAAGTTGATGAAGTTGATGAAGTTGATGAAGATTGTGCTTAAAGTAGTAGCCTTAAGTGAGACTGGATGGGAGCGCACGTGATCAGCAGGGTTCTTTGATCGAGCCTTCTTAGATAGAATAGGTAGAATAGTGTACGTGTCGAATAGGCGGAAGAGCTTGCAAATACCCTTTTTATTATTGAGTGCGAAGGGTAGTATTAATATAATATCGTAAGTATCTCCAATTAATGGGTAGGTGTTAGTGGCGTGAGTGGTGTGTGTTGTGTGATAAGAAGGAAGGAAGGAATGAGATCGTATCACGTGTTACTTATACACGTGATTTGTCTGTGTGTCCCTTTTTTCGCCGTTCGCTTCGTTGAAAATTGGCGGGCGGTCGGCGGGATTAAAGGGATCTCCTACCATGATTATATACCTGATCACCCGCAGATTTCGCAAATTTCACCTGCGTGCTCGCTTATTTAGCGTGCAGCCACACCCCTGTCGTCACAGCCGCCTCAACTGTTTTTTTTTGGTAGAGAGACAAGTCTGATCAGTGACTTTCTTACACGCGATTATACGCGTTTGAGGGCGTGAGGAGGTGTTCATAGGCGTAAATACGCGATCAACCGCGATCATACGAGCAACATCTACTGAGTGATTAGGGGAAGTTAACATCACTCTGCTTATTATCGCTTTGAGGATATACGGCACAGCAATTATGAATGGAATATGGGTCCTTAATACTACTCTTCTTGATGACCTAGCGTTGGATGTTATTCCGAATTAGCCGTCTATCTATCTGCCTTGTCTACCTGCCAGCCTCTGTTTGCGTATGTATGTTTGTATGTATTTAATACTCACGATAGTATCTATCACATCGCGACTGCTCGATGAGAGACACAACCGTGCATGCAGCAACTCACTGTACTCACTTATTGTACTCACTCACTGTACTCACTCACTGTAGTTTAACCTTCTGAGTCAGGAGGGACAAAGTCCAGGAGCCACAAAGCCAGGAGGAGCGACCATCCTCAAAATTTCCCCATAAACACGCGTCGCAATGTTGTTTGTCTGCAATGTGCAATGTATTCGCAAGCCCCCAAAGACACATATATGATATTCTATTTACAGACGAACACCCACCCACCCCCTGCGGGTAAAGTTTTGGCCAACACGGCAAACAAACCTAGAATAACGAAATTTGGATATTCTGATTATTCTCATTGGTCGCCTCTGACGATGGGGTCGATGGGAAGGAGCTGGGGTGGCAGAACCCTTCACCGCCCAACCTTACTGGTGATAGGCCGCAGCATCCCTCGCACGGCCATCCAAGGCAGTCAACGAACATGGGTGAGAACAACACCAAGCTTCTGTTCGAAACTCAGCCTCCAATCCCTCCCAGAGCATTCAATTCATTCATAAATACTCTCTTCTTTCCCCCGTTGTGTATATAAGGCGTAGCCACGCATGGTTGTTGGATCATACCACCTCCCCACGAACCCAGCGACACTCAATGCGGTGACCTGAGCCTACAGTTGTCCTTACCTAGCGCTGCACCCACGATCCGATTTACCTCGACCCCGACAACATGTCATACACCCCTTCGATACCTATGGCCGCTGGGGCAAGACCAGCCCCATATGGAGCTCACCCACCACACGCGCCGGCCATTCCCCAGGGGACCTTCTCTCCGGGCACCAAGATCACTGTGGGGGGCCACAAGGTCGTCATCCAGAAATACTTCTCCGAAGGTGGCTTCGCCCATGTCTACCTAGTCAAGATGCCGGAGCCAAAGGATGGCACCGATATTGCGGTCCTCAAACGCGTTGCCGTGCCCGACAAGGACTCCCTGGGGAACATGCGGACGGAGGTTGAGACGATGAAGAAGCTCAAGGGTCACCGCCCCATTGTCAAATACTACGACTCACACGCCTCGCAGCTCAAGGGCGGCGGATACGAAGTCTTCCTGCTGATGGAGTTCTGCAGCGGCGGAGGGCTGATCGATTTCATGAATACACGACTACAGAATCGACTTACGGAGCCGGAGATATTGAAGATATTCTCGGACGTTACGGAGGGCGTGGCCTGCATGCATTACCTCAAGCCGCCGCTACTGCATCGCGATCTCAAGGTTGAGAATGTTCTCATAACGAAAACCTCGAGCGGGGAAAGACGATACAAGCTCTGCGACTTCGGCTCTACTGCGCCGCCGAGGGCGGCTGCGACAACGGCCGCCGAATGCCGACTTATCGAAGAAGATGTACAGAAGCATACCACTTTACAGTATAGAAGTCCGGAGATGGTTGATGTATATCGAAAACTACCCATTGACGAGAAGTCCGATATTTGGGCTCTTGGCGTGTTATTATATAAGCTGTGCTACTACACTACTCCTTTCGAAGAGAAAGGGCAACTTTCAATTCTTAATGCTAGCTTCAAGTTCCCTGCGTTCCCTGTATTTTCAGACAGGCTAAAGTTAATGATTGGTAAGTCTTATTGCATAAGTTATATCTGGAGATGCTAACAAAGTATAGCGACAATGCTCCGTGAGAACCCAGATGAGAGGCCGAATGTATATCAGGTACTCCGCGAAGCATGCCATTTGCAAGGTATCGAAGTACCAATTAAAAATGTGAGATATACTATCAATTCTCGAGACCACTACTAACCTATGCAGATATACGCTGGGGGAAACGACTTACATACGAAACGAAACCAGTCATTACCCAACCCCCGCACACATGTGTCTCCTGCCGTAGGCGCTGCCTTCGCACCACCAACCCAGCAAAAGGCTGCGATTCCAGATGTAATACCCATGCGACGAGGCCGGCCAACGACGACACCCCAGGCCCCAGGTCCAAAGCCAACGCCGTCTCCTATGCGCGTGACGAGCGGCGACCCATTTGCTGCTTTGGACTCAAAGTCTGCTCCTCCGACCGACGAGCTTTCCTCGAAGTTCCCCAGCATAGACCAATTCTCTCTTTTGCATGAGAAGGGCTCCAAGTTCGAATTTGATAGCACTTCGCCAACGACGGCCTCAAAACCGAAGGACTTGAACCAGAGAGTGACGGAGAAGCTAGCTGATAATGCGTTTGCCGCTTCTGCGCCACGCACTGGGACAGGGCCATCGTCTCAAGTCAGGCCATCGACCAGCTCGATGAGCAAAGCGCAACAGATCATATTCAACACGCCTGAATTACAGGCAACTATATCCCCGCCGTCAGAGGAAAAGGTGCCAACCACGTACAAACCCAAGTCGTCATACGTGTCAGAAGGCACCATGACATCCCCCAACCTGCCCGCAACAGATTTCCAACCGAAACAGCAATATAAACCTGCGCCTATACACCGTTTCCCTCCAGCCGATCAACATAGATCAGTGAGCCTCCCACGCAACCGTACTTCTATGGAGTTGGAGACACCCAATAGAGGACTCCTATCAGAGTCTCCCCAACCAACAGCAGCGTCGAGAAGCCGGTCTTCTCAACTAAAGGCTGCCGAGGACAAGCGCCCCGTCTCTTCCAGGCCTTCCCTCGAAACAGTTCGCACCAGCAACGATGACCTCGAGCCAGTCCCGAGAAATCTCCCCAAAGATACCCGTCCTCGACCATCCAGCGCATACCTAGAATCTCACATGGAATTCCTCCGTGACCGTGAACAATCCCAACCCAAGACGAACTTCCTCGGCAAAGCGCTTCCCAATTCCAAAACCCTGGACGCGCCCCCACCACGCACCTCCCCCCCCGAGCCCGCCTCCCCGGCCGACGAACCCAACATCGCGTCCAACGTCGAATTCCTCCGCCAAATGGAAGACCAAGACTCCTCCTCGCGCGGCCACAAATCCCGCAGCAGCATCTCCAGCAACAAACCCAAGCGCGCCTCCCTCCCCTCCATGACCCTCGCCGGCACCAAGAACCTCTTCGCCGGCAAGTTCGGCGACGCATTCAAGCGCTTCGAGAGCAACGCCTCCGCCCCCCCTCGCTCCCCATCCCCCGACCACGACCTCGACGCCCGCTTCCTCACCCCCATCGCCGGCTCCGAAGCCACAGACGACCGTAGCGACGACGGCCGTCCCGACGACGCCGCCCTGTCGGGCGAACAGCGCCGCGAAGCAGAGCGTCTCCGTCTCGCTGCCGAGGAACGCCGCGTCGAACAAGCAGCTGCGGAGTACCGCCAGCGCGTCGCCCACCGCGACCCCTCTGCCACGGGTCCCCCGCCCCGCAGCATCGGCGGCGTGACCCGTGCCGCCACGATCCAGAATAAGGTGAAGACCCTGCTCGATGAGAATGCGCGCCCTGAACCGGCCCGCACGGCACATGGGTATGGGCATTTTACTGATGATGACGCGGCGCAGCAGGGCGAGGCGTCTTCATCTTCATCATCTGCGCAGCTTGAGCGTGAGCGTGAGCGCGAGCGCGAGAGGCCTGGTGCGTCGCAGCAGCAGCAGCAACAGCCGATTGCGCGCAGGCCTGTAGGCAGCGCTGCGCCGGCGCCGAGGCCGAAACCGGTGCATTTGCATACCGGGGGGAGTGGGAGGGGTGGGTATGCGGCGCCCTCGGAGGAGAGGGGCGCGCCGCTACCGTCGGGGGGAAGGGGGGAGATGAAGGTTGATATGAGTCAGAGGGAGAAGGATGAGTATATTAGGGATTTTAGTCGGAGGTATCCCAGTTTGAGTGGGATTGAGATGGTGGAGACGGTTGTGGGGGAGGGGGGGAGGAGTAGGGAGGTTTAGATGGGTGGATGTGTGTGGTAGACATGCCTAGATGGTTAGTTGTTGGGTGTTGGTAGGGTAGATGGGTTATGGTAACGAATAGATGCTACCACTGATTATCCCATGTATGGATTTTACTTCTTGGGAGTGCTTCTGCGCGATTGATATATGTCTCGTAGTACTGTACGTGGCTAAGTGATGATAAAAAAGAGCGAGGCGCAGGTTCTGTTCCTTAGAGCAGAACTGCAGGCAGCCAAGGACAATTTCAGGTGAAAGAGAATAAAGTCATCAGGCGACATGATGTGGCCTATGTACTCTCAACATTTGATTCTGATTTTCTGGTACGGGCGGGGTAATCGTCGAGCTTACGTCTCAACCCCCTTATTCTCACCACCACCTCTCACTCTCACCACCACCGCCCTCCTCTCGTCACCACTTCGACCCCACCCCACCACCGCCCCATCATCCCCCCGATACTGTAGCACTCTGTTGTCACTACTAGGGACAGCAATATCATCGTCGTCGTCTTCGATCTCATCATCGGTGGGTTCTGCAGGCTCGTCGTCTGCAAAGGAGTCGCTGACCTTCGACTCGGGCTTCTGGCTCTCTGGAGCTCTTGCTCTGCCGCTCCAGCAAGGTGTATGATGGGGAGAGGCGGAGGTGGCCGTGAGAGTGAGGGCGGTGGCGGGTATAGACCGGGTGGGGGGGGGTTATGCTCGACGATTACCCCTGCCCAACGACCAGGTCCAGCACCCACTCCGGCCCCAGCTCTTTTTAGTTCTTTGCTCTGGTCTGGTTAAACAAGCTCGCCCGCTGTTGAGGTAAATGTAGACTCGGGGTTGTTCGGGAAGCTCAAGATTTGTCTTAGAGGCTGCATGGTAAAATATGGCAGTAGATGCAAAGCGGGGGGTGGATAAGGGAATATCGAGTGAGACTGGATTTGTCCTTGTTGCTGTGGGAGAAGTCATCATGCTGCGGAAAATGGATAGGGGCTAATAGACGCATCAATGTTTTGTAGTCGATATTCCCAGAATCGCTGTCGTCAATCAAGGTGGACGTTGAAGCAGGGCTGGAGTCTGGGCAAGGGACTCAGGGGTAAAAAACAGCTGAATAAAAACTTGATTTTCTCACGCTCATCCACAAGGCCATACGTACATATAACATAGAGTACAGTAAACTAGCCAATTACCACCACAACGACATCGGAACTATCAAATTCGCTAACCTCCTCGCAAAAGAACTATATTAAACAGAATCTACAACACTACAAGCCCTGCAACCGAAACAACCACAGCAGTCATCCAGGCAGCAATTCCCCATCCCCCGAACATATGCACCGAGTTCGCCGCGCTCTTATCGCTGCTGGTGTCGGTTCCACTACCAGAGCCTCCAGTAGAAGTTCCCGCCGGCGCGGCGTTCGTAGCGGAAGCAATAATGCTCTCACACGACGACGCTGGGGTAGGGCTCGCCACCACCGACGCGCTACCGCCGAAATCGCAAGCATCGGCCTTGCTGTTCTGCTCAAGGTAGTAGGCGTTAAAAGCGTTGGAAAGCTTGTCGTGATCGCTGCAGCCCAGATACGCGCCGTATGCGCCACTGGCAGTATCGGCCACGAAACCAGAGCAAGCGCTAGCGGAGAGACCACACACGGTGTTGAAGAGCTTGGCGAGGTCGTCCAGGGGGAGGTTGGGCTTGGCAACGCACTTCAGGGAGGAAGTCATGCAGTTGCACACCGCGGCGTTGGGGGTGGGCGGGAGGCCGGTGGCGGCGACTTTCCACTGGTCGTTGACGGTTGGGCAGGCCTCTCCGGCGGTGTTGGTGGGGGAGTAGCTTGCTGAGTTGACCGAGGAGGGGGAGACGGCGTGGATCTTGGTGGAGAAGTTGTCGTAGTCCTTTAGTTTCGAGACGGTGTTTCCGGTGAGGGTGACGAGACCGTAGTCGTTCACCTCCTGGAAATACTCGTAGACGATTCCTCCCGAGAAGACCTTGGACATATCCGTCCCGTAAAGCGCAGCGACCTCGCTGAAGTCGCGCGACCCGGAGCCGCTGGCAGTGCCCTCGTTGCAGCCGTACTCGGCGAAGAAGACGGGGACGTTGTAGGACGCGAAGGTCTCGGTGTGGTTCTGGTATCCTGAGGTCACGTAGTTGGACGGGTCGCACCAGGAGTAGATATTGTAGCCCCAGAAGTCGATGGTGTCGGCGACATCACCGCAGTTGAAGTAGGCGGCTACGTGGGCGCGGGTGGTGGCATCGTCATCAGCGGCATAGCCGACGCCCGCGGTGTAGCCCTTGGCTTTGATGTAGGCCTTTGTGTCGCGGATGGAGGCCTTGACGAAGGCGGAGGCGGGGGTGTAGGAGGCATTGTTGGTCACCTCGTTACCGGCGAAGAAGCCAATGACATTGGAGTACTTGGCGAGCGAGTCAATCACGGAGGTGTAGCGGTCGTAGAGATCGAGGTTCCATTCTGGGTTCTCGCGGTTGATGGAGAGGTTGGGCTGGCCCAGATCGCTGATCACGTAGATGCCGGCGGTGTCGAGGAGCTTCATGCATGCTGAGTGATCGGCGGTGGGGTCGATGGCATAGGTTCGGATGACATTGGCGCCGAGGGCTTGGAGGAGTGGGACATCACGCGTGCAGGCTGCTTCGTTTGCGAGGGGGTCGCTGTATGTGGCTGTATATAAATCAGTATTGGCTCGTTTTGTCGCTTTTCCGACGTGCGATGGAGAGAGAATGTATAGTACCAGTACTGCTGCTTCCGCTGGATGTTCCAGCGGCGCCGACACCTTCCTGGTAGGCGACGCCCTTGATGAAGAACTGGGTGCCGTTGGTCTTGTAGAAGAATTTTGAACCCTGGATTGGTGAGAGGAATGGTTAGTTGAGGTGACTGAAGAACGGAACCTCGGATCGATCTCACCTTGATAATGACCGGATCGAGGGTAGCACTGGCAGCGCCGAAGAGGCTCGCTGCAGCAAAGAGCGCGGACACGGAACGAATGGCGGAGCCCTTCATGGCTGCTAAATGGAAACTGCTTGGCAGTAAACGAAGAAAGATAAAAAAGAGTGTGTTTTGACCAGAGGAAAGAGAAATGGGAGGGATGTAGATGGATGGGGGAGATGAACGCTTTTGAGGGGGTACGCGTTTGCTAGGGTGAGCAAGCACAGGCAAATTACAACAAGCGCAGGCTGGGATACCGGCTTCCTTACCGTTTAGGGGGGATATCAGCTTGCAATTGGGTTGGGGGAGGGAATTGTGAACCTAACCGCGGAGGTACAAGTCATAGGGTGTCAGCACAATTCGTGTTTACAGTTAGTAAATGGTATGAAGGATATTGATTTGGCTGGATGTCCGGATGTCGGGAGATCGGCTTGTGGCCGCCCATTCGTCGTGGATACGATACCCCACAGGATTTGCAGTACGGAGTACATATTGCATATTGCATATTGCAGGTAACTCCGCGTACAGCTGTAACTTCCGACGGCGTTGGGATGTCTGGGATTTGTCCCTGAGACGGGGACGTTGGTCCCCGCCACCAAGTCACTAACTCGGTGGTCAAGAAAGCTTGTTCTTCCGTTAGAGCCTGCTAGACACAGTATCTCATTGTAACTGCAAGGATTTCAGTACGCAGTAGGGTGAGCAGGCAAGACCACAAACACACAGCGGCATGGCGCGCTCTGGTGGTATTGTGCACGGGGCGGAGAGTATGACAAAAAAGAAACAGGGCGTGAAATGAGACACTCCAACGTATCCCGTTGAGTTTCACATTTGCTTCACGGGGATGAGGGATCTAGAATTGCGGAGAGTCGCCGTGCGTCACTTATTGACTGCTCAGCCACAATCTTAGGTGTAGGGATTCGTGGCTATTGGGAAAATATACCATGTAACCTCGTATACCAATTTAGGATCTTTGTTGTTCTAATGTGGTAAACTGGATAAATGTGGTTAGTGTTGGTATAAAAATATCGGAGAAACCTCTCGGATAAACCCTTTTTTCTTCGGGTACACTCCGAGCTCCACAAGGCAACAGCCAAGCTTTTCCACCAAGACACTAACCGAATTTTATGCAAATACCACGTGATTCCACGTGATTCTATATTTATACACTTCTATTTATGTAAATTATGCTAAATCCGACGTCACTGAAAATACCCCTGTAAATACAGAAAATAAACACAACATTTTCTCCACCCCCACCACTAGCGCCGATTAGATAGAGATATCTGCCCTCCTCCTCCACCATCCTCGCCGCCGCTGCTCACCCCAGAGGCCAAAACACCACAGATACCACAGAAACTCACTCATCCCACCAACCCGTCAAGATGAGCAAATACGTCCGCCAACAAAAATCCCTCCCCAAACACCCCAAAACCCCCTCCTCCGCCGACTCCCCCTTCGCACCCACCCCCATCCCCGTCGCCCCCCGCCAACGCCCCGGCTGGTCCGGTCCCGGATACACCAAGAAGGGCGGGAAACACATTCCCCGTCCTCCTCCGGCGCCGAAGCCCGTCGTGATACCCCCAGGAGACGAACACCAGGCGCTCGGGCAGCCGGATCAGCAGCTCCTGCTTGATGCGATCAGGAAGGCGTTTCCGCGGTGCGAGGATTATGAGGCGCTGAAGGTAGTACTGGCGGATGTGGAGGAGAAGGTGCGGAGTGGGGATTGGAAGGCGGCATTTGGGAGTGCAGAGGCTAGGGAGGCGTGGGTTGTTAAGTGGGGTGCGGAGAGGGCAGTTTGGTTTGCGAATTTGTTGGTGAAGGTGGTGGAGACGCTGGATGATGATCCTTTGTTTGCAATGCTGCAAGGTAGGAGGGAGGACGAGGATGAGAATGAGGATGACGATGACGATGAGGAGGACAAGGAGGAGAAAAATAAGGAAGAAAAGAAAGAGGAGAACGACGACGAAGATGAGGAGGAAGTGCTGCGAGTCGTCAGCTTCGGCGGCGGCCCAGCAGAGGTCCTGGCCTTGGGAGCAGTAGTCCGACACTTCCGCCCCGACGCCCACGGCAAATCGAAAGCAGACCTCGAATCCGAGGACTCCTCCGACGCAGGCCAAATCATCGATCTCAACCTAACCAACACCGTGAACTGGACACGCGAGGTCTCCACCTCCCACGAAGCGCTCCTATCCCCCCCCACACTCTCCAAATACGCCTCCGCATCCGCGATCGCCAACAGCTCGCCGTTCTTAGCGAAATCAGCACTGGAGCTCGAGATGCAGAAGTTTAGCCCCTTGGAGGCGAGCCAGGAGGAGGTGGGGGAGTTGGTGGGAGAGGAGGCAGCGTTGATCACGCTGTTCTACACTGTTGCTGATCTGGCTGCGACGAGCGTGGCGAAGACGGTGGCGCTGCTGCTGAAGCTGACGATTGCGGCGCCGAAGGGGAGTTTGGTGGTTGTGTTTGATCGTGCGGAGGAGGAGGGGAAGAAGGGGTATCCGCTGAGGTATCTGCTGGATATGGCGTTCTTGGGGAAGAAGCCGTCGGGGGAAGATCAGGAGGAGGGGGTCAAGCCGGCGTGGAAGATGTTGTTGGCGGATGAGGCGAGGGTGGTTAAGGCGTGTGATGGGGTGAGGTATGCGTTGGGGTTGGAGACGGCGAAGGCACAGGTTTATGTGTTTAGGCGGTTGTAGGATATCGGGGGGGTATGAGGGAGGTGATATACGTAGTTACCGAGTGCTTGGGAAAGGAAAGGAAAACCTATATATTCATGATGACCACTTGGCCTGCCCAACACACACTGTATCATCTTACACGAAGTCTTATGCACTGGAAGCTCCCAACCCCTGCACGAATATCTTCACGAGGACCTTAGAGATAGCTCTGAGGATCACTCTACCAAGTAATAGGGTGTTGACATTGGATTTGACAGCAAGAATATGTTGGTGAGAATCCGTTGGCGAGAAGCTGTCAGCAACAATCTATTGGTGAGAACTTCTCAGTAAGAAGCTATCGCCATCCACATCTTGCTGCCACTTCTCGCCCGCCAAACCACACAGAAATGTAGTCGACAAGTGCCTAGATGTATGTGAACTCACCGCACCCGCAGACAAACGCGCATAATATCGCGACGGTTATGAGAGCCTCATTTTCCGCGATGTCCTGGCGCGTGGAGCACTCCAGGAAACACGGCATGTCCAACTTTATGGCTGCCGCAAAGGCCCGCGCTTCTCGATCTTCTGCCGCTAGTTGCAACCTTTCCTCCTTCGCTCCTTCCCTATTTGCACCTTCCCCCTTCGCCCCTTCCTTCTTTACCCATTTCTCCTTCGCTCTTTCCTTCTTCATGCTCTCTTTTGCCCTTTCCTCGTTGCGCTCCCATTGGCACTTTCCAGTTGCGCTATACCTCTTCGCCCTTTCCCCTTTTAGAATTTCCATTCGCGCTATTCTTCATCGCTCCTTCCCCTTGGACCCTTTCTCCTAGCCCCTTCCTTTTTGCGCCTCTCTATTTATCTCCGCACCGGAGACTCATGGCCCTTCAAATCGTGCCGAACAAAGTACAGCATGTCTACGATATAATCGACGTCTTCAACTTTGACAGCAAGAGGAACACAGAATCAGTTGTGTCAATTTCCAAGGTCCTATTTATTCCATGGGGCTCAAATACTCTGCAATCGAAAATCTCGCCTCCGTCTTTCTCTCAATCTCTTCTATATCCACCCCCGGGGCCAGTTCCGTCAAAGTGAGACCGCCGTTGGCGCGGTCGACCTGAAAGACACACTAGATCATTTGTCAGTTACCTTCACTGTCCAATTGCTCTATGATAATCCCGTCTTACCAAGTCTGTGATAATTGTGCTAACACAGTTTGCTCCTGTCAATGGTAAACTGCACTCTTGGACGATTTTAGGAGAACCATCCTTGGCGACGTGCGTTGTAGTCACAACAATTCTAGTCTTGTCAGGATTGGACACTAGGTCCATAGCTCCTCCCATTCCTTTGAAGGCCTTCCCAGGAATCGTATAGTTTGCCAGATCGCCATTGGCGCTAACTTGCAAAGCCTAGACATTTATTAATTTTGGCTCAAACTGGAAACAACGGGATACGAACGCCCAAAATTGATACGTCCATGTGTCCACCCCGTATCATTCCAAAGGACTCACTGCTATCGAAGGTAGATGCACCTGGGAGTAAACTGGCGGTTTCTTTTCCTGCATTTACAATGTCTCTGGACGCTGGTTAGAACATGGGCAGAGTTAGGGTGGGGAGCGTCAGCTTACGGGTCGATTTCTTCAGTAGTGGGATATGGACCCTACAGAATGGATCCAGTAACCTATGGGGCATTGAGTGTATCGCCAATTTCGACCTACCATGCCTAGAATTCCATTTTCCGACTGGACCCAAACCTTGACTCCCTCTTTCACAAATGATGGGACGAGAATCGGAATTCCTGCATGGACACCGCCACCGTTAGCATCTATCAAACGGATACGCATTCAACACTCACCAGCACCAAGATTTACGTAGTCAGATTGCTTAAGTTCCTTTGCAGCCCGCTTTGCAATTCGATTTCTCTGAATATCGCCGGCACTTTCGACTGGTTTTACCACATTGTCGGCCTCAGACGATCGTGTCTTTTCGATTTCAATAACCTTCGCCACTGTGGAGGGGACAACCCTGTCCACGAAGATGCCAGGCAAGTCAACATTATCTGGATGTATAGAGCCAACTGGAACAATATTGTCTGCCTCCACTATAGTGAGTGTAGCAGCTTTTGCCATAATGGGCCCGAATGCCTTCGTTGCGTATCTGATAACATTTTTAGCAACTATAGCCAAGCCAAAACAGTGACCTGGGGGCTCACCGAAACACACAATTCCCCACCGCGTCTGCTTTCCACGCTCGGATAATAGCCACGTCGCCCGTTAAAGCGGTTTCCATGAGGTATGTTCTGCCATTAAATGTGCGAGCCTCCCGCGGTTTGCCATGCTCCAGCACATTTCCAGATGCGCCCACACGAACGGGGATTTTCCCATCCTGAATGAGAGTATCTATCTCATGTTAGTTTTGAACAGCGCTTTATTTGCTAAAATATTATTTGTTTGAGCACTTACTGGCGCCTGTGGCGGTAAAAAATGCCGGGATCCCAGCGCCTCCTGCTCTTATCCGCTCTGCCAGGGTTCCTTGTGGGCATAGTTCGAGCGCAATCCCCCCAGTGAGATATTTGTTTTCGAGGACCCTGTTGCTGCCGAGATGTGAGATTATCATTCGGTTGATTTGCCCGGCCTCTGTGAGTATGTCCAACCCTCCCTTACCAGCAACGCCGGCATTATTCGATATCACCATCTGGAATTTTAGGTTTTCAGGCCCCTTCCGATGGATGGCCTGTATAAGAGTTTCTAGAAGTGATAGAAGTCAGCTTTTTTGCAAGATATAATTATTAGCGGTCGATGACTCTCTACCTGCAACACCACAAAGACCAAATCCGGAGCTGAGAAGAGTAGTTCCACTCTTTAGGTCGGCTACGGCTTCGTCTGCGTCCTTGAATAATTTAGAACCCGCGCGTTCAATTTTCGGGGCGAGTTTAGCAGCATGCTGAAAGGTAGCAGTGAAACTATTTTTTGCGGAGAAAGTCCCAGAAGTATTTGAAAGTACTCGCGCACTTGTTAGGCGTCGAGCATCTCGTTGCCTCTGTTTCGATATATTTATCATATTCCGCGAGAACCGCATCGCTGATACGTGGTATGTCGTCATTTTGTTAGTAAATGGGATAGAGATTCGATAAAATAAAGATATCTAGTAACATTGAAGCTGAGTTGAGCCTGCAACAGTTTTAAGGAATGATGGGTTTAACATTTGACTGATTCTATCATATTATGCCATTTACGAAGTGACCTCGGCAGTGGTGTGGAGAGACCGAGTAGAACTTCCGGTGACGGCCCAGCGGCCTCCTATATTGCCCGGATGGATCCTATGGGAGTCGATTCCTGAGTTAGGCTTATGATATTGGCTCTGGATGTGCTGCTTTGGATGTTGCACGTCGAATCATTGGATGGAGAGCACAGTGGTAGAGCCGATTGCGCCGTGGAAGCGGCACTTCTTCACGGGCAATGACGAGATTATCCTAATTCAATGTCTCTAAAAGATACGACTACGAATATGAATCGTGGAGAACATTGACGGAAACGGTTTTATAAACCTTTTAATCTAATTAGACACATCTATCGCAGGCATCCTCATGGCCCCTTTAAAAATCGCATGCACTAACAGGAATAATAGCTCCCGACTGTAGTTTATCACACATTAACAAGGCAATTGCTAAGAGGAAAATTATAATAAAGAACTATGGGGGAATGTTGATGCAGCGAAAATTGGTATGAATGGAGTCCCTTGCAATTATTCGTTGCTAAACTCATGCCGGCTACATGCGCCCACAAATAGCTTAAATCTGTGTCTAATGCTACGTAGCTACTAATAAAATATCCAGTTCGGCATTGTGGCAGATATTACAGCTAAATTTTCTGTTATCAACGGCCCATAGGCAATCGTTGACCTCGCTGCTTAGCAAAATGCCTGAACACCTGTGATAGCTCGTCCTAGAATCAAGGCTGTCGATGGTCAGCATAATTTCTACTATCTGAACGTCAATGGCCTTTTTCTCGAGAAGAACTTACCATGGATATCGCTCTGACCCTCATATGTTTGTACAACGAACAGATTAGATACGTGCCGGCCAATGTGATACTCGTCGCTTGCTGCGTTGCCACCAAAAATCTCTTGGAGTCTGTGATTTGGGAAAGTAGTAAGTAGCCGAGCTACACAGATTGAGGGTTGACAAAATCTATGCGGAAGATCGGGAAGGAAAACTTACGCGCGAACGTTGGTTAGAGCACGGTCGCAGTTTTGTCTCTTCACCATTGAGATCATTTCAGGTGTTAATTTATTTGAGTCCTTCAGCCGAGCCACCTGCGTGGCTGCCAAAGTTCCATAGGCGGCATCCGTAGCAGCATCTGCCAACTTCTTTTGTATTAGTTGGTACTTTGCCAGAGGATTCCCTTTGAATTGCTTTCGGTCGAGCGCATAAGTTCGTGCCCGGCTCAGGGAGTCTTCCAATGCACCCATTGCTCCGAAGGCGATTCCGAGTCTCGCACTGTTGAGACAAGTGAATGGGCCCCTAAGCCCCTCGACATCTGGGAACATGTTCTCAGCTGCGACAGGACAATCGTCCATCTGGATCATTCCCGTAATTGACGCTCGAAGGCCATTCTTGTTCTTGATAGCGGGAGTCTCTAATGTGCCTGGTGGGCATTTGCTTCGCTCGACGAGGAACCCGCGGATTTTCCCTGTGCTCTCGAGCTTCGCCCAGACTAACATGACATCTGAGATTGGGGAGTTGGTAATCCAAGTCTTCGCCCCGGAGAGCAAATACTGACCCTTCTTCGTCGGATGCTCCTTAGCGATGGTCTCAATCGAACCAGGGTCAGAGCCGTGATTTGGTTCTGTGAGACCGAAACATCCCACCAGGTTTCCATTCGCCAACTCTGGCAGAAATCGATCCTTTTGCTCCTGTGTCCCAAACTCGTAAATCCCAGTCATTATCAGTGAGCTCTGCACAGACATGCCGGAACGGTATCCTGAATCTACACGCTCGACCTCCTTGGCTATCAATCCAGACGCGACTGTGCTAGCGCCTGCGCAGCCGTACCCTTCAATACTCGCGCCGAGAAGGCCAAGCTCCCCCATTTCCTTTATGATCTTGCGGTCATACTGTTCGTTCCTGTAACCATCTGGACCCGGCAGGAACACGTCAACATAGCTCTGTGAGTATTGAAATATAGGGAGCGCATACCTAGAACACGCGGTAGCAATCGCTCCTGGCAATATTGCCGAGCGGTATCTTGAATTGCTAACTCTTCCTCCGTATACAATTCTGAGGCGGCAAGCGGATCCTCCCAGTTGAATGACGCTGATGAAGCATAGCGGCGCCCAGGAGCAACTGGGTGGCTGGATCCTGGTTGGACGCTGCGCCACGCACGGAAGATGGACCGGTTCATTTTTTTTTGGCAGAGATTATAGTTTCGACAGTCTTCAGCTGCTTCGCAATACTATTTGTTATAGCCACAGACATAGACGCCAACATAATGTTTATACCAATGTTGATGTTGAGATCTCGGCGATTTTCGGCCGTTTGAGGTTCCTCCCGGGAAGAGCTGTGGAGAGTATGGAATGCCAATTTCGTGCTTACCCGAACATGACCGGACCATCTTCAAACAAGAAATGATCATATGCCCCTTCTAATGTATCCCGCATTTAAGTGGTCTCGGGGAATAGTTGAAGGGTGTTCGGCGAAAGAGCATGGACGCCGAGATTTAAAATATCGAATCAGTGCTCCTGAACGCCTGGGTTTCTAGCAGCAGAGACAAATGACAAAGAAAATAGTAGCTAGTATAAAAATAGCTAGGTGATTGAGCTTAAATAAAATTATACTATTAAATTAGTATTCTCATCTCTGTCTTCGATTTCGACCCTCTGGTTTAGCTGGAATGTCCGGATTATATTGTATCACAAGATGTCAAGTTGTGGCAGCGCAAATGGGGATACAGAACAATCTCAAGCGACTTCGACTGTGAAAAAGACTACTCTACATTATCCTTTCTGGCTAGGTGGTTCAGCATCTTGCTTTGCTGCTGGAGTTACACATCCGTTGGATCTTGGTGAGATTTATTCACTCTTGCTAGATCTCAGTAGACAGAGAACCTCTATTTAACCTATGAACTGTAGTTAAGGTTCGCCTGCAGACACGCTTAGCTGATGGGCCAAAAACAATGATGAGCACGTTTGTGCACATTGTGAGGAATAATGGCTTACAAGGCCTGTACAATGGTGTATGTATATGCCACTCATCTATCCACCACGGCAAATTAGACCGAGAGAAGGAAATATAAACACCTTGAAGGTATTGCTTACGCTGTGCTATATACGATCTAGTTATCTGCATCCCTCCTTCGCCAAATAACTTACTCAACAACCCGTTTTGGGATTTATGAGGAGTTGAAGCCTCACTTCACATCCTCATCGTCGCCTCCAGGCCCACTCACTCTCGTCACAATGGCATCAATTTCGGGCTTCATTGGTGGAGTGGCAGGAAACCCGGCCGATGTGCTGAATGTACGAATGCAGGGAGATGCTGCTCTTCCTCCTGCGCAACGACGTAATTATCAGCATGCTATTCACGGACTCGTGCATATGACTCGCACTGAAGGGGCTGGCAGTCTGTTCCGTGGGATCTGGCCGAATTGCACACGTGCGGTACTCATGACGGCGTCGCAATTCGCAACATACGACACGTTTAAGGGGTTATGCATTGGAAAGGCCGGGATGACTGACAATATATATACGCATATTACGGCCTCGGTTATGGCTGGGTTCGTCGCAACAACAGTCTGCAGCCCCGTGGATGTCATCAAGACTCGAGTTATGAGTGCATCTCCAGCCGAATCACATCGGCAGAGCTTGCCGGGACTCCTTCGTAGTATATATTGCAAAGAAGGCTTCACTTGGATTTTCCGCGGCTGGGTGCCTAGTTTCATCCGCCTCGGTCCCCATACCATTCTGACATTTCTATTCTTAGAAGAACATAAAAAGATCTATCGGTACCGAAGAAGCACTCCGGATAATGGCCGCTGAATAAAACTAGCCAAGGGATTTATACCACTGTCATATAGGTAGTTCTTAGTATACTACAAAGTAATACTGCGTTTATTAGAAAACGATTCAGACATCATTTTGGCTGTGATGACTGATCTTATGTGTAGATAGCCCCACGCACTCCAAATTACGCACACATCGTTTAAGTATTAGTAAAATTAAGACTTATTGTCCATGTATTTAACGGCCTGTTTAACAATAAAATGTTTGTGTCGAATATGGACCATGAGTTGCACGAGATGTTGTTTAAAGGCCGAGGCAAAGCTGGTAAGTAGCATAGACGCGTTTGAGAAGCGGAGGTAAATACACATTCTATTCTCTAATAGGTTCTATATCTCTATATTCTACCATGCGTTACAGCTTCGACATTCTCTCTTCCACCGAGTAAAACTTTATGAATTTATCGAGACACTCGGGATTGGCCACCGTGCTACTTACTTGCTTTGGCATTTCGCCGCTACAGATAATCTGCTTCACAAGAGTTTCAATCTTCTTTCCGTTCATCGTCATTGGGATATCGTCCACCTGTATGATGTATCTAGGGACATGCCTGGCACTTAAACTCGTTCGAATGGCAGTCTTGAGTTGTCCCAGTAGCTTATCGGTGAGGTTCTCACCAGATCGCATGACCACAAAGAGGAATACAGACTCGTCGGAGTCTTTGCCCTTCCGTCTCCTTCCGATGCACAAGGTTGCTGCGATGGTATATATGAATGGGGGTGCTTCTGTGATTGAGTAAATCTCTGAAGATCCAAATCGAATGCCTTGCGGATTTAGAACCCCATCACTATTTGGAGTTAGCACCCAACGAGTCCAATATGCAAAGTATTTGGATTGGAAGACTAACCTCCGACCATGCACTGTGGCGCCGCCAGTTAATGGATTGAAGCTGGCCCAGTCATGCTGCGTCCAACAGGGAAAGTCGAATCTGTCGAAATATGCTTCTTTGTACTTGACATTGCCTTCATCTCCCCACATAAAAACTGGCATAGACGGAAAAGGTTGCCGACATATCATCTCCCCAGATTCGCCCGTACCTCTGATTGACTCTCCAGTCACAGAATCCGCAATGTCGATATCGAGGCCTAGAGCTATGAGCTGAATTTCTCCTGCATATAATGGGCCAGCAGGATCAGTGCATATCCATGATGTTACGATATCTGTTCCGCCAGTAACGCTGGTCAAGTGGATGTCTGCAGGGAATGCACGATAAAACCAGTGATATTGTTCCGCTGCTAAATGAGCTCCACCTGACTGGACCATTCTTAGTGACGAGAGATCGTACTCCTCTTTTGGTACGCATCGGGTTGATTCTAGTGCCTGGAGATATTTTGGCGATGCCCCCCAGTAAGAAACCTTATGTTGCTCGATGATTTTCAGCATTTGTTGAGGATTTGGCCAGGTAGGAGATCCGTCGTATAATACAAGAGTAGTTCCTGCAGATAAATGCCCAACCATGATATTCCAAAGGACCCATGACGTGCTAGAATATTGGAACACAACTTCTCCTGGCTTGAGAGAGTTATGCAGCTTTGCTATTTTTTTGTGCTGCATAATAACTCCATGCTGGTGAACTAAGCACTTGGGCGGCCCTGAAGTTCCACTGGAGTACAAGATGTAGAGAGGAGCCGAAAATGAGACTCGGGCGAATTGAAGCTTGTCGGACAATTTTGACCGAGAGAGAAAATGGTCCAGTGTTGAAAAATTGGTCTGCTCGACCCTTGCGGTAGGAATGAGAACGACTTCTGTCTTAATTGCGAGTTTGTCCACGATATTCGAGATTTTGGCACCATTAGATTTTTGCTTGCCTTTATATGTGACGTGGCTATCTGCAAACAAGATGGATGGGGTCACTTGTCGCAGTCTGGATATGCAGCCCTATGTACGATTAATACGAGCTTTTCAAAAGCGGCCAAATTCCAGTGTGAGATTTACCTCGACTCCTAAGTCTGGGGCTATCGACGTGAAGACGGCCCCTATGCTGGCAGCAGCTAGGAACACAACAATCGACCAAGTAGACGTGGATATCAAAGCCGCCACTCTGTCGCCCTCCTTGATCCCGCTTCGTAGCAAGCCACTCCTAACCTTTCGCACATTTTCTCTCAGTGTCGCCCATGACCATTTCTCTCCGTCGAGGCTATTTCCTTCGCGAAGCCCAATAAGAGCAATGGACTCCGGCTTGACATCTGGCTGGGTGAGAACATTTTCAGCGTAGTTAATAGTTGCATTCTCGAAAAACGGTGGAACATCTGTCATAGAAATCTCTGGATTGTACGCTCGCGATGTTCCGGGAGGGAGATCAGGTACTAGGCCGACATAGGACCAGAGGTCAATCCAGAAATCATGCGGCTGCGTAACACTCCATTTTTGTAGCTCATGGGAATCGCGGAGCTGCGTGTTAAATTTGTTATTGATATGAGCTCGGTATTTGTTTATTGGAATTTTTGACGGTTGCTGTTGAGGGCGCCAAACTGGCACTGGTACAGCTGGTGTGGCTGCTCCGTTCTGAGAAGGTGCGATTGAAGCCATGTTGAGGGGAAACGACAAGAAAGTATGAAAGTGTATGCAGGCAGAATATCACTCTCAGTTTAAAATATATACACGTCTCTGGATCGGACGGAACAGGGAGGTATAATGATCAAGTATGTTAGAGGTTCACATACCAATACGGATTACCGGCGGCGTATTTCGGTAATAATTGGATACCTGTGGGGTAAATTCGCGGGGTAGATGGCGGGGTAAAACTGTGGGGAGTTTGTCGGCGACTTTCGGCGATCTGCAACACAACGACAATGCCCTGTGGTGATGAGAAGTGGTATGGAAAGCAATAAATACAAAATGGCGAGGCTCACATTCCCAAGAACATCAAAGTCCAAAAGAACATTGGCGAAATAGGACACAGCATACCAACTTTTTACTTTTATCACTATGGCTCCGCCGTCTAGGCTCGCTGCCCCATCTACTATTGATACTGGATTCATGCTCTCTGTCCCACAGTTAGAGAACCCATATACTTCCGATGATTCTTATCAGCGTGTTCTTGAGTGGTATCTTCCACTGTCTGTTTTGAATACAGTGCGGCCTAAGCTCAGCCAGTTTGGCGAAGAAGCCATATCTGAGCAGATCCACCAGTGGGTGGCCAACGCCGAAAAAGAGCAGCCGTATGTGAAGACGCACGACGTCTGGGGAAAGCGGTATCCATACGATCGACTGATAACGAGCCATGGTTGGAAAGAGATTGGGAAATGGGGAGCAAGAAATGGGTGCGTGCAATATCAGAGTCCGAACTGTTACATACATCTCTAATCTAACTAAATAGAGTCATGTCATTGGCGTACGAGGGAACTTATGGGCATTATTCTAGAATCGTGCAACACGCATTGTAAGATAAACACCTTACATTTAATCAGCGTTTTCTAACCTATTGTTTACTTAGCAACTATACATACTCAGCTTCTTCTGCGGTCTATTCTTGTCCAACTTCAATGACCAGCGGTGCAGCACGTCTTATGGCTAAGCAACTTCCTGGATTACCATTAGAACACCCATTTCACGAAATTTTCGACCGTCTTACAGCAAGAGAGAACCATTGGGTTTCGAGTCAGTGGATGACTGAACGGCCTGGAGGCAGTGACGTGCAAAACTCGGAGACGGTTGCCGTTTACTCGCCTCTCCCTCGAAAGACTGGGAAATGTGGAAGAGTCGATGAAGGCGATTGGCTTGTCTCCGGTTTTAAATTCTTCTCGTCGGCAACAGACTGCAATATTGCATTGATGCTTGCCAAAACTGAATCGGGCCAGTTGAGTCTGTTTGTGGCACCAACCCGGAAAACCATTCTCGACTCCAATGGCAAGGAGATAGAGGTTACGAACGGAGTGAGAATCCATAGGCTTAAAGTTAAGATGGGGACAAAGCAACTTCCCACGGCCGAGCTCGAACTAAAAGATGTCCGCGCATGGCGTGTGGGCCCTGCTGATCGTGGAATCGCGACTATTGCCCAACTTTTGAACGTAACTAGGACTCACAACTTTATCACCGCACTCTCTTGCTGGCGCCGCGGAATGGCGATTGCCAAGTCATTTGCGAAAACCCGAACAACTATAAACCAACCTCTAGCAACGTTCCCAATGCATCTAAGATTACTGTCTTCAATGGAAGTGAAGCATAGGGGCCTTCTACAATTCGCCTTCTTTACCACCGCTCTACTAGGCTTCGCCGACGACAAGACTCCGGAGAATCTACCAGCATCATATGCCCCACTCCCAGATGCAGGCGAGCAGATGCAGGTTGTACTGCGGACTTTTACTGCAACCGCAAAGGCTGTCATCTGCAAGGTATCAACTGTGTGCCTTCAGGAGTGTCAAGAAGCAATGGGAGGCGTGGGATATATGGACGAGCCCGACGAGCCGGAACTCAATGTCTCTCGTCTGTTGCGAGACACCGCTGCCAACATGACCTGGGAAGGAACAACGAACGTCTTGAGTAGCGAAGTTGTCCGACATTTACTTAACAAAAATCACCTGGATATTTTTGGCGCTTGGATCGAGCGTGCCATTGGATCAGTACGGGACAACAGGTTTAAGCAGGTCCTCAATTCGGCCTGGAATGCGCTTCGCCAGAGGCTTCTGGCCAAGAAGAATAAGTTATCCTTGGCATTGGCTGAAGGACGGCAGAGCATGTTTACGCTGGCATGGATTGTCAGTGGCACGTTACTTGCTGTCGACGCACAGCGTGATGGGGATGCTTCCGCTACAGAGATAGCAAGGAGGTGGATCCTCCACGGAGAAGGTGGGCTAGCAGAGTATGTCTTTTCGGACATCGTGTATGGCAATCTGCCAACCGATGTTCAAGATGAGGCAGAGCGAAGTAACTGGGATTGTAGGCTAGTCTGGGGCACTGATCTCCCAAAGGATGCAGCAGTTGGGTATCGTACTGACGCAAAATTGTCTAAATTATAGACTACTTATGCCCTCGAGAAGCCATAGTCCATCAAACATGTACATATTTTCAATCATACCTCTTTGCCCTTAGTTCTTGGCCTGATAATGTCAAACTTTGCGCTAGTGAATATAGAAATTCTTTACAGGGGTAACTTCAGGGTATTCTGTTCTTTTCCGGATCACTGAAAGCTGAAAACTACAAAATTCCCCAATTCAGCCCCCACGCTATAACACATACTATACACCATTTATAGTTTATAAATTGCCAAGAAGGCTGAAACCTCAAATTATGAGCCAACATTAGCGATCAAGGCGGATAATATAATATTATCCCCTGAAAAGATTTGGATAATGTTAGTCGTAGGACTTCGCCAAGAAGCATCCTGGCTCTACTATACAATCGTGAACGCATATACATTAAGCAGTGAGACCATTTAAAAATCTCTTTTCTACAATTCATACCTCCTCTGCAACTCATGCCCTCACCTACAACTCATACTCCTCTCGCCTAATCCCGCAAAAATGGATAGCCCTTGCAGCCCCTATTCCTCTTTGCCCGGGCTAAATGACTTTTCCTGCACTGGCACGACGGGACCCTATGACCACAACATTACCAGCCCCAAATATACCGCCGCCAACCAAAACGGCCAGGCTACCATGGACGCGCTAAAGGCCTGCTGTAAATCGCCCGTTACGCAGGTTCATCCTGAGCTCTACGGCATCTGTTACTCCAACTGCAAGACCACAGGTTTAGAGCAGGCACTTGAGGTTGATTGGTGTTTGGGGAACTACACACAGAAGCGCCCTGATTACCTTTTTGCGTCCTTGGGGTGCGAAACTACGGTTTCGAGCGCGACGATGCTAAGGAGGACTAGTAGTTGGGAGGGGTTGGTGATTCTGAGTCTTGTGGTCTCGGCGGCGGCGACGATGATGTAGAAATACCAACGTGGATGGCAAGGATGTTCCAATCGCCCATAGAGAATAAAAATACTGGTGCCGTGAACCAGATCTACCTACTCGAGGGAACTATATACAAGGATCGACGTGACTCCAAATTGTTATCCCTGAACACCCTCAGCTGTTTATTACCGAAGCTTTGGCGTTTCTTCTTCGCAGATGGGACACGAAATGTTAAATTGGGGCTGTAGTGTGTAGTTTTTACGGTAATCTCCGGGTGCAACAGCTTTAAGCGACTGCTATGAAGTAAAATAGTTTGATATCTTCAGTGGAAGCTGAATTAACGTAATGATACGATATTTTTTATTTTCCGCCAGCTGAGAACAAAATCTATAACTTCAGCAATCCAGCGGAAGTAAGGCCATAGCTAATATCATCCAAGCACGTAAAGACCTAGTATAACACCCTCAGCACTGCGATGCTCTAGTTCTTTCCGAGGTAGTCCATCTTGCCGACTGGTACACCCTCCTTCCTCAAGATGGCATAGACCATGCACATGTGGAAGTAGAAGTTGGGAATAGCGAAGGTGTTCACATAAGATAGGCCAGTGAACTTTTGCTCGCCGCCGCGAGTAACTAAGATAACCTCCTTGTCCTCAACTATAAAACGTCAATCTTTATCCAAGCGTAGGAAGTGATGGCCAAACTTACTACCCTCGAATGATTTTGGGTCAACACTTTCTAAGACAGCAATGGTCTTGGCGATGCGCTCCTGGAGCTCAGGGAAGGTCTTCTCCTCGTCGGCCATGGCGACAGGCTCAACCTTGCCCATGCGGACAGCAAGTCCCTTGGCTGTGTCACTGATGCGTTGGATCTTATTTTGATGTCAGTCCTGATTTGACTCTCAAGTTTGGCCTGGCAATTGCGGGGTAACTTACTTGGTAGGTAAGCGGCTGCATGTCTTCAATGATGCGGGCATCGATGAGGGCGGACTCGTCGCCCTTAACATGCTCCAGACCCTTTGTGAGGAGCTTGGAGACGATCTTCAACTCGGCGATGAAGGGCGCGACGCTGACTTGGTAAAGTGAGACAGACATATTGGAATAAGGTGACTATAAGGTTGGGAATATTTGTTTAAAAGGATAGAGGATATAGGTCAGAGTTTGCCAGAGTATTTCGAGCAAGATGAACAGAGTGAGATGTACACCAGGAAGGGAGGAGTGACGCTTTTATAACCCGAGGAGATAGATGCACCAGGAATGGACTGACGATGTAGCTACATATTTGTAACCAGAATGATTGATAAGCCAGTGTAGCGGTGAGACCCACAGTATCGCTACTTCAGTAGTATATGATCGATACTCACCGAATCTATCTCAATCGACTCCTTTTTGCTCCTCATTTTTGTTGATTTACAGAGGGAGGCTCTCTCTATCTACAAGTACGTTGTTAGATTGAATTGAGTGGCTACACTTATAAAGTTCTTATGTACGAAGCACGCAATTGTATAAGGTAAGTACTTAAGTAAGGTGTTCTGCTGTTTCGGCGATTAGGTAGGGCCGATACAGATCGATCTCCAACCCCGCGCACTATGCCCAGTTAGATGTGGTACGGAATTCCGATTTCCCATCTGTAGAATTACTGATATATGTTCCGATTTTTCATGTCATAGAACAGTAATTTGCAAACCATGTACATGAATAATTGCATATATTATTTCCATATTATTTTCCATTTTCGTTTTATATTCTCCTTTTGGCCGACGGATACAATGGCCAACCTACACACTTATCTATATGCGGGGTCTGTATTTAGTGCCAAGACATCAAAAAACCTCGGGAACAGTGGACAAAAAGAGAGGTGTGAAGAACAACTAAAAAGGACTGAGTACTATGTAAATGAATAAAGAGTTGACTATCAATACTCACCCTTTAGGCGGAAAAAGGCCCCGATTCCACGCTATGCCTATGATACGCAAGCTTGTGTATGGCACTGCGGATGGGATGCTTAATTTTCTGTGAGCTATGGTCGCTCTAACGCCAAGACCCCCCACCAAAACTGCCCCTTGTTGTCAGCCTTCCACTTCCCTATTCCCGTTCTAGGACCAATGCTGCTTTTACTGCACTGAGTAGCTCCTGAGGATCTGGGAAGAAGATTTCTAGCAAACCTCCACCAGCACATTTGTTGTAAGGGGTTATTAATTACTTACCATGTCTCGATTTATTCTTCGCGCATCGGCACAGATTCCACACCAGGTGCCAACATGCCTTGGTTACCTTCCCAGTGCTCTTGATCATTTCATCGTTGGAACTCGAACATCAACTGCGAATACAGATCTGCCTTACTCGCAGGGTGATTCTAGTCCCGGATCATTGCGCCTGTTCCAGATTTCGACAGACAATATGTGAGTGAAAAATCCCACATTCACCTGGTTAACCCCCTAGGCTGATCTCGACGGTAGTGATATCGCCCAAACCATTGATATTCCAGTTGCGGTCACGGCACTTCATGTATCCCCTAGCAAGCCTACTGCTGTAGCTGTTGGGTCATCAGACGGCTCGATTCGGACGTTTACAGCTGGTGGCTCTCCACCCCGTCTTACGCCGTCAAAAACATTCACACCATTCTCGGAGAAAGCTGCTATCACATCAATCCGCTTTCATCCCCTCCATCCCGGCGTTTTGGCATGCACGCTCTATTCAGGCTCTGTATATGTCGTCCGTATCCCAGGGCATGGTCTTCAAGGTGATGAGCCGAAGATATTATGGACACTAGCATCTCATTCGCCATCGCCAGCCTGGAATTTATCCTGGACTCCAGAGCCTGGTTCCGCACCTTCAGAGCCTGCGGAAGTAAGCTCCGGCATTTACAGTGTGGGAGATGATGGAAATCTTCTTACGTCTTACTGGACGCTCCTTGAAGATGTAACAGACCCTAATGAGATGACTACCGAAGACCCAATACGCTTCCATTCTGAGGGGGGAGTCACTGGGGTGGCAGTCATCCCTTCAAACTCAACACCGAGCCGCGATGTGGTGATCACAGCTGGAAGGGATGGGAAGCTCAAAATCTCAAATCTGCTAAGTTTTGACTTGGACGAGGACCGCAAAACATGTGTCGAAACTTCAATTGGGACAGGGGCATCATATCAATTAATAGGACCAAAACTTGTAAGGGAACATTATATTCCATCGGAAAGGGATTCCCTCGAGACTTTCGACCCTGCGAGTTTGATACCTGAAGGTCACGAATCAGACGATGAAGATTATATTTCTGGTACAGAAGACGAGCAAGACTACGATCCAAGCACAGACCCTAACTACGTGGATCCCGATGGTGGACCTGGAGTTCCGATGGACATACCAGAGACAGAGCCACTACAAAACGAGTACTTCGTTCTCGCTGGCGAAGCTAGTTCGGGACTTAGCATGTTGAAGCTAGAAAGAGCATTTGCGGATGACCGGGGCTCTGAAACTTGGACTCTTGATGGCGTTGCAACCTTTAACGGGCATCAGGGGGGAAAACTTAGTGCTATGGATGTCTATACAGTTAATGGGAAGATTAATGGTGCCAGTGCGAGTGCTGCGATGTTAGATGATGAGCCGAGTATGGCCGTTTGCGCCTGGCAGTTTGAGCCTTGAAATATTTAGGGTATGGAAACCTTATTTGATTATATACACATGCATGTTCCTTCGTCGGAGGGAGTGTTAATATCATAGACGAAACTGCATACTCGCGCTAGCGTTTCTCCAAGTGACCATAGCATTTAATTCTTGCGTCGTAATAATTTTATGTGAATAAAAAGCCAGATTCCTGTATTTCGTTGCAATAAATGTATTTATGGTAGATCCCTAGGATCGAGAGTTACGAGTCCGTTACACCTGACAATAGGACATACAGGTTGAAATATGCTGTAGCTGCAGCTATATTGGAAATCGCCATTTTAATATGTTCCATCAAAATGAAATATTCCTAAACAGTTTCCTCATGGACAGCTTTTGGTTTCAAAGAATTCTCACCATCGCCAAGTTGATTCAGCTGGTGCAACTCTGCCATTGCAGCTGCGGATACTTGGCTGTTCTCTGAGTCCTCCAAAGACTGTAATGGCAATGCATGACCTGTCTTTTTCTTGCGTTGGCTTGCTTCGAGTTGGAGGAAAAACGGGATGGTAGCATAGATAACAATGCTAGCTGCCAGTAGGGAAACAGTGGCGGTAAATCCCTGAAGATAGTATGGCGCATCGCTATTAGGATACATCTGTCTAATTGTTAGTAGGTGAAGGAAACAATATTGCGAATGATATAAAAATCGAAGCGTACCTGTGGGGCAATTATACTTGCAATGGACAGGGATGCAACAGCTGTAGAAGTCCCCACAGCTTGCTCAGCTGCACCGTATAGCGTGGAGCTGCGATACGATAGCAATACCGGCTGTGCAACAAGTAACAGCTGTCCAAGAAAGGCCATTCCGTACATAGAAATATAGCTAATGGTATGCTCATTAGGGTGTGAACCAGCATAAGTCCACACCGCGTAACATGGAACAGAAGCTGCCACTGGAACAATAAAATGCCACATTCGTTCTCTCGTCCAGTCCGAGTGAAGAGGATAGGTCCAATATAGTGGAACTGCCACAATATTCACAATGGCGGTATAGATATTTGCTTTCGTGGTATCGAATTTCATCAACTGTCAGGGTCAGCTAGTGTATGTAAAGTCAGGGAAACTGAAGCTCACTGATTTAAGGATTGTTGGGAGGAAGGTTGCTTGTGCAACTGCCGCAATCGCAATGCATATATAACTCAGAAAGAAAGCATAAGTTGACGGGCGAGTCATAATCCTATATTATAAGTTTAGCAAAAATCAACATTAAATTCGTGTCTTGGTTGAAAGGTACCTAATAAATGCCATCGTATCCCAAGAAACGTCAGTTTTACGGGTGCTTCCACGTCCAAATCTATTAATGGCAATGTATCGTTCTACTCAAGTAAGTCATTTTGTAATAATGGAGGCAGAAATTGACATACCTCTATCAGATAAAGCAGTTGAATCCTCAGGAAATGTTAACAGTATGAAATATATAGGTATAGCGCAGAATATTGACATGGCGCCTTCGATTATAAAGACCCATTGCCATGATTTCAGACCTCCATGGCCGTTTAACTATCAAATATTAGCATTATCTTCTTTCTTGTTGTAGTATATTTACTTACATGATCAATTCCGACTGCAAGAAATCCGGAAATTGCTTGAGCAATTGAATTCGAGCTGTAAAATATGCCTATTCGAATGGCACGCTCACTTGGTTTATACTTAATCGAGTCAGCAAAACTTCTATGACAGATCCATAGTTGAAAATATGTACCCAGAAACTGAAGAACATTATCCCGCAGGTTATCACTCCTGCTTCTGGAACTCCGAGAAAGAACCGAGCTGCAAACAATCCCCCTGAATTGCTGCAGGCGCCCATACTCATAACGATTGCCCCCCCTGGTATAGATTAGCTGAACTATCCTTAAGAATAGGATATGGAAAGCCTCTCACATAGAACCATGCAAATAGGGAAAAATATCTTAGCGGATAACTTTTTCAGCAAGAGGGTGGCTGGAATCAGCATCGCGGTGACGGTGAAGTATGCAATGGATACGGCCTGCCAATCAGTCATTATCCAGGATACGGAACGAGGAATAACCCACCCAATTAAAGTCGCCATTTTTAAGATTCAAACTGGTTTCCAGAGAGTCGGGACCTCCCTTCTGGAGAATCTTGACATTTCCAAGATTGGACCGATCAAGGTATGCCAGCACATAGATCACAACTAGCCATGTAATTAGCAAAAGTATAGGGAAGTAATATTCAATGGATGCTTACCGCAAGGAAATAGCACTCGGAGGTCTAATTTTCGGACAAGAGCTCTCTCTTCTTTGGCTTCCCAATCTGGCTCCATGGTATTGAGCCGCTCAATACGATCCTCGGATGTATCTACCATGGCCATTAATTGAAATCTTTGTGAATAACCAAGAGAAACTTACCATATTGACCTTCTTTGTTTTTAGAAGGTCTAAGGACATTTCGACCCCCCCAATCTCCAATATATACCCCTTCTCGCTCCAATGCATCAGCTTTCACTCGGAATTTCAACATCTTCAGTTTTTTTTTTGCAGAGGGTCTGCAGAGCCACAAAGATAGAACCGGATACCCGGCCAGGAAAACAGAGCAATCTGACATCTTTATAGTTATTATCGCCAGCCAAAGCAGGCTTAGGGATTTCCCCATACCCCATACCCCATACCCCGGATTTCACGCCCCGCGAAGGAAGATCTGCACGTGGCCGAAACGAGCCGCCCATCTCCGGATTATAGCCGAGTGCAGGGAGAAACATCAACAAAACACCACAGCTTCACAGACGGTATCGATTCGCCGACATCCACCACCACAACAAAAATGTCCCAGTTGGGTAGATCATCGCGCGCCTGCATTCTATGCCATAAAAAAAAGGTATCTCCCGTTACCATAACCTCTCTCTGCACCGAACGTCAGGGCACATGGCCTCAGACGGGAACGGGGAGTGGCAATTAATGCTTCTTAGGTTAAATGCGATCTTGCGTCAGGGAAGCAGCCATGTACAAACTGCGAGTTAGGGGATCTTAGATGCAGGTAAGTAGAATGATGACTCTAAATTACGCAACCCATTGTTAAAATCGTAGGCCGCACCAACGGAAACGCAAACACTATTCTATAAGTCCTTCCCCGCCGCCCCCCACGGCTTCTCAGGCGCGTGAATTTCCTCAATCTATCCTAGAGACGCAGGGACATGGGGATATCCATCCCGGGCCTCAAAATGATACGTGGAGGCCTGGAACCCCGTCTGTTTCGAGACAGTCCTGTACCCGAGAAACGCCAGCTCGAGTACTCACCCCAGTAACGCGATCAGAAAGAAGCGTGCATACGATCATTTCAGGTCAACCGCCTCAAGAAATAGATAATGCACGTCCGACTCCCAGTGGGGAAAGCTACGTTGGTCGTAGCGAATACCTCGGAGGTAATATACCATTCAATGAAAGTATGGCAATAGAAGCCAATCCAGCTAGAAATATTGGGCTATCGGAAGTTGACCTTCAAATACTACATCTACAGAAAGCGTTTGATCTTCCTCCACGGGCCACTCGAGAAGGCCTCATTGATAAGTATATGGAGTTATGCTCGCCATGGACACCTATCATCGAGCGCAGTTGGCTGGAAGAGACAGATGGCTCTCAACCTTCACTCTTACTACTACAGGCAGTATTACTCGCAGGCAGCCGGGTAACATCTAATACCCTTGTGTATGCATCGTCCCAGGAGTTCTATCGGAGGGCTCGGGCACTGTTCTTTTCTGGCTACGAGAAGAATATAATGTTCTCGATCATGTCTCTTTGCCTGCTTCAGTGGTGGAATCCAACAGGGCCAGAGGAGATATCGACTGATACGAGCGGGTTCTGGGTGCGCATTGCAGTTGGGATGGCATACCAAGTTGGACTACACCGGGAGCCGTCCGCGGCGAACAAAAAAGATCAGATGGGCAGGCGAAGACTATGGTGGAGTCTTGTGGTAAGTTTACCTGCTTTCCCAATTATACAGGCTGAATTCTGAAACTCTTTTATAGTGCCGAGATAATATCATATCTGTTGGTGTGGGGCGACCTCGAACTATTAATCTAGAAGACAGTGATGTCCGCCTCCCCTCCGTCGAGGATTTCCCCGTACAAGACTCCAAAGCCCGGTTATTTGTTGCTTTTGTCTCGATTTGTCAACTACTCGGAGATGTGGCGCAGTGCTATCGGCGAAAACGCCTCACGCCATCACGCCGACAGGATCTCGAAAACGCGTTGTATCGATGGGTCAAAGAGCTTCCCTCAGAATTTCACGTACTCCACAAAGGCCGAAAAGACCCGAGCTCATATAATTTTGAGGCACGACAAATCCTTGTGCCATACTTCGTCATCTTAGTTATCCTCAATCGCGGGCCTGTTGCCGGAAGCGTCCCATCCACAGTGTCTCTTGTTGCTTCATCGTTTGTTGCGAGCATATACGAGGAGTTTATTGCAAGGGATGAAATTCGCCATCTTGGACCAGTATTTGCATTTTATGCTCTTGCCGCTGGACTCTCACAGCTTTCCGGATACAGATACAGGTCACTAGGTAATGCAGCAGAGGAAAACTTCAAGACCATCCGGATGTCGCTTGAGCTACTCTCTAAGAGGTGGGGGTCAGCGAACGGGGCCCTACGAGCTCTCCCCGAGGCTAGAAAAGCTGTCTTACGATTGCCACTGTATAGTGAGCCTCCGGCATGCATTCCGACAAACTCTCTCTTGCTTTTTAGCGACTTCGATGCAAGTCGCTGCAACATGGGGCATCTGTGTGACACGAATACAACGATCCCAGATTATGGGGCAGAGAATGTTGGAGGAGACCAATTTGCGACTGCTGATATGGGGCCGGTTGTGTCAAGCCTCCAACAGCGCGAGCAGCTTGGGATACAGGCAGGACAGCTGCCAGCGATAGGGATGCTGGGGGAAACCTCCGAAAATTTATTTGAGGCGTCGCCCTCTGCATTTCCCATGTTTGCCGACGGAGGGTATGAATACCAGCAACTAGAAAGCTTCTGGGGGTCGGCAGATCCACTTGGCTCTTGGCTACTGGATGATTTTCATCATTAAGGCATCTGACCACGCAGCTCGTCGTCATTAGGAGCATTCACGAGGCATAATTCCAGAATTAGGCGCCATATACGATCTACCTCAAGACGATACATCGTGCATTGCCTCGCGATATCCTGAGAACCGACGAATATTATTAAAATTTATTCATTATTTACATATCCTTCTAAACTCGCAACTCCCGAGACAGGCTCCTGGCCCATATGCGTGCAGAACAGTTCTGCCATCAGTTCGTCATTCCAGTCATCATTGTCATTCTCCGTAGTTGAAATATCCGAAGGAGGATACGAAGTAGCAATTTTGAAACCCGGGGTACCAAGTGACAAATTATCGTCCATCTCACTACCCGTTCTCGGCTTAAACATACTGTCTGGCGGCGGAGAAAGTAATTCCTCGCCCGAATGTGTAGATTTGGAAGTGTTCATTACATCCTGCAAGATGTCCATTGCCTGTTGAACTCTACTCAACGTTGTGGGCTCCGGTTCCCAGGTACTTCGTTCCTTGCCTCTTCCGCCCTCCTCCGCATTTTGGAAGTATAGCCGGAACTTTTCAACAATGTGAGGGGGCATCATATTTAACCATCGTGAAAGCTCTGGATCTTCGGGCGTTGGAAAGCTCGGCTTTTGCGCTGGGAATGATCCCGGATAACAGTCTCCATTATGACCCGCATTCCTGGTCGCCGAAAGTTGAGTCTGGCCATCGATTTGAGACTGTGAATTTAGGTACTGATTCCGAATAAATTGCAAAGGATGGTTTGCTCCGAGGCGTTCTAACGAGGGCAGCCAGTCGCCAGAAATAGAATCAATCGGCGTAAGTGGATGATAAAGAGGATTGACGTCGTAGCGCTTCTTTCGACGCTCGGGAACCACACACTCTTTCTTGTCAAGTTTGCAATTGCAACAAGGAATGCCATGCTCTGCCACATCGCACCTCACTTTCCTCGATCTACAGCCGCGGCAGGCCATTGTTGCTCTTCTCCGGCCATTAGATTTGGGGGTTTTAGACTTGGAAGGTCTTGCCCGTTCGTCTGGAGAAGCAGGAGGCGTCTGCGACGGTGATAAACATTGCTCCATGGGACATTGCTCATCACTCATGATGTAGGATTTATGTAAGTTATGTATCGGAAATATGTTGTGAAATGATATAGGTGATAAATCCCTTCAGCAAGCAGTTGAGAGCTATGGAGTAGTATAACTAGATGAGGAAAGGCACCGATTTAAGAGCTTCATCCTCGTAATTATTATACTGTGCCGGCGATTCTCGGATGCACTAGATATAATCTGTCAGATGCCTGTGGTATGGTGTGACGGCAACCCCAATTAAGTTGGTATTGGTGTGCCGGCAATCCTAGTTAAGTTAGTCTCGGCGAACGACGGCGATGGTCCCCCAACGACATCCAAACCTATTATCAATACATAAGATTACACACCAAATGAAGATTGTCAAACTCCCCGCGGATAAAGCCAGTACAGTTTTGATAGACAGTGCTAAAATAGTGATGTTATTGAAAAACGCGCGTCCAGAAGCTTATATATTCCACCATTTCCGTCCATATCAATTCGCTGTTTTCCCAGGCACTGGTGATCCCCCCCGTTGATGAAAGGCCGGTGGCTGTCGATGTCGGAAATTCGGAAATTTGGTTGAGAGGATGAGAGTGAGAGCAAAGCATACGATAAAAGTGTAAGAGTATACATTTAAAAGAGAGGCCGAGGCATGCTGAAACTGTGTACATGACACCAAACACTCCACATCTGCCAGGCCCAAAATATCCCCTGTAATGCCAACTAGAGCAACAGCTCTTCGTGTAATATAGAGATGATGTGTTGTTGCGTACTTGCGTGACAAGCAAATATGGCATGACTGCATGTTTCTGCTGTTTGCTAGGTGAGCTAATGGCGTATGGTAGCTCTTGATTGGGATTTTCGGGAGCCTGGCTTCCAGCTCTATCAGCAAACCCTACCAACTCCCATGCCACACATTCGAGCAAGCTACTGTAGCCCCAACAAATACACAAACCCCAAAACAAACAATACTTCTTACGGGCCGACTGATATTTCCTATCTCTATCCCTCTGAGATGTTCTCGCGCTCTCTCCTCTATCTCAGTCTGTGTTTTATCCCAAAACTCAAGCCGAGTCTCGTTGAGATCCTCGATGCAGAATGATCTAGGAGTTGACGACGCAATGCCCTCCCTTTCCACCCAATAGTTAACAAGCTGATCTCTTAGAGCATAAGATTGCTCTCTTGCGTAGTCTTGTTGATTCCGAAGCTGTCTCCAACCATCTTTAAATCCATAATGAGAGCCTGTCAAAAAGAACGATCCAATGGGATATTGGTGATATTTGAGCTTGCTATCATCTCCTCGGGCTGCGTAGTGTGCGAAGAACTCAATGATCTCGCCATCTGTAGCGAAAGTTGTGATTTTGGCATGACCTTGAGGATCAGGCTTCCCAATGAGTGCAAGGGCTTTGTTCCGGGCGTAGACAAGCGCCGCCCCATCATAAGAACATTGAAGTCTCGCGTTTTCCATGCATCCCATGGGACCCTTATACTCGCCGGCTATATGTGGCAGTACTGTGGAAAAGGGATTATCCTCGTAGAGAACTGCTCCGCTGACGCGCTCGATAGGAAACGGTTGAAATTCCGACATCCCAAGACCTTCGATAAAGTCAGGCTGAGGCGGCGACAGGCCATCGTTCAACCCGACATTCTTTGGAAACCCTGTAAATGCCTGCTTGAAGGCTGGGTGGTAGCCTTCATCGTCGTCATAATCCTTTTGGAGCTTCCTGCTAACCTTATTGCCTCTAGCTAGCTCGTTAAATGCCATTGGGAGAGTTCTAAAGTATCTTTCATACTCAGACACTGTAGGCGAAGCCGTTCCCCGAGAACTTGAAGCCTGTTTATGTATCTCGTTGAGGTTCGTTGGTGGTTTAGAGTGATAGGAAAGCAGAACACCGTTGTGGTAGACTGCAATAGCAAATCCGGACCTAGTTGTCGAGGTAGACTCCATCTCCGTTGTCGAAGTTTGGTCTGTAGATCCTAGTAGCGCAGATTTCAATGCATCCCCTGTCCCATCTTCCGCCGTTATTTTGTTGAACAAGACTAAATTTCTCCGTGTTAACTGCGCTTGATCATGTTCGATTTTGTTGGTGTTATCATTTGCGTCGGTGTTAGCCTCCACTTTGAGGTTCTCGTCACTATTGAAATGTCGTTGCCAGAGTAGTATAGCTGGCGATATTTGTTCTGCTAAACGTGTTCTCTTCGCAGGTATCATGTCTCCTGTGGATGCTGCTTCGAGTTGCCTCTTTCTTGCTTGCGACGGTGTGGTGCCTTCTACGGAATGTCGTTCTACAGAAGAGCGGTCTCTATAGTCGGTTGGAAGACCTGGTCCCGACGAGTTAGTATATCTCACGGCTTTACAAAACGAAGATTTTGTTGGTTTGCATACCTGCACTGTTACTATCAACATTGGCTGCTTGATCTCCTTGCGAAGTGCTGAGGATTTCGAAGTGGGAATGGCACGCCCCTGGCTTATGAACTCTGCCTTCCATGACGATGAAGCTGCAATTGTTTGAGAGATGAAATAGGTTTGTATTAAAGTGATTTGAAGTTTATTTCTTATGTGAAAGACAGGTGTGAATATATGGGGCCGTCAAGACTGTTTTATTGAGATAAATATCATGTTTCTTTGATGCGTTCGTCCGGAATGGGACGTTTTAGATGCTAAAGAGTTCGAGAAAGGTCTTTGATAATGTAACACGTACGACGATTTGAGCGAAAACGCCCCGTCTTGAGAATGTAACGCATTGTAATTATTCTTTGTTCTCCAAATATCTCCTCTGGCTTATTCTCAGGCCCGGGTTTTCCTTGTTCGGAATCGGTAACTTTGGCCTAGCCAAACCCTTTCAAAGCGCCACTTCGCAAACGGCGTCAACATGCGCGACCGTCATATTCCCTGCTCCCAGTGTTAGATCCGCGGAGGAAGTCAGTATTCACCCAACAAGCCCGATCACAGCCAACAGATCTTGAAAATATCTCCATTTCAATTCCGCTGATATATACACTCCCTCTCCCCACCTTTCTATCTCCCTAAAACTCAACAATCGTATCTCCCTTCCTCTTCCCCCTGAATTCCAACTTTCCCTACGAACCAGTCAGCTCCATCACTACCATTATATCCGCACCCGCGTCCCCAACGACCCGCAAGCCGCCCGTGGCAAAAGCGCCCGCGCAAATCGAGAGGGCAAAGGAGGAAGGGGAAAACTCACATCCGTCACGAAAGCCCAGTATCCAACAAATGCCGGGAAGGCAACCACGTACGCGAACGAGAGGAATGCGGTGCGCTTCGTCCAGCGGAAGTACTTGTGCCGGTTCACAATCATGTCTGCGGGGGTTAGCACCACTCAATCATCCTGCTCACACCCAGTATTATATCGACGGTATGCAATCGTAGGACCCGAGGCGTCGCAGTCGGGGGGGAGAGTTGTGGGGGGACGCACTGTTGTACTTGATGTACGCCGGGTCGATGGACGCTGGGGCAGTGTTAGCAATTGGTCGCCGAAATGGGGGGGACGAGCTGGTAAGGGGGCGAAGGGAGGGACGAACCATGAGGGCCTGCCATTTTGAAGGTTGTTGGCGCTGGCCGGGACTTGTTTATGGTGGGATGTTTCGATTGACAGTGCTTGAAGTCGTTGATGTTGCGATGCGGCTCGTTGAAGCTAATCTGTCACGTGATGTTTAAAGTGCCTTACCGGAATTACTATAGGGCCGGTGGATAAACGCTAGTCCTAAAAGGGTCCCGAGGCAAAACTATAATCTTATCATGGGAATTTTATTTACAGTCAGATTTGAGGCCGGTGTAAGTTTTTTGGTGAAGAAACAGGTATTTGATTATCAAGGCGAGAGAATCGAGCGCGCGTAAGTTATTGGCAATATATAATCTTTGTCATCTTCCACTTCTAGAACACAAATATACCAGCGATCCTCAACTCATAGGGCTAGTACGTCATCGCCGGAACGATACGATCCCGACTGACTTAGCTTGTGAAGAGGACCACGCACCAGGCGCGGCCAAAGACATTTCACCGAGGTGATTTATTAACGGCCGCAAGACTTAGTAATTCAAGTCGCATCTAGACCCTTTGATATCTCCCCATATATACCCCCCTCCCAAACAACTGTAACCACCCTGCGCCCATCAAACCTGAGATACCCAACCTTTCCCTTCAAACATCCCATATACCCCCAGCGTCTATCATGGCCGACGAATCCACCGCACCCGCCATCACGGCGCAACCCTCCTCCTCCACCACCCCAGAAATAACCCTCTACTGGTACCCCCCTCCCCCTCTTGGCCCCCATCCTTGACGTCCCCACTAACACCCCCCAGGCTCGAGCAATCCCGCTCCCAACGCATCCTCTGGCTCCTCACCGAGCTCTCCCTCCCCTACAAGCTAACCGTCTTCCACCGGGACCCTAAAACCTATTTCGCCCCCCCCGAGTTAAAAGCCATCCACCCCCTTGGCAAGTCCCCCGTGATCTCCATCAAGCCTCCCCACGGCGGCCCAGACGTGGTCCTCGCGGAGAGCGGACTCATCGCCGAGTACCTGACTGAGCATTTTGGAGCGGGGACGACGATGGCGCCGGAAAGGTGGCAGGAAGGGAGGGAGGGGGTGGTGGGAGGGGAGACGGAGGCGTGGATGAGGTATAAGTACCTGTTGCATTATTGTGAGGGGAGCTTGATGCCTTTGCTTAATGTTTTGTTGGTTTCTATGAGTAAGTTATTACCCCCACCGAGCGAAAATGATAAGTGGGAGAGAATGCAAGGCTAATAGAGGAAATAGACATCAAAAACGCCCCCGTCCCATTCTTCATCCGTCCCATCACCACACGTGTCGCCGGCGGGATCAGGACGAACTACCTGGACCCCAACTTTGCCACCCACTTCTCGTATCTGGAAGACCAACTCAAGACGTCTCCAGGGGGCGGAAAGTACCTCTGCGGCTCGCACTTGACGGCTGCGGATATCCTGATTAGCTTCCCCCTGATCGCGGCGAAGGGACGGGGAGGCTTAATTCCGGAGGAGAAGTACCCGCTGTTGAGGAAGTACGTGGATATGTTGGAAGAGGAGGAGGGGTATAAGAAGTCGATTGCGAAGGTGGAGAAGGTAGATGGGAAGTTTAGTGCTATGATTTAGGGGGGAAGGAAAGGGGAGTATGGTGTATTAGTAAACTGGCTTGGTGGGTTGAGGGGTAATCCCAACTCGATATTCTATATATATACTCCTATACGACTATAATTGCTACATACGACTATAGACTTAAGAGAATTGTGCATCCCGTCCGCTCTGCTATACACAAGCTTGTGTAACAATATGCTGATATCCGGAGGCTGGTGAAGGCTCTTCTTCGATACAAATTTTCAACAACTTGTCATACTGTGCCATTGTGCTCTGGCCTCCTTGCCCCGTAACCCTCTCCTCATGGTATTGCAAGGTCCGGATTGCCTTGGGGATTATTACCAACCAAAGAACATAATTACTACTTTATCTACATATTCTATTGGTAGGTGCAAACACAGCGACGAGGTAGCTTAAATTCAGAGGGTAAGAGATGGTCTCAGGGTAAAGCTTCCGTTTACTATCTATTATGACTACTGCGTATACCTGCCATTGACCTACTAGCTCATATAACGCTGTACAGAGATCTCCAAATGTGCACACCCAACTCCAACTGGGTATTCTACTAATTACTATTCCAAATGTGCGTGCTTTAAAGCACAATCCCCAATGCTAACCCCCCAACTATCCCTATCATTGCATCTCCATATCCCCTCCTAAAACTAGCACCAGAACCCTCACTAGGCTTCGTCTGTTGATTCACCGTTCCGGTAGCGAATGGCCCGTCGTTTGTTTTCACCGTATTCGTCGCAGAAGGAATAGACACGCTGTCGACAACCCCTGTATTCGTAGCTGTTGCCGGTGGCGCCTCCCCATTATCAACGAACACGTTCCCAAGTGTGCCATCGGCGAGGGTGTAATCTCCAGTCTCAAAATTGATTACGTTGCCTTCAGTATCGTAGTAGTTACTCGTGCTGGTATAACCGTATGAACCGTCAGCGAATGTAAACTTTGTTGTTTGCGAGTCCTGCATGAGAATAGATCAATACACTGTTTGCGGTTCCATCCTATGATATGGACATCTGGATATTGATGAGGGGAAGCTTTACATAGCAGAGTGGGATGTTGTCGTCGCCTAGGACGCCGCATTCCGTTCCACTTCGACAACACAACGCCCCATCCTCCTGTCGCAAATGGAGGGAGCGTTTAATGTAACTTCCAGCGTTGATAAAACCATCAATGATAGCACCGTTAGCGATCCAGTCTGCCGCTGAGGCTCCCCCAGATCCAGAAGAGCCACCGCCAGACCCAGAAGAGCCGCCGCTGGTGGATGAGCAGTAGTAATATGAGGTTCCACAGGATTGTCGAGGCGAAAGGGAGCTTGCGGTCACAATAACAGTGAGGGCGAGAAAGATTTGTACAATGAAGAGGCGGGCCATTGTGAAGGGGGTACAGCGAGATTTTGACCAAATATAAACAGGCTTAAACGTACAGAATATGGGAGGAAGAGCTGTTCTTTATATATGGGTATACACCCACTGCCAGCGCGTTCATAATGCACACTTGATGAGTCTACAACCCTTACCATTGGATGCCTTGTTACGAACTGTAATGTGGCTTTGGTCACATCGTACGTAAGGCTCTAATATTTGGTTTAGGGAGACAAAAGACAAAAGTCTGGGACTAAATGTGCGCCTCTTAGAAGCCGAGCAAATGGGCTTCTTGGAAGACATCGGCATTGGCCGTGTTTGGGGCAAAATTAGAAGCCGCAATCAATAACTTTGGTCTTTATTGATTGTGGCTCAGTGATACGTCTTGGCCACAGCTTGGCAACAAGAAGACATCAGAGCGCGGGCGAGCCCAAAGGTACTAAGTTAAGTTAAGTTTATTTATAAGATTCTCGCTATATGCTATAAGCTATCCTATTGTTCAAAGTATTAGCTGTCGTTCCACGCATTCGTTCGTGTCTGGCGCCTTTTTCCATGTGAGAGTGAGATGCCGTTTTCACAAGTGAACTCCATGATAGCTTCTATAATTCTACTACTATCCAAACATTATTGTCTTTGAACACTCCGTAGGTGAGAACACCAGAAGTAAAATCACCTATTCACATGAAACAATGCAATGGAACACAGCTATTAAACTTTCGCACAAAATCTTCTCATTGCAAAATATATACACCCCAACAACCCAAACACACACTTCCCAATCAAAACGCCTCACATACACACCCAACGCCCTCAATGCGCTCCCTATCCAACCCCACATGTTTTCTACTGCAACATCGCATCCAAACTCTCCCCCAACACCCCCTCAATCTTCACAATCCACCTATGCGTCTCCCTCTCAACCTCCTCATCCTCGTCCTCCTGTAACTCACTAATAAACGGCAACATCTCCGGCAGCAGCGCCAACCACTCTTCACCCAGCCTCTCCGTAAGCGCCTCCTCCGCCTTCACAGCCGCAAGTCGAACAGCTGGCGAAGTGTCGCGCAGGGACTTCATAATCGCCGCATTGAGCGCCTTGTGGTGGTCCGCTGAGTCCGCGACGGCAGCGAGCTCGACGAGCGCGGGCACGAGGTCATCTGACAGGGGTAGCGTGGCGGCGTGCGCGAGCTGCGATGTCAGAGCTGGAGCGAGGACGTCGAAGTGCGAAGGGGCCTGGAAGAAGTCGTCCTGGTCGTGCGCAGCGGCCGCAGCGAGGGTGTTCAGGGCGTGGGACCAAAGCGCGCGGGAGGCCGGGTTGGATGGATCGACAGATTCAAGCGCCGACAGCGCGGAGGGGAGGAGGTAAGTGGTGTAGGAAGTGACGATGGACTTGAGGTGTGTGAAGAAGAGAGTAGTGAAGGTGAAGATAGAGCGGAGGCGGAGGAGGCGGCCTTCGGTGTCCTTCTTTGGGAGACCCGTAGAGGCCCACTCGAGGAGGTTGGAGAAGATGGGTCGGAAGGTCGAGTCGTTGAATTTGTAGATCATCTTGATGGCGACGGAGTTGACGAGGTTCTCGATCTCGGTGATTTCGTCCTCGGAGATATCTGCGTTCGATACGGTCCATTGGCGGCGCAGGTCGAAAGCGGAGAGGAAGATGGTGGAGAGGATGGGAGAGTGCTTGGTCACGGTGGCCTTGGTGTGCTTGTCGATTGCGGTACTCAGAATGTCGAGGTACTCGCGGAGTGCCTGTGGGTGTTAGTTAGGATTCAGAATAAGAGTAGCACACAACTTACAATAGTACCGCATTCTGTAGCAATCGACCAGTTCTTCTGCAGGGCAGTGAACATGTTCTTAGCATCAATCTGCTTCGCAGCCAAGTCAAGGCAAGCAATCCGGCTCTCATCAGCCTCAGCCTCGAGATCCGCCTCAGCGGATTTATTAGAAATAACCAGGAGAGTATCGAGATACGATCCCGAGATCATGTAAGGCAGATGCTCAACAAGCGCATTAATAAATGCGTAGCCAGCATTGTGCAACTTATCGTTTTGTCCACCCTCCTCCACCGTCTTCGCCATGTACTTCAGAGCAGCCGGGATAGCGATAGGAAGCACCGAAACGATGCCTTCCTTGAGGATATCCACAAGCGACGCCAAGCACAGCAGCGACATAACCTGAAGGCGCTCATCATCCTGTCCAAGGCACTTCTCACCCGCAATAGTCTCCGCGGCAACTGTAACAGCGTCCAAGTCCTTCTTACCATACTTCTCAGCGATCTTGTCCACGCAAGAGACAGCAATGTGCTTGTACAGAATATCGCCCGACTCGCGGATGATAGCCGTGAGCTGGGGTAGGAAGGCAAGCATGGCTTGTCTCGCTGCAACATTGGATTGCTTCTCCTGGTCGACGCGTACCTCGAGGGAGCGCAGGATCTTGCGGCGCAGTTCCTCATTGGGCCTGTCGAGGAGGCTCTCAACCGACTTGACGAATTCGCTGGTCGAGAGTAGGCCAAGGACGCGCTCGAGGACGTTGCCACATGCATTGTGTAGCTTCTTGTCAGACTTGACTTGGTCGGCAAGGGAGAGAAGGTTCTCCAACAGTGTCGAGTAGAGCTCACGAACCCTGGATGCATCCATGTCGTCACGCTGAAGAAGTCTGGCGGTTTGATCAATCAACTTCTTCTCGGAAAGAAGGTGAGGAAGCAGTGTAAGTTGCGTGAGCGCCGAGCGGCTTCCATCCGTAGTGCTCGACTCAGATGAGCCCAGAAGCACGGCCGAGATTGTTGGTCTTGGCTTCAGAAGGTCGGCAGCGAGATCAAGGTACTTGACGGCAGTCTGGAGTTGCACATCCACGCTGAACGAGGAGGCAAGATCGACGCTGAAGGCCTTGATGCTCTCAGTAGCGCCATACTTATCAGCAAGCATACCCAGGACAGCGAACAAGAAGTCCTCGGGCCCCAGAGTCTGCACAAGCGAAGTGTAAAGCCCCTTTCTCCTGTGAGCAGGGACGTGCTCGTAAGCAGCGATGAAGCTCAGGAGGAGCTCAGCAGCACCAGTGACAGGTCCCCCCTTCTCCTTGCGCAGCGAAGCGATGAGTGGCGGGATAACCTCTGCGATAGTCTGCTTGATGACATGAGCAGAGTACTCGTCGTTCTGGCGAAGGACTGAGCTGCCCATGAACGTGAAGATAGGCATAACGCTGTGCAGGACCAGTTCGGGCGCAGTGCTCGCAAGGTTAGCAATCAGAAGGAGAGCTGCGTTCTGGACTTGTGGGCTGGCAGTCTTCTGCACGCAGTCCACGAGCAAGTCAGCCCTGACGGCGGAGCGGTCCAACTTGAGACGGGGGTCGGCCTTGTGCGCCTTCATAATTGACAGTAAGCTGCTTAGTACGAGACCTTGGAGGTATCCCAACTCAGATCCAACTTGAGACTTGAAGTGCTGCAGTTCAGACAAGGCATTAAACAATCCTGGCAGCAGCGCCACGTGCTTCTCGGGGTTCGAGTTATCAACCATCTGGAGAACGAAAGACACCTTGTGAACAGCTCCAGTGAGCGACTTCATATCCTGAACAGGAGTCTTTGCAATCTCTCCATGGCTAACACGGCGACGCTTCGTGGCCGGAGGCATGTCTGCAAGCTGTGCGGCCGTTGGCAATTGATTCAGGAACGAGAGGAGAATGTCCGTGGTGAGGTTAACGCTTCTAAGAAGCTCCATAGCTTCAGCCTGTGCAAACTCGCTGTGTCTCGCATCGTCAGATGGTGGCTGCGATAGGTCCATGAGAAGCTGAGCGGTGTTGAGTCTCGAGTCTCCCTTCAGCGATGGCCACATGTTGCGAATTCTTCTGAAGACGGCGGCACACAGTGCCTCCCCTCCAGGAGCGATCTCGCCCTGGGCAATTGAGGCCAAGACCTGGAATCCCTCTTCATCGTTGGGGATAACCACTGCAACGGCCTCATCATTGTACGCGGATACATCAATGTGCTCAGCGTCGCAGTTCTCCTTGGCGGCCTGGAAAGATATCGAGGCTAAATTTTGTAGCACTGGTAGTAGAAGCTTAGTCCTGGTGGTGGTAGTAACTCCGCGGACCTCGTTCAACGCAAGGAGCAACTTATACTTGGCGGCATACAGCGGCGTGTAGACGACATGGCTGGCCAAATTAGTTAAGACCGCCAGACGCAGAGCCTGCGAGAGTTTTGCGGGCTGCTTCTTTGGTGAATCTGTCGACTCCTTTGGACCATTCAGGCTCTTCTCGATGATTGACACAATGTGCTTCTTGTCGATAGCGCATTCCTCCAGGCCGGGGCAAATGATATCCCGGAGAAGACGCGCTGCATTCTCAACCGTCATCCACGAAACACTCGCGGCATTCTTTCCTCTTCCATAAATAGATTTTTCGGCCCAAACCTTAAGACCCTTCGTCTTCTTCAACTCTTCATCTGCTGGGTATCTTTGGGCTAATCCAAGAGCTAACGCTGACGCTGCTCCCCTGACCTTCAGTGCTTGATCGCCGAGAGCAATGATGACATATGGAATGAGTCCCTGTAGGTCGAGCGACTCGTTCGCAGCATCGTTGACGCTCTGGGTAGCACGCTCCAGTGCAGCCGTGCGCGCCAGAACAGGGTATGGACCGGACCAAACGGTACTATAGAAGCTGAAGTACCTAATTGCGTGGTTCTTTTCTGTTTTTAATGCCTGATCAAACTCGTCCAGGTTCTCTTTCGTCGCTAATGCAGCCACGAATAAATCGAAAAACTTGTGGAATGGCGGCGCTTCCGAGCGTGACAGGAATGAGTTGTCATCATCTGGGAGTTGTTTAAGGAGAGCATGGAAGTCTTCGGATTGAACCTCGCTGGTCTCATCCGCGTCTCCCATCTCAACGTCTCCATCTGGTGCCGATTGGATAAGCTTTGGGCGAATGGACGCTTGAAGCTTTAGTTCCAATTCGTCAATATCAACGCTGGCATCATCCATAGCTTTCCTCGCGATGACTCCCGGCTGACCGGGGTACTCTGCTAATGTAGTCAGAGCTCTTGCGAGATCCTGGCGAACATGTCCCTTGGGGTCGATATCCTCATCGATCCTGTAGGCAACCAATAGCAAAGACTTAACGACCACGGTTCCCTGAGCCTCGCTCAATAGCTCATTCTGAACGATATGTCCGATCAATGGAAGCACAGTGGCGTCTCCGGACTTGCCCAGCCTATCGACCAGTGCAAGGACAATGCCGTTGGCGAGTTTGTCGATCCGGCGGGACTTGGATATCTCGAGGAGCAGCTCGGGAAGGCCGTCCACTTTCAGAAGCTCCTTGGTGACACGCTTGGTCATTTGCTTCGCTCCTCTCTGCTGCGCTAGAATCGATAGGCATACGAGCCCAGGAATAAAGGTTTCGGTGGTCCATCCGAGGACAACGGCCTCCATCATGGCGGTCAGGAGCTTGTCATTCAAGCCGCCCTTTGACGCCATTATAGACAGGAGCATGTAGCATCCAATCCTCAATTCAGGGACGTTCTTCATAGCCAATCCCTCATTCAGAGTTGGGCCAAGACGAAGGATGATCTCCTCCTGGTTTTGGGCCTGCACGGCCTCTCGGCCAGAGCGCGCCTTGTCCAGCATTCCACTCACAGCCTCGGTCATAACTCCCGCCCAGAAGGAGATGAGGGCAGGGTAGTTCTGGCGGGCATTGCATATCCTCACGACGTAGGAGTTTAGCAGTGTTGAGAGGGTGGGGTCATTAGTCGCTGCGAATACGATCGCGTGGCGCGGTGGGTGAGTTAACGATCGAACGTAAGGATGTAGGAATCTGTATTGCGCAGGCAGATTTTGCGGTAGGATTGATAGAAGTGTTGTAAATGCTGGTAGGGTATGGTACGGTAAGAACGTCGTAAGTAAAAATGCAGTATTGTACTCGTGTATCCTATTAGACGCGGTCAGCACCTCTGCTCCATTTTGCAATTACTCTTTTCAGAAATCCCATACCTAAATCTTCGAACAAGCCACTCAACGGCTTTTATAGCTGGATTTAATCGTAACCTCGCTCCGACCAAGCCGAGGAATGCCTCCAGCCTCTTATCCAGCTCCGCATTCTCAGCGGCGGTCATCTGCGTCCTGTCCTGCTGCAGGCTCTGCTCGCCAAAGATGCTGCGCTGGAAATCCATAAACCTGCCATCGAGCAGACACAGCTCCTGGAAGCCCTCATGGCATAGTGTGTACAGCGAATCGAAGCTCTGGGAGGCGGCGATGCGCGGCTCGAAGATCAGAGACTTGGAGTGGGCGGCCTTTTGCGCTTTGAGGTCGAGCGACTTGGTGGAGGTGGCAGCTATCTGCGACAGCTGGGCCGCAAGGGAGGTCGCCATGGTGGTATTTGAATCGCGCCCGTGGAGGCCTCTAAGATTGTTGAATGGCGGGCATCACACCGTCGTTGGGGCAGGAATAGAACTTAGGACTTCTTTCGCAGTAGTTCTTTCTCAGTATCACCAAAACTTTTTTGGGGGTGCTATCTCGAATTGCCGGCAGTGACCGCCTATACCAACAGGGTCTAGCGTAATCGATTCTGTTAGGTTAGAGCACAGACTTTCTTTTGTGGGGTTGTATTTGCAATCACGTGATCCGGGGTCCGTCCCTGTCTTAGTCATCAATTTTTTATCATGATTTATTTTTGGTGGGGTGTCACGTGCATCGGAGACTCTCCGATAAAGCCCGATAAAGATTACACCACAATTACGTAGGTACGTACTATTCTGAGATTTTGACACCTGCAGGACCGCCTCACTTATGAAGTCACACTCTATAAAAAGTTTCAGAAAAAAGAATAAAATACTCTCAAATGCTCTAAAAATCACTAAAAATCCAAGTAATCATGTGCAAAAAGCCTTAAATACTATCTAAACCCTGCATTTCCCAGGCCGCATTGGGATTAATCCTGTTTCTCTGCCTTGTCGTGTGGCTGTGTCACTGGATGATAACTCCGTATGACTACCAACCTCTCTCTCCATGTGAGTCAAACCTGCCAACCACCTACACCCAGTTACACCCAGTTACACCCAGTTACACCCACACCAACCACATCCCACCAAAATTTATACCAATCACGCCTCATCCCACACACATCTCATCATCCTCCACTATACCTCAACAATCCCTCGATTTACCGCGCCGCCTGATAGCATCACCGACTCACACCTTCATACACCATAAAGTTGTAAGTACTCGTGACTCTAGCGGGGACAGTCTGGGCATTCGGGAAGCCCTGGAAGCCTGGAAGGTTACTCCTCGGGAGGAACGGGAGGGAGTCATCGTCATATCTATAAAGGTTTGCTACATCTCCTTGGCTTCATATTCTATCTACTCACTTCTCCTCTACACTTTCTACTCTTGCCACTGGCGAAGTGATAGTTTTCCCTTTTCTCGGGGTTAATCCCCGTCCAATTTTGCCCATCTCCTGGATTGAAAGAAGAATCATTTCTATTTCCTATAAATCTCGATTTCCGCTTCTCGCAAACATGGTCATACCAGGTGTCACACCGGTCCCCTCCTTCCCCAAAAACCGTCGCCGCATGCGTCGCGGAGCACGCAAACGCCACGCCCTCTCCCGCAAAGTTGATCCGCGCGACGAGTACCTCGAGGGCGCCTTCTTGGCACACGACACGGCGTTCCTACCCCTTTCGGGTCCCTTCCCAGGCGGCGCACAGCCACAGTCGCTCGAACGTAGCTGGCTGGCATGGATGGCGCACGAGGTGCGGCGCGAGGAGGAGGATGAGCAGTGCCGCCTCTTCGGGGGTGATGCAGACGATGACGTAAGTCTCTGTGCCAGTATGCTCGGCGTCGTGTATGCCCTGTGGGGGGACATCGATTATACCGATCCCTAGTTCTGCATACTGCAGATACATGCACACGTCTACACCCATCTTCTCTCAGTCTTTCACCACTCATCAACCCACTCACTCCACTACACCACCTCACCTCTCTATCCACCATCTCACACCTATCTCCACTCCACCACCATGTCAGTTTCAATAGGGACTCAAGACAAAGGAGACGAGCTTATACAAGCACAGGCGTTGCGCGCTCTTGGCATCCTATACGATTCCATCCGCGACGACGGCGAGAAGAAGAGCGAGGCACCCACACTGGAGTCTGGAGTGTTCACCGCAGGCGTCAACAACGAGGATACCAAGGACGGAGACAAGGACGAGGCCAAGGACAAGGATGTTAACTTTCCCCCTCTCCCCTACCGCCTCTACAACGTCCTCTCCAAACCCGCAAAACTCTCAAAAACAATGAGACGGCACAACTCCCGGCGTTCACCCCTGACAATCCCCACGCCCCCCCTCCTGTCCTCCTACCTCATGGACGACTCCGAGATCCTGCGCCTCACCACTTTGCAATCCCCCCAGGAGCCAGCGGAGAAGGAGACACAGACACTCCAACACCAGTCCTTACCAACAACACACGCGTCGTTCCCCACGCAATTCCCCGTCCCCCTCCATACCCCCGGAGCGACAGACGGCACAGACAAACCCACAGCAACACTCATCACCACCACCAAACTCGCCGACCCATCATGGACCTTCATCCCCCAAGACCCAGACTGGGTCCTCCTAGACGACGACTCGTAGCAGGCCCCGTGACGTTGCTCCCATCCGCGGATGGGGCGCTAGGGCTGGTCCTCGTGATTCTAGATCCCAGTGGTTGTCTTCGGGAGATGAGTACTATGTCCTTAATCCAGCAATTTCTGGATGGCCCTGGTGGCCGATAAGCCCAACATGACCCAGCACACACATCAAAGAGAGAGAGAGAGAAATCAAAGGGGGTGATATAGCTTGAAGTACGAGTTTTATCTTGGTTTTTAGGGAGGAGGAGGCATGCTCGAAGTACGAGTGTGGAAAATTAAAAAATGGTGCCTGCGATATGGAAGGTAGTTGTGTGCTCGTGGACACTGAGCTCGCTGCCTGTGCTGGGTTGGGTGGTGTGTATGATGGCTGTATTGATGTCGCTGGTCGATGGAGGCGGGGCAGGGGGGTTGGGATAATACCCTTCTTGCTTACCTACCTGCTTTTGTAGTTTTGAGTTTAATTATTAATGATATTTTGAGAACATAAGTTTTGGTCTGATTTGATGTGATATGTGTGATGTGATACGTGATTTTGTAGGAATATGAGAATATTACGTCGATTATTAGGCGACGGTCATATTCCTACAACTCAGCTCACAATGACTATATACAAGTCCTTATCGTCTTCCTCGCGATGATATCACATACCAAGTTGCGCCAGACAGAGAAGTCAACGTTCTGCATCAGCTCGAAGACAGCAACAAGAAAAACAGGTTCTTTGATTATCTCTATAAACGCAACTTGACGCAGGTAGTCGTCGCTCATCATTTGAGCCACCAGTTACCCGATACGTGTGCTTCCCGGTCAGTAGTATATTATGGATATAGATATTTCTCCATTTAAAAGCTATCTACCCAAGTTCCTCAGTCCACGAAGGCTTCGCTGTCCCAGTAGGATCATATACAACCAGGTAATATAAAAGTGCTAGTATGAAATTCAAAAATGGAAAAACAAGAAGGGCCTTGTAATCGCCATCGTCGATCTCTAAAAAGTTTAAAAAGGGCACCTTATTAGAGAGAACTGACAAGATAGTGAAAAGCAGGAATAGTAGACCAAAGCACAGAGGTATAGGCCAAACTCCGCTAACAATGTCCAAATATGCGTTTGGATAACCGAATCCTATCATTAGAGAAACATGAATTGAAAAAAGCAATATAGCCGCCGCTGTGGGCACCCAGTCGAATTTATGATGAACCATCGTTGCGGCTTTAATAGATCTCCAAGTGAGATCAACCCCTATGAAATAAAAATACAGCAGGAAGAGAGAGGCACTTATCAACAACGGAGGTAGAAAATGCAGCCCTAATTTAAGACCTTCCATCAGATCCGATGGTCTTATATATACCTCTTCATATTTACGTTGCACGCAAATAAGAGCCCAGTAGCTAACAGAAGCATGCACTGCGCCAGCCACCACCAATAGCACAGTTCTAACAATTCCTAGCAACTTCTCGTGAAACGAGGGCACTTTTGCTAGAGAGGCAACCGGGGGCCGGTCGCGCCAACCCTTAGAAGCCAGGGCGCGAACAATAGCGAGCACGATGTACGGACATAGATAAATACCCGCCCAGACTCTTGTCCAGAATAAGCCTTGCAATCCGAGGAATTTAATCGCTGGTACCAGCGCCGCAAGAAACAAGATAGTAAAAGTCCACGGGTGCTTCTCGACAGCGCTTGCTTCTAATTCAGACTCTCCGCTCCCAAGTCTCGACCTCGCTATTCTCCGGTTCACAAGTCGTGCAGCCTCGGATATGCTCCCTTCCTGATAAGTGTAGAGGCAGAGCGCAATGAGAACTTCCAGGGTATCTGCGACGCATATAAATGGCGAGCTGCGAGCCATGAAGAGCAGGCTGGATTCAGGGCGGTTGATGTCGAGGCTGGAAGGCTGGGTCATGGCGTTTAAAGCGAGGGGGACGAGGCCGAGGAATTCGGTTTGCCATGCCACCTGGTTTGTTGAGTTGTCTGACAAGATAGAGGTGGTTGTCTCTGTTGCCTGTCAGTGAGATGCTCCAGCCTCGTGGACTGCGTCCATACCCTTCACTAATGCTAGGATCTCCCCCGCCATGATGATAGCGCTCGAAAGGATAATTGGGAATGCGAGTTATTAGAAGCTAGGTTTGGTATTATGGGTTTGAAGGAAGATGGAGATAACTAATACTATATACGGGGCCTACGTACTATATGTAGACAGCTTCGGGGCTCCAACTAAATCACAAGCTGTAGCCCAGCCCAAGCTGCATGCAGGTCTCAGATCGGAGGCCGGCACCACATTTCACCGTTGCACCGGCTGCCTACAACATTTTTGAGCAGAGCTGACTACGAAAGAACGATTCTGATTATGAAGACAAAAGCAAGCTGACATCTAAGTTCAAGCTTATAGTTGACTGAATCTTTCGTGCCATCTTTTCCGAGAGCTGACTGCGAAACAATAATTCTGATTCTGCGGACAAAAAGGGATGAGCGAGACTTTATCATCTGCGTTGTCCGCGAAGGATAAGTTGAATTGACTTGGGACAGTCCCACACTCCTCTTCGTTCCAACATGTCAGTAATCTTTCGCCTCTGTCCCTCTTTCACCTTCGCCTGTACCTCGTTCCCCTTTGCTTAATTTTTAGACCTTAGCGTCTTATATTCTTCGTACCAGCTTCTCATTCCCAACAGCGTTGTCCCAATGTAGTAACACCATGTCTGTAGAAGCTTTGAAATTATCACACGACTCCGCAACTCACGATTCATCCATTTCTCTGGAGGTCTTCTCGCACCTGGCAGATCCCACCATGGCCTTGTAAATGGTATCGAACCCTCACGAGTAAAGTAATCGTTCTTGTAATAGATAACTTGCAGCTGAACCCACAGGAGCTGACTCGTTAACCATGCTCTCAGTCGCGTACCAAAGTATGGTATCCCAGCCCAGAACGCATAGAGGCCGCGCAACCACAAAGGTGTTGATGGTAACTGAAAGTACACCTCGGCATCCTGATTGACGCTACAAACTTGTCAATAAAAATCGAGCATCTCTACGGGGCCTTTTAAACGAAACACTGTAGCCTCATTTTCTGCGCCAACCTAGTGCGGATTTCGCTTCCACTGAACTATCGTGCCTGGGCGTAAGGGCAGCACGAAACCTTTCCCATCACCTACATGAAGGCTGGTACCCCTCGTAGCCACAGTAGAGAGGCTGATCATGTAGGAACCTTCTTGCGGCTCGATTGTCTCGCAGGCTTAAGCGGTTTCATGCCAGTGATGTTGAGTTATCCAGGCACTGTAGGGTGGAATAGTGATATCGACGGTAGTCGAGGATGCGGAGAAGTCAAAGGCAACAGGGTCAGGATGGTTGAGACCAAAGATAGTCTGACTGCCGGTTGGCGTGCGCTGGGCTGGGGATCCCAATATCATGCGCCGAACCAACTGAATGAACTTTGACAGAGCTGCGGGCATTGTTTTTGGTCGTTGATAATTTGGCAGGTATTAACACTAATCATTAAAATGTGCAATGGGTGCCTAAACTAGCGTAGCATCTCTACAGCAACCCACTACCGGCTAAGTTAGAAAAAGCTTGGGGTATGTTAGCTCCTTTTTCGGGGAACCGGAACGCATTCCTTCAACATGAACTAAGCACCAAATGGTATCCATCATATCGGAGTACCGGGGATAGGATTTGATTGTTGAGGTTTGTTTACAGTTCCATTATACTACAATAGCGTGTCGCTATATCCGCGCCTTGGGTCAATCTTGCGCGTTCGGACGACGTGTCCGTAAATAGGGATAACTTCGTAAGAGAGCGGCTGAGCAATACAGTATAAACGGGTAGAAAATCTCAGAGACAGCCCCGTGGAGATGGTGCAGAGTATGATACTCACCGCAACCTTCTTGGAGTGGGCAACGGTTGGTTGGGAACTGCGATGTGTGCTTCGATGGTGGTTGTTGGGGTCGAACAGGGGTTCACCACCTTCTAGCCGTGCGCCCTGAGAATGCCGCCTTATTTACGTAGTGAAGAGAAGCATTTCGCTTTTCGCCTTTCACACTTCACTCTGAAGTCAGCCTCCTCCCAAATGGCTTTACCAGACTTCTTTTTTTCCGGGCAGAATTGGAAGGGTACTGATTTCTACGCCGACGGCTCTTCCCGCCGTCGCTTGTTGGATGATCGCATAAAGAAACCAATTGGGACGAGTTATGTCTCTACGCCTCAACTCTCAACAATTCTATCAAATGCAGAATACTCCCAAATATCACCAATGGAGAATTTCACCTAGTTCGCCTGCTTGAATTCGACAATCAGTCTCGATCGATCGCACGGCTTCAACTGAGCTACAAGGTACTTGGTGTCATCAACTGGGAAGGTGCGTGTACTATACCTTGGGAGTTGGTGGAATTTCCGCTTTTCTTAGAAACGGTACCTTTCTCTATGGACGCACCTTGGAATTACGATGAGAATGGTCAACCCTTAGATGAGGACACAAGACGAAGGTGGCAAGAGCGGAAGGAATATGTGGAGAAGGTGGCAAGTGTTGAAGCTTCTAAACAGATTGATAACATGCTGTCGACAACTCTTAATAATCATGACGTCCAGAATTTAGCATACGCCGTGAGGGTCTACCTTGACCCTGGGAAATTAGGCTTTTATGACAAAGTCCTAGAGACATTTGAATCGAAACATGTTAGATAAAGACTTCTGGCTTCCACTTATGCCTTTTCCACACTCTTTTCATTCTCTTGCTGACACTCCCCCATGCTGAACTTCCCCCATTCTAAACCTCCCCAATTCTAAACTAAGTTGCTATTCTTGTCTAGTATTTGTTATATAAAATAAGAGCAAGACACCTGAACAAGGTACGTAAGCTAAAACGGTGCCCGTCCTCTTTTCCCAACAATACGAAACTACTGTAATACATCACGGGGTTTCAAGATGTTGGTGTCTGATTCTGCGTGGTTATTTGGGCCAGAGACCCTCCCGATTTAGAGCAAAGAGAGGTCACCCGAGCTATAATCACATCATTCACCTCGAAACGTTGATTTATCACGTGACTCACCCCCTTACCGGTGATTCACTCCCTACCTATCCAAAGATGGAGTTGATTTGAATAATAAGTCAGTGGTAACTGGTGAGGGATCATCGAGACCATCGGGTGGTGACAACCATCGAGACCATCGGGTGTGGCACCTAGGGTGGCATGGTGGATAAATGGATGTTCAGATCCACAATTTAATCCGCTAGTGCTAGACACCAAGCTTAGGACACCATTATTCAAATTTTCAACGAGAGGGAGGACGGGAAGTTGGCCAATTAGTCGAGGGGAGAGCTCGGAGTTGAAGATGGAGTTGTAGGCTTGGGAGAGAGAGGTCAGCCACGAGCCCAAGTAGGGAGTACGGTGCCATAGTAGTGAAAAAGAACGGAGCAGCAGAGCTGGGTAGCATTCCTTTCTACGAATGTTATAATCGGAGACGTTACTTACTAGCATCGTTGCGAATTCTTAATACGAATGCGTGCGTGTGGGGTTGGCAGTTGACGATGGTTGGTCATCATCGGGCGCTATTTGTCCGATAGACGCGCGCATGTGCGAGACAAAATTTCTCAGTAAGACTACTGGGAACGTAAATCGCGTCGAAATCACCAGTCTCGCAAAACATCAAGATGGACTGTCCAGATATTCCTCCAACTCCTCTAGAGAGAGAGCTATGGGTCAAGGTTCTCCAAACTCCGGACCAAATAACAGAAGCCGAAAGACTTGTTATTTTGCGGCAACCAGACCTCGCCACACAGGTTGCTAATAGTCTCAAAGTCAGTGGACTCACACTAGAACAATTGCAGAACAAAGCCCTCACAAGTCCTGAGTCGATGACTTCTGAAGAATGCCGTTTAGTCCTGGATAGGTATCACATTTGGAGTCCACAAGAGGCGACTGCAAACAGCATACTTCGTTGGGGTCACGAGGACCTTATGGCTCACATCAAAGCCCGTCACGCAATTGCAACTTCTCGAGATAATGCTGTGTTGTTAGCTGCTAGTGTTAGATCAAACGTCTTTGCAGCGGCTAAAAGGAAAGAAATCCAGGCATCAATGAAGAAATACGCTGACGACATGAACCGACCCTGCAAATGGGTACGAAATCTTATTAACCCATCAATGTCATGGAGCGAACAGACTGGACGTTGGGGCTTTGTTATCTTTCGAGATAGTGCCATAGACTGCGACAGTAACAGTGATTCTTGGGATAGGTTTCTGTCTGTCATGGATAGTTGTGTAGATGAAAGTCTCAGACAGATGGTCGGTGGCACAGCCATTATACTAACGAAAGAGTTTATTTTAGCAGACGAGCCTGTGTCCGAGAATAACCCTGAAATTCTACGCAGGTTTGTTCATTTCGTGCCGTTATCCTGAAATTTCTCTTAACTGACACCCATTCTAGCATTTTCCAGCAGCGACTGGCGGAAGAGGCTGTCCTAAATCCTCGCGTTCCAAGCAACACATTTCTACTCGTCACTCCCGAAGTTGTGGATGCGTGCATTAACACTTCTACACCGTGGATATGGGCGTATGACGCGAAGTTTATCCCTTCGGCTACGCCTCCACCTGTATCAGCATCTGGGACAGAGCATTATGAAGGACGATTAAGGGTTAGTTTGTACACATTATTCACCTGGTTTTATGCTGTACGATCTGAGGAGCTCTACAACATGGCCCTTTTTTGGGAGAAGGCACAGAATCAGGGTCAAGTTTGGAGTGTTGCAACTCAGTCAGGCATTTATCACCATCCGTTTGTTCTCCTCGAGAAGGGCTCATCGTATCCATTTAATACATATGAGCTTGACAATGGCCCTTAAGGCATATCTATCTTCAACAGCTTCCGCTTGCTGCGAATTTTATTCCCGTTCGTATAGGTATATAACATTTTTATTAATTAACACTTTTATATAACTATTAAGTTTTAGATATTCTAGTATAGGTAATAGAGTATATTAATGTATTATTATTTGTCTTTTAATAAAGTTATTTAGAACGTTTGTTATTATTTATATGTACCTTTATGTTAGAAATAGCATAGTAATTATCACAATTTATTAACCTTTTGTACATTTACATATAATTTACTACATAAAGATACCTGGAAATTTGGCCCTGGATGCGCGCACTCGCTTCCACCTACGATTAGGTTTTATTCGTTGAAGATTCATTCGCGCTTGGTTACTTTGCATTAGCGATAGTTGCGCTTTGGGGTTAGTCCAGCATGGAAACCACCATCATGAGAAACTACGGTAGGAATTACTGGAAACGTGCAGATGCCGCCATTATCGTATGCTCGGCCATGTTCGCAAAGTTACTGGGTTCCCCTACATTTCCGTAGCGTTAACCCTGTTTTCGTAGAGGCACAGGAAACACTGTTGACGGTAAACTCCTCATTGATCATAGTTTGCTTTAACTAACGAGTGCGTAGGGGCTGCGACGATAGCAGTTCGCGACCAGATACTAAGACACAATCTCTAGACTGGCGCCTTTTGCAGATCATACAAAATAATAAAAAAGTCAGGTTTATCGTTCAAGATGCAGTGCTAGACTAGCCTAGCAATTCTGGCTTTCTCCGGGCCTTCACGCACATGAGCCTCACTTGTGATCCCCGCGCGCCTCAGGCAGTGCCGCCCGATCCAGAGCTGGTGCAGCTTAAGCTTGAGCAGCAAGAGCTTTGCTTGGAGCTTAAGCGTTTGTATGGAGACGCATTTGTTCAGGGTTCGATTAGAACAGAAGCTAGTGAAGAATATCATCAATTAAATAGACAGATTACTACGGTAACGAAGATGCTTGAGCAAGAGCTCAAGAGGGAGTACCAGCAGGACTACTTCTATTATATCTACAAAGAAGAACTTAAGAAGATCATTAAGAAGATCATAGTCATGGCACTAACATATGTTAAGCCTGTCGTTAAGCACTAGCTGCTGGAACGGACCTAGCTTTAAGAAATCATATGCGACCTCTCTAAGGATCTTAATCCACATGACATCGTCATGTAACGGATTTGTGCTATCAACACAATAGTCGAACTATCTCGTCGCTAAGAAGTCTAGTGTTATAAGTCGTAGTTAAGCAAATCGTCCTAGGCATCTTCTCTTAGAGAGTTCCCTATAGTAAAGGAAGAATCGCCTGTTCCTAATACTTTCCCCCTAATCTGCGAGAAAACTCACTGTATATTCTACATTAGCGACGATCGCTAGAGTTACAATAGGCAGATGCGCAAATTCTCAAAACCCAACAAGATGATAGACTATGTTGAGAGGAATTTAGAAAAGAGGACAGCAGGAAAGTATGAATGCTACTACAGTATCTAATTTGCAAGGCCGAAGGGCTACTTCTCAACAACATTATCCATTTTAAGAATCACGTGGAGATGGTGCACGAAATTAGACTTCGAGACGAAAAAGATATATCGTGAACAACTGGTCCCTGTGACATTATCCGTTCCGAGACCCCCCGTAACCTTTGCCTTCTGTCTTCATTCTGCAAGTAATCGTCAGATCCGACTGCCCGCTTCGCTAACTTGTTGTAGGTGTAAATACTAGGACACCCTTCTAGAGGAATACACTCAATGCAGCTCCTCCGTGTTGAATGAACATGATATTATACGTGATACGCAACAGATGAAGAAGCCATAAACCTGCCGGTTAAATAAGGTGTGGACACCAAGGACAAAGTAAATCTACAAATAAATAAAACGACCAAAACATACAACAGTGGGTTGGACGATGTGCGATGAATGGGGAGGCATACAAAGTGTAATGATCTTATTATCTTTACAGTAAAGCTTAAACTCAGTCGAGTGGTGGCTCTGATGGCCACTGAGGATTAAGAGGCGATATATGCCCTTTGTACAAGCGTTTGTATATTTCTTGAAATGCTGAATCTAATCTAGAACTCTCTCATTAGTTGTCCATCCATTTCCACTCATTGCAATCACCCAGTTTAGTGTTAGTGGACTGCTTTCGTACCAAGCTGACAATGTTAGGCAATGGCGGCCAAGATTAGGTGACTTTTATTCGTGGTGCGCTCGTGGGTCAGGAATAGAATAGAAGTCCCTATAAAAATACAGGCGTTGACGCGTTGGACCGAGTTATGCCATAGCTTTTCTCGACTTGCTTGGCTATCGCGACAACCTCAAGGCGTTCCCCTTAACACCTATTATATAAGCTGCCTTTATAAGAGCGAGAACAAGGACTCTAGTTATATCTTGATAAATACCTTACCCTTAGACAACCAGAACCTCTGAGCAAATAGCAAGACACCGGAAGCCATCATCGTGCAACCACCGTAGATCCATAAGTGTTGCCAGTGAAGGTCTACAGCATTGCTGCCAATGACACTACCACCCCCTGGTCCGCCTGCTAGGACGCCGAAACTAAACGCTGCAAAGCCCATTCCAATGCGCGTGCCAATCTTAGACTTATCCGCTGTCAACTTCACAAAGCAAACTCCTGGGAGGGCAATGAAGACGCCGGAAAAGAATCCATAGAGAATTGCGATGGGAACGATACCACCCAGATTTTTTACGGAGAGTATGCAGAAAGTTAAGACACCACAGACGATGCCGGCAGGACCGAATACTATTAACATATTAGTAACTAACCGAGGATCAACAAAATGGCTATGTTCATCTTACAGTTCAATGGGCCAGTCTTATCAGAAATGGCGTTTGGAATTGTTCGGCCAAATATCGATGCAGCGTTCAGAATCGGGACCACGTAGAAAGACATTTCGGCAGTAGTGATATTGGCTGCAGCGGCGAAGTATGAGATATAGAACAACATCGTATAGAGTCCGATGAATCCGATCATAGTACTCAGCGTGAAGAACACTAACGGCCAGTCTGTAAAGGCTGACCAGTCAAGGATAGCCCTCGGCTTAGCCGGTTTGACTCGCATCCTCATGAAGCAGATTGGGAGAAGTAGTGTACCCAGGGTTATGAAGCCAATGACCCTAACGGACCAGCCAAAGCCGATTTGGTCAATCAACTTGTAGAATACAATAGGGTAGATGACTCCTCCTAACGAAGATCCCGACGCCGCCAAGCCCATGGCCAACCCGATCTTCGTGCTAAAGTACGTTGGCAGGATCGCCAACGATGGCACGAAGATCAGTCCCGCCCCAATGCCAATGCAGAAACCCTGCGCAAGCAACACCTCCCAGAAATTCCTGCAAATGCTCAACATCATAAATCCAAACACGATCATAAACGACCCCGATAGCAGCAGCGCGCGGAGATAGCCCCTATCATAGACCGGCCCCGATATCAGGCCGACAACCATGACGCAGTACGCCTGAATGGAGCCGATCCATGAGATGTTAGACGACGACTCGTTGAATAGCACGCCCGTCTCGTAGTACGTCTGGAAGATGCCGAAGGTGTTGAGCACCCCCCATGTATTGAAGAAGATGCAGAACCCGGCGGCGACTTGCAGCCATGCCCACAATCCGCCGTTCGGTTGGCCACTGTTATGGGACGGCGCCGGCGTAGGAGCAAATGTAACGGGTCCGTCTAAGCCAACGGCCTTCTTGACTTCGGGCTGCCCAGCGGAGCTAAGGCGCATCGTTGGGGTGAAGGCACTGTCGGACCACTCTGAGGAGCCGTTGGCTTGCTGGGAATCGATAGCCATTTTCACGACTTGGGATGAATCTGGTCGTTGTGTTGATTCAGAGATCCTAAATACCTTCCACTCGAACAGTTAAAGTGATTTTATAGGCGTGGTAGATTGCTCTTGAGGTTTTGCGATAAGTGGGGTGCGATATATCTGCTGGGCCGTAGGCTTGCTTTGAATAGCATACAAATGTGGTAAAGAATTATTCTTGCTTCCTTATGAATCCTGGCATGATGCGAGTAGTTCAAAAAATAAGTGCTTGGGTAAACGCATGGGCAGTATTTTTAAGTTATATTTAGGCGTTGTTGGCTTCGCGTAACAGGCGGATTCGACGATTAGAATCCAAATATCAGATCCCCTACGACTATTATTGATTTTGCATCATGATTTTGCATTTACAACGTTACCGTCTACAGGACTACTATCCGGCGTTCCGGCTCTATCAGACGCGAATGTCAAACGTTTGCTATCAGAAACGTACTTGGCAATACGGAAATAAAAAATACTCGGTGTTGCGATATCGGAATTCGGGACTCTAGCAGCAGTAAACCCGCCCTGCTTACCCAATACTCGGCCTTTCGGGCTTACGACGGAGCATGCTGATTAAAGACTACTTGAATTCTGCTAACTTAACTGATAACTAGAAGTGAGTCATGGTATTCTACTGTAGCTCCCAACTGCCGGCGAAGTTTGGCATTCGATCGTTGAAGAAAGTGTGGAAGAATGGGAGAATACCCCACCCAGTCGGCGAAATCATCACTTGTTAACTATGATAAGCAAATATCTATAAGTTAGCATATCTATAGCATATAAAGAAGTGACTCTAAACATCATGTTCTAGCTGTAAAATATTTTGAGAAGTTCATTAAGCTTTTGACTCTGCACCACGCACTCTCATAAATTGTTGGGATAAATCGCAAGATGACGTCAACTATCATCCTCAAAGGCGGCACAGTCCTCTACCACGACGATGCCGACAACGTGACTGCCTTAAAGGATACCGACGTCCTCGTCACAGGAAATCTGATAACGGAGATCGGCAAGAATATCAACGTGCCTCCTGGCACGACAGTGATCGATTGCCACGGCAAAATCATCTCCCCCGGATTCATCGACACGCATCACCATATGTGGCAGACCCAGTTAAAAGGGCGTCATATGGATGAGACGCTGCTGGAGTATATGGCATCAGGTAAGGTGATGTTTCCTAGATAATGAGAGGAGTGCTAATTAGTATGTGCAGGGAATCCGCAGAGTTTTAACTACACGCCGGAGGATATGTTCTGGGGCCAGCTAGGAGGATGCCTCGAGGCCATTGACGCGGGGACCACGTTCGTTCTCGACCATTCGCACAGTATATATACAGCAGAACACGGTATGTCGTTTCTGCCTCTCACTCGTCCAGCCTGCGACCCCTAACATACCCCAGCAACCCAATGCCTGGCCGCAAGTTCCGCCTCTGGCCTTCGCTTGATCTACGCCTACTCAGCCGTCAGCATCCCCCTCACCTCCTGGACCAAAGACTCCATCATGCTTTCATCCGACATCCTTCCCGCATGGTCTCTCGACCAACTCGAAGCCCTAGCGACCTCCCAGCCTTTCGGCAATGGCCGCGTCACCATCGGACTGGGCTTCGACTTCTTTTTCCTCCCTCGCGAGATAATAATAGGGATATTCAACCGATTCCGCAAGGCGGGGGTTAAAGTTATTACATGTCACGTTTCGAAGAACGCTGTTTGTGGTCCGTACTTATCACTTACCTCTATCTCCCCCGCGCAGCTTCAACAGCGACTAACACAACCTCAGGCACCGGCTCAATAGTCACGCTGCTCCACGAATACGGCCTCCTAGGCCCAGACATCGTCCTATCCCACGCCACAGGTCTCACACCAGATGAACACGCCCTCCTCTACTCCGCAGGTGCCAACGTCTCCAGCACACCCACCTCCGAAGCGCAAATGGGGTTAGGCTGGCCCGTTGCCCTACACAGCGGGGTACATGGCTCACTCGGTGTCGATAGCCACGCCTTCTGCGAGTCGAGCATCCTATCTGAAGCGCGGACGTTGTTGCTCTTGGCGCGGCAGGAGGGGAACCTCAAGCTGTTAGAGAGGGGAGAGTTTCCACAGCGATTGGTGGCAAGGGCGAGGGATGCGTTTAATCTTGCTACTGTGGGAGGGGCGAGAGCACTGGGGATGGAGGGGAAGATTGGGAGGGTGAGAGTAGGGTATTTGGCGGATTTGGTGGTGGTGGATGGGAGGTCGCCTGCGATGTCGGGGGTTGCGGAGTGGGATCCTGTGGTGGCGGTGTTAGGGCATAGTAGTGTGAGAGATGTGGAGACGGTGATTGTGGATGGGGTGGTGAGGAAGAAAGATGGGAAGCTGGTAGCTGTAGAGCTTGAGGGAGGGGAGAGATTGGGATGGGAGGCGGTTGCGGAGAAGTTGGCAACGAGTCGGGAGGAGGTGCAGGAGAGGATTGCGACGGTGGAGGTGGGGTTGGCGAAAAAGTTGTTGATGGGGATGTGGCATATTGATGAGAGTAAGATTAAGGCTGTCGCGTGAAAGTAGAGGGCTTCTGAAATTGAGTAGTTCTTGTAAGTTAATACTTTTCATCATTTTATAGGGATTATCCTGCTGAAACGCCCGTAGAGTCAGTCCTATTAAGTAAGAAATTAATGTATTACTAACTATGTAATCTACTCCTAGAATTTACTAATATTCTGTACGGAGATCACATGAGATCATGTAACTATTACAACACAAATTGACGCCAAACTGACACGAAAATGTTGCTTCGCCTCACTCACCCTACTCACCCTACTCACCCTGCTCACCCCTCGCCTCACCCTTCAGGCGGCAAGGGGCCGTGATTCCGCGCTATGCCTATTGGCACGATTGAGACCATTAATCTGATGTTACGCAAGCTTGTGTATGGCAGAGCGGACGGGATGCCCAATTCTCTTGAGTCTATGGTCATCTGTGACTGTTCTACAAGTGTAGATAAATATATAGTGATAAGTGGTAAGACTCATTTCCGCAATACCTATACTGCACCTAGATAACCCCATACATGCATCCATCCTACACTAAAATACACCTCCCCATGATATCCAAGCCGCTCAAACAACGCCACGCTATTCACATCCCACCCAAGAAACATCTACACATACCCCCCCAACCCCTCCTCCTCCCTCCAACAACTCCCACAATACCCCCCGCCCTCCCCCCCAAACATCCACTCCAGCGCCTCTTTCCCCACCTCCGCATCCTTCCCCCCACCCACCCTCCGTCTAAGCGCCTCACACCTCCCCCCTTCCCCCCTAACCCACTCCTCCCATTCCGCCTGCACCACCGCGCGCTCGACTCTATTCACCACCCTCAGCGCAACCAGTAGATCAAATCTCTGCGTGGCCAATGACTGACGGGCTGTTAATAGGCGACGCGCAGAGGCAGTGGAGGATTTGGAGCGCGTGATTAGCAAGGAGTGGGGGGGGTAGGAGGAGGAGGAGTGGGAGGGGGAGTGAGAGGCGGAGAAGGGGGCGTCGAGATCGGTTGTGTTTGTTAAGGATAGGAATGTTAAGTAGCTTGGGTGTGTTAGCTGTGCGTACAAACTAGGGGTGACTTTAAGGATAGAAGAATAAAAATGAGAACATACCAAGGACTCTCCTCCCGCCTCTCCCCACCAACCCGAACCGCATCATCCAGATCCGCAATAAACACCGCCTTACTCATCATCGTGTTAGGTCCAACCCCCAACCTTGCCATATACTTCGCCGCACCCCTCTCCGTCCACCACTCACTAGCGTCCTTGCCTGACATGAAGACATTCGCCAACACACTCAGTGCCAAGAGAGACAATAATATCGAGTTCGCGCTCGCGATACTCCATGCCTTCTTGAGTAGCGCAAAGGTCCACATCATTATCACACTCACTGCCGTCTCGAGGAAAGAAGACGTGCGCTCCCATACTATCGTTCCGAGAGTTCGTTGCTTTATAGCGTGTCTGGCAGGCAACGCGCCATCAGCTGAGGAGAAGAGGGATACAGACGTCTGCTGTCCGACATGTCCAAAGATCTGCACAGCCTTCCTCGTTCGTGCCGAAGGTCCCAGTTTCCGAACCTGATCCGCCACGAGATCCGCGAGGTCAAGTGCATCAAGATCCAAATCATCCGTAGCCTGTCGCTCCACCAACCCCTTCGAGAAAGCCGGTGCATGCGACCACTGCACTGCAGTGAAAATAGCTAGTTTACACCTTGACTTCGCGACATGAGTAATAACAATCTTTTTCACAAGCTTGAAATCCGCGTGATGCGGTAAGTGCCAGGGTGTCTTGTAGTCCGAGACGACATAGCAGACGTGATCGTTCAACACATCGATGACCTGGGAATCAACAACATTAGCCTGTCGCTGCCGCCGGAAAAGATCCGTATAATCGATCTGAAACGAGAAATCCCGCTGCATGTGCCCTTGCGCGTCGCCCTGGCGCTCGAGCGGCGTCCACGGTCCCTGGGCGATACGCTGTGCGCGTCTCTCATGGTAGAGGAGTTGGAATACCGCAGACTTATCGCCGAACAGTACGTGAAAGAGGGATTTCGGACTCGTCTCGAAGATGCGCTCAACCGACTTATGCGGCATATCCGGCGGCTCATAGATAACAGGATGAGCAGGAAGCTGAAACTTCGGCGGCCTTGGAGCCTCAAGCGTAGCGCCGCGCGAGACGTGAATAGCGCGTTTAAGATCGCGATCACGGCGGTTGGCGCGGCGTTCGTTGAGCGTCGGGAGGGAGAGGTCTTCCCAGCTTGAGTTGCTGGAGCTGGGGGGTTGGGCGTCTGTCTCGAGCTTGACGAGGTCGGTCATGATTTCCTCGAGGGATTTGGGAGATTGTTGTTGGTGGGACTCGATGAGGTAGTTTAGGCGCGATTGGAGGAGGCGGAGGGGCTCGAGGAAAGTCTTGATGGTGATGCGTGTGAAGTCGGATGTTATGGCGCTTTCTTTGAGGTGGAGGAATAGGAAATCGCAGTCTTTGCCTGGGGCGGCTGTTACTTCGTCGATGGTGTCTAGTGAGGCGCTGGTGATCAGGACGAGGCCGAGGTGGTGACTGTAGAAATACATGTCCTTCTGGGTAACATAAACACGTCCCGGGAACTCCTGCTGATCATTCGGATTCCAAGTCGCACGAAAGACAAGAACCACCTTATCCTCCCTCGGCACATCCGCAAACAGCGTCCTAAACTGCGCTTCTTGCGCCTTCAATTCAATCGGATAGTTGCTCGGATACTCCTCCCCCCTCACAACCAAAGCCTGAGGACCCCCCGCCTGCGCAGACTTCGAAATCTGCGAGGCCGACGAAATCGTATCAACACTGAACGCCTTCCGATGCTGCGGCGACGGCGGCTGCGCCTTCACCCCCGTCTCGATATTGGTGCTCACCGCTGTCCCCGTCCCCGGTGCAACAAGCATCTTCTCAACCGTCTTGCCCTCCTCCTCGCCCGGCGGCTTCGGCGACGGCGTCCTCGTCACGTTCCGCGGTTCCGAAAGATCAGCTCCGAGTCGGTTGTTGTAGCCCCAATTACTGCTTCCCCAGAGATTGGCAAGGATACCATTCGGCATGCTCCCACTCGCGTCGCTCTTGCCCAGCCCAATGCCTCGCTCTCCACTAACCACCACGGCCGTCTTACTCAGATTCGTCGGCGCCGGTGGATTCGCCAGCGTGGACGGCGCGAGAGTGTTTGTGTGGAACTCGCTCGGTGCGGGCAGTGACTTCAGCGTCCCCGACTGCGTGAGCACAGGCGGCGCATACACAGGCAAGATATTATGGCTAGCCGAGATGAGACTCCCAATGCCACCAATCGCGCCAAACGATGGATTCGGCGTCGGAGGTGCCACGGCATCCTGTCCATTAGCCGTCGCGCGACGGTGCAAGTCGAGTTTCTGAATAATTCGCGCAGCGTGATCGCGGCCGCTCTCGCCTTCCTCACGGCCCCCGCGGCGCGCAGTCGAGGCGTCGACGCTAGGGCGGGGGGCGTTGCTGAGCTCAAAGCTGGGGATGGGGAGAGTGTTTCCACGGTCTAGGGGGGCTGCGGTGAACTCTTCGGTGGTGGACATTTGGCCTTCTGTCTTGGCGGCGAATTCGGGAACTGACGGAGGTGTGATGGAGAATGCTGGGTCGAGGCCGGTGGATGAGTAGTATACATCAGCGCTTGCTTTGATGGCGTTGTTCTTGGCGATCTCGAAGCCCTCGAGCCACTCCATCAGCTCGCCTTGGGTTTCGGCCTGTAGCAGGATCGTTGCGTTTTTGGTCTTGACCTCGAAGCAGAACCTTCTATCCTCTAAACACTAGTCAGCATCGATACAACGTCAAGTAAATAAACTCCAACTTACCACTAACGGCAGGCTTCACATTACAAAGCAGCACCCCAATCTTCTCACTCTCCTCCACCCCACCACTCTGCGACCCCTGCACCAACCACCCAAAAATCCCATTCTTCACATAAAACCACCTCCTCACCCACGTCGTCCTCGCCGGCTTCCCCGAAATCACGCGCAGACACAACCACCCCTGCTTCTCCGACATCGAGCTCGCCTGCAGATTCAGCAGCGACGGTCCCTTGGCCCCAATATACGGCACAGTAGACAGATTATAGTCCTCCAGCTCCCGCGACGGCTGCGCTGCCACACTAGCCGTCTGCGCGATCTCCTTCCGAGCCGCCTGCAGCTCACGGCGGAACACGTGCTCGCCAGAATCCATTTCGCGACTCCACCCTTTTATACGCTCCATCTCAGCGTTCCAGCGTGTGGCGTTCACGCCGGCTAGCTCGCGTGACTTCTTCATATCCTTCCATTGCTCTGTTGATACTTTGACGAGGAGCTTGTCGAGGGTGAATCGCACCTGTGGCGCGAGGAGGCAGAAGTCTAGCGAGGCTTTCAGGTATGCCTTGCGCGTCTCGTGGACTTGGAATGCGTCCTCCCGCAGCGACGACGGTTCCTTTGTTTTCGACTGTCCCATGTATCGCGCGAGTGTCGTATCAAACACCCGCTGTGACTGCTCCAGGTATCTCCGTGCATCCTTGAAATTCCGCAGCTCGCCGCTCATGAAGGCCTTGAGGGGATCCACCATCATAGTCTCCATCCGCTTCGCCCCGCCCACGAACTGTGACCACCAGTCTCGCGATCCCTCGCCGAAGCGCTGCATAGCGAGGAGTGTATAGTCATGATCGAAAACGGCTTCGGAGACATTGATAGGTGGCATCGAGCGGCTGAGGAAGGTATTGATAGTTTCCTCAAGGGCGCCAACATCGTGGATCAACCTGGTCGTCGACTTCACATACGCATCGAGCCAGCGCTCCACCAGCTCGACTTGGTCGGAGAAGTGAACGGCTGTGGCGCGGAAGGTGGGCGAGTCGAGCGCAGCTTCCTTGAGGCCGACGGGGAGGAGTGTCAGCGGGATTCCGGTCTTCTCGAGGGCAGGCGGCTGCAGAGCCGCCACGACTTCGGACATGGCGGATGGGTTGGCGGTGGTGGTTTGAACAAGCGGTGTTGTCGGTTTATGTACTCTCTGCCCGCATGATTCTAGGTGGGAATATTGTTTACAGACTGGTAGGGCGCTTGTATAGACGCACCCAGTGTGCTCTTTTTGTTCAAATCCGTATATGAATACGCGTATAGTTCGGCATTCTGGTCAGCCTCCTTCGAGTCTGAGGTCGTCATACAAACATGGTCAAAGCTCCCGAGCCTCAGTCACTCAGGTCCCATGTGGCTGAACTGAAACTCTCAGGGTACAAAGGTACTTCTAGAATGTTAGAAGTGTGGCTGATGATATGTGATTGTGGCTAGTGTTGTTGGGTTGGGTTTGGTTGTGGCTTGACAGGTAACGGGATCAATCACGTGCTTCTCGACTCTCAATTTGGAAGTGTGGGGGGGCGGTTTTTTCTGGAGCAGCGTAAGCGCGGAAACAAGGAGTTAACCAGCATTACCCAGTATTACCCAGCACTAGAAACTGTACTAGAAACTATACTAGAAGCTCTCTAAATGACGATCGGAGGCGCGGAAGTGCGGTGAAGCTGAGGCAGTGCAGGCACTGCAGATGGGGTACATGCGTTAGTATGTGCGTACATGTGCATTAACAGTAATAGGACGGAGCTACGGTATATCCGCGAACTCATCCGTGAGTAGCTCGTTACTTCCGTCGAATTACCAGGTATCTCTCGTTGTTTTCGCCGTTCTAATTGCTGGTGATTTGCTTGCTTTGAATACTAATCTTCTCAATCTGTCAGCAATTAGTAAACAAGCTCAGACACCACGGCGATCCTCGCTGCCTTGGTTCTTCCTTGGGACCTGCCTGGTCTTGCCTGGCTCCCGTGGCATGTCAGCGACGAAAGGAGATAGCCTTCCGGGCGCCCTGGGTGATTCGCCGTCGTCGGGATTTGCTTTGGATGGGATGGTTGGGGTGGCGCTGAAGGCGGTTGAGACGGCTGGGATGGGCTGGGATGGGTTATGAGCATCCCGTTATAGTGGGGGAAAGTGGAGGGAAGTGCCACCAGAACAATTTCCAGAAGCTCTTTACGTACAGAATTGTACTGTACCAGCGCAGTACAATGCTGTTCTGCATGCCCTGGAGCGTAACTTTTAGTAGCATTGTCTGTGCTTAAAGAGTTCTGGAAATTGTCATCTAGTGGATTCCCTAACAGTGGAATCCACCCATGTGGATGCACGCTGGAGCAGCCTCCTCCGGTGTGGAGAACAGGAAGGCGCGAATTAGGACAGCCTCTTGACGATCGCTCCTGCTAAAGGCATATGAAGCGAATATCAAGTCATGTAATGTGCGTGGAAGCCACGACGGGCGAGGATGTCTCTGACTGTACAGGTGTACACATCGTGGGATGATAATGGATGGAATGGTAGGATATGATATGCTCCTCCTGGGGTCCTATCAGGTCAACGCGGAACGCTGGATTCAACAACGCTGAACTCAACATTGAAACGCCCCAGCTCCACACTGATATGCATCTGCACGGATATAGCACACCCAGTGATTTGTAAGGACTGAATAGCCCTCCCTCCCCTGCACCTTCCAAGCTTTTCTCCCTTCCAGGCTGTATATTAACCTCCACCGGCCCCAGCAGGGGTCAACGTGTGGAAAAGAACGTGGGATGGGGATGGGGACGAGTGTGCTCTGATGACGCTGGCGCCTTGCGCACTGGTTGCTATACGATCGTATTCACCGAACGAATGGATATTGCCGTCCCAGGGACTGGTCAGTTGGTAAGTCTACGCGGTGTGTCAGTCATGTCAGAAAGGCGAAAGAGGAAGGAGCAAGAGAAACCGAGGCACAGTTGTTTCAACGACTTTACGGGGGGGTATATTGTATGAAATGAGGCCGGCGGTGATTTGTGTATACTCCTGCTCGACGCCAATGTTGCTCTAGACCTCAGCATGTGTTGACGATCCCCATCAAAATAACCTCAAGAGTAAGGGAAGACGGGATGATGATGGACATTAGCATGGGGCTTGGACATGGGGAAAACTTGTTAAATGGTATTAGATGGTATTAAATGGTAGGCTGGTAACGGTCTGAATGGTCTGTAACGGCTCCAACCAGATCCCTAGTGTACGTAACGGCACAGAAGGGTGTAGGTGCATACTTCTAGTAGGAGTTAGTAGTGGGTAGTAGTGGTCTAGTAGAGTTACGGCAACTTCCGCCATCACAGCGGCGGGTTGGGACTACACTAACTGCAACTGCACTAAGTGCCCTTACCGCACGTACTACTACCCTACCACGTACTACACCACGCACTCTGTCCCGCCCCCATCAGCCCCCATCAGCATTTACCCCCGCCCGTTATCTCTCAATTTACTTAATTTACGGTTTTACTAATATTACACTTTATTACTCTACTACCACCTACTCTCCTACTATATTACTCTACTACTACTATTACTACTATTACTATAGTAAGTAGCCAACTACTACTACTACTACTACTACTACACGGTATATTCCGAACATATATTATACAAATCTACCTCCTCCTTCTTCTTCTTTATCTCCAATTTCAACTCCAGCTTCATTCCCATTCGGCCTTGTACACACTTACGTATACATACATATACCCTATACCCGGTACAGTATTTAAAGTACTTACTCCAACCCACTAAAACCACTAAAACCACCGCACCGCCACGGGTCTGTTACCAGATCCGTACAGGCCTGTCCCCTACGGCCCTATTCTACGCTGCTACCGCCGGTATGTATGACCCGCACCTATCGAACGGGGGGGTTAGAAGGAGAGAGAGGGGATATCCTTGCAAAACCATTCATCCCGCCCGATTTATCCACTGCCCAATTTATAAGATCTCGGCCCATGCAAAGCTAAACAATTGATGACCGATCTCTATCGCTTTTCGGCGTAGGAAGTTGACCCAGGACTGACTTGTGTGTCCACATAGGGAGATAGAGAAGAGAGACGACGGGACGAAGAGATAAAGCCACAGACCCAGATACCCAGGGAGACCCAGAGAGCGAAAGGGCGAGAGAAATCAATCGTTGCGCCGCCCTGTACATAACGACGTCGTTTGTTCTCCACTACCGTTTGCTCTGATCCGAACCCGCCTTCCAATCCCAACAATTCCCCAGTGGCAAACGCAAGCCATTGCGACGACTGCAGACGCCTCGACAAGAAGACCTTGACTGCGCCAATGCCTGGGCGATGACTTTTCGAAATTTATCATGATCCAGACACAGCGCGACGGCATCAGAGCGTCATCAAGCTGGAATAGTTCCGCACCGAGTGCCGCCCCACCAGGAATCGACCTGCCGGCCACCCGACAAATATACACATTCTCACCACAACGAGCTACACTTCGAAAGCCATAACCGCGGGGTTTATGTGCGCCCCAACAGGGCCACCGTCTCGACTCGAGAATTCTCGACGGCCGACGCCCAATGCTGGCAGCGCCGCAGCCATGGAGAACGGGCAGCCACAGATGAATGGGATGGGGACCGGGCCCTTTATGGATGTGACATATCCATTTCACGACCTACCGGGCTTCGATACCAACGGGCCAGTGGGGGCAAAGATGGAAGATGACGAAGATATGCAAGCGTCGCTACGAAGCGGCACAGACGAAATAATACAAGAGGCACGCGATAACGAGGATACCACTCCCAAGATGGAGGAATCGGCAGACCACAATGGCAGTCAAGATATGTCAGGTGGCGAGAGCCCTGAGGGCAGCCGCGCGCGCGGTACCTCGGCGCCAGACACCTACGACGAGTTCGGGCTCAACGATACGGGAGCCGGAGATGGCACCGACCTGGGCAAGCCCAAAGAAGATAAGAACGAGACGCCCGCGTGGACGGAGCTGAAGACCAAGGCAGGGAAAGAGCGCAAACGGCTACCGCTGGCGTGTATAGCCTGTCGACGCAAGAAGATCCGGTGCTCCGGCGAGAAGCCAGCATGCAAGCACTGTCTCCGCAGCCGCATCCCCTGCGTCTACAAAGTCACAACGCGCAAGGCGGCGCCGCGCACAGATTACATGGCCATGCTGGACAAGCGGCTGAAGCGCATGGAGGAGCGGATCATCCGGATTATACCCAAAGACGAGAACGAGTGCGCGTCAGTCGTGCGGGCACAGGTCAAGCCCGCCATTCCTGGGACGGCGCAGGCGAAGCCGGCGAGTTCGAAGAAGAGGCCCGCGGAGGAGGCGTTTGGGTCCGAGTTGCAGGCTTGGGCTACGTCGGCAAAGGGGACGGGGACCGAGGTGCTGCCGGCGTCGCTGGCGGCGCATGAGGCGGAGGAGACGAAGTTGTTGGTGGAGGGCGCGGAGGCGCTGCCGGAGAAGGAGGTACAGGAGCATTTGGCGGAGGTGTTCTTTGATAATCTGTATGGACAGGCGTATCATGTTCTTCATAAACCGAGCTATATGCGCAAGCTCAAGTAAGTTTTACCCAAACTCCCATATCCAGGTCGGATTCTTACAAAAACAGAGCCAACACTCTCCCTCCAGTCCTAATCCTGGCCGTCTGCGCCGTCTCGGCCAGATTCTCGACACATCCAAAAGTCAATTCTCACCCTGCATTCCTGCGAGGCGAATCCTGGGCGGCTGAAGCGCGCAACATAGTCCTAAAGCGCTACGAGTGGCCTAATATCACAATCCTGACGTGTCTCCTGCTCCTCGGGCTCCACGAGTTCGGGACTTGTTACGGAGGCCGCAGCTGGGCGCTGGGTGGGATGGCGATACGCATGGCGTATGCGCTGCAGCTGCACCGCGACCTAGAGTATGACCCGTGCAAGCCGCATTCGCGCGTGCGACTGAGCTTCATTGATCGAGAGATCAGGCGCCGCACGATGTGGGCGTGCTTCCTGATGGATCGGTTTAACTCGTCCGGCACGGACAGGCCAATGTTTATCAAGGAGGAGACCATCATGGTGCAGTTACCGATCAAGGAGGATTTGTTCCAACTGGACATCGAAGGACCGACCGAGGATATGAAGGGCGATGTACCCTTCCCATCAGCCGGAGGCGACGGCGAACTCTCCAACGCCCGCGAAAACATGGGCGTCGCCGCCTTCACCATCCGCTCCATCGCGCTCTGGGGCCGCATAATAATCTACTACTTCCAAGGCGGCCGCGACCGCGACCCCGCCCCTATCTGGGCCTCGGACTCCGAATTCGCCGACCTCCGCATCCAATCCGAAGCCTTCGAGCGCTCTCTCCCCGACCCCCTCCAATACACCCCCGCCAACCTCAGCGCGCACGAGACACAGGGCCTCGGCAATCAATTTCTCTTCCTCCACATCACAATCCAACAAACCATCCTCCTCCTCGCACACAACGCTGTCCACTGCTCCGTCCCCGGTCCGCCCCGTCCCGCACCACCGGCGGAGTTCATCGAATCCACCGCCGCGGCCGCCACGGGCGCTGCGCAGCGCATCTCCGCCCTCCTACGCGTCGCGGAGGCGTACCCGCTTACCGCTCCGTTCGCGGGGTACTGCGCGTTCCTCTCTAGTACCGCGCAGATGCCTCTCGCGTTTTCGAAGGACGAAGCTGTTGCCAGTCTCGCGAAACGGAATCTCGCTACTAATGTGCGTTATCTCACTAAGATGAAGCGCGGGTGGGGCGTCTTTCACTGGACTTCGGAACAGCTTAAGAAGCACTTCAAGGCGTGTGCGTTTGCGGCTAAGCGCGGGGGGGTCGCGGGTGAGGCGAACGTCGTTACTCAGTATGGCGATTGGTTTGATCGGTACCCGCACGGTGTGTCGCAGGGGGATTTCGAGGAGGCGGCTAGGCCGAGTGGGGAGAGTGGGGAGGATGCGGTGTTAGAGCCCAAGGGTGGTGGGTTGAGGACGGTGGAGGAGTTCGTGCATAGTATTCCGCCGACTGCTGCGACGCCGGTGCAGGAGGGGCCGAAACAAAGTAAACGGAAGAAGAAGCCTACGCCGCAGCAGCAGCAACAGCAGCAACAACAACCTCCACCCGCGACGTCACAGCCGCAACAACAACCTCAGCAGCAAATCTCATCACATCCCCACCACCAAGGCCCACTACCTACGCACCGCCAACAACCACACCCCCTCCACATCCCGCAACAACACGCCGCACTCGCCCAGCAACAACAACAACAAACGATGTCCCCCCACGCCCTCTCCCACTCCCCCCACCTCCTTCCACACTCTCAACATCACCAACCCCAACATCCCCAGCAACAGCAACAACAACACCACCCCCAACAACCACAACCGCACCCCCAACAACAGCAAAACTACCCACACACCCCCTCCCCCGCCTTCAACCACAACCCAACCCCCTTCTACCCCTCCCCGTTCCCCCCCGACATAATGCCCAACCTCGACGCCCACCTCGTCTTCAGCGCCTACAACGCCCCCGCACAACGAGGCGGTCCATCGCCCTCCCCCGGCGCCGGGATGTGGTCGCCCGTCGGGATGGAGGGGTTGGATCCTGGGATGACCACTCCTGGCCAACAGAGTCAGGGCGGTCAAGTCGGTGGCGGCGGTGGTGGTGGTCAGGGAATGGGAGGGGGGATGGGAGGACAGCAGGGCTGGATGGCGCATCAGCAGACCAGCGCGTGGTTTATGCCTTTTAACATGGCGCCCCCGGATGTTGGGGGGGGAGGGGAGGAGGCGTTTCTGGGACTGGGATTGGGGCTAGGGGGAAATGGGAATGGGAATGGAGGAGGGACGGGGTTGGAGGGGGGAAGTGGGACAGGGTTTGAGGGGGGGATGATGGGGGAGATGGGGATGGGTGGGTTTGATAATGGGGGGGTGTAATGGGGTTGAGGGTGGGAGTGGAGAGATGCAATTTTTGGATGGTAGCATTTTTTGGGGGCGATGGCATGGATGATGATGGGGTGGGGGTGTTTGGGAAGGCAGGGGGGAATTTGTAACAATTTTTGGGGTTTGGGAGGGACGGATTATTGTATTTGACATGATGAGAGGGGGGGGGGATTTTGTATGTATGTATGTATGTATAAGATGTTCATATGGAATATGATCATGTGGTGTCAAATATATACGCATTATGAAGATATTGTTTTAATATTTTTAGTAAGAAATTACCCCTATTTTTGAAGGATTTGAAATATATTTGAAATATTCCAAAAGAATAGCGAGACTATAACATCCACCCCATCGTAGTAAGTAGCCCCTGAACTGAGCGTCAATATCCAATTCATTGATGCTGGCTCTTGCTGATACCCATTTTCTGACCATTTCTTAACTTTCGGAATCCGCGATGCTGGTTCCACCGATTACCGCACTTGACAAGTTTGATGGAAACTACCATACCCAGTGATGCCCACGATGGAGCAATACTTGAAGGAAGGCGGCCGGTCGGGTTTATGGTATAATTGACATTATATATCTTGTCTAGCACCGTTGCATAGCAGAAGCTCAGCAATCTCGTGGTGGCCTATATCCAACGCGGCCTGGAGTGCGTTCTTGTAGCGTCCGCCTTGAGCACCGTCAGCCTTGAAGTATCCGTCTCGAGCGCCTTGCGCATTGACGTCAGCGCCATTGCTTAGCAGCATCTTGACGATTTCCAAATGGCCATGAGATGATGCCGCCTGAAGTGCGTTGCCATGGTATCCACCTTGTGCGTTAACATTAGCATCCTTACTTAGCAGCATCTCAGCGATCTTGCTATAGCCTCTAACTGATGCTAGCTGGAGCGCATTACTATAGTATCTACCTTCAGCGTTAACATCAGCACCTCCAGTGAGTAGCAGTCTAACAGTATTATCATGGCCTTCACTTGTTGCTGCCTGGAGTGCAGTACTATAGCGTGCGCTGCTATAGTCTCCGCATTGAGCGTTAACATCAGCACCCTTGCTTAGAAGTACCTTAACAACATCGTTGTGGCCATTAAATGATGCTGCCTGGAGTGCGCTACCACAGTTATCGCATTCTCCACTTTGTGCATTGATCTCAGCGCCTGCAGTGAGTAGCAAGCGTACGATCTCCTCGTGGCCTCTATCTGATGCTGCCTCGAGCGCGTTACCGCAGAATCCGCCTTGCTCGTTAACGTTAGCACCAGCAGTGAGTAGCAGCCGTACAGTCTTTTCATGGCCGTTATGTGATGCTGCCTGGAGTGCGTTGCCGTAGGATCCGGCTTGCTTGTTAACGTCAGCACCAGCAGTGAGTAGCAGCCCTACAATCTTCTCATGGCCGCCACATGATGCTGCCTGGAGTGCGTTGCCATAGTCATCGCGTCCACTTTGTGCATTGACGTCAGCGCCTGCAGTGAGTAATAAGCACACGATCTCCTCATGGCCACTACATGATGCTGCCTCGAGCGCATTGCCGTATAATCCGCCTTGCTCGTTAACGTCAGCACCAGCAGTGAGTAACAGCCTTACAGTCTTCTCATGGCCATTGTACGATGCCGCCTGGAGCGCGTTGCCGTAGGATCCGCCCCGCGCGTGAATGTTGGCGCCTTCACCAAGCAGCTGCTCGACAATATCGACCCAGCCAAATAATGATGCTATGTATAGCGGAGTTTGAACATCCTCTATCACCCTTGTAAAGTCTGACCCGGCGCGAGGGCACTCTATATCGAACATTTTAACCGAATTGAGATAGGCAACGTTTTTCCTTGAAAATAAGCTCATAATCTTACTGTTTAAATCCACCCCTCTTTCTCCTGCTGCTTGCACATGTGTGACCCAGAACTCCGCAGCGTACTGAGCCAACTTCGAGCCTTCGACGTCCTTACAAGAGAACAAATTACACTCATCAAATTGGAAAAGATACCCAAGGCAGCTTATTGCAAGAATTGCGTTGCAACTAACATCTTGTATGCGATACTTTTCTGCTCGGTGTGGACGGCTACGATCAGAGACCAGATATTCCTTTACTGAATAATGGGCCAATCCAACCACCTTCCCACTTGGCACATAACCGAAGTTCGAAGCTCGGGGAAAATCTTGGTTGATGTTGTCAGTTGTGGTTGTGGTTATAGTAATGAGGCTGGAACATATATCCAACACATCTGATGGATCCTCAAGCACCTCATCCTGGTTGAACATTGGATCGCGGTTAGTATCAATAGCGACGACTTCAGACACCTCTTCTAGCAAAAGTGGCCTTGAAGAGAATGCCAACCAGCGCAAGATACGAACAGCGTATTCAGAGTCCTCCTCGTTAATAGCGCAGAGGATCCGATCGTATGTCGCATCAAGCGTTGGTGGAAGGGTCTTGAGAGAGTTCCGTAACGCTAAGCGGTTGCGACACTTTCCCAGTGCATCTAACTGACAAGCAGCCCATCGAAACCTGTTGCAATAATCAATATCAGACAGTAGGGATGCGGTGGTATTAAGCTTACATCCCACGGGGCCCATTCATCAATGCTGTCTTAATCTCATGCTGAACATCTGAAGATTTTTGCCATTTTCTCAGATCCGCATCATTCAGTAGCCTCGTACGAACGTATTTCTGTATATCACCGTCAACTAGCCTGCTTTCAAGACAAATGATGTTTTGCTCCTGTGCAAGACTCTCTAGCGAGCTCTGAATTTCTCGTTCCTCTCGACTCGTAACCAAGACGTGGAGGTTGTCGAGCTGCCAACCAGTTATTTGATTGATGATATCCATCAACTCAGCTCGATCTTCACACTCGTCAAGGGCATCGAGGATAATGTAGCATTGTGGGTACTCCTGGATCATTTGCTGTAGCGCATCTAATTGAGAATCTAATGACGGGTTTTGGTTTCCATTGTCGCACGAGGAGAATAGTAGGTCGAGGCATGCAGGTATCCTCGCACAATTCTGTGAAAGTTGGCAAATGAGTGATCGGACCATTAGCCCCGGGGATTGCTTTTTTGGGTCGTTAAAGTCGAAGTAGAAGTACGCAACCACCTTACCAGGGTCACCGACACAGTGCTGGAGCACATCCTGGATGATAGTAGAGCTCAGAATGGTTTTACCGCAGCCAGCAATACCATATAGCCAAATGATAGATGCGGCATCCGTTTTCCATTTGGTATATTCTTCGCCATTAAGAAACCATAGTCCGGTGTCCTCTTCTCGTTGTTTACACGATTTATGATAGATCACGGATGGATCTGGTGGAGATAGCCATTGACGAATTTTTATGAGCTTCGCCTCTGAATTCAAAAGTTAGTAATATGAAAGTATTTACACATAATTTTAAAACAATGATACCATTTAGCGGCTGCAACGTCGATGACGCAGCGGAGTAGTAAAACGTCAGAGAGCTGATAAAACCTCGGAGATTCTTCAATATGCGGTCGACTTTTCCGTCTTGTCTCAAGCTCGATATCGCCTTCTTGCCCTTTTCAAGAGACGAGTCATCCGCTTTTGGTAGCGTTTTATCAAGGATACTTTGGAGTAGTTCAAGTTGTTCCTGGGAGCCCTTAATAACGGGTAGGAGAGCCTTCTTCGTCTCGGTCCCAACAGAACCAGCATCTATCGCTTTTTGGATCTGTTCGAGAGTATGGAGTAACAGTGGTAGCTCCTTGCTAATTTGACGAAATGACTTCGGAACTTCCCCCAGGCTGACCTGGTACTCTTTGAGACGATGCAAGACTGTTGTACCAAAGTCGAGGAGTTGGACTATGCTGGAGACAACGCCAATGATGGCAAGAGCTTCGGCCATCGGAGAATAATGTAAGAGGGGTGATGAAGGAGAAACTCATGAGGAAGTCGCCTTCAACTAGCCATAGTAGTAGCTGAACATAAACAACGCAAGGCAGATATATTGGGACAGTGCAAGGCTAGTCATCTGTTTGCATAGTCATCTGTTTGTATAGCTATGTTGGGAAATATGAGAACGGCGCCACAGCCCGAAACCTATGGTGGGATTGCTAAGTGATTACCCGAGTATTGTAGTTCAAATAGGGGCTTTCTTACACCGTAGAATAGGTAGTTAAGTCAATTCCAACAAGCCAACTGTTGTATGTTGAGAGTAATTGCGGGATGTGGGGAAACACACACAAAATCGTGTGATAATCTCCGGTTCTCGTAATAAGCTCCTATGGACAGCGAGACAGAGGCTTCAACAGTAGAATACAGTAAATAGAATAATATAATCAAGTGAATTACTACCTAATCTACGTACGCTATTTGTAGACCTAGGGGAAACCCTAAAACCCCGAAGAGTTGGGCTTCTTCAGCCCTAGCTAAAAGTGAGACGTTGGGCTGTAACCTAGTCCACTATTCTGACCAACCGGGGAGCCAGACAGTTCCCCCCGGAAAAGTGATTTTCATTTTGGTCATTTTGGGCGCAAAAGCTTACAGACACGGTCACATGACCTCGGTATAACTTCACCATAATTTTAGAGAGCTACAATATAGACAAACAATATAATCGTTGTATCCATCTTCTCGCTTTGCTCAAGGTATAACAACGATTACATCGTTTCTCAATACCATCCGGAACTTTCCACCAATCAATCATCCCAAAGTTTATAACGGACGACAACTGCTTTGTATATACGTCCATCCTAGGTCGCGAGAACCCTACCATGCTTTCTTCTTCGCTACACTTGGGAGGACGTTAAATATATTTACTTTAATTTTCCTCTACTGTTGTGTTTGCTAGTTAGTCAGTGCCAGTTCATAGCTTTTGAACAGCAGGAGTTTGCAAGAGTTGCAACATTACTAAAGGTACCCAGAGGATTTACACGCCCTCCCAAGCCGTATATAGAAGAGGGGTGAGAAGACACGCATATATATAGAACGAACATGGATGGATCGAGACCCGTGGTCCCTAAATTAGATTGTATTATAGCTACATACAGGCTATCTCCTTGCTCCGCGCCATCATACCCCCCGCGCAGGCAGCAAAGGGCATCATCATTGCCCATATCTGCGCCCATTATCCTACTCCATCTATTCGTGTCCGCCCGCTCGTACATCCCCGCACGCGACTTGCGCAATTACAGTACGGCCCGCCCCACAAACAACCATCGCCCGAAGAAAGAGAACTTCGCTTACGAGATGAACGGGGGGAGGAGCAAGGAGGGTGGTTTTGCGGAGCGCTGGGTGGATAGGTCAGTTCCTGGTGTTAGTATAATTATTTGGATGTGGCCGAATAAATCTGGCCCTTTGTGAATATGTGAATCTGCGCTGGATTTGGATGGGATGGTGCTCGACGTGGTTAGGGCTGTGGAAGGCGCGCTTGCTGGGATTGGGGTTATCAGGTCGGCGGTTCACCGTGTACAAAGTAGTGGGTTGGTTGGTGTAGGCTGTTTCGCCCGAACGTATAGGTTGTGTGATCGAGAGAGGCGTTCACGATCAGCCCTGTGCTGCGACAGACGTCTGCTGGCGTTTCGGTGGTGGAGCTGCGCCATTGGATTCCTAGTTAAAAAGTCAGCATCGGATATAGGGGGCACAGTACCCAGATTCCCAGACGGTAGACGAATGGTCTTGTTCCGGGAGTAAAGTTTTTTTTGGCCGCAGGTTAGTCCGGACGAAGGGTGCGTTTGGACATACTTCGGCAACTGTGCGCTTCTTGACGACCGTCTTCCTCTTGACGGGGCGCGTGGGCTTGACTTCGCCTGGTGAGAAGACGTCGTCGGGTAGATCGCAGCTTTGAGATCACGAAGTTAGTATGGAAGGGTTGTGTGGGGGTGGTGATAGGACTTACTTTCGCGTGTGGACGATGTTCAAGGCGTTTAGGCTGTCGTCATGCTTATCCCAGCTCGTGCACCTATATTTAAAGTCGTCGACTTGGTATGATAAGTCGAGAGATCGAGCACCTTCCTTGAGCTCCAAGCCGATGTAATACGTGGTAGTGTACACCATAGTTGTTTTTGGCTCGTCTTCCTTCTTCTCCTCTTCATCGTTCTCCTTCTTGACATCTTCACCGTTCTCCTTCTTGACGTCTTCGCCATTCTCCTTCTTCACATCTTCGCCGTTATCCTTCTTAACATCCTCGGCATTCTCTTCCTTCGGCTTGTCATCAGGCTTCTCAGAAGCAGTGGGCTCGCCTTTTACAAGAAACAGCAAACTGCCACTCTTGGCCTTCTCGACCTCTTCCTCGCTGTGGCACTCGTGAACACGTTCTGAACCTTTATTGAAAGGGTGGGCGAGAGCGATCGAGTCGTGACCCTCTAGTGAGAGGACAAGAAGACGGATTTTAGACTCGACCAATCCTCCCCAGATGTTCTGGGCTTCCCTAGTTGTGCTGGCAGATATGACGGAAAGGTAGTACTTGTAGCCTTCAGTGAAAAACGTATGCTTCGCAAACAGGTCCTTCCATTGCAACTTGCCTGACATGATTTGGTCTGTAATATTCCCTCCGCGTTTGAGTTCTCGTTGGATGATTTCTTTGGTGGATCTCGTAATATTATGAGTCGCACACATGGAAGGGTACGCAGGTGTGATAATCGGCATCAGATGAAAACTGTCATGCTTGTATATCTGTGAAGTATTTAGTACACAACATATCAAGACAATCCATGAGTACTCACGCGTGGATTCCACACTTTGACCTGCAATGGGCCACTCGCAATGTGTGTTAGCAGGACTGGTGTAGGCCACTGCCATTTTTCCATAATGCGGAAGAATTTCAATACCACCGTGGAGGAGGTAGCCTTCGGATAGAGTTGGCAAACACGCGCAACCAACATAGCCCAGGCCACACCACCAGGGAATCCGATGATGTTTGCATAGATCGCACGCCTCTGAGCCCATAGTTTAATCCCACGCAACGCGGTCCTGAAGATTGTCTTTTGCGGGACTAGGTCGAGAATTGCATCTGTCACGCGCGTGCCGTTGAGAGAGCGTAGATCGGCTTCGTCAAGTCCTCGTAAAAGGTTCGAATCTTGGAGGGTGAGGGATTGGGGTATCTGGTTGAGAACGGCGATGCGGGAGAAAATCAAATCGATGCTGATGCCAGCGTATTCAAACTTGATGATAGGGACGAAAGAGTCGACGACGGGTGTGAGATCTGTGATTGCTCCTGGAGGTGACATCTTCACCAGGAGGTCGGGGAAGTACTTGAAGAAATCGTCTCGAGTGACATGCTTGGGGCCAACAACCAGGGTATCAATATCGGAGCCAGGTCCAAACACACCTAATCGGAAACTACCATATGTAAAGATCTTACCGCCGGCAGAATTCGCAACACTGTCTGGCAGACCTTGTGCCTTGCTGACTTGTTTGATGAACTCTTCGGTGATGGCCTGTAACGCCTTGAGGGCCTCGGTCCTACATCAACCCCATTAGCCTGCCTGTAGCGACAGAATGGCTCTAAACCTGACATAGAGGTCGGTGATGTCTGCATACCTTTTCTGGGTGTCGACGACGCTCTCATAGTTGTTCTGCCTCTTCAACTCTTCAATGAGAGCGCTGCTGGCTTGGTTCTCGGAATCGGTGGGAAGTGCGGTCGACAGAGGGGCTGTGATGCCCAAGGGCTTCTCTCCGGTACTTGCCATGTTGTGAACACGTCGATCAAGTGTTCCGTGAGTGCTGTTGTGGTGTTGTCGTCCTTACTACGGACTTTACCTCTGTTTGTTAAGCGCTTGTTGGATGGCAAGGTACGAGTAAGTTTGGGGGAGGAGATCTTGATTAGTCATGCATAGACAGCCCGCGTTTGGTTGGACTCTTCAGCCTTGTCTTGTTTCGCCCAGTTCTCAAGTACAACGCGTGAAACTTCATATGAACTTCAGATGAACTTCATATTTGAATTATGCTTGCTATTTAAATGAAGCAATGGTGGTTTAAAACGCGTATATCTCACTTTATCGCGGTTCGGGTGAAATTGAAGACCTGATCGTGCCTGTCTGACTCGATACAACCTTGCGGACGAGGCTGAGACTTTTAAACTTCGGGTCGGTTGGCCACAAGCCATGCCACTAGTCCATATATGTACTAGTGGCGTTATGTTTAGCCCCTTGTCAAATCGATCAGAACACGGTTGAAGTGTGACGATTAAGGTAGAAAACAGTTAACTGGGGGGGATCTTTCTACTTTCGCCTTCCATATTCCCCAACACTCCTTTTGCAAAGAACGAATAACTCTTAGACACCAAGCTCTCAGAATAGCTTATAAGAGTTTGATTTGTCTTTCTATAAGCTGTATACGGTTGCGCGCAAGACCAACACATTGACGGCGCTCTGCCAGACGCCCAGACAAAATGTCGGGGACAGATTATAGTTACGATGAACAGGTATGCCACTTCTCGCGCGACGTCGCCTGAATTATGCTAACATTTTGTAGGGGCAATTCTTCCCCTTCTTTGTCCTCACCGTCACGGCAATAGTCACTATCCCCTTGACTTATTCAGTTCTTAAGCCCAGCTCTGACCCTGGCGCCACTGCCCCTCGAATCCTGTCCGACTTCAAGCCCGAACATGCCGACCTCATACAAGCACAGCGCAAGAAGCAGAGACGGCGAGAGAGGAAGCTGAAGCGTATTGTTACCGTTATTCTGGGATGGGCAATGATTGGGTTTATGGCATACCTTATCCATGTCACCGCCAGGACGATTACAAAGATCTGGAATCCATATGATATTTTAGGCGTCTCGGAATCCGCCACCGAGAAGGAGATCAGGTCACATTACAAGCGCATGTCTCTTAAATACCATCCCGACAAGGTCAAGCCAGACCCAGCAAAGAACGAGACTATTGAGATGCTCAATGACTTCTTCGTAGACCTCACAAAGGCTTACAAGGCACTCACTGACGAGGATATCCGCAACAACTACCAACAATTCGGCCATCCCGATGGAAAGCAAAGCTTTAGCATCGGCATTGCGCTACCCCAATTTATTATTACTGATGGCAATGGAAAATACGTCCTGATAATCTACGCTGGCCTCTTGGGCGTCTTATTACCATATCTCGTTGGAAAGTGGTGGTACGGAACCCAAGCTCTGTCGAAAGAGAAGGTTTTAATCGAGAGCGCAAACAATCTTTTCAAGGAATACGAGGAGGATATGGCCGAGGGCGACGTCGTCTACGCTCTTAGCTCTGGAGTCGAGTTCAATAAAGTACTGAAGGGTAACAAGGCAGAAGTCAGCCTCGGCAGACTCGAGTCGAGAATCCTGGCCGACGGAGAATTTGGACCTTTTGCTGCTGGATTGACTGTTAAAGACCGCACGAAGTTGGAAGATCTCGAGGGTGGAGTTAGGAGAAAGACACTCGCTCTCATCTGGGCATACCTTGGCCGCATCGAACTGGATGATAACGCCCTGGACGAACTGAAATTCGAGGTTGCACCAATCGCACACGCCCTTAACCAGAGCTTCACAGCAATTTCTCTCGCATTTGGCGCAACGCTCCCCATCCTCCAATCATACGCCGTTACACAAAGCCTTATCCAGGCTCTGCCACCAAAGGCATCGCCTCTTCTGCAACTCCCACACTTCACCCCCGAGGTCGTCAAGGCCATCGACGGCGACTCCAAAGTCCACACCTCGCTCCAGCAATTCATGGCCATGCCCGAAAACAAGCGCTCGAAACTCACCGTCGGCGCCGGCCTCCTCTCAGACGCCCAGTTCAAGACCGCCATGGACGTCGCCCTGCAACTCCCGCATCTCCAAGTCTCCAAGGCCTTCTTCAAGGTCGTCGGCGAGAAGCACATCACACCCGGCTCCCTCGTCTCTCTCGTCGTTAAGGGCCGCTTCGTACCCCCCGGCAGCGCCGGCGTTCCCGCCGTCAACGAGCTCGACCTCGAGGACATCGACCCCGATGAGGGCGACCTCGAGGCCATTCTCGGTCGCGACAAGAAGGACTCCAAGTCCGGCGCCGAGGCCAGCAAGCCCGTCCAGCCACCTCTCGCCTACGCACCTTACTACGCCCGCGACTACTCGCCGCGCTGGCACGTGTTCCTGACCGATAGCAAACAGGGCAAGATGGCCGTTCCACCATTCACCTTCACTACCTTTGACAAGCCTATTTTCACCGACGCCGCAAAGCCGACGTTCAACATGCAGACCCTCAAGGCGCAATTCCAGGCGCCGCCGCAGGCGGGTCAGTATACGTTCGTCATGCACTTGGTGTGTGATAGCTACGTTGGCTTTGATACGAAGATGGAGGTTACGCTCGTGGTGGAGGATGCGAGCAAGGCGATGGCACTCGATGACGATGATGACATTAGCGAGCCGGATGAGGGTATGTTTTCCCCCTTCTCCCCACAACCACCATAGCTAGATCAGATAACTAACTACAACCAGATTCCCTCGCGGGCCAAATGCAAGCCATGAAGACCGGCGGCATCACCGGCGCCCCCCCAAAGAAGAAGTCCAAGAAGAAGGCCGAGGAGTCCTCGGACGAAGAGAGCGACAGCGAAGAGGAGGAAGGTGATATCCCGAGCGACACCGACACTGACACCGATACCGACGACGAGTAGTGGGGCGGTGGTGTACAACTAGGGGGGACCGGGAGGGGTGGGGGTTTGGGGGAGACACGCGTGTTTGTATAAACGCGAAAACTGGCGCAAATTATGTCTTGTGGTATTTTTTTATTAATGGAAACATAGTAACGGTAGAGTTACGGAACGTGGGTTTGGGGTCTGCTTGGGTTCTGTCTCTCTGTATCTTTGCCCTGGTTTTTTTCGGGGACATAGCATAGAAGACGTTGCTGTAGAATCTCTGCTCATGGCGGAACATGATGTCTATCTCTTGTTGCTGGTGCTGTGGTTTCGTTTGTGTGACTGTGAATGTAATCGTTCGTAGTGTCTAGTTTGCGGCTGAGAAGCTAGAAGGGATGAAGTGAGAACGAATGGAGATTAGAATAGAAGCTTTTGCGCCTTGATTGGGTCCTAATCCGTGCCGCTGTAAGGAACGAGAAAGTACGGGGTAGGTTCTACGGGGATACAGGGTTTGTTGCGGGATACGGGACCAGGTTCCCCTGATTCCACCGCCTGGAACGGTTTGACTTTTCTTTCGCTTTTTAAAATAGAATTACACATCGTCCCCAGGCACCGCGGCGGAACTGTAGCTCCTAAGCCGTCGAAGTGTCGGTGTCAGCATAGAACAGAGACGATCAACATATGATACGAGGTTCTGTAATTTGCAAGTACTGCATGCTGACAGCCGGGGATAGGGGATACGATGATAGCTTCGGGAAAGGCGATACTCAATAACTAGGGGAGCTCATGTATGTTGATTAGTCGTCGCGCAGTATATTGGGAGGCGTCATCGTAGTAATGCTTTCACAGATGTAAGGCAAGACGTAGCAAAAGCTTACAATAACTTACAATACCACACACCATAACTGCCGTGGCGGTGGCAATCCTTCATCCCCATCTCTCGGCTGAGGCAAAGCTTTATCCGCCCCTAACCTGGCGCCGCCCGTACCCTAAAAACATCTAAAAATAAACAAAACATGAACTCCGAAATGCCGACCAGGAAGAAAAAGGCAAGTAAACAAGAAAACATGACGACACAAAACGCCCCTCCCTCGCTCTTGTCCAGCCACATCTAGGACCCGCTGTCTGTCGCCGCTATTTCCCCACAAAATGCTCGGCGCAGAAACCTGGATATGGACAAGGAGTCTCGTATAGACAGACGCCAGCTCCGGCTATTCACTGTGCGTTGACAGGTATAGACATATTGTGGCTGATGGCTTTGATGGGGGAGTACAGTAAGAAATGCTCGTACTGAGAGACACACGCTGCGCTGTAACGCCATCAATGTAACCGGTATAGAGTGCTCTTCTCGAGTAGCATGAACAGTACTCTCAGTTTTCTACAGTACTAGCCGAAATCCCGGCGGCCGCTTGAGGATCGACAAACCATCACGAGGCTAGTTGCCGCCAGGGACCTCGTATCCATTTAAGCTGCGAAGCAAACCGGACATACACGAGATGGTGTCAAGGTACGTCCGAAGGTAGAGCAGGTAGGTGGTGTCATATCGTGAGAGAAGCCTCTCGGCGAATATAGTAGGAAAGTGTATAAGTACAGTCGTTCCTTTCCTTCTGTTTTGAATTCCACTCTCTCATCATCACTACCATCATCATCACTACCATCATCATCACCATAACCATCACTACCTAACTCACACCTAAACTCACCCCACCTCCACCACCACAACCACAACCCCAATCATGCACTACACCGCCGCAACCGCCATCCTGGCCTTCGCCTCCGCCGCCGTCGCCGCTCCCCAGCTCGACAAGCCCATCTCCCCCCCGTGGACGCAGAGCACCAACTTCCGCCTCGTCGCCAACGTCACCGGCGCTGACCTCACCCCCTCCATCCAGGACTACGTCCTAACCTCCTACCACGTCGGCGCCGGCCAGGCCGCCGCCGTCCTCGTCCCCAACGACGCCACCAACCCCGGCCGCCAGTTCTACGTCAACGGCACGGCTGAGGACATCCGCTACAACCGCGGCAACATCCTCACCAGTGGCGGAACTCCTGTATGTTCCCCTCCTCCCCACCCCCCAAGATCCAATGGGGCCAAAAAATTCAAGAACTATTACTAACACCCCTTCCCAGCCCTTCCCCTTCGGCATCCAAGTCTCCCCCGCCCCCGCTACTGCCGTCACCATCAACGCCGGCCTCGGCACGACCAGCGTGGGACTCGAGCGCTTCCCTTCCCCAGTGACTTACCTCACTGCCCCTGAGGCGGCCACCTACGTCGCTTGCAACCAGCAGCTTCCGTTCAGCGAGGCAATTGCCCTGAATGTGCTGCGCACTGGCGAGGCAGTCCCGGGTGGGTGTGCGCAGGTGAGGCTGCTGCCGCAGTGCTCGGAGGGTGATGGATCGGTGCATGAGACTGAGAACACTGTGCAGTGCTACGTGGATGTTGCGGGCATTGACTGGAGCTTGTACATTGATTAGGGGGGTGAAAATTGAGGGGGGAAGGGAGGAGTGAGAGGGGAGTTTTGTTTTCGAGCGTGCCATATTATCATATTGTTTAATTAGAGGAAATATATATACAATTTTCCACCTATTTTAATTATTTTTCGTCGATATTGTGAGATATACTACGCATTTAGGAACTGTGGATATTCTTATGCCTCTAGACGGAAGGGAAAACTGCGGATTAACGACTCAGCGGGCCCTGAGCAGTTAATTCCCTCACACTCCCCTTAAGTTCAAAATGAGAAGTTCTAATATGGTAAGGAGAGCACAGCTAAAACCCACATGGAGGGCGATACCTTATAAAGCTGCGCAGGCGGTCCCTAAGGTGTCCGTTCGCTAAAGCCAGGTGATGGTATAAGCACCTGCTAGACAGCGGGAAAGGTGTCTAAGGTGCCCGTTCTGCTCATGTCAGCCAACCTTAATGCGACATGGGAATTCGACAATCTCCACCTTTTACCTTGAGGGGTTTGGGAATTGCACGGAATGATAGGCGCATCGGCGGCGTAAGGCCGAAAATATGTGGTGATTTTGGAGAAATGGCAAGATTGGAGGCGTTTATGGCGTCGTGCTGGATGGTGACTGGTTGGAGGGGGTGAGGGGTAGAGGAGAGACATTATTCATGATGGCTGCGATGCGCGTCCTGGGATTTGCTGAGGACGGGCCTGGGCTTCCTTAATGGGAAGGCGGCTCGTCAGGTGTGAGAATATGAGGTAGGTGGTTCTCTTGGGATTTTATATATAAAGAGGGCTTCCCTCCCGTTCCTGTAGCTGTGGTCAAGTCACACAAGCACCTTCCTCATCTTCCTCATTGTCTTGTCTATCACATATCACATCTGATTCTCCAGCAACCATCAGTATCACCATCACCAACATGACCAAACCCAACTCCACCACCCCCGACCTCGACCTATCCGCCCTCACCCTCTCCCCCGAACCCCCCCTCCAAACCTTCCCCCTCGGCGACTTCACCCTCCAATCCGGCGCCGTTCTCCCCTCTGCCCAAATCTCCTACACCATCCATGGCTCCCTCTCCCTGCCCCCAATCCTCTACCCAACCTGGTTCTCTGGTCTCACTGGCTCCAACACCTGGCTTCTCGGCCCCACGCGCCCTCTCTCCCCCGAGAAATACTGCATCATCATCCCCGCCCTCTTCGGGAACAGCCAGTCCACCTCACCCTCCAACTCGGACCTGCGTCCGTTTCCCGCGATCACGTTGTATGATAATGTGCGCGCGCAACATGAACTTCTCACGAAGGGGTTGGGGATTACGCATCTGAGAGCGGTGTTGGGGTGGAGTATGGGCGGGGCGCAGACGTTTCAGTGGGCTACGCAGTACCCGGAGTTTATGGATATAATCGTCCCTTTCTGTGGCGCGGCAAGGTGCGCGACGCATAATCAGGTGTTTTTGGAAGGGCAGAAGAGCGCGTTACTTGCGATCAAGGGGGTTCGCTCCGCCGGTGCCGGTAGAGACGGCGGGGAGAGGGGAGAATGGAGTAAGGATGAGTGGGAAGTGGGGATGAGGGCGTTTGCGAGGGGTTATGCCGGGTGGGGTTTCTCTCAGGAGTTTTATCGCGAGAAGGTGTATGAGACTTATTTGGGGTATAAGGATCTCGAGGACTTTTTGGTTGGGTTCTGGGAGAAGTGGGCGGTTTCGAAAGGTATGTGATCTTTTTGCGGCGAAAGTGGACGGTGATGGGTGGCTAATAGATGACAGACCCGGAGAATATGCTCACGATGTTGCGTACCTGGCAAACAGCCGACGTATCGAAGCAAGAGCCGTATAATGGCGACCTCAAGGCTGCTATGCAGGCTATAAAGGCCAAAGCTCTTGTCCTGCCATCCAAGACGGACTTGTACTTCCCGTGCGTCGTCGGACCCTCCTCCTCCTGAATGAGAAGATAGACTGACACAATGATAGGCCTGAGGACTCGGAAATCGAAGTCTCGCTTATGCGCGACGGCGTCGCGACACTGGCGGTTTTTCCGTCTATCTGGGGACACTGGGCGGGTGGTCCGGGGGAGTCGAAGGAGGATGGCGAGTGGCTTGATGAGCAGCTTAGGGGGATTGGCCTTTGAGTTTTGAGCTTTGAGTATCGAGCTTCGAGTCTCGTCTCAGTGCGTATGGACTTGCTATTTTTTGAACTGATGCTTTGTCCGTTTCTTTATATTTATTTCTTATTCTACAACATACAATGATACTTGTTTCGTCCCACTATGACTATCGGAGCACAAGTTCGACTTCGAACCAAATAATACTATTCTGTCTCAGGCGCAACAAAGAGGAAGGATGAATTCTCTAACGGCGTTTCAATTGCTACATTTGCCAGACGGACAATGCTATTATGTTTCGCGGGCCATAAAGAGAAATAGTGGGCCTAACAATGCTGCTCAGCTGCCGAAATAGGCAATACTTATTACTGTTCATCCACGACCGTGTTCGATTAAAGAAAGCCAGCTACCCTCAAAGCCACCAAAGCCTCCAAGGCCCGTCCCGCCAGGTCACATCTCCAACGATCTTCTCCCCCCCCTTCTTAATTCCTCTCCTGTTCCCTGCTATATAAACACTCCCATCTACCCTCTTCATAAACCAGATCTACAAACACATTCGCCTACATCATACAGTTTACACCCTCAGACACGAACACCAGAATACTAACAGCAGGACACTAACAACAGCAAAAACAACATCACAAACACCATCATCAACCAACACATTCAAAATGCCTCCCAAACCCAACCAATTCCCCTTCACCCCCCTCGAGCCCCTCAACCTCGAGCCTATCCCGCGGTGCGAAATCCATTCCTCCGCCCATCCACGCCCACGAACATGCCAAGCATGTAGGTACAACTATCCCCCATCGCTTCCTCAGTTTTCGAATTCGCAGATTACGGAGCTTACGGATGACACGTATAACACGCCTGAGTGGTTTGCGGCGTCGACTACGAAGCTCACGGATGATATGAGTGAGTGGCTTGGGGGTATTGATATCTCTGAGACAGGCAGTGGGGAGGAAGAGGATTTGAGTGAGAGTCAGTTGATTCAAATTTGGGGGTTGGGGGACCAGTTGGAGTGGTCGGATGATATGTCTGGAGTCCCGTCGGGAAGCGAGCCTGAGTATGGATCTGGGGGCGAGTCAGTGTATCCCTTAGAGAGCCTCTCAGAGAGCCTATCAGAGGGCCAATCAGAAACATATTCAGGCGGAGCATTAGAGCCCCCCCTAGAGAACCCGACGATGAATTCAGAGGTCCCATCAGACACCTCAATGCTCGACGCTCCCAGCATCCCGTCCCTCACCTTCAGTTCCCCCTCAACTGACTCTCTCCCCAGCACAGCCGATTACGGCAGTCTCCATTTCTCCTTCGAGAACTCGGATTGGGATATTACGGCCCTCACTCGGCCCACCCCAGCTTCGCTCAATGGAGCGAGAGAGATGACACCACCACTGCTGTCGCCGCCGCCCCTAGGGCCGTAGGATGAGATGGAGGGGATTGAGTTTAGCAGGTCCATTCCTGCCCAAGAGCCAGCAGCCCCCACACCTGTGAATGAGGCGCCTAGGAGTCCATGGAGAGAGGAGCCTGGGGATCCGTTTGTTGGCACTGGGAACGAGGATGACGAGGAGGAGGAAGAGGATTCGGATTCTTGGGATGGAAGTGATGAAGATGCTGATTTTCTCGGCTTTGGTGGAGGGAGAAGCAGAGTTGGAAGCTTGGCAGAGAAGGAGAGCGAATTTGGGGACTGGGTTGAGGGGTCTTGGGACGATGAGGAGGTGATTATGGTGGTGAGGTTTGTGGGGCGCTGAGGAGGAGGAAGAGGAGTGATGTGGATGTTGTGGGGAGAGGTAAGTGCGTTTCTTTTATTTCCTTTGTTGAAGAGTGAGAAGAAAAAAGGTAAGTGGATTTCTTTGTTTCCTTTCATTCCTAGAGAGCCAAATAGGGATTTATTTTCGGGTTTTATCCTTAGCAGAGGCAATTAAACATTTGTACATTTTCAGCGTGTAAGCTCGTGTCTTAATAAGAGCCTTGTAAATTATTCAAGATAGCTATTGAGCTTACTACCCAATATGGCCTCGAGACGGAGCTTCCCTTCCTCTGAACTTGCAGCTTCTGCCATCTCACCACACCCTGACGGGATATCTTCATCCCATTTGGGGTATCCCTCCCTGCCCTTCATGTTGAGTAAAACCGATATTCGGAAGTGGTGCTTTAAAAGGTCGCCACGTGGTTGGTACTGTGTGGCCGTGTTTGGATCACGGAACATTATTAGGTTGTCTAGCTCGGGTTCATCAATAAAACAGTACGTCTTGTATCCCTTCTAAATTTTATTATTAGAACCATAAAGCCGAAGTTATTTGGTAATGACTTACATCGGGATTGATAGCAATGCGATATGTATCAAACAAATCTTGAACGTCAAATCATAAAAGGATTCCGTTTTGAGCGGAATTGATACCCGATTCCCCGACGTATTTATCATCAGCTATCTGCCTTTGCCAAGATTCTACTTTCCACTACGCAGATATTAAACTTCAAATAAAAAAATAGGGAATTAGAAGCTTCATACTACATCGAGATGTGCGAGTGGGAATATATGAGTCGCACCTAGGCGAACAAAATCACTCCCAGCTGGCTTTGCACCAAGTGATGACACAGCGGCCATCTCGTGCTCGAACTCGATTTCGAAAATGCTTAGTCTAGAGGTGTATTAGAGTTTAATCTATAATTTAAGAATAGACTATATAAATTTTGTAAGCTTACGTGGTTATCTAACTCAGCCGACGATACGCGACTGGAAGGGCGCGGCATGGGATTCTGGCGATTGATTGGAAGGTCGACAACTTCGCCTTCAGGGCTCAGAATAATATAAAACCCAGGCTTGACTGGATTATTATTACCCTGAATTTCTATTGCAGGTCCATGCTGCGCCAGTAGCTGAACTGGATCGCCTGGCTCAAGGCAACGGAACGGGGCATACTCGTTTGTAGGTTTCTCAAATGTTATTTCCATCCATTCTACCATCTCCGACCAGGTCAGTGCCCCATTCTGCCAGGCACCTCCTATCTCATTGTTGTTTCCGTCTACAAAATGGAGGTTGCGCTTGATGGAAACTCGGTAACCTGACATGCCAGAAGGGTGACTGTGGGTGTTTACACGATGCTTTGGTTGCTAAAAGTCAAGGCTATGGTCAAAGCTGAGATCAGGGTCAAAGTGGCATGATAAGATCCTACGTCAGAGTTGGCATCCTTAGTCTCTCTCGTCAAGTTTCCCATCCCCATCCCCAGTCCCTCACCCTCAACCCTCAACTCCCAGTCTCTTGCTCTCAGGCCCCATACTCGCCGTCTCTCATCCTCGTCCTTATATTTGCCGTCACCTTCCTCTGTGTGTAGCTACATAATTACTGAAATCGAGCGCAATCTATATTTTGTTGATGGGGATGTCAACCCTATTAGTAGCGCCTAGCAAAAGAGTAGATGGAGATAGTGTTTTAGATTTTGTTCCCTCATAGTAAGTAACTGACTCCCTTTATTACTTTTGATATCTTGTGCCTACAGAGGTAAGCGCGGAAGACCGAACATATGGCAACTTGCCTTCCCAGGAAATTGTTAGCTTCGGCGCTATATTTATGGTCATAGTTGGCGTCAATTTATCGTATGTTCTGAAGGACGCTATTTTAAAGCTATGTGCAGTTTCGATTTAGACTGGAGTTTTCAGGACAATAAGAACTAACAGTCTACCTCTTCCATTTAAACTAACTTTCCATCTTAATGGTTACACCTCCGCCCCTTCCAATTTATCACACCTGCAACATGTTTCGCCTCAACACGGTCCGCCAAGCTTTCTGCGCGAGACCTAACATCTCATATGCCATACGTAAGCCCAGGTTAGATATGGTGTGTTATTCATCATTTGTTAATGCCTCTTCTCGCACAAGAAATACCAGTCTCCGCCGCTTTGTGCAGATACATGCACGTGAGTCTTAATTTGTGCCATTCATATACAAATATATTAACATCTCTACAGCATTACATTCTCGCTATCCTCGCTCTTCTTGCTCTCATAGGAACTCTTGTTCTTGTAAGGAAGGCAATATTAAAAGCACCATCCCCTCTGCAAAGCCACGCTCGGATGGCAAAACTATTATCATGTCTAAACGGTCACAATCCAAAGAAAATAATGCCTTCTCTAACCACACAACTATGAATCTGGGGACAGAAACTATGAATCAAAGCACAAGTGCCCATGTGGACTTTGAGATTAGTAGCACAGAATGCTTCGCTACTGAATCTAAAAGAAACCGATCCGATACTTTTCCAGACATTGAGAGAAGCGTAGAAGAGGGTTTTGCGGATATTTTACGAACTATGGAAGATGGTTTCACCAGGCTTGAGAAGAATCAGAATCGAATTCTAAATGTAAGTCTACTGCCTACATTATGTACCAATTTTAACATGGACAAGGCCACATTCGCCGTGATGGTATTAATAACTATCTTTCCGACATTAGAAGTATGGTATGAGTCGGTGCTGCTCAACTCGGATCTTGAGAAGCGAGATCTTATTCTTAAAGACGGAAAAGTTTAAAAATAGCAAGAAGCATATTATTGGTATCTCGAAGCTATATGGCAAATTATGCAAGAAGGCCCTGTATCTAATTGCAGCAAGAGTTGAATGTCAATACAAGCTTATGGCGCCCCAGGCCACACGCCTCTCATCAACAACTAGCTTAGTACCCATCGTCGTTATAAGCCAGGTTGTTAAGGCTGTTCTTCGGATCAAGCACAACTTCCTTGGTAGCAACCCCCTTGATCTTGGCAGCGATCTTAGCCGGCGTGCTGGTTCCGTTCTTCTCCAGGCCAATAAAATAGGCTGCGAGACCCGCGACGTGAGGGCAGGCCATGCTGGTCCCCGATATGGTTTTGGTGGCATCTTTGCCGCCGATCCAGGCGGAGAGAATGTCAACACCCGGGGCAAAGACGTCAAGAGCTACGCCCCAGTTCGAGAACTCGGCGCGAGTGTCATTCCGGTTTGTTGCACCAACGGTGATGGCGTCCACAGTAGACGCAGGGGAGACGCCGGAGGCATTGGCATCTTCGTTTCCGGCGGCGGCGACGACGACAATGCCCTTAGCGATGATGGCCCCGGTGGCCTTGTTGAAGGCTTCCGAGTAATCCGCACCCAGGGACATGTTGATGACTGCCTTCGCAGTCTGATTCTTCTTTCCGGCGTCCTCTGCGGCCCATTGCATACCTGCGAGGACGTCGGAACCCTTGCCGTCTCCATTCGCATCAAGGACTCTGACGGCGATAATCTTGGCCTTGCTAGCAACACCAAAGCTGGCTCCAGCGGCGATACCGGCAACATGAGTGCCATGTCCATCCTCATCAGTATCGGGTGAATCGGGGATGAAGTTAGCGCCAAATGTGGCCCGGCCTTCAAATTCCTAGAGAACGGTTAATGGACGACTTGGGACTATTGTATTGGGTGAGGTTGAGAACATACGACGTGTTCGATGTAGACACCAGTGTCGATAATATAGATGGTGGTTCCTTCTCCTGCGCTTGAATCATATGTATATTCTTCGAGACCTGGAGAAGTCCCGTTGCGATGAGAAATACGGTCAAGTCCCCATGGCGCGCCGATGCGAACGGACAGGTCGTAGGCAGAGACTTTCACATCCTTGTCGACATAAGCCACCTATCCCAAGTCAGTATTATGAGCGTTCATTCGAATTTTATTGCCAACTAACATGGGGTGATTGTGATATCCTGTTGACGGTGTCCATATCACTCTCGATCTGGTAGCCCTTGAACTTCGGCATCTTATATTTGTGGCCCACCCCCCTGAAGGTCGAGTCACGCTTGCTCAGGAATGAATGAACATTAAACATCTCAGACTCGAAGGTCGAGTCGTCAATGTCCTTATAGACGACAATATAGCTGTCTGCGGCGACATTCGTAGCAGCGGAATTTCGGAGCTTCAGCTCAGTAGCACTGACGATGAGGGGCAGGAAGCATGCCGCGAGGGCAACGAGACTCTTTGAGAAGAGCATAGTGGGTGGTAGTGGGGAAGTGGGGTGGTTATGGACCAGTATGGAGGAGCAAGGCGTTTTCTAGAAGACAATCTATCTTACTTTATAGATGGCTAAGCAATGTTTGTTTGATCAACAGAGATTAAACTCATGGCAACTTTGGGACAATGTCTTAGCTACAGCTTCTGAACTCATGAGAGCTGCAAGATGATGAGCTCGTACAGAAGCGGTAGGCAGGGTAACTTCAAACTTGGATGTTACCGGTGGGGACATCGTTTTCTGTTTGTTTTTAGAAGCATGATCAGCAAAAGTCACTACTGACATATAGATATGTGCGTTTTGTAAGGGTGGTAAGTGACGACGAGGATGGATTTTCTGTTTGGTGTCTCAGACACGAAAGTGCTGTACAACTCAACATACAGTGTCCTATTCCGGGGCTTTCGAAAGTGAGTGAAATGTTTCACTGGTGTAGTAGTTTCTTAATAACACACATCGTATCCAACATCGAAAGTAGATGCAGTGGCACGTCAAACGGTAGTAGAACCATGAATCGTGGATGAAGAGGAGAAATCGTGATTTCGGGATAATAACTGCCCCTGAAAATGACTCGTAACACGCCTCTAGTAGGTAGGTACAGCAAGACCAGCTAATGCAGGCCGCCAGGAACCGGCACGCACCAGCTGGCCAAGTTGCCCGCCAATAACTTGATAGAACTCTTACTGACAGGCAAACTTGACGAATACAAATCCCATCCTCGCCTCGAGATATCTGAGACCTATGTCTTGGAACAGAAGCTGGTGTACAACACATACATCAATGCTGCGCCAACCACCGTGGCACACAACACAAACAGACGCAGCCGCGAGTCCACAACCCAACTTTCCGTTCGGAATGACCGGTTTTAGTCCAGCTACCCTTCATGCTTGTCTTTGGCCCGAAACGGCCATCCGTCCTTGTTTGTTGCCCATCAGTTACGTCGGGTCTCCGCTCTGGGGGCCAGCCCGTCGGCACGGTACGGCGCATGTCTCAGTACGGAAGCGCCAGTGAATGTGAATTCTCGGCGTCGTAAACAGTTGGCTCGACGACAAGACTACAAATCAACACTGAGCTCGCCCCCACGGCCCGAATGGTGGTTTTGTATCCGATATCTCCAACACCGCAACACACCCCCGTCATCGCTAACATTTACATGGATTTACCAACGGTTAAGCTATATTCGCCTCCTTCGGGCTAACTGCTCTGATTCTACCCCGCATAGGCTACTGCACGTGCTTGGCGCCTTGCAGCTGTCCATAGCTTGGCGGCATAAGCATTGGGATGATTCCTCCGATACGCTTCGAAGAAATGAGTCAGTGACCATCACCACCTCAAGGTAAATAAAAATACGAGGGCCATTTGAACGCAGCTGAGACAGTGTTTTCATCCAATCAGGGCACAAACGATGCTTAAATCAATCACTATCATATCCTCGCCGTACCACGTCGGGTTCTACAACCATGGCGTCGGAGCAGGACCTGATTTCATCAGATCACTTGGTGTCGTACAAACGTTGAAGAACCTCGGCGTACCAGTCAAGGAGATTGAGATTGAACCAGTTGATGAGTTTGAAGGAGAAATCGGCGGGAGCTTTGAGCTGTTCCGTCGCACCTCAACTCTCGTTTCCGAGGCACACAACAGCAATTCCTTTCCCATTATCCTATCGGGAAACTGCAGTGCTGCCGTTGGCGTGGCAGCTGGGTATAACCGGTCACTGATAGCTCGTGAGACGGGAGAGAAGCTAGGTTGCATATGGTTTGATGCACATGACGACTATAACACTCCCGATACCGTCGTGAGCGGCTACTTTGACTCGCAACCTATTGCTATGCTGGCCGGGGAGTGCTGGAAGGGGATACTAGGGTCGGTCCAGGGACATGAGGTGATGGATATTCGGGAGAAACTTGTGCACGTTGGATTGCGGGATGTGAACCAGGTTGAGCGACAGCGGGTTCTGAACGCCGGGTTCGACGTTGTGTGGGGAGATGAGAATGGTGGCAAGATGGAGTTTGCAGGGCGTCTACGTGGGTTCCTGGAGAAGAAAGATCTGGGGCCGACGATGCTGCATTTTGATGTTGATGCTTTGGACATCTCACTTGGCAAGGCGAACCAGTTTTCTGTGCCAGGCGGCTTGTTTGAGGAAGATCTTCTTGGATGCTATGATGCCATCGTCCAGCGGACGCGTCCTGTGTCACTTACTGTGGCGTCTTTTGACCCTTCTGGCGATGGAGCAGAAAACATCGGACTCATCACGATTCGAAGCATCAAAAGTTTAGTAGGGTCTCTTATTAAAGGAGGCGTTATAGGCTGTAAGGACAATGTCATGGCATAATTTCTACCAGTTCCGATGCGTATTTGAATATTCTTGTGATGTTTACTCAATGATAACGCCGCAAACGTGACATATGGCTAGATTTTCCCCATGCATATGATCGTCTCTACAATCTTCGCACATGCCTGGAACCGGTGCAGCGAGAACGGCATCAATCAGGTCAGAGCCAAACTCCGGGATCTCTTTCATGACTCGCTTGAGCATAGACCTTGACTCGTCCGAACAAGTACTCTTGCTCAACTCCAACCTTGCGTGATTGATTGCTGCTTTCCGTAAACCGTTTGATGCTAGTGGCTGATAGACTTCGGGGATAGAAGCTAAATATTCCTCGAAACTCGCTTCTCCGTCTCGCAAAGAGGCTCGATACTGGCGGGTCGATATGTGGCGTAGACTTGGAATATCATATTTATCCCCAAGGGAATACATCTGTATATGAATGATTGGCTTGCTGGGACACCCAGTGGGAGGCACCTGACCGAAGTCGAGGTAGTTGTCCGTGTACAAGTAGTCCATCATGAACTGCACCATCAATGGATTGTCTTCTTCAAGGTTTATAACCCCAGTGGCAGCTTCCTATAGATGGCTGGTTAGTTACTCTTATCCGCCAAAAGGCTCGACTTATCAATACCTTGAAGTTTCCAACACAGGCTGCTCTGAAAAACGACGATTTGGGACACACTACCACTCGGTGGGCTTTCCAGGTCTCGCTGCCGCAGGTAATTGTAAGGTCGGAGAAGGCCCCCGAGCACAAGCAGCTTCATATTGTCAGTAAAGCAATATAATGTGCATACAAACAAAAATAGACCACGAGGAAAATGTGGTGATACAACTTACTTGTACATGGTTGTGAGCTTATCATACTTGCCAGAATGCTTGGGAGCCATTCTTCGATGATTCAGTTAAGTGCGGTAAATGAATTCGGTGTAGCCAACTCTTGTTGTCTGGTGTATGGTCCACCTGGTGTAGAAAGGTGTAGGAAAATAATGTTGTGAGGGGTGGAGGTGAATATATTCGGGTACTTGCTGGAATGTAGTTTTGTTTCTTTGTTTGTTTGTTTGGATTCACGAGGAGAATTTTTGCCTTATAAGCCTGAAAGCAATCATATATTATACATCTCAGGCGCATTTAATACTCCCTGGCTAGTTGATTGATTGCTTTGTTTCAAAGCGCTTACAACATCAATCGTTTTGCATTCCTCAAACAGCTTTTATAACAACTACCTCAAAATTAACCCTTTGATTGACGTCTCGCCCACTTGTCAATTCGTTTGACTTGAAGCATTCTCAAAACCGACTACCGCTGTCGCCGTAAAATAGTATACGCTGAAGCTAGCAAAAATGTAACAGGGAGTGTAACTCGTAAAAATAGCGAGATATTTTTTCGGATATATGAAGGATCATCCACCAGAAAGCCAGCTCAGTCCGACCCGCTGTCATTATAGCGTGTATCATCCCCCACCTCGCATTCCTCTTCTACGCCCAACTCTAACTTATATTGAAAGAGATGTTCCATCTTTCGATCAATGAATGCGTTTACACCCTTGTGGACATCTGCCTGGCAAACACTGTGGGATCTCTCGTCCTGATCGAGTATAGGACCATAGCAAAACGAGTCAAGCCGCGACCTGTATATTCAATCCAATGCAAAGCTGTCTCTAGCGGCCTCGTGGAACCAAAAAGTGTTGTCGGCTATAGACCTGCGCATCAGACTCGACAGGCTCGGGTCCGCGTTCTTGCCAGTCACACTATATCGATGGTGCTCCTGCTCTTCCAAGATGCGCATAAATATATCAAGCCTCGAGAGGTAAGTCCCAAGAAGGTCGTTGTCTGAATTTGAGTTCCAATAGGCCGGCTCTTTCAGCAATAGCCAGCGGGGCGGAGAGTATGTAAATTGAAAGGGTGCAGCATAACACCATTCCCAGTCGATGATGCCAGTAATCTTGAATAAATCATCGACGAGGATGTTCCCCGGCCGGAAATCGTCACAGAAAAGTTTAAAAGGGCCCTGGTTGTATCTCCGTGACACGAAACTAGGGACGGCAGCCCGGAACAGATGGCGAGCAGTGTATTTCTGCCGTGCGTCAGATGAACTGCTAATGCTATTCCTCTGCTCTTCTAGATGGATGATGTTTTGCTCTGCAATATCAAGCAGATAGTCTGATGTAGTTGAGTAAACCCGCGGCTTAACATGCACATTCCCACACCTTGCCAATTCATTTGAGTTGAGTGTTAGAGGCCCTGAGCATATCGACCAAGTATCATCATTATGGAGAGACAATGAGCCAATCTGGTCGAAATCATGCTCTGAAAGTTCTAGAGTGATGTCTGCAATTTGCCGATATACAATTTCTAGTATCGAATCGGGGATATCACTGCGTAGGACTTTGTCCCCCTGCTCATCGACAGAATATGCCTTTAGGATCTCCCCGAGTAGTGTGCCTTTAACAAAGGTCGTGATAAGGAAAGGACCAAGGTCGGTTGGATTATCATCCGCCATACCATAAGCAATCACGGTTGGGACTGGAATATTTGTCTTTTCCCTAATGTACCTCATAGTTGCCGCCTCAGCTCGCACCTTTTGCTCTGCAAACATGACCTTTCCGGGGAATAGGGAAGCGCAGCATCCGCTCTTCTCCATCATCTTCAAACTGCACCTTGATGCAGAAGTTGAATGAGCCACATTTTAGATCAGCCACATAGCATTGGCGGTTATCGCGGGATTTTGACGCCAGTTGGCATACGGCAGGGCCGACTTGACTGAGTTTTTGGTTCCATGCTAGGCGGTCATCGTCATGTAGAGCCAGTACGAGGTCGTCAAAATCCATAGTTGGATCCTGAATTCCATGGTATAATACAATATAATAGATTAGGGTTCTTGGGGAAGGTGGCCGCCAATTGAATTTCGTTTTCGTCGCAAGAAGGTACATAGTTTCACAAGTATTTATGCGTATTTTATTTAGCAACACACTTAGTTATTCACGCCTTCCCGTTGAAGATTCTCCTTGGCAATGCATGAGATTTATCATCATTTTGGAGGTTGCAGTCATGCCTTCAATGGATACACCAATAGAAGCAGCAAGACCCGCAGGAACATTGCCCAAAGTTCGCTCTGCCTCTGAAAGAGTGTGCGGATGGATATGTTCTCAAACTGTACCAAATAAGCCTTATTACACTCAGCGAGTTAGAAATAGTGACCCTCGGCACTGTGAGAGCGAGAAATTGCTGGACCGATGATTTGCATTTATCAGACAGGGATGCTGGAGCTTGATGACGCGATCGTGATATTTTAGCGTCAGCGCGGGGTTTGCTCATTTTGCCCACGCGGATCTCCACCCCGCCGTCATCCGGAGGGCCCTCAACCACAAATCTCGTAAATAAAACCCTTCTCACCACCCCCTCAAGCCATTCACACAACGAACCCAAATTCGCGCACACCCCCAATGTCACCCACAATGCCCGCCTTCATCTCCCGCCTCCTCCGCCCCTTCACCTCCAGCGCCTCCCTCTCCATCACGCCCGCCGGCCCCATCCCCGCCGGCGCCCAAAAGGCTACTCTCGCCGCCGGCTGCTTCTGGGGCGTCGAGCACATGTTCCGCAAGGAATTCGCCGACAAGGGCCTCTACGACGCGCGCGTAGGTTATATCGGCGGTGACACTACGAGTCCCAGTTACCGTAGCGTGTGTTCCGGCTCCACCGGTCGTGAGTTTCCCCGCGCCCACAGTCGGTGAAGGCGCATAGCTAACAAAACCAAGACGCCGAAGCCGTGCAACTCACCTTCGACCCCATCACCCTCCCATACACGGACCTTCTCGTCTTCTTCTACCGAATGCACGATCCCACGACGCGCGACTCGCAGGGGCCAGACACAGGATCGCAATACCGTAGCGGTATCTTCGTCCACTCCGCGGAGCAAAAGGAGCAGGCGGACCAGGTGACGGAGAAGGCGAACAACCAGTGGTGGGGTGGGAAGGTGGTGACGCAGATTCTGCCGGCGGGGGAGTGGTGGGATGCTGAGGACTATCATCAACGGTATCTGGATGTTAATAAGGGAGGGTATGAGTGCCCGAGTCACAAGGAGAGGGAGTTTCCGGATCTTCAGTAGAGGTGGTGTGTGGATTGGGGGTTGTATGGCGTCTGGGTTGGTGGGGGAGTTATATAGGGGGGGAGGTGAGAATCTTGCTTGCCATATAATTGATTCATTTAGAGGTTCTATGCCTCTTCAACACAAAATAATTAAATGTCAAATCTATTAAAGCAAGAACCAAAGCTTTTCCCATAGATAATCCGCACTCTATCAGTGATATCAACCTCATGAGTTGTCATTGCCATTTATAGTCGTGCATGAAGCTCTACAACCCGGAATCAATCTCGTTAACGATGTTGTGCGCGCTATAATCCCACCAGTCGCGACACGTCTGTGCCATGATCGATGGGATCTGGCGTTGCTTGATTAAATCGGGGCGTTCCTATATTCCCAGTTAGTCAAGTTCGCGGCACTTATTTGATGCAAAATGTGAATACGAAGAGATAGTCAGCAAGAAAAGGGGGTGATAACTAACCATCACATTCATATACAGTCCATCACTTACATGCCAAGCAACATGGCAATGGAATGGCCAAACCCCCGGGTTATCAGCCATGAATTCAATAACAGTATAGCTCATGCCCGCAGGATACGGATACCCAAAGTCCATGAGCTGCGTATCCCTTCGCTGCGGGTTCTCAGGTCGCGTTACCACTCCATCCCATTGTCCTACCCCCTCGGCGACGACCCAGAAGTTGTGACCGTGGAGGTGCATCGGGTGTGCGAGGGGGGTCAGGCCGCGCAGGATGAGGCGAATAGAAGTGTTCTTACCAAAGTTGTATACGTTCCACTGCGGGTCGTCGGGGTACGAGGTATTGCCTAGCTTGGCGAGGAGGAGGAGGGGGTGGCTGCAATCACGGGTTAGTGATGGTCAGGATTGGGTGGATTTGACGTATTCGACTCACTCGTAGTTGGCTCGGAAGGACTGGTTGTTCATCACCCATACCTCAGCGCCTGTGGCATTAGCTTGGAAGTCAATGTCGATCGTCTGCGTGAAGGCAGGCTCAGGTGGAGGCGCCATGGCGAATAGGGGCTTTGTGACACTAATGGGATCGTTGGAGCAGTTCGTGTCGGTGAAATAAGTAGCTTGTGATGTCGGCACAGCAGAAGCGTGAGCTTTCTCATAGTGGATCACGGCAAGAGCATGGGGCTGGTTTGAATGGCTACATCTGTCGCTGATGTCGGTTCTCATCCAGAATGAGTCTGTAGGACGGCCAGTGCCCCTAATGAGAACATCGCTGCGCTGCCCAACTCCAAGCGTAATAACATTGGTTTCATAAGGTTCAATAGGGACAAAGTCATTGGCAATGACGGTCATGGTATGGTTGTCGATGGTGAATCTCTGCAACCCCTCCGCTCCAGAGTTGATGAGACGCAATCGGTGTAGTTTTCCAGACTCAAATTTGAACTTCGACAGCCCAGCATTTGGAGTACAAGTTAAATTTGTGAGAGAACAGTCGTAGTTCATTTTCCCATTAATAAGGTTGTTCGTTGAATTTGGGACGAGTTTGCTTCCCGTGAAGCGCTGGACGATTTTGAAATATTCCTCGTGGTTATGGTCAGACTATCTGGGTTAGCTCTAAAACTTATCCCTAACGATGGATATCACCTACTAGCATGATAGGTCCAAGGTCATAATCGTAGTGTGCATGAGCAGGTCCGTGGATGATCATGGCCCCTAAAAGCCCGTCTGCGTACTGTGCGCTGTAGTGAGAGTGATACCAGCTTGTGCCGTAGGAATCCGCTCGAAATGTGTACGTGAACGAGCTCCCTGGTGCAATTGGGCACTGAGAAACTGTTCATTTAGTTAGTTTGGTGTAACTACTTGCATTAAACAACAGAGATATTACCTGATGGTATACCATCAAACCAAGGTGTCTCCTTTTGAAGCAGGCCATGCCAATGGAGAGCGGTACCTTCTTCGGGCCCAGTGATATTATTCGTCACAGTAATCTGCCCAAAAGAATAAGCATAACCCTGCGACCTAAGTAAGAGGACTTACCTGGAATGTATCTCCCCAGTTTGCTTCAATGGTAGGACCTGGAAATTGTCCGTTGATGAGGAGGCCATTCTTTTCGACGCCATCGGGTGAGAGAATGCCACGCTCAATAACAAAATTGTAAGGGCGAATTTTCCCAGTATTTGGGACTTCCTCGTAAGGATTTGTGTGCTGCGCTGACGCATCGGCCCATGGAAATCCTCGGGGTAAGGGCTTCAAACAATTAGAAGGTGCAGATAGTAAGAGATGGAGACTTACGCCGTCCTCTAGAAATTTTGGCAAGAACGGAGCAGAAAGCGTGCCCAGTAAAGAGCCTCCTACATAGTGGAATTATAATCAACTTCCATTATCATGGCTTTGGGGGATTAGAGAGTGATAGTACCATTTGTAGAGACCTGCGATAGACTGGCTATCAGGCTTGTCGAGCTGAGGATGGACGATATGAGATTCATGACGATATGCGTTATAAGACCGAGAACGATCTATGGCAACAGAAATGTAGAACAGAATGGCGATTCCAGGTGGTGCGATTCACAATATATATATATATATATATGGCTACGATCAATGATTGTATGTACAGGTAACGATGAAGTCTCACCTGAGACAATCCGGAGATCGACATAGCTCTGTCCCAACGAACACATAACCTGAAGAGATCGGACTAATACGCGCAACTCCCTTGTCTATGATTTTCCCGGCACGACGTAAAATAAGACATATTTGCTAGCTGATACGAGTATCTGTAAATGAGCAAGCAGCTCCAGCAGGGGTATTATTCACAGCCCTCACAATTGCGGCATGCCGCCCAGCCTTACGGCCGCAAAATAGGGATGAGAGACCCTTAACCTCAGCCGCATTCATGCGTGCATAAACTTCCCAGACAAGCAAATAAGCACTTCATCTCCAAAGCTTAGCCACAGAGAGCGAATTGCTTACTTTGAAAGCTGGGATTAGACGTTGCGCAAAAAATTCCCGATTGGGTTTGGTTAGTTTTGATGTCCGTCTCGTATTTTCCCCCCAGACAGCGGATAGTGGGTATCGCCAACGCCTGTCAGCGCTTGTTACCACAGCTCTTACGGCCGGTCCACGATGCGGCCGTAAGAGCCGTGATAAGAACTTATGGTCGAGTACTCCTTATGGTCGAATAGTAGAAGTCGTCATAAAAATCGTTTGGTCCCTCTCCCAGCCCCTGCACCCAGTGGCTGGTAGGGCTGTCATTTCGACAGAATAGAATTCCAGAACTTTGGTTCGTGATGTTTTGGCACAGTCTAGCACACAGCGAAAACAAAAATACACTGGTGTATCTACAGTATGTTTTTGTTCCCTGTGCTATTTTACCAGTCAAAACATGCTCGGCTAATAGTGCTTCCGAGAGCCGTAACAACCCCCACTCCCCACTCCCCACTCCCCTCTCTCTCCCTTCCTCCTCATTAATACTCATGTATGCTGACCAGGACAATGTCTATCCGTTTACATAATGTCTACTTATATAGCCGTCCAGCTAGAACTTCAAAAACTTCTACTAATCGTTAACATGCACCTCGGCTAATGTGATTACTATTTAGAAATGAGTCGGAAACGGCTTGGATCGGGAAACGGCTAAGTGGCACCCTAGCGCCAAAGTCGCCGTCAAAACCACCATGATTACTATTCAGCTGGCATATTTACCCTACGACGAACACGTTTTGATTTATCAGCAGAAGTTCAAGGAAATCTATTAAACGTATATAATATGGCCATAGGAATTGGATAATGAGTTCATTACAGTCGTGATTAAGTCTTTCAAAATGTCATCAAAAGAGATATCCGACGGATCAACCCAAGATGAACGAGGGATCCCTCCGTCAGTAAATACCTCAGAGGCGCATCTATCAGAAAAGCCCACTGGACCACCCTTTGATACAAAAGAGATATCCGACGGCTCAACCAAAGATGAGCGAGAGGTGACTCTGCCAGAGAACATGCCAGAGGAGCCTCTAACAGAAAAGCCTATCGCACCTCCCCCTGATGGCGGCTTCGCAGCGTGGTTGCAGGTGCTAGGGGCATTTCTCCTCTTCTTCAACTCTTGGTGAGTAGACATATCCAGCATTATGCGTGCCTGTGCTAACTGTCGTAGGGGCATTGTGAATACCTTCGGTGTCTACCAGGCCTTCTATCAAACCTCTCTCCTTCAATCTCGCAAATCCTCGGATATCTCGTGGATTGGGACGTTTGGAGCATTTTTGCTCGTGTCGCTTAGCATCATCAGCGGCCCAATATTCGACCGAGGGCATGTCCGTGGCTTGGTTGTTGCAGGGACCTTCTTCACGGTCTTCGGTCTAATGATGACCAGTTTGTCCACGGAGTATTATCAGCTCTTCCTCGCCCAGGGTGTCTGTGTCGGACTTGGAGGAGGTCTCCTATTTCTCCCTAGTGTGGCTATCGTCGCGACGTACTTTTCGACCAGACGTGGCATAGCCACAGGAATCACGGCCGCAGGAGGTAGCATCGGCAGCGTTTTGTACCCCATCATCTTTCGCAAGTTACAGCCGCAGATCGGATTCGCCTGGACGACGAGAGTTATCGCGTTCATAGCGCTCGGCACCCTCTCGATCAGTATTGCGATCATAAAGTCACGACTTCCACCGCCGAAGCAGGCGCGTGCTATGCTCGATATCAACGCTCTCAAGTCCGTTCCGTTCGTTCTGTTTAGCTTTGGGATGTTCCTTGCATTCGCGGGGTTGTATATTCCAATATTCTACATCATTGTCTACGCCCAGCGACATGCAAATGTCGAGTCCGACATGTCGTTCTATCTTCTGTCGATTCTGAACGGAGCGTCTGTGTTTGGACGCATTCTGCCTGGCATCATAGCAGATAAATTCGGGGCCATGAATGCGCTAACAGGAGTCACGGTTTTGGCTGCTGCATTTGCCTATGCGTGGGTTGCCATAGACAACCTTGCGGGATTGATAGTCTTTGCTATTATATACGGCTTCTTGTCTGGGGCGGTTGTATCGCTGCCTCCTCAGGTTCTTGTGAGGCTGGTTCCCGACATGCGGCTTGTTGGGACGTGGATGGGCATGTCGCTGTGCTTTGCCGCACTCGGGATTCTCATTGGTAGCCCGATTGCGGGGACCATTATTAATGTTGTCGAGGGGCATTTCTCGCATATGCTGATTCTGTCAGGCAGCTTCACGATGGCGGGTGGGATAGTATTTATTGTTGTGAGGACGGTTTATTTGAAGTAGCGGGCATATAGATGGCGTTAAGTTGAGGGAGGCTAGATTTTGGGTGGCTATTTTCACTGGGGGGTAAAATAATGGTAGTGTAGATATTTTGTGAATAATTATAGGGTGTAATGTATGACTCCAAAAAGAGGAGCATAGGGTATATTCTAAATTGAGATTTTGCTTGCTCATAACTCGTACAATAATACCTCACGGTTACTGTAGTACACTACATCAAGCCCCTTTTCGTATATTCTATATAATACAGAAATCTAACCTCCACCACTACCATATGCTATGCGACACTCGTGCTTTGAATATCATGACGATCAAACCGGTGTTCCTTGTATGTCTTGTTGCCCTCCGTGTTTACTTCCCCTGGCCGTTCGAGGTATGTCAACTCAATGCTAACAGTCTTCTGGATGCCAATTATCCTCTCCTCGCTGCCTTCTCCTTTGTAATGCGTCCCTACGTCCTCCATTCCAACCTCAGACCCCCCATGTGTTTTTGAGCGCTGGGCTATACGGGCATTGTAGGACACACCCTGGGATACACCATCGCCTAATGGATAAGATTGGTCGTGTTTCGTAGAGCCAAAGACGAATGGCATCAACCGAGCCAGTGGGCTTCTTAGAGTTGGTGCACAGGCGCAGATGACGCCAACCGTCGATTCGACTTGGGTCCAGATGACCGAGGTTCCAGTCGCCCAGGTAAAGTCTTTGGCAAACGTAGCGTTGAAATTGAGGCTAATTAGCCGCTCAATACTGGTTATGCATACGCTTTGAGATGTCAGAAGAAGGTGGGGGAATGGCGGCATTTGGGTACTTACAACGTTCCAAGGATAAAAACTGCCAAAAGACCGAGCTTGGCTCGACGGTTCATCTGTAGCTTTACGATCACAGGGATGGGCAATATAAGGACTATCACATCCATCAAGGTGTTCCATCCCGACTGACCATACCAGAACGCTTTAATGTTGATGCTAAAAGATATTAGCAGTGCTTCATAATTAAGGAGTCAACGAGCCTGCTAACCAAGAGCCTGGTACAGTCTTGTCCCATGAATATTTCACCGGAGTGCATTGGAAGATAGTAGTGAAGCTGAGTGCGACTATAGCGGCCGATATATGAACGATTAGAGCCCAGCAGATTATGCGGAAGTTCCTTTGAGGGAAAATGTCGAGATAGAGGAAGAGGAAAGAGAGCTTCGTTATGGCGACTGTGTTCTTGACGAAGCACTGGAATACGAAAAATAGTAGTAGTGAGTTGTAGCGCTGTTCTGCGCTGAGATAAGGTGCATGGTGTCCGAAACCCCAGTTCAGAATTGCTGAGAAGTTTGGTTAGCGATAGCGTTCAATTGTTGTTGTCCACTATGGTCCTTACCTGATGAGATACAAGCCACTTGAATAATATTGAATATCTGTTGACTAGTTAGCATCAAACAAACCTAACCCGGGAAACAGAGCTATTACCAAGCAGATGATAACGCAGATGTCCGCCTTGTTCAAGGCGCCGCTGCCGTTCCTAATGCACCTCCACCATACACGATAGCCAACGATGATTGCAGATAAGAAGAGCAGAGGTATGTTCAAATATACGAAGGTGTTGCCATTCTTCGTATCAGGCCCGCTAGGAACAGCGGCTGTCATGGAGTCGGTCAGTTATGCGAGGGATGAAATAATACTGATGAGATTCAATCAAAAGCGACATCACGAAGCAGATCTTCAGAGAAAGGAGGTCGATCATGTATGTAGTCATTTCTACGCTGACACGTAGGAACAGTTGTGAGACAGAATTCTGTGATTCGTTCCTTCAGGGTCCTCATTTTGCTACCTGAGGATCTCAGTAGGAAATGATTTGTTACCACCAGGACGGTACCTAGTGGAAACAGGCATACGGTTCGTTGGTTGCCCGTAGACTGGCATTCCCAATTAAGATTAAACTCGAGTGCTGCTTTTGCCTCTAAAGCTTTCGTCTGGTATATAGTAATATTGAGTAGTATATCCTAGATACCTACTAGCAAGTAGCTATATGGGCATGCTTTGCGAGGATTACACTCCTTCTATAGAACCCTCTCGAGGTATATTTAGAATCTGTGACTGCAAAACGCAACACAAACATTCTAAAGCAGCGATATAATAGAGAGTTTCCGTGCTAGCGCTGTAACAAAACTTATGCCTTATTGAGAGGTGCACGCATGGATCAAACTCTCCTGAGGATATACAGGGTAGCTTTTCAGGCAAATGTAGAAGCACTGTAAACCAACACATGGGTGTAGCTGAGAAATTTTGCTTTAGATGCTTCTGGTAATGATTGGCTCTGTCCTGCCTCTTTCAGACCACGGTGTATGGTGCGAGACGTGCCACTCGGGCAAGCAATTAACCGAGTTGCTCATTGCTAGGGAATGTTGGAATTGGTGTTGAAATTGACACTAGTGCCAAGCCGGCACCACCAAGGCCGCTCCCCATATATCAGTGCGAAGATGTCAGGGCCCTGTATCATATTAGTAAGAAAAACTGTATTATATTGGATTTGGTGGTCAGCATCGATGAGAACTCCTCACACCCTGAAAGCACTCTCTATTATTTGAACAGGGAGGCTGAAAGAGCCCCGCCTAGCGCCGCGGGGAGGTTTCAAATCGTACCGTAGGTGGATCTGCAGGCATGCGGCCCATACGGGCCGCATCGGGATGTGCCACTGTGGAGCTTTTCCCTGTCAATCATGCGTCCAAGCACTCAGGGATCCAACCCTTGTCGTGTCTCCTGCTTTCCAACAAGGTTGTTGTCCATTTGGCAGTTGTGGTTACAATATGTTTTGCAAGTGGGCCCCGGACGTGAACTCTGAATTAGGAATAGGTGCAGCACTCTGCGCATCTCTTTCCTCTTCCTTCCTTCTTTGTACAACCATATTTCCTGACAGAACGCAGCAGCAAACGTCACTGGTTAAGCATATCGATCTGTATTAGAACGCGGATATGGAATTGGATTCAGATATCGCAGTTGAGAAGGCGTCGGGTTCAGTCTCTATGGAGCCCGGTTCTCCCACCGCTAAGGATGTCAATGCAGTAGATACCTTTTCAAGTGCGGAGTATCGCAAGCTCATCTGGAAACTCGATATGCGTCTTTTGCCCCCGCTCTTTGTGCTATGGTTTATCTCATTAATCGATCGAGTCAACATTGGTACAGCGAGAATCCAAGGCCTTGAGAAGGATCTTGGAATGAATCCTCTCAGCACACAATTTAACATTGCGACTGGTATGTGTCTCAATAAAACCCACAAGAAGTTTAATCGAACCCGTTCTTCTAGTCGTGGTATTTGTCGGCCTCATGCTCGCAGAGGTAGCTAAGCTCAATGAATTATATCACTATGAAATGCTAATAAACGAGCAGGTTCCAAGCAACTGGCTGGTTAAAAGGTTCTCGCCAACTAATATTCTCTGCGGTGAATGTATCATCCTTGGTAAGGAATCAAACCTGTCTAATTAACAATATGCTTATATCGTGTAGGGATCTTTACCATCGGCCAAGGTCTTGTCACCAACTTTGCTGGCCTCGTTGCCATGCGCTTCATAATTGGAATTCTAGAAGCTGGACTGATCCCAGGGTCTATCTTCTTGCTGTCAGCATACTACCCAAGATATGAATTGCAATGGCGCGTGAGCATGCTCCATGTTGGCAACGCCATCTCTAATGCATTCGGTGGTTTGTTGGCCTTCGCTGTGGCTAGCATCAACTCCTCAAATGGATGGAGTGGGTGGAGATGGATATTTGTAATTGAGGGACTTATCACAGTCGCCCTTACCCTCATGTGCTGGCCATTTATGAACAACTGGCCAGCTACGGCGAAATGGCTCAAACCAAGGGAGAAGGCTGTCTTAGAAGAACGTATTCGAATGGATGGAATAATTGGCCGTATGGACGTCTTTGACCGAAAGGCCATCATCCGATGCCTCACGGACTGGAAGATATATTTGAGGTAGGTTGGCCAAGTGTGCTGTGTTAGATGCCTGATCTAACATACATCTAGTTCGTTTATTATCGTCGGCATCATTTCTAGCGTCTACTCATGCACCTTGTTTGCCCCGACAATTATTAAGGCTCTCAAGCCAGAATACACCCCAAAGCAGATCCAATCTTTGATAATTCCTATCTTTATCGCGGCGTCAGTCACTACTTTGGCCCTTGCTTACATCTCGGACAAGCTAAAGCACCGAGCGGGTCTCGCACTGACTGGTTGTTTTATTGCCATTATCGGATATATTATCCTCCTAAACCAAAGGCATGTCTCGGTGAACGCACGGTATGGAGCGTTGTATCTAATCGCCTCCGGCTCATTTGCCGCTCTGCCTGGAGCTTGGATTTTGCTTTTGAACAATGTCTCTGGATCCTACAAGACAGCCTTCGCCATAGGTATGGAAATTGGACTGGGCAACGGCGGTGGATTCATTGCGGCGCTCTCTTTTCAGTCGAAGGCGGCTCCATTCTACTGGACAGGCTTCAGGACCACCTTTTCGCTGATGTGCATGGCGGCTGGCTTCATCTGTCTTTATGTGGTTGGACTTTGGTACGAGAACAAGCAAAAGCGCGCTGGGAAGAGGGATCACTTACTCAATGAAGAGGGCGACAATTTGGGAGATGCCCATCCTCAGTTTATCTACACTTATTAGAATTACTGGCTATGTATAGCTAGTTTTGATTAATTACCTATATAAGCAAGTTTTAAAGCATTTTTGTTCTATCGTTCATGGAAATTGCTCCTAGATATTGCACGTGTTTACTCCGTACAGTATGAGATGCTATATTTGTATATGGACGTCAAGGCAACGCCGAGTATATACAGAAAATAAAATGTGATTATAAGGTACGGCTTCTGTGTCGGACTTTGTGGAACCCCTGTGTCAGGGGATACAGGCTAAGTTTGTGCTTATAGCTCATACAGGGTTCTACTCACCCTGCATGAACTACACGCACTAGGCCAGGATGGCAATCTACTGTAGCCCGCTGTTCGTTTTCTTGCACCTGAAATGCAACTATTTTAATTGTCGAGTTTTCATAGTTTGCACCGTACGGAGCACAGTTGTCTTTCCCCTCCGAGTCGCCTTGGTGCCATCGTCCCACGCCGGTCAACAGAAAAATGGGGTCAATACAGGAACAGGCGCCGATTGACATAGCCATTGTTGGAGGAGGAATCGGCGGGCTTGCGCTGTCAATTGGACTCCAACAGCACAGCCATGTGCGAGTCAAAATCTACGAGGCTGCTTCTAAGTTCTCCGAGATTGGTGGTGAGTGATGATGGCGATGTGTAGCACAATGATTTAACCCTTGCATTTGTTTCTGCTCCTCTGCTCGTCAAGACGAGTCGTAGCTGAAATATTCCAGCTGGCGTATTTTTTGGTGCCAATTCCATTCGTGCCATGACCCTCATCCATCCTGCCATCGGAGAAGCCTTCGCCAAAATCTCCACCAGTGCCGGTTGGGAATCAAAGAGAGACACATATTTTGATTTTATATTGGCCCATGAGCTTCATGGCTTGCCCACTGGAAGCCACATTATATCCCCCCAGGTCACTGCGTCCGAGCGCCACACCACAGCTCACCGTGCACATTTTGTCGACAAGCTCATCAAACTCGTACCTGATAGAACCGTCGAGTTTGGCAAGCGATTGGCGGACATCTCGCGGGATGAGGGCGGAGGGAAAACAATCATGAGGTTTGCCGATGGAAGCACTGCTGAAGCGGATGCAGTGATTGGATGCGATGGGATTCGATCCGTATGTCGAGACTTCGTGCTGGGAAAGAATGATCCTCTCTCGCAGCCTGTATTCACGGGGAAGCATGCGTATCGCGGTTTGATACCCATGGACAAAGCTATTGCCGCGATCGGAGCAGAGAAAGCCCAGAACCGCTTCATGTTCCTAGGTGTAGGTGGCCATGTCCTCGTTTTCCCCGTGGCGGAGGGCCAGGTGATGAATGTGGTTGCGTTTAGCACAACTAAAAGTGGTACTTGGGAAGGGGAGTGGGTCAAGCCCATGAAACGGGAAGATATGGATGCTGATTTCGAAGGCTTTGGAGAGGAATGCCAGAAGATATTCTCCGTATGTCAAACAATCCAAACAATAGTTTCTGTCGGAGAATGCTGATTTGGAATATAGTTGATGGAGAGCACCGATCACTGGGGTATCTTCGACCTCTCCCCCGACATCCCAACCTTCTCCTCGCGCCCCCTTCATCTCCTACTGTTGGGCGATAGCGCACACGCCTGCGCGCCTCATCAAGGCGCCGGCGCTGGTCAAGCCCTGGAAGATGCACACATTCTCTCACACTTACTCGGCGCCTGTCACTCCCCTTCCGACCTCCTCGCTGCGTTCGCCGCGTATGAGAGCGTGCGCATGCCACGGACGAAGTTTGTCCAGAAATATGGCCGACTGCAAGGAGAGCTATTAGATTTGCAGAGACCAGATGTAGGAGATGATTTGGAGAAGCTGAAGGCAATTATTGATGTCCCGATTAGAGAGATTTGGAACTGTGATTTAGATGCCGAGTTAGAGAAGGCAAAGGTGGTGATGCGGAAGAAATTAGACGAGTGTGTTTGAAGCAAGCTGAGTTAGACGTCTAGGAGTAGAAAGCCAATGCCCTACATGTAATACTTCCGGTCTTGACTTTGGACTTCTGTATTGCTGCCGTAGCACGACAGGTGTTCTCACATTGATCGTCCAGTATCGACCCTGTGCGAGCCCGCTGGGCTAATCCTCTAACAGCGAATCAGTTCAAGCATCATATCCAGGTCGTGCACGCTACCTCACTTCGGGAACTATGTATGTGGGCTAAAGAAATGAGGCCAGTTTGCATTCTATGGACATCTGCTAATTGATCAGACCAAATTCGATGCTTTTCAACGAATCGGGGCGCGAGATACATGAGCCCCTATCAAGTGTAACTCCTAGAACATAAGGTCCTCCACAGGAACCTTGTTGGTACCCTATATATCATTAGAGTTTGAAATCTAAGCCAGGGAGCTCTATCGTACCAATGAATTGTGCACCAGCGGCACCGCTTCCTGTTACTAGATACAGGGCTTTTGTTTTCCCATCCACCTGATGACAAGAACCTTCTGCCGGAGAAGCGTGACTTATAATGTTCGAATCGGACTGGCTATAAGTTTATCAGTAAGTAAACAATTGGAAACATTTCTACAAGTAATATACCAATCACTTATGCTAGCATATTGGTTGAGCTTCGAGTTTGCTGCGAAGGCTCCTCCCCCAAGAAGGGTAGAGAGGAAAATGGCGTAGAAACACTTCATTTTGATCCAAAATAGAGGGGAATAAAAGTTTATAGAGGTCGTAATCCAAAGTCGAGTAGAATAACGAAGAGTAGGCAGAGGAATAGAGTAGCAAAGAAGGGGAAATAGTCAGACTTATATAGTAAATATATTAACATGTAAATTGAGTACGAGTCAGGTCCTTTAGTCTGAGGGCCGTTATGATAAGCATAATTTTTACTCAATTGGTTTGGCCATATGCCAGGGCGAGTAGCACAAAGGATCAGAAGGACTGAAAGAATTAGAGGTATAGCTTGTCCGGCTCACAACGCTTGTCATGCTTACTGTGCTTTTTATGCTCACCCATTACCTAGCTCAGCTGCATGCATCCAACTTCGCAGTGCCATTTAGTCTATGGGCTGTTAGGATAAGCATAATTTACCCAATTAATTCAGCCTTGTGCCAGGGCGAGTAGCACAAAGGATTAGAAGGATTGGAAGGATCGGAAGTAAAGCTTACTGTGCCTACTATGCTCACCCAGTCACCTACCTCAGCCGTCGTCGTAGTGTAGAACAATGTCTCATATTAACCCACTTCAGCTAGCCGAGATGATCGCCATATCAAAATAAGGATAACAGTGGCGAGGCTCACGACTATATTAGGTATTACTAATGTAGCTATTATCTAGGTGTTTGCTAAAGACAAATGGATTTGTAGGTGGGTAGTGACTACTAGCGAATAGACACTGTCGTATGCTTTGCTATTTTTTTACCAGCCATCTGTAAAGGTCTCTTAGATCTCATATAAACCAACTCCGATAATGCTAAATTCTCATCATATCGCTACCCAACCTCAATCTAACACAACCCCCCTCCTCTTCCTCGCCCTCGTCAGCTCTCCATGCGCCGCCGTCACGACGCCTACAACTAATAACACCCCATTAAATGCCGCCATCATATAAAACGGCGCCCCCGCCGCCACCTCATCAAACAGGTATCCCCCTAGCTTCGTCAGCAGCAAGATCGCCGCTGCACCAGAAAGCGAATAGACCCCCGCAATCGAGCCCTTTAGGTGGCTCATCCCCTTTTCCTCCTCCCCACCCGCCGTCTCCACATCATCACCACCTCCCTCCCTACTCCGCGCACGATACTCATCTCCTAGTTGCGACGAAAGAGTATACCCCCCATCCTCGCCCTGAACGCCCCTGCCTAGCAAGCCGAGGCTACACACAATTGCGCCAATCTGGCTAATCCCAATGAGCGCCACAATTAAAAACACCCACGCGCTCCCCCCTCTCCCTTCTACATCCATAATCTCCGGACTCTCGAGCCGGGCAAATGCTACGAAGCCAACTACTCCCGCCGCCGCTGCACCAATCAGCGGGGCGTTGAATCGTCTATACCTATCTGACAGTATCCCGAACAGCGGCGCACACAACAGGGCGACGAGCTGAGATGCGCCTGTTAGCTGCGCGGCAAGGACGTACGCGGCGCGACACTCCTCCTTCAGCTCTGGTGTAGTATCGTTAGGCGCGCCGCGACAGAAGCCGTGGCTCATGAAAAATGCGTTTATAGATAGCGGGATGAAGAGGGATATCGCGACCGACGACGCTCTTGCGACGAATCCTCCCAGGTAGGCGAGACGAAGAGGGGCCGACGTGAAACCCAATCGCGCAGCAGAGAGTAAGAGGCGGTGGTAAGGCTGCAGCGGTGCAGCGGGCGAAGCATCAGTGGTGGTGGTGGACGAGCGACCAAATAAGCTACGCCACCCCTTCCCCTCATCGCCACGGATCCCACGTAGACCAATGAAACACGCGCCCGCAACGAGAACGGCAACAGTGGCCACGGTGTAAAAGGCGTAGGCGACGGCAGCGGATTGAGTGATTCCTTTGAAGGAGGCGAATTGGGCAGGGAGGGGGAGAAAGAGGGTGAGTGCGAGGAGGGCGCCGAGGCCGGTGAAGAGGCCTACGAGGCCTGCCATGCGCGGAGGTGTTGAGGCACGGGAGGCGCGGGAGGGTGGGGTAATGGGAGTGGGAGGGGGAGAGAGGAGAGGCGTGGTGGTGGTGGTATCATTTGTATCCGTAGTGGTGATAATCGGAGGAGCTTCTCTCCTCTCTCTCGGCCTCTCCACCCCGGTAACAGCCGGTAAAATTGCCGTTACCATAGTCGCCCTGCATATTGTCAGTCCCAGAACGACTCGCCAATCCCATCTTCCTAGCCATGTGATAAAAAGAAGAAAAGAAAAAAAACTCACGTCGCCGCCCCCCCAAGACTAAACAATACCCTCGCCGCCACCAACCCCGGCACCACACTCCCCACACTAACAACCGCGACCAACCCCCCCGCAACCCCTCCAAACCCAACCACACACACCCATCTCACGCCGATACGATCCGAAAGAGCCCCCGCCAGCGGACACGCAACAATCGCGACGAGCTCATCGACGAATCCGAGCGTGCCGACGAGATTCCCGACGCCCTCGACGACGCCGAGGCGCGCGGTGATGACGAAGGAGAGTGCGGCGTTGAGGAAGACGAGGAAGGCGATGGAGGAGAGGGAGACGAAGACGAGGTAGGTTGTCGCTTGGAGGGGGGTGGTGGTGGGGGAGAAAGGGAGGTGCCGGGCGAGGAGGCTCCGGACGGATCGGCGGGCCATTGTGAGGGTGGTGGTATGGGCAATTGAGATGGGAGACGGGTTATTGGGAGTGCGCGTGTATGGCCATGCCGTTGGAAGTGCTGTTGTCGTTGTTTATGGACGTATGGAGGGTTTGGTGATGAGTTGCGGTTGAAAGTCTGGAGGGGTTTGGGGAAGGCATGGGTATGACCGACGGACCCACCAAGGTTGTGGTGTGGATCGGCGGGCTTGGCGGGGATGTGGCGTCGGGTGGTGGCGCTTGTAACGACAGCTCTTCCGATGTAGGACGCAAAAATCAACCATCACTGTTCTTAAACCTTTTTACGTGTTAATACTTTATTTCATAACCCCGCATCGATCCAAAATTAAGCTCCACGTAATTCACATCAAGTCCCCTCAAAAAAACATGGATTTAATGTGTTTGAATTCCGTAGTTTTATTTAGGTGTAGCTACGGCCATCATCCCCCCACCTTCAGCATCTCTGCTTCAGTCCCATACCACCTCTAAATAATATACAACGAAAAACTCCCACCATTAAAAGAGAAGAAAGGGGTCTGTGAGCTGAATTGCCAGCGCATATATTATTATGTCTTTTGTCTCTTCGGACCTCTCAACTCAAGTACCCACAATTACCAAATTGCTCCGAATTTCTTCCCATTTCCATCCTTCCCTTCCTCCCTATTCTCCATCCCTTTAAATCCATGAAAGAAAAATATATATCAAAAATGAGTGTGTGACGCCTCTAGGTCATGTAGCTTCGTTGGAAAATTCATTGCGTCCAAATATACACCCCGTATCAAACGTGTATCCCCCCTCGTAGCTGCACTCCTAGATGCGCCTCAAATCTCAGCATATATCACACTCTAGATGAGAGCGATAAGACCCATAAGGGCACCAGCGAAAGCCGCAGCGACAGGCTTGTTGGAGCCAGCGTTGTTGGGGGCTGGGGTGGTGCTTGGGATTGGGGTGACCTCTGGAGTAGATCCGCCGGAGGTTGCCTCAGGGCTGCTGGAAGATGGCTTGGAAGGCACCATCGTGGTTGGGACAGGGACGACAGGGACAGTTTGCTCAGGGACGACAGGGACTGTTTGCTCAGGGACGACAGGGACGACAGGGACAGTTTGCTCAGGGACGACAGGGACTGTTTGCTCAGGCACAGTTGGCTTAGGCACGGTTGGCTGTGTGACAGTTGTCAGAGTCTGGATGTTGGTCTCGGCCGCGTGGGAGGTCAGAGACTGGATGGTGGTCTCGGCCGCCTGGGAGGTCAGAGTCTGGATGTTGGTCTCGGCCGAGTGGGAGGTCAGAGTCTGAATGTTGGTCTCGGTGACGGCGTGGGTCTTGGTGACAACGATGGTGTTGGTGTTGGTCACGGGGATGACGATGGTGGAGTTGGCCGAGATGGTGGTCTTGAAGGTGACCGGGCAGGTGGTCGTAGTGATGACCTCGGTGGTCTGGAAGGTGGTGGTGACGGCGGTTGTGTGGTCAACAATGGTAGTTGGGACCTTGGTGACGATGGTGGAGAACGAGGTCTTGGTGAGAGTCACTGGGATGCCGCTGATAGTCGAAGTGACAGTGAATGGGCAAGGAATGGTCTTCGTGATGAAGTCGATCTCAGTCACTGGCACAGTGGATGGCTTGCCGGTAACAATATCGGTGACCGTGGAGGGGACCTTGACGGGGATGATGGAGGTGGACGTGTAGACCACGGTGATGACCTTGCCGGACTCGGTGATGGTCTTGGTGACTGGGCACAGAGAGGTGGTGTACTGGGTCGTAACCGCGGTGGTGGTGGCGGTCGTGTCGGGCTCCGTGATGGTGACTGGGATGGTGGTGTGGATCACCTTGGTGCGAGTCGAGGTCGTGGTGTAAGTGACGACCTGGGTGGTGCCATGCTCAGTCCTGGAAAGTTTGTTAGTATTGCTGCCATCCCCTCGCCGAGGGGAAAGGTGCAATGTAACAGGACTCACTTGGTGGTTGTCACTGGGCAGTCGGTAACATAGGTGGTGGTGTAGTCGGTGACGGTGCTCGTCGTCTTGACCTCACCGGGCCAGCGAAGCTGGAGGGGCCAGCGAGGCTGGAGGGCCTGTCCGGACACAGCAGAGACGGCGAGAGCCGCAAGAGCGAAAGTAGTCTTCATGTTGATGAGCTTCTTGGGGTGATTGCTTGAGCGCGAGTGAAGCTTGAAGAGGATCAACGAAGGTGATGAGAGTAACCGTAGCGAAGGAGTTACTCGGAGGACTGGATGAAGACTGGCAATGGATTGGAATTAAAAGTAATGAGGAGAGAAAAGGAAAAAAGAGCAAGGAGGAGAGGGGCTCTTTAAGGCAGGGCTTTCACGATGGAGACAGCATAAGTTCACCTTAGTCTCACCTGTAAACGTCGAGCGTCCGTTTTCTGCGACTTACCGTGGAGCTTGGTCACGTCACTTGAAGGAGGAACGATGGAAGATACGGCCGCCATACCGGAATTGAAATCATTAGTTTGTGCGGGAAAAGAAGTACCTACCCGATCGCAGTTGTTTAGTTGCTTAGAGCTATACGTGGTGTTGGTGGTGTTGGTGGTGGTGGTGGTGGTGGTGGTGTTTCTCCAGTTGTGGTGAAGATGTCGTTGGCTCGAAGTGGCTGGATGCAAGCTGCTGTGGATTAGATTGTTGTTTAGCGCACACAGCGTGCGGTGGTACCGTACCTCACAATGGGACGAACCAGAACGTTCAGGTCACTAAATTTAGTGTGAGTTGGTGAGAGTTAATGAGAGTTAGTGGATGTTTTTAGTGGAGGTTGGTGGAGGTTAGTGTGCGTAGCGTGAATAGCGTGAATAGCGTGAATAGTGTGAATAGCGACACTGGGAGCAAGCACGATGGGGTTTGCAACTGTCCAGCCGCGGTCCATTGGCCCACGGCGCTAGCTTGGCGCGGAAAGAGCAGGGCAAGAACACGAGCACCTTCAGCAACCCCGTCACCAAGGCACCAAGGTAAAATACACCACAGTACACCTCAGTACACCTCAGAACGAACATTCAAACCACCAATGGCTTGTTCCAGTGTCACTGGTGTCACTTGTCGTCTCCTGCTCTCTCCACTGCTCTCCACTGCTTTTCCCGTTTTTTCCTGGACAGAACCCCAGTCGGCCTGAGCAAGGGCTGCACAGTCTGCAGGCTACTGCACGGTGCAGGTATACAAGCATCAGTCTATCACGCCCTACGAATGAGCATCGCCGCTTCTAGATCCCCACCGATGACGATGCCTGGGTGCGTGGGAGGTAACGACGTCGGGCTGCCAGAACAGCCAGGACTGAAAGAACGGTACCGGCTTCTCGATACGAGCTTCTACTGACAGGATTAGATACGATGTCCATCACTCACCAACTACCACTCGCTCACCCGCGCCGCATTCGACTAGACTCTCCCACTCCTCGACTCCTCGGAGTGGATGGCAGTGCCTCTGGAAGTGACTCGACAGTGGCAACAACCACCACTACCACCACGGTCGGCTTTGCGTTGCCATTTCCGTTGCTGTGGCCTGCCAAGTGACATAAACAAGGCAAGAGCGACCAAACCCACCAGACAAGAGGCAGGTACAACACAGGACCGTACCGTCGCTGTCGATCGCCAGGGACGAAGGGTTGTGTCTTGCTCAAGTGTCCAACTTTTCTTCCTTTTTCCCAGCGTCCGACTCGCCGAATGTCTTACTTGCTGGCAGAACATGCACAATGGTGGGCTCTGCAGCATACACGAGAGTTCACGCACACAGAACATCCCGCCGCTTTCAATGCAGTGAGACGTGCACCACTGCCTGGGAACATCAATACTCTACGGTTGGTGGCTGCTGAATCCAGACTCTGACCTACCTGCCCTACCTGCACTCCACTTGCTTCTCCACGGAAAACCTCCACCCTCTGCCTGCCATTGCCACGCACCGATACGGGAATTGGCATACTCTACCTTTTCTTGATGGACGGAATCCCGTTCTCGATCGAGTGCACGGATGGATGGGTCGATCGGCCATTCACCATCCACCGTCCACGCCAAAAAAAAAAAAATACGTCCACAACGCCCATATTGCTACGTCAGAGACGCAACGTCAGGCAGTGACAGAAATTGGTATGTGAGACTTCCTCTCATACTCCCTGTGCTGCTGAGCAGCGGTGAGGTCGTGTCCTGCACAACGACACAACGGACGAACAGGTCAGGGCAATCCAACAAACATCGTCGCCGAGTGACCTCTCCACCATCTCTGTATCGCCAACTCCCCCTCTCCAGCCTAAACCCCCGATACGCCCGTCCTCTTAGCGAGAATCTTGCTCTACGGTACATGTACGGCAATACACGATCCAAGTACCCAACTAACAACCTACAACCTTGGAGACGAGCCTCTCCCTCCCCCTCCCTTTCATCCCGCCCCAGAAATTCCTTAAAATAGACTCAGTCCGCATGCGTGCCAAGCAGCCGCCAGAGGGATCTGGAAGCGGCTCGAGCTTTGGGAAGCAAGAATTCGAAACCCCGAGGGCCCCGAGGCCACCGGTGGTCCCGGTGGCCCCGCTGTCGAAAGTCCGGAATCGTGGTCGTGTGTCTGACTGATAAGGGAGGGGGGGATGTACATAATAGCTTCCTCTCTTAGCTTTTGTCACAATTCGATGTGGGAGGGGAAGAATGGCATGTTGTGAGAGGAGTAGGGCTGAATTCTCAGTTCTCAATCCACCCTTTCCCATCCCTCCCTGCCCATCCCAGCAGCCACCCCCACATCCTTCAGCACAAAGTAGGATAACAATTCGCCTCCACAACCCACACACCACCCTCGTGGCATGGTATCTCCACCAAACATGATTTTTAATTTTTTTCAATTCCCCTTTTTCACCCCTCCCCCTCATCCATTACAAAAACCTCGATTGGCAAAATGCCCAGCCTCGACAACCTGTAGGGCACAAGCACGCAGACACAGCGTTGCCCCGTCCGAGACAGCGCCGCTTCCGTCGCTACGAGGGGGTGTGTGTGTGATAAGCGAGCTCGTAAACAGATGGCGGGAAAATGTATTTAAGGAAAGTGATATGCCGTCATAGCTACGTCGGTAGGTGAATATTTCCCTCCGGCCTATTTTTTTCGGCGCTGAGGGCGGAATCGAGGGTATGGTGAGAGGAGGGAGTGGGGAGGAGTGTTTGTTTTGAATTGGTTGCTATGCACTGTTGTGCAGCACAAGAACACAACACACAATATAGTACAGCGCACTCTCACCTCCCCAATCTAACGCCCAACAGTAAGAGCAAGTAAGTTAAGTCAGTATCCTCTCCAGCGCACCCATCAAAGTTCCCAATTTAAACACCACCAACCCGCACGAAAGTCAAAAACAGACTCCCTGCGATTACGGAATGAAAAACAGCGTTTGCGTCTGTGTGGGGCGGGGTGTGTCTCACATCGGATCCGATACGATACGGAATTGTACAGTGCTCCGGTGCGATAAGGGAACTGACTGCATGCGTGATGGGTTTGAGGGGTGGTGTGATTCGGGGTGATGGAGGGGTTGGGGAGTGGAGGAGTTGGAGGGGTGTGATGTTATGTGATGTAAGGTGGTAGTGAGGGGAGAGGAAGTTGAATGGTGGAGGGAATGAGGGGGCTGGGCTGGGCTGTCTGCTGTGCGTTTTGTATCAATGACTGACAGCTGGTGTATTTGGTTATGCTGTGCTCTACGTATGAACTGCCGGGAATTGCAGGAATGAAGTGTCTTGTGTTACTCTGTCCCACGCGGGGGTCAGCATCGCATCGATAACTCTGTTCCTCTCGTTCATGTAGGGCAGCGAGGGGTTCATGCAGAAGAAACATCGATGGACCTCTGTTGGCCATGCAGGAAAGACACGATATGAAACTCTTTATTCGCTGTGAACAGCCCCAAACCCCTTTCCCAACCTCCTCCTTCATGACCCTAATCCTCATCCTCATCACTCCCACTACTCCACCCCTCTTCATACCCCTCTGCCATCTCTCCCAGGGCGTTAGAGAGCGCTTCTCGCTCCTCGACGCCGATTGCTCGCCCGACGGTGGTTTGGAGACTCTTGATACGTGCTGCGACGCGGGTGTCTGTTGAGAGCGAGGTGCGTACGCTGAGGGCGGCGGAGGTGCGGTTGTAGATGTGTGGAAAGCTTGTAGGAAGGGGGTAGGCGAGGGGGGTTGAGGTTCTGGGGTGTGTTAGTTTGATCATTCATACCTGGGAAAGAGGAAGAAAGGAAGGATGATGAGACGAACTTATGCATTATCGGCAACCCAGCGGCACGCCGTCTCGCGCGGTCACGGCCATCGAGGTCATCCCCGTCGTTGTCGCCGCCGGTCTCCTGGTCGCTGCGACTAGATTCCACACGCCCAAAGGTATGTAACCTCCTATCCGCGCGCCTCCCACGCCCATTCATCGCCGGCGCATCAACCGGGAAAAAATCCATATCCAACTCTGCCAACCCCCCCTCCTCATCCTCCTCACTCAACCTTCCCCCATGCGTCGCAAGCCTACTATCCCCCGTCTCTCTCGTCGCATCATGACTCTCCCCATTTGGCACCGGATCCTCGCCAATAGACATCTGCAGCCTAGCGATATTCTGCGTCCCATTCACATTCAGCGCCGCCCCGGTATCAGCGAGTGACGCGCGCGTGCCGGCGCGGGAGTGAAGGCGAGAGGGGAGCGTCATTGTTTCGAGGGCTGTGGAGAGGAGGGCGGAGGCGTGCCAGAGGGAGGAGGGGTCGAGGGTTGTGTAGGATGGGAGGGAGGAGGGGATGGTGAGGGGGATGTAGAGGGAGGCTTGGGAGGAGACTTCGGCGATGGAGCGGGCTGTGTTGGAGAGTTTGAGGAATTGGGTGCTCTGGGGGTTTTGTTAGTAGGGTGTGTAGCTACGGGTTGAAAGGTTTCTTACCCTTGGCCCTTGCTTTGCGTTGCCTTCGAGTCCGAAAACCCATAGCGCTGTCTTGCCGTATTCGTCGCGCAGGCGCTCCATGTATCGTGCTGCGAAGCCGCCCCAGGCGTCGTCGACGCTGGCCATGATTTGGATACCCTGCATGTGATCGGCTTCCTCAGCGAAAGAGCGTAGGTCGCGGTCCAAGAGGTCGTGCTCCTTGTCCAGAGAGTTGAAGAGATCCTCTCCCACACTCCAATTCTCGAATGGCATCAGGGTGGATCCAAGCTCGTACTCGTTGAGTTGGACAATGGATTTGGGGTGGAAGTAGACGCGGTTGAAGTCTGACCAGTAGCGTATTGACTCTTTTGTTAGTTGCGGAGGCGTGGTGCCGTTTTCTAAACTGAGCTGGTATGCGCTTGGCTCTATTGTTGGTTGTGGCCTCATTATAGGTGCGCCATTCCTAGGCATGGTTAGCTTTGACATGACAACACCATGCTGCGACAGCTTCGATCACAACCTACCATGCTCCCGCTGACGCAGCTCTATCTTCATCCAGCTCGTAGAGTGCATTGAGCTTCCTCAACGTGCCAAACCCGCCTTTCAAGTCATATATGACCGTCCTTGGGGTAAAGGTCTCCGCGCCATCCGCACCGATGCCAGGACGGAAATGGACATCATGGTCCACCACAGGCTCCTCTTCCCCTGAGTACGTGAAATAGGACTCCTGCGACAGTATTAGTATTGGTTCATAGGGTATGGGATGTTGATATCTACTTGGGTATTCCAAAAGTGCGTTGCAAGATAATTACTCCGCTGACCAAGCTGGAGCGTGAGGATCTCGTGCATTCTCAAGCCCGCAAGATTCGTCGTCGGCGCTGCTCCGGCAACTACAGACTTTCGCAACCTAAGATGCGACGTATAATTCTTGTTGACGGTAATAAAGATGTTCTTCGCTCGTGACCACCTCGTGATTGTATTCTATGGTTGCTCTTATTCAGTGATTAATTTAAGCTCAAAGTACCCCGCTACGAACCGTGGTGGGGTTGTGGTTGGCTCAGCCAGACAGCTTTATCGCCTTCCGATAAGCCTCATGATATCAACGATCCCCTCGACTACCCCGCATCCGTCATCGAAAATAAACTTCGAGCTCAGGGCAACTCCAGCTCAGGACAAACTATAATATTCACCCTCGTCGTTCTATACCGCTAACAATCCAGCATTTATGTTTCAACCATGACTTCGAAACAAGAACCAGCGCCGCCAACGGAAACAACGGATACCCAGCCACCACCACAAGCCGCCCTGACCGTCCCAGCCGTCGGCTCAAAAGCTCCCTCTTCAGCACAACTCCCTATCCCAAACCCAAACGCCAAACCTACTATCGTAACCTTCCTACGCCACTGTGGCTGTCCCTGTAACACCTTCCCTCCTCTTACACCGCCGCGAACCCAAGCTAACACCTCCCTCCAGTCGCCGAGAAATCCTTCCGCCACTTCCGCTACCTCGCCAACCGCCACCCAGAAGCGAACTTCGTCGCCGTATCTCACTGTACCCAGGAAGCGACAGACGAGTGGGTTGTCCACGTCGGCGGTGCCTGGGACGTACAGGTCATTGTCGACACAGAGCGCGAGCTATACGCGCTATGGGGAGTGGGCAGGTCGAGTACCTGGCACTTGCTAAACCCTTGGACAGTGTATAAGGGTGTGCGGATGGTGGCGCAGGAGGGACAGCTAGTAGGGGGGAGTAGTGGGGATAGGTGGCAAATGGCGGGGAGTTTTGCGGTGGATGGGGAGGGAACGGTGAGGTGGGTTAGGTTGGCGAAGACGGCGGATGATTTGCCGGAGTTTAAGGAGGGGTTGGTGGCTGTTAATGTCAAGGTTAAGAAGGGGGAGGCTCATGACTGAAATGGAAGGGAAGACACGATTTATTGTATAACTATGTCGGTACTTCAAGTGTGCACATATGATAGTAATCACTCACTTCACCAGTCATCTCAAAAATATCCTGTGAAAAAAAAATGCATTTATCGAGATCTGTAACGACTGACAGAAAGAAATCTACTAACGACTCTAAAACTATAACCACATATCGGGATCTGTAACGACTGACCGAAAGAAATATATCGGCTCTTGATGACCATTAACATAAGAAATCCATTCATCTCTCCAACAAAAGAAGTTCATGTACCTCCCGCAACGAAGGCAAATCAAAAAGAAAAGGAAGGGAGAGACTCACCTGTACTTCCTCATCCTCCTTCGCTTCCACCTCAATTAACCACTTGATAGCATCATCAAGGCGTATCAAAAACAGCTCCCTACACCTTGCTGGCTCAGAAACATGGGCGGCCTATGAAGTATTCGTAGTTTGCCCAAAGCGTTATTGCCAGTGCCGTCAGCGAGATTGGGATAGCAGTTGCTGGTTCGGGATACCATAGGAGCAGGAAGAATAATGAGGAGGCGGGGATCAGCATAGCCATGCATAGCTCTTCTGAGATATAGGTCCGGGGTAGGTACCCATGTGGCGTCCAGTAATGATAACGCAGGCACATGTCAGCGTAGTCGAAGTCAGACAACGACGGCCTGCGAGGACGGGGACGGGAGCTGGAAGGGATGGGCGTGCTAGGGCTGGAGTCAGTTGGGTTGTGCTCAGATGTGACGAACCCATCCTCTCTAATCAGACGCGGAGGAACACTAGGCGTGCTGTGTCTAATGGAACGGCGGCGGTCAGACCCTGTGAGCGTGGTTTGACTCGACAGACGCTGGGTAGTGAGCTCGGGCTCTAGAATATCAGGTGGCGGAGAACTGGGCGGGCTGTGCGCGGTCTGAAGCGACTCAGTTGAGCCGTCGATGTGGTGGTGCTGCATTTTGTGTTGTTTTGCTCGGTATCGTGCAGTGTTCGTGATGTTGGTCTCGCGCGGTGCTTGCGGTGTTGGTCTCCAAGATGTTCATGTGATTGTTGGACTAAAAACTGTCGAACTGGCTTGGATTTCTAGGGTTTGATTTGGGGGTGGAGAGACGTGTTTTTATAGCCATGAGTTGGATAATGGCACGGGGATGGAATGGATATGTGGAACACTGGGCGATAATAAGTTCGTTTGTTTACATAAAGAGGCTTTGTTTTACCCATGACAGTGTTTGAGCACAATTCGCATTATCTAGTTCCGGAGTTAGATTCCCTTTGTTAACTAAGTAAATCTTCTTTCATGCCCGAAACATGGAGACGAGCGGACGCCATACGGCCCGTGAATTGCTTTGTCGCTCGTCTTGCCATATAGTCTATTTTAAAAGGCCAAAGGGAAATAGACAAACTATGCAGAAGTTATATGTTCAATATTCGGTGACATGCAACCCATTATTCTCACGCAGCCCTCTTTTCACTCGCCAAGACCTGCTTCTCCGCCTCCTCAAAGGCCGGCAGCACATCGCCGTATGCCTGCCACACCTGTGGCTTGTATCCAATATCCACCTTCTCCACCGCCTCACTTTCATTCCACCTCGCTCCAATCAGCTCCTCAAACGTCTCAGTCCCCTTCCTCTCCACGGCCCAAACGGCCTTATAAGCCCCACCGAGCGCACAAGCATTGCCGCCAACGTCGAGTTTATAGACACCCTCCACACCACCTAGTACATCTCCCATCACCCTTGCGATCGCCGGGCTCAGCGAGCCCCCACCAACAAGGTAGATTCGCTTTGGCTGCGCCGGCAACCCTGCTGCAGGGCTGACAACCAGGTTCTTTGACCGCAGACGCAGCGAGAGAGCCTGTGACTCGACGATCGCGCGCGCATCATCTTCGGGGATCTTCCAGCCCTCAGCGGACTCGGTAAGCGCGCCATTGGCGAGCGAGAAGCGCCACGTTCCTGCGCGCACGTTTGGCACGATCTCAGGGAGGGGGAAGTACAGGCCCAGTTTTGCGGGGTCGAGGGGCGTGTTCTTGCCGAGCGGTGGGCTCTCGAGAACGGTCTTCTCGAAGGTGCTCCAGGTGTTGCCGTTGCTGGATTTGGTGAGCGAGTCGCGCGTCTTTTCGCGGGCGAGACCGCCGTTCTTGTAGCAGAGCATGAACATGTATAGGCCGCTTGTTGTGGGGTGGTTGAAGAAGTGGACGGCTGGGTCGGCGACAAAGTGGGGTGTCGACATGAGGAATGTCGTGCTAGTGCCGAGACTGACCATGGCGTCACCCGCTCTCAGAGGCAGACTGAGAATGGTGCTTGGATTATCACCTGTGAATGGCGCGATCTGGCACTCCTTGCTGAAGCCGTATCGTTGCACGTAGTAGTCTGAGATAGCTCCCATGCTGCCACCGCCGTCTGATCGGACATCGCCCAGCTTCCGTCGTAGTATCTCGCCGTCTTCCTTGCTGCCGGCTGCGAGGGTGAGGAGGTCCCACTCCCACGCTCCCTCGACAATGTTCCAGAGGTTCATGCCGCAGACATCGCTGATATCGATCGGAGCCACGCTTCCAAGGAATACGGATGCCAGGAACGAAGATACGAGGGAGATCTTCGATGTCTTCTCGTATACATCCGGGTTGTTCTTCTTGAATTTCATGATCTGAGGGCCAGTGAATCGCTACACCTATTAGTCAATTGTCTCTCGGATGAATGATGGGACCTTACATGATGCGCTTTGCTACCCGTAAGCTTTGCCAACGCCTCCTCCGAACCGAGTACCTTATCAAAAGCATCGCACTCATTCTGTGTGCTCGCATCCTGCCAATTCGGGCTCGTCTCGCACGCGAAACCACCCTTCAGCTGCTCCACCAATGTCTTCTTCGCATCCAATTTGCTCAATGTCTCCTCCCCAGCCTTATTCCAGAACACACTCCCATGCTGCTGTCCTGCTCCGCTAATCCCCCTTATCCGATCCAGCGGGGCGCCGGCCTCTCGCAGTCGACTGAGAACCAGATCAACAGCCTCGAGCCACATCGCGACCGGCGCGGTTACTTCTTTTGGCGAAGGATGGAAGACCCCTTTCGTGATGCCATGGTGAGCGAGATCGGCGTCAAAATCGACCTTGGCTTCGTGCGCCACATTCAGGGCGGATGTGATAACGACAGCCTTGAGTTGCTGTGTGGACAGGTCGAAACCCAGGTACAAGGGACCGCTGCCAGAGGACGACATGGTAAGAATACTGCTTCAATGCCAAAATTCAATGGGTGTATGAATTTTTCTGTTGTGTCGAAGCTTTTGTTGAACTAGAATTCCTCCAGACTGCCTCCGGTGGGGTTCCTTGATGTCATGAGAACTCTAGTGGGGTACATCTTTGGTGGGGTAATAGGGGATTCAGATTCAGCCTAAATTGCCCTGGCACGTGACCACGCGTTATCTTTAAGTCACGTGGTTTGGTCTTATTTTACAACTGAACACACGTGATTAGAATCCCAATTAGTGGAGGAGACCTTCCGTCATTCAACGACTCGCAGTCAGTCACTGGCATTAAAAAATGCTTCATATATCTATCGCGAGTATAAGTAAGAGGAAGCCGCGGTGACATTTCCGAACTATACCCGATCATCAACTGCCAACTTGAAGCCTCGTATGGATAATCAACTGGATCATAGCAACTAATTAATATAGAGGTCTTGGGGTCCAACACCCCTCGTCCGATTCCTAGACGTCAGAGTAAAGGATGCACCATTGAGTCTCACCATCAATCGCTAGAATGAGACTATGGGTGTTCACTGCCGGCCCGACGGCTTAGTGAACGAGTTCCAGTGATTGGCAGGCCTGCATGGCATCATCAAGAACGCCTAACGGAAAGGCCATGTGTGTGCCATGTTGTTTGCATGTTTCCTTAAACTTGGAACGGCAGATGAGCATAACTACTTACCGCCTAGGAATGGTGGCGTCTAGGGCTTTTCATACCGACCCATACTACCGGCATTGCAAATCTACTCTATATTGTAGGTTTTTACTTCAAATGTCTATTCAGTCTGATACGAGCGGATTACTTGCTGGTGATATTCTGCTCACCGCATGAAACCGGGACGGCGTGCAAGGCGCGCAGGTGGGGTGAGCGGGATTGAGCGAGATTGAGCCAACCAACAGCGCCGACTCTCGCGCTCTTGGCATCTATCAAAACATACCTGCTGCGAAAACTAGCTCCTACTTCATAGTAGTATCCCGGCTTCGAACCCGCCGACTCTTGAGCCGTAGTATATTCTTTGGCATTCAAGTGGATAGCAAATTGATGAAAAGACGTAAGCGTATTTCATCTTTGTTGGAAATCTTGCTCTTCTTGGTGCTATAAACTGGCCAAGATCATTGGTTAACTGGAGACGGTTAGAGGCGACATGATATATCATACGAATCAAAAGAGAGTAATTAAATATTTCTTCGGGGCTAGAGCTATGAAAGGACCTTCATAGCTTCTCTCATTTCTTTTATAGTGTCATGGTTGTTGCATTTTTGAATTATTTCTCATATCCCAAATCAAGTTTGACTCGATGACCTCCGCAACAATGGCTGTGGTGGAGCGCCATATTCAAGATGAGAGCCTGGCCAAATATCTAGAGCCGCATTTTGGTTATCCGAGCCGGACCAGGCCCTGTGTCAACGATCCGGGCAGCTGCGACTATCTAGACAACGTGTATTGGATGCACGATGTCTCAATGCTGTACTCATACATTATGTGGGGAGTCATTCTTGGTATTCTCGCCGTCTGGGCCATGCTCAGACTGATAAATCCGAGCCGTAGAGCAAGTGTGCCAAAAGCAGAGTTGGAAACACAAGCAACGGCGTATCCTCGAGGCGCATATTATAGAGCATGGCGATCAGTGGCTGCAACGAGGCAGCGGTACCTGCTTCCCGAGTCTTTTGCTTCCATCTTTGGCCGTGTTACACGGATACAAGTTCTGATCTTAGCCATTATGTCGGGATATCTGCTGGTCTTCTCGTATGTAGCTTCGCAGTCTGTTTCAAGCGCCTAATAATACTAACATCAGCTAGGCTCGTCGCGATTGTCTATAAAACATATATTACTCCGGTGAAGGGCACAAATCTGCTCAATACAAGGACTGGCATGGGCGGATTCTCTGACCGCATTGGAATTTTGGCATATGCCCTGACACCCCTCAGCGTCCTTCTCTCTAGTAGAGAAAGCATCCTCTCCGTCGTCACTGGAATCTCGTATCAGCATTTCAATTTCCTCCACCGCTGGGTCGGGCGAATAATATTCGTCCAGTCTTTCCTGCACACGCTGGTGTGGACCATTGTGGAAGGTAAATTATACCAACCCCAACCGTCAGTCTATCGAACATTCATCGCCCAACCCTATATAATATGGGGCTGCTTCGCCATGCTTTTTATTACCTTTCTCTACGTCTTTAGTCTCCGCCGCGTCATCCAATGGACCGGCTACGAATTCTTCAAAAAATCCCATTACATTGTCGCCTCTCTCTACATCGGCGCATGCTGGGGCCATTGGGACAAGCTCTACTTCTGGATGCTGGCATCCCTCATCGTAGTCCTTCTCGACCTCGGCATACGCATCCTCGGCATCGGCCTTAACCACATAGGCTACACTAAATCCGGTTGTAAGTTCCCGCCGTCCCTCTTCCCAGTTCTCTTCCCATCTAACATTCCCCCCAGCCATAGGCTTCACCCCCGCCCCCGCCGCGCTCCGCGCCTTCGGTACCGGTCCTGACACCGTCATCCGCATCGACTTCTCCCACCCCTCCCCCGCCTGGAAACCCGGTCAACACTTCTACCTCTGCTTCCCCGCCCTCTCCATCTGGCAAAGCCACCCTTTCACACCCTCCTCTCTTTCCCCTGCCGCCGGAACCACACCTCATCACACCTACATTGTCCGCGCCCTGTCTGGTGAGACAACGCGCCTCGCAACACTTGCCTGCGAAATTGAAGGCGCGACTACTCCTGTCATCCTCACAGGCCCGTATGGCGCGCGCGTCGCACTTGAGACTCCGAATCTCCTCGCTGTGGCGGGAGGGACGGGAATTTCCTTCGCGCTGCCGCTTGTGATAGAAGCAGCAGGGAGTGAGAAGCATAAGGCTGGGTTGGTGCAGCTCGTGTGGGTTGTGCGAGGGGCGAGGGATTTGGCGTGGGTTAAGGAAGAAATGGGGGTGTTGAGGGCGAGGGCTGCAGAGGGGAGGGTTGAGGTGAAGGTTTTTGTTACGAGGGAGGCCGGTCCGATGGAGGGTGAGGTTGAGGAGGATGGAGTCGTTGTGGTTGAGGCAAAGGTTGGTGAGAAATTAGAGGCTGTGGTTGACGTGAAGGATGAGAACACCAAGACGGAGGTCTCGGTGCTGGACTTGGCCCTGGCGGAGGAAAGTCGTGGGTTCTCGGTCACATACTTGGGCGGTGCACATCCCGATCTTAGCGCTGTCGTGCAAGACTACATAGAGCGTAGCCCGGCGTCTGGGGGGAGGATACAAGTCATGGCCAGCGGTCCCGCGGGTATTGGAAGTACGCTGAGGAGCGTGGTGGCGAAGTGTAATGACGGAGGAAAGGTGGGGAGGGGAGAAGAGAAGTCAGATGTGGGGCTATATTGGGATGATAGGTTTTTATAGGGATACGTTAGATTATGGGCACTAGAATAAGCAGATATACGAAGCACATGCATTGAACAGACACAAGATGGGCATTCCATCTTGCACGAACATGTCGATCCGCTCAAAAATTATCTTGCTCTACTCGCTCGCCTTCTCAACCTCCGCAACAACCCTTACGATACCCTCCATCCAGGCCTCGCCTTCCACCGTCCTACACGCCTCCTCCCACTCATCAACCGTTCCCACTTCCACCAACCCCGTCGGCAAAAGCGCCTTGACCGTAGGTAATATATACATCGCCCCTTTCTCCCCCTCACCACCCCCATTAAGCGGCTTAGCAAGAACTGACCTCACATGCTGCATTAAGCTCGAAAACACTGGACACTTCTCCTGTGTCAACGTAGTAGAGTGCAATACCCTCCCCGGCACCCCCCTCTCCACGACCACAACTCTATACACCATATCCGCCTTCTCCGGCCCAGCTGCAGGCGGTGTCGTCGAAGCAGCAGCTGCAGCAGCAGGTGACCGCAGCGTCGGGTCGAGGGTATAGTGATAATCCCCCAACTTAGGATCAATATCCACCAACTCCTTCCCTCTCTGCTCATCCACCCCTTCTCCCGTCTCCCTCACCTTCTTCCCCCCGGTCGCCTTGCGCGTCTCATTCGCATACAGCCGCTGCCGCTCATTCGTCACCATCCGCCGCATCAACGGCGTCACAAGCGTGATAATTTTATGCTTCCCTTCTGGCCACCTAAGCCTCCTACTCTCATGCGCCCCCCTCCCAGCATCAGGACCCCAACACCTCTCACCCCATCCCTCATCCTCGAGAAACGCCTCCACGCACCCAAATAGCTTAAGCTTCACCAAATCCGTATCGGCGCGCGCCTTGTTCCCCACGCAGCCCGCGCGCTCTCCGTGCGCTGGGTCAAGCATGTACGTCTTCGCCGCGGCCTGGAGGTAGAGGAATTGCTCGGGTGTGAGCTCGAGGGAGGTGAAGAGCTTCGACATCGGCGGGCGCGTGTACTTCTTGCTTGCCGGCGTAGGCCTCCTGAAGAGCGCGGCAGCAGAATGGACACCTGCCGCGCGCGCGTCAGACGTCGAGACTTGTGGCCCCGAGCGGTGTGATTCACGACCATCATCAGCGTCATTTTCAGACTCGGATGCGGAACCCCAGATGGCGTGCTCGCGGGCGAGCTGATCGGGGTCAATTTCCTTGGTCTTCTTGCGCCGCGTGCCGGGCTTGATGAAGCCGGATGCTGGGGCTGGCTCGGGGAGTTGTACGGCGTTGGGGCTTTGCTTGCGCTTTTCGCCGAGAGTGCGGGGGACGGGGGGCCGGAAGTGGGTTGCTGAGCCAGGGGGACCACCCCATCTGCTCGCTATTTGTGCCTTTGTGTTTCTCTTCCGGCTGTCCATGCGTATATTGTCATTATCCTGGCTCTGGCCTGCCGTCTCCGCTGCTTGGAGTAGGCTCGCGAAGTGGTCGTTTGAGAATTGGTGGGATTGCGGGTCGTGGCGTTGCCCGTCTTGAGAGCCTGTACGGGCGTTGGCTCTCGTATTCATGGGCGTTGTATCAAAATTCGCAAGTGCCTCGAGAAGGGTGACTGGGTCGACATCGTCGTGCTCATGAAGCGGTGCTGATGGCTGGGTATAATCTGTGTACTCCGTAACCTCTCGACCACTTTCATTAACTATCAAGCCTCCATTCGACCTTCTATCCCTCGTATGTTCCTTATTATATCCATCGAGTAGTTGTGCTGGATCGGGAAATGCAGTCGCAGCACTATTAACCCCTTCTTGTTCCTTCTCACTCCCGTCAAACCCTCTCATTCCCTCGTCATGGTCGTAGGCGTACATATTGTGGACATCGCCCTCACCGGCCGTTGAGCTCCTTGCCATGTCCTGCAGCATAGCTGCCTGATCCAGGTCGAATTCACCATGGCCGTGGTTTGTAAAGTCGTGGGATGGTGAAGCATAGTTGTCGCCAGGCGTTGGTTGTGCCGGGGTACTCATGTTTGCTCAAGTACCTGGCTGGATGTTTGGTGAGGATGCATACGAAGCAAACATGATTTCAAAAACTAGTGGTGTTTTGAGTTTGCACCCAAAAAATATGTGTAGTCACGTGATATGTATTTCACATTTCGGGGTGGATGTAGTGGCTAATTTTATAGACCATACATTGGGATTTTTTGGAGTGCAGCATAAAATTTGGAGTGTTCACAGTTCAGTGCACAAATTCATAGAAGGAGACAGAAGTAACATTGATCAGCAAGCTTTTATTCCTGCAAGCCGACAACGCTGCGGATTCGCTACAACGCCAGCCATGATCATTACATCCCATCCCTCCGCAACCCCTTTTGCTAAGCTACGATTTAAAACTCAGTAGCGGCAACACCCTGGGGGAACTCGAAGTTGACACCACGGCCAGTCAAACGACGGTAGACCTCGGAGTAGGTATCGAGTCTGTAGTCAACACCACCACGCTCCTTCTCGTCGAGGATGACCTTGAGGACCTTGGATCCATCCTCCTTGGTGCGCAGGCGCTTGCCGACAATCTCGACTGGGAAGACGAGGTCGCCGAGGATGGCGTCGTGCACAGCGGTGAGTGTGCGCGAACGTGGGCGCTTCTGGGTCTGGGAAGTGCGCGAGCGGTTGGAGCGCTTGGGGCGGGGTAGGATGCGGCGGGAGGCGAGGATCAGGACGTGGCGGTCGGAGAACTTCTTCTCGAGCTCACGGGTGAGGCTGGTTGGGATGTCAGTTGGATCCTGGGTTACATTGGGAGATTTTTTAGGAAATGCTTACCGCTGCTGCACACGGTGGAAACCCTGAAGGGATGGGACGGGGACAAAGATGACAATAGCCTTCTTGCCGTGGCCAACCTCAATCTACATCGATCAAAGTCAGCATGCGATCTCCATTTACATGGTCCGCAGCCCGTCCGAAATCCAACTCTGCGCCGACACCACCACCCATCTGTATGTATGTATCTGCTCCGAACCCATTCGGCGGGTCCCTCACATCGACAACTAAACACGACAGTGTGGCTGGCGCCATTGCGAAATCGTTCTCCGGACATATGTCTCGCTGCGGATCCTACACAATCGTGTCAATGGGCTCGGGCTCATCTCACCTCGCGTGCGGACACGAATTGAAGAGGGCGGAGCGCGACCTTGAGGTCGGCGGTGTTCGACTCGAGGTCGAAGAGAGCAGTCGCGATGCTGGTCTCCAGCTCGGAGGGGCTCTGGCGCGAGGGGCTCGTGGCCGCGATCTTGTTGAGGGCGCTCATGGTTGCGGTGGTTGTCGATGGGAGGATTGGGAACGGCGGTGCGAAATTCAAAAGAGGATATTCTTCTGTGTGGGCTGGCGATAGGCGCTAGTGTAGCTGCTAAGCGAACCCTAGAATGGATTGGTTGGTTTGGGGATTTTGAAGTGAAGTCACGTGACGGGTTTATTCAAAGGTCAACTACGAATAAGAATTACAACACAACATAACTTGCAAGCGTAAGGAGTATATTCTCTAGGGCTTAGTATATATAAATATTACTATGTTGGTTAATTTAGATGTGATTGTAAGTATTATTTAGAGGTTTCACAGTTTAACACATCTTAAAAAAATCTCGAATATTTGATGGAATATTAACTAGGTGAAATTTAATATTTTAACACTTACAAATGATAAAAAAGGGTCCAACTTTTTAATATCTGCATATAGAATGATTTAATAATTACTACGCAGAAATTTATAATTATATACCGTTAGTACCATTTATGGCATTAGCCACCTAGAATGTGATGGATTATCACATTATAGGTGACATCCATTGTCTAGAATACCCTTATATTGTACCACAGGAAAAAAATAGTCACGTACGACCATAAACTCAAGAGAATTACGCATTACCGTCTGCTCTACCATACACAAGTCTCTGTAACACTGGACAACAAATAGTCTCAATCGTGCCAATAGGAACAGCGTGGAATCTAAGCCAAGGGGAAGCGAGGATGAGCAGGGTGAGTGATGTGAGCAGGGTGAGGCAGAGCATAGGTTTTGTGCAAGTTTTGCATTACTTCGCGTCAATGTTGTAACATAGATAAATAACTAATTATGAGTACAAAAATCCCCATCTCTGTACATTAAACTTGATACTTATAGGAAATAAGCAATAAGAGCAACAAGACCAGCAGCACCGGCAAATGAAGCAGTACCAACACGGGCAGCCGCACCAGGCACTGGAACAGTACCGACAGTAGTGGTTGTGTTGGCAACAGGAGCAACGGATGCAGCCGCAGCGCCATTGGAAGAAACTGGCGTAGCAACAGCCTCGGGGCCAGCAGGAACAACTGTCTCAGCACCGGTCACAACGCCAGCCTCGCCAGTGGCCTCGGAACCGGCGACAGGGACAGTCTCGACAGTTCCCTCAGGGGTGGTTGCGGAGCCACCGACAACAGGGACGGTCTCGACACTTCCCTCGGCGGTTGTTGCGGAGCCGCCTACGACGGGAACAGCCTCGACACTCCCTTCAGGAGTGATTGCAGAAGCAGTTCCAACTGGGACAGCCACGACACTTCCCCCAGGGGTAGTTGCAGAAGCAGTTGCGACGGGGCAGTAGGTGGTGTAATCAACAACGACAACGGTAGCCACAATTGGGGCAGTTGTGTATGGGCAGTCTACTACTGTTGAGGCACAGGCGCTGATAGTGGACGTGGTCGTCTTGTAGACAGTAGATGTCGTGTATGGAACATCGCTGGAGGCTGCCTGGGTATGGGTAGTCTGAACGACGGTTCCGGTAGACGATCCGCTAACGGGGCAGTAAGTTGTGTAGTCGACGATGGTATCTGTTACAGTGATAGGAGCCGTGGTGTAAGGGCAGTTTGTAACCGTTGGTTTGCAAGAGGAGATGATAGATGTGACAGTAGTGTAAACCGTTGAGGATGTGTAGGACGATGCGGTATCAGTAGCGCCGGACGACGTTGCGGAAGCGGAAGAATCAACGGTAGTAGGAGAGGAAGTCTCGGTTGCGGAAGAGTCAACGGTAGTAGGAGAGGAAGTACCAGTCGAGGAAGAATCAACGGTAGTAGGAGAAGAAGTATCGGTTGCGGAAGAATCAACGGTAGTAGAAGAGGCAGAGCCAGTCGCGGAAGAATCAACGGTAGTAGGAGACGAAGTATCGGTTGCGGTGGAATCAACGTTAGTAGAGGATGAAGTATCGGTTGCGGTGGAATCAACGGTAGTAGGGGATGAAGTATCGGTTGCGGTGGAATCAACGGTGGTAGGGGATGAAGTATCGGTGGCGGAGGAATCAACGGTAGTAGGAGAGGTCGTTCCGGAGGTAGAAGCAGAACCAATGGTCGTCGAAGATCTGTGGTGATTGGAAATTAGAGAGCGAACAGAGTTCCGGAATGGGATGGAAACTTACGTTCTGAGAATGCAGGTCTTCGTGCTGGTACCACTAGTGAGGGTGGTAAGGCCGCTTGTGGTGGCAGTGGCAGAGGCAGAGGTGCTGGTAGAGCTGACACCAGCCTTAGGCTTAAGCAAAGTAACTTCGTCAGCAATAGAGCCATCCTTTCCAAGCACGAAGGAGAATTTCATTGCAGTAGAATTGAAAAAGGTGAGCTTGTTGAATCCGTAGTGTGTCATATCAAGGACAGCGGTCTTGGGCTGTATCTTTCCAGATAGGATACTGTGGCTTTCAATATTACCAGCCATGCCGTTGATAATATGCGTCATCGAAACACCTGGGTTGGTTCTGTAGGTGTTTTGGTCGATGACAGAGCCCGAGTCGACAGCTCCAGTAGACGTAAGAGGGTACATACGCTCATAATAATGAATATGGCCAGAGAGGTAAGCATCCACACCATTCTGGAGCATCAGATTCTGGAAAGCTGCTCTGATATACGTTTGGTATGACGAGGTGCTTGAACTCCACATTGGACGATGGCTCATGGCAATGACCCAGGGAGTCTTGGTACGGTTGACACTAGCAAGATCCTTTGCCAACCACTGATACTGCTCGTATCCGGTATTATCTTGCCAGGTGCCATCGATTCTGCCGAAAGGTCCACTGTCTGTAGGGTAGGTCTCTGTCTCTAGAGGGTGGGATTCGCCATTCTTAAGGTCACGTACAAAGGGCCATTCAGGGCTGTACGCGTAATCGGTTTCACCGTCGATAGAAACAAAGTGAGCAAGTCCGTAGTCGAAGGAGTACCAGAAGTTTCCTACGCCACCAGTTTCATCTCCAGGCATCTTGAAGCGGTTCATATAGGCGGTGAAGTTTCTAATATAATTAGCATGTGCCACCTTGAAGATAATACAAGCAAGATAAAATTCATTCTCAGTTCTTACCTCTGGGATTCTGGGCAACTGTAATAAGTGAGATAGTTCGTAGAGTTACCAGTTGAGTTTGCCTTGTTATCGTTGAGGTAAGCAGATAATTCGTGATTGCCGCCATCAAATTCGGCACATGCTGCTTCGTGGTTACCAGGCAGAACCATGTAAGGCACCTTGGTAGTAATGGTGTTGGTCCATTGTTGCCAAAGATCCCAGTTAGACTCGTAAAGGGAGCTCATGTCACCACCGCGTGGGCTTCCTTGGGTGGGAACCTCTCCCTCGGGGAGTGGCTCAAGGTAATCCGGGTTGTCGACCACGCCACCAGGGAACTGGGAAGAAGAGCCGTTATAGCACAACGGCCAACTGGATTCGCAGGGAATGATGCCAGAGTACCAATCATCTGCGTAACTGATGTCTCCACCGTGCCAAGCGAAGGCAACTCCATCGTCGACGGCGAGGCTCATCTGCTTGAGTGTTCCAGCTGCATTGGTATAACCCATGTCGTTTAGGACAGCCACAGAAAACTCGCCATCCTGTCCTGCAGCACGAGCTGTAGTAAATTTCTCGACATCCGAAACAGTGGTTCCGTTGGCAGCAGGAATCTGGTAATAGTACGTCGTGCCTGGTTGCAAGTTCTTGATTGGGACCTCGTGAAACCATTGACTACACATGGTGACAGAGGAAACAAGAGAGCAAGGTGGAGTTCGGTCATATCTGAAGATTAATCCAGCGTCAGAATATGGTATGGCTCAACATAAGTGAAGGAGAGATAACATACGTGTGAGAATTTCCAGTTGCCGTTTGGTCCAGCTTGCTAGGATCAGTACCCCATTTGACAGATGGGGCAACACCTAAACCGAACGGAGTCTGATAGTGGACATTCATTCCATCTGGCAGATATGCCAATGATATGACATTGACATTGTTCGTGGGGTTTTCCGAAGCCGGTTTGACAGCAGGAGGCTCAACGAGGCGTTGGTAGCCCTTGCCATTGCCATTGATGGTCGGGTCAACCCAATCGCCAATAGGGACATCGGGGCCGGTATACGGATACACAGTATCAACCACAGGGGCTGGTACTGCGTTCGTCGCGGTCGACAGTGCGCTGAGCACAAATAGCGCTGTTGTTGTCTTCATCGTAGATGTAGAGAGCGACAGTGACAGTGATGCCAAACGAAAGGACTGGGTCAAAAGATCCCAAGCAATGAGAGTATAGAACAAACTGCGCGCGCGACAGAAAAAAATCCAAAGAATTGAAGCCAACTTACATTGTGTATATATATATCAAAGGGTACATACAATATACGACTTACGAGATATATCCAAGGCAAAGAAAACCAGGTCAGTGGTTGTTGCCAGCGACAAGGACTATTACCAACGGCTATATGCCAAGCCAATAGATTATTCTAGCCTCTACACTAATCGAAGAATGATATTGAAGCTCAAGATCAGGTACGGCCGTCAGACAATCAGAGGCGAGTTGTGGTGAACGTGGGGTGCAGGGGTGTAAAGCAAACGGCATTCTCCACCAATTTCCCCTGCCAATAAATGCTTGCATGTCTGTGGCGCTAGACCTCCCACGACAAGCTTCCTGCAACTATCTTGGCAAGGAAGGTAGTTTCAATGACGCGACGGTGTAAATAACTACCGGCTTCAAAATTGTTCTTTAAGAATGAGAATATTTGACAGATTACGTATTACGACATCAGGGTACCCCAACTGTTGAGAGAAGCTAAAGATGCGCACTCTTCTCCGAACTACACATGTCACCCACGTGCATCACCCCGGATCGACGCCCTTAACTCCTTTGACCCACGTGCGTTCCCCGAACAGGCTCTTCAACAGTTTCCAACACCTCAGCAGTGGGAGAAGTGTATAGTAAAAAATAATCCTATCCATCGACGTTCATGTTCCCTACGTCTTCTATAAGGTGCCGAGATCCGTGATTCGCGGCTAACCTTTCCTAATTTATCGTCGTTGCAGCGCAATTTTATTTCAAGCTATCTTGGCAATAGCTTCACTGAATGCACTTATCCCAGTGCTGTGGTGTTGGACTGATGAAGAGCCTGTTCGGGGAATGCACGTGGGGCTTACCGGGGCAATAGCTTTGTTTTATAGGGCCTTGGGAACTCTTGGAACCCCCCGTCTTTTCGTGCTCTGTATAAACATACACGCATTTCTCATGTTCCAACTTAGCACAAGAAACAATCCTCAAGTTTGTTGATTTTTAGAGTTCAACGTATTCCATCATGGTTTCCTTCACTCTTGTTGCAGCATACTTGTTGCCATTTGTTGCTGTCTTAAGCTCAGTCAATGCTGCGGACAGCTCCCAAGAGGATTGGGATAACTGTGATGAGATTCCAACCATCAGCACGACTGCCAGCCCAACTGCAGACCCAACTACTAGTGCTTCACCTACATCTACCGCTGTCGCATTCTCTGGACCGGGTTACCTAGAGGGATACTACGGCGGCGGAATCCAGAAGGGTTGTCTCATCACAGCTGGCACCTGGTATGCTGGGGTATGCGCCAAAATCACAGCTATCCCAGTCGGTAAGTTTCTTCGACTGTCCCTTGGCCTTACCCTCCTGTTTGCGATACTAATGCGTCAAAAAATAGATAATGGCTTCACTCTCTCGACTAGCAAAGGTCCATGCGCCGTGACCAACTCAGTACTCAACTGCGCAGCGGGTACAACAGCCAGTGTTTTCAACGTACGTTTCCAAACGAACCCCGTTACACGGATGCCTCGCGCATGTGCTGATTTTATGATATAGCAAATCGATGGTCTTCTTGCATATGGCGGCAGCTCGGCGTGGTACGTCCCAGCCGTGCCAAACCCGGCACAGATTGTGTCCCAGATTCCCGGCCCCGTTGCTGTTACCTTCCAGTGGTTGGGACAATAGGTGATAAGGGAGGTTGTAGAGTAGTCACTGTATGAATTGTCGATCCATGGATATCGGAGGGATATAACGGGCATTGAGATCAAACCTCTTAATAAATCAATTTCCATGGCCGTTGATAGCTTTAATCGATGGATATTAACTCATGTAGACGTGATGAGGCTGGATGATCCCGATAAAATCGCAATGGATCTTGCATGATTTGTGCACCGAGATATTGTCTTTCGCGTCTTGAATCTTATGTTGTTAGAATCTCATCGCTGGCTTAGCGCAGAATCATGTCAGCTCGGTGCACCACTGTCCGTCGATGCGTGAGAACAAGCTAGGCATACTGCACAGTCGCGACAACTGATTTCGATCCGTCGTTATTAGAAGCGGCACCTAGTAATATCCCAGGAATTGCATCTGATAGATATACTCCACCTAGCTGTGCAATGTAACTGTAACGGTTTGTACGTGGATCACTTCGGCTGTGGCGGCGAGTCCCATTCAATGCCAATAGACTTCGAGATCTTGGAGTCAGCAAAGACATCTCACTGATATAATAGTATAATTCGGGAAGAGATGGGAATTATTATAAAAGGAAGAGTGAGTAAAAAAACACAGAGGGAGCTTCGCTCTTTATACTATTTTCAACACCCCTGCTCACCATTGCTCGCCCTTGCTTACCCTTGCTCATCACTGCTTAATTTGCTCATCCATGGCTATCTTCGCCGGAGATGGTCGTTGAATGGGATGACTTTGAAGTTTCTGTTTATGAAACCTTGATAACCAATTGCTGTATCGCGTGAGTGGTTCCAAGACCGATGGAGCTCTTTTTGGCATCCCGTCCGTTCTGTCATATTGAAGCTTGCGTAACATCGGATTGATGGTCTCAATAGTGCCAATTGGCAGACCCCGGAGTATAATCCCTTTGCCGCCCGAAACGTAAAGTGAGGGTGAGGCAGGGGCGACCAGGGCGATCAAGGTGAAGCACTGTTCTCGTGTCAATTTCGTGTCCATAAGGCTTGCACGAAACTATTTTTAATCCAAGTAAGATATTGCTTCCCCGCCTTTCTTTCCATCCTCGTCGCCTCTCCTATATGGAGGCTTGGGTAGTAGAAATCCCCGCACTGGATAATAAACTTGGACGCATACTGTTATCCACTGGCGTAGACCACGGCATAGACCGTCTGTGGAGCTTTTCACGAAGCAATGTAAGCTATACGCGTATAGAAACCTACTTCGCGCTAACAGAGTTAGGTTACTGGAGTAGATCTGCCCTTTAGCCACTAAAATCTATAATTTGTGCAGGGGTGGTTGAAGAGTTTATCCGCGGTTAAACCACACCAACTTCCGTGGACGGGGTGAGTGCGAGCTTGATATACCCTGGAAGCCGCCCCTATTGATTTTGGTCAACTGCCGTAGCTAGGCAGCCGCCTCTACCTCTCCGCGTATTCGGCTGTCGGTCGGAGATGCTGCCGCGACCCTCGCTCCCCGCCCGACAAAAACCATAGCGGGGAAAGAAACCAGACACGGATAAACAGTTCCATTTGTACGGAATACCTTCGTGAGAGCAAAAACTCGACGGCTCGGCGAGAGTCACAACGAAACTGGGGTGTTTCTTGGAATAGCAATACCACTAAAGCCTGGGCCTAGCTTTGATTTATGGATCTGAGCGATCCTGGCGTTTTTTATATGGTAGGATGCTGAACTATAATGGAAAGACATTCCCCTGCATAAATCAAATGTCTGGATGGTCTTAAATTTCATAGAATAGGTTGTTCATTGTCTATTGTATAGTAGGAGGACAGCTTGGAATAAAGGAGAATAAAGAGAGTCGTCTATTAAATAAGGCCGTGATACTCCTGTAAATAATTCGAATCGTGTTTCTTTAACCTGTACTTGCCTTCCCTTGTTTCTATTATGAAGCGTCTTTAGGTTCCATTGGCAGGTTGGTACCAGACTGTACCGTCAAGTGTAGTAGTTAAATTACCAGTAAAGATGGCGAGGTTCTTAAAGACGTTGACAGATAGATGCAAACCACCTGGAGTAGTGGTTTTCGTTCCATGTGTTGCCCCTGTCTGAACAATGTCTGAGAACCAGTCGACCTCATTTTGACCTCCGTATGGTGTTGTGACTGTGACCCGTTCGCCTCCATTAAGGATGGAAGCGCCATCGTCTGAGTAGTTGAAGTATGTGACAGCGATCGTATCAATAGAGGTATTATCGGCACCTCCGGTGATTTCCACCATAGCAGTGCCAGAAACCTGGCCCCGCAGAGTATAATTGCCTCCTGGAATGTACCTAGGAGAACTGATGGTGCTTCCAGGAACGAATGGAGTACCCCATGGAACGACATCAGCAAATGGCACGGGAGCTCGCCGAGTGCATGGCTTGCGACTGGTAAGAGTGGCCATCATCATGCGCTCTTGACGCCCACCTGGCTCTGTAGAGTTGTAGCATGGCAGGGGGTTTATCCCCCCACACTCCGGTGAGACGGTTTGCGCCTGGTAGTACACAATACGCGTGCCATCAGGCGACCACTTTGGATCGGCTCTGCCATTCCATTCGGGATCATTAACGCTCCCAGGGCTGCCGTCTCCGGCACCATTGATCTGTTGGCCAAAGTACTGACCTCGATCACCGTATTGATCGATGAGCCAAGGCTGAAAGAAACGTCTCTCGCCATTGTTACGAGTAGAGGATATCGCTGCAGTTGCGACCATGTCAACGATGGGTGGAATGCCACGCATACCGGAAAGCCACATCTGTCGCCCAGTGCCTCGCGTATCCATCACAGCCGTCCAGGCATCATCAGGGGAGATATCAACCGGGTCGACGTACTCGGGGTGTGCAGTTAGGCGGCGGATCTTTCCCGTGATCAGGTGTATGGCATAGACGTCGATGTTGCACGACTCGGTTGGTGCTCCTATGTATGTAACCTCTTGACCACTTCCACTAAAGCCCCTTAGCTCCCCAATGCCAATAGCACTCTGATTGATCTTGAGTTCGTTACCCTCAACATAAATCTGGGCTCGTTCCTGAGGGTCTATAAGGGCCGTGACATTGCTAAGATCGTAGCGGGCTGAGAGTGGAGTTCCAATGGTAGGCGCCTTGTTGAACACAAAGCGGCCAATGTATGCCGCCTGCGAAACGCTGCCATCGCTGCCGATGGCCAGAGAGTTGAAGCCCAAGTGGTTGTCCTCGGGATGCAAGCGTAGCTCACGTATGGACCCGCCAGCGCCGTCGCCAGTTGGGGATGTATTCCAGCGGATTGGGTAGATGTGCGTCACATCGGGAGTGCACTTCTTGCTAGACAGCTGAAAGGGGCTGCAGTCGATAACCTGTGGACCCGCCAAAACACGCTTGCCATCGCTGAATGCCTGGGGATAGTCCATGAGATCCACACGACCCAGTTGGTTCGCGGGAGGCATGCCACACGTGATGCATTTCCAGGGATCGCCATTTGGAAAGGTGGTCTTGTCGGCCTTGACAATGATCAGCTGTAGGCCCGTGTAGATACTTCGAGGATCAGGGGCCGCTGGTGCGCCGGTAAAGATGACGGATGCGACGACATGTTTGTTGTCGGGCAGGAAGTTGCCAGAGCCGAGTCCTGTAACCTTGCCGATGCAGCCGGTGCCGCGAGAGTTTATGACTTTGGTGCAAGAGCCAATGACATTGTTGGGAGCTACGGGGGGCAGCGGCAGCTCAATAACGGTGATATCTTCGGGCGCAGGGGGGGCGGGTGGGCTGGCGCTGTAGATGGATTGCTGTGTGTCGGCCCGTTGGAGCAGCCCCGAACGAGAAGTGGCCACCGCCAACGACAGGCGTGCTGCGCCGACGGCGACAAGAACGAGGCGAATGAAGTGCATCTTCTGCAAAGAGGAAGGAGAAAGGCTTGATCGATCAGGTGAAGGTGCTGGCCACGGATGAGAAATTGCATCTTGGACCTAGAGTCGACCTTTATATCATGGCATATCATAGTTAGCCTGCCTGCCCGCCTGCCTACCTGCATGTGCAAACCTCTCGGCGTACTTCCCCCTCCAATACCTAGCGATAATTTTATTTCATGTTGTCTCCGTCCGAAGATGGAAGTGGAAAGCTATACGCGGAAGATCGAAATGTGCCAAGGCCGCTAGCTAAGACAAGCTCGAGGTAAAAGTAGGTTGAAGTAGGAAGTCACTTTGGACGTGCGGGGTAGATTCAATGGAGACGTTAGTAGCACCACTACGGCAATAAAAGTCTGCATGGTAGTCAGGAGTCGCCGTGGATAAATAGCGGATGATCGCCCAGTTCACCCACATCCTTCTACCGCGGACCACTTCCCCAGACTACAAGCAATGTAGAGCCCCACCCAACGCCTACATTATCACCATTATCACTATTATAACCACCACCATCACCGCAATTACCATCCCCCTCCTCCCCTTCCCCCGCCTTTCCCCACACTCCACGTGTCTGTGTTCCATAACCACCTCTATCTCTCGGATGACCATGATCCCTGCATCATGCGTGGCAGCCGTCCCTTGCACCGCTTGACACAGGCCTGTGACCACTGCCGCGCGCGAAAGACGAAAGTGAGTAGAACTTCCCTGGCTCTTGCTCCACAGTGCCATCAAGTCGTTTCCTTCTGTGCTAGCGGAAAAATATCATGTGCGCCGTCCTTAGATGCCTCGGGTTCGTTAGCTTCGTGTCGGTCGTTGCATTTGGTTTGTTTTTCATTTGCCGCCCTTGTGTTGCCATTTTCGACCTTGTCTGCCCTGTCTAAATCGCAACACAGTGTGATCTCCGACGCCCGAGCTGCGCCAATTGTGAGAACAGGTCGTTGGCTTGTCGCTTCTCTACCCAGCAGCGCAAACGAGGGCCTCGCCCAGCATCCACCGAGGAGAGCGCATCAAACGATCTGCCTGGCGATGGCGCTGACCAACCCCCCGATGACCGTAACCTGAGAGCCCAGCATGTTGAGGCTCTCCTCCCAGACGTGATCTCACCGGGACTGAGCCATGGACACTTCTTGTCCCCTTACTCGCCCTCATCCTTTATCTCAGATTCGACGTCGCCTTTACCATCACCCCCTGATTCCAGTCATGTCACTCAGAGTCCCGCCGTTTGCGCCGAAGTCGGTCCCCCGAGACAAGATCCTGCTCTGGCCCAAAGTCCCAACAACATCCAAAATCCGCATTCTACGCCGCCAATACTGTTTGCTTCTATTTACCATGACCTCGACGCATCAGTGGGCAATCTCGGGCTAGATCTATCCATGCCGGCGCTTGCCAGAAGATGTGTGGCCCACTTTTTCGACTGCCTTTATCCTATCATGCCAATCGTCTATCGACCAAAGATTGAGCTTGGGTTGTGCCTTCTTCAGCCTGGCATCGAAAGACGAGAAGTCGATATCCAAGTGTTTGCACTTACTATGTCTGTGTGCGCGATAGCTGCAGCAATCATCCCAAACACCATTTTCAGCGAAGGCTCTTTGGTAGCAGACAAGTTCTACCGCGCCTCAAAGCGCAGCTTGGATCTGTGCCGTGCTACGGAGTTGGGACAACCCACATCAGCTTCAATTGCGACCCGCTACTTTCAATCAGGATATACTCATTCCGTGGGAAGACCACGAACGTCATGGGATGAGTTGGAAGCCGCTATTGCGATTGCGCAAGGCATGCAGCTACACGATGAGGCGGCTTACACTCACATGGACGAGGTGGAAAACCAATTGTGTCGACGTCTCTTTTGGGTTCTTTTCACTGGCGATAAATCAGCAGGGATCCTCGGAAAACATCACATCACACTAGGAAGGTATCTGCTAGAGGGTGGAATTACTGTCCAGTACTCCAAGAGCCTAGAGGACGAGGACCAAAATTTACCGCAGTGCTCGACTGGGTCTTCACCGGCCCTCATCACTGGATTCAATTTCAACCAGGACTTATGGCGTGCTGCATATTCGGTTCTACTCGCGATCGACGCATTGCGGGAGCGATACTCCGCCCGCGAAGCAGGGGAAGAACAACCAAGCGCAATGCCAACTCCAACAGAGCTCGCGCGTCTAGGAGGCCTCTATATTGCATTTGAGACATCCCTTAGCAACGTGCCGAGGTGTTTACGGGCACACCCAACGCTCTCTTTACATAGAGAGAACTTTCACTTCAGTCAAGAGAGCAGCAGCCTACAACTTTCACGCCCATTTGCTCTCCAAAGAATAAACCTACATGTCTCGTACCAATGCTTGCGCCTAGTTATCTTGCAGGCCTTGTCAGGATTATTAGACGCTGGCATTCCACTCTGGCACCTCGCGTCGCCACTCTGGCCGAAATTTCTGCCTACGAATGTGTCTCCCTCCGAAAGAGATTTTGATCCATATCTCCGCTTAATTCAAAGCGCACAGCTGGATCCTGTAGTTAACAATGACGTATCCGAATTTCAAACAAACAGCAGCGGGATGTCCACGATGCTTCTACAGAAGGTTAAGATTGCAGAAGAGATGCTCTACATTCTGCACACCAGTAGCCTCGAGAATTTACGCTTGAACGGGGAGTCATGCGTGGAGAAGATTAGACTAGTTGGCGCCTCGATGCTAGAACTCATTGACCACCATGCTGATTCGCCGCTTGCGAATATTGCGAGAGAATTTGGAGATTTATATCCCCACATACTTGCGCACATGGAGTCAAAAGCTTCAGACTCGCTATCAGAAAACACATAATATATTTATTTTGGAAAATCTACCCCCGACTGATCCTGTGAATATACAACGTCTTCGTGTTTGTGCAATGAGTCTATCTATTGTGAAGTTCTATCTAGTCTCCTAGTTACTACAAAAGTGCGTTTCTATATCTTGCCATGGTATTCGCAGCCATTCTCTCGTTAAAAGTTGATTTCAAATATCTCGCTGACTTCCTAGGTGTGCGCTCCTGTGTGTCATAGTTCACATGGGTGACCCCAAATCGAATATCATATCCGTTTTGCCATTCTTTCCTGCAGTGTCAGCAACCTCATCCTTGGGATCACCTTTGCGGAATGACAACAAGCAGAGCAGACTTACCAAAATTGTCCATGAAGCTCCATGCAAAATACCCACCAACCGGCACCCCATCATCATTGATAGCTTTCGAGATGGCATCAAGGTACAACTCAAAATACTTCACTCTGAAGTCATCCTCAATCGATTGTGCAAAATCCATCCCAGACTCGCCTGGGCACGGGCAACCGTTTTCCGTTATGATAATCATGCACCCATATCGATTCCATACCCAATTAAGAAGTTTTCGGAACTGCTCAGGGCACACCTGCAGCCAGGAGACGCCTGACTGCGGCCCGATTTCCACGCCGGCTTTGTTGTTGATGTGCTCCGTCACATTGCCCGTGAAGTTGATGCTCGCAGGAGGGCTGGGTTCGGCGCGCGCAAACTCCGCTGTGTAGTGATTCATACCATACCACTTGGGTTTGTTTTCAGCGAGGATGCGGAGTTCGGTTTCAGTAAAGGCAGGAAGGCGGCTGCCTAGTTGCTCGCGCATGCTTGCAGGATAGTTTTGCGCGAGGCTATGAGCTATGTTAAGATTAACGGTTTTATAAGAGACGTATTCGCTTGAAAGGAGAGAGGTTGAGAAAAGGTAAGATGCACTCTTACAAGATTGGGTCCGCAAACCAGCCGATATAGAACTCCAACCGCCGCTGTGCTGCTTCGACGTCTTGTGGGTTATCTGCATCCCAAGGCTCGTAGTAGTAGCCATTCAACACGATGGTGACCTGTCCAGCCTGTGTCTTTGCGAACTTCTGGTTATATGCTTCTGTGGCAAGGGCATGAGACATGATAAGCGATTTGCCTACAATCCACGGTTCCGTCGCCGAATTGCCGACGCCATTACTGGCTGGGTTGGTGCTGCTTCGACCAGGGGCCATGATACCAGTTGCATAACCCTACAGCCAATACAGACTAGCTTAGTCCCCTTCAAGGCCTCGCAGATGGGATTTAAATGTACTCACGAATATAGCTACTATATACGGCTCGTTGAATGTGATCCACTGCTTGACACGGTCTCCAAAACGCTCAAAGCACACTGAGGTATATCTCACAAAATCCTTCTGCACCTCTTCTTGATTCAACCACCCACCATATCTATCTTCCAATGCCTGAGGCAAGTCCCAGTGGTAGAGCGTGATCCAAGGTTCTATGCCCTTTTCAAGTAGGCCATCGATCAGTTTATTGTAGAAACTTATACCTGCCTCGTTGATAGGGTCGTTACGGCCACCAAGTGGTATGATGCGGGACCAAGAGAGAGAGAACCGGTAGTGTTTGGCGCCGTACGAGGCCATGAGGTCGATGTCGGATTGATACCGGTTGAAATGATCGCATGCGATATCTCCATGGGCGTCTTTGGTACGTGTTGGAGAGAGATGGCTGAAGGTGTCCCAGATGGAGGCACCTCGATCATCAGCATCTACTGCCCCTTCAATTTGATATGCGGCTGTTGCATATCCCCATTTAAAATCTGCGGGCAATGGGAGGACTTTCCGAGACATGGCAGATGGCGGAAAGACGAATAGAGGGAGGAATGAGGGGAAGTGCAGGGTGCGACCTCAGATATAATAAAAAATAGTAAGTGGACTGTGAGCTTTGTTTACAGACAAAGCCTAGATGAGACTAAGAATGCCATCTCATCAATCAGCAGAAACGTCACTTATCTAATAACCAGGGACAGCATAACACCACAGCTACGGCTATGACACAGAGCAAAAGCCCGTAGGTTGAGCATTTTTTAATGGAAATTGTAAGCAATTTTGATCGTGGAGACCGACGATTCACTTCTGTATAGGTTAAGTCTATAGTGCGGGGGAGGTTCTTGTGGGACCGCAGTCGCACTATTAGATGTAGCTCATAGCTAAGGGAACTAGTGTTTTTCATAATGATTTATCCGCGGCTGTCGGTGTCTCCGCAATACACCATCATCCGAACTAGCCTTTAGTGAACGAATTCAGTTGAGCTTTGCTGACTTATCCTAGCTTGCATTTACTCCATGGCACCTACCATGAATCGCGGATCTCCAAACTTCTTAGGATCAACACAAGGTGTAACATAAAAGGCACATGAGTTGAACAGCAGAGAGTACCTTTTTGTGATACTGAAGTGGACATACTCAATCCTCACCCTTCGAATCCCTCGAGAAGTTCTTAAGATAAAACGACCTAAAAGATTCGAGCTCGAGTTTCAAGTAGTACCTACTTGATTCATCACAAACAATTCTCGACACTCTACCCCGCACCCCACACCCCACACCCCGCACCATCTCCCACCATGGCTGGCATCTTTCCAGCTTCAAAGCCGGACTGGGATAACATTGAAATAATTCACCGTGGTACTCTTCCTCCTCGATCATCATTCTTCGTATACGACAGCTACGCACACGCAATCTCCCAAGATACGAACTTTTCATGTTCTGTGAAACTCAGTGGTACATGGAAGTTCCACCATTGCTACAATCCGTTTGATGCTCCTCCTGGGATCGAACAGCCCTCTTTCGATATTTCTCAGTTGGCTGATATCCAAGTCCCTGGGCTCTGGCAATTGCAAGGCTGGGCTAATCCTCACTACTCCAACGTCAACTACATCATCCCCGTGGACCCCCCAAATGTTCCTTATCAAGGCAACCAAACTGGTAGCTATGTCCGGAAGTTCACTGTACCGGAAGGGTTTGCAGGTGACCAGCTGCGTCTTCGATTTGAGGGAGTAGACTCAGCGTTCCATGTCTATGTCAACGGCCATGCCATCGGATACTCACAAGGAGCGCGCAATCCCTCCGAGTTTGATATTACATCTGCTGTCGTCCCCGGAGGCGAGAATACGCTTGCGGTGATTGTTTATCAATACTGCGACGGCAGCTACTTGGAAGACCAAGACCAATGGCGACTTAGTGGTATCTTTAGAGATGTCTTCCTCCTGGCGTTCCCAAAACCACACATCAGAGACTTCCATGTCCAGACTCTCCTGGACGCCGACTACAAGGATGCAGATCTCAATGTCACTGTTGATGTTGATGGTGACGGACCTATCAACTTGACATTAATTGACCATGATGGCCAGACGGTTGTCACTCTGTCAAAGCAAGCCAGTGATGGTGCCAGCGTGAAGTTCGAAGCCGCAATCATCGAACCTCGTAAATGGAGTGCAGAAGACCCCCAGCTCTACAAACTCATCTTAGAATTTGGTGGTCGCTTTCTTGCCAAAAATGTCGGCTTCCGCAAGGTCGAAATGAAGGAAGGAATTTATACCATCAACGGCAAGCGAATCGTCTTCCGCGGCGTCAATCGTCACGAGCACCATCCGGTCCATGGCCGCTCCGTTCCATACGAGTTCATGAAGAACGACTTGCTCACCATGAAGAGGTGCAACATCAATTCCATCCGTACATGCCATCAACCCTCCGACCCACGATTATACGACTTGGCCGACGAACTTGGATTTTGGATTATCGATGAAGCTGACGTCGAGTGCCATGGCTTTGCAACCATTGACAGAGCTGCATTAACTGAAGAGGAAAAGAAGAAATCATTTCACGAGAGGATCGAGCTTGTTTATGGTACCTCCGCTCGCTGGACATCGGATAATCCTGAATGGAAAGCGCAGTACGTTGATCGTGCAGTACAACTCTGCGCGCGAGACAAGAACTCCCCCTCAGTCGTCATGTGGTCATTAGGCAATGAAGCGTTTTACGGCTGTAATTTTCAGTCTATGTACGATGAAATCAAGGCCATTGATGAAAGTCGACCAATCCACTACGAAGGAGATCGAGAAACAAAGTCAGCAGATATATGGTCACAAATGTACGTTCATCCAGATGACTTGGTCGAGGAGATAAAAAACCCAAAGCACAACAAATCACTTATTCTCTGTGAGTTTGCACATGCTATGGGTAACGGGCCTGGCAACCTCAAGGAATATATGGACGCATTCTATGCCCACCCACGTCTCCAGGGTGGGCACGTTTGGGAGTGGTCAAATCAGGGACTTCAAACAAAAGATCCTTCGACCGGAGAGAATTTCTACGCATATGGAGGGGACTTTGGCGATGTGCCAAACAATCCTACCTTTATTCTAGATGGGCTAGTCTCCTCCGACCACACCGCGACTCCAGGATTACTCGAGTACAGGAAGGCAATCGAACCTGTACAAGTAAAGAGCTACGAGGGACAGAAGGTAACCATCATCAATCGATATGACTTAATTTCTTTGAACCATCTTAAGTGCACTGCTTTTATCGTGGGCGATGGATTCAAAAAGTCTCTTGGCGAGATTGCTATCCCGATGGATATTCCTCCCCATACAGAAGAAAGTCTGCTCCTCCCGAATCTCGAAATCCCTGAATTTGATGGTGAAAGCTACCTTCAACTCGACTTTTGCCTGAAGAGCGCGACTATCTGGGCCGATTGCGGTCACCTGGTAGCATCGTCGCAGCTGCTACTCCGAAGCTTTCCCGTCCTTGCAACACCAACACCCGTAACAGCGGCCCCTACCCTCGTCACCACGCATAGTACGCTAAACATCTCTACCACAACATCAGACTGGACCTTTTCGGTCACTGCCGGCAAGCTCATTTCATGGAAGAAAGCGAATATCGAGCTAATTCAGGACGGCCTCGGGCCCGAACTCGGAATCAGCCGCGCCATGACTGACAACGACGTCAAGATTGATGGCGTAGACTGGAACGATAAGTTCGTCTTTCTCAGTCAGCCGCATACTCGTTCTGTATCCTGGGAAACCAATGATCAAACTTCCTCTATCGAAGTTGTTGTTCATGCACGCCTCGCTCCGCCGGTTCTATCATGGTCCTTCTCGACGACTACAACGTACACCTTTCGTGGCGATGGCACACTGCATATAAACTGTGCGGGTAAACCAGATGATGGACTAAATCTCCCATTAACGATGCCGCGCCTGGGCTTTACACTAGGATTGGTACCGATGCTGGATGCCGTTCAATGGTTTGGTCGTGGCCCAGGGGAGAGCTACAAAGATAAAAAGATGTCGCAGCTATTTGGAAATTGGTCCGCAAGTGTAGATGAGCTGTTCTTTGACTATGATCATCCCCAAGAGACCTCGAATCGGACTGACGTACGCTGGGTGAAGCTTGGATCGAACGATGGAAAGGTATCACTGACAGCAAAGTTTGGGGCACAAGACGGATTTAGCTTCATGGCAAGCCATTATACCTCGAAGGACCTAGAAGAGGCAGCGCACCCCTTTGACTTGCGGCGAACGAAAAAAGACTATGTCGTGCTAAGGCTCGATGAAGACCACAATGGATTAGGCACGGGCGCATGCGGGCCAAAGACGCTGGCACAATACGCATTGAAGCCAAGAGAATTTGCATTTGATATCGATTTAGAGTAGAGATTTAGATATAATAAAGACTGGCTCTAAAATGTACTTGACAGGACCTTCTTTGTGTGAATATAGAGACGAAAAACGGGTTATGACGAAGTAATCATCTGCTACGGGCTTCATGTGATCTAATTCGATTAATAGGACAGTTACATTTGCAGTCCGTCGAGGTCATGAATTGAGGCTTCAGCCAATACGTCCACTTTCCCCATGCCAGGGGATCCTTCGCTTTCCCACAGTTCCTCGCCTGGCTGGGAAGCCACTAGACTCCGAATGATGCGCTCGTGCTGCTTTCGAATTATAGCTGAATATAATACAGAAAAATCGGACGTATGGGGAACTCAATAACCGAAGATTCGGTTTAGACTTACCCCGTACAGGCGAATGTGAGAGTTACTCCACTCGAGCTCCCCTGATCCCGCGCCATTTTTCAATATTGCTATCGCATGATCGGAGAATTGCACTCTATGAGCGCGCGTCTATCCAATCGCGATTTGTCCGCGGGGTGGACCTAATTATCCGCGGTTGAGAATAGCGTGCGGATAAACTAATTAAACACGGCCTAGGCCAGTCTCTGGTGGTGGGTGGCCAGTATCTCGGTATAACAAAAATATTAGTGGATTCGCATGGTTCTTCCCCGTGTGCTTTGAACGCGCAACGAAATCCAGACGTTATTACTATTGTTCTGAAGTAACAACAGCGCCGTGTGGGCTTTGATACTCTAGCATTAGCTGCGAATATAAAGTTCCGACATCTGCACCTTTCTTTTCCTATCATGCTACCCCACACTCTTGCCAACATTGATTTCACACCCCGCACCCCGCACCCCGCACACCCCGCATTCCAGGCTTTATCTGCTGTGGCAGGCCTCGCTCCCTAGAGAGCATACGTCAAACATGGTCGTCGACAAGTCGTCTGTCGAATTTGTCGAGGACATTCAACCGCCACGCGAGGATGGTATCTCAGCTCAGAAACATGCTGAGAATGATGCCGACGACATTGCTGTCCGTGATCTCAAGGACATCGAGGTTACGCTTGCGACCATAACGGTAACGCACAAGCCTAAGCTGTTCTCCAAGGGAATGCTCCGGCTATGGGTTATTGTATGTGACTTTCCTGTAACTCACCTATTACGGGGCAATCATTGAAGCTAATATGTTACCCAGTGCGCCTTTTGCTACCTATGTGCCACTATCAATGGCTACGATGGATCCCTTATGGGCAGTCTTAATGCTATGGACGAGTATCAGAAGACATTCGGGCTCGATGGTGCCGGTCCATCCACTGGGCTCATCTTCATTATCTACAGTCTCGGTTCCCTTGCCGCACTCCCATTCTCTGGTTTTCTTTCCGATACTTGGGGGCGGCGTCTTACTATCTTTGTTGGATGCACGATTATCCTCCTGGGTACCGGAATTCAGACGGCAGCAAACCACCAGCCAATGTTTATTGCCGGTCGGTTCATTCTGGGTTTCGGCGCCGCATTGGCCCAGGCAGCTGCTCCGGTCTACATCATTGAGATTGCTCATCCTTCATACCGTGGCATTCAGGGTGGCATGTACAACAATTTTTGGTGGGTTGGAAACAGTAAGTCGAATCTGAGCTGCTCGCTCTCTACATCTGCAATCAATACTGACCGACAATAGTTATTGCTGGATGGACCACCTACGGCTGCAACCAGACCCTTAAGAACAGCTGGGCATGGCGTACACCTGTATTAGTTCAGTGCTTCCTACCCATCATCGTCATGGGCTGCGTATATTTCTTTCCTGAGTCACCTCGTTGGCTGATTACCCATGACCGTGAGGAAGAAGCTGCTGCGATCTTCGCCAAGTACCATTGCGACGGTGACACCAACCACCCACTTGTCTCTCTTCAAGTTGACGAGATCCGCGAACAGATGGCGCTGCACCGTGTAGAAAATCCCGGCTGGGACTTCCGTGAGCTTTTCGACTCGCGCGCCTCCCGGTACAGAACTCTCATGGTAATCTGTATGGCCTTCTTTGGTCAGTGGAGCGGCAACAACGTCGTCACCTCTTTCCTGCCCGCCATGCTCAAGACCGCCGGCATCCAAAGCTCCTCTACGCGGCTGCTTCTCAATGCTATTAACCCCTTCTTCTCCCTCGGTGGTGCTATCTATGGTGCTACGCTGCTCGACAAGCTCGGTCGTCGCAAGATGCTCTTTTATGGCCTCTTCGGAGCCATGCTGTCATACGTCGCGCTCACCGCACTTACAGCCGAGAGTTCTAGCAACCCGAATTTGGTTTACGGTGTTATCGTCTTCATTTATCTTTTCGGTATCTCCTTCGCATGGGGGTGGACGCCACTACAGGTTTTGTACCCTGTGGAGTGTTTGGAAAACCGGACACGCGCGAAAGGTGCTGGACTAAAGTATATCTTCCTTAATATCGCATCCATGACCAATACCTTTGGAATCTCGGTGGGCATTGGAACAATTGGCTGGAAGCTCTACCTCGTGTTCATTGGCTGGCAGATTGTTGAGTTGTTTGTTGTCTTCTTTTTGTTTGTCGAGACGGCGGGCAAGACATTGGAGGAGATGACGGACATCTTTGATGCGAAGAACCCTGTTCTCAAGAGTTTGGATAAGATTACTTATGATGAGGATGGAAAGATTGTGAACGTCGAGCCTGCTACGAGGTACAGACTATAAATACTCCAGTTGGCTCTTGAGCCGACTTTATATTAGTAGTTGGGTCTCTAGTGGGATCTAGAAGCGTTGAAAGGACAGCTTAGCATTAGCAAACAATTTCTAGTTTCTGATATACTTTGACGATATCGTAGAGGTGGTTCGTGGTTTAATACTCTTTTCTAAAGTGCACAACATATGTGTTGATGGGGGATGGACGTGCGCTCTGTCATGGGGTGACTCAATGCCCTGAAGGTACAAGGGCACGCGGTGATAATGGAACCTCATCGACTCGGTAGGCCCCGTATATGTAATGTAGGCTTGGGATTCTCCAACGGCTTTCGGTGACCCCAACTTGCGAGTAGGCCTGGTAAGCTACCAATTGAACAATTTAAGAATGAGTCAAAACAATCTATTTGGAATTGCATGCAAGACATGCCGCCGTCGTGGAAGAAAATGCGATCGGAGCCTGCCGAAATGTAACAACTGCAGCTTACGAGGTACGGAATGCGAGGGATATGCCTTACGTTGGGTCGATGCCGCTCCAAGTAAGGGAAAATCGTCGAAAGAACATACAGATACCAAATCTCGAGCTATAATAAGACAGCAAAAGTTGAGTATTCTCATGAACCTAGGGACAACAAGCGATGATCTTGGAGGATTCGTAAACTACTGTACAGACACCCAAACCCCAGTCATTTGCATACTAACCATGTCCTAGACGCTCGCGAGATCAGTGAAGCCTTTTATCTCGGCCACGGCCCTGTTGAAACGCCTTACACCCGCCATGTTCTGCCCATGATCAGAAGCGTCCCCTCAGTAAGGTGCGCAGTGGCGGCCACGGCGGCATGCCACATAGCAAATCGGCTGGAAGATGACCAAATGAAAAGACAAAGCCTTCATTTACGTCTCAAAGCCACGGAACTTTTAAGGGAGGAGCTAAAAGGCTACCCTGAGGGTCCAGACCTGACGTGCCTCGTGTGTATGTTGCTACTTGCGCAGCTTGACGTCTGCTCTGGCGACTGTGTCGAATTCGAAACACATCTCAAAGCTGCGAGCACATTTATAAAGCAACGTGGCTCTGACGGAACAGAGCGCGGTTTCATTGAACAGCGTATAGCATGGTAATTATCTTTTCCGTACCTATTTGGCTTCAAAAACTCACAGAAGACCAGGCTTGACGTCATGGGTGCAACTACAAGTTCAAGAATGCCGCATTGGTCCCCCGAAGATCTTGCGGCTACCCTAAATAAGTTTTGGACGCCATCAGGGAAAAGAGAATGGGGATTTGATGTGTTCTATTGCCCGATTGATCTCTTCGAATATATTGCAGATATTACGGTCTTGTATAAATTAGAGCCTGATGCCATCCAGAAAGCTATACTACTCGGCAATGCTATCAAAAGATGGGTATGCATCTGCGACTCTGATCCCCGCCGCCACATGGTTGAGGTGTGGAGATTGGGAACCTTGCTATATTTGATTCGACTTTTTCGACTGCCAAGTGGTATTTTCAACACGGCAAATACAACCACCTGCATATTTCATCATGCACGTGCGATTCCTTCAAAAACAAGCTGGAGTTACTCGATATCTTGGCCCTTGTTCCAGGCTGGCCTACTTCTATCCCCTGAGAATAGCCAAATAAAAGCCTGGCTACGGAACGAACTATACAAAAACTTTTGCGCGCTTGGCTGTTTCCACCAAAAGCTTGCCATTGAAGCATTGGAACAGACCTGGCGGTCAGGAAAGGATCGCCAGTATGATCTATCCAGTGTTGATTTTCCACAGCGCAAACTTATATTATAGCGTCACTAGTAATTCACGTCCAAAAGCCGTTATTTAAACTACTAGAAGAAAGATATGACCGAAACTTTATTTGATGCCTATGAAGCTGGGTGAAATTTGGCATAAACTAAGTCAATCTCCTGTAGGATATTCTCCTTAACTGCTGGATCTGCCCAACAGATGTTGGCAGCGTTCCTTGCCAGAACAGCAATGTCTTTGTTGTCGAAGCCGCACAAGTGTTTTGACAGTAATAAGTTTTCTAAGATCCAGCAATCCTCCATGTATGCAGGGTCGTCACTATTAATGCTGATTTTGATACCTGCATCGTATAGAGCACGGATCTTTGGCCCAAGCTCCGAATACGTTGTATGCCGTAAGTACGACCAAGGGCAGATCGTCATACCCAAATCACGCTTTAAAATCAAGTTGATCAAGTCCCGATTTTCTGCAGCGTTGATTCCATGGTCAATACGGTCAAGCCCATGGCCAGCAACGACAGATGCAGCCTGTCTTATATGTTCGTGTGTATTCTTTGAGTCAGCATCGCAATGCATCGTGAGCTTAAAGCCATCACGTCGTGCAAGGGAAAAGACCTCGTCGAAAAGTGCCGGTGGTCGATCCTCCTCGTTTGAGTCAAGCCCAATTCCTACAATCATATCGCGATAAGGTAGTGCAGCCTTGTAATGTTCCATAGCCGACTCTGGAGAGAGATCACGGAGAAAGCACATGATCCATGCGGATTTCACCTATTACGGAATTGTAAGTTATCTGATCATGACCACTAGTCGACGACAATACACACATTTAGTTCCTTTTCCGCCTTTTGCTGGGCTTCTCTGAACCCATCCATCATGACAGTCCAGGGTGTTCCACAGTTTGTGTGGCCTTGAGGATCAAAGAAAAGCTCGCAGTAGCGAACATTCATCTTAGCGGCGCGCTCAAGGTAATACATGGCCAGATCAAAGAAGTCTTCTTTCGTCTTAAGACACTCGAATCCTTCATAATATGCCTCAAAAAATTGAAATCTTTCTTCGTCATTGTTGACGCGACTGGAATCTGGCCGAAGTAAGTCCATGGCGGCCTCAAGTTCCTCCAGACTTTTGAGCTCTCGCCCATTTTTGGCTATCCTCAGCTTGGTTCCATTTCTCTGAGTCAATTTCCATCTCAGTTTCGCAGTTAGAATCCCTTCGAGATGGACGTGAAGCTCCACCTTGGGAATTTCGAGGACATATTTGTCGTTGGCAGCCAACAAATTGTCTCTGAGCTTCTCTCGAAGGTCAGATGAAAGTGCTTCTTCGATACCCATGGTTTGAAAGACTGCGCGTGTAGATTTAAAAAACTCCTGAAGTTAACGGGGAAAGAACCTACCTTAAATATACTTCACCTGCGATCTTTGGCAATTTAGTTCTACTGTTATGATAGACACGGATTGCATGAGGTGGGGTAGACGCAAGCCGAATCTAGTCCTAAATAGGTCAAAATTTCAGTCCCCTGAATGGAGCTACCGGAAAATCCGAGGGATCAACAGCGGGGTAAATGGGCCAATCAGACTTTGTGGGGATAGATAAGAGTAGAGTCATATTCCAAAATCCGATCGAATACTGACTCCACGTTCTTGTTGGATCTAACAGCTATAGTACTCGCCGTTAGAGGGGCTTCTCTCTCAATTCACGGTCGCTACCCAATACACCGAGGGCTCAAACCCCGCTTATATCTCAACTGTGGAAGCTGTCCCCAATCGGGCGCCTCCGACCGCGGGTGTCTCCCCTGGTTAGTTCTTGACGGACCAGTGCCAGAATCACCATATAACGTAAATCAGGATTCCGATTAAGAGCCAGCAACCGTTTTCAATCTTCCAATTATTCAGTAATGCCTCCAGTCACGTTATCCAACGGTGCGGACGCTGCCTCCGAAGAGTCGATTGATCTGCCTCTGTTTAACATCTCTCAAGAAACACCCGAGTTGGGGAGAGCAATTGTGAAATCAGCAGCCAAATGGGGTTTCTTGTGGATTACCGGGTCCCCAGCATCTGAAAGTGGAGGTGATGGTGGATTATACGACCTCAATGAAGAAACTGTTGATCATGTATTTGATATATCGCGATCTTTTTTCAAAGATTCCCCTGTTTCCGAGAAAGAAGAGTGCAGAATCAAAAACAACCGTGGCTTCGTCGGAATGCACGTTGAGAATCTCGATCCGACAAAACATAAACGAGGCGACTTCAAGCAAGCCTTCAACTTGGCTGATCCGGACCCCGCCACTGGCCAATGGCGTCAACCAATTCCGACGACATTCAAAAAGAACGATGCAGCACTCCGCGACTTCCACGCCAGATGTCGCAGAATAGCCACCCGTATCCTTCGGCTCATCGCACTCGGCCTTTCAATCGACGATGTCGACTGGCTGGTTCGATCTCACGAGAATGCTTCCCACTCCGCACGCTTCCTTTACTACCCATCGCTTCAATCGGACTCTGACTATGACCCCGAGGCTGATATCCGAGCAGGGGCGCATTCGGATTATGGAAGTATTACTCTCCTTTTCACTCGGCCCGATCAACCAGGCCTCGAGATCCTAACCCCAGATGGAAAAACGTGGGCGAGCGTACCTGTATTCCCTGAAAACTACCATTCCAAGACCTTCCCGCCGATAGTTGTGAATATTGGGGACCTCTTGAGTTATTGGACCAATGGACTGCTCAAATCGACCGTCCATCGCGTTGTCGTCGCACCACCTTCGGACAATGATGGCAAGAGCGATTCGGATCGGTTCTCAATAGCGATTTTCGTACAGCCGTCGGATGATACCGTGTTAATGCCAATACCATCGCCACTCATAGAGGAGAGAGCAGCAGATTTCAAGGGAAAGATCGTGGGCCATGGTGGTGGCGTGGTGGATGCTGAGGCCCTGTCATCTTTGACGGCTGGTCAACACTTGAGTTCTAGATTGCGCGCGACATACGGTAGCGTATACACAGAGGAGTGAGTTAACATATTGTGGAAAATCAATGGTGTTAAAATAGCATTATCGGTTCTTTCACATGTTGTTGATGAGTATTACTTGCTGTGAGATTTTCTGTGAAATAATGCGCGGAGATTCTATTCCGACTTACTTACTAAGCTGGCCATTTGATTATCTAGAGAGATGTTATTAACAGCTTTTATTATAATAAATCTAGCATAGCAGACACTGCTAAGCGCGTTAGACACCAGCCTTAGCGTATAGAAGCTGAGAGTATGGTACTACCACTTCAGTCATTTATTTTGACTTTATCCGGGAAGCGGACCGTGTGTCCTAATCCGCAACGTGTTACATTGCCGCCGATAGACCATCGCAAGACAGTTTGGATTTGAAAAAATGTCGATGTAGTCATTGAAAATGTTCCGACTACGCCAATCGTAAGTTTGTCCTGCCTCTGGATAACGTAAAATAATGTTTATCAGACGGTTGGTGAAATTATGCGTGTTTGGGCTTCTCTTCGCCACAATCTACGGGCTTTTCTCGCCATGGAAAATAGTTATCGAGATACGCTCTGCTTCTGCTCCACCAGACACGATTCCAGACCCGACTTCAGACATTGTCGTACAAGACGACATTCCTATTGAGATTTTAGAGGAATTCGTTATAAACGACGACATTGAGCAGAATTTTGGGCCCCTTGAAGAATCCTTCCAGAAGCTAATTAGAGAGCCGCCGAAACCTCCAAAACGGTCTCGTGACGAGTCAATAAAGCTGATATATGACAGTAAAAGCCCTAATGACTGGCTAGATTTAGTAGAGGGTCACGATGACCATGTATGTCTTTGTTCGCCGGGTTTGATGGTAACTAACACCTTGATAGGGCTTGATGGCTTTGACAAAAGTCACGCAGCGTTACATCTACCAAAAGCAAAATCCATCTGGATGCGATGGACAGAAATTTCTGATTTTAAACAAGTTCCCTGGGGACGATGCTTTTGGTCTTGGGGCAATAGTGCAGCGCATCTCTGACTACCTCTCAGTTGCCATTCAGACCAACAGCATTCTTCTGTATTCCGAGGACTCATCTCCTGGGGAGCATTTTATCCAAGAACCTGCAGAAGGGGGAGACGAGTCTTGTGGGAGGTCATTGGATTGCATCTTCCAAAAACTGAGCAAATGCAAGAGCAAATCCCAAAAAGGAATGGAAAGCAAAGTCCAGAGCGTCTTTGACATGCCAGGTCATGACACCGCAACAGTTATTGACGCAGAAGCGTACCTTCAAAAACACGGAACCCAAATTCCGCCCGTCTTCGAGGCCGCGTTGAGGTCGATACAGCCTGACATTACTAGCGAAATGCTAAAGTACTGGTGGAGGGCCCAAGCCGCAGCGTACATCATGAGGCTTAATAAAAAGGCTTCGGCTAGGATGAAGGGATTTCGGCTCGGTACAGACACTAAACAGCTGGGGATACAATGGGATGTGAATGGCCAACCTCAAGACGTGGACTTTCCATTTCCCATGCCAGAAGGTACCATAAGCATGCACGTGCGCCACGGCGACAAAGGGTAAGCAGATACTACTGTCGCCCGACGTTTATTAACCCGCTACAGATCCGAAATGCGCCTTGTGCCATTCAATGATTACGTTGTTCGAGCAGAAAAGTTTACAGCGGAAAACCCTCTTGGCTCGTGGAAGCGGGCATTCTTGTCGACAGAGGACCCAAACGTCATCGAGCAGATGAAAAGCATGGCACGGGTGACCCCATTCTCGTACAGTGGTAGCAATGCAAGATGGACGTGGTACTGGTCGGAAATTCCGAGTATGTTGATTGTGCGTTTATTGCAAACACAGCTGACTGAAATCTCAGGACTAAACACCAGCCCTGAAATTCAACTGAGGGAATTTGGGAATAGAACAGACTTGACAATCAAATGGCTTCTTCAGCTTGTCATGGCGATTGAATGCGATGTGTTTGTTGGGACTCGAGGTGTAAGTTGTACTCTACATTGATAAATGAAACCATCCTAAAACGAATAGTCGGGATGGAATCGCCTCATCGACTCCCTTCGCTGTGTATGGCTCGCTTCATGCAAACAACCGTTCCTCGAAGTTGGACTTGAAAACGATTGGGTATGTTGACTTACAAGTTTCTGACGATATAACGCTGACTTCATCAGGCTGGTTATGGACCATAGTGGGGTATAGGGATGGAGGTTTGTATACATGACGCTAGGGGACTGGTATGAAAGTTAGAAATGTAGTTTAGTGTCGACACTGTCCGAAATGTGCCTATACTTTTGTCACCAAAAGGCGACTAAATTCTATCCTTGCTGTTATCTTGAGCTTCAGTATGCTGTTGCTCTGGACAAGTTTAGCTAGGGCGAAGAGACATTTATTGTTTGGCCTGTCCAGCACACTTTGTGACTACCGTCCCTGGGACCCTGGGATATATAGTTCCATGTAGCACAAGTACATATTTCGGGATCATGGCTAGCTGCACCCTACTTGCACACTCGAACAATAAAACCCGAGTCATAGGCATTTATCGTCCTGTGAGCTTGATTTCATGGTGTCGGAGAACAGGGTAGGAGAAACAAACAGCAACTAATGTGAAATAGTTCCCAAGATCGCCCCCATATTGTCCAATTGCCTTAGCTGCTGGTCCGACGAACTGTTTTTGTCTGGTCAACGTAGGAAAGGCCAGGAGATTAAACACTTACCCAAGTCTGATTCATACCCAGAAAACTAACACCAAGACCTAGAGCTAGACTCACGCATGCTGCGATACCCAAGGGCATCCGGTCCTGGTCCTGCCAACCTTCGAGATCGTAGCCACCATTGCGAGGGCGAAACCAAAAAGTTTCGATGGCGAGAATAACGCCAAAGCAGGTTGTCCAGTACCCAAGTAAGGACAGGAAATTGCTAATAACACCTATCAGATTTTCCCTCCCTCCCCAAGCTAACGCCAGACTGATGGCAGCGAGAAGACTGTTCCATATAAAACGTGGAACTGCCATGAAGTGCTTTCCCCATAGTTGGATTGATAAGGATGAAGAGTAGTAAATGGCAGTTAAACTAGCCACTGCAATAAAGTTAGCATAGCCATCTTGAAGGTTGATAACTTACCCATTGACATTGTAAACATGACGCAGACAAACTTGCTCCATCCATCAGGCGACATAGTAGCCAGAATGAGCGCCCCTATACCTCCATTGTCATAGATGTCCGCCATTGCCTTGTTAGTAAGCAAGATGCCTCCGTAAAGGTTACCAAGAATGATCATGAAACACGAGGGAACCGTCAAACCAATCCAAGTCATCCAGAAAACGAACCATCTGCTAATATCCGCAGGATAGTGAACGTAGTAATCACCCGACATAGAACACCATCCAGCTGATGTGCCAAAAATAAGAGCAAAGTAGCTCAATGCAGCACCGGTCTTATCTTGTCCAGAAGAGTATGAGAGACCTGGTGTGGGCGAGTAGTATTTGGCTGCTTGTCCATACTCAACGCAGATAAAGATCAGTATTACGACCCAGGCCACCTGTTCGTATCGGTGAATGATGCGGAAACCAAAAAATGAGATGATATAAGCTGTAACGCTAAGAATTACAATACCAACAACGATTGTGACTTTGCCTCCGCTTACGGCGCTGATGAGTTCACCTGCGACAATGCAGGATATTGTACCGAAGCCAAGGTTGACTAAAATATTGAGGAGACCGCATATTTTAGAGCCCCAAATTCCAAAGGCGTATCGAGACGTAGCGATTTGACGAAGGCCAGTCGGAGCGCATAATGATGCAGTGAAAGCGGGTATGATGGAGCCTATAGCCGATCCGAATATAGTGATAATGATTGATTCATTCACAGAGAGACTATAAATGGGACCCAACAAGCCCATTGTTATAGTACCAGGCGATATCAGCATGGAGAACCAGAAGAACATCATCTTAGCCGTTAGTGTATTTTCAGGTCTCTCAAGTGATAAACATACATTAAAGATGCTCGGAGGTTGACGTTCATTTTCGGGAATACGGTCCGCGCCTGTTGTCTCGATGCCGAACTTTTTATCGAGCCATGCCTCGATAGCTCTGAGCTTCCGCAGGATTGGAATTCGTTCACGCATGGCCATAACCTCCAGCTCACCAAGACCATGTGCGGGGCTGACGTATTCGCATACATGAACCGAGCCTTGTTCCTCATCCTGGAGGCGCCCACTCCCCGGCACTGTAGCAGCTATGCTCTTCTCCGCCATAGTAATAGATTTATTTTACTTTGAGAGATTCTAATAGAATTAATTGATCCAGAGGGAGTAGTATCCTCATATTCTAGGACCAGCCTTGGTTTTTATGTCTATCTTCTATAATGGCACATGTTCGAATGCGGATAAGATGGTGGGATGCGATTATCTTCGAACGCATTCTAAGTCGCGGGTTATCGATAACATTTAATCCCTGTCAACGTCTTTCAGGAAGGGGTGGAAGTAAGTGGAGCGAGCAGACTGAAATCTTGACCTATTCCAGACTAACGTCTTGATATAAGCGCTAATGACATACCAGAATCGTGAACCTGTTTCAAACTAACGTCTTCTAGAGAATTTACAGTTTACCACCTCTTAATATTCTGTTATCGGTTTATTCGGTGACTGTGCTCGGGGGAATCCTCACCGAGCAGAGAAAAAAATTGTGACTCAAACGAATATTTTGTCGAAGAAGGTAAGATATGGTTTTAGAAGCACAACAGATAGCAGCCACGGCGGTTGGCTCAAGCTCACAATCACATTTCAAGAAGCATGACAAACTACCAGGAAGTCCCGGAAGGAACCTCGGAAACAACGCCTCTTTTGGTGAATCCCCAAGCCATCGAGAAATCGGTCTGGAAAGATGAATTTAAAATTTTGTCAAGGTACTCCGGCTCGCTCGTCGTCGCCAACCTATTGCAGTTCTCTCTCAATCTGACCAGTATTATCGTCGTTGGCGGTCGTGGCAAGATCGAGCTGGGCGCCGTGAGCGTTGCGAGTATGACCGCAAATATTACCGGCTTTGTCGTTTTCCAAGGTCTCGCCACAAGTCTCGATACACTGTGCGCCCAAGCTTGGGGGTCCGGAAACACGAAGCTCGTAGGATTACATGTCCAGAGGATGGTCCTACTTCTGTGGTGCATTGGTATTCCTATCGCGGTGCTTTGGTATAACGCGCCTCGCCTCTTAACCATACTTCTGCCAGACCCACAGACAGCTGCACTTGCTGGCTTATATCTTCGAGTTCTAATATGTGGTATCCCCGGATTTGGAGCCTTCGAGGCGGGGAAGAGGCTTTTAACAGCTCAAGGAATCTTCTTTCCCATAACATGCATCCTCTTCATTGGGGCTTCTGTGAATGTACTCGCAAGTTGGCTATTCGTCTGGGTAAGTAATCGACCGTTTCTGCCTGGGAGGAACTGCCAGCTAATCCGATGATAAAAAGGTCTTCGACTGGGGATTTATAGGAGCACCAATTGCTGTTGCTACAACCCAAACCCTGCTTCCACTCTCTCTCACAGCCTATGTCATGCTTTCCCGAGGTCGCGAGTGCTGGAGCGGCACCACATCCGCGGTCCTACAAAACTGGGGTTCTATGTTACGCCTCGCCCTACCAGGGCTCCTCATGGTTGAAGCGGAGTACCTCGCGTTCGAGATCCTAGTCCTCGCCGCAGCGTATTTGTCTCCCGCCCATCTAGCAGCACAGACGATTCTTGCCACACTAAACGGTACTCTGTGGCAGATCCCCTTCTCCATCAGCATTGCAGCCTCCACCAGAGTGGCACAGTGTATCGGTGGTGGACATGTCCAGGCCGCGAAAATGTCAGGATTGGTAGCGTTCATTGGCACATTCGTCGTAGCAACAATAAACGCAACTATTTTCTTCTCGCTGCGTGATCACCTGCCTCACATCTTCACGAAGGATCGAGAAGTCATTGCGCTTGTCGCCCATACGCTGCCACTCGTCGCCGTGATGCAGCTCTTCGATGGCCTAGCGGCGTACTGTAATGGCGCTCTCCGGGGGGTTGGTAGACAAGCCATTGGCGGCTGGGTGAATCTAGGGTGCTACTATACTGTTGCGATACCGCTCTCTCTATGGACCGCGTTTCATCTGCATTGGGATCTGGATGGCCTCTCGACTGGTGTTACGGTGGCGTTGATCCTGGTTACGGGAATAGAGGGCGTTGCACTTATGAATCTCAACTGGCAGAAAAGCGTGGATGATGCTGAACAAAGGAACTGTGTAGTATAACCAGGATAGAGAGAGAGACTTACTCATACTCCAACGTTGTGCTGAGATGCTGGGTGTATATATTTATAGGCGAATTTTCAAAAATTGTTTGTCTACGCCATCCGCATAACCCCTACCCTCCGAACACAATGATCGGAGCTGACAACAACCCCTTATCAACCAACCGCTTTACAATCGCCTCGCAGCGAGCGACAATATTCATCTGCCGTGACCCATCCATCTTAAACTTGTGATACACGGTTTTCAGAGGGACAAACGTAGATGCAGGCCCAAAAAGCTTCATCTCATCCTGCAATAGATACTCCATGCTTGAACAGATCTGGTCCGAAAGTGCTAAGGTGTGGTCCTGGATATGGTGGAGGTGGCACTGGTTTGTCAATGACATTTCTCCGAGAATCAACCAGGGAAACAATAATGCCAATTTCTCGAGCTCGGTCATACAGATGATCCTAAAGGTCCACATGTGGGTGAAGACATTCGCCATGGTAACGTTGGGGAACCAGAGAGCGGTGGCTTGGGGTTGTGGAGGTCTCTCCTTCGGTTGTGAAGCCGTGACATGCGGCCAGTAGCAAGGTCCACCAGTTTGGCGCGGTAGAGATATTTCCCAATTTTCAAGGCCAACGAGTATGTCGGCGAGAGAGCTAAACAAAGTAGTTATCGTAGAAGGATCAGTTTGACTTGGATTTTCCGACATTTGATCGATCTGGTGCAGATAAGTCGGAACGATGGCCACTTTATTGAGGAGAGTATGCATGAGGGAAGGGCTGTAGATCGAAAATGGTAATTGGATCCATTCCTCTGAAGCAAGAATGGTCGGTTGGCGACTTCGAAAAGCTTCAGTTATCTAGTAGTTTAGAGAGTCAGCTCAGCCCAACAACCCGTAAAAAAGGGGCCATGAAGACGCACCAGCAAAGGTCTAAATCCCACGAACAGTTTGTGGAGGACGCCAGTTTTATATTGTTCCGGGCCTCGGGTCTGGAGTAGTTGTGATACGCCTTTGATATGGGTACTCAGGCCAGCCGCAGAATCCCGAAACATGACCTATAGTTTGTGAGCAGGCGTACGGGAGATAAGTTACTGTATGTGATTAACGGAAATACCTCTGTTAGACTGAGACACATAATAGAGGCAGCGAACTCGGCATGAGAAGCGGAGTCCCTTGCAACGATTCCAATCCGTAGAGCGCGAATTGCCGCGTAATAGTGTTGAGTTGGGTCGAGGTGGGAAGGATTCTCATGGGAAGTCGAAGCTAGAATAGAAGTAGCCAAAGCCTTCATGGCCGGCCGCAAGATACAGTCCTGATGTGTTTGGGCGGTTAGCTCAGGTAGGACTTCCATCCAAGAGCCACATATGCGATATCGACTATTGTCGGAATTGTCACAGATGAAAGGCAATTCATTCTCCGGAATATAGCTCGTTATGACCAATCCGATCAGATTGTCCCAGTTTGACTGATCAAGAGCTAACGCAGGAAGCGGGACGTGGCTCGGGGATAGTAAATCTCCATGCTGGACGGCATCAATAGTAGATTGATGAGCTTCAGGAGGATGAGTGGCAGGCAATCTCCTTTCATAATCATTTGGAGTCGATGTCGCCGCGACTCTCTGCAACTCCCGGCTGGAAGCCTTTTCGAAACGAGTGTTCTGTGGCACAAACGTCCACTCAGATGCATAACCGTCGCATTCCCGTCCGGTCAGAATGCACTGGCTGCATCCTGGGCGCTTTCCATCGCACTACGCTATTAGTTGCTTGATCACCGCATCGAGCGAGAAAAAAGAAGCCATCTCACCCCTAGTTTGCGTGTTCTACATGTCTGACAGGTAGATCTCTGTTTGACCTTCATTCTGCGTTTACAGGCATTGAATGCAACTATGTAACCCCCAAACTCACCTGAGAAGATTGAATCGGAGTATGTTGACTAATCGGACTTGATTCTATCGTGATGTGGGGACCAAGAGACTTAAAAGCCAATCACAGCCAGCAATTTCGAGCAAAAAGCTTGGCGGCTTATGATACCGAAAATAGTTAGCTTTGTTAGACGTTAGTCTCATTTAGCGCGTTGATAATGTACCTCGGAATGGAACATGCGAATACTTGGACATGTAAACATCTTACAAGACTACAAATGTATTCATTGATATTCATTGACGATAAATATAGCATTAACTCGCCACGCTTAAGCCTGGATCTCATCGCTACTAATGGATGTCGCAAAAGCATCAGCTAACTCCTTAATAACCACATCAACAAGCTGGCTAGCCGCAACACCAGGGATATCCCTATCACCAATGGCGTCTTTAACAACAACGACATCATATCCCAACTCAGCACCAGCCCGCGCTGTCGTGCTCACACAAACATGGGCCATGTACCCCACAAGGACGATCTTCTTGCCAACGTCACCCAAGCCTTCCAAGTAAGCAGCAAGATCCGTCTTTGCGAAAGAACTTGGATAATTCTTCTCGACGATCTTCTCGTTCGCCTTGGGACTGAGCTCCTCAAACTCCTGGGATAGCTCGGTGCCACTTGTGAAGACGGGTGCTCCGGGTGGTGTGACGTGCAGAACGTGCACGATGTTCTTGCCGCCGTGTGTGGACTTGCGGTACTTCTCAAGAACGGTGGATATGGCTTTGCGTGATTCGGCAACGTTGACTGTCTTTAGATGGCCGTTGGCATACTCATTTTGAGCGTCGATAATGATAAGTGTGGAGTCGTTGACTGATACTGTCGAAGGGGCGACTCCGATAAGCTCGCGGAACGACTTTACTGAGGCGGCCATAGTTGTGGTTGTCTCTGTAGTACGTGTGGAAAAGAGAAGCTGGTGTATAAATTGAAGAACAGTTGGTAGGCTTGTTGTAAAATCAAGAATGCTCCCTCAACAGGAAGATGGTCGAACGTATATATAGGGAATCGCCTCCAAGTGGGAGGTATGAATGAATTACAAAGTAGTTACTGGTGGGGAAACGCCAATTCTAAGACTAAACCTTTTGTGGTTGCATTACCCGCCAAGACTGTCGATGAACTTACCCCGCTAATTCTAAGACGAAATCTCTCGATTATGGTGGCGTTAACTCAATCGGGTATCTTAATCCGCCAAAACCCTCGAGAATGTTAGGAAGCAGTTGCTTTTCAGGGTCGAACGTACTGCGTATCTTGTTCCTATGGTTTTTAATCATAGGCTTTTTTGGCTTTATAATGATAGACTACAGCGGGTCTGCTGACGGCCTTTGGTTCTGTATTCTACGTTGAACTTGAGCTTCCCGAGTAGTGTACGACGTATTGTCGACCACAGAATCTTAAAGATCCGAGTAGCTGTAGTTATGGATTCTTAGAGATTCTTCATAACCCAGGCTCTTAGATAATCTTGACTAACTAAGCTACAGTGACTAACGAAGCACTCTCTAGGTCTTGTGTAAGCAGATCCAAACGGGAGGGAAGGGTTCTGTCCGTCCTTAAATATGAGAACGGCCCCGGTGGTGTTTGTGCGTCAAAATAAGTCCATCTAGTCTTCACTTCTTCTTCCCTCGTTTGCAATCATGCCTTCGTCACCGAAAACCAGTCTCATCTTCACCCACGTCACAACGGCCACGGCTATCTTGAAAATCGACGGCATCAACTTCCTCACCGATCCCTACTTTGGAGATGCCGGTACTTTCGAACAAGAGATTGATTGGTCCAAAGTACGACTGAAGGAAGACTTTGGACTAGACGAGGCTCCTCCACCCGTCCAGCTCTCGATTTCCAAGGCCCCAGCCATGAAGCTCCATGATCTGCCTCCGATCGACGCTGTCCTTCTCAGTCACGAAGACCACTATGACAACCTCGATCCCGAAGGCCGAAGGCTCCTCGATGGACGCCGTGTATTCACGACCATGGACGGGGCAAAGAACCTCCAGCCGCGACCAGCTGTTGTAGGCCTAAAGCCCTGGGAGACGGTGACCTCTATCATTGGTGGCAAAGAATTCCGCATCACCGGCACTCCTTGCAAACACTTCCCATTTGGAGAGGTCACCGGATTCATACTCGAGACGGATTCTTTCGGTATACACGAGGCAAGCGGCAAGCCGAACGCCATCTACTTCTCTGGAGATACAGTGTACATCGATGAATTGAAGAAGATCAAGGATCGCGTGCACGTTATGGCCGCCATTCTCAACCTGGGTAATGCTATGGTTGAATTCCCCATTGGCCCGATTCAGATCACCATGGATGGTAAGCAGGCAGTGCAGTTGGTTCGGGACATTGGCGCGGATGTCATGGTCCCTATGCATTTTGAGGAATGGGGACATTTTACTGAGCATGGCGAGGATCTGGTTAAGGTCTTTGAGGAGGCGGGTATCATGGATAGAGTCTGCTGGACCACCCCGGGTGTTCCTAAGACTGTGTATTAGACTTAGATTTAGACTTCAAATCTTTCAAGATCGTTTTTAAAAATAACAGTAGAGCTATCTGCGTGCAACTGGTGTTCCCGTCTCGCAAACCCAAGCCATTATAACAGCGCGCACAATTTTATTGCCCGAAGTTGCCTTCATGGAGATAGAGATCTGTTGAATGAACTAGCACTATCTTTCATGCCCTCTTCTCCTCATTTCTCCTGCTTCAATTCTGCTTTCGCTTTCTGGGCCATGAGAAACCTTGGTTAATGGGTAGGCATTCTATAGACATAGACTAGGCATATTAGACAAGCTTTGAGCGCATTGAACAATTATATCAGCATTATCGACATCCCAGCTTGTGAGTCTATATTTTTGCAAAGTGATTCTCGGAACTCTGAAGACGGACAGCGCCATTCGCCACTTTGCCGTAGGTTTTCTCCCAAATTGTCTACAAAACCCGCCAAGACATGCCTCCCGCTTGCTACCCCCTCCTTGTCAGGCTTGAGGGTGATATAGTGAGGAAAGAAGCAGCTTTGCGAAACGGGCGAAAAACGCCCGAGATTTCTACTTGATTGTTAATCAATTTACAAGCAGCTTAATAACATGCTTTTTGAGACTTTTCCTGTCCGGCTTCTTGGGTCGATGTAATGCGATTACTCGACACACCTGTCTGCTCTCTTCCTTGCTACCACTTAGGCTGGGCAGATTTTTTTTATAGATGAATGGCAAACATACGTAGCAATATACATAGATGAGTGTTCCTCGTTTTCAGAATTAATCCCATACATCTCAACCTTAAACCCAAGCCTAACCTCACCACCTGTGTTCCCTCAACATGCAGTAAGACCACCCATAAAACCCACCTCTACCCTAACACCCGTCCAGTTCCCACCCCGACCCCAAAGATTGCCATGCGTCTATCAAAAAAGCCAACGACGTCCGCGCCCGAGCATCCAAGCTCGCGGTGGTACCACCAGTCGAACAAGCCTTGATCAACGCACTCACCGCTCGCTTCTCACATACTATTCCTAACATCCCCAACGATCTAAGCCCCCTCCACCACGCCAACGCCGATGCTATGCTCTGACCCTCCCACCCTGGATGCAGCCGGTGCAATTGCTGCTAGAGCAGAATTGTGTTGGGGAGGCGGAGAGGCTGTTTATACAGGGTCTTGGGTCTGCCCAGGACTATTCTCGGCGGAGGGCGAGGATGGGGAAATGTATGGTGGGGGCTGTGTGGGTGTTATATGAATGCCTTGAGCGCGAGGAAGATGTGAGGGGGGCGCTGTTTATCCATGCTTCGAGGGATATTGGTTTGGCGTCTGCGGATGTTGTGGTGGGCGCTTCGTGCTTTTTGTCGGATGTCTGCGGTAGGGAGGGGTAGGTGGGGGGCGTGAATTGATAATATGAAAGGTGTAGCTAGACTGATTGGACTCATAGTCCTAGAACAAATGCGTAGGCCACGGCTTATAGATCACATCCACAACCTCACACATTCACCACACTTCCCCTTTAACAATCATCGTCAAAAAATTGGTAAGTCAACACATATTGCCATTTGCCGACCTCGCATCCGCTGCTAGGTCACATATATACTTTTCCGAATCTACAGCCAGATTCCCCCACTGCCATCGCTCCCACTTCCACTCCCACTCCATCGCATCCAAAAAAGTGCCTTCCCCGCACCTCCATCCCCACCCCTATCAATCAATCAATCCCATGATCCCGCACGGTCCCCTCCACCTCAACAACATCCAACCACAACCACAATCTAAAGCTATGTGCAAAAAAAAGAAGGTACAAAGAAGTGTAAGTTAACAGAAAGAAAAAAGGTCATATCGTCAGTCGGGTACCAACTAAATCATCGCCTTCACACTCAGCAGCAAACCGCATCAAAAACAAGGTCCAACACACACGCACACGCGGCATATGCAAATCAAGGACTAACACCCGGCGTGAACCCCGGGACAACACCAGGAGTGAAGCCAGGCACAACACCAGGTGTAAACCCCGGAACGACACCAGGGACAGACGGCAACGTTGCCGTAGCAGTGTTGGTGGAAGCGGTAGAAACTGAGCGCGTAGTGTCTACAGCAGTGATTACTGTAGTGGTAGTGGTTAGCGGATGACCGGGGACTGTAGAAGTAGTGAGGGTGGTGAGAGGGAAGGTAGGAGTAGTCGTCGTGTGCGAAGACAGCGGACTTGGAGGAGTAGTGCTTGAGGAGGAGGACGGGGGAGACGTTGATCGCGTCGTGGTAGTAGGTAGAGGAGAGCTTACGGCCAGAGCGAAGACGGCGATCGCGGCGCAGAAGTTATTGCGATTATCCTTGTCGAGCGCAGCGGACTGGCCATTGACGGTGACCATGTTGGTAGCAGCCTTAGTGCTGAGAGCGAGCATCTGGATATTGCTCGAGGACTCGATGGAGACCATGTTATCCTGGCAGCTGGCGGTGTCGAGGCAGACCTGGTCGTAGTTGTCGAAGAAGGAGTACAGGCCCGCGCCGTAGATGTAGACGTTGTTTGAGTTGCGGACGCGAACACCCCATGCCTTCTTGGTCCTGGAGGAGCCCTGGGTGAGGTCTGGGTCGCTGAAGGCTGGGTTGACGGTGAACGGGACGGAGGCGTCGGGGTTGGATTGGTAGTAGGGTGTCTCGGTCTGGATCAGACCCATGAAGACGTTGGCGGCGGCGTTGACCTGGTAGTTGTATAGGACGTTGTGCTCGCTGCTTGTGCCCCACAGCCAGACTGGGCCGGGGTTGGACTCGATGAGCACGCCGCGGCCGTTGTAGAGGTTGATCTGGTTATGGTCCGCGAGGTCGAGCTCGTGATCCGCGACCCAGAACCAGCAGTTCTCGACGTACACGGCGCCCTTGGCGGTGACGTGGAGGAGGAGGAATGCGGCGACGCACTCGGGCTTGGCGGGGGTGGTCTGCTGGGGGGTCTTGGAGCAGGTGTTGGACTGGAGCTTGGTCCCGGCGGAGCCGCCGATGCGGAAGTGCACGTCCCACAGACCGGAGGAGCCTTGGGAGGTCTGGCCGAGGTTCCACTCCATCAGGATCGCGCCGGGCTGGGGGCCGAGGGTCTGGAAGATGAGGTCGGAGATCTCGACGGCGCCGGATTCACCGGCGTTTCCAACCTTGAAAACTGGCTTGGGGTTGGCTTGGTCCTTGAAGAACGAGTCGCCACCAGCCATGATGAGGGGCCAGATTTCACCAGTGATGCGGATGTTGTTTGGTACGTTGACAGTCTTGGTGATGACATAGGCACCGTGGTCGAAGTAGACGACCTGGCCTGCGGTAGCGGAGTTGAAAATAGCCTGGATAGCAGCAGTATCATCAGTGACACCATCACCCTTGGCTCCCCTGTCCTTGACGGAGATGAACGAAGAGGTTGGGACATCGGCGTATTGAGGCTTGGACTTGACGAAGACTCTGCCATCAGCACCGACAAGGCCAGCGGGCTTGGAGGTGGAGTGGGTGGAACCCTGGACATCCTTTCCGGCGTTGACGGCCTTGTACTCGCGGCCCTGGACCCAGGAATCGATCTTTGCGTTTCCGGCAAGGAGGGTGGCCTGGGTGCCAGCGTTCTTAACGGCAACTGGGACGTTGGTAGTCATATCGACGTTCTCAATGATCAGGGTGCCGTTGGTGGCGCCCTCAGAAGTGTGGTAGACGGTTGTAATTCCGACAGGGGTGTTGCTGATCTTGGAGTCCATGACCACGACGGAGCCAACGGTCTGGGAAGAAGCACCGCCGTTGGCCATGTCAAGACCGATCTGGCAGTTGTTGATATCGAGTCCGTGGAAGGTCCATGCCCAGTTCCAGTTCATGAAGATGGCGGTCTGGCAGTTGTTGAACTTGAGGTTGCGGCTGGTGAACTGCTGGGATCCGAGGAAAGCACCGTACTTTCCACCGTTGAAGGTGAGGTCGGTCATGAAACCACCGGAGCCGTTGTCCATGAAGATTCCGACCTGGGCAAGGGCAGCGCCGCCATCGGTTCTCATGTTGAAAACGATGTTCTGGAGACTGGTGGCCTGGGCGACCTGCCAGTGGATACCAGCACCGACGTTGACGGGCATCGCGGTCAGGTCGATGACGAAGTTGCGGATCTGACGGAAGAAGTTGTTCTGGTTGGTGAACCAGTTGATGCCTCCATCAGCATATGGGTCTGCGTCAATGACGGCCATGCCGACGAAGCCAGCGGTGGCCTTCAAGGTTGGTGGTGCAGAAAGATCACCAATCATTTGGGTGTAGTAGTACTGGTTCAATGGCTTGCTGACCATGTAGGTTCCAGGGGGGAAGTAGATGAGAGCTGGGGTGACAGTCGAGGAGTCACAGCCCTGGCCGCAGCGGTTGCCAGTAGAGATAGCAGCGTTGATAGCAGCGGTGTCATCGGTGGTTCCATCTCCCTTGGCGCCGAAGTCCTTGACATTGCGGAAGATCTTGAAAGAGGAATCGCCGTATGCGACAGTGCCTTGGCGCTTGATATCTGACTGCCAGTATGAGGTAGCTCGTTTGGAAGGAGCGGCGGAGGTAGCTGGGAATGCTGTGACCATGAGCAATAGCAAGCTCATGACCGCCAGCAGGCGATGCATGGTTAACGCCATTATGGGCGTTGGGGGAAGTAAATATGTAAGTAGCAATGTGGGGTAAAGCGTATGTTTTCTGAGAGAATTGTAAGTATGATGCTGGATATATAACAAATTCCGATAGGGGCGCAAACAAAAGGATCTTACAGTAGACTCTTCTAGGAAGGGCAGCAGCAGACCTGAGGGTCTAAGGAAGTGAACAATGGGCGAGAGACCAGCGCTTGCTTACATTGTGAAAAAAGAAGCGGATATACTCAGGTACTTATATAGAGAAGGAGGGATGAAGGTGAGGTGCCTGCTCACAACCTACCCACCTTTCCGCGCCAGGTAGCCCATTGTCAGGCATTCACACCCATTCACACCATATTGAGACCATGGGGGGGGGGAGGTGGACCCACCCATTCACGCGTATTGACGCCGAACCGCCACAGATCTATGAATGGCCGACACTTGACCACTCTGGGCCAGACCAGGTGCTGTGGATGTCTTGGGTTCGGACTTGAATAGAGTGCGGTGGAGGAGCAAAGGGAGCAAGGGCTGGCATAGAGTGGCATGGGAGTAGACGCTACCGTGATCTAGGAAGGCGCGAATGGCAGGACGAGGGCCATCAGCAGCACACTTCGGCGGCGATCCGTAGCTTCGGAGGATAAGAGCACTTGGCACCGGACGCATTGTTCAAGACATTTTGAGCCATGCAGGCCACCCTGAAGTTCCACCCTGTCGCACGGGATGAGGTAGATGAGGTAGTGGCGGCTTGGAAGTACAGCACGGGGTGAGGAGTAGTGGTGAGTAGTGGCGGACAGTTGTGGATGGAAAGTCGGAAACAAACGAAACAGAAACAAATCCCATCGGAGGAGTTGGTTCGATTGGGGGTTGGCTTCTCTGTTCCCCGGTCAAGGCGGTCGAGATTAAGGAGGCGCTCTCATGCTTCAGAAATAGGAGCTACCTGGACCAACCTGGACCAACCTGGGAACCCCAGTGATGAAGAGCCGGGGGGTGGGGACTGGGGGGGACGGGGGGGGATCGGAGGAGGCTTGAAAAGAGACTTTGTGGAGGTGGAGGTACTTTCTGTTAGTGTCAAGGGACCTTTTTTTCCAGCGGCAGTGCAGTGCATCAGTATACATTTCTTCGGCGCCGAACTTTCTTTTGTTAGGGTGATAGGAGCGGTATTAGAAGCGGAATACCGGTATAGCCCAGCCAGAGCCACTCAGCCATGAACACACGCGCGTATTTACGCAGCACAGCGGCACAGCAGCACAGCAGCATCACAACAACAGCACAACCGCCCTGCCATCACCCGTAACCTTATTGTCGGGGGCCAACAAGACGACCACTACCAACAACCACAACAAAGGGCGATGAGGTGAAACTGTAGGGGAGTGTACTTTGCTGTAGTGCTGAGTCTACTGGAGTGTACACACACAAAAAGAAAGGCGCGTGGCTCGGGTCATTAGGGTGCTACTGGTAGATTTACAACGGATACCAGTGAGACCTGACTAGCATTAGTGTGGTGGTGATGGTATTAATGTGAGTGGTGTGAGTGAGTGTCAATGTGTCAAGTGCCAGTGGGAGTGGTTGGTGGAGAATGAGCGAGCCGACGCGCTTTCCTCTTTGTAGTGGAGTTTAGTGGATTGTAGTGGACTGTTAGTGGACTGTTAGTGGATTAACGTAATGGATCCTAGGTCAGGCACAGAACCGTTTATTGGCGATCTGATTGGTTTAGGCGAGTGCTACTCTACAGTACCACGTCTCACTGCCGATGAACCGTGCATACATGCAACTTTACTCTACTCTACTCTACTCTACTCTCATCGTTTATCGCATCCATCGCGTCCCCATCCTATCCCACATCCCTCCCCATCCTATCCAACTCCCTCCTTCCCCCCCCCCCCTCCCACATCCATCCATCCATCCCACTCCCACACACTACCCACCATCATCACCCCTCCCCGCATTGAACATCCCTCCTGTCATACTTCCCACCCCTCTACCCCCGTCCATCCCCCTCATCCTTCTCCCGCAACCTTGAAACCTTGTTCTTGTTCACAAATGCCACCGAGAAGGAATGCATACCAGCAACTCATTCGGTCCGCTTTAACAAGCTAATAACCCATCTACACTCCCCACCGCCGCCAAACTACCCAAAATCCCCAGAACCCTCACTCCACAATATCGCCGTCGCCGTCGCCGGCGCGCATATCTTAATATCTGCCAGAAAATATGCATAACATCACCAGATTGCTTTCCCTCTCCTCCTCCGCGTCCGAGGTGAGTCCGAGCCGAGCAAGAGACTCGCGGACTCGCGGACTCCATTACCAACTTGCAAATTCCCATCGAAGAACCCTACCTGCCTTCACCTGCATCGCGGGAACACCGCCCGAACGCGGGGAATAGCGGGCCGCCAAGGGTGCCGCGCGAGCGTGTGCAGAGCAGAGGACAGGTGAGGGTGGGCAAAAGGCGCAGGTGAGGGGAGTTCACGATCAGATGGGCTGCACAGCGTGAAGGTCATCGGCCCTTTTCACATGTGTTGACCACGACGACGGCGGCGACCCCAACGATGTCTTGTCCGCCCACACGCTACCCAGAGGGCAGGTCAGTCAGTCAGTCACAGCAGAATAGAACAGCGTGCGTGTGCCGAGAATCCGCAGTGGAGTTGATTGAGTTTATTTGTGTGTGTCCCCAAAACTTTGTTTCTGGGAAGAACGTGTCGTTTCTTCTTTTTCTGGGGTGGGTTGCGTAGTGCATTGCATGTTCTGCATTGCATGGCAAGGGTGTGGTCGGTGACGATGACGCTGATGCTGATGCTGACGAGTGAACGGCTCGTTTACCGTACTTACACTTTACTTTACTTACTCGACTTCCTTACCCTACTCTACTCGAGGAACTATGCGCGAGTAGACTACGTTTCATCGATTCGCGCGATCAGGCGCCGACTCGCTCCGCACGCACCGAAACACCGTTTCACGAAACATCACGCGTTTCAAAGCGCCTACGTAGTTGTGCATAGTTGGCGCCGTGTTGGCGCCAAACTTGTTGCCTTCGTCAGACACACGTTCGTTTGTTCAGAGGTGTTCGTCTGATTAGAAAGGACTTGCTGTTAAGCCCTTGAAAATCCACTGATGTGAGACCGCGGCGGCGAAAGGACTGAGCTGAGAGCTTCGTTCTTGATACAGCGTGTATATCCATGCGTTTCACCACGTGATATCTATTTTTGTCGCACCCAAAAATATGTATGAGGGAAAGTAGAGGACTGGGGAAAATGCAATGCTTCATTCATACAATTAACAAGCTTATAGATTTGACTTCATCATCGGTTAAAGCATCTCTCATCCAAGTTGTCACGTGTCCATGTGTAACTGCGTGGCTAGGAACTGGTCACCCGGACACTCCCTCACAGCAGCCCTCTCACACTCACATCTACGGGCCTTTTTGTCATACAAGACATCATTTCCCACATCTGATCTTGAGAAATGCGGGAAGGCAAGCAAGCAAGCAAAGCAGCTGACACCGCCATTCTGCGACCCCCTCTGCGACCTCTTCTGCAACCCCCATGAGAGATTCCCAGAGACAACATGGGGTTTACCATGGATCTCTATGACGGTATTTTCTTCAGGGTGGGAACCTACATCAAGTATGTCTAAGACCAGACAGAGACGATGATTACGAATATGAGCGTCATCAAACGAGCGACATGCATATCCCGCCCACCCAACCCACCCAGCGACCCATTGAATCGCTCAGGGTGATCTATCTATCATGTAAGTCAAAAATGGCGTTCTAGAAGCTCTACAATCCGCATTCCACGATACTCCCGAATCTGGAGTATTTCTGCAGCCGCACTGCTCGATTTCTCGTAATCTTGTGCTACAACCATCTCATCTCATCTCATCTCGACAACCAACAACGGCGCACAGCCCCATCATAACAGACGGTGTTGGTGGAATGTAAACCCCCCCACCGCCGTCGTCGTTATTCCCGCAGCGAGCGTTGGGAGTGATACAAGATACAGCAACTCCGAAGGGAACTCGTTACCACCGATCCCATCCGCCGCCGTCCGCCGCCGCGCTGTTCGCTGCAAGATGGGTAGGGACATGAGTTCGTTTCGTTTGCTCTCCTCCCCCCCCCGCCGATCTCACTCCGGGCATGTCCGATCCGAGCTAGTCAGTCGTTACACGATGCGCGACGGGAACCACGCGACGGGAACCATACCATGGCGAGATGATGCGAGCTGCGGTCGTTATATTTGCTGTGGATGTATATTTGCTGTGGAGAGGCGATATATGGTTCTCCGTGGTGCCGTTAAGCGGAGCCGCGGTCCTTTTGATGGGGCGAGGCGGATGGGTGCACGGCGCACGGTTGGAGGGGAGGGGTGATATGTTATTTGTCTGTTCCTGTGTTCGCGGGACAGGAGGGGGGAAGAGAGGGGGAACGGGTGATGCGGTTGATGCGTCGGGGGTTACAAGGTGGGGAGTTGGTAGCCGGATATTGAGGCTCTTGGTTATGTAGGTGATTTATCTTTTGCTGTGTTGAAAAATACAGTTTGGGAGTTTTCGTCATTTTTTACAGTATCCCTAATCTATTCTCTACCAACTTTCTCCTTCCATCTTTCCCATCTCCCATCTCCCTTCAATCTTTTCAAAAAAAAAAAAAAAAAACCCCTCCCTCCCTTACTTCATCTCCCCGGCGTCTACTCCTCCCACTCCCTACCAACACACACACACCCCCCAACAGCCGCTTATCCGCGAAGAATTTACCCGTGCAGAATATGCAAGTCATACCATACCCATCGTTTGCATGCAAGGCAAGGCACGCACGCTCGCAGCAAGCAACCTTCCCCACTCCACGCTGCATCTTCCCGTCGACACGTTTGCTATATCAATATCAACCTTGGTACGGCTCCCCCCCTTCCCATCGGAGCCGCTCCCCGTAGCCGCACGGAAAGGGCAGTTGGACCATAAGCTGGCCCCAGCCCAGTCCGCCAAGCGGGCTACTCACCAATATGATGCCTTGCACGGGCTAAGCTGGAGGTGGTCGATACTGGATTAATCGAGCCTTGCTTGAGGACTTGGTCTGAGCGCTAGTGCCAGGAGAGATATTGAACAGAGGATGGCTAGGCCTGTATCCGTTTCTCTTCCCGTCTTCAATAACTGCCCCACCACCGCCGCCGCCGCCGCTGCGGAGGAGGAGAAGTAGAGGGAGGGGGGTTAGTCGATCTTCCCCCCGAACGACCGTTGAGGCTCCTCGACCCGCTGCAGTTGGCGGGGATAGGGGTGGTATGTGTAGACCCTTTCTTGGAAGTTTACAAGGGCGAATCCGGGTTGGTTAGCTATGCAAAGGGGGGGTGGGATGGGGGAGGGTCTTTTTCCCTGAAGATATTCCCGTTATGAGACATCTGATGGGGTAGGTAAGGGTGTGATGACTCTCAACCTTTTTTTCATTTTCATCCCGTTTTGGGGATACAAGGCCGAGGTGGAATTTTTTTTTTCTCTCATTTACTCCTGCCGTACTACTCTGGAATAGAAATATATGATTCTTCATATACCCTAAGAATATTTATCTTCATATGCACGCACTTCCCGCCGTCCCAGAATCTCTCATCCATATCCATATCCACCCCGTTACCGGAACCGTTCCCCTTCCTTCTGCCTCTACGCGCGTCTCCACTCCTGCGGACTATTCTCAGCCACCACCTCATAATCCGCAGATGTTGAATCCATGGTAAGTGAACGCATCCATCTCACCTTGACGGGCTGTGACATGGGGCCTTTTGGCGGTCTGAGAGCGTGTCTGACGCGGTTGTGTGTGTAGGTGCGGATAGCTGTTTGAGTGAGGGGGATCTTGAATCATCTGAGGAGCTATGTATGCAAGAAGAGGCAGGATTCCATAATACAGATCTAGCATCGTCGCGACGGCATACACCTCCACCGCCGCGGAAGATTGGATGGTGCATCAATCACTCCCCCTGGAAAACCGCAGAAACTTCGATGCCCTCATCCTCCCTCGCATCTGCACCGCATCGCCCTACCTTCTCCACCGCCCTTCTCACCCTCCCTCCTACCTTCCTTCCGCAACATCCTAAGACAGGAACGGGCGGTGAAGCACAACCACAATGCATATCAACCTACACCCCCATCCGCCCTGTCCTTTGTCTCTTCGCGGGGCCCCCTACAGAATCGTGCCGCGACAACAACAGCGTGGTGGCCTTGTTGAGATGACGGGGAGTGAGTTTAATTCTTTGTCTGGGTCTGGGGGAGGAGGTGCGCACTCTGTGCCGACTGGTTTGGTTGTGGATAACAGTGATTGGGATACCACTTCCACAGGGCTTGAGGGACCTTTTCAGGACGGTGGTGGTGGTGGTGTTGGGTATTCGGTATGTGATTATGCTTACTCTATACGAAATGATAGCCGCATACTGACGTTTCCAGAATCACCCTCATCCATTTCTCACCGCGGCGTATACTCCCTTCCTTACCGAGAACAGCGCGGCAAACGCTGCGGCGCGGGGGTTTGAAACACAACCGCAGCAGCAGCGGTTTAGCACGCAAATGCTTTCATACAACACGACGGCGGCGGGAAAATTCGTTTCGAAGCCCGCACCACCACCGCCGCCACCATCACTGTCGTCGGCGTCGGGATTTCAACTTTCCCAGGCGCAGGGGAACGAGTACTGGACTTCAATGTCTGCCATCACGACGACGACAGGGGGGGATCAAATTATTAATAACTGGAAAATGGATTATAATAACAGCAATAACGGCTTATCAGATTTTGGTCGCCAATGCACGTATGACGAGTTCATCCCTCTACCTCTGCAGACGGGGGTAGGGAGGCCATCTTCTTTCGGACTGGGCGAGGATGGTCAGTCACCTGAGACGCTGCATTTCAGCCCAAACGATGAGGGACAGGGAGGATACGGTGAGAAAATCTGGGGGGATGCACTGAAATGTCATGGGCAGAACTTACCTTCGCACCACGGACTACCGTATACGTTTTTCGACGACAGCAGCACCGCGAATATTCCCTCCGCTGGCGCCTTCCCGCCTTGGACGGATACACCGGGCTTAGACACCATAGCACCCAAGGCCCTCACACTAAGCTCATCATCCATTTCCTTCTCCGGATCCTCGAGCTCAGACTGTGGATCCCTAGACTCGGTATCAACGCACGACGGACCCTTCCACTCCACCACCGAGATCCAAAGCATTCAAGAGGTCTTAAAACAGGAGGCAAACCAAGAGGTGACAGTGAGGCATAAATTACCCACAAGGCCCCTGAGGCAGTACGTCACCATCGCTCCCAGCCTCGAACGAACCAGACAGGTAGTTTCGACGAGGGCGACTACTTCCAAGGAGACCAAGGTATGCCCCTCCTCCCCCCTCTTCCCCACCACCACCACCAACTCACTCCCCCCCCAGGCCTCCCGCCCCTCCCCCGCACCCCCCCTCAACCCCCCCGCCCCGACCCCACACCCCCAAACCCGGAGCACCAAAGACGCCTTCCTCATCACCTCCAAACGAGCCGGGATGTCCTACCGCGCAATCCGCCAAGCCGGTAACTTCAGCGAAGCCGAATCCACCCTTCGCGGTCGCTACCGCACGCTGACGAAGCAGAAGGAGGAGAGGGTCAGGAAGCCGGAGTGGACGGAGGGGGATGTGAGATTGTTGAGGGAGGGGGTGGAGAGGTTTAGCTGCGGGAAGGGGAGAGGGAGGGGGAGGGGGAAGACGCCGTGGAAGAGGGTGGCGGAGTTTATTGAGGGGAATGGGGGGAGTTATCGGTTTGGGAATGCTACTTGTAGGAAGATGTGGGATCGGTTGGGGGGGGAAGAGGAGGGTTAGTTGGGGGGGTGACGGGGAGGGGGAAGGGGAAAGGGATTGGGGAAGGGGCGGTGGGGGGGGTAGAATTAGATAATTAGATGGGTAGGCTGGTTGATAATAGTTGTTTTTTATTTTGGGGGAAAAGGTGATGTTCTTCTATGCTTGTGGGAGAGCGTGCATATTCAGAGAGCAACGTAGTAATCAGATGCCTTTCCGGTTTCTACTCCATAGAGCTGTATTATTAAATTTGGCCGATGGGATTGGTGGGATATAAATTAAATGTCTTCGCCTATTATCTTGCCTCACTGGTGCAGTAGTCTAACGCGGTATGTTGTTTCGATGTTGTTGTTTTGTCTATAAACCTGTTGGGGGAAACCGGCAATCCCATATGATACGCTGCGCTTTTATGCTCAAAATGACAAGTTTTCCCTGAGGGATTGTCAAGCTCCCCGGTTGGTCCACGAGTTGATCGACTCATGGCGTCAGCCCTATGTCTCGCTTTCAGCTTGGTCTATAAACGCCCGATTCTTCGGGGTTCTGAGGTTTCCCCTCTACAAATAGCATACGTATGCTCGTAGATTAGTTAGCAATTCAATTGATTATATTACTCTATTTTACTTCGAGCTCATTCCACGCTCTCAATACCTTTTATCATCTACGGGCAAACATTCATATTATTCGCACCTCTACTACAATTTCCAAAAATGTCGGCATTTCAAAGTACGGCATCCCCCCCTCCTCCCCCCCCACTCTTCCCGTGGCGTTGGTTCCCGAAGCTAAAGGGCTCCCTCCCGCAACTAGAGGCTAACCAGACGTCTTATAGGTTACGTCGATACCAGGTTTGCGATCTAACGATTTGGAGACGAGGAGAACATGTTACTGACGATATGTAAGCCTTGTTGGATCTAGCCACTTAGATAAAGCCGCCATCACCAACGCATCTGGTGAAGCCATTTGGGCTATCACACCCGGGTTTGCTGTATATCTGCTTGCCCCGTCCTGCTTCTTGTATCTCGTTCGCTCGTCGCCATCACGAACTATGGAATGTTTTGTTGTATCCATTCATATGGAGATGGTGGCAAGGCACCTCTTCCCCCTCCCAAAGAGACTCAAAAACAACTACAATGCTTCATATTGATATACAACCAAGAAGAGATATATCATGAGCGTCATGAGCGCGTTACTAATATTCATTTTAATAGATCCAACAAGCCGAGCTGCAGAAGATTGCCGCAGCCCTTTGAGGCGGCGAGGCAGCAGACAAGGCGTGCGCTGAGGGAATTTACGTCGCCGGCGAGCGATTCGATGTTTCCAAGGCCGATGGACGTTTTTATGGACGAAAAGTAGGATTTGCCCTCCATCAACTATCTTTATTCTGTTTTTGAAATTGAAATCTTTGTGGTCGAATAGTTCGGGGATATGCAAGAGCTGACTGGGGTTGCAATATAGGACAAGGAGGGAATAGTCATCGTCAAGACTAAACAGGGAATTGTGATTGGCCATTACGGCGATGGGGTCAAACCTGTAGATGCAAATTACGCTGTTGAGAGTGTGGTCAACCACATGGTTCAGAGCGGCTATTAAATATCTCGAGCTAAAGGTTGTGGGATATGGATGGATTAGTTGCGAGATTGAGGGAGGGGAAGATTTGCGAACCCCCGATGAGGAGTATACTAGGTCGCAGAGCAGACATTTGGAAACTCTTGGGGGCAATTATGACATTTTAGTTATCGTAATTTGAATGAAATATATTTTACATAAAAGCACGTTATATGCGGTATTGTTACAATTCATTCTATACATCATCAACAGTCTCCAAACAGACCAACGCCCCTCACATAACTCCACCCTTCTAACCAGTATGAAAAGCCAAACCCGAGAAAATCCAACCCGCAATCTGGAAGAGAGAAAACCACGAGCCAGCCGCGGCTATTACTTCCTAAACGCCGTGTTAGCAAAACATTCTCCACAAAAGCAAGAAGACAGAGTGCAATTCACCTCCCACTTCATCTCCACGCCCAGCCGAGAGTTCTGTCTATCGAAACTCGGGAACTGGAGAAAGAGACTAATATGACACGGCGCTGTACTCCCTGTTGATGTGGCGCCACAGTTGACTCCAGCAGCTGGGATGGTCGATACGGAAAGCTTATAATCATATGCGGGCGATGTATTTGGTGCCTGTCTGCGGTTGAGACCGAGGTTGATGGCTGTCAAGCCGTTGGCGTTGATTAGGACCATGCGGGTGTATCCGTTTTCGAGAGCAGATGCCAGGTCTAATGTTGGATCGTAGATGGCGATCCATAAGCTTGGCGACAAGAGCATCGATGAGTCGCTGAGGGCTTTTGAGGAGTCATCTGTTTCGTTACGGTTAGCCGTAATCGTTTGATATGACGGGGGTTTTGGTACGACTTGCAATTGAAAAAAGCCTGCGCTATCATCTGTGTTGTTGGGACTTTGGACATCATAGACGAATTCGACGTCAGTGTCAGGGCGCGATAGCTTGTATTGTGCCATTGAAAATCCGTGACTTTCTCGTCCCAGCTCCCGGCACATTGGCAGGGTGTTACTCCTGGCTCCACATCACTGCAATCGGGCGCACTTTCGTCGTACCAGCCCAGAAAGCATTTCCCTGGCACGGATACATCGAGGTTTGCTTGGGAAGTCCAGTCCGCGCGCTGGAAGAGGGTGAGGGAAGGGAAGTACACGCTTTCCTGATAAGATGTGAGTGTGACTGGCCGTAGATTAAACTGTAGTATGGGGATACACGTACAACAGTGTCCTGGTCTGAGATTATGACGCTTTTGGTGCGGTTCGGATACCAAAGCTTATAGTAGAGCCACGGGAGAACCAGTGCGGAGATGGTCAATGTAAGGACGGTGTTACCAAGATTATAGTTATACTGATGTCCCCTCAGAAACTTTTTGGGTAATTTGGCAATTCTGTCGGCACATGGGATGTTTTTGTCTGTGATATTTGTCAATAGTTAGCGTGCGCGTGTCTAGAAACTGGCGGGTTGATGAGAGTTACCAAAGCCAAATAATAACAGGACGAGAACGAGAAAGAACGGCACCCAGATGCATACAATGGCAGTCCGAGTAACAGGGGTTGCCCAATTGAATAATACCACAGTAGGCACTATCCATGCGACCCAACTCAAAGTCAACCACAGAACGCCCCTAGGCGGGGGAAATATTACCGGCGCTGTATGTGACGGCGCTGATGGAGAAGAATATAACTGCGTCCATGGAGAAGACTGTGACAGCGGTCCTAGCTGGTAGATAGGCATTTTTTATAAAAAAACAAAATGACTGAACGAGGCCACAGAACTGATTTATAAAGTGGGCATGTGAGATTAAGAGAGCTGCAAAATCTACCATCCAAAGGGTGAGTGAGATCACCTTGTTTGTATATTCGAGATGTGCGTGTCTATAGAGACTAAATCAACTTCGTTGAAAATTCAGATTCCCAACTCCGAGGGCAGCTAACGTCTACGGTTAATTTGGTAGGTGTGCTTGCTCGACTGATGTCTGGTGGATTGTCCGCTGGGCTGAACCGGTGAGTATCGTTGAAGGGCCAGATCTCAAATTAGGAGGCGTGCTGCTGGCAGCTGGCGGCTACGTCTGGTTTGGTAGACAGACGCGTGGTGGGTATTCTTATGGGCTAAACCGGTGAGCATCGTCCACATCCCAAATTCCGAGGAGCGCCGGCGGCTGCAGCTGGTTTGGTAGGTGTGCTTCTTAGATAGATGTCTGGTAAGTACGCCGCTGGGCCGAACCGGTGAGCATTTCTGCGAATCAGTTTTACCATTTTACTTAAGAGGCGTTTTTGTGTAGCGAGTGCTGCCTCCTAATGGATACCAAAAAGGATGCGGACGGGAACCTGCATAAAGCTAAGATGGAACATGTCGAATCGGGAAAGTTTGTGTCTAATTTTATTCCGTAGAACCAGCGCGTGGACCTTTCCGATTATTTTGTACGGCTCTATTTCCTTCCCGATGTCTCAGATCGAGGTATATCCTGGATTGAACCGAGCAACCAGCAGTTTTATGAAAGCAATACCACAAGGCTGGCGCTTAGTTTCTGATGATGAATTGTATAAACGCAACGATAGATCCAGTCCTGCCGATCTTCTCGCAAGTGATAAACAAAACACACTTATCCACATCGTGGCTGTTTCCATCACCATTCTCTCCATATTACCTTGCACGCTAAAATGAGGCCCTCTCTCTTCATCGCCATCTACTTGACATCAGTAGCGCAGGTTGCGCTCTGTCAAAAGGTCTACATCAATCAAGTCCCCGAATACTCCCAACTACCTGCGTGTGCTGAGGTTCCCCTGAGCACAATTGTTCGGAATATGGTTTCGGGCTGTGGCGACAACCACCAGACAACATCATACGGCTGCTTCTGCGTCTCCAGTTCTGCAAAATTCGACAGGGTTATCGGCACCGCCGTGGCGTCGCGCTGCACTGATAGCCCTCAAGAGGCTGCCGCGAGTGCCCTTTCTGTCTTTGACAACTACTGTCACCTCTTGTCAGTGCCAGCTGGTATGTTTATTCGTGTCGACCCTTGGCAGTGGGGAAGCCGTTGCTAATCATAATGTTTTCCTGCAATATAGACAACACGGCGACTGCAACAGCGCCTGCAACTGGAACTACACAGGGCCCAACAATCGTGGTCAATTCATCAGTGACATGGCAGACTTATACGCCTGTCAGGACACAGGCGCCAATCCCGTCTTTGTCTGCAGCGGCGTCGAATCGGACCAACATACTTGCGGTGTTGGCAGAAATTGTCTGTATTGGGATGTTGTTCAATCTTCTTATGTGAGATGTGGTCAATGGATGAGATGGTCGGTGGATGAGATGATCGATGGATTGGATGGCTGATGGATTGGATGGTTGACGGATGAGAATAGTTTTTCATTGTACTTGTTTGTGTTTCTGTTTGTGTTTCTGCTTGTATTTATATTGCATTGTATAGGGATTTATGTGTACGAATATATTATTTTATTCTATTCTCAAATTTCTGCTTTGTCCCATGTGAACAATTTCATTCTGGCTTCAACTTAAAAATAATTAGACGAGGAGGTTAGTTGATAATAATTGTTTGATTCCGGGGAAAAGACCTTGCAATTAAATATTTGTTGACAGGTTTTAGCTAGCCTAGGACGTTCAATATGCATATCAAAAAATATAAATAAATAATGATTGAAAGAGCTAAAAATACCCCGCGAACATGTCCGGCCCCAGCCTTATCCATGTCGCACTATAATAACAACCCCACAATATACAGTTGACGTACGCCGGTCTTCGTACCGGCCCACTCGCGGTACGAGAGCCACTAGTAACATCGAAAGGGGGTGAGCTGGCTCCGATCAAACCTACAACTCTGGAAAGCACGGACCTGACCTGTCAAAATAGAGTTCTCAAGCTATGTTTACATGAATTACGCCGAGATCACTTCATGATAATCTCTCATGCGGGGGCCCATGCGGGGTCGTCGGTGGTAAAGACCCTTCAGTGGAAAGATCGTCTTTGACCCGATTTTACGAGAGATGTCTCATGAGTCGCTGAGGTGCACTCGCCACAGTTGAAGGAATGCCAGATGCTACATCTTGACTAGAATAGGGCCACTCTAGGTAGAGACTGACAAATCTCGGCTGGAGTTAGGATATGGTCGACGATGGTTTGCCTATCTTGTAATTGTTGAACGCTCTTCGGTTTCAACTGTGCCGAAGGAGAGGCCCGGCTGTCAAAGAGTCTTTCCTGCTCTGATCCCCTTGAACTATTCCTCCTTGGAATGCAGTCCAGACGAGGAATAATTGCGGGTGATCAGTTCCCCCAGGGTATAATCGAATAAAGCCTGGACGTCGATCATAGACCTGGTCGCGCCATGCAGGTATTTCCTTGACTATATAAGAAAAGGCCACGTCCATGATGAGCGAGGTATAGATCTCAACATTTTGACGTGAATCGTACAATCCCGAAGTCTGCTTCAAGATGCTTTCTGCATTGAAGATGCTTCTTCTCTTGTGGTTGTCAGTAAGCTCTTTCGGTGCCAATGCTGAGCCTGCAGCAGCGTCAGCTGTAGACAAAGTGACATCAAATGCTCTATATCTCAACCCGAAACTGCCCGTATCTGCAAGAGTCAAAGATCTCCTGTCTCGAATGAACTATCTGGAACAACTCGCTCAGACCAGAAGCTATGGTGGAGTCTTGGGCTACGAGGCGTCATATAACTACACTTTTTTGGAGACTTTGAATGCACCTTATGGGGGGTCATCAGCTTGTAAGACTATTTCTCGCATGATAAGACCTCATGATTACTAACACGTTGGGATTAGCATTCGGGACTTATTCTACAAACTGCTATCTATCTGCAAAGGTTATGAGTGCCGTCATTGCCAATACAACCAAACTCAATCGATTTCACATTCCAGTGATCACTGTTGGAGATTCGGTCAATGGACCAACACTTTGGAACACTACATTATTTCTGGCGTCTCTAAGCATGTCCTCTTCATGGAATATTCCACTATTCTCCGAGGTCGTCAATGCGATTTCACTTGAAAACCGCGTGCTTGGTGTGCGATGGGTCTATAGTCCTGAGCTTGATCTAGCACGGGAACCAAAGTTCGGGCGTGTGGGAGAGATGTATGGCGAGGTAAGTATCGAGATCAATACATGTCTGTTTGTATACATAAACTAATCTACCACTATTTTTCAGGATCCTTACTTGGTTTCACGGTTTGGAGTGGCGCACGTTAAAAACATGCAAGCCCCAGATGCCAATGGAACTCTCCGTGTTGCAACCACTATAAAACACTTTATCTATGGAAGCAGCACAGCAGGTATCAACCTCGCTCCTATGGTTGGTGGTATCAACGACTTCTATAATATATACTCAGTACCTTTCCAAGCTGTTATTAAAGAGGCGAATCCAGCTGCTCTAATGCCATCCTACTCATCTTACGATGGCGTCCCAATGACATCAAACGTCGCATACACCAATCTTTTCTTGAGAGATGAGCTAGGATGGGATGGAGTTGCCACCTCAGACGACTCAGCAATGTCTTTCCTCCATGATCTCCATAAAACCGCCAAGGATATCCAAACAGCCGGCATACAGGCATTGGAGGCGAGCATCGGCCACGAGATTGGCGGGACATCAAGCTTCGGAACACTAGCAACGCTTGGAAATGATCCTAGAGTTGCCAGCCTCGTTAAGACTGCTGCCCGTCGTATGTTGACTCTGAAGTTCAAAACCGGGCTGTTTGAGAACCCTCTTCCGGACTTGGCGCAAATCAACGGCAAAGTACGATCCCCAGCTCATCTACCACTCAACCTCAATATATCCAAAGAGTCGATGGTTCTCCTGAAAAATGATGGCATCCTGCCCATCAAAACCACTGGAAACCTCTTGTCCAAAGTTGCGGTCATTGGCCCCCTTGCGACATATATCAACGCCGGGTCATATGCAGCCGATGACTATCTCATAGGCAGCGCTGTTTTACGTGGAATTGAGGGTATTGCAAAAGAAGTTACGTTTTCAAGGGGCTGCTTTGTCAACAATGATACGAATGTCGATGCAATGATAGCAGATGCCGTGAAAACTGCCGAGGCTGCGGAGTTGGTGGTCCTAGTCCTTAGATCATCATCTTCTAATCTCGATAATATTGGCGACGTTCGTACTGATGGGGAGTTCTATGACCATGCTGATCTTGGTTTCCCTGGACCTCAGCTTCAACTGCACAAAGCTATTGCAGCGACTGGTGTGCCTATTATTGTCATCATTAGTGGAGGGCAGGCCGTTGAAATGGAATACGCTGTTGCGAACTCCAATGTCATTATCCACACATTCTTGCAAGGCGACTTAGGAGGCGAAGCAGTGGCATCGTTGATTACTGGGGCGACAAATCCAAGTGGCAAGCTGACTGTCTCTATACCAAAGTATTCTGGGGCCACGCCTATATACTACAACTATTTGCCAACAAATCGCAAGGCTGGAATATGTACGCCCACTGACTGGCAATGGCCAGTACTCAACAGCACAGCACGATACCCCTTTGGCTTTGGACTGAGTTACACAACCTTCAGCTACTCAAACGTTCAGGTGTCGAATTACACAAGCACCTCAGGCAATATCGTCGTCAGCACCACAGTCAAAAACACTGGAAGCGTTGCCGGACAAGAAGTCGTACAGGTTTATTTTGGACAGGCATTTCTGGTAATTGAACGACCTATCAAGAATCTCATTCGGTTCACGAAGATCAATCTTGAGCCAGGCGCCTCTCAGCAAGTCTCCTTCACGATTCCCGTAGAAGAACTGGGCTACTACGTCAATGGAAAGAAGCACGTCGATGCAGACACTTACACTTTCTGGGTTGGCTCGAGCTCTGATGATGCGGATCTACAATCCAAGCTTTCTTTGCAAGCACACCATGCATTGTGAAAAAGTACGATGTGGCATTCAGCCTGCCTCTGGTATGTCTGACTTGTGCGTTTTAGCCGCACTATTTAAGTTACGATAGAAGCAAGTTTGAATTTCAACCAGATTGGACAGAGGCGAATCAAACATTTGGAAATACTGCGCAGCATAATGATTGAGCTACAATGTCAAAAAAGGGCAGCAATAGAAGCGCCAGCTTGAATATTATGTGTGAGAACTTTATAAATGGGTGGATAAATGGTAGTGCCAGTGAAACTATTCATGTTTTGCTAAAAGCTTGAATGGTAGCTATATAACTGCTCACAACTTAACTCTTGCATTTCTACTCTCCCATTGAGGCCCCAACGTAGACAGGGACATCATTAGTCGTCACGCTTCTACTTGTTAGAGCCAGTCCAACCAGCCGCCGGGACGGGTACGTCTGCTTCTTCAGCAGCGTTCCGCTTCTCTTTGTTAGGGGCAGTCCAGACGTAGGCCGTCGGGGGTTCAGCTGCCTCCTCAACAACATTTCGCTTCTCTGCCGACCAGACTGCTGAGGGGGCAGGCGCCGCCTCCTCAACAGGACTGCGCTTCTTGCCAGACGCCGACCAGACGGCGGGCGTCGCAGGCGCGGCTGCTTTCTCACGATTCTGTATTCCGCCATCAATGGTGGGTGCAGCAGAAATGAGAGCTGGGAACAAAAGAACTCCAGCAGTGAAATAAGATGAGAATTTCATGGTGAATAGTGTAGATCTAGTGATGTTAGTTTATTGAATAATCGATCTTGCGTGATTAGAATAGCGTCAGGAAAAGTAGCATACCGTAGACTTTGAGAACTAATGTTTGGACGTGAGAAGAAAGCGTTTTCTGAAAAACAGAAAGAGGAGCTTGGCTTTAACGTCGGATCGTGTAATACGAATAGAGTCGGGTATGTGAGGTGCATCGTCGGTCGTATTACCCTTGGTTGTGCTACGAGGTATTGAGCTTCCTATTTTGTGATTCTGCAGTCATCATCACAGTTGTTATGGATTTGGAATGAGGCTATCGCTATGATAGGTAGCTAATAAACGGAGCAAAAGAACCTGAGTTCTAGGCGGTTATAGTTTTCATCGTGATCACTATTTGTTGTCTCGGGCATTTCCCAAGCTACACTGTGACTTACACGATCTGACATACTTTCCTATCTCGTCTTCCAACGGCGTCACTCCACTCCCATTAAGGATAAGATGTATCAAGAGCTATAAGTTGGATGTATGGCTACATCTTTCTCGGGATCCTTAATCAGGCTATATTTTAAAGATGAGGCACCATTGCAGTCTATTTACTCGGCATAAGGTTTGCATGTGTCTTATTCTTTGACATTTTCTGCATCAGTTTTACCTCGGAGCAACCCATGAAATAGGTGGTCGATAATTACCTAGCTCGCCTGCCCAGTAGTGAAACCCTTCCTATTAGCTCTGAGCCGCCATCATACAGAACAGAAATTGCATGACAAGATATTTCAGCTCTCAGGAGGTTGTATTTTATGATCCTGCATTCAAAATATATTCTTCGGTTACTTTCGGTCACTTTTCCTCAATGGGATATGCAACGTTGTGCCCAGTAAAAAAATTCAAGGCAATCTTCCTTCCCTTCTTGACCGACATTCCTGAAGGGCGTCTGGTGCGATTTCGAAACAAGTTTGACCAGCTGATCAGAACACCGCATTTTCCACCAGGGCGTGGAATGCAACGTCCCCAGGTCCAGGGTCATCTTTGCAGTCGATGAACTTACACCATTTGGCAGAGAACCTACCAACAGGCTCAAGAAACTGCGTAGCACCTCCGACACAGTCAGCACATTCAAGGCAGGCGAAGATCGTCGAGATTCGCCGGTTTGCCATACCCGAAAACCAGTCAAAGTAGGACCGAAAGTGGTTGCTAATGTCGTATTTGGTTACTTAAATATCTTCAAGGTGACTGACGGGCTGGTAGCGTTGGAGGTCGGCGGGTCGGGCCTCGATGCGGGAGATGACTGTGTCGTAAGGGAGGACAGCAGACTCAGAGGAGCCTCAGAAAGCCTCAGTATCGAAATCCTCGGTTTCAGGATCCGTAGACCAAAGTCTGATATTTCCTCGCCGTTTGTTAATAGTGAAGGGAAATTGGTCAAAGTTCTTATCACCTCGGATTGCTATCGGAAATATGTAGACGAAATAAAAGGAAATAGAAAAATACTAGTGTTGAGCTAGGGGCTGCTGAAGGCATTGAGGAAAGGGGTAGTGTTGCTACATTTCTGCACCAACATCATGATGAAATGAGATATAGTCGAAAGTCAAGGTATAATATTTTCCCCAGGACATCGAAGAACGATTTAATCGCACATGTGAAAACGAGGGGTAAATGAGCTTAGTTATAAAATCTATGGCATCACCCAGAACTAGTCGCTTCCTTGGGCCGTTTATGAACATTCATCGAGAAGATCGTGCAGATACTATACATGAAGAACGTAGAACACAAGTCAATGTGAACAGCCAATGTGAACTTGTAAGCTGACTCTCCTTTTTAGAGCGGGGTAGATCTCCAAATATGGCTCGTTGCACATAGACTTAATGTTACAGCCGATTTCAGTGGTGTGTTGGCGTGTGTAATTATTCAACTTCGTCAAATCTTCAAGTTCTAATTCTCACTCCATCAACATACAACAATGTCTAAATTTATCGCCAGTGATAAACATGTCTCTGGATATCCTTCAGACCACGCTGATTCAAGCACATCTCTAATGGCGGGAGATGAAGGGCTACCTTTTAACGCTGATAGTCGCGGCCAGTTTAAAGGATCTCGCCGCTCCGCTCGACGATGTTTTACACAATGGCAAAACTGGTCTCTAATAATTACCTTGCTGTTTCTTATTGCTGGTCTTTCAGTCTGGGCCAATGTAATAATTTTGCTGGGAGGCTTTCGGTGTTATACTACGCCTGGAACTGATCATTTTGTGCCAGACTGTGAGTATATAAGATATTCACAGTTTCTATCTTCATGGACTAACGCATCAGTGCTCTATTCGAATCGAGTTACATTCCAGCTTCACAAGTTTTATGGCGGACCACCTTCCAATGCTACGGATGAGATGTGGGAGAGAATATCCCCACGTAAGTAGATGAGTCCTTCCATTTTGAACGTACGAGATGCAAGTTCAACACCAATGCTAATTTTTGCCAACACCAGCCGGCAAAGGGATCATCGAAGTTCCAACAGAGTACACCGGCAGCCTGCCTGCCTCACTCCCTGCGCCCAACAACCCTGACACAGCAAAAGTATACGGAGTCTCTATGTTCCACCAACTCCATTGCCTGGTAGCCTTCACTCTCTACATCTCCAGCTACACAGTTTGCTGATGATCTCCAGAACTTTCTTCGACTTGCCTACTATCCTGGGGGCGTCACAACAATGACCCCCGACGAATTCGTCCTCCACCGCGATCACTGCTTAGACTATATCCGTCAGGCAATAATGTGCGCGGGCGATGTGACACTCGAGCCCCTGACAAAAGTCGGTATTAACGGTATGGGAGCTGTTCACCAATGCCGCGATTTTGATCACATTTTCAGCTGGGCGTATGAACGTCGCTTGTATAAAGTGAGGGGGTCGGGGTATACTGGTGGAGTTGTTACGCATGTGCTTGCACACGGGAGTGACATTGGGGATGAGGGGATTGGGGGTGAGCATGGGCATTGAATGGGTTTTTGTATGTGGTTCTGTAGAATAAATTAATCATTGTCACGAACTGTAGATTTAGTTTTTGACCATTAAATGATATTTAATGTTGTTTATCTACCCCCTTAATCATTTAATAGATACACTATGTTAAATTTAGTTGTAGTTACAAACGATCGCAATGTGGATTCTACTTATAATTGTAGGTGCATAAAGTCTCATAAGCAGCTTCTATTCTAGGCTTAAACTACTGGCGGGATTGTCTGGATCCTTCGCACCCTGGTTAACCCAGGAAGTCGGAGATAACGACTTGTCACTAAAAGATGAGCCGCTGTAACTATGAGTCAAATTACAGATCAGTTATTGAATCAGCCTTTAAGACATTTGTATAGCCCACTTCTCACTGTTATATCAACATAACCATCGCCGATACCGTCTGTCTACCTCATCTATTTTCAGCACCCAAACCAACCCCACACTGCCAACCCCACACTCAAAATGACAGACCCAAACTTCCACATCACAACCCCACGCCTATATCTCTCCCACCTCATCGCAACCAACGACGCCCACTGCGACTTCATCGTGAATCTCTACAACACACCCGAGTTCATCGCCTCTATCGGCGGCACTCCGACCTCCATCACCACCACTGCGGGGGCACGAAAATACATAGAAACCCGTTTCCAAGCTGAGCACAGCAAGTACGGATATGGCACATACCTCGTGAACCTGCAGCCCGACTCACCCGCTACATCCAGCAACGCCTCGTTTTCCGAGGTGCTGAAGGGGTGCACGCCGATTGGCACGGTGTCGCTGACGCGAGGGCTGGGCGATGATGCGTATAAGGCGCCGGATGTTGGATTCGCGATTATTCCTGAGCTGAATGGGAAGGGGTATGCGACGGAGGCCACGGGGGCGCTGATTGAATATGCCCGGCAAGACTTGGGTGTTGATGCTGTGTTTGGCTTCTTTGCGAAGGGGAATGCAAGGTCGAGGCGCGTGGTTGAGAAGCTGGGATTTGAAGACCGTGGGGTTAGGAACCTGAGGTGCTTTGGTGGAGCTGAGAGTGAAGTGTGGGCTTTTCCGGGGATGAATGAAGACTTGGAAGTATATGGACTGTAGCAGGAAGTAGGCATTGAAGTTGGCCACTGGCTATAAAGCTCACGATAAAATTTGTCAGTGACGGTCGACACGCGTGTGAGAAGGTGAGGTTATTCCGAAACGTAGCCAACCTTATCGCGATAGGGGATTATGTGCCTTCGTTGTAGGAACTTATATATGGCGCAAAATCTCTTGTCAGACGGAAGTCACTCATACTGAGAATCACAATCGTAGATGGACTTCCAAATCACACCGACTTCATAATTCAAAATAACAGCCCATAGATATATCAACACGGCCCTCATCTGCACAAAGATATACTCCATCCTTCCATACCGACCATCACATTCCGTCCTTCCTTCCAATTACCAAAAATAACCCTTCAAACCCCCCAAACACACCCTAGAAATCCATCCCGAACCTTAAAAAAGCCCATCATCCCAAAAGCGTTAGCCCCATCACCCCTCTTGGCACGATCGCGCACGGTCCACCCCGTCGAGACTAGGATGGATCTGTCGCGTACACCAGATCCGAGACCAACGACGACAGCCCAACTCGGCCTCATGCGAAGCGCAACCCAACAGCTTGCCCTCTCGTAAACACTTCTTCTTTCACACTCTCTTTTCTGCGATCAGAACCTGCGACGCTTGAAGCAGTGAGTGTGGCATGGTCACCCTGCGCGCACCCGCTCCTTGCGCATAGCCTCAAACAACAGCGACGCCATCCATCTCTCCTCCAACAATCGCAAACCAAACGAACGCGCCCCAGCGGCAGCAACTGCATCTGCACCCTACCGAACAGAACAGATTGAACGCATCGAACACACACACACAAACACGACCATGGCGCCTATGCCACACACCCCGCGCCGCTCGCGCAAAGCCACCCGACCGCGCAGCGGCGGCGACAGCATCACCAGCAGCCCTCACAAACGCGGCTCTCCCATCCCGCTGGTCATGAAATCTGAGCCTCCCCACAAGAAGCGGCGGTATGTGCCTGGCGGTCCAGGAGGGGGTGGTCGATACGTGGACGAGGACGGGAATGAGGAGCCTGTGGGAGGGACGGGCCCTGGGGGGTATAATTATGTTGGGCCCCGTGGACGGGTGGGGCAGGAGAATGCGCGAAAGGGGGTTCTGCCGGTTGTTTATCCGAGCTCTAGCGCTAGGCGAGATAGGAGTGATAGGAGTGGTGGGGGGAGGAATCCTCGGTCTGGCGAGAGAGGTGTGCGAAGTGCACGAAGCGATAGGACGCGCACGGTGCTACCAAGGAATCAACAACCAAAGATGAGGTTCAACAGCAGTGCCCAAGCAGCGGCGGCGGTGGTCCAGAATGATGGGTATAAGCCTCGTGAAGAACGGTCATGGGAGGAGTTTCACCCGGATTTAGATATCGACATTAGGCTGAGGACCTACAGTGCCAAGGAGGTTGATGGGGTTCCTGAGGAGATGGACGGGGAGCTGGAGAGGGAGGGTGAGGGTTCACATACGCCGACTTCAATGGGAGCTATTACGCCGGGGGCGATGATGAATGGGGCACTGATGACGCAGGGGTCGCCGCCGACGAAGAGGAGGCCTGGACGCCCGCCGCGAGACCCTGTGGCGTTCTATGCAGCCAGGGCTGCGGCACAGTCGGTGGGGTTTGCATCTTCACCTATGGGGACTATGATTGCGCCTTTGCAGAACCAGAACCCGAAAGAAAGACTCACGTTGCCGCAGCCATCCTATAGGAAGGTCGATGCGCTGGCGAAGTTTGAGGACAAGGCGTCAGGGCAGGTGAAGTACGTTGAGAAGAGTATGGCGAATGTGGGGTATCAGGAGACGGATATATTTATTCGCTCAGAGCATATTATGATCAAACATAATGATGCCTACCTCGATGAAGACTTGGATTTGCCTGTCAAGGGCGGCGAGGTGGCGATTACGGGTGGCTCTGTGGGGAGGGTGGAATATGATATGGACGAGCAGGACGACAAGTGGCTTGAGGCATTCAATCTCACACAACGCAAAGCTGCTGGGATTGAGCCCATCTCCCGCGAGATGTTTGAGATCACTATTACAAAGATCGAGAAGGAGTGGCATGCGCTCGAAAAGCGGATTCCCAAGCCAAACCCGAAGCCGCCGCAGACTCACAGGCCGCGATCCAGCTCAGCTGCTGCTGTGAATGGAGAGCCACAGGCAGGTGAGGAGCTGGATAGCAAGTGTGCCATTTGCGACGATGGGGATTGCGAGAATACGAATGCGATTGTCTTTTGTGATGGCTGCGATTTGGCCGTTCATCAGGAGTGTTACGGTGTTCCCTTTATTCCGGAGGGTCAGTGGCTGTGCAGAAAGTGCCAGCTTATTGGGAGAGGTGTCCCGGTATGTTATTTCACTGTTGATTGATTGCTATGCATATGCTGACATATATCTAGACTTGCATCTTCTGCCCGAACACCGAGGGTGGTTTCAAGCAGACCAACTCGTCGCGCTGGGCTCACTTACTCTGTGCCATGTGGATTCCAGAAGTCTCACTCGGCAATCATACATTCATGGAACCAGTAATGGATGTGGAAAAGGTTCCCAAAACACGTTGGAAACTCACATGCTATATCTGCCAGCAACGAATGGGCGCCTGCATCCAATGCGGTAACAAACTCTGTTACCAAGCCTTCCACGTCACCTGCGCCCGCCGAGCCCATCTCTTCCTCAAAATGAAGAACAACCACGGCACCCTCGCCGAGCTCGACGGCACTACCCAACTCAAAGCCTTCTGCGACAAGCACTGCCCCACCGACTACGCTAAAGAAAACGATGTCGCGAAAGCCACACGCGAAGCGCGCAGCTTCTACAAACGCACCATGCGCGACCGTCTCTGGGCTGATAGCCAAGCCTCCGCCCTCGCTCTCGCAGCTACTCACCAAAACGCAACCACCGAGCATCCCGCCGACGAGTCCCAGAAGACCGGCGCGCACCTGGCCATTACCATCGGCAGCGCCAAGAAGAAGGGGGAGCTCCAGAACCCAAAGTCGGTGTGGAAACTCCCTTCGGGTGCACCAGTCATTCCGTCCGCAGTGTACGACATCGTCGACGTCTCACTCCAGCGCTTCACGATCCTGCGGCGTCGCGAGTGGGTCGCGGCGGCGTGTCGGTACTGGACGCTGAAGCGCGAGGCGAGGCGCGGGGCAGCGCTGCTGAAGAGGTTGCAGTTGCAGATGGAGACGTTTTCGTCGATGGAGCTTACGAGGCGCAATTTTGCGAGTATGGGCGATGTGGGACGCGCGAGGCTGGAGAGGCGTATTGAGTTTGCGAAGATGCTGGTGAAGGATGTGGAGAGGTTGAAGGAGTTGAGCACACATGTGGTCATGAGGGAGACGGAGAAGGTGCAGTATGCTATTAAACAGAGGGAGACGTTGGATACCACGTACTTCCCCGTTACGAAGCTGCTGCCGCCGATTGTCGATAAAGCGCTTGCGTAAGTTGAATCTTAGCATCCCTTTCCGCTGTTTGCATTACTAACATGAGATACAGCCTCGATATTAAGAGAACGTTTACTGCTGGCCTCTGGCAAGTACAAAATAGGCTCCATCGTCGATATTACGTCCAAGCCACGACGCTTGCCGAGGACATCGCAATGATCTGCAAGAAAGGCATCGAAGCCGTTGCGGCCCACCTTCCCAGCGAGGCCGCTGTGGGTAGCGCCGAATACAATTCCCAGCTGAAGATAGCAATCCACGAAGTCAAGGACAGGAAGAAGCTCGCCAAGCGAATCATCAAGGCCATCCAGCCACAACTCGAAATCGCCGTCCGCGCAGAGGCAGACCTGCTCCAAAAGTCGCCGGATAAGATGGTCGCGGATCTTGAACTCGTTCTAGAGGGATGCATTGACATCTCTCCAGAGGCTTTGCTGGGTCCTACAAGACATGGCACTGCTGATCCAACGGTTGCAGTTCAGTCAATTGAAGGCGCTGATATAGCGGATGACAACGTCGATGTGAACCAGCAGATCACAGTCGAAGCCGAAGCAGCTGATAGCATCGCACTAGCCGAATCCGCAGATGTAGACATGCTCGACGAAGACGAAGACGCGCCAGGCGAGCCAGACGACGGTGAAGCCTACGCATCCATCACACCTGCCGCAGCCGCGAAGCCTACTACCGAGGAGCCCGCCGCCGCGCAATCCTCCGAAACACCCCCAGCTGCCGCCGAGTTCTCGGCCACGTCAAACAACCTCCCACAACCCCCCACACCCCCAGTCTCCAACCCCGGCGCAGGGAGCATAATAAGCCAAGACCTCGCACCCACTTCCGGCGTAGCGAGTGTGGCCCCTCCTGGCTCCTTCCTCACCGGCGGCGGGAAACCGTGGTATCTCGAGAACTACGACCCGAAGACGGGGACGTTTGTGGAGCCGCCGCCGCCGCCGCCTATGGAAGAGGAGGTGGAGGAGGAAGTGGTGGAGGAGGAAGTGGTGGAGGAGGAGGTAGTAGAGGAAGAAGTGGTGGAGAAGGAGGTGGTGGAGAAGGAGACGGTGGAGAAGGAGGTGGTGGAGGAGGATGTGGCGCGCGCGACGAGCGATGAGGAGTTGAGCGAGATTGATGATGAGGAGATGAGGGATTTGGAGGAAGGTATGGGTGAGGAGATGGGGGCGGGGAAGAAGGTTGAGAAGACGACGCCGAGGAAGGGGAAGGCTAAGAAGCGGAGGAGGGCGTATTAAGGGATCATGGACACGGGGCGTTTATTTTGTTGGGGGGGGGTTTGTATTCTAAGGGTGTTTATCGCTGGGCATGGATAGGCTTTTTTGCTGGACCGTGCTGGAGTGGCGCTTTGCTTGAGCTGTATATTATTTTCTGGGCTACGGTCTGGAGTTTCTGAAGGGGGAGATAGGGGAGAAGCTACTCTAATTGAGAAAGAACGATTATAACTCACTTTTGTAGCTATTATGGCGGCATATGTATAGAACTATCTCACTATTGCAGGGAAAGCTCACTAATATAATGAGGGGTAAACTTGTATGTAACCCGTCCAATATTAGCACGTGGACTAGTATTAATCGGCAGCTGGATGCATGGTTGTACAGTACAAGAGATGATCGATCGGTTTATGTGCCGCGGACTGTGCCGCGTTGCATCTGTATTTCTGTACAGGACCCTGAAGATGATGCTGGTGCCACAAAGCTTAATATTTATGATAGAACTTAAGATAGATTCCCCAACTATTTCTCTCGTTCCCTCGAATCTGTATTTGCAACTGCCGTACTATCGCCAATGGGATTTTTTTGTCTTGTTTACTTGGTAAACATGATGACATCGTGCAACCCCCCTAATAGCGGATCCCCAAGCGTCGCCAACCTGGTTGACCAGTGGACGGCCGCACGTTGATTGGCGGGACCCCCAACAAACACCACCAGGCACGGAGCAACACATTAATTCCATAATTCTTCGTAACCCATATACCGCCGCTTTACGCGCAACACCCCTCCTCCTCCTCCTCACAAATAAACGCGCGACAAAAAGGTCCATCGCGGTCTTTTACCTCAGGATCCTCTTTACCCACTTCTTTGTTTATCATCGCTTCACGTCTTCAAGACATATTATCACACACACGATACACGTCGCGTCGCTGTTGCTACGATGGGAGAATCTAGGTAGGTTACCCCACGTTCAGGGACGGAAAACGCGAGCATCAACGCTGACTGAGTTGGGTTGTAGGCAAGAACTTGTGGCATGGCTCAACAGCCTGCTGCAGCTGAATGTCACCAAGGTTGAACAGTGCGGTACTGGGTAAGCTTCATTCCTGTCGGCGATGAATCGGAGTTGGTGAGCTGGAAGAGGGTAAACTAACAACCCCTCCCTCCAACAGAGCAGCTCTGTGCCAGATCTTCGACAGCATCTATCTTGATATCCCAATGGCCCGCGTCAAGTTCAACGTCAACACCGAATATGCCTACCTGCAAAACTTCAAGATCTTGCAAAGTTCGTCATCACTACCTCTCCCCTCCTCTCCCAACTCAAGCCATGACAGCAACTAACAATCCCCTCCCCTCCGACAGACTGCTTCACCAAACACCAAGTCGACCGCATCATCCCCGTCGAGTCCCTGATCAAATGCAAAATGCAAGACAACCTCGAGTTCCTGCAATGGTCCAAGCGCTACTGGGACCAGTACTTCCCCGGCGGTGACTACGACGCCGTCTCGCGCCGTCGCGGCTCCGGTGCTCCCCCCGCTGCCGCACCCGCCTCACGCACCTCCGCCGGATCCGCAGCTGCCCGTCGTGGCGGCACCACGCCGACGACTGGAGGCGCCCGTATCGGCGCTGGCAAGGTTGGCGGTGGCCCTGGATCAGCGGCGCTGCAGGCTGAGAACAATACGCTGAAGGAGACCGTGCAGGGGTTGGAGAGGGAGAGGGATTTCTACTTCTCGAAGCTGAGGGATATTGAGTTGTTGATCCAGCAGGCGGTTGAGGAGGACCCGGAGATCGAGAAGCAGGAGGATGGCCTTATCAAGCATATCCAGACTATTCTGTACAGCACGGAGGACGGGTTTGAGATCCCGGCGGAGGGAGAGGGGTTGGATGATCAAGAGACTTTTTAAAAGAGGGGTTGTCTTATCTTCGAGGGAAGGGGGAGCGATACCACATATATGTTTGAGGTAATGAGGTGGAGATATCTGGAATAGGAGGTCACGAAGTACGAAGTACATGAATCAAGAGGAGGCGGCATGGCTATTCAGACATGAATGCTTTCGCGCGCATAAAAGGAACGGCAACTACTATCATAGATTGCGCAGACGCATACTTGATTAAATGAGTGTTTGGTACCTTAAACTTCAACTTGCACTTATGCTTGCACGTGCAATTACTACTGTAGTTGCCTATAGTCTAGATCATTTGGTTCAACGTCCCGAATTTTGGGGGTTTGTCCGCCTCACGCCGCCCGCCCCAATGACCGTGTGGACTCGCTAAAATCCGGGGTTAGCACAGTACCGTACTAGTAGAGCCCATGATCCCAGGCACTAAGACAATCACAACGTCACCAGGCATCTACCCGTGAACTCCATCTACTCATACAACTATCCACTTCAATCTTCAGCGTTTCCTTCTTCATTACTGCATATATACCCCACAGAGTACCACGAATACCAATACAAGACACAACAGAGAGCAACAAAGCCCAAACACTCTCCCTCCACCCCCCCAATCAACCACCAAACCGCCATACCACCCTTACCACCACGCCCTCCAACATGGCGCCTCCCCTCGAAATCTCCATCCCAACAACCACCATCTCGACCCCCACCTCCTCCCCCCCCTACGCCCTCTACAACATCACTCTCCGCCTCCCCCTCCGCACCTTCATCGTCCAAAAACGCTACTCCGAATTCGTCGCCCTTGACAGCGCCCTCAAAACCCAACTCCCAACCCCGCCACCCATCCCGCTCCCCTCTAAATCATGGCCCTTACCATTCATGCGCACCTCCACCAACCCCACCCTCGTCGAAGAGCGTCGCGCGGGGCTAGAAACATACCTCCGCGCCATCGCCGAGACGCCCGATTCCCAGTGGCGCGCCACCAGCGTCTGGCGCACGTTCTTGAACTTGCCGTCGTCCGCGGCGAGCCAGTCGAGCAGTCGCTCTGCGGAGGCACATGCGGATATCACCGGGATTTCAGACTTGAAGGGGGGAGGAGCGAATTTGGATCCAGCGGCTTGGTTGGATGTGTTGAGGGAGATGAAGGCGAGGTTGCATGAGGCGAGGTTGTGGTTGGGGAAGAGGGATGGGGCGACCACGAGCCAGGCGCAGCATGAGGCAAGCGCGAGTGCGAAGAAGTGTTTGGTCAAAGCGGGACTTCTGGTGCAGACACTAGAGGAGGGTTTGAAGGCACTTGCGGGGGCGAGGGGGTTGGGTGAGGGCGAGTTGAGGAGGAGGAGGGATTTAGTTAATAGTGCGAAGGTGGAGAAAGAGGGGTTGGAGAAGTTGGCGGCGAGTTTGGCGTTGAAGGGGAATACGGGAGGTTCTTCGGCAGGGGGGAGTAGCACAGTGGCAGCGAGCTCAGCAGATAGGACGGAGTTGTTTGGGGGAGGGGCGTCGAGGCCTAAGGGGAGGGTGTTGGGTGCGCCGGCGCAAGAGACTGAGAGGACTAGGGAGCTGGATAATGAGGGAGTGGCGCAGCTACAGAAGCAGTTGATGCAGGAACAGGATATGGATCTGGATGAGCTGGCTAAGATTGTGAGGAGGCAGAAGGAGATGGGGATTGCGATCAGTGATGAGCTGGATCTCCAGAATGAGATGCTGACTAGGGTGGATGAGGATGTCACACGTGTTGGGGGAAAGCTTGAGATTGCTAAGAAGCGTACTGGCAAGATTAGGTGATGTGTAATTAGAAGCTGTGTTGGCTGGTTACTAGTGTTTTCATACACCAGGTGTGTATTATATAATTATTCTAAGAGTTGTACAATATAAGACGTTGATTACCCTTATCTAGAGGTTGGAAGTTTCTGCCTCTCTGCTGCTATGTTCACATTCCCTTTCAATTTTGAAGTTCACCTTAAATTCACTTAAAGGGGTTGTTTACAACAACTGCTTGGTTAGAGGAAGTAGCGCGACCTCCTTTGTACGCGTCTTCTTTAGGCCCCATCAACAAACCTTCCAACCTCCTGCTCCGGTAGCAATTTTCTATAAAGCTACCAACTTTTTCCACACTTGCTCTCTAACTTTCTCCTTCATAGGAGATACAATAACTGTGCAGTATCTCCAAACTTTTCTCCTTCACAGCAGATACAATAGCTGTGCAGTATCTCCAAACTTTTCTCCTTCACGGCAGATACGATAGCAGTGCAGTATCTCCAAACTTTTCTCTTTATCTTTCACCTTCATAGCAGATACAGGAGCCCAGTGCAGTGAAGATGAGTACCAACAATACCCCCAAGAATGTTGGAGGGCAGAGAATCGTAAGACACACTCATGTCCAGTTTTTTGGGAATAATAACTAATATAAATTTACAGAAGGGAGAGCTCAACGAACAAGGTGCTAAATTAAGGGCCAACACCATCATCCGCATCAAAGAAGCTTGAGGAGTCTCCGAGCTTATCGACATTTTCCCGAGGGAGATCAGACCCACCGATCAGCTTGGTAGCACTACACTTACTAACCTCCGCACCATCTCCAACCTATGCCCCAATCTGAAGAAAGCTCAGAGTGAGATGCTTAGGATCTGCAGGAACCCTGATGGAACCTACAAAGTTTTCAGCTTCAGTCAGAGCAAGGCGCTCATGGAGCAACTCAAGGAGGCGAAGAGCTTGCTTTCTGCAGGTGACAATCAGTCTGCCAAGAAGGAAGGAGCTACCCCGAGTGCTGCCACTCCAAACAGTCCTGCCAGATTTGATTCCCCTGCTGCTTCACCATCATCCCATCATCCTACTGAAAGTTAAGCAATTCACAATTCAAAAATCCCAGCCAAGAATTGTTTGCCTCCATTGGAAAAGCTTCAAAGCAATCTGCCGCCGAAGAATACGACGAGGGAAACTCTATTGTTGTCGATATGACTCCGAGAATAAAATCTGAGGAGGAAGATAGAGCCTCTCTCGATCAAGAGAAGCATGGACAGGCCCCTACACCAACGATGGCGACCACAGCTCCTGTTGCCATCATGACCACCGAAGGTTCCCAGAGCCCTACCAAGGTGGCCACAACGCCTGTTGCTGTCATGTCCACCGAAGGATCCCAGGCCGCTGGTTCGAGAGCAAATCCTCTCGAGATCCCCAAGATCGATGTTGATAGCCATGATTCAGATTCCGATGAGTATGATCCTGAAGACACGTTAATCATCCCTGGTTTCCCCTGCCAGCTGAACCGCAGTACATCACCTGTGAAAGCCGCAGATAACGGCTCTGGAAAGGCAGCTGAGAAGCCTGCTGAAAGCCGATTGACTTCTTTTGACACGGTGAGTAATTTCCCTGTTATTTTTTTGGTTATTTTTTTTTGCGAAAGATGGACTGATTTCATGGACCCCTAGACCGGCTTAAGTGTTGTTCCAAGCAGATATATACGACACCCTTTCAGCAACAAGAACAAGATGCGTCTTGAACAGAGTGAAACTTCCTCCAACCCACCAACCATCGACAAACCTGCCATGACCAAAAAGCCTTTCACAAACTTGATGACCTCTACTGCTCCCAAGAAGATCACGACTTTCGAACCACCCAAGCAGCGCATTCAGAAACCTGGAGATACGAAGAAGGAGGTCGGACTCGTTATTCACTCCGAATCAGGAATTCAGAACACCGATTCTAACATGTGTATCCAGAAGCTCAAGAAGCCTCAACTCGACAACATCATTTCTCCAGCTGAAGTCAGCAACGTCATAAGCATCATGGAAGACACTCCGGTAAGTAACTATAATACAATACCTTCCCATAAATTCTCGTACGTTTTCACTGACATCTGATCTAGCAGGACCAGCAAGTCAACGAGGTCGAGGTTATAGACCTAACTACTACAACTACCAGGACCAAACGCTCCACCTCGTCAAAAAAGCGTACCGCCTCCACCATGCTCCGCGCCGCCGACGAGCCCAACCCCCAAGCCGAGCGTTCCGTCCGCGCCCGCCTCCTCCAACACGCCGCTCCCTACAACAGCTCCAGAGCCATCTCCGACATCCTCCAATTCGAGCATGTCATCATCACCATGACGGAGGCTGCTATCGGTTCTGTCACCGTTTCGTCGTTTGCTGGTGCTGGTGCGGACGAGAAGACTGAGGAGTGCAAGGAGAAGTATTTGGGGTTTTTGACTTCGTTCATAGGCAGTGTTGGCAGTCTTAAGGGGGAGCTGCTGGAGATTGCTGAGAGGGAGGAGTAGGGGGTTGATCTCGGTTTGTTTTCTGCTGGGGAGGCCCGGATGGGTTATGGGAGATGAGTATATGAGTCGCTGGAGTATTGAGATACGGTTTTAGTTCATTTCTGTGGTCTTCACGGATAGGTTATGGGGTATGAGAATATGGGGCGCAGGGGTGTTGAGGCATGATTTCTGATTTTCTGTGGTCGACGCAGACACGTTATGAGGGATAAGAATATGAAACACTGGAGTATTGAGACACGATCTATGCATTGTGACTATCATTGAGACACATGTGTATCAGTTGTGAAATATAGTATAATCGATCAGTATCCAATGACTGCCATGCCGCTGACACCTATACGTGGAAAGAACGATTACCAACCAAACCTCAATCGCAGCTTCTTTGGAGTTTTCAAAAACTATATACGGAAGGTATGATTATCAAGCAAGCTTCAGTCGTAGCTTCCTCAAGAGCTTTCAGTCCTTATATATATTGAAGGAACGATTACCAAGCAGAGTCCCCATCGCAACTTCCTCATTAACCTCCAACTCCTAGATATGGAAAGAACGATTATCAAGCAAGCCTCAATTGCAGCTTCCTCAAGAGCTTTCCATTCCCATACATGGCAGGAACGATTACAAACAAAAATAAAAGAACCTACATTCAAGAAACAAAATTCTGCTTCTCACAAAAAGCAAAAAGTAGATCACTTCAGCCATCACATACAGAAGCGTTTACTAATGGAAAGCTATCTGCCTATCGGATAGAGAGAGACCTCTCGTTCAAGCCGAAGCGTCGTCCAAGTTCCAAGGCTCTAAGCCTCGCCAGGAGCCTTGAATGGCACCTTGAGCGCAAACGACTTCAGATACTCGTAATCCGGGATATTGGCATCGACGCACTCCCGAATGATCTTAGCCCCCTCCGCACCATATGTCTCTTTCCAGCATTTATTTTCTTCCTCGACGGTCTTCGTCTTCTTTCCCTTGGCGAGACACAGGTCAGCTTCAAATATCCATAGCAGGTCATTTGTTACAGCGTCTCATCGCTGGAGAACTAAAGGGTGGGTATATAACTCACGTGTTTCGACTCCCTAGGCTTCAAACTGCAACTCTCAATCGCATCATTGTGGAAGCCTCTCCACTTCTCAAACGCCCTCTTGGCCTGCGCGTGATCCTCCTCAGTATCCCAGTTCAACATACCCGGATCATAGTCCATCCCAACCTCCTTGCAGTACGCCTCAATGATACCATTCGGGTTATCCAACAAATCATCCGCATCAATCATCGTGATGCTCACCTCTCCCTTCGGTAGGTTCCCGCTGTACTCACCAGCAATCGCAGGGCCAACATGTCCCCTTGACTTGAGGAAGTCGAAGACGCGGCGGAGCTCATCGTAGCCGGCTTCGCTTGGATCGAAGTTGTAGAACCCAGTTACCTTGTTGAGAGGTGGGATGGTGCAGCGGTAGTAGGAGGGGATGCTGCTGCGGGGGTGGCGGATCAGGAATGTGAAGTGGAACTTCTTCAGGATCTCCTCGGGGACAACAGTTGGGTTCGCGGGCTCGGCCTCGGTGTTGTAGGGATATGGAGCAGGCGAGATGGTATTGCCGTTGGTGACATGGCCATTGGTGCCGTGGCCATTGGTAGTATGCCCGTTGGTAGTATGGCCGTTGGCAGCATTGCCGTTGGTAACATGACCGTTAGTACCATTGGTAACGCCGTTGGTAATGCCGTTGGTGGCAGCACCATTTGTGCCAACGCCACGCTTAGGCACGCCACCTAACGAAGGGGCAATGGATGCGGGGTTGCGATGCGGCGGAGCAAGGTAATGGGTGATATCCTTGATGAAGACGCGTTTGCCCTGGAGACTTGTGTTAATTTTATGCCTAATACTGACGCGGAGTCTGCAAATAAATGCAGAGATAAACAAAATGAAGGCATGCTCATCTCGAGAAATTAGCTGATTTGATGATTGACCGGGATATAATGTCACTTGTGCCATTTATCAAAGGCTCAAAACTCATCACGCAAATCGGGCTCCGCCATCTTGTGACACAAGTCACAAGATGACAGAGCCTGATTAACTCCCCAGCATGAACTCGAGATTATGAGACATTCCCATTCCAGGCAATAACAAATAACAGAATAAATCGCTCGAGGAAAAGAAAGTACCAAAGGAACATATATAAAATCGTCCGAGAACCGTTTAAAATACGAAGCAGAGAGCATTCTTGCTCCACGAGACAATTCATATCACGTGATAATCAGATGAAATCGCTCAACGCAACGAACGAAAGAGAGCAAAAGGGCAGTATATAAAATCGTCCTTACCTCTTCAGTTTTCTTTTCGATCTGCTCGAAAACAGATGCATAGGTAGAGTCAGAGAATCCGGAGTCGTCTCTCGCCTGGACATCTGCCTCATAGCGGCTAGAGAGCCTCTCCGGCCCAAAGTAGAAGGCGTCTCCAAAGGGTTCATGGATGCATTGAAGATCTTTCCTGGTCATGAACACCTATGTGAGGTTAGCCATGGTGGTTGGGGGATTCGCTAAGTTTGGAACATGCCCGTTCGAAGGCCGTTGAGCATGCGCGCGGGTGAGTCGCCACGAAGATGGGTTTGTTGGACATGATGATACAGTTGCTGTTGTTGTACAACGTCGTACAGCCGGTATAGAGATAGGGACGTGTAGAATATAATTTGTACAAGAGAATACAAGATCTAGGTCGTGATAATCGTTACTTTCTTTTCTTCCAAACAGATGGTATGATGCTTCTCGTGGTTCGACTGATACTGATACTTCGGGGGGAGTGTTCTCAAGTCGCGAGTTCCTACCACAAGCAGTTGGAAATGCCAGGTGTATATATATACTTCTAGGGAAAGCAGGAGCCGACGAGACTTTCCCAGAGTATTAATATAAACACGAATCAAAACTACTTGCCCATTCACTTCCCTCCCATCGTTCGCCCCCCCGAGACATATCTCACCCCCACCCCCGGCGAGCCACTGAGAACGTACCCGCCGATTTGCGGGTACAAAGGGAGCGGCGCAAGGCGATGTGGGAAAATGGATGGATCAAATCGCTCTGAGTGGGGAGCGCGCAGCGTCATAGTCTGTTACTTTCGTTCCTTGCAGTCGGGGCTCCATATTTTCTTTTCCCGACGACAGCCCAGAACCGCGAACCACTCGAGGTTTACGTCAGAGAAGGGATAAAATGGGTTGCGAGTTCCAGCATGATTGTCCGGCCAATGGAACCGTCGAGGACATCCACGCCAGCAGAGGCAGGTTTCTAGGGGAAAAGCTTGCTTACTAGCTGTGCTAGCCATGTACTGTTTCCACTGCATCGACCCGCCCGTGCGCCAAGGTCACCATGGCTGTTTCGGGTGTATGCTTTTAGCACGCTGCAGTAGTAGAGTTCGGCGGATATCAGAATGGGATCAAATGTCTGTACAGCTGACACCCCTCATATCATTTAGAACAGGCATTTATACCCAGTACCCAGCCCCTAGCTGAGCTAGTTGTCAAGTGTGAGTTGCCGTGGCCACATGTTTTTTTGTTGGAAACTAAACTCGACTCGCCATGTCTATCGGGCGATAAAAGGCGCATACAATCTACACAATCTTATCTTATCTTGGTATCGGGGCACGTGGCACAACGCCAATTCAGCGCCCCCAGAAATGCAGTCAAAGGCAAAAATAGAATAGCTAAAACACACAACAATCACGTCATCGCTGGGTGGTCACTCTCACATTGTGAATGGAAGGACGATATAAGAGGTCGCATGTACTAGTCATCTGGCATTTTTGTTTTGTATAACGTGGGGGGAAAACCTGTGTCATGAGATTCATTATAACAGCCGTACTCAGAAAAGATCTCTCAGTTGGCTCACCGTCTAGGCCGTCAAAAGACTTCTGTATTTCAAAGCAATACGATAATTCGCCCCCATCTGAACGCCCCAAATGCCCCGGTATCATGCAATGACAGCAAACGCTTCAGCGCCAACCAAATATCACTGCTACTAGTCGCTATTTCACCAAACCCCTTTCGATTTTTATCCATACGCCGAGCCTCAAGACGGCCCCACTCTACCCCAGAGTCTCGTCCCCCTCCAGATCCTTAAATGAGCTTCCGTAAGAGGGCGAGCCAATAGCCTCAAAGTCGACCAGGTCAAGGTCGGTTGATTGGTCGCCGCCCAGGCTGACGCCATTCTTTGACTCCAGTTCCAGGCCGGCATTAACGATGTTCATGCGCAGTATGCGTTGTCGAAGTTCGCGCTCATATTCCTTTACTGAATCCAGGGTCTTTTGCTGCAGTTGGGCTCGGGGTGAAGGGATGACTGCATTGAGCGTCTGTAGACTAGTTAGTACATGGTAGATAGATTGTAGAGAAAGAGAACTCACCCCCTTGCTTGTGTCAATCCGCGCGTTCAAGGTCCCGTTCTTGATCATTCCCAACAGCTCTTCCTCAATCGATTCCCCCGACTGGGCAAACGACGCATTCAAACTTTCCAATGTGACGCATGAGAAAGGTATGAAGTACTGCGCGATGCTCTTGCTACGAATAAGGCGGAATATATCCGCCACATGGCTGGATAGATGGATATCAAGAAGATAATCGTTTCGGTAGCCTTCGAGAATTGACAAGCACACAGAATACCTGCCGTTGACAAACGAAGTAATGGCTCGGCGGACTTCTGGCTCAAGCTCCAGATAACTCCTGAAAGTACTGCTGTTGAGCACTCTCTTCTGCAGCTGATCCCGATCTATCGAAGCAAGTGCGCAAAGACTTCCGTATATGGCCACATCGTTCCCACTCATAATCGCAGGTGCATCCATGCCTGTACCGACTCCAAGAAACGAAGTCGCTGCTTCACTGTATTTTTTCTGGGCCATAAACGCCAACCCTTGAGCAATCTTGATAAATGGCTGCACAGCCTTTGCTTCTTCCGTTTGTGTTTGCTCTGTCACGGACAAGAGTTTTTGAGCGTGGTTGACGGCACCCAGCCAGTTCTTTTGTTCGATTGTGATTGTCGTCAAGTGTTTGTTGAGCTCGATGATGTGCTTGTTGATGATCGCATCCTGTCTCATCCTTTGGTATGCTTCATATGCCCTTTGTAGGTTCCCAGTACTCTGGTAAAATTTGCCGCAGTCCTCATTTCCGATCTACACTTTATGTCAGTACTCGGAGTAGGTTATGGTCCAATCCCACCTACCCGTATGCTCTCTTTGATGAGGTTGTTCTTGTAGCCCTTCAATTCTGCTTCCAGGCGTGCCCCTTCAACTTTATTCTGCTTTTCCATGCTGGTTACCCATTGGTCGTCATGTTGTGCTTCTGGCTCGTCCGGGGCGACGTGACTGTATGCCTCTTGGGCCACGTTGTAATGTGCTACATTCCGACCTTTCTTTGCCTCCACCACAGCCGCTTTGAGTGCCTCGGCGCGTAATACGGTCGAGTGTAATCCGATAAATAACAGGCGCTCAAATTTTGTGGTTCCTATATGCCCAAAGTCAGACTAGAACTATGGGGTTATGGCAGTAAGGAGGGGTCGGTTTTGGCACGGGACAGTCGGGAAACCGCTGGGAAGTCGTAGAGGAGCGGTGAACTGCCTTATAATAAGGCGCAGTGGTGAAAGGCCCACATACCTGTGTAGTTTTGGATATAGGTTTCGAGATCGAGCTTCGGCACTTCTAGTTATCATATCAATACCGGAGTTGCGGCTCATGCCCAGACATGGGAGCTATCTTACCAGTGACCTCGCCGATCGGCCCACTTTGAGGTGGCTGGCCTTTGGCCATGATGAGCTGCAGTTGAAGTTGGCAAAGTAGCCTAGCCCTAGAATTCAACAAATAGTTGCTGGCGTTATCGTGAAGCAAGCTTGGACATCCAAACTTCCATTGATCGTTTCCAGTGTCCAACGCGGGGAGATAATTGGCAAGGCACCAACCAGGCTTACCTAAAGCCCTAGTGAAGTTGAGCAAACAGTGCAAATTACGGATACGACAGGGGTACTTGTGTACCAGAGTACAGCCGAACAAGTGCTAGGGGCGGTCCATCGTAGCACCGATACTAAAGCTTATTGGACAACCTTAATATATTTCTGGATCGTGTGTCTTGCCATCGAACGACGACGTCAGTCTTCTCCATATTACGAGTTCGACACTATAGCCATCAAGAGGCCGGGAACTCTGTTGGGAATATCAGCAATGCCACTTTTATCGCCGCCGTGATTAGCAGCTTCTCTTGGCTTTCTATATACCACCTTACTTTCATCCCGCCCTTCCCTCGAGAGTTCGAAATATAAACAAAGGCGCATTACGCGTATCCTCACATGGGGTGGACCCAGGCTCCGCTAAAGTAAAGGCGATCCAAACTTCCAAGTTGCGCAACACTCCCCCTCTACTCAGCTGGCGGGTTTCACCCAGGTGGTTTCTTACCCGTCGACAAACCCTCGCTCCTTCTTTCGTCTCATTATATGCCCAGCAGTTATGATTGTATCGGTCCCACGGCGCATGCTGCCCGTTGTGGTCTGCACAGGCTTGGTTTTCATTGTCTTAATAATAAGAACCTTCTCATCTAGCTCATGGGAGAGCTTACCGCTGGAGAAGATTGGACTGGGAGATGCAAAGATAGATGACGATATCACGATCATTACACCAGGGGGGAAACAAAATCACGATAACGATGCGGACGGAATGCAATCTGTTGCGGATGAGGGACAGCCAGAAGTTGAGATGGGCAGGACGCCAGAAAAGTTCCCGGCAGGGACACCAAAACCACCAGGCTCGACGTACACAAAGATGCTGATTGTCCCAAAGACGAAGGCTGAAGATACCTCCTGGATCGATGAGAATTTCCCTCCAGGGGGCTCTCTGAACACATCCTTGTACATTGCGGACGACCCAACTGCACCCCTCCACCCGCCAAAGAATAAAGGCAACGAAGTTATGATATACCTTACCTACATAATCGACAACTACGACAACCTCGCCGATGTCAACATCTTCATACATGCACATCAATACGCATGGCATAATGACGAGCTACTCGACTCGGACTCTGCACAGATGGTGAACCGCCTCTCTGCGGAAAGAGTTCAGAGAGAAGGGTACATGAATTTGCGCTGCCACTGGTACCCAGGCTGCCCAGCCTGGATGCATCCTGGCACGACAGAGTTAGATGTCAACAAGCAAGAGGAACAGGTGCTAGCGCAGTCATGGAGTGAATTATTTCCCATGGATTCTATTCCGACTGTTCTGGCGCAACCCTGTTGTGCACAGTTCGCTTTGTCAAGAGAGCGTATTCGAGCCTTGCCCAAGGCCCGTTACGTTTTCTACCGGGATTGGTTGTTGCGGACACGTCTTCGCAACCATATCTCGGGCAGAGTCTGGGAGTATGTCTGGCACTACCTTTTCACCGGCCAAAATGTCATGTGCCCCAAGGAGAATGTGTGTTACTGCGACGGCTTCGGGGTTTGCTTTGGAGGCGAACAAGAGTACAATAGCTTTTATGCGAAAGTACACGAGAAGTCACACCACCAGGACAGGCTCAAGGTGGTTGAGGCAAATACAAAGAAGATCAAGGAAATGGAGGAGAAGGGGGAGTTTGACGAGAAACTCGCTTTAGACGTGCCAAAGACCGGCGAAGCTGCCGAGCTGCAGCAAAAAATCAACGAGCTCGGCGCATGGATTCAGATCGAGAAAGAAAAGGCTATTGAACGGGGCAACAATCCGGAAAATAGAGCCAAGGAGGCTGGACGGCCATGGACGGAGGGTGATGGGTTTTAATGGTGGCGTTATGACGGGTGCCCAAAGGATTGATGGTTTGGTATCGAATTGTACAAAAGGGATGTCCGAGTATATGTACTTAAGGTGTGCATTTGGCGCATTTTTGAATTGGGTTGGGTTGGACACACTATAGAATTGGGTGCGGTTGTTATTTAACAATATCGAGACGCTGAGAATGCCTCGAGATGGATATTGGTTAGTGTTATCAGACTGGATTTATTCCCAGTCGATGTAGTTATCTCTATAGTTCTGGTCAAGAATTAGGAAGGGGAGACTATTATTAGATCTTTATGGAATTAATTCTCTCTGCTGTTCCATCCACATCACTTTTGGAAAATAATAGGGGGCAATAATTAAACGCGTAATACTAGCATCACCAGCTAATTCCCAAACTTGACAATGCAGCGCTCATAGGCAATGTGCTCCTTTTGAGTTTAAATCTAACTTCTGGTCATACAATATCCCTTGCGCCCAATAGTATCTACAATACATATACACCTCGTACAGTGGCCCGGCTCCCAGTATCCTGCTCTATCTAGTATTCCTCCTGCGGTAACTCCTCAATTGCCCTCCTGTTATTCCTCGTCGTCTCCCAGTTATCATGCACCACCGACTCAGGCCAACTAGCCGCATACTCCGCATCCAAAATATCCGACCACCTCACGGTCGTCGAAATCTGCTCCACCACCTTCTCCGCCTTCTTATCCCCCGCATCCTTCTCAACCTTAGAAACCTTCTCCAACGTCGCCGCAATATCAGCGATGCTGTTCGCACGTTGATCGCAGAGCTTGCGGCCTCTCAGCTTCCTACTCAGCGTCCTTCCCTTCTCGTCCAGCCCGAGCTCTTTGGGCCATTGTGTCTCGTGTAGTGTGCGGTATTCGCGGAGCATGCGGAAGGCGTTGAGGCCTGCGGCGGAGTGGCCGGCTGGGAACTCAATGCGCGCGAGAGGGGACCAGAGATCTTTTCGGAGGGCGGCTGGGACGGTTTTCTTGCCGTTGTAGGGGAGTTGACGTAGAGCTTTGTTGTTCTGCTTTCTGTTAGCGCCACGTTCAATGGTAGATACCGCGTATCAAAGCACGACCCAGATGATCAGGAGAGAGAGCGAGCAATACCTTTACGTTCTGCTTCAGGGAGTAGACCACCTGCTTCGTCTGGAGATGGCTGTAGACGAATATTTGCCTGCCATGTTCCACCTCCGGCTTGACAGAAACAGAGGCATTGCGGACTTTATCGGCAAACCTCGCCCCGCTTCGAGCTATCTGTGACGCCGTGCTTGTGCTCATGATTCCGGTTGGGGCGCAATTGTCCTACTAAATTGTCTCCTCTCCATATCGAAGTCTACGAGATCCACGCTAAGAAATTACACCCGTAACACGTGACTTCACTAAATAGACCAGGCTGAAAAGGCAACTACCGCAGCCTTGTGCTAGTGTTGGCGCTAAACCTCATCGGGATGGAACCATCGGGAAGGTTGGCGGGGTTGCTGGTCATCGCTGGAGGGTTCCAGCACCGAAGTACCAAGTAACCTTGGAAGCATTACCATCTTGTGATATCATATATTTACCCTTATACAAATACAGGGTCTCAGGGATTTCATGCTATAAGAGAACCACCTTGCTACACATTCTGCAATCCATATACCAAATTATCATCACTTTCTACGCAAGCAACATTCAGCCTTGTGCCTGGCCAAGCAACCTACTCAAGCAAATATAAACCGATCTCGACAAGTCATCTTGAGGTCGACGTCACTTATAAATTAACGACAGCACAAACAACAAACCTGCATATTTTCAAACCGAAATCACACGCATAGAGGGTCATCATGGCTACCTCAAACATGCAGTTCACGGACAGGGCGAAGAAGGCCCTTGAAGACTCCATGATCCTGGCAGAGCAACATGCACACTCACAGCTATTGCCCATCCACCTTGCTGTCTCGCTCCTCGACCCGCTACCAGATGAGAGCAAAGACCAGCAGCAATCATTTAACGCCTCACACGGCCCGGCACAGTCATCATTCTTCCGCCAGGTCGTCGAACGTGCCCATGGCGATCCTCAGCTCTTCGACAGAGCCCTCAAGAAGGCCTTGGTTAGATTACCTAGCCAAGACCCTCCGCCGGACCAGATCGCCATGTCGCCCGCCTTCAGCAAGATTCTTAGGTCGGCGAACGAGCTGCAGAAGACTCAGAAGGATAGCTTTATCGCCGTCGATCATATGATCTCGGCACTGGCACAAGATACAACCATTCAAAAGGCACTGAGCGATTCGAACATACCTAATTCGAAGCTGGTGCAAGATGCGGTGCAACAGATCAGAGGCACGAAGCGAGTCGACTCGAAGACTGCGGATGCAGAGGAGGAGAGCGAGAACTTGAAGAAGTTTACGATCGATATGACAGCTATGGCAAGAGAGGGTAAAATTGACCCTGTTATTGGACGAGAAGAAGAAATCAGACGCGTTATTCGTATTCTTTCAAGGAGAACGAAGAACAACCCGGTGTTGATCGGTGAGCCTGGTGTTGGAAAGACCACTGTCGTCGAGGGTTTGGCACAGCGAATCGTCAATCTCGATGTGCCAGACAACCTTGCAGCCTGCAAGCTTCTATCTCTCGATGTCGGCGGCCTGGTCGCCGGAGCCAAATACCGTGGAGAGTTTGAGGAGAGAATGAAGGGTGTCCTGAAGGAGATCGAAGACTCCAAGGAGATGATCGTCCTATTCGTCGACGAGATGCATCTTCTCATGGGAGCCGGTGCGAGCGGCGAGGGTGGCATGGATGCTGCCAATTTACTCAAGCCTATGCTTGCTCGTGGACAGCTTCATTGTATTGGAGCCACGACTTTGAGCGAATACCGAAAGTACATCGAAAAGGATGCCGCCTTCGAACGCCGTTTCCAACAAGTTATCGTCAAGGAGCCGACGATCCCTGAGACTATCTCTATTCTCAGAGGTCTCAAGGAGCGCTACGAAGTTCATCACGGAGTCACCATTGCCGATGCTGCTATTGTCTCTTCCGCAACTCTTGCAGCTCGATATCTTACAGCCAGAAGGCTGCCAGATTCTGCAGTTGACCTCATTGATGAGGCTGCTGCTGCAGTCAGAGTTGCCAGAGAATCTCAACCAGAAATTATTGATTCTTTGGAGAGAAAGCTGAGGCAATTGAAGATCGAAATCCACGCACTATCACGCGAGAAAGATGAGGCATCTAAAGTTCGCCTTGCTCAAGCAAAGCAAGACGCAAGCAACGTCGAAGAAGAGCTCCGACCACTCCGCGACAAGTATGAGAATGAGAGGAAGAGAGGCAAGAGCATTCAAGAGGCCAAGATGAAGCTTGACCAATTGAAGTTCAAGCAGGAAGAGGCATCTCGCATTGGAGATGTCGGACGCGCAGCTGATCTCAAGTACAACGCAATTCCAGAGCAAGAAGACTTGATCAAGAGTCTTGAGGAAGAAAAGAGATTGGCTGATGCTAGGTTGAACGAGACCTCTGCGGATACCGGCGGATCCATGACCAGTGACGTCGTTGGCCCAGATCAAATCAACGAGATTGTGGCCAGATGGACCGGCATTCCAGTCACGAGATTGAGGACGACCGAGAAAGACAAGCTTCTTCACATGGAGAAGGTACTCAGCAAGATTGTTGTTGGCCAAAAGGAAGCTGTTGGTTCTGTCTCCAACGCTATTCGCCTCCAACGATCAGGCCTCAGCAACCCGAACCAACCTCCCAGCTTCTTGTTCTGCGGTCCGTCTGGTACGGGTAAAACCTTACTCACCAAAGCTCTGGCCGACTTCCTATTCGACGACCCCAAGGCCATGATTCGATTCGACATGTCCGAATACCAGGAACGTCACTCATTGTCACGCATGATCGGTGCCCCGCCAGGTTACGTAGGCCACGATGCTGGCGGACAGCTGACCGAAGCCCTGCGCCGCAAGCCTTTCTCCATTCTTCTGTTCGATGAGGTCGAGAAGGCAGCCAAAGAAGTCCTTACAGTTCTCTTGCAACTCATGGACGATGGCCGCATCACCGATGGCCAAGGCCGTGTCGTCGACGCACGCAACTGCATCGTCGTCATGACATCCAATCTCGGTGCCGAATTCCTGGCTCGCCAGAATGCGCCGAACGGCAAGATCGACCCAACAACAAAGGAGATGGTCATGCAAGCTCTGCGCAACTACTTCTTGCCGGAGTTCCTCAACCGTATCAGCTCTATTGTCATCTTCAATAGGCTGACAAGACATGAGATCCGCAAGATTGTAGATGTACGACTTGAAGAGATTCAGAAACGTCTCGAGTCCAATGGTCGCAATGTTACCATTGAGATTTCTGGTCCAGCCAAGGATTACCTCGGCAGTGCGGGATACAGCCCTGCATATGGTGCGAGACCGTTGGCGAGACTCATTGAGAAGGAGGTTCTCAATAGAATGGCAGTCTTGATTCTGAGAGGCAGCATTAAGGATGGAGAGACAGCGAGGGTTGTCCTTGAAGACGGGCGCCTGGATGTTCTCCCTAACCATGGCGATAGCAGCGAACAAGAGAGCGAGGAGGAGGATATGGATTTGGATGATGGTGACGCATTAGATGCGATTACAGGGGAGGATATGGATCTTTACGACTAGAAGTCAAGAGAGTCTGGATAGGATCAGGCGGATTAACGACATTTATGATTATTAGCAAACAGAGTCTCGTGTGTTTTGAGATTTAAAAGAAGCAACCGCCCACGCGGTTTTGTTTCATAGAAGTTAAATAGGGGAGGTGAGCGAAAATGTAAATAATTTATTAAACAATAAGAGGTTTATAAACCATCAATCATAAAAACAGGTTCCTCGTGACTGTTCGTGCAATGTACAGTAGAACAGTAGAATCTACGAGATGCTGTAGCAAATCCGTGAAGATACGCTGTCAACTGAATAAATGCTAGTGAGTCAACAGCTCGTTCGTGTGTGGTGCCAAATATTAGATATTATAGGAGAAATGTGCTCCAAGTCTATATACACAAATGTATTCAATGTATTCGTTGCCGTATATCGTAACTATCATCTACCATTTAAATGTGACGCCTGCTAAATCTCCCAAAATAATTTGGCCACATCTAAATGGTCTTCTCTCTCGCCCGCTTTCCCGCCATCGTTAGCCCTTCTATCTCACGTTCTCTCTCATACTCATCCACGGCCTGCTCCAACTCATCGCCCCCTTCCTCATATAACGCCCCATCATCCGCATTCCAATCCGTATCCTCGTCCGTTGTTCCAATCCCACCACTACCATCCTCCCCATCACCCTTCCACAGCTTCCTCATCTCATCTTCACTAATAATGCTCTCAATACTCCCCCTCCTCACATGCTGTCTCGTTGCCGCTCGCCCCCTCTCTACCGCCCTCTCAACCTTCATTCGATTTCCCAAATACTGCAGCTTGGGAAATGTACTCTGCTGCCCCGTCTGCAGCATGTATGCCAAGCGCGTTGGGTCCGGATCGCTGAGTATGCGGAGGAAATCCGTGATGCGGCCGCGCGGCCACACCGTGATAGTGCCTGAGAACTGCTGCAGCCAGACCTGGCTCCAATCCTGGCCCATGGGTCGGGGAAGGAGCTCGAGGTGCCTCACGACCTTGAGCCACTTGGTCAGATCGAGCTTTAAGTACTGCTCAGTAGCTGAGCCTAGGAAGCCGCCGCGCCAGCCGCGACCGCGGCGATGTGTGACGGGCTCGCCGATGGTGCCGCGCGAGGAGAAGAAGAAGAGGTTGATGTGCGGGTTCACTTGGCTAACGACGGAGAAGTTGACGTTGAAATGGAGGTTTAGGGCGCGTAGTGGCACGTCGGTGCGCAGAGACCCGTCTTTCCATTTGTGGCCAAATGAATAGGGTGCCAATGTGCCGTTTGGTAGCTTGGTCATTAGAACGACTGGGTTGAGGATTCCAGGGACGGCAGCGGAGGCGAGGACTGCGGACCAGATCACGCAGTCGGGCGAGGTGAGGTAGTTCAGTAGGAGAGTCGGGGAGTGCGGGTCTGCTGGGATGCAGGAGACATTCAGAATCCTACCGGTTCGTTCGTATGCTTCGCGGAAGGTGAGCGAGCCGTGAGAGAACCAACTGCATCGCCTTGCCCAGTCTATCGAATCGAAGCGTGAGCCAGTCTTCCACCACCGCGGGAACCAGGTTGTGAAGGGCTCGGAGCAGGCGTCAATCTTGGCGGCTAGGGCAGGCACGAGGAGGGCTTTCAGTTCCTCGTTCGTGCGGGTTGCTGTGAGTGCTGCTACCAAGGCGCCACCAGAGGTGCCAGTGATGACATCTGGGAGAAGGTCGGCGTCGAGGAGGGCTTTGACAACGCCAAAGTGGTAGTAGGCGAAGGAAGCACCACCCGAAAGGCACAGAGCTGTCCGGCCTACATTGGTATACATGTGCTTGAATATAACCCGCTTCTCTTCTTGTGTTAATTGCTTCGTCCGAGAAAGGGTTTGCACGCCCTTTTCAACTGCGAAGATAAGTTAGATTACGACCTTAAAAACACTAGGTTTTGGGGCGCATACCTTCATCGACGAATTCCTGGACCAGGTTCTTCGTTCCAAAGTATGTCTGACTATACAGTCTGTTGCTCTCCACTCCCACGAAATTGTTCTTCACACAAGCTTGCACCAACGTCTTTAACTCTTCAATCGGCCTCGTGGCATACTTGCTGCTCCCGCCTTCGAGCCCCTCCTCAGCTTCTGCCCTCCTCCTTTGCCTTCGCAGGCTATCAAGCACCCTTCTAATAGTTTTGTGGTCGTAATATGCAAACTCATCATCCTCCTTCCATTTGTCGTTACCCAAAAACGTATCCATTTCCTGCGCCAGCTTCACCCAATCCGCATAGCTGGTCGTAGCTCGCATCTTCTTCCGCAGCATGTTGCGCGTGCCCCTCAGGGCGACGAATCGCTCGTACAACCAAATATACAGCCGTGTCAGAAGATATGATGCCCCTAATCCCAGTATCCATAACACGACAATGAAGAGCATAGGCCACTTCAGTAGCGAATATAGGTATCCCTCCCTCGTCTCATCCGTTGTCCTCATCAAGCCCTTCCGCCTCCTCGCTTTTTTTCCCTTCCTCCTAACCCTCTCATGTACCGGGGCCCAATCATTCTTGCTCGTTATAAACAGACTCGTCTGGCTGTCCTTTCGCGACTGTGTCCTGTCAATGCTGCCTGGGTTCGAGTTCATGCGGTCCAACCTCGGTGTGTCGACGCCGTTGCTTATGATTGCGCTCGCATCGTCGCCAATAGGTTCGAGGTCTGGCGCAGCAAGAGCCTTCGCAAATGCTGCTAGATCGTCTTCGGAGACAAACTGGACTTGCGAGTCGGGCAGGAGGGAGACGTCGTAGCCCGCCCTCGAATCTGGTGGGGGGCCATCTGTAGCTTTGCGGCGGTCAGCCATTCCGAATCGAAGCTTATTGTTGTTCTCTGCAGTTGAGTGCAGATACAGTGCAGGTCTATGTATAGAGATTCATCGCGTTAAGGTCTCAGATCAAAATGCTCGTGACATGGTGGGCTACGTGGATTTATTCTTTGTTGGGCTTTGAGCGTGTCAGTTGCACCGATTGTGGCCGCGGGTTGTACCGTAGCAATGAGGTCACCAGCTGATCTGGCCGATATCAAAACTGGGCACGTCTCCTTTCGTGATCCGCGCTCAAAATGAACTGGGAAGAACCAAAAAATATCGAATATCACACTGAACAAACGTTCGCAAAATGTGGGTATGATACGCAAATAATTCATACTGTAGTCCATGTAGCGATCTTTCGCTCCTTCACTTCACGGTTGGATCAACGCCATGTGAGCGGCTTAGATTAGGATTGAAGCTTCATTGTGATTCTTAAAAACGTAGGCACATAAAAAACGCATTCGGATTTATCGCCGAAAAAGAGTAGACCGGTAAAATCCATTGCAAAACTCCTCTTCTTATGATATACTCGACCGAACTGGATCCTCCCTGCTGCTCTCATAACCTCCCAACTCCCCTCCGCTTCGCCGGCATGCTCGTGTCGTCTAAACGTACTGCGACAACCATCTGATCGCATCTCCGTAACCTGAATGAAGTTAGCATCGCGTCTATATAGTATTTCGCGTGAGGTCGTTGGTGCTTACCCTGTCTCATGACAACAGAGCACATGAACACCTCGATCGGCCTAATACCCTCAAGTGGCACCTTGCCCTTGCCAGTTGTCTGGTAGAGGCCAAGTTGATGCCTCAGCTCATCTTCCGAAACGGCGTCTGGGTGGTCGATCTTGTTTCCTAGGATAACGAATGGGACCTTCTGGAGCTCCTCCATGGAGAGGAGGGCATCAAGCTCGGCCTTGGACTCGGAGAGACGCTCGTGGTCCTTGGCGTCAACGAGGAATACGATACCGGAGACCTCTGGGAAGTAATCCTTCCATAGGCGGCGAGCTATAATGGACCGCCGGTTATTTAGCTGTCTCAATAAAATTCGGACTCGGTCCGGGAAGGGAGTTGTACCTTGTTGATGTCCGCCCAAATCGAATGTTGTGAATTTGACATTGCCGATGGCAAGCTCCTCGGATGCTGCACTCCTGTCAGAGACTTCCTATTATACTATATCGCCACAATATTTGCTTACTAGGATGTAAGGTTGGTTGAAGAATCGCAACGCGGTCGTTCTGTAAAGGGCCACATGTTAGCTATCTGCCATTCCACCACCGGGGGCTTGCCAGCATGCTGCGCCAGCAGCTGATGATCCAATGCTCGTACCTTCAACATGTGCAACAAGGTCGTCTTTCCGGCATTGTCAAGACCCAGGAACAGCAGCTTGGCGTGCTTATTGAGGAGTCCAAGGGAGGACAGGACGTCCCAGACTATCATATCTCAACGTCAGCATATTTCCACGGTTGAAGCCACCCATGGCATGGAACTTCACGTACACCAACTGATCATCCACATATTGAAGACCGGTTGTGGGTATTTGAGGTTGAGATATTTGTGTTGAAGTGGTTGCTAGTGGCAAAGCTGTTCTTGTCGGGATGGCGAGCACATCTGGACCGATATCAACAGCTTTGACCAGGCAAAATACGGTGGCCTCAGGCTTCACTTTTTTTCGGGCTAGATTTACCACATGTCACAAATGGAATCACTTTTCATATCAGTCAATAACAGCTACCAGCTCTAAAAAAAATTGTAGATTTGTTCTGTTTATATATAAACCCGTAGCTAATTTTTAAGCCCGTAAAAGCTATTCCTAGTCATCTTTTCTTCCTATCTCTTCCAACCCAGAATATTTCATGACCCTTCCACGCCAGAACTCCTACTCTACGAAGCCCTGAATTGTATAATATCATGGGTGTTATACAACAGAATATAATCTCTCCTCAATGAATTGTACCACTGGTTAACAAATCTTGACACCACAAATATCAACGCTGTGGCTCTCAACCTTCGCGCTACGGTCAAAGTATGCTTTCATCATGTCTTCTGCGAAGCTGCGATCATCAGCACTCCACTCGTCGAGGCCCATCCGTTTCATGTCAGCTCTGCTGATAATTATGGGAGGTGCCTCGGATTCATCTCTACTAGCGCCAAGCCGCAGAGGAGCAATATCGTCATCATCCGAATCAGCAGCATCAACAATGTCTGACAGTGTATTGAGTATAAGCGTTGTCAACCGGTGGAAGTACGCGATAATGGCAAGTTCTTTCTTCGCACTTGAATCAGCGCTTTGAGAAAATGTGCTGGCGCCTGAAAATGTACGTCCCTTAGACGTCCGAGGTGCTTGAGGTTCAAGTGATAGCCCATCAAGGAGTGAGTTATCAAGGTCCGTTTCATCGTCGAGAGCGATGCTTCGCTCGCCAGCTGAAGCCCACCATATAAAGCCCGTATAGGCCAGTGCCGTCCACGATACAGGTTCAACTATGGCATCTGTATCCGGAAGACTCGACAGGGGAGATTCTGGCACTAGGGACTCCACCAGAGTTGTGCTCGTATCTGACCGACGAAGTCTCCCTCCGCTGTCATTTCTTTCCGGGGAAGGATTCTGCGGTTCGACCTTGGCCCGGGAGAGACCCCACATCAGACTTCTATAGCGGCGGAGGTCTCGCTGAGTGGCTTTAACACCATTTCCACTGGGGAATTTGACGTCAGGCCAGACTTTCTTCGCAGCATCTTGAGAATGCGCAAGAGGCATGGTGACAAGCACATCATAAAGTTTTGCCTTTGTGGACAAAATTCCATCTGTCGTGCAGGCAATCCAGCCCTGCCCCAGATCTTCCTCTTCGTCAGAATCATCGCCGGCAACAGCCTCAGGTTGTGTCGACGCTAGAAGATCCTCCTCTAAGAGGGGTATATCATGCACACCGATAGAAAACAAAGGACGTAAACGCTGGGACGGCGATCTAGTGCTGATGAGGTTTGAGACCGCAAGGGGGATATTGGAAAGGACAGATAAGTCATAAACTATCTCTCGTTAGCTAAACACTTCTCACCAGAGGGACCTCAAGCTAATACCGAAGTCACAGGTTTCCTGAACTGGCGCATGGCAGGAAATTAGGATGCGCTTCCGCAGCAGCGCAGACCGATAAATAGGAAATACAAGCGGCCCGAACGTATCCAACAGCGTGGTCAGACTCCAAGCAGGATGGTAAAGTGATAAGCTCTGTCCCGGAGGTATCAATGCCGCCCCATCCGATGCCGAGCGTGTCCTCGAGTGCCCCTCGTGCTGTATAAGTCGACCTGGCAGAGGCTTGAATACCAAGCTTGAAGGCGAGTCGAGGATTGAGTCGAATTGCGCGGAGCCCTTGCCGTCTTGCAACTTATGCGTGTCCCAGTATTCTTCCAGAAGAGTCAAGTCGGGAGTTTCAACGGCAAGTTTTCTATAATCTAGTTAATACTAGGCAATGGTACGCGACTGAACGGGCAACATACTCAGCTAACTGCTTCAGATTCTCCGCATGCATCCAACTCCTCCCAAGTCTGCCGTAACTCAAAGGAACTAGCACGCCTACAGCTATCATACGCGCATTTCGCGACTCCTCGGATGCCTCTGTGCTAATAAATGCGCTCAGTCCAGCATGCTTCCCATGCACGAAATAAATCAGGTCCTCCTTCACTGTATGTAAACCGGATGGCAGGCTTTTGTATTCGACGCCACCATCGAGGTCAATCCCAGGGAGGGCGCTCTTCCAGCTTATCGCATAGCCAGTTTTGGCGTCGAAGCGGATGAGAAATAGGGCAGAGATGAATGGTAGGTCGGAGAATTGTGCGTCTGATACATCTAGCCTCATTGGCTCTTGGCCTCGCCGAACAGCAGCCATTCGGGCGCTAGGTACATCCCAGTACGTATACTGTGACGGCTTTATATCGGGGGATAATTACGTTGGAATTCGGTTTTCCCAGCTGATCCTGAAAGAGCGGCGCATGACAATGCTTCAGGGCCTGGCTGTGTTGATGGTTGTCGTTGTGTCAAGAGCGGCACGAACTCGGGTGAATGCCCCGCTAGCGCCCGAAGTGCGTTGGTGTCCACATGGGGAGCGGGACTAGACGTGAACCTTAAAAGGAACAGCCAAACTCCGAGACAAGCCCCTCATAACTCTCGTCTAACTTACAACTTGTGAAGCTTCAATTCGTGAAGCCTCAATTCTGCCATTTCTGGTCACGGATCCGCCTCCGGAATCCAATATGGAATCATATGTAATCTCGGAGGTCGCCTGAAAGACCGTGCCGCGTCCGACCCCATTTATTGCTTTTCACTTTACGAGTGTTATAGGGCGACAGATTCTATTATACCCAGTTTACCCCAGAACGGCAGGTATATCCCCACAATCCAGCTGAGCCAGCCCATGGACACGGCGACATATTCTCCTGTCCGCAGAATTCAATATCAGGAACTCCGCATGACACGTCGCTAGGTGTCTCCGTTGTATTACAGGAGCCGCCGAGCAATGAGAATACCACAGGCCGTCCCTGGCCAGATTGCTTCATCATGAACCTCACAGCCGGCAGGCAACTCCCTCTTATTATCCGGAATGCGGGCATCCAAGCCATTGGATGCCCGCATTCAGTCATTGGACCGAGATATTGGGAATATAGTTTCCATAGTCACAGCGCTCGCGCATAGAAATTAGTAGGTTATATATTTCTTATAGTGCCAATATTCCCCGTCGCATCTATCAAAATACGAAGGCCTGGACGCGATACTCTCCATGTCGAGTATATTGGATCGCCAGGGGCGAGCCTCTCATTTCTCAATCAGCCTGTACGTGCAGAGTGCGAATGATCAATATTGTCTAAATCATACTATGGGTATAGACGAACTCATATTCCATTCCCCTTGAGCATGGTTCGAGTTATCCCGTGGGTCCTGTCGTTCATCCAGAGATCCATATAAGGTGTACTTCAGATCTCCCCAAACCCAGCTGTTGATCCCTTCCTTGTTAACTCCTGGCAAAAAATCATTATTCCACTCGTCTACTGCTTCAAAAATGGTCAGCCTCAAAGCTCTTGTCCTGGCTCTCGGTGCTCTCTCCTCTGGCGTTGTAGCCCAGGTCGACCCAGCCCAATGCTCCTCTCTCAAGGCCATCGCCTCAGCTGGGTTCCCTGACTCCTCCTCCCTCTCCGCGTTCTGCACGAGCGTCCTCTCCTACACCGTCCCACCGTACGTTATGCACTTTCCCAGTCCCTCTCTATAACACACAACTCACACCCACGCAGTGCCGTGACAACAACCAAGACCACCTCAGCATACGTGACCATCACCCAGTACACCACCGCCACCCAGACTGCGTATGCCCCTTCCCAACCCTCTCACCATCCCGACACTAACACACCCCAGCACAAGCGTCAAGACCATAACCGCCACCGTCACCGAGCTCACCACCGTCTTCGGCCGCCGCCGCCGCGCCATCCCCGAGCCCGCCCTGGAAGCCCGCCAATCCCTCGGCGACCTCCCCATCCCCCTAATCCAAATGCTCTGTGACTGCCTCAACGTCGCGCACCCCACCACGCCTACCAAGACCGCCACGCTCGTCAGGACCCTCACCGACGTCCGCACCGTGACCGTGACCACGCGCACCACCAAGGTTGTCACCTCGACTGCTCTGACGACGGTGCAGCGCACGACTACGATTCCGCGCGTGACGGTCACGGGGGGCACGCCGACGCAGACGCCGGGGGTGGTTAGTTGGGATGGGCTTTGTGGGGATGAGGGGGATGGGGCGACGTGTTTGGGGAGTGGGTTTGGGAATTGTTGTGCGAATTTTGGGGCTTGTGGCTCTGATAGCTCGCATTGTGGGACGGGATGCCAGAAGGCGTTTGGGTCTTGCAACTAGGTATGGTGAGGCAGGAGGGAGGACTTGTTACTATATGACGGTATTGTTTATGTCAGGGTCTCGAACCTACGGGCGATATTGTAAACACGTAGTTGAGAATGTCACGAGATTACTGTCAATGCTCTTCTTGAGATGTTTTATATTATCTATTTGAGGCCCACTGATCAAGTCCTTTGAAAAATGTAAAATACATATGTATAGAGAAACAAGTATGAGATGGCAGCCTTCTATTAGAAGTTGCTTAATTTAGTACATTACCTTCAGCACGGCAGTTGATCTTCATCAAGTTGTGCAACGGAACACGACTCGTTTATGTGAGCCTCGTGTTACAAACGGAATGCATTCCTTCATTCAGAGGTATAGCAAAAGGCAGTTGTCTGCGGAATCTTAAGCCCGGTGGCTTCTCCAAGGACACTATCATCATGGACAAGTTTCCTTGCCCAAGAGAAAGCCGTGAAGGAACAGCCAGATTAAATTCGTCTCGGGTGATATGTACGTTGCACATACACACCAGCGAACCCCAGCGTCGCACAAATATGTGACTCAACGGAAGCCCGACGAAATCCAATTGGATATCTGTCCAAACGGAATGGCCGGTCCTTGGCGGAATGCAGCAGCAAAGCAAATCTTCCGAAACGTTTCCTGGACATAACCACCTTTTATTAGCCAGGATCTCAAATATACATCAGTTACCTTTATATGCCAACGCTCTGGGCAATGGAGCAGTCAGACGAAAAAGCGAGGTTTGTGGAGGTGGTCAAGGCGGTATAAATGGGCGAAGAAGGCGAGGGAGCGGATCCATACTGATCATGGATATCACGATTATGGCGCGGCAGCGTGGCGGGCGGAAGAAGTACGAAGTTACAAGGTGTTGAGGGCGACTAATGGAAGCGATTAAAAACGGGTTGGCAGGCGAAAGTTATTATCATAAGTCAGGCGGTTTCCGACGAAAGAGGTACGTTATGAATATATCGTCATTCAGCGCACATTTGTTTTCTGTGGTTGATCACGTAGGTTGAGGCTGAGTTGGTTCGATTTTTCTCAGGCGGACTATTGACGACGAAGTCGAAAACCTCAGGAGTTAATGGGCCGAAAACGACAGAGCCGAAAGCGAACTGCTGGCTAGTGGTACAAGAAGTGCTGTGCATGCTCATCGAAGAGTAGACGTGCTGTGATCCAGGGCAAGACGCGAACCTATTATAAAGGCTGCGTTCCATGCGTTTGAGATCCATCTGTTCGATCGAAAGTCGCATGCCCTATGGCACCATGATGAAAGACAAAAGAAACCTTAGAATCCATAGTATCGAAAGCAACCTGTCACGCGAGAAGTCGTGCTTTCCCCAATCCGCCGAAGCACGCCCTGATATAACAAATTGCTTTTCCCCATCCGTTCCGTCGCACTTAAATCTCTGATGCCGAAACCCGTAAAGAAAAACTGGTGGAAGTGCACCCGCATCAATGAAAGTCGCAGATCCAAGGACTCTTGTGATAATTGGGATCGTGCGCTATTTAACGCGAAGGGCGCTCCGCACCTATAAGGATTAGCGATCAATAGCCACGATGGGAGTATTTCTCATCATCGTTGTATCTACCTCCGTATGGCTCCCGAGCTTCTCCGCGAGGGGCTGGGTCACCATAGGCGGCTGGTGGAGCTGCATCACGGGATGAGCGTCCACCATCGCGATCTCCACCACGTTCACCGCGGTCGCCACGGTCGTAGCGATCAGAGTAACCGCCACCACCGCCACGGCGGTCATCACGTCCACCGTAGCGGTCGTCGCGGCCACCTCCGTAACGGTCGATTCCACGGGGAGCGTAGTCGTCGCGGTCGCGGCGTCCGTATCCGCGGTCACCACGGTCATCACCGCGGGATCCACGGTAGCTGTAAGGGTCGTCACGGAATCCACCGCGGCGGCGGTCATCGTAGCGGTCGCCCCATCTTCCGGGTGGGGGGCCGCGAGGGTCGTCTTCTGAGGTTTTAGTTAATTGTGTAAGATACAGGGATCGGACTTCACTTGCCTCTCTTTGGTGGACCAAAGTACTTGCCGGGGGTTGGGGTGCGTGGGCGGGAGCGCCTAGCCTTCTCGATGCTCAAGGTGCGGCCCTCGATGACTTCACCTTGGAGGCCCTCCTTGGCAGCGTCGGCCTGGTCGGCAGTGACCATCTTGACGAATCCGAATCCACGGGACTCCTTGGTGTGGGGGTCAAGCATGATCTGGCACTTCTCGACCTCACCGTACTTCTCGAACAGGCGAGTGACCTCGGCCTCGGAAAGACGGGGGTGGATACCGGTGACGAAAAGGTTGGATCCGGGGTTGACGGCGCCATCATCCTGGGGAGGAGGTCCGCCACGGTCGTTCTTGGGGCCACTTGGTGGTCTGTTAGTTAGGATAGTTGCGCAAATAATGGGTATATAAGTGGCCTACCTAGAATCGACCTGCCCGTTGCCACCTGGGGAGGCAGAGCGACGGCGAGGGCTGTCCTGGCGACGGGGGCGTGGCGAGGCGCTGCGGTCGCGTTGCTCGTAACGAGGAGCCTCGTCTGAAGGAGTATGAGTTAGAATCATTGTCTCATTAAGGTTCGGCGGCGCGATTGTAATGATTGAACGTACCCTCGTATCCACGAGTGCCGTTCTCGTTCTCGTAATCCATGGAAGCCATGTTGATTATTAAGTTGCTGACGAAAGGGATGGCGTAGCTGAATATCTGTCAACAAATGCGACGGGAACCTCGAGCGTGTTCTAATCACGAACCAGGTATTAGTATTATCAAAGAGACAGAAACTCGATATGATCCAAGTTTCCGATGGGTTGACTCGTCCTCGAGTAGATAAAGATCAAAGAAAGAGATGGAGTTTGGGAGGAAAATAGAACGAGCCGCGTTCATCGGCGTATTTCCAAGTTAAACGGACCTTTTAGCGCAACGCTAGTGTACGCGAATCCCGTGGTCACGTGATGGTATATTTACCCCTTGTTATCGCCAGTAAACAATAGATTTGAGAAACATAGCACCCATTGTTCTTTCAACTTTCCTTTATTATACCATTTTAGCATTAAAATATTCCTAATTCCTTTCAAAGAAAAGGCTATGTATAAGCAATGAGACGACCAATCAGAGCTCGTCAACCTTTGGCAACACAGGTTCTTCCCGATCTTCCTCATCAAAGTCCACTTCATTCAAGAAGTTCAGTCCCTCAACAGCCTTCCCACCACAAGCTCTCTCCAAAGCCAGAAACGCAAAATGACCACCAACCACCGGCCTCGCAAAGAAATGCGGTCCCGGAAAATCGCCCTCTCCCTCGGTTTCATAAAGGTCCGTGAGAGGTCGGTCTGTCGTTCTCCATTAGCGCTTGAGCGAAGACGGGGGTGCAAACGCATATCCATACCAGTAACAGTCTCATTAACCCAAAGCGCAATACTCTCCACAATCTCCGTCCTGACTTTCTTGCTCGCTACCGCCGCAGCAAAAAACTGCCAGTCGCTCTTGGTATAGAGGTGTCTGCTATCGAGCGGGAGGCCGTATTTCTGCATCACATTGTGATACCAGTCGCTTTGCATCTTATAAATCTTCTCATCGATAAAAGCAGTTCTCGACTTTCCTTTCCGGTCATGTCCAATAGGCTTCTGAGTGTCAGATTGACTCAAACCCAATGGAGAGCTAGTTGTATCAGGTAGATGGAAGCACAAGAGCGAGTCCGCGAACAAGTTATAAATCGTAGTCCAGGAACCATACCAAGTATACGAAATCTTAGCATGAGTCCCATCTTTCGAAACCCCGTAATCTTGCCATTTCTCGATATAATCCTCTGATACCTCCCGGTAATACGCCGCGTCTTTGCTCTCGCCGACAGCTTCCGAGATCCCACTCATAGCTCTAATCCCAATGATGCCCTTGAGCGCCAAGTTGGTCTGGTTAGCAAGCCAGCCGGCGAAATCATCAGTTGACAGTTGGTTTGTCGGGATCAACGCTTCCTCCACAAGATATTCCGTCCATTGTTTCCACAGCCCATATGACTTCTTCAGCCAACTCTGAACCTGCGTCTTGTCTCTAGTGCTTCCCCATGCACTATCAAACCTATCGATGCGAGAACTCAGCGGGAATACGCCTCCAGAAGCAACATCGGAATGGTCACCCAACGACCCCAGTAGCGCAGGAGGATCCGAAGTATCACCCAAGGAATTCACCAGCGCAAGTCCCATAATGAGCATATTACCACATTCCTCCAGGGGCATATACTCGTCATTCCCATCCGCATACCCTTTCCCAATGGGGAAAGTACCAATATCATGCATGCTATACTTGTTCGGATACTGACCGCTCAACTGATGCTCAAGCAGCGGCTCCAGCAGGTACGCCAGCCACCTCGGGTTGGTATACAGAAAGAACGGGAAGGCTGGGAAAATAACATCGACGGTTTGGAAGTCCCCATTTGAAGAGATCTCTTTGAGGAAGATCAAAGGGTTCTCAGCGGTCCCTGAAAAACTCGTGGCGCCCATGACTTGGCGAGCTGAGAGAGCAACGATGTCTTTATAGTTTTCTGAGCCGGATTTGAGAGCATCCACTGCCAACTGCTCAGAGTATTCAGAGGCAAGTTTAGACGACTTCTTAAAGTCCAAATAGTGATGGCTAATCATCGAATGCGCCGTTTCAAACCAAGACGCCCACAACGGCCTCATCAGAGTCAACCCCCTCGCCGCCGCGAACTGAACAACAGGATCCTGTATATGCGCAATCGTAAACAAAATACTATCCCGCGACAACTTTCTCATAGACTTTGAAGTAGTGCCCTTCAGCTTAAAATCCTTCGAAAACGCAAAGACCGGCTCATCCTGATTAATATTCCGAAAGTTCCCATCCGTAGCATTACGTAGCGCTCCTGTATTCTTAAACCGGTTTCGCATGTTGAAAGCAGTTCCGGATTCATGATTCGCCTCTGCTGGGCCGGTGAAATGCAAAGTTCCCCATTCCGCGCGGTCATTCTTCTCTTTTAACTGCTCTTCCTCTGATCTGCGGATTTTCCAGGTCTTGAGGGGGCGGGATCCGAGGTCCTGGGCTTGGGGCGGGGAGAGCTCCCATTGGATCCTGCTTCCGTCGTCGCCGCTGATCCATTGTCCGTTGATGTCTATGTAGATAGATAGGTCAAAGTTCCCCTCGACGTAGATCTTGATGTAGGATGCTGGCATGGACTGCCTGAACGTTGATGTTGGCGTTATCGGCGAGATGAAGGATAGAATAACAGTTGCTTTCTCGTCTTTAACTCCCCCTTGTATGTTATACGTAAGGTTTGTCGTAGAAGCGTCATAATTGGAGCCTTCATATATCGGAAACGTAACCTGCGTACTTCTGCACAAACATTAGCCACGAACAGAATATTGACAACAAGACCAGAGCTCAACCATACAGACTATCATGCGGCCTCCCCAACAACGGATACACCAACCCACTCTCCGGCAACGCCGCCATCACAGACAACCCAACCTACCACAACCATCAGCTAAACCCCCAAACCTCGCAGTATGAGCACCACCTACCTGCGCCCCAGTATAAAACATAGGCCACTGCTCCCACGGATCCCCCCTCGCATTCCCAAGCCAAAGACTCAAATATGGATTCCTCACCACCAGCGGCAACACCGGCGGCGTCAGCGTCGAGGCATCCACAGCAGCCCCCATCGCCAGCGCTGAAGCAGCTAGGTACTTCTTCCACATCATGGCTCGCATTGTTCTTAGTCCAGTGGGTGTCGACTGTCTGTTCTCACATTCACTTCAGATCCAGCGAAATACAAGCCCTAACCTCCCTTCACCACATCATCAAATTCGAAAACCGGATCAGTCAAAAGAAGAGGTAACTAACTTCCATTCATAAAAGTAAACTAGTAAACCTCACACAGGGAAGGTACGACCGACCCAATCCCTACAACATGCAATGACGACTTCATCTGTTCGGGCAGGAACGCACGGGCCAGTTACTTTAGCGGAATGTGGGGTGCATTAGCGTCCGTCCGCCTTATGACATTTCCCTGTAACAAACACCCTCCTCCACCTTCTCACACTCAAACGCTCACAAGAGCCCCTAACAAACAAAGCACCTCTGATTTCACAATCCCAGAACTCCTTCTCCCAATTCCATCCTGGTCAAACCCGATAAAATTCCATCCAGGCAAACAGATACCCAGGTCCCTTAATAAGTCTGAATCTTAAACACCCTCCCCCACGCCCCATCCTTAACAACCCACTCCACATCATCACCCTCCTCATTGAGCATATAGAGGTACTCCTGCACAACCTCCGCCATCATCACCTTCTGCAGCAGGAGATCGCGGCGTTGGTCGGCGGAGGATTTAACCCATTGACTCGCTTTGTTGGATTCCACCGCTTGCTGTGTTTCTGTTAGCCCTCTCTCCGTTTCCAAATAAAAGACCATCCCAACCAGCCAGCAAGCCAGCTATCCAAAGTCAAAAGATAAGGTAACGGGGAAATCCTCACCTCACCCCTCTCAACACCCCCACACCCATACCCCAGCGCAAGCGCAAGTTCCCTCCTCCAACTAACCCTCTCACTAACCCACAAACTCCCCTTCCCGAGCTCGAAATCTGCCTTATCAGCCGGGTGGATGATTTTGTCGGCGAGGATGGTGATGGTCTGGGCGTCGGAGGTGCGGATGAGTTTTAGGAGCTGGGGGGGTGTGGTGTTAGTTTGTGGGTGAGTGGAGGGGTGAAGGGAGGAGGGAGGAAGGGAGGGGGGGAGGAGGAAGGGAAGAGTGGGAGGAGGAGAATTGGGAGGGGGGGGGGGACGGACGCTTGTGAGTGTTATCATCGTTGCAACAGTGAGGAGGATGTGATTCTTCGCGTGGGTGGTCTTATCACGTGGAATTTCCACGGTGGTAGTGGTGGTAGGTGAACGTGCGTGCGTGTGTGTGTGTGTATGGAGTTGATATTATGCGGTGGTGAAGCGTGTAGTTGAAAGGAAGGTTGAAAGGTTGGTGGTGGTGGTGAGTTCACGTCAGAGGTAAGGTTGATAGAGGAGTGAAAGAAACGAGATGGAATGTGAATTTATACGTTTCTAGCCGGGTGAGTATGTCGTCCGTCCCCAGTGACTGAGAAAACGAAACGCTTAGAACAGGTCATCATCCCAAGACCGTCTCGTCTAGGTTTAACTAGCTCTGACGAGGAACAGGTGCGTGGGAATCTCGGGGTTTTGAGTGTTGGCTTTTACATTTCCAGAGACGACGTGTATTCACACACCTACTAGATGGATAGTACAGCTCTGTCAACGACACTTACACATACGCACAACCCATCATCGCATCAAACACCTCACAATCACAATTCACAGTCACTCTTACACCACAGAACACCATCAAAAATGCGGTAAAACATATATATTCCACCTCAAAAACAGGGCCTCCTCATCCAACGCCCTCCCCCCCTCTCTCTCGGAAGGTACAAAAAAAACCCCACGCCATCCATCCGCTAGCTATGCAAACCAAACCCCCTCGCCCCGCGCTTGCAATGCCTCAATCCATGGACTTTAATTTTCAGTCCCAAGTATCCATCCACTCCTGGTTTGTTTGAGAAAAGAAATAATCGCTAAATGAAGAAAAAAAATCGTGTTACTGGCGGCGAACTGCTGAAGAAAAGAGTCCTTGTAAAGCCTGCCACTTGCACCCCCGTAAATATTGGTGGTATGCGTGTTGTGTTGAAACGGAGTTGGTAGAAATGGTAGTAATGTGTATGTACAAGTTTGTTGACCAGTCCCCGGTGTGGTGGGGGGTGGGAGAGAATTATCTTGTGTTGTTGTGTTGTGAAGAAAAGTAGTTGGTGGTATCTACATTAAAGTTGTGTAGTTTTGTAAAAAGGTATATGTCGTATGGTATGGTGATTGATGATCGAAAGTCGTAGATGATGTGCGTCGTCGTCGTCCTCAAACCGACAAAACGTACTCCGCATTCGCCCCTCTATAATCCACCGTCTTCCCCGCCATCTGCAATCCCAATTCCCTCATCCTCTCCGCCCCCTTCCCGGGCTGCGGTCTGCGTTCCACCTGCTGCCCCTTGCGTGCGCGATTACACAGCTTCGAGAAGAACTTATCCTTCCTCCTCTGCCTCTTCTGCTCTAGGCCTTTGACAATATCGATAGCGCCGCGGGTATACCCATCGGTGTTATTATCGTTATCCTCGTCATTCGCAAAGGCGAGCTGCGCGGCGCGGTATTGTTGGCAGAATGCGTTAGGGCGGCGGGGGAGGGACTTGGTGTGTGTAGGGTCCGGGCGGTTGGGTATGGGCGCGAAGGAAATGCTAGCTGATGCCGTTGGCCACTTGACGGCGCGAGCACGAGCTGGAGGTGGTGACTTCGCGCGGCGCGGCGGCGGCGACTTAGCGCGACGAGGTGGAGGGGAGCGGAGGCGAGGAGAGCGACGTGTAGTCGTTGCTGGAGGAGAACGGTATTTCTGCGGAGGCGGCGAGACGAGACGTTTCGGAGAGTGCTTGGGAGACTTGCGAGTGCGGCTTCGTCTGTGGCGGGTTTCGGATTCCGAGTCCTCAAACTTGCCATGAAGCCAGATACCCTCGTCGCTATCGTTTGGCTTCTCCGCTTCGTCGTTCTCGTCTTCCTCGTCCTCGGGATCGGAGGTGGGGAAACTAGGATCGATGTCTTGGGGAATGACGTGGCGCTTCTCGCGCTTGCGGGCTTCCATGCAGGAGACGTAGGCCTCTTCCAACGGCCTGTCCTCGTCAAGAGTACCACAGACGAAGTCAGTGCTGTCAGGAAGATCAGGAGTGCCAGGGCGAATCCTGATCTTGCGGGTTCCCTTTGATTTGCGGGGCCCTCCCTTTCTATTGAGAGTGGGGCTCATGTGGCTCAGAGAATCGATGGATGACTCGGACGGTGCTCTGCGACCTGTCGACCTGAATGCGCTGGCCTCGCCAGTCGACATCCCAGGAGACCAGAAGTGGAATTCTCCGCCACGGTCGCTTTCCTCATCTGAGTCTGCGAATCCGGCCTCGTTATCGGTCTCGTTGCCGTCGGAGGCGTCAAGGTCAACATCCGAGCCATCCACGGTGTTGTCATCCTCATCATCCTCATCATCCTCATCGTCGTCCTCATCGTCGTCGTCGTCGTCATCATCGTTCTCATCGTCATCGTCATCGTCGTTCCCCTCGTCATCATCATCATCATCCTCGTCATCCTCAAGAGCCTCCTCCTCAGCTTCCTTGCCAAGCTGCCGGATGGCGTTTTCCTTCTTGAGGGTGTCGTGAATGGTCAGCTTTCCCTTGATGGTAGACGTGTCCTTGCGAATCCAGTCATCCTCCTGCGGCTCATCGCTAGCAAACTCGTGGAAACGCGTAGCTTCAGATGACTCGAGGGCCTCCTCGTCAGCAACGATGTATTTCGGCTTGCGGCTGCGCACCGCAGCTGGGCTCTGTGACGCCCGACGAATGGTCGATGTCGAATCACGGTGAGCCTTCGGCTGAGGTGTGGAAGAGCGCAGTTTTCTCGACAACGTAGGCGACCGGATGGTGTGACGTCCAGGCTTGGCTGGGGACGCAGGAGTGGCTGTGAGCCGAGCGATCTTGGCAGGTTCAACGACCTTAACGGCCTGCCTATCTGGTTGCGGGCCGTTACAGGCAAATTTGATTGTGCGTTTTGGCGCAGTTGTCGTCGTCGTACTAGTTGCGTTCTTGGCATGGGTGGTGGAAGGTGTTGACTTGATGAAGTCGAGCGGCTTCTGAGCAGCACAAGCAAATGAGATGCATCGCTTCTTGACGAGAGCTTCCACAGCAGGATCGGGTTTCGGAACGGCCGCCGCTGCCACCTGTTGCGCTAGGGCGGGGTCCTGACCCTTCTGCTGTGTCCGGGCGAATGCGGTTTGTGACAGTTTAGGTCCTAACGTATAAGGTGCCAAGGACATGTAACTGGAAGGTGGAAACGGGGGACTCGGAGTGCTTGTTCGTGTAGGGCTGGTGAGGCCTCCATCGGAAGTGAGATCTGCCGTGGATGCGCTGCTCGTTGTGCTTCTCGACGAACGGTTGCGTGCCATATCAATGGCCATGTAGGTCTCATCGTTGTTATCGTCTTGGCTTGGCTGCAGCGCCTTTGTGAGTAGTGATGTCTTGGTATCGGCCCGAAGCTGGATGTTGGCCTTGTGGAAGTCGGTGAGGGTTGGTAGTTTCGCAGAGGAGAGGTTGGAATGGGTGATGGCGTCGTGGGCACCTCCGGGCTCGTCCTTTGAAGGGAGGGCCGTCATGGTTCCTTCGCGCCATCTGATGAGGTCGTCCTCGTCGAGGAGGCGAACAGTATCTCTCGGCATTGTTGCTAGAGGTCTTGATGATGTGAATATAAAGAGTCTGTAACAGCGTCGTCGCTTGTTATAAGGCTATATGATAGCAAGATATGCTCCGCAGCAAGACAAGTTCGAACAGTGCGTTGTAAGGCTGAAATGGTGTCTGCTGAGATATGGAGACAAAAAGACCGCCTGACGCTTTTATAGTCGTCGGAGTGGTATGTATGTGCTCGTCGTCGAGTTATACTATACTTTGGGGCGTCCCTGAGGACCGTTGTGCTATAATAGGTTCCTCGACATTGCGGATATGGATTAATGATCCAAAGGGCTATTTGCGTCGTTCAAAAGGACGTAGATAAGAGCAAAATCTTGGCTGAGGCCGAAAATGTGTTGATCGTACGCGCGGATGACCGTTGAAGACCGTTGAGCAAAGGTGATCCTCCGGTTCTGTATCCCCAGATGACGATCGATTGGTGGCGGTGCTGGTGAAATGTAAGAACCCAAGCCCTTGGCAAATTGGTGATGTCTCAATTATGTCTCTCGACAATGTTGATAAGAGTGCGAGGAGAGGATGCTAGAGGTGGCAACCGTTTGCAGCGTGAGTTGAGGAGTTTGAGGAAGTTGATTTGGAGAGAATGAAGGTGTGAGGGTTGGTAGATTCAAAGGAGCGTGGGGAGCGTGGGATATAGAGGACGGGTATGGGGGTTCAGAAGAGGGCAGCAAGGATTAAGGATGTTCTTTGTGTTTGTGAAATGGGCTACTATGGGTATGGGGCTTCTTTCGTAGGCGGGTGAGAGTGGGGCGAAGGGGGGCGGCGTTGTGTGCACTGTGCAGGTGAGCGGGGGGGGTTTTTGATGGTAGGGTGGTGTAGGGTGGATGGTGGGTGGCAGTGGGTGGTGGTGGTGGCAGTGGGTGGTGGTAGAGTAAAAAGAGTGGGATGAGCATCGGAACAAGGGTGGCCAGGGCGTAAAAGGGTGCGATTGCCTGCCCTCCTGCCCTCCTGCCCTCCTGCCCTCCTGCTCTTTCTCTTCTCCCTACTCGCACCACTGGTTAGTGTCCAACTACTATAGATACTTTGCACCTCTCTAAAGTTACACGTAGATCCAACAGGGCTAAGGGCTGTTGCAAGTACCGTCCACGCTGATTTGAGTGTGAATCTACATCACTAGCCGTAGAGAATATACAATCGGTAGAGAGTCGTAAAGTCGCCTCCCTACTCCCTACCCTACCCGGGTGCTAGCTGTACCTTGGTCTATCTGTTGACTGTCTGCTCCGTCTGCTCCGTCTGCTGCTCCCTCCTCAGAAGCCCACATCCCACATATTACAAGAATTATACTGGTCTCTACGGTCTCTACAGCTAAAATCTACACCCACTCTAACACACTCCATTACCACAAAAGTACGTACTCTCCATCTCCCTCCGGCCATGGCAAACAGTTGGCAAACACCCAGCCAACACTCCCGAACATGTCACCACCACTGCTTTTGCTCCAATCTGAAAATTTTCTTTTCCTTTCCACCTTCCACCACCCCCAAGCCCTTCTGTTGGGGACTATTAGGGGACTATTGGGGCTTATTGGGGCAATTGGGGCAACCGCTGACTAAACGTAATCACAGCACACGACGCCAGCCCTCCCACAGCCCACCAGACACTGCTGGACCTCCCTCGTGCACACTGCTAAGCCCGCCAAGCTTGTACCAGGCCACCACAAATCATATGGGTGGTGACTTGGCTGACCAAATGATTGTACCATCCCACCACAAATCATATAGTGAGTGACTTGGCTGACCACATCGTTGTACCATCCCACCACAATTCATATAGCGAGTGACTTGGCTGACCAAATAATTGTACCATCCCACCACAAATCATATGGCCAGTGACTTGGCTGACTACATTTCGTCTGTTTCTTGCCACATTCTGTGTCACTGGTGTGTATGTGCGACCCTCCTCCCCTACAGCAAAAAAAAAAAGCACTGGCTTCTGTCTGCCGGAGAAGAAAATCATGCCCACCACCATAATAAAATCGAACTTTTTGCAGTGACCAAGAGATCTACAGCCACCCACTTCGGCACTCCTATTCATCCTATACTTTGTGTTGCCCATCCTCCTTCTACACTTTCTACACTACACTACTGTACACCACCTCACTTTGCTGCAATTCCATTCGTGTCATACATTCCCCCATCTCATAGCCTGACTTCCCTCTCTCTCTCCCAACTCACTCACACACAAACGCCGTCCATACAAAATCACCCACCAATCCCCATCCCCCTCCCTCCCTCCAACAATAACAATGCAACGTGACGACTCCCCGACACCCCCTTCCGCCGTGGCTGATCTGATCGATCCCCAGCTTTCCCTTTCCCCTTCGCGCCGTGTGAACCGTGCTTTTCATCCCATCCCATCCCATGCAACATACATCCCCATGTCAAAGTGCCGGCAAAAGGAACATGGAGGAGCTGTTTTGACAGGAGGTCCGTTCCCCCTTACTCTTCCTCACCACCATACAGTACAATAGTAGTAAGTACAGCAGTAAGTACAGCAGTAAGGATAAACCCAGCAAGTAAACACTATGCTATACTATACACACATCATATCAATCAATCAGCACATGTCTTCAAAAAACACAACCCCCAACTCCCTCCTTCCCCCGCCGCCGCCGTTAGATTATGAGACTGTCAAATCACCGAGGAAGCGATTAAGGGCGCGGCGGTGCACATCTTCAATTCCAAGATCAGCGCGTGCGTGTGCGGGCGGCATCTTCTTCCCGTTCACGTACACACAGACCGCAACTCCCGCCCCTCCCATCGACGCGCGCGCGTCCATTGCTTGTTGCTTGCTTGCTTGCTTGCTTGCTTGCTTGCTTGCTTGCTTGCTTGCTTGCTTGCTTGCTTGCTTGCTTGCTTGCTTGCTTGCTTGCTTGCTTGCTTGCTCTTTTCCCACCGCCTTTTCGTGTCGCGCGGGAACAGGATTAGTACGGCGCCAGTACATTCCACAATTGTATCGTGGACTAAGATTACCCACGTATCCTCGACTATCCACCCTCTACATCCCATCCCATCCACGATCTATAATCCCTATCCCCCCCCCTCCCACTCACTCAAACTAAGCTCACAAATAAAGTGGGAAATATTCAAAATCTGTAGATATGGTCACGTACCACAAAGATCTCCCCCCTCCCCGCCCTAGTTCATGCATACTAACCATTTATACATGCGTTGTTTGGACCGACCTTCCTGCTACTACATAAGTGTGCTTTGTTGGACGTGGGGAAAGGGTAATCGATGATCAATCTCAATCTCAATCTCCCCCCATCATCGCCCATCGGCCGTTTCAGAAAGAAAGACGACCAGGAAACGGCAAGACAAACGGGGCCCCCACGCGACGGAAACATCCATCGCAGGTTGTAGTGGTTTAATAGCAGGGTGCGGGCGGGCCAACACACACGACACGACAATCACCAGCCAGAGGGATAACAACGCCATATCGCGACGACGCGGGTAGTGACCTCCCCTCCCCTCCCCTCCCATCCTCGACGCCGGCGTCCCTCCCTCCAATATTACTAAAACCCCACACACAGCACCAGCGCGTCCTCTCCATGCACGGCGTCCAACTAACTAACATATGCACCCTCCTCCCTCCACTGTGGAAGAAGAGACCCGGCACGACAAGAACCGAACCCGAAGCCGCGACTAACAGCACGCACCACGCAACACCCCCCGGCTCCGCGGTCTTTGTCTCGCATCGCCGAGAAAGCAGATGGAGATGGGGAGCTGGGGGTTTGGGTTGTACTGCATCTCTAGTCAGCATCTATTTATTCACAGTCGCCCATAGAACAACGCAGGAGGAGCTGTCCATCCTGCAATAGCTATCCTGTATCCTGTACGCTGTAATGCGCATGTAGCAAGCATATGCCCACCTGCAAACCACCTCTCAACGACCCCTACCTCTTAAATTGCCAAGCTGCCACAAAAAACACTTATCGATCGGCAAGCAAGCAAGCAACGACGCCACCAAGGGTCCCCTTCTTCTTCCGTACCGTACCCCCATTCCTGTGCTTGAGGCATTTTTGGCAGCGAATCGCTCTGCGTCGGAGCTTTAAGGGAGGAAGCATCAACGGCACTATCGAGGTTGGGGACTAGTGCCCGTGAACCGGCGATGGGGCATTTCGTCATAGCGGTTGAAGTTGGGGGTACGGTGGCCGAGGAGGGTTAGGCGAGTACGGGGAGCGGTGTAGGCCTGTTTTTTTGTTGGTTTTGGTGTTGGCCCGGTTTGTGGGTGCCTGGTGTGTTAGGCGTGAAGTTGGGATTCAAAGATTTTTGGAAATTAGTCACGTGGATGTTTGACTTTAAAAAAATATCGAATCCTCCATCCTATCTTTACTGTAAGCCGGAATACACTGCAAAAGAAACAGATAGACTTACAATCATAACCTCTTTTCTCAAATATGTTTTCCTCAATTACATTCACGTGACTGTTCCCACGTGAATCCTCACACGTGATATCGAAATTAAACTCCGCCAAGAAATACAATCCCATTTTAGCGAGGCCATCACGAGAATCTATCCCGAAGCTCCTCGACGACGCTCCCGCAAGCTCTTGATTGTCCCCCTCCCAATTGAACCACCCCCTCCACACACGCCATCATGAACTCCTTCCGCATTGCCCGCGCGGCCCTGCGCGTTCGCGCCCCTGCCATGAAGGCTCCTGTCCAGCGCAGAGGATATGCTGAGGCTGTCTCGGATAAGGTCGGTTGCTTGACTTCGGAGGAAGATTTTGGGGAGCGGAATGGCTAATGGAGATGTTGCAGATCAAGCTGAGCTTGAACCTTCCTCACCAGGTATGCGAATCTATGTTTTTTCGATGAGATGGGCCGGATTGAGATGGATGGGAGATGGGTGGTTGTGGTGGATGCTTAGCCGATTTGGAGGAGGGAATTTGACGACAAACACAACGGGGAGCCATTGGATATCGGGAGGGAGTGGAAATGGGAGATTGAAGAGATGGCTGACGTGTGTGTGTCTTATAGAAGGTCTACACCTCCCACGACGTCGTCCAGGTCAACATCGCCGCCGAGTCTGGAGAGATGGGTCTCCTCGCCAACCACGTCCCTTCGATCGAGCAGCTCAAGCCTGGATTGATCGAGGTCATTGAGGAGAGCGCTGGCAGCAAGCAGTTTTTCCGTGCGTCTTCCCCACCTTCCACCCGATACATATCTTGAACCAGCAAATTGCACCGAACCGAGGTCGAATTGCGTCAGGAGATAATTGTGTCGGGATATCTAAAGGGATGGAAGCTAACGGGTGTAATTGATATAGTGTCCGGTGGCTTCGCCGTCATGAACCCCAACTCCGTCCTCAGCATCAACGCCGTCGAGGGTTTCCCCCTTGAGGACTTCAGCATCGAGGCTGTGCGCTCGCAGCTCACCGAGGCGCAGAAGGTGGCTAGCGGCAACGGCAGCGCGACGGAGATCGCTGAGGCCAACATCGAGATTGAGGTAAGCCGAGCCATACATACTATCCAACCTGCAAATCTGCAGCAGTTGGAAGAATTGGACACGGGGACATTGTGCTGACTGAGAAAACGTAATAGGTTCTGGAGAGTCTGCAGGCTGCGCTCAAGTAATCCTTCGGATTGCTTGAGATTGTTATAGAGGGCTTTTAGAGATGGTAAAGTTGTATTAAAAACCGTACCGTGTATATCCAAAGAATGTTCGAGATCGCGTCGTGTTATGTGAGCTGGGTCCGCGTGAATGTCGGGGGTGTTGTGCATGTCGTCGCTTGATGTGCCCCTTATGTTGATGTGACAACTATTATTGTTGTAGGTAAGTGGTTTTCATTACATATGTCAGAGTTCATATCGTATCATTTGTTATAAAGTAGGCAAGAGCTGCCAGTCACTCGCACTTTCCCTTTCTACAACTTCAATTCATCCTTTTGGAAGAGGCAAGAGCAAACCTCCCTTCGTGCCTTCCCTTTCAACTCCTGCGATGAAAGTGGCAAGAGCAACCACCCTCCAGTCGCACTTTCCCTTTCCACTTCTCGATGAAGAAGGCAAGAGCAGCCCTCCAGTCGTGCCTTCCTTCTATACTGCTGCAAAGTCCCAGGCACTCGCTTTGGCAGCTGCTCTCCCATTTCCATGTCCACTCCTATATACCAAGCATGGCTACATGGTTGTGAGCGTGCGTCCGTTGTATGCCTTCATTCTTTTAACCAAGTTCTCTTCTCTGCATACTTTATCCCAAGACTATTCTATTCCCAGGGGGTCCGAGAATATCTCTATTATCCTGCAACCACCCCAGACCTCTTAAACTCCATACATCATTCAATCTCCTCCAGCATCTCAACTCGTCAACAAACACCCTCCCCACAAACGATGGGCCCCTCCAAAAAACACAAACAAAACCTCTCCGCCTCCTCCAACACACCGCTAGCAGGCAACTCCATCTCCGGCGCCGCAGCAGAACTATCACGCATCCATTCCCTCGCTCAACCCCCCGACATCCCCACAGCAGCAGACCAAGACCTCAATCTCTCCGCGCGCCAACAACGTGATCGATCGCTTGACAGCCACAGTCAAAACCACCACCATCACCACCACCGCCACCGCCACGCCGCGCGTCAAGCTCTCTCCTCCCTCCTCCACGAGAGCGGGACATCCGGCCACTTCGGACTGGGCCTCGGTATCCACCGCCGGAATTTCGGACTGGACTTAGACGTCGATGGAAAGAAAAATGAAGGCGGTGAGGCTAGCGGAGCAACGCCGGGGACGGAGATGCTGAAGCAGCTTGTGAGGGATGTCCCGAGGCAGATTGCTAGTGAGGTGCCGAAGCAGATAGGGAGGTATTTGGATGGGAGAGGGGAGGTGAGGGATGAGGTTGCGGTGGGGGTGGGGGTTAAGACGAGGGGGACGGAGGTGGGGGTTAGAGTGGAGGGGGCCAAGGGGTGGTGGAGGGGTGGGAGGGGTGAGTCGGCTTCGCAGGTTGAAGCTGCTCCTCCACCAGCACCGGCTCCCCAACCTGAAGCTGCTCCTCCAGCGGCACCTGCTTCTGAGGCGGCACTGGCTCCTCGGCAGCCGTTGGCAGTCGATAAATCGGCGACACTGCAACTAGCCAAGCGATACAGCTGCCACATCTGTCGGTTTATCAACGAAGAAATTGAAAGATGCGCTTCCTGTGGACATCGTCTGTGCATCGACTGCGAGTGGCTCCTGCCCATTGCCAAAACGGACGGGGCAGCCCAAGAATTTGCAATATATGAAGACAGCGACGCTATGGAGGCTCGGGATATGGAGATGGAGGATCGGAGGCGGACTGAAAATATTTATACGCCAAGTGAGTTCGAGCAGGAGAACTATGTGGATCCAGATACCCCTGATTTACCTCCGAACGTATGGGCTCGACAGGCGGCTTTGGCGAAGGCGCATTATACGACGCCGCAGTCGCCGACTGATGGTTCGCCTTATTATACAACTACCCAGTCACCAACTATCCGTTCGCCTCCGCCATCTCCTGTGGATCTATCACATCTCAGCGCTAGCGACTACCCAGAGCCTCTACGACTTGCACCTTCTCCTGTTAGACCTCCGGGACCGAGAAGTCGCAGGGTTGTGAGGGATAATCCCTTTGTTGTGGCTGATCAGCTTTCAGCTCATCATGGGCGTGTTATGAGGGTCGATAGTGAGGCGGGGATTCGAAGCCGTGATGGACAGGCTAGTCCGCAGCCAGGTCGATACTCTGCCAGGGCTAGAGCATTGGCACGCAGGATGGAAGAGAGGGATGAAGACAGGCGCACGTGGCTGGCTAATAAAAGCCGTGGTGAGCAGCCTAGTCCGCAACCAGGTCGATATTCTGCTAGGACTTTGGCTTCCAGAGAAAGGGAGGAAGATAAGAGGGATTCTCAGAGACGTATGTGGCAGACCAATAGAGTCCCTCTCCCAGGATTCGGCGCTGAGCGTGAGGGTGCTCGTCGGGCGTCACGGGGTGAGAAGGTGTCTGCTGTTGAAAGGGCGCCTAGACCCAAGAAGTTTGATCCGGTTATGTCGGGGACGCTGACGCCTTCGGAGTCTAAGGCTGGCGGTGGCAATGTTGTGGAGGAGGGCGGGGTTCATGCTCTTCCTGTTCCTGATGGGGGCAAAAATGGGGATGAGAAAGGATATAAGAAACAGGATGGATCTGAGGGTTCGTCTTCTGGATCGCATGGGGATTGTAAAGTTTGTCCTTGCTCGAAGGTGGTGCAGAACTCGCAAGGTTGTTGCCCGTTACGCTCGCTTCACTGTGGGTGTGGTTTTCCTACTTGGGGTTGGGATGGCCAGGTGGGTTGTCAGCTCCAGACAGGGTACGCAGCATCCCTTTTCTATCCCTCCTATGGCTATAATCCACCACTTCATCCCTATCCTACCGCTGGCTCTGGGTATTGTGGGCATGTCCGCAATGAGCAGGCTCAGACGGTTTTGTGGGTTCAGATGCCTTCGTATGGGGCCGCAGGTGGCTTGGGGTGTTGTGGTGGAGGGAACGGAGGGTGGGGTGGAAGGAATGGAGGATGTCAAGTTGTATCAACTGGTAATTCGTGTCAATGCCACTGTGGGAAGGGAAGTCGACGAGGTTCTGCTCAAGTGGGGAAGGGGGATCCGGCGATTGGGGGAAGATTGTGAAGGGTATTGGGTATTGGGTATTGGGTATTTTTAGAGTTGAATGGGCGGTTGGTAGGAAGCAGGATGAAAGAATTGGAAGTTTGTTTGCTTGTGGGTGCGATGAGTGTCTTTGTATTTGTGAAATTGCTTTGTTATATTTACTCTATGCTGTGCTATAATTTCGATGGCTTCTGGATGCAATTGAATTTATGATCGACATATTTTCACATTTATATTCAAATGTATTATTTCGAATATTTTTGGACAATTCCTCTACCTTCACAACCACACAAACAAACAAACACCACTTACACCACTCTTCACCGCTGAACACTACCAACACCCCCTTTTATCACGGATCCTCACATCTTCGTCGTGCACACTCACGCTTACGAGAGACCAAATAACCGCACATTCGGAACTCAATACTTCCGGTATAGTGTAGGGGTTAACATAACCCGCTTTCAAGAAATTTTCTCTGGAGCCGGGTAGCCCCGGGTTCGATTCCCGGTACCGGAATTTATACGTTTGTTTTGCTTGTCCCGTGAGGGGTGAGTCAAAGTTTTGAATTTTTTTGGTGCTGTATGTAGGTGGGTAGTGTGGTGTGGTGTTGTGTGGTGTAGTGGTGTGATTTGGGGAGGTTGGGGGAGTTGGTGGGGTGTTGGAGGAGGGGGGATAATTTTTTGGGGAATGCTTGCAAAAAAAAAAGAAGGGCACACACACAACTGCAATTTTTTAAGAGCGCGTAATTTTGTAGAGTGGAAAAATAAAATTATTTTTATTCCATTAGAATCACAAAACAGATATCGTATCAATTATGTGTACCTTGCATTCATTTCTGAACTATGCTACTCTCACTATGGCACCCCATATCTCCCTTGGCGGCATCACCTCGACTTTTCTTCTCGGCCGGCCTCCAGCTTGTCAGCCTTTCCCCCCATCCCCCACCAACTCGCAATGCTCGCCACCTATCGACTACATTACAAAGACCAAAAATAAACGCCAATATCAAAGAATGAAGAGAGATGAGCAGAGACAGAGCCTAGCCAAACTAGCTACTATGACCAACTATCCACCCACCCCCTCCCGCAAAGCCCATGCAGTATATCCCCTTAGTTATCATCCGTAAATCTAAGCCTTGTCGCGCAGATGCTTGGGGATGTACTTCCCAGCACCACCGCTGGCCTTCAGTGGCTCAGCAGGAGGCGCAGGAGACCTACTCTCGCGCTCGTTCTCGTTGCGATCGGTGCGGCCGCGGACTGGACCGGTTCCAGACGCGGTGCGAGCGATAACAGGAGCCTCGCGATCGCGGGACTCAGGCGCGGGAGAGGTGCCAGAGGCGGCTCTCGCGGCCTCCTTGTCTCTCCAGCTGGGCTTTCCGCCGGCGAGGGCAAGACGAGGTGGGCCTGACGGGCGGTCGTTGGAGTCTGTGCGGGCAAAGGGAGCGGCGGGAGCGGCGGGGGAGGCGGTGCGTTCAGATGGGACTTCTTGGCCTGCGGCTCTGAGGGCCTCCTTCTCTCTCCAGCCGAGCTTGGCGCCGGCGAGTGGGAGAGGTGGGCGGCGGTCGCTTGAGGCGCTACGCTCTGGCTCTGCTGCGCGGACTGGGAGACCACCGGTGGCTCTGGCACCTGCTCTGCGAGCAAGGGCCTCCTCCTCACGGCGGGCTTGGAGGGCAGCCTTCTCGAGACCTTCTTGACGCTCCTTGTCACGCTGGGCCTTGAGCTCGGCGAACTCCTGTCTCCTGCGCTCCTCGCGGGCAGACTTCTCGGCGAGCTCAACGGCGGCGCGCTCCTCCTCCTCGCGGAGAATCCTCTCTTGCTCTTCACGCTCACGCTTCTCGCGGATCTTACGCTCCCTGTGCTCCTTGCGGCGCTGGTTGATTTGCTTCTCCAGCTCCTTCTCGGCATCACGACGGCGCTTCTCGAACTCATCGTGCCTGCGGGCAACGACGTCGGTCTTGAACTCCTCGTAGATGGGTGTGATTCTTGTCAGTCTCTTCGACAGCTCGAGATCCTCGGCGTGCTTCGCCTCAGCATCCCGAAGGACCTGCGACTTGGTCTTGTCGTACGCCTCAAGATCACGCTTGCGCTGTTCCTCGTAGTCGGCAGGGAGCTTCTTGGCCTCCTCCTTTCTGAACGCACGCTCGATGTGATCGATACGCTTACCAGCGATTCTCAACTTCTCGCTGGTGTCGTTCTTCTCACGCTCAAGCTGGGCAAGCTTCATGGCGCGGAGGCGGTTTCCATCAAGGTTGTCCAGGTCCTCAAGATCGATATCGAGAGCCTTGGTACCAATCTTGAGATCGGCAATCTGCTTCTTGAGCTCATCCTTGCGGACACGGTCGAGCTCAGCCTTCATGCGCTTCTCCTCACGCTCCTTCTGCTCCTGGGCAAGACGCTTATCTTCAGCCTCTTGGAGTTGTGCGGCTCTGATCTTCTTCTTTGTCGCATCTTCCTTCTCCTTGCGAGCGATAATCTCGTTAGCAGCCTCCTTTCTCTTGTGGATGATCTCCTTGCGTGCCAAAGTCTCATGATGTTCTTGCTCCGCGCCGGCCTTAGCCTTTGCTAATGCAATATCGCGAGCCTTGACCCGGGCTTGGTTGTAGGAAGGATCCACATATTGGCAAGTGATGTAAAGAGACTTGGCAAGGCGGGTAAGTTGAGTGCGGACAATTTCTGAAGGAGTGCTTTGGAGGCGTTGGACGGATTGAGATTCCGTCTCGGCAGAGCCAGCAGCAGATCCGGTGTGGACAGCCTTCGCCGAAGAGAAGACATCGGTATCGAAGCTGAGGACACCAGTGGCGTGATCCAGGCGGATAGCAAGGTCACCCTTCTTGTTTCCGTTCATGATGAACTTCTCGATAGTGTCCCTTGAAACATCGAATGGTGCTGGGAAGCGGGCAAGGTTCTCGACGAACTTCACATCGACAGTCTCATAAACCTGGGACAGTTGCTGGAATAGTCTGGTCAAGATAACTTGCTGGAGAGGAGCAATGTACTTGGCCATCTCTTCGTCTGCGCCAATCTTAGTCAGGATAGGAGAAATCTTTTGGCAGATCGAGAGAGGGTGGAAGTCCACCTCAAGGATGTTGTAAAGCGCGCGGATTTCTGGGCGGGCGCGGCTGAGAAGACCCTTGCTCATGGCATCCTTGAACAGGACCGCGCGGGTTGGTGCAGCGGACATGCCAAGAAGGTGTGTCAGGCGAGAGTTCTTGTTGTTCTTTGCTTGGTCAACATCGATCAAGGCTCCGCGGGATCTGGAGGTGCTGATGACGGGAATGGCCAAAGCAGACAACAGAACGAAGGAAGCAGCCTTGGTGAGATCGGCCTCGGATGCAGCTGGGTTTTCCGACTTCTTGCCCTGTCCTGACGCGACAATAGCAGCAGACTGGCGGAGAAGGTTGTAGTATCTAGACCAAGCAGCAGCGTGGAAAAGATAGTTCTCACCGACCAAAAAGATACGGGTAAGCTTCTCGTAGTAGTTGGCCATCATGATGTTCTTCGGTGGGCGTTTGCTGAGGTTGAGGAGGGTGTGGATGTCCTCAACACTGCGGAAAGCCTCTTGCCACAGCTCGAGCTCAACCGCAACATTCAGCTGCTGGAAACGCGTCTCCAAATGGCGCTGGAGAGTGTCTGGGTCGTTCAGGTTGATAGCGTGCATCTGCTGAGCGGAGTACTTGGCAGCAGTCTGGACGTGATTCCTCAGGAGCTCACAGAGTCTGCGGAACTCGGTCTTGCGTGCATATTTCTGGCAGAAGGCAAATGCCTGCATGGCAGTGCTCTGATACATAATTTCCAGGCGAGCATTGTTGCGGAGGATGTCGAGAACGGTGCGGTAAGTCTCCCACAGAAACTTCAACCAAGGAGTGACGATGGCTCGATCTGTGCGGTCGCGAGACTGCTCGCCGGATACGGTGGACAGGAGAATCGACTCTGGGGTTTCGCTGGCCTCGAGATCATCGATACTGGCGGTTGCTTGAGTAGTCTCGAGGGTGCTCTGGATTTCATCTGCCTTGGCCTGAGCCTCCTGGACCTTGGTCTCCGCGAGTTCGATGAATTTCTTGAGGACGAGCTATAAAATTTGAAGTTAGCGCCCAGTCCCTTCCTGACGCGATTTTATCCTCCTGGTTATGCTGAGCCTTACCTCGATGGTTCCGACGTTGGTGTTCTGGCTGATATTTTTGTACTGGTATAGGGCGTCCTTCGCGAGTTTTCCCTTCTTTTGTTCCACGGACTGCTCCACCAACAGGAGCATCACCGGCTCCAGCGACGCGATCGGAACATTTCTGGATCTCTTCGAGGTGATGTGCTCATGGAGCAGGACTAGAGCGGCTGAAGACTGGCCAACTCCCATCAACTGTAACCATTCGTTAGCATTTGTTAGATATAGGGCGCGAGCCGGTCGCGGGTGGCAAGGATCCTCTCTATGAACGCACCTCATGCGCCCTCTTGAGGACATTCTCCGGCTTTTGATGCGGCGGAGGAGGCATGCTGGGCGAGCTCTGTTGATCGATGATCGAAACTCGTGCAGGGTGTCCCAGAGGCGGTGGTCTTGTCGAGAATCGTCAGAATCGAATGTCGCGCTACGTTCAATTTTGCGGTTGTGTGAATCGGCCCACGAAAGGGCTTACCGAAACGCTAAACTATAATAGGACTAACCTATCCCGTACCCTTCGAAACACATTGGCGGCGTGACTTCAGTACCCATCTAATATTACGGACGGATACTCTTCTCTACTGCGAGATTGCAAAGCTCCTATGCTCTTCAGCACCAGCCCGACGCCGCAACTCCAAACATCATAAGAGCTGCCCTCAATTAATCATTCCGACGAAGATCGAAGAGCGACCTTCTCTATCCGATACTCCCATCGTCATCGTTCAATCGAGCCATCGCCAGCATGGGCTACGCATCTCGCGACGCGGCGGACCCGAGCCAAATCAAGAAGAACAAGCAGTCAATGGCAGACCTGAAGCTACGCCGCCTCACGGAATTGAACAATCGTTTACGAGAGGACCTTGAGCGCGAGCGCATTCCTGTCTCCCAAGCCGCAAGAAGGTACGCATCGCTCACTCACCCCCTTCACGACCGATCATCCCACTAACTTGCTCAGCATCATTGCCTACACTAATACGACACGCGACTTCATGGTTCCATCCGTTTGGGGACCAGTCGACAAGAAGGACGATCCATACACGCCACAACCGACCGGAGGGTGCTGCGTGGTGATGTAAGGAGGGGAATACGAATAATGGGGGAGTTTGGCCTGGCGTCATGAATTTAGCTGCTCGATAATCTGGAGAAAACAAAGGAAACACAGAAGAGAAGGGGGACGAGCGAGCATAGGATACCCGAAAGGATACTGCACACCGACAAACAAAGATTTCATACTACAACGACGGGGATGGGCCCTGAGGACAATTTCTCGTGGCGGAGGGCGTCCATCTTGCCACCACACTTACGATTATGGCTCTTTTTTTACGTCGCTTTCTTGTAACTATATAGGGTGGGAAAACCAATTGATTTATGTTATTGGCTATATATCTCCTGATGGAGTGAGTTCGTGATGACTGTGATTGGTAATTGTGCGCGAAGGAGTCTGAGGCCACGGAAGCATCGGACGAGCGCTCAGGCCTCCAACGAAGCTTTCAACGACCTAAAGCTGTATCTCCTGTATCACTTGATTATAATTTCGTATTATTTATCCATATGCACTGCCCGTATCTGGACTCTCGAAGTTCTGGGGCCAACCCCTAAAGGTGGCCCCGTTTTCCCCAGAAGGACGGGAGCACTAACGAAGATTAGCAAATGGTGACATGCATATGGCGGCCAACGAACCACAGCCACAGAGTCCAAATAAATCCTTCTTTTGCCAATTTCCAGAAGCCTAAAGCACGATTAAGGAGAACGTAATTTAACTTTGAATCGTTCATCTGAAGTTTCTAATCCTGGTAAAACGGCTTTGTTTCGTCGGACATCCCCAAACCAACTCGGCATCTACGGACTCGTTATGGAAGCTCCAAACGGCCTCGCAGCTTCTGCTCCGCATCCGCGGATTGTTATCAAGTTCTGTACACAGTGCAAGTGGATGCTTCGGGCTGCCTATGTATGTGCAAGCAAGCAGAATTCCTTCAATTATTCCCATGTTATATAACTAGAGTGTCTCAGAGAGACAACCCTGACGCACGTGACTACGTCATTGCCCCCTCACATATGCCTTTTTTGCTCGCGTTCTGGTCCCTTATTTATTCAGTTTATATATTGCAATCATACTTGGTTATATTGGCTCATTTTCCTAATTATTCACAGTTTGCACAAGAACTACTCTCGACCTTCTCGACGGACTTGGGAGAAGTTGCTCTTCAACCAGCGACTGGCGGAGTCTTCTCAATTGAGATATTCTACAATACCACACCCGGCTCTACTACCCAAGCCGAGACAGGAACAATAACGAACCTGACTGTGGAATCTAAGTTATTATGGGACCGAAAAACCGAGGGAGGTTTCCCTGGTAAGTCTTTTCTCCAAAAGCACCACCGGAGATTTTGGTTTTGTGTTTAAGAAAATATGGGAGGCAACGCCGGGTAAAATAAAGAGAAGGAAGAAGAAAAACATATCATACTTGACACAGTGCTAACCCAGATCTAGAAACCAAAGAAATCAAACGCCGAGTGCGAGACATCATAGACCCAAACCGAGACCTCGGCCACGTCGACGGCAAAAAGAAAGCCATCAGTCCCAGCGCCGAAACACCCACACTAGAGGCCACGACAGCCGCTCCAGCCACGACCACGGCGGCTACGTCAGCCTATCTGGGTTCTACAGGCCCCGAGGTCAGCCTTCGAGATTTTATAGCCGCAGGGGCCTCGACTGGCGATGTCACTAGTTCAGGCCGCGGGGGCGCGGAAGAGGAAGTGCTGGAGCATGATCAGTTGACTTTGGAAGCACAGCCGGGGGGTGGGAGGTATAAGAGAGTTGCGGGGGAGACTGGAATTATGGAGGAAGAGGTCGGGACTAAAGGAGTGATCTCTGATACGGCCTATGAAGAGAGGAAGAGGAATCCGGATGGGACGATTTGTGAGGATTGCTCTTGAGGGGATGGAAGGGGTGTTGTGAGAAGTACCTGTCATGACTGATTTTTTGGAGAAATGAAAGTTATGAATTATGGATTGAGGGTGTTGGTTAATTTGATGTGATGTATATCGCAGTTTGTATGTAAGAGAGAATCTCATGACACGAACATTACGAGATGATAAAAAGGGACAAAGTGTTTATTGCTAATTAGCAAGCTCAGTTTGCACGGCTCTCGTTTCTTTATCTGCGATAGAGGTGGTGACTTTCACTAGAGTAAAAATAGTATTGCGTTCGTCGTTTATTTTTGACGTGGGATAATATATATCAGCCAAACCTAAGTTTGCATGCCACTTCCTATGGTATACTAAATTCCAGGCGAACATACAGTATCAGCCCATCACTACTATCTCATATAAACCAGCCTCATCTCTCCTACCTCAAATATTTCGACAAAGGCCATGAGCTGTATTTATTAGATATTTATTACACGCCCAGCACAAACGTGACCATGAACATCGCAAAACGAAGAACCCGTTTTGATACCGAACAAGAAACTGACCAAGCTATGACACCAAATAACCGAGGCTGCAAACGGTGCAAGTCAGTGACTGCCCAGACCAATATTATGCCAAAGGATGACTACGCCGTGGGGTTATGAGGGAAAGGAGCTGGGAGGAAAGAAGGATATGCTAGGTGGTGAGAAGGGATGGAAGTGAGAAGGGATAGTAGTGAGAAGGGATAGTAGTGAGAAGGGATGGTAGTGAGAAGGGGCGGTAGTGAGAAGGGGTGGTAGTAAGAAGGGATGGTAGTGGGAAGAGAGCCTCTGGGATTATCACCCCTGTGTCGCGCATACGAATAGCGACCCTCTCACCATTTCGCCGGTTCATGTTGATTCTCAGAACTCTAGGACAATATGCCCTGGAGTGGAACAATCTCCGTGTGAACAGAGGTGAGAGGCCTATAGGATATACATTAGTAACTATAATATATAATATAAGATTATAGACTTACTTATAGCAACCCCCGCGCATAATCCTAAAGCCCCGAAAGGGATGCACTTGACCATGCAGTGAAGGCATATGTGTAGAGGGAGTGATCATTTCTATGATGCGTTTCACAGAATGTCGCTCTCGCTATAGCCATAGCTAATGGCGATTAAGTTAGGCTCGCTGGTGCGTTTCCGAAGTGGGTGGCGTCCCTCCCGTAAATAGTCATAGTTATAGTTGCTATGACTACTTACGGGAGGGATAGAGTCCAAGGAGTATTTGCTGAAATTTTAGAAATTATTACGTAGCAAGCTGTTTCTGTTTCTGATTCTGACATTATCACTCATCGTGAAAGTTTTAACTGCCGTTGCCACCCCAATATACTATGACATATAAACAACTTACGTAGACTTGATACTTCCCTTCCGAGACATCTGTGCTGCAGCCCTAAACTCCGTATCTGCTAGGGGCAACTGAATCTGTCAAACCTTGGAACAACGTAGTCAAGATTAACGCCCTGTTTCTTCCGAGAGGCAGGGCGAGCGGTGACACTACGTGGATCCTCAACTCCTTAGTATGGAGACAGACGGCTCAGCGAACCTCTTCTACGTCTAACTGGCAGTGAGAATCCGCCTTACAATCCCCTCCCGCCCTACCATACCTATGACAGCCCTTGGCAGATTTCGGAGTCGATCTCCAGACCGATCTTCGGTCATGCCCATACTTATACTAACGTCCTACTACTGTGCAATGATGTCGTCTCAAGCCCATCAAGCCACTCACCCCACGCCATCCTCGCCTAATCTTGGCATCTGATTGTGCAGCATCGCTCAAACGGGGAGCCAGTAACGCATGTGATATCTATATCCCGGCAGTGTGGTGCTGCCACCATCTCGCCGCACCGCGATTGCCCCTCACCATTGGTAAAGAAATGTCGTCCGCATCTCTCATGATTGGCCTTATCGCACCCTCGCCGGCCCGAAGTCGGAATTGAGATGCGCGCGCCCTCCACACCCACCAGGAATAGAAATGTTAATCGAAATCCTGGGGATGGTGGTGGTGGTTCATGGGGGTTATGGAACCAATCAAGCGGGCAAGCGTCTGGGAATCTTTGGCTCAGTATGGGTCTCTGCTTCCCCTCGCTTGGGCAATTACTCTGATACACATAATCGATATCTTGGACCCTAAAATGCGGCCAGTAGAGCCGTCAGATACAGATACGGCACACCACCCAGGATGTGACCTGCCCTAGACGTGCAAGTGCCCGCAACCCGTTCGCTTGCGCTCCAGGGATTCCTAGCACAAGTTCCATTTTGTGGAAAGGCGCCGGAGCCGCGGGGGTGCCATAGCGCGGGGGTCCCGGACGGCTGTGCGTCATTCGTGGGAGTGCCCGGAGTCGGATATCTGTCAGTACCGTTTACAATAACTGATTGTATCCATACCCCAAGCCGAAACCCCAGCAGAATATATTGTTTGCGCGGGGAAATTTTTGATGAAGTGGTGGGGGGGACGAGGGCTGTAAACCCGCTGCAGCATCTATACGCGAGGTAGACGCTACATGTGGAATTTAAGGTTGTGTATGGTCGAGTGTATGGTCGGCGATTGCGAACCAAACTCGCGGACCCGGGCCTCCTCACCGCCAGACACGGCATGAGTGAACTACAATGCAGTGTTGCGCGCTGGGACGCCCTCCGGCGAACCAGCTCGACTTGGAGCGATGGAGGGGAGAGTGAGGGGTCGTTCTCGAGGAGGGGCTGCTCTGCAAGGTGGGATGTTGCATGTGCAAGGTGGGATCTGTGATGCCAAGGGCCGCCGACGAGCTTACGCCGGCGGTGAGATGCAACCTTTACGACGGACTAAGATTCTTTCTGTCTCTGTGATCCGCGCTCTCCGCTTCATCTGACACTGCAAATTTCTGTGTTGAGAGCGACCCCCAGATCTCCAACTAAGGAGTGCGGGTCCAACCGGATAAAAGGCCGTTTGGTTTGCTGCAACAGGGAGGAGCATGCTGCGCGGCATTTACTATGTATATACATAATCTGTGCGTACTGGCCACACAAATGACAGATAGCCCTCCTCCTGGCCAATCGCCGGGCAAGACCCCACGCTCTGCTCCTCAGAGGCTATAAGACTGCTATATCGCGACGAATCTGTGTGTCGTTCGCGCATACAAACGCCGACCTAACACTATTTTGCTCTGGCTTCAGAGAAACGTTTGGAATTTGAGGGTTAGTATCATCGTGGCGATACGCGGGGGGCGACATCATTGCCTGAAACGGGACGAATGGTATCGCACCTGACACCCCAATGGCCATGAAGGTGGGCTGGTAAGCCGAGTAGCTGAAGAGTGTGGGTATTGGTTTGGGTGATTTGGAAATGAGGAGTGGTAGAAAGTTGCATTTTGGTGCGGCGACGGGCATCTGCATATGTAGCCCTCACATACAAACGATCAGTCGCTCTCCGAGTGGGTGTGGTCGTCGGCGGCATACCCGAGCTCGTCGTCGCTGCAGGCGCTGACGGAATCGCGAGAAAGTCAAGCGGTGAGCGAGACACAAGCCTTTTCTTTCTCAAGTATCACCCACCAGCTTGGGAACCGAATACTTTTCTGGTACACAGAGCACAGGTGCCGGACAGAGTTTGAATTTAGACAGTCTGAATGAAGACAAATGCTTCCTAGTGATGAGACAAATGATGCAATTCGGGCCCGTGATTGGCGCTGCTAGCCAACAACTTGGGAGATTTGATGGCTATCATCCTCACGCGGCTGGCGTTGGCTCCTCTTGTGGCTCCTCTCCTGCGCACTGCCTGCCGCGATCCATCGCTTCGTGACTGGCTGACATGCAGCCTATACCCATGCCACACGGCCTTGGTGGACATGTAAGGAAAAGGTGTGGGGTTGTCTCAAGTTGTGGGCTTGCGCTTGGCTGCTGAACCGGGGCAACTTTGGGAAATGATATCGAGAAACAGGAAACAAAGGGCACACGGGTGTCTGAGGATGAGGATGGCAACCATTCACTTGGATGCGAGAACCCGTTCTGCATTATCGACAATCACCGAGTGATCATTGCTACACGGGAACTCTCGAGAAGGCTTCCTTGCCGACTCTATGTATTTATGGACTTGGGGAGTAGAGTAGTACTCGAGTAGATATACCACGGACATCCCGTTTTCTGCCTCAGCGTTTTTTTGTGAGGTGGGGGTAAGCCGCCGCACGATGAGGGCGATCTATTATTGTAGTCAGTGTGTTGCGTGTGTATGTGTATGTGTGCGTGACTTCGCGGCTTCGTAATCTGGCGCTGATGCTGACCTCTGAACACGCCTCCATTGCCCGTCATCTTCAGCTTCTTCTCAGCGTAGAGAAAGGGGTTCGTAGTATTCGAGTCTCCTGACTCTCCTGACTTGCCGCCAACGTGTCCAAAACTGTGAATAGCTTCAATGACAACTCGGCTGTGTTACTCCACCCGTATATGCTCCACCAGTAGAGGGTACATGCGCCCTTTCGATATTGTCGATCGCTACTACTCTGCTGTTGGTGCAACTGGATGGGGATGGATGGGGATCACTGGCGTATATGTTTCAGAAATGGCAGTGTGATTCTTCGCATGAAGGGACATCGCTGCTACTTGCTAGCCTCGTATATGGAGTAGACTACCACTGGCACTACTACTGGCACTACGACTGCACACTACGACCGCCACTGCCACTCCTACGCGGTAAAGTACGATCAGATATAGGAGATTGTAGGAGATTGTAGGAGATTGAAGGAGATTACTCCAGTACCGCCCTTTTGCCAAGTCGACCGAGTGTTAAACTACTAGGAGCCATAGGAAGTACATATATCTGCACCTACGGAGGAGGGAGTACGTAAAACTGGGCGTATACTCGGCGTATAGTCCTCTGGTCCTATCAAGAGGATGGCGCGTAATAAGATCCGATTGTAGAGAATTTCAGCTCTGATCTGGTGCATACTGTCTTAAGATAATAAACCATAGTAGCCCGTAGTATCCCATAATATGCTAGTCTGTAGTCGCAGTCTTACTCTCTTACTCTCTCTTTCATTCTCTTACTGTACCTCGCAATTTCGAAGGTTTATTGTACTGGGCTGTATTGGAACTGTACTGCGACTATACTACGACTATACTGCGACTGTACTGCACGGGACTGTACCCCCATCCATGCCGCAGGGCAGTACACACATACATACATAATTTCGAATCACCAACACAAACACCACCACTCAAACAACCACACCTCAACCAACACCATAAGCACT